GGTAATGATTATAGTAGTCGCATGCAGGAACTTGTTCTAGCTCTTCTCATTGACAGGGATTGATCTTGTTAGGGTAAAGTATGGTATCATTCGACCTGGTCGATTTGGTCTTTTTTGCCTGATGGTCTCTTGCCATCGTGATTCTGCGTCATCGTGTCTTCTCTTGATTCTTCGAGATTCGCTCTCCTAACATGGCAAACCAATTATGAGATGGAATTGCGAACCTGCTAGCCTGCGAATTCTTAGAACATTCGATTCTATCCTAATCGATGCAACCTAGAACTAGAAGCCCATTTGGGGGGTGGTGGCCAAGACCAGAGTGTAGAATGGACCAATCTAAGAGAATTGTCAGCGAAGCCATGTTGTCGAGTGCCATTGCCATATGGAATTTCGCTGTTCCGGTGAACTCTTTAAAATTCTTTAAATTCTTTGCGGATGGGACCGGATGGAATGACGTGGATTCGGGCAATTTTCGCTACTGCCACGTCGGTTGGGCAGTGGCTATATACGAACACGCACTGTATCGTATGGCCACGGATGTGAAGTACTGTGCAGTGCACGGTATCACATGCCCTGCAGCCCTAATTTCATAGTTTGATGCAGTTGACGAGTATCATCTCGTATAACACTTCACACCGTACCTTACAGTAGTAATTCATCATAGTTTCCATGCAAGACTGCCCATTCAAGGACATACAGTAGCGAACTGCCTCATATCGAACTGCCGGTCCGGGCTCTGAGCCTGAAGGCGAGAGTCTCTCTCCACTCTGATTGGGTTCCACTTCTTTATTTTCTTTATTTCGTTTCTTCTTTTTCGGTTCTTTTGCCTTTCGCCTGAGACCCACCGGAACGCAGTGATCCATGGTTGAGTTGGGGCTTTGGGGCTTTGGCACGTTGCTGGGTACCTGTCTGGGGCATCGAAGCCGCACCCTCCAAATCTATATAAACCCCCCATTCACCTCGGTCTCTTTCTTTCGATCAACACACATTCACTTCAAGTACAGTAGTACCGACTTTCTTTACTCTATTCCTTCCTTCAACTGAGATTGACTCTCGTTGCATTCTTTTACATCTGTCGATCAGACTACCACTTTTCACTTTCCATCATATCTATACCAGTCTCGACGACTCCACTCTCTATCAAGATGATGTTCACCAAGTCTCTCGGCCTCGCTGCCCTCTTCACCACCATCGCCTCTGCCCTCCCCAACGGCATCGTTCGCCGTGGAGGTGCCTCCGGCGGTAGCGTCCAGATCACCAACAACCTCGACCAGGACATCTATGCCTGGTCCGTCACCGACCAGGTCGGTCCCATGCTGGTGATCTCCGCCAATGGTGGCCAGTACTCGGAGCAGTGGCAGATCAACCCCAACGGCGGTGGTGTCTCCATCAAGCTGGCCTCGGACCCCGAGCAGCACGACGTCCTCCAGTTCGAGTACACCGAAGCCGGGGACACCATCTTCTGGGATCTCTCCTGCATCGACATGGAGGCTGGCAACATGTTCACCAACTTCGGTTTCGCCGTCGAGCCCACTGGCGAGACTTCCTCTTGCCCCTCGGCCATCTGCAAGGCTGGTGACACCGCTTGCTCTGCGGCTTACCTCCAGCCTACTGATGACCACGCTACCCACGGCTGCCCCATCGACACTGGTCTCTCTTTGACCATTGGCCAGTAAAGGATGGAATCCTCTCTTGCTTTTGATGTCGGTGCCGGTTGACCCGTGCATGCATTCTCTCTTTATGCTTTTACTTTTTCAAAGTCGTCGCATCTAGCCCTAGCTGGCAGGTGACCTTTTTTTACATTCTTTTGATATCACCCTAGCTGGTGATGCCCCCTTTTCAGACACGAGATTGGTGATTTTTGTTTTTTTATGCTACGCAACATGTTCGGTTGAATCGGCATGTCTTCTCCCCATTGTGGGTTCTCCCACTGGGGTAGGATGTCTCATCACGAGCTATGATTTCTTACGCTGTTACTTATGGGAATACCCCCAACCTTTTGGATTTACAAGGAGTTAGAGATGTTGGGGGGAGAGAAATAGACTTTGTGAATAGACCGATGATCCTCAGATCTCCGGAAAAATCTACGAACACATGATTTAACATTTAACAAGCACTTGATCATCTACAACATAGAGTAAAATGCATTGACTTAGTATTTCGATGGATAGTCCAGATTCTTTCCGACTTGTCACACAGTTCTCCCAAGCAACCCTTGTTCGCCTTCTACAAGCATTGTTCACGGTACACTCCCCAACAGAAAATTCAGCACAAAGCATGAGTGGTGAACAATGTGGAGTAAACAGGCACACATCTACGTATGCTGAGATCTAGACCAAATGATGGACAGGGACCCTTCAAAAAATGGCCCGACTGTACACGATATGATTCGCTGCCCTGACTCCACTCCTCCGGTCCCCTCTTCGGGTTTTACTGGCTGTCGATCTTCCGGATAGGATATGGAAATGGCAACGCCCCCCCCCCCGTGCCCACTACGGGTTTTTTCCGCCTGTGCGGACAACATGATTTGCGGATAGTGGATGTCTTTTGGGATGCATGGGTTTCTTTGACTGGCTTTATTGCAAGAATGGGCCGCATGAAAGGCGGGTTTCATTTGGGGTTTTGTTTTATTTCGCTTTGTTTATAGTGCTACGTAGTGCTTAGTGATGGTGTGAGGTAACTTCCTGTTCCTGTTACCCTAATCCATTACTCTTGCCTTCGTCATAGTGTCTTACAGCGGGATGAACTCATAGCGACAGGAACAAAACTCTGAAGAAGCCGACTTGCCATTCACATTGGCGAGATAGCGCCACCACAGACTGTTCCTATGAGGCGACATTCAAGGAATGGTTCGCCCACGCCTCCCAATGGTTCTCACCATGGGATTGCGCACCATGGAACCGCGCCAATGTCCAAATTCCTGGGACGAACGGCTTATTAGGGTTTGGGGTCTTGGGGGGTTATGCTTAACCGCTAGATCATGGCATGCCGAGACTGTTAGAACTTGGCAAGTCTTAGCGCTTGGCTCATTTTTGGCTAGAACGTCGAAGAATGTCGACTTGATTTGGGGTGTTGACTGAATGGGGGGTGCTTCCGTCCGAGTGGTGGCCCTGACCGCGGCGGCGTTCCGGGCTCTCTCGGGTAGACCGGCGGACAGGTACGGATGTTGTGAGTCACTCGGCTTCACCGTATGTCAATACATCACAAAATGACGATCTCGTGTGGCATTTGCTTTACCGACACGGATCCTGATGTATACCCAAGGGCGGACAAATTCTAGGCAATGAGAAATTCGAACACTTGTCGGAGTAGAGGTGCAGAAAAGTCAAATTGCTGAATAATAGAAGTGCAGTACAACCTTAGAATTATGGCCATTGAGTGTGACGTTAGTGGGCTTTGAGTACTGTTCTACGAAGCAAAAGGTCGCTTAAGTCGAATCAGAACGTTCAAGGATGATGAAACGATGAACAAACATAGAGGCAAAGCTGTCTTATTCCAACCAAGATTTTCTAACTATAGTCATGCCGTTGAATAGATTCAACAAGGCCTTACTGACTATCTAGTTGCCACGTAGAAATGTAGTTCCTGGTGTTCAATAACACCAGAATATAGTTCACCGGGAATCTCACGATAGTTACAATCGAAACACTAACCTATATTGGACTATAGACGTTCAAGATGTGATGGGATTGGAAGCATACTGGGCTTGTTCATATCGATAGGGTAGCTCGAGGCAGTAAGCTGAACTCTAGCGTGGCTTTCCAAGCTCATCTTGACAGTCTAGAATTATGGGTAGGACCCCTTGATCATAGCTCTATATTGAAAGGTCAGTTGATATGTCTAAAGCTTGATATATGAACGAGTAAAGCTCAAAGTCTAGAGGATCGCTTGAAGCCCATGGAGATTCATGTAAGAGCTCAAGATAGCACGTGGCTTGAAAGTTAGTAGACTTTGCCTTGAATCCTAGAGCCATCTATGTAGAATTTCAAGTCATCAATGCTGATTAGATCTCGCAGGCTTCAGATAATCCAATACAGAGTTCTATATCTTAATCGAACAGGTTGTTAAATGTTGAGGAATTGTCTTATTGTTTACCACTTCAGCACCAATTGGCCCTTGCCGTATTTACTTCTAAGCCCAGGAGATTCATACACAGTGCGTAATATTGATATATAGGTATAATGTAGTAATATCTCTCATTGATTACTGGCAGAATTCATTCGAGCCTAAGACCGTTACAGACTGTCGCACATTCTCTACCTCTATATTCAACCATCCTAGCCTAGTCTTCAATCGAGCTTATACCGTCGAAGTTGAATAGTCTATTCGCCATTTGGTCTTGATAATTTGGAGGATTCAGGATGTTAAGAGTCTTGGCAGTCAGTCGGCCTTCTCCAGTCAGCCTTCTTCGGTGACCAGCGCTCATTTCAAATTACCCGACTAGATCGATTGCAAGAAACGATAATTGCTAGTCAGTACGTCACAAAATTGCTGCCATATCCTACATTCTTCGATTAATTTTCCGACCCGAATGCCGGGGCTCATGAATCTTTATTAGGAATTTACCCGGAGGTCCCCAGTCAGTTGGACATATATCGCGTACGAAGCTATCAGTGACAGGGACCTACGTGTCGAAGATAAGATCAAGTTCCCAATTCCAGACAAAGGCTGCCGAGAGCCCCGTTGATATCACCAACCAAGCTTTATACGGGCTCACCCTTTGCCGTCGTTTCCGGTGATTCAGCGGCGGTGATTATACCACTTCTTTTCCTCAAGTCCAATAGCTTCGCAGCTACGATGAGCCGGTTTATAGATCCGGGCTCTTGAAAATATGCTTTTTAGTTCCACTACTAAATCTAGTTGACGATGTTTCGTCATCGATAGTTGGAAGTTGGCCGTGGATGGCTCTGGGGTATATAACTCTGTGATATGCTCCGTATACGACAGTGAATGTCTCAATATCAAGCAAATCGAATAGCAATCAACAAATAAAACCGAACATGGACACTTTCCAAGCCAGCTTTGATTGGTCTTTCAAGGCCAAACATCCCTTCAAGGTGATTGTTGTAGGAGCTGGCATTGCCGGACTCACCGTGGCACTGGGGCTGAAAAAGGCCGGACACGAAGTCCTGATCTTGGAACGAGTTCATGAGATCGCAGAAGTTGGCGCCGGTATTCAAGTGGCTCCAAATGCTGCACGGATCCTTGGACGGCTCGGTCTGCTAAGTCAAGTTATGGAGAGGGCAAATGTCCGAGAACAGAATTCTCTGCGTCGCTATGCAAACAACGAAGAACTTGGAACTGCTCCTTTGATGCCCCAAGTATAAACACCCTTCCCATACTTGTTGAACCATTGCCTGACAGTCTTGTAGGTTGGCCAGAAATACAATGCCCCATTGGCAGTCGTCCACCGAGGAGATCTCCAACGCATTCTTCTAGAAGGCGTCAAAGCCACAGGCATCGAGTTGCGCACCAGCTCTCGGGTCATCAGAGCGGTAGATGAATTTGAAGCCAGTGTCCAGCTCGAATCAGAGGAATGGATTTCTGGAGATGTAGTCATCGCCGCAGACGGTATCAAATCCGATCTCCGCCACCAGGTCGCATCCCACCACGGACACACTGATACCTGCCAGCCCACCGGCGATGCAGCATACCGCATTATGATCCCCAAGGGAATGATGCAGGGTGATCAGCGCGCGCTAGATCTGCTGAACCACAATGTCGGTATGCGCTGGATGGGACCTGGAGGACACATCATGGCACACCCGACCAAGAACAACACTGTCTACAACATGGTACTGCTACATCCCCAGAAGCTGGGTACTTCAAACGAAGAGAGCTGGACTAGTAAGGGAGACAAGCAAGAGATAATCTCCTTCTATCACGACTGGGGCGATCTGGTCCGGAGTCTTCTGAGTTATGTTCCGGATGGTGAGGTTATGGAGTGGACTTTGAAATCACACCGTCCTTTGCCTTCGTGGCTTGAGAACAGATGCGTACTCATGGGTGATGCTTGTCATCCAATGCTTCCATATGTTGCCCAAGGAGCTGCGCAGGCAATTGAGGATGCGGGTGTGCTTACGTGCGCTCTATCTCTGACTGATTCAGTTCCCAAGGCGTTGGCGGTATATGAATTAGTACGGAAAGAGCGCGCAGAGCGTATACAGAATAGTGCTACGGTAACAAGAAAAGCACTCCATTTGCCTGATGGCGCGGCACAGCGGAAACGTGACGATGCAATCCACGGATCAGGTAAAACCCCTGATCTCTGGGCTGATCCTAGCTGGCAAGACTTTATGTGGGGTGAGTATATCATTTACTTATTGCTTTGAGACTCGCATATGCTGACCATCATAGGGACGGATGTTATGAAGGATATGGTTGATAAGTGGGACGACCTGGTCGCTCACAGTCACGGATATCATCTACATACACTGCAGGCAATCGGATGCTGAGACCTACGGAACAAGTATTAAAGAAGGAGAAGAAAACAAAACTCACAGCGCAGAATAAAAATCACAAAATAGCATTCAGCTACATCTCATCATCTATCAACTATGTACAGATCTCCGCCGAGCCAACAACCCCTTCCACCACCCCCAAGCCCCCCTAGACCTCATCCCCTTGAGAAAAGCATAAGCAACAACCCTATAAACAATCGTACAAACACCCAGCGCCATAACATTCATAGGCCCGTCTTTATCCAAATTATACAGCCTTAAAACCTGCTCACCAGAATCAACAGGACAACCACCACTCACAAGCCTCTGGCTATCCTCACAGGTAAAGACCTGGCCCTCCAATGAAAACGGCGCCAGGTTCGCTATCGCATACTTAATAGGCGACAAATGATTAATGCCCTGCAAGACATCGTTAACATTAAGACTCATGACGCCGCCCAGGATCGTCGATATAGACAGTAACACCGAGGTTATGTTGACTGCGAAGCCGACGTGCGAGAATAGCGTGCAGAACATTATGCCTACGGACTCGCCGCAGTTTATAATGCAGAAGCAGTTGAATATGCTGACTAGGAACATTGTTATGCTGCGGTGCAGGTTGTCTGCGTAGGCGGCTAATGCGCCGAAGATTAGGGACGAGAGGATTTCGAAGGGGATTTCGATCGTTGTATAGGACAGTAGGAAGGTTGAGGCGCTGTAGCAGTTGTCTGCTTCTTCGCGGTAGAAGACGTCTCGTTCGCTTGGGTAGATTGCTATGTTTTGGAGCATGCCTGTTGGATTAGTTAGTTCAGTGATCGGGATGAAATAGTAAGAGTAGAGTCTTTGGTGAGACGGAAGTGGCTTCTAGCTTACCGACAAAATACAACGCCGCGAATTCTTGGATAAATCCCATACGAGACTGTACAGCTTCAAAGTTATTCTTCAGCGGTGCAAAGAATAATGCCATGATAATTGCAATACCAGGTATTTGCATCACCCGCGCCATTATCAGCGGTGGCTGGCGCCAGAAATTGATAAACGAGCGATGAAGCACCAGTGGGAATGTAACGCGGAATGAAAGCATCTGGCGCTTGAGACTGCCCAGTTCTGCAGGCGTGGCGATCTGCGATGCAGTGCGCACAAGGTCGACGGTCGTCTTGTTCCAGCTGGAAATGAGATGCTGCACACGTTCCCTGGTGATGGCTTCGCGGTCTGCCTGTTGGAGATCTATTGTGATAAGGTCTAAGACGAAATCTGCGGGGTTGGTTGTGCGTGGGCAATCATGGCCCAGTGCGGCGAAATGCGCGAGCATGTGTTCGCCGCTCCCTGCGTAAACGGGATATCCGCCTCTGGCTAGGAGGAGGACTTGCGAGAAGTGGGTGAATAGGTCTGAGCGGGATTGGTGGAGGGTTAGTATGAGTGTGCGGCCTTCTGCGGCGAGACTGTGGAGCAGTGCGATGATGGACATTGCTGTGAAAGCATCCAGGCCGGAGGTTGGCTCGTCAAGGAGGAGGACCTTAGGGTCTGTGAGGATTTGGATTGCGATTGAGACACGACGTTTCTCGCCGCCGCTTATGCCTTTGATTATATCGCTGCCGATGAGGTTGTCGGCGCACTCTTTAAGTCCCATTTTGTGTAAGATTTCTTCGGCGCGTCGGTTCTTTTCTTCTCGGGTCATCCATGTTGGAAGGCGGAGACCCGCGGCGAATTTGAGACTCTCACGGACTGTAAGGGAGGGCATGAGGGCGTCGTCGTCTTGCATGACGAAGGATGTCACGGATCGAATGACACCTTCTGATGGGACGGCACCGTTGTAAAGCATGTTGCCATGGATGCAGTATCGGGTCCCTATGGATCCATGTAGCCTGCGTGCTATCGAGTTTAGAAGTGATGTCTTTCCACTTCCAGATGGACCCATGATCACGTTTAATTGGCCCGACTGAAACTCTGTGGTGATGGGCCTGAGGATTTGAAGTTTCTGTGCAGTTCGCCAGGGGAGACGTCTCTTCCGAATCTCCAAGGCGTATTGATCGAGCGAGATGGCAACTTTGCGTGTCTCTCCTGCTGGACGAATTGCGATTTTGGCTTTGTTAGAAGCCTCCCCTTCGGCTGCCCGTGCCTGGGCAACATCAATAGCGAAGCGATTGTATTGCAGCAGTAAAGCAGCGACGAGGTAGTGACCCACGGTAAATGCAACCAGTACCACAATTGGCCGCCAGATCCAGTCGGAGGGCATTCCAAGACTTTGCATGATATACCTGCCAGTGTATTCTTTGCAAGCCGGGTCAGAGGGATCATTTGAATAAGGACAGTCGTAGAACTGGCCTAGCTCAGAGCCATTGGTTCCAATGAACTCATTTGCACACAGTGCGCCAAAGATGTAGAAGGTATATGCACACCACTTAAGCCATCTCACATAGACCGGGATTTGGTTCGACTGAACAAAGTACCCACAAGCAAAGGATTGCAATGTAAAACACAGATTACCCACCAGACTGGCACCAGGGAAACTGCGCGCTATGCTAATAGCTACTGCAGCAAAGGTAACGGCGACATAGTGGGTGAGTAATGTCAGAACGAAGAAGATGAAGAATTGGCTTGCGTCGAGCCGGTATCCAACCATGAAGTAAAAAATCAGAGAGAATATCAACGGCACAGGAAGATCCTCCAGCGGTAATCGAGCTGCACGCCGACTGAGAAGGAAAGCTGGTACGCCGACCACGCCTTCATTGCGCTCACGATCGAAAAGTCGAATGTCGATGGTCAAACGATACGTCTCATATAGCAGAATGAGATACCCATTCAGGCTGCTGGCAGTATAAAGACTACCTTCTCGAGAGCGAATGCCCGCCTGACTCTCATCAAGCTGCAAGAAAATCCACCCATTGATGACTGCCATTCCAATGGCTTCAAGCAGACTCCCGGCAACACCCATCGGGTCACGAATGGTAGTGGTGAAAGTGCGAGAAGTCAAAACACGAAACTGCCGACGAAACGAGACTTTCTTCATCGCCCCAGCTTGAGCATCAACAGAAGCCGACACCCTCTTCTCCTGACCCTCACCCGCCACCGCATCAGCAGCCTGTCTCGCTCTCCACGCATCCCTCAATCCTTCAACTCTCGCAACAGAAGCCCCCTCTAATTCCCCACTCCTCCGATCAACAGCAGCAAGATCAATCAAAAACTCCGCCGGGTTAACAAACTCAGGAATCGAAAACCCCAAATCCTCAAAATACCCAAGAACACCTCCAACCTCACCACCATACAACGCCTCCCCCCTTGCCAACAAAACAACACGATCAAAAAGCCCCCAAATCTCAGACCTGGGAGCATGAATCGAAACAACAACCGTCCTCCCATCCCTCGCCAACCCCTTTAACGTCCTCACAATCTGAAACGCACTCGTAGCATCCAACCCGGTAGTAGGCTCATCACAAAACAGAACAGAAGGATTAGAAAGAAGCTGCACACCAATACTAACACGCCTCTTCTCACCTCCACTGCAGCCCTTATGCGCGGCCGTCCCAATGCGCGTATCAGCGCACTCCTTCAGCCCCAATTCGAGAATGACCTGCTCGACAATGTCCCGGCGCTCAGCTGCTGTTGTTGGACTGGGCAGGCGCAGGTCTGCCGAGTAGCGCAGAGTTTCGCGTACGGTTAGGGTTGGGATTAGGACGTCTTCTTGCATGACGTATGCGCTGCGGATGTGATTTATGTTCTTTGTTTTGTTGAAGGTTGTTTTTCCGGAGACTTGAACTTGTGTCCGTGATAGGTTCATTCGGTTTGCCATTAAGTTTAGCAGAGATGTTTTGCCGGACCCGCTGCTTCCTATTATTGCTGTTAGGGTTCCTGCTGGCATTGAGGCGGTTATGCTGGATAGGACTGTTTTGGTTGGTTTTGGTTGGGCTGACGTTTGGCTGAGCCGTTGGCGCAGGTTCCATATTGGGTTCCATGTCGGCGAGGTGTTGACGGAGAGAGACAGGTTGGTGACTGATATGTCTGTTGGGTTGACGGCGCGGAGAGAGAGGTTGTTGGCTGCATCTCCTGTATCTTGCAGGTGCGGCTGTTTCACGACGCTTAATTCGATCTCGTCTTTTTCCATGTCCATGTCGATGCTTGGGACATCGGATGTACAGTGATGCAGTGATGCAGTGAGATTGAATTATTGACTGCTCCACATTCAGAGTCAAGTGGTTTCTGAGGGATTTGATCCCTGCTCGGGCTAGAACCTCTGGACTTGAGATGGCAGGGCTTAGATGACCACAGGATGACCGAGGGCAAATACGGAACAGCCAATAACCAGCAGCCAGCAGTCAATAGCCAACGAAGAAAGATAATTCTCCTTAACTTCCCCCGGACTCCAGCCGCTCTAGCCTGTGATTGGCGAATCAGCCATAACGTGGGGTCCTTGCATAAGCGAGGAGCTGTCAATCAAATGATCGGACAAGTTGCACTAAGTACGGGGAACAGGGGTGTCAACTTGCCACTGTACAGAGTTAATATGATGCTACTGCAGAGCCAATGGAAACAATATTCAAAGAAAGTAAGGGGGCAGATCCCCCGAGTCTGGACTCATATACATGAATACATACTGTACAAAGCAAAAAGGCTATTTCCTATTCTGCAAAATGCATACCCCAGGAAAACGGATATATACAACCTGAGCCAAAACCTGAATCACATTTGCCCAACGCCTGCGTCACTCGTACTCGTGAGATCATCCAACCTCGACACCTGTCCTATTTGCCAAATACACACCAATCGGGGATTTTTTGTTTTTCGTTGGGGGAGTTGTTTTTGGATATATGCGGAGGGACGCCTTCGACGCACGAGGCGTACTATTTCTCGCAAAACCCGAGCATGATCACATACCCCCAGACCTCCTCAAATGCAGATATAATCACAGTAAGAAAGAAAGTAAAAAGAAAAAGAAAATAAAAATAAACGTCCGGGCAATAATCATTATGCTTCGAAGCAAAAATCGAAACCGCCTTCCGGACGACAGTAGTCGAAAGCTCAGATAGGAGAGAGGAATATGTGAAGAGAAGAAGCGGGGAGAAGAGAAGAGAAGAGAAGAGAAGAGAAGCAGGGTATCAAAGGAGAAGAATAGAAGGCAAGAGAATCAAGTGATCAAGAAATCCATGTTCATATCACGAATAATCTTCTCCCAGTCCCAACTATCCTCGATATTAGTGTCCATGATCTCCCAAACTCGCGAAACAACCTTGAAAGCAGGCTCGATGTTCCGCAGATTGGAATAGGACTTGAGGTTTTCAAAGCCCGTCCTGAGACGCTCACGTTGCTCGGGCACAAATGCCGAGCAACCGAGCAAGAAAAGTGGCATCAGCACAATGCTGTAAGCACCAGCATCCTGTGGAAGCTGATCCAGATAGCCTAGACCATCATCAACTACCTGAGCGATCTTTTCACTTGGTCGCGAGGGTCGGATAGTCCGGTATAGGTACACCCAGGTGGTTTGACGGTACAGCTGGGCCAGGCACCAGTTTGGCGTGTCCGGCTCGTGGGAGGTTTCCCAATTCCGGATAGCCGTATCAATAGAAACAGCCTCACTGAGAGTCTGGTAGTCTACAGCTGGCTCGTATCCCTCATCCATCCGCTGGCGAATGCGGTCGCGTAGCTGGGTAATCTCGGAAATGTAATTGAACAGTCCATCAAAGACGCCCACGAACATGCCGGCCGAGGCTCCTGGGACAAAGTTGGGGATATTCATGTTGCTGTGGAAGAGAGCTGGGCGTCGGTCCAGCGAGGTGAGGGAGTTGGACACATCGTGATATTGGAAGAACTCGACTATGAATTGGCGGAACTTTTCGTTCCGCGGTTGTTGTGATACCAATAGATACCGGGCGGCATCCATGTGCGGGCGGTACTCGCCGTTGGTTTCACCTTCACAGATGGTGTTCAAGCTCAGAGCGATGGTGGATGCTATTATGGGGTCTTCCACCAGCAGTTGCTGCTCGGCGTCAGGGGTCTGTGGGGAGGAATTCGAGGACGCATTGATATTGTCCTTGAGGTCTTGGATCGCGCGATGGAAGTGATAATATTTGCGCTCTTTCAGCTTCGGTTCAGGGTCCAGACCTGACAGGTGCGATCCGGACAGACACATGAGCGAATGCATCAAACCGCGGTGTTGGGTTGCCATCGGGAGCAGAATCTCCTTAAAAGGATTCGAGTCATCATTGATGAGAGTCAGCACGCGGCTGAAGCCGTATACGAAGTGATCCAAGAAGCGTCGGTCGATGTCGGTTTCGATGCCGTCGATGAGGAGGGGTAAGCTACGCGGCATAGCTGCAAGGGACTGGGATACGACTGGAAAGGAGTCAGTTTCAGGGAAGCAGTTGGAATCACAATGTCTCCTTACCGTCGGCCAGCTTCTGTCTCCCACTCTTCCAGATCTCTCTGGGTGGGTAGCCCTCACAGACGACGGCATTCTTCTGGCAGTTGAGACATCTGCGACCACGTTAGTCAAGACCACTTCCAGCAGCAAGGGGACTCACGCAGGTTTTGTCTCGTCGCACTTCTTCTTGCGCCTGCGACAAGTGATGCAGCCAGTCTTGGAGCGACCTTTGGTGACTTTGGCACCTGTTGGCAACGGATGTTTGCGAGGTCGACCACGCTTCCGTGGGACGGCAGCGGGAGCGGCCGAGTCCCCCACCTCGGCTGGTTTGATGCTCAAGATATTTTCATCGATTTCCTCCACCTTGGGTACCTCCATTTCCTGATATACCTCTACTTTGTCATCATTCCATCCGGGAGAATCGGTGGAGGTATCATCAGGGCTGCTGCTGGTCGAGGTGCTGCCCCTCGGATGAGGGTAGTCCGGACCCTCGTTGATATTCGAAAAGAAAGTATGCATTGACAACATAAGCTGAGAAAATGAAGATGGGAGGGGATTCGTCGGATATAAGAGGGGGAAAGTGCTTGGTCCACCTGATCTAGGGACTTTTGGCAAAGAGGGGAGAATATAGTCTAATATAATCGAATAATAGAATAGTATCCTTATGTACTGCGAAAATCATTTTAACTTATGCGGGGGAGCCAAGCATGATCTGACGCCAAAGAGCAATACATTTTACGAGGCTGTGATTGTTCATTTCTTTTTTTTTTTTTTTTTTTTTCTTTTTTTGCTTTTTCACTTTGCCTGATCTGGGGGATATGTTGGAGATGCAGACGGCATGACGCGGGATTCGTAAGAGTAAAAACTGCCCCCTTGATCATTTCTAGACTAAACTTTCCTCTGCCTGTTTTCGAAATTGCTAAACTTTTTATACCGATCATGTGTAGTGACGCATGACGAACCATTCTAAGCTGAGCCCCCCACACTATACAAACTCAGACCGGAATGGGAAGACATTTCCAAGGCCTAAGCGCCCTCACATCCGTCAGATTTGAAATTTTCACAATCTGGGGTAAGTGGGCCAGATCGTCTGAACAGCACGGACATCCGCTGCAGGGAATCGACAAGGTTACAGACAATCAGTACGGTAGTATACGCAATTAACCGAGTGGTCTGTACGTGGACTACTACGAACAATGGACTTGGAGGAAAAGGGGTGGAATGTGGCGAGAGACAAAGTTCTGCCGGAGGACCAACAAGGAAACAGCTGTTTCTAGAGCCCGTTTAGCCATTTTGACCAGCTGAAACGGCCCAAGGTCACGCTAGGCTGATTTTCATCCCCCCTGCTAGTCTAGTTGCCTGGCCCAGGTACGAGCTTTTACGGGTTATCCACTTCAAAGCTGGCTAGATCGACATCTGCAAGTCCATTGGTACTTATTTAGGCCAATCGTGCTCTGCGGACTTTGATCGGATGGCTTACGGGGAATAGACTGTCGTCACTCTAAACAGTAGTTTTATAATTGATATTAATATCCGAAAGATGGGTCTCCAGTGTAAGGTTGTTCCCGTCCCAAGTGGGCCAAAGTATGTTCCCACACGGTCGCTGAGCAAAAAAAAAAAACTGACATTGACAGGGAATGCGGAGAGCGCAAGGGGGAATTGTATATGTATACAGAGCACACACACAGAGAGAGAGTTATACAAAAGTCCCAGAGTGCAGAGTGGGCCACCTGACCATCGCCCAACACAGCAGGTCAACCGAAGCTGTCTTTGACCTCTTCCTTTCTACCCAATCACTCTCTTTCCCTGCACACTTTCTCTGTCCTTCTATGCAGATGTGGGGGGGGGGGGGGGGGGCGTGATTTCCTAATTTAGTTGCATCCCTTCGGGCGTGCTCCGAGATGGCTTGACACAGGCACGCGGACCTGTACATCATTGTTTGTGTTCGCAGGGAAATCCCGCAGGTACATATGCGCCGTATGAGTCCACTATGGAGCTTCATGTATGGAGACCGACACGGAGACTAGTCTATGGAGACCCAAAACTGACTTTTTTGCACCCAATCTCCCTGGCTTATTACCAGCTCGCTCATTGGCCCTTCACAAAACAAATCCAATAAGACCGCTTACAATTGTCAGTTCAACAACATTGACGTCGTCGCTCAATTCGATCTACTGTCGGCCCAGCTCGGTCTTTCCAGCCCCAACGCCCCGGCGCGGAAGAAGCGGAAAACAAGGATAAGGGTCACATGGGGATCATCTAGAGGTTTCAGAATTGGGCCGTGAAAGGCTCGTCTAGGAACTTGCATCGGGGCATTACGAGAAAGAAATGAACGGTGAATGGGATTGTGTCGAGCAAAGTTGCAGAATATGCAGGCTTGACAAAAGGACCTATGCCAAGGCCTCTTACTTGGTTACTGCAAATGCCTGATTCGCGTCTCTTTGCCCAAATGGAAAAGGGATCGAGTTATCCCACTCCGGTGGTACTATTCAATATTTCTGCAGAAGTGTATGTATATATATGCACCTCCTACCTTCTAGGGCCAACTAAAGCCAGATCCTTTCCAGCAGCGAATAAGAAGGTGATCTTGGTTCGGCCGGGGATGCCAAGATTCACTCCATATGCTACTACTGTAGCACTTGGATCTTTGCTAGGATCCCAATCCAGGATACCGGGTAAATAGGAGGTGCAGACGCCTCGAAGTTTCATGGGAATGCCCTGTCCCGCGGAGATTGGGTTGTCTACGGACCATTGGGAAAGCTTGCTAGCTGCGTTGTGGCACCAGTCGCTTTGGGTCACCTAGTGTTGTTCGCGTTCGAAAATTGACTGTTCGCACCCGAGAAAGTCAAATTGGTGCTTTGGAGGCTCTTTTGCGCTCGCTTACGGGCCCCTAATTGTTGTTAGTAGCCACGCTGGGATTGCCGAAGCTCGAAGGATTTTGCCCCTGTTTTGTGGCGCTTCCGAGTGATCAGACATCTTAGGCCCCCAAGCCTAGCTGAATGCTATTCATGTCTAAGTTTGGTTTCTGAACTTGGATCTCTATTCAACGATGACCTCACTTGCTCTCTAACGGGTAGATCCGAAGTGGGCCTGAATCCTGCCTTATCGCATCGCAAAATATCATGTATGAATCTGGGCAAGCGATCGGTTAATCATGCGCATAAAGTGGAAAGCACACGCTATTTGCAGAACTTTGAAAGTATATCGCGCAAGTTGTTCTTATCACTGTTGACTGATACAGTATAGATACACATGACAAGCATGGAAACCATAGCCGGACAACCCTCTCTTACGACCGAGCAAGACAGACACAGCACTTTCTTGTCAACGAAGACCAAGTATCTGCTTCATGTTACAATCACCATACCCAGGACAGAATCGACACAATTTGTGTTTGATAGGGCAGTGTCATCGGCTACAGATGATTTTGAGATAGTAACATCGAACGACCAAACTTGCCCAATCGATTTGAATCAATGCGTGTTTAACCCTTGTGAGGACCCTGCATCGGTTGCGGCATAGCCATGAAAGCGTTAACAGAAGGGTGACTGTTGCGCTCGAGATTCTGCAAGTGCACGTGCGTCTTGTCAAGGCTATGACTTTGCACATGCGAGGATGATGTACCGGATGCATTGCTCCAGCAAAATGTCTCAATCATACAAACTGTTAAGCACAAAATGCATCAAGATGGATATTCGTTGCCTGCATGTAGCGATGCTTTGCTATGCAAAGTTCCATTGAATCAAAGCTTCGGAGAGAATGGAGATAACGAACCGCGTCGAACGACGACTTGACCACCAGAGCCTTACTACCATATTAATGAGCAATCACTACGAAGGTCCATCAGACTCACGTTTGTAGGCTTACGATCTGATACTCTCATAAGGGGGTCTTACTCACTTTCCAATTTAGGTTGCTGACATGACGGTAAGAATGACTCAGAGCATGTCATTATTCCGGGGCCATGTCCCGGCGTTGTTGCTTACTTTGGCAACGCTGGTAGAGCTGTGGAATTGCTCGTCCAACGGCGCCCAGAGAAGAATGTTGGCTCGGGCCCGTTGGTCACTGGCAGAGGAGGTCACCTCATGTCGGTATGGGAGGTGGTTGAGTTCGTGGCCGAGGAATACACCTGCAGTGGTCGTTTTAATGCCACAGTAGTTGATCGAAGCTATATTCTTGTTCCTGTGCGCCCAGACAACTTAGTCCATCTCCTGCAGAGGTCGGCAGAGGACTCGAAGTCCACGGCTATGCTGCGGCTCTGGAAGTTGTTCCCGTTGTAGCTCTGTGAGACTGGCTTGGTGCCTGGTAGGCTTGCAGCTTATGATGAAGAGATGTAGCTGACCTGGATATAGGAATCACCGTGGCTACTTCTGCGCCAGATTCAATGCAATAAATGTCGCGCGGCTGCCTTGGGGCTTGAAGAATTGATAGGTAAAGGTGTCTATGGTAGAGTCTGTGAGGGCCACGAGAAAAAAATTTGGTCGACTAGTTACTATGAAGGTTCTAGGGAGCTTACTACTGCCATCAGACCAAACCCATTCAGCCAACAAACACTATTTCTGTGCTACTGAAAGGAAGTGATGAATGCTATGCCTCTTGCTAGTTTATCGATATAACTTGACTGTACTCTCAATTTCACTCTCACCTTGATTCTGACTTCTACTCTCACTATAATGAGTATTAATATAACGGCGGCATGGAGTAGGCTAACACAGGATAAGATCCTTTTATCCCGGTAGTATTCATAAAACAGGTTACCAAAATGCTACATAAACGCAATTCCAATAGCCCAAGAGGCCTTGCTAGTCCAGTAGCTCATTTTCAGAGGTACCCCCGAGTGTTAATGTGATTTCCAAGAGGAAATCATCATCAACGACATGAAGCCCGCTCAGGATGTTTGCGCCGCGAGCAAGGACATGCTAGATACCGTTGGCCGCAGCATCGCAAATCGCCGTACGAACGTTTCTAACCAAGTCTCTCCTGAGATTATGGGAGATACCATCGGTTCCGAGCCGGCTCCTCGGCACTTTTACTTGCATCTGCCTCTGCCTGGATGTCCTGATACCTGATACGAAGCTTGACACCGGCAGTTGTCACATCAATTTCCAACCTGCCATGGTGCGCCCCAGTGATTTCTAAGTGTACATCCTCGGAAAGCGTATCATTGCTGCCCGTGCTCGCGGAGCTGCATGGCCTTATGACTTCAATCTGGCCGGCAACGTTGGGCCCGCCAAAAATTGCGAATACGCCATCGGAATTAAAAGAGGATTTACAAATCACCCTGGAAGTCCTTCTTCAGTCGGTGTATGTACTCAAATCCAGTCTCCGTCGCTGCCCACGACCAAGCACTTGATAATGTAGGCGGGGTCAGCGATGATTTCTGGGAAGCCAGGACCAGGTCGACGATCGCCTCTATGAACTCCTACCTGACAAGCAAATCGTCCAGCACCTCTTCGGTTGTTCATGGGCGTGGGTTCTCTTCCCCCTTGCGCACAAGCTGGTAAAAAGCTCTTCTTTCTCGCCACTTCTTTGTCTGCTGGACGTAAATATTCTGTCCAACGTCATGCATCGCCTGGTTCAATCATGCCAGCTTCGTTGAGAAGGAGGCAATGGCTGGGTTGCGCAGGGATACCACCGAGACCACGAAAGGCAACCCCGAAGAGTCATAAACTAATCCATGAAGATATGATGTGATATGAGAACAAGGGTGCCATTCTCAACATTGAAGAACCAAAGACAGCTAGCCTTAATTAGAGAATTTCGCTCAACCTCATATCTACCAGTGATGTATAGTTATATCTTTTTTAGAACCTGATCCTGATCTCTGCGTAGTGCTGTTTCCAACGCCTCGGTACGTCGTTTAGTTTGCTCTACGTTTTGCCGACGGGGAGCAGTTGCAACGCCAAAGCCTTCGCGGGAATGAGCGTGGAGAGGAGAGAACAGGATATGTAGAAGGTGCTCGGAATGTGGGGAGGCACTCTTCAATGGTTTACAAGCCTGTATTCTCGCGAGGAAAGACTTAGTAGTGACTTTTTAGAACAAGAGAGAAAAGAAGACAAGGACGTGGTGAGAAATACAAAGCGGAAGAGCAAGATATTGGGAAGGATCAGGAGAGGTGCGAGAAAGAGCCTGGGAAATTGTAGATGTTGGAAGCGTGACTTCCAACATCACTTTGAGAAACCGACGTGTGTTCTTCACAAGCGCGCCTTGTACAAGCATGACAAGTCAAATTTAGAGGATGAAATCACTCTGCAACTCTCCCCATACAGCAAGGATAGAAATTCCAGCACGATCATTGCCCCCAAACCAAGATACACAACAAGAATCTCCAGTCTACTATATTCTACAAAGAGAAGAATGAGAGACAAAGCAAGTCAAATTTGACAAAATACAAGTAACCCACAGCCGTTACCCGACCATATAATACCGATCCCAATGCATAATGTATGAAAGCAGGACCCATACCCATAAGCCATGACCATGACCCGATCACACGAGGAAAAAAAAGGAGAAAGAGGAAGAAGAAAACATGCAAAGTGCCCCGGTCCATGCAAAATGCTAATAATGACAAAGAAAAGCAAATGGAGTAGAAATAATAGACAGGAAAAATATGGATATCACTGGAAACAGCAATTCGAAGGAAGGCTTCTCCTGAGCGAAAGACGAGCAGAGTAATAGCAACAGCAACAGCAACAGCAACAGCAGTAAGACCTGACTCGGTGGATGACTGGATCAACCAGGTGGATGAGTCGGAGGTATTCCATTCTCTTCTAGTGATTTTGTGATATATAGACCGGAAGGCAGTTCATTTATGCGATGAAAGCCCGGTCTAGCTGGCGCAGGGCTCTCATATCCTCGCCTCCGAATCCGATTTTCTCGTTCGGGATGTCGCGCGGCCCCTCGCCTGATGTTCCCTGGGCGGGTGCTCCGTTCGCGCTTGCCACAGCACCCGGAGGGGGTGGTGCGGTCGATGCGGAGAGAGGAGCGAGGGCGGCGCCGTTCATCAACGAGCTGATACCTGGGACTGCGTTGCCGGTACTCGGGTCCAAGGGCTTTGGTGGTGTGCCGATGGGGTTGAGAGGCTGCAAGGCGGGGTGCTCCTGTTTCGGTATGCGGGGGCTGTGTGTGTGCCCGTTCGGTTGTACTAAGGGCTGCACTGGTACTCGCGGTGATGAAGCGACGCGCGGGTCGACCATCGCATGCCCGTATACCGGGGGACTTCTTTGCTCATGCTGGTCCTGCATTGTGCGCGGCGACCGAGTTACGTAGGGAGGGGGACCACCTGGTAGCGCCTCGACATGAGGCGGCCGGTCATATGGGCCGGGGATCCCGTGTGGAGGGGGTGGGAGGTTAGAGTGTTGATGGGGCGGCAGCGGCGGCGGTTGGTGGTGTTGTGGGCCATACGGGGGTGGCCCAGCGGCTGCCATCGGGGGAAGATATTGGGCGCCATAGGGAACTGAAACAGTAGGGGGCGTGGCTAAGGGAGTTGGGGGCCATGCATAGCCTTGTGGGAATGGGGGTGCATGGGTGGCGCGCTGGTAAGCGCCTATGGGATGAGGCGTAATAGGGTAAGAGGCACCCTGCATGGGTCCCCGAGTGACTACTGGCAGATTTTGTTGGTCGTTCACAGTGGATTCCGGGTAGAGACCCTTTTGCGGGCGAACATGGCGCAGTGCGGGATCGGTAGTTGGTTGTTGTAGGTTAGCGGCAGATGGGTGAGAGCGCGAGTAATAGCTGATCAAATGGAGGTGTTGGCCGTTGGAAGTCGTGATACTGAAAGACTGCTTCATCAGGCCGTCGGGCTTGTATCGATACCCATCTGGACCCTCATCTGTCCCGTCGCCTCGGTCTTCATCGCTGCCCCGGCTCTCGGGTGTCTTGCCCCCTCGTTGTAAAGAGCTCTGGGCGACACCACCTCCACGCTTGCCTTCCATTTCCCGATAAGTCAAGAAGCTCCCCGACACACGACTGGCGCTCCATGACTTTCCGTCGGTCCATCGTCGCATGCCCGCTTCGCGCTCATCCCAGACAAAAACCGAGCCAGATCGGATCGACTGTCGTTCTTTTTCTGAAAGTCGTCTTTGAACTCGTGGTAAAAGGCCGATGCGACAAGCCTCAAATAGAATAATAGCGTCCGCAGGAGTGCGGACGTGCCCGTAATACGTCTCCATCCAACCTCTCGAGTCAAGCGACCCGTATGCTTTGATGGCCAGATTTGAGGGGAAGTGAAGAAGCTATGAGTGTTAGGAGGTGGAAGTGGAGAGAAAGAAAATAGGGTTCAGGTGATATAAAAGGAAATCCAGTTGTATGGGGTAGGCTGAGTTGACCGATAAATCCGAGCCCAACCCGGTTAGGAGATTTTTTTTTAAAAAAAAATCTTTTTTTCTCAAAATGGAAAGGGGAAGCCTGCAGAGATTGTGCTGTGGGAAGACAAGGGAGAGCCAAGGATACAAAGAGAAGGGGACCTTACAATACTCCACTGATTTAAACTAGAGGGAAAGACAGGAAAGACAGGATAGCAAAGAAGGAGAGGCTCTCTTTTATTCAGGGTGAACTTTATAAAAAGACAAAAAAGAAGGTTAAATAAGAGAAGCGGAGAGGCCAAGCGATCCAAGCGAAAAGATCGGAACTTGCTAAACGCCGAGATTTCCTTGTAATACGGTGGAGCTAGAGAAATTAACTTATGCATGGGAACCTTGGGATAGGTGACTGGGGGTGGCGAGTGGCACAGTCAAGATACAGTATAAGCCAAGGCATTCCATAAAGGAGAGAGACCTTGGAACCGACCTTGGCTATATGCCCTTCATTCTCAAGGGTAATACAAATACAGAAAAGAGAAATCAGAAAGAAAAGGCAGCAGAAAGAAAATGTGAGCTGAATAATAAGGAAAAGGTTCTGTGTCAGAAAAGTGGCGCTCTGATCGCAAAAAGAAGGTTAGTGCGCAACTCTTAAGCTTAATCCAACACGAGGAGGCCGGCGCTGAACTTTATGCTCGCTTACAGAGGCCTCCACGCTTGGCGTCTAGGCTTCTTGGTATTATTATTTATTATTTCATAAATAAATATTTACTATTAAAATCTAAAACGGTAATTAACGTGAGAAATCCACTCTGATTATTAATATGCGGTTCTGTCCGCCTTGCACTTTATCCCTTGGATACAGTTATATCCGATGTTAAAACAGTGTTCTAGACTGTAATTCAGCCACAGTGGCCATTCCTTTTCCTCGTGACTCGTACTCGTATTGTTTGTTTGAATTCTAACGACCACAAAGCTTGAGGTACTAGTCTAAGTGGAATGTGTAGGACTGTATTAGTAGTTGACGTACATTAATAATGTAAAAAGCCACGTAATACAATCACCCCAAAGTCTTCGCTTTCTCCGATGATTGGCTCCCTCGTATACCAATAAACAATATGAGGCTTGCATGACTTATTTATCTTGTGCAGCCACGATCAACCCAAGATTTGACTGAGTCGTGGCTGACACCTTGACTCAGCGATAAGGTTAAATGTTTCCCTAGCCTTGTGGGCTCTCTTTTTTTGGACACCATATCCTCTTTTCGGCGCACAGACTGAGCGTATCGCCAACAAAGCCCCGTTGCATAAGTGCCACTCTAATAGGGTTCGGGGGCTGGTTAACCTTGGCAGCTGATATTTCTCCTTGGCTTGAGACCGGGGGTCCATGTGTTTGACTCTGCAGTGTCTCACATGGCGCCTTCCAGTGTGACCTGACATTGCCGTGATCCGATCTTCCGTCTACCAGGTCTACGGAGTCTGTGAGGTGGTACCGTTGAAACAAGCTCGAGTATGGTTTTATAACGATAAGACTTCCAGGTTTACTACTTTAATATAAACTCCAAGGGTCCAAGTTTCAATCTCAGCTGATCATTCCAAGCTCGCCTAGCGGACACGATCATTGGCTGTCCCAATCCGAAATAAGCATAACAGGACCACGAATCACCACATGTCTCCCTTACGCGAAGTTATGCATCCGATGCGAACCTCTTTTTTTCCGAAGCTCAGACCTCTTTTATTTTTTACATGTCTGAAGATCGTCTGAATCCACTCAACGGGATCCCGCAAGTTTTACTAGAATAGGATAGTGCGGTGTCTTTCATTTCCCCGATAATAAATTTAGGTACAGTACTGTATATCGGTATTCCATAATGACATCCGAACCTAACTTATAATGCTACGTACATCATGTATCCCTACTGTACTGACCTCTGTACAGTAATTGACCTGTCAGAGCAGAAGCTTGGCCCCGATACGATTGTAGGCTCTATCCGATCATCCGAGCCCTCCTTTTTGTCTGGTGGATCTCGCTCCACAACTACTGCAACTATATCACCCGAGCCCTTGCGGGCTAAGCCGACGGTTTTGCCTACCGGTTCGTGCTTTTCTTTATTATTCATTTCAACTCCGAACTCCACAGGAATTAACACATAATCTCCGATCCGTAGTCCTACAGCAATTAAATATAATTAAAGGTTGCCAAGAACTACTTTTGTGAAACGTCACACGAGCTTATCTCCACTAGCATAGGTAAGGTAGGGAATGTTTGTTTTTATTGCATATTAACTTCCCGGGTCTCATTTTAGCTACAATGCTGGTGCCTACAGAATGACAACATTAATCCCCTCAACTCTTGGCCCCAAGAGTCTCCGACTGCCATGAATGGCCGTGAATGGTGCCTGGACTTGGTGCCAAGCCAGATGGCGCCAATGTTAGGTGGCGCCCTTGACCCATGGCTGGTCCTGGTTGTCATCGAAGTCTAAAATCCAGTTTTCCCCTTACGAACCATGGTGGCTTGGCTTTCTTTAACCGTTTACCTTTATTTCTCGTCTTACTTTCGGAGAGTTTCCAAGCCGAATACGAGTTCTTGCTTTACTTTTGTATTAACTTAAATTCACTGATTCTAGTTAATCATTATGGCATTCTGCCTGTGTACACATCGCAATGTGATACGTCAGGCTAGGGATGTACTGCATGACTCGTACAAGGCGGACAGTGCCCGAACTTCTTTTGCTTATGCTTAACCCTGGTAAGGTTGGGGCCCCTTGGCCTGCTGATCCTGACCTCCTTATTGGTAAGATTAGCTGAGTCTATTACTGTGCAGTAGATGAGGGCTGTGCTTCACGCTGTATTCCGTCAGCATACAGGATAATTACTACAATGTATTCTCGCATACAGACTGTAGACATAGACATAGACTGTATAGATGAAACCTCGGCTCAATAAGTGACACCCGAAAAGCCAAAACCGAGTCCAAACCCACTTGGAGCCCACGTTTTCTAACGGAGTACGCCGAATCTCGTTAAATCCGACTCTATATTACCGTCGATATTACAATATCCCTCTTATCTGTTTTTTTTTGGGCCTCCGAGTGCCCACTAATTTGCATCATCAAAGTGCCCTAGTGGCCCCGCCCCAGTTTTTTACATTCATTCTATGGACGCCTCGTTCCAGACTACAGTGCTTGGCTTTGCTTGGGGCCCGAGAGGTCCGGCGCATATTTCAGTTTATTTCGCTGATAGGATCTGCTTTCCGGTTTTACTGTATGGAGTATCTACACTTACATGCTGTGCGATACCCTACCTGAGCCATACGCACATACTGTATGCACTTGCATGTAGTCCAAGTCCACCGGTCTGGATTAGAGCTACTGCTACATCGTGAAACGATCGTCCCTGTATCTCGACACTAATGTAGCAGACAATCCTTCTGAAATCCAGTTTCGCCAAGCCTATGCCTATTGCCATGATTGTTTTCGCCCCTCCTTCATTCCTTCCGTCCGTGCTGTGCAGCAGTTTCGTATACGCCTGATCATCCCAGTACCATACAGTACTCAGCCTTGCGACCATATGCCGCAGACATATAAATAAAAATCCAGAATTAAAGATATACTATACAAATGCCCAACCCGTCAGCCTTAACTTAACTCTGAACCCATGTAACGTCGCAGTTTAATATTAACTATATATTTGCCTCGGGATAGAACCGCCGACTCTCCGTGTCTAGTACGTAAAAGTAAAATAGCTTAAACGAGAACGAGAAATCCAACCCCTGTCAAGATTAATATTAATCCTTCTGCGTATTGCGTACTCCTTAGTGCTAGTGTCATCACCCTTGGGCCTTTTGCCTTTGGGGGCCTAGGACGGTCACTAGAGTGGGATGGACATTGGGGCCGGGTAAACATCTCGGAGTCCCTGTATGTGTAAATCAAGGCCGGGGGGCCGGGCGCTCCCGGTGAGCATATGCAAGCTCTGTTTTAGTGTCTGTACACAATATGTGTATGCATTCACAGTATGAGACTTGTATTTCTGGCTAGTCGCAAAGTGGGCATATGGCGCGGTGGAGGCTCTGGAAGGCTCTGGTGGCGGATTTGACTCCATATATGGTTCTACTTTGGGCTTGGGTTGCTCTATGGCTTTGTTTCTAGGGTGTTTTTGTGGGTTTTGTCTTGCTTCATTTATCCGCTGACTAGATTGCGTGACTTCGATACTTGCTTTTTCTGCTTTGTGATTCGCGTTTGGGGTTGGGCTTTGCTAAATGGGTAAATGCACCCGGGTGAGCTTTATCTGAGCTTGAGCTTCTGAGGCGTCCGATGCAATGTATATAGATACATCAGTTCGTGTCATATACGTCTATACTTTCTTGTTTTCGTATCGGCGCTATTTCAGACAATTTTGGCTCTGATAACAATTTAATTCAATTTAAACGGTGGTTACGAACGGGCCTGTGCCGGGCGTTCCGGTGCAAGCTGGCCTCTTCTCTTCTCTATGATTGAGCTACTGATAATTTTGTGGCGTTTGTGCAGGCTGGCTAAACTTGTTTATGAACATTGTCGAATGACTGGTTATATTCAACTGGAGATCCAAGGTTGTATAGAGCACAGTATTCGGGATGGAATTTAGGTCAAATCAGCTATACTACAAGTGGCCTTATGATGCGAGTGTCGTGCACTAAATCATAGAACCAACCAATACCTCGCTTCTGTCGGGTTTACTTGTTCTCCTATCAATCTCCGTACTCCCGGTTTTGATGCATACTATATTACAAATCTATCATACAAGTTAATCTATGCACATCAGCAATCCGCGCGACCATAGTATCTTGGGAAAGAAACAATATCCCGGACACTAGAAACGCCACTCAAGTATCCCAAGAACCGATCAAAGCCAAGTCCATACCCTCCGTGAGGAGCAGAGCCCCAGCGTCGGAGGTCAGCATACCATTGAAGGTGACTCAGATCCTCGGTAGGAGAAAGATGAGGGTACAGCGACTCAAGCGAGGCTTCATTCCCCTCGAGAGCCTCTCGAGCTTTAATCAAACCGTGTTCACGCATGTTCTGGATAAGTTCGGGCAAACGGTGTTCACGCAGGGAACCCCCGGCAACCTCACTGACCTCAGGGAGAAGGAGATCGAAACATGCCACCGTCTCACCCTGAGTGTTGGATCCTTCAGCGATCTGCGAAGGCGCCATGTAGAACGGTTTGACGGATTTCGGGTAGTCTGTAACGAAGACCGGACGGCCCTGGTGGAGCTCCTCAACGATGTACTTTTCGTGCTCGAGCTGAAGGCCTCCATCCCACGTTGGGGGATGTTCGAACGATGCCCCCTTCTCAGTAATAGCACGCTGCAACATTTGCACGGCTTGGGTGTATGTGATGCGGTCCCATTTCGGGCCATCCATCAAGTCAGTCCATCGTTTACGCAAAGCGTCAGTCCCTTCAACGTTGGTTTCTTGTCCTGGCTCGCCAGACCGCTTAGCCGACAGGATCTCCTGGCCCACTGTAGTATTATATAGACGGCGCGTCAAATCGCGTAGCATGTGTTCCACCAAACCGGTAAGTGACTCGAGATCGGACATGAAGTTGACTTCGGCTTCGAGCATGTAGAACTCGCTGAGATGGCGCGGTGTGTCACTTTTCTCGGCCCGGAATACTGGTGTCAATGTCCAGACATTACCTAAATCTGCCGCATAGGCTTCCAAGTGCAATTGCGACGACACAGTGAGGTATTTAGGTGCTCGGAAGAAATGCTCATTCTCGGGGCTGGGCGTAGCAGCTGCACCGCGCGGTGCTAACGTGAAGGTCTCACCTGCACCTTCACAGTCCGAGGATGTGATGATTGGAGGTTGAACCTGGGTAAAGCCGCCGTTTGGGTGGGAGTGGAAGACATTGCCAAGCTGGAACATGCACTCGGACCGGAAGCGTGCGAGGAGGGAATTGAAGGGTGTTCGGATGCGAAGATGGGGGATCTGGCGCAGAAAATCGGGGCTGTGGTATTTCTTTTGGATTGGGAACGTCTGCGATCAGAGATAACATGGTCAGTTGATCTCTAGAGTTTGGAATGGTTGAAGATTGACTCACCTCTGGGTCTGATGCGCCGACAACCTTCACCTCGGTTGTTTGAAGCTCATGAGTCTGCTCCTTCCCTGGTGGACAGGCCTTCCATAATCCTGAGATTTCGACAGCTGTTCCGGTTGATAAACTAAAAAGGTGTCCGAGTTAGCTTTGTTTGATGAAAGGGATCGCAGCTCTCGCACGGAGTCAAACATACTCCGCTGCTTGCGCAGGTTTTAGGATTGCCTGCATTGGCTCCACAGTCGAGCCATCAGAAATCTCCGCGAAGGCAAAGCGCTTCTGTTTCCGCACGCTGCGGATGAAGCCGTTCACTTTGACTTCTTGGTCTTCGAAGCTGCAGGTCCCGCCTTTGCTAGATTGCAGGATCTGGGCGCATCTCGAAACAGAAGGACGAGTCTTTGAGCTGTTGCTAAGTCTAGCAACAGAAGTAACGAAGGACCGTCGCCATATCTGCATTGCTGGAGCAGTTGAGGTTGGATGTTCGGAGATTGCGGGCAAGGGAAAACTTATCGTCCGATTAGCATTCCGCGCTAGTTGCTACAAATCCTTATACTTGTCCTATTTCTTAATATCTATGTTCAAGATATTGTATCGCAATTAGAGAGCAAGAGTTGAATTCCCCACGCTATAGTGGTCACAAACTGAGTATTCATATTAAATTTCAAGGTTCCAGTAACGCCAAGCACAAAATAAAAGAGTGTCTGGTACATTTTCAATCCGAAACATTAAGTAACTGGAAACCCATGGATCAATGTGAAGAGCGTCGTTCATAAGCACTTCTTTCTTCCTCAATCATATCGATCGCATCCAGGAGGCTACCGTTGGCCGCAGCCGCATATACGGCCATCCTGGATCGTCCACCTTCCTGCTCAGTTCCGAAACCCATATCGATGAGAGCGGATACACACTGTTCAACTGCCTCTGAAGACTGCTCGTCACTCAAGTCAGCTGTAGGCAGCGCCGTTTCCTCGACCGGGAATCCACCAGGGACCTGTTGACGAGAGAAAGATCTTGTTCGTTCTCTTCTAGAAAGCCGCGCCCATGTATCTCTCTCCACGGAACGAGCACTTGGCCGGCGTTCCTGGCGTTCAGTTCCCCGACGCTTCAGTGAGGAGTCTGAGGGTTCATTGCTATCTGCTGCTGGGCGCATGACGACCATGGTGTTGGAGTTGCCATTTGAGCTGTTGTGGCCCAAAGGTCGTCCAGTATCGATCACTTGCAAAATGTTGCCAGCTGCATCCTTGTTGCTGGCAGATCGAGTCTCCCGAGTAGGATCTTCGGATCCATTTGACCGGCCAGCGGTGGATGGTACTTTTGGGGACTCTTGCTGACCCGTAAGAAGAAGAGCGTCCATTTGAGACACCGGTGGGAACCGCGGTATTTCCATTTCCTTCTCCGGGTTCACAGATATTCCTTCGGCATTCGAGAGGGCGTAAGCCTGTTCATTCTTCACTGGTTGGAGCGAGGGAAACCGTGCGCTGAACCCAGGGTCATCGCTTGGAGAGTCAAGCAACCCGGAGGCGTCCTTCCCGGAAGAGTGAGGCCGACCAGAAACAGTGCCAACATCAGCCGGGTTTTGCAAAAAGCTGACGGACTTTCTTCGACGGTTTGCCCTGTTCTCATGCCTTGGCCGAGAGGCGCGTACACTCGATCCGCCGCAGGATCCATTCTGGACTGCACGCACCTTTTCGGTGTTTGGGTGGTGCATGCCTTCTAGGTTGATAGCGTGACCGTCGATAAGAGCACCTTGCAATGCTTCCATTGCAGCGAATGCTGAGTGAGACCCAGGGAAATGGACATAGCCAAATCCTGCGTGTTGTCCCGATGCACTATCCATCGGAAGGTCAACCTCGACGATAAAACCCTTGGAAGCAAACACGTCCTGAATCATCTTTTGAGTGACCTTGAATCCGACGTTTCCAATAAACAATGACTTAGTTTCCAACCCTTCTGAGTTTACAAGGTTGGCTGGAGCTTGTCCTGAAATAGGCGGCCCGTTGGATCTGGACGGTGGGAACGCAGGTGGCCATTGCGGCCAGGAAGGGAAACTAGGGGGCTGTCCCAGTGGTACCTGATAATAGGGACGACGAGACAGGTCCGGTGAAGGTGGAAGATAATATGGAGGAGGAGGGTTTTGATGAAGATACTGATGATATAGACTAGGTTGCATGGCAGTGTATGTGCTCCCAATAGATTGGTAGTGAGCAGATGGCGGAGGTCCACATGAGCCTTGAGAAGAGGCCGGGGGATTCGATGGAGGAAGTTGGTGACTCCCGTTGATATCCGAAGAGCTCCAATGACCCGAACCTGAAACCGGTGGTTCCTCGTTCATTGGCGAGGGCTGCTGCACTTCTGGAACCTGGGGATAGATAGGCCCTGACGAAGCAGGCCTATTTTCTGCAGCATTAGCATTGATATCAGATGTCCCAGGTACACCAGAGCTTGGTGCTCCAGATGTGGAAGGGGGAGCGGGGCCAGCGCGCCCGAACTCGTTTTCAAACGCGGCGAACAGTGTTCTTCCGACCTCGTTCAGTTCTGAGGCCATCATGCGCAGCCCGTCAGCGGCATTCTCCGCAACAGGTCTTCCCCTCTGGAACGCATCTTCTGCGAATTGTCTCCCACCATCAGGTATATTATTAAAAGCAGCTCTCAGTTGAGCCTCAAGGGTGTTGAGTAGTGTGCGCAATGATGCTTCGACATTTGCAGGGAGGGATCTCTGTGCAGTTTCAAATTGTCTTTGTGCATTATGTAGCTGACGCTGCAATTCTGGCAGTCGTGCCCTCCATTCAGACTGAACCATGGTGGCTCCATTGATCAGCTGGTCGAGCACCTGGGCTGCCAGGACCTCAACGGGATGAGTGGGCCGTTCCGATGATGTACTGGCTGATGGTTCGGCAGGCTGTGGTTCTGGTTGAGATTCTCTGGCACCTGAGAGCTCAGCAGCGTTGAGAATGCCTGCTAGCTCTACCTCGAAGGCTTCCATCAAAGACCGGGATTCTCCTTGGGATGTCGGTGGCGAGGTTGGACCAGTAGCGGCAGGGACTTCGTTTTCATGAATAACAGCCTGGGGTGCAACTGGCGCATCGCTTTTCACATCCTCAGAAGAGCATTGTTCTTTTTTCTCGCACTCGTATCGCTTCCAGAGCTCTGAAACAGAGTTCGAACGACGAATGTCAAATATGTGCATCGGAGTGGCGTCATGGGATAATTGGATGGATTCGAGCCGCGTGCCGATCTCTGGAGGCTCTTCAAGGCGCTGAGAGAGCTCAAGACCAGACCCGACCTAGAGCAAATGATTAGGTTTGATGTCACCCCATAGCAGGATACGCGTCGTAGACTTACTGTAATAGTTTCATCATCTTCATCTTCATCCTCATCGGTGTAGGTCAACCTGGCGCGTGGGTGAGTAGTCGCCAAATCATCATAATCGGTAGATGAGATCTGGACGACCCCAGAAGAAGGACAAGAGTCTGCAAGCTCCCGCTTAGACACCCTGAGGTTTCTGATCTGGAAAGGCTTCAACATGGCGGGCGTGAACCCTGGATATCAGGGTCTGGTGGAGAGATGTTACGGATCAAGGGAATAAAAATTAGTGGAGATGATAAAAGATATGGAATTATGATGCCTCCAGGGCTATTTGGGAAACGTGGGTTATGGGTTATCAAAAAGAAAAGATTCAGACTGGTATGTTGCTGCCTGTGGCAAAAGTGATCATTTTCCAAATATCCTGGAAGATCCCCTGCGCAAAGGGGAGAAATCAAGACAAGTGAAGTGGTCTCAGGCAACAGGATAAGCGCCACATGAAGCTCTCCCCGCTCGCATCACATGACCACCTTGGGTTTTCGCGTTCGCCTGGAATTTGAGGCCTCCATTCGCGCGATTCCCGTCGAGGCAACGACAATGGATTAATGCCATTCATCTCGTATATATGGTCCAGATGTCTGCGCGACTGACCTTCCTCTCTCTTTCCAAGCCCCCGACCGGTTGAAAACTCTCATTTCCCGCGATAACACCAATGGCCGGACCATTGGAGACGGTACACTGCATAAGAGCTCTCGAAACATAACAATTCGACAACTGTACTCCAGTGTCGTGTGCCACCCAATACAACAAGGATATAAATGGCGACACCAAAGTCTGCGCGATTGCAGACCCCAGCAGATCGCAATCTCAGCAACGTCGTGCTGGGAGACCTCCTGTTCAAGCCTTGGAATCAATCAATCTACCCCGAAGACCTTGTCGCCAAAGATACAGATCGACTCTATGTCTGCCGCTGGTGCTTCCGATACTCATGTGAAGAGGATATTTTCACCGACCACAAACGCGCCTGTGAGCATCGCACAACGCCCCCGGGCACAAAAGTCTACGACTACGGCGGGTACGCAGTCTGGGAAGTTGATGGAGAACACCATAAACTTTTCGGACAAAACCTTTCACTGTTCGCCAAACTGTTTCTCGATCACAAGACTGTTTTCTTTGATGTTTCAACTTTCCTTTACTATATCCTCACATACACCGACCCCAATGAGCCCGGCAGCTACTATGTGCTGGGCTTCTTTTCGAAGGAGAAGCTGTCTTGGGATGCGAACAATCTTGCTTGCATCTTGATTTTCCCACCGTATCAACATAGACAACTTGGAAAGCTGTTGATGGGGGTTAGCTATAAGCTCAGCGGTTGGGATTCGACCGGTGGATGTATCGGTGGGCCGGAAAAGCCATTGAGCGAGCTGGGCCACAAGAGTTATTCCCGCTTCTGGGCTGAACGGATTGCCAGATATTTGCTCCGCGGCAAGCCCGGCGACAATCCCCGAGAATCCAATCAACAGAAACCCAATTCTACCCCAAAGGGGTCCCGCAAGAGGCCTGTCCGCGAGACTATGACAGTCGAGGAGCTTGGTCTGGCTACTGGTATGCTCACTGAAGATGTGATCACTGCCCTCAAAAGCATGGGGCTGTTCGAACCCCAGGCAACTCCGAAAAAGCGTAAGAGCAACCGTACTGCCACGGAAGAGGAACCCCCACCGGGTCAGACGGTGACCATATCTAAATCTGATGTGTGGGAATGGGCGCAATCGCACCAACTCTCTCTGGAGGACCCTGTTAGCGAAAAAGGCTTCGAGGGACTATGGCCTATCGTGATCGTTTCTGCAGAGAGCGACGACAGTGTTCTATCGGAGGAAAATTAATTCAGCGAAAACAATTCGGTCGCGAATGTACGATAGTGTTTACTGAATTCTTAATGATGATAATGAGAAGCAACATGGAAGATGTGCATTTTTGAGTGGATTAGCTCTTCCTCCCAACTATGAGAGAATCGAGTCTATAACCTTGTTATTCTTTACATGAACCGCCTGCCTTCGTCATCGAGAGTGTGCATTACTCCTCCATACCACCGGGGCCACCCTGTTTACTCATTTGCCGAGCCTTGAGGAGCTCGTCACAAAGGAGAAGGTTGGATGCAATGCCCGTGCTGGAAGCGATACAGTTGCGAAGAACACGGAAAGAGTCGAAGACACCCTCCTGGACAGGGTCCATGGGCTCACCAGTGACCAGGTCCAGACCGGCGACGTTGCCATCAGTGGCCTCGTCCCAGAGAGAAGCAAGGGAATCTTGGATGTCATGGCCTGAGTTGGCAGCCAGGGTCTTGGGGATGATCAGAAGAGCATCAGCGAAGGCACCGACACCCCACTTAGCCTTGCCCTTCACAGACTTGTTGAACTCTGCTGACTTCAGGTGCTGAGCACATGCAACTTGGAATGATCCGGCTCCAGGAATGACGCAGCCATCGACAATCGTGTTGTAGACAGAGCGGAGACCGTCACGAACGGCATCCTTGACCTGGGTGATAGTGTGGCTGTTAGGGCCCTTGATGAGGATAGTCACAGACTTGGGGTCCTTGACCTCTTCCACGAAAGTGAACTTCTCCTCGCCAAGCTGGTGCTCGTAGACGAGACCGGCCCAGCCAAGAACATCGGGGCTAAGATCCTCGACACTGTTCTGGGCAGTTCCACCGCAAATCAGCTGCAGACGCTCCATGTTTCTGCGTTTGGCTCTCCGAAGAGCGAAGATGCCGTTCTTGACGAGGACATCCAGGCTCAAAGGATCAATACCCTTCTGGTTGATGATAACGAATCCCTTCTTGGGATCGTTTCCACAAACCTCCTTCTTAAGCTCCACAATCTTTTGCAACTTGGCGTCGACGAACTTGCGCTCGCTCTCAACAAGCTTATCTCTTTGCTCGGCGTTGGAGTAGTAGAATCCAGAGTTGATCTCGGACTTCTCGTATTCCAAGCTGACGTTCAATGTCAAAATGAAAGCGTTCTCCACCCGCTTAGGCATGTCGGGGTGTCTGGCACCGTGATCCAGGGCAAGACCGCGGATAAGCTGGGTATCGGAAGAGGAGCGATGTTGCATTGTCATAATCTCAACCATGTGCAAATCGGGCTTCTCAGGGGCTCTGTGGATGGCAAGGACGGCATCGACGATGTCGGGGGTGAGCTTCTCGGCGAGAGCACCGCTCAGCTTTGTGGAGAGGGAGGTACGGGCGACAGAAAGCAACAGCTCGCGGTCAATGGCACGCTCGAGCTTGAACTTGTCGAGGAACTATATGTCATGCGTTAGATCCGGCCCCCGGACCATGATTCGTGAACCACATACCTTCAGTGCCTCGGTCTTTGCAATTTCATATCCATCGGTGATAACACGGGGGTGCAGACCCTCACCAATGTGTCGGTCCGCTTGCTTCAGGAGCTCTCCCACTAGCATCACAACCGATGTTGTTCCATCACCGGTAATATCGTCTTGTGCCGTTGCAGCGCGGGCAATCATGACCTTTTCATTTCGTTAGTATCAACAAGGAGGTCTTTGAGGCAATTTTGTCTTACGGCTGTGGGGTTTTGGATTTGCTGCCAAATGTTAGCTCAAAAGCTCCAAGTACAAGGATTCTCAGGACAGGACGAACCATCTCCCGCAACAAAACATTTCCATCCTTAGTCAGTTTAATCTATCGTAGCCGTATCAGAATATTGTTGGTATCGTTCGAGAAGGGAAAGGGGAGTGCGTACTGCGCCTGCACCATCAACCAGCCTAGGTTTTATTAGCTTCATTGCCTTTGTATGTGGGGTGCATTTGTCGAATACTCACATCTTGAGAGTCCCAGAGGGGCCCAGGTTAGACTTCAACACATCTTGAAGACCTTCACCAGCGGCGATGTTCACTTTCAAGGCCTCTCCTCTCCGCTGCATGAAATGTTAGTGTGCGGGCACATTGAGGGGCCATCTGGGAGATATTTTTCCATACCCTCGACTCCGCCTTGGGGTTAAGTAGCTGAGTTGCAGACATCTCCCAGAAAATGAATGACAGGGAAACACGTCCAAAGACCAGAAATTTATAAATTAATGGATGGTCAGGGAGCTTGTCGGATGAGGGTGAGGCCCGCGTTAGGTCCGGCGAATGCGGTGAAGGCAGTTTTTGGCAAAAAGCCCACATTCACGGATTCGCACTAGCGGCGAAAAAAAAAGCTGCCGATTTCTCGACTTTGCCCATTTCCAGCCCGTCGCCAACACTCGCACCAGCAACCCATCGAATTGCACCTCAGAGTGTTTTCTGCCGGTGTTGCATACCTTCGGCCCCCTTTGAACGTGTTTTATCTGGTCTTGGGTTTATAACGATGGCCGACTTCCTCCTCTTCGAGGGCCCTATGGGCTACTCGCTTTTCAAGACCGTCCACAAGGGCGATACTGTTGGCAATGCCTTGAAGGAAGTTCAGGATGGTGTCAATGACCTTGCTAAGTTCGGAAAGATGGTCGAGCTTTCAAGTTTCCTTCCTTTTGAGTACGCTCCTCTTTGAAAAGGTTTTTTTCATGTTTTTTCATGGTCCATTAACAATGTTGCAGGAACAACAAGCAGGCCCTTGGCGAAATCAATGACATCTCCGAAGGTGTCGCATCCGAGACTTTGATCTCTTTCCTTGACTTGAACCTCCCTAAGGCGAACAAGAAGAAGAAGGTGGTTCTGGGTCTTGCCGATAAGGGTCTGGCAGGAAGCATCAAGTCCGCTTTCTCCCACGTCGACTGTGAGACCGGTGACACCAGCGAGATCGTTCAGGATCTTCTCCGTGGTATTCGTCTCCACGCTGGCAAGCTGCTGAAGCAGCTGCGTGACGGTGATATGGACACTGCCCAGCTCGGTCTTGGTCACGCCTACTCCCGTGCCAAGGTGAAGTTCTCCGTCCAGCGTGACGACAACCACATTATCCAGGCCATCGCCATCCTGGACCAGCTCGACAAGGCTATCAACACTTTCTCCATGAGAGTCCGCGAATGGTACTCGTGGCACTTCCCCGAGCTCATCAAGATTGTCTCCGACAACCAGCGCTACGCCCAGGTCGCTCTCTTTGTCAAGGACAAGAAGAATCTTACTGACGAGAGCCTGCACGACCTCGCTGCCCTCGTTGAGGATGATGAGGGTATTGCCCAGAGTGTCATTGATGCCGCCAAGCACAGCATGGGCCAAGAGATTTCTGAGGCCGACATGGAGAACGTCATCTCCTTCGCTGAGCGTGTCAACAAGCTCGCCAACTACCGCAAGTCGCTCTACTCTTACCTCGTCGCCAAGATGAGTGTCGTTGCTCCTAACCTTGCTGCCCTGATCGGTGAGGTTGTCGGAGCTCGTCTGATCTCCCACGCCGGTAGCTTGACCAACCTTTCCAAGTACCCCGCCTCCACTGTTCAGATTCTCGGTGCCGAGAAGGCTCTGTTCCGTGCCTTGAAGACCAAGGGTAACACCCCCAAGTACGGTCTGCTGTACCACTCTTCCTTCATCGGCCGTGCTGGCCCCAAGAACAAGGGAAGAATCTCGCGTTTCCTTGCCAACAAGTGTTCCATCGCTTCCCGTATCGATAACTTCTCTGATGCCCCTACCACCAAGTTTGGTGAGGCCCTCAAGGGTCAGGTCGAGGAGCGCCTGGAGTTCTACGCCTCTGGCGCTGCCCCCACCAAGAACGAGGTTGCCATGGTATGTTCAAACTTGATTTTCCTGTCTTGTGGATCAATGCTAACAATTGATAGAAATCCGCCATGGATGCCGTTCTGGCCGAACTTGACGACGTTGATGGCGACAAGAGCGACGAGGAGATGGAGGACGCCGAGGTTGCCGAGGCCAAGAAGGAAAAGAAGGAGAAGAAGGAAAAGAAGGACAAGAGCGAGAAGGCCGACAAGAAGAAGAAGAGAAAGTCCGAGGGTGGTGAGGGCGAGTCCGACAAGAAGAAGAAGCGCAAGCACGACACGGACGCTGAGCCCTCCAAGAAGAAGCAAAAGGCCTAAATGCGCTATTCTTTTTGAAGGGAGTCTTCGTCACGGCGTTTGGTTTGCTTTTGTCTTCATGAACTCGATGGGTACGGCTTGCAGGTATTTGTAAATTATTACCAGGCCTTTCGCCTCAGCAGCTCTGACTATCGCTGCTCTGATATTTTCCAATTTAAGTTTCAAGTTGTTATTCTTTACTTTTCTGCTTCCTCATACGAGGTCAAAGCCATTGTATACGACGATCATTGTACCCCACAGTCCGATTCAAGAATGTCCAATGACCAAACCCCTCTTCAGCCCTGATATCCGCCCTTGGCAAGTATTTGAATCTTCATTCCATTCTCTGGTGGATAAGCACATATTCACAAATGAGATCGGGAGACGCCCCCACTACTTCCGTTTCCAGTATGACGCCCACCCTATCTTTTTCTCCCAAGCGCAAACGAGAACCTTCAGAATCAGACTGCTATAGTCCCTCAGCTTCTCCGACATCCACAATTTCGACCGACAGTTTTCAAGATCCTCGTTTCCTAGAAGACGAGCTAGGGAGACATAGTCCGCAAGCCGCGGTAGCTGGACGTTTTGGAGAGTTGGCCATCCGTAGCGAGCTCCAGTCGGACACGGCAGCTTTCACCGACTCTCAGCAATCGCTTACTTCCTCCCAACTATGCGCATTTGACTGCACCGTGCCGCAGAACATGCCCGAAGCCTTACCGGCAAATAGCGAGTCTAGTGAACGCCAAGCGACGTTACCTGAAGCGCCCGCGACTCAATATCAACCCACTTCCTCACCCACTTCTCCTACAAAGAAGACAACTTCATTCTCTCAGAAGCATATCAATTCCTCGCCCTCCAAACGCAAGCCACGAGTGTCTCCCCCTCTTACAGCCACCTCTTCCGAAGACCCGCTAGTATGGCATGATTCCGAGATAACAGGCCACAACCCGTCCGACCCAAGTGACGATGGCTATGGTATCAACGGGATAGGCTTCAAACCCACTGCATCGATTGCATGGGCTAGGTCACAGAAACGACAGAAGCAAGTTACCGAATGGAAGAACCGTGAAGCCCGGGAGGCTCGTGAGAGACGGCGCGAGAGGAGGAGAGATGGCATCGAGCTCGACAAAATACACAGCATACATGACGGCGCAATCCATAAACGAGTCAAGTTCGACGTCTAGGATAGCACTAGGCAGTTTGCATCACTCAGTATCTAGATACCTTCCTTTTCTTCGGCGTTCTTTTCTCTGGGGCAAGCATACGGCGGTTCCTTCTTTTATATTGGACAATTAGCGTGAATGCGATGACTAGGTGGGTTATATGGACTTTGCAGACAGCTATGATACACGGACATGACTTTATGACATGATATGATGCCAACCACCCACCTGATCAGTTGATCGGACTATACAGTTTTGGATATCTCACAAACTCCATGACACCTTCTAATTAACAAGCGACACTACCAAAATTTGTAGTTGGAAGGGTTGGTCCAGCTCTTCTTCTTCCTTTCCTCCTCAGCAAGGCGCGCACGCAATGCTGCCTCTTCCTCCGCGCGATCTTTCTCGCCTTGTTTCTTGGCCTTCAATTGGTTCATGAGATCGAGTGCTTCCGCCATGCCGCTTAATTCTTGGATTCGTCGGTAACGGCAAAACTCATATGCTGCCAACGAGCTGATTGCGAACATGCCGACAGCCCAATTGCCCGCAGACCACAAATAGTAGCGTCCTACATGCACATATTAGCTCCATGGCCTTGTTAACATCACAGAACATCAGACTATACCCTTCAGCACACCACGTAGACCACCAACCCCGAATCCAACGCCAATTCCGGTCATTAAAGATTCACGGGCACACGGCCTCTTGTGAATGGTAGACAGTTCGGATAGAGATACTGAGCCGATAATCTCAGAGTATGATGCATCTTGAGGGTTCTTGCCTGGAGGCTTATATGTTGCTTTTGCGAGGGCGTTTGCGGGTTCTTCAGGATTCCCAAAAGCATCCCATAGCTTGCCGGTTTGTGACGACGAGGTCTCGTGTTTCGTTTTCTTCGCACCCGGGTTTGCGTTGAAGGAGCGGGGGATATCAGTAGCCTCCTGGAGAGGGCTGGTGTCTCGTGAGTCGTCTGCCATAGCTGTAGGGTGAATTGCCTTTGAATCTCCCACTTGCGGCCAAAAGAAGATCATCAATATCGGATGATCAAATGATCCGCCAATGTCCAATTTGGATAGTTATTCCGGAAGGCTGACTAATCCCTTCAACGCGCTACGCGAACGCGTCGAGGCCGAAATCGATTTGATTAGAGCAGATCGCAGGCCATTACTGGACCCTCCTAGAGGCACCATTGGTCTCAGAACCAGATATCCTTTCATCTGCGACCTACTATTTCACCTGGCTCTTGTCAATCTGCTCTCAAATTTCGCAAGCGCGCATTCCATGTTCTGCACTGAGCGCATCCTTTAACAGAGCCAATTTCACAAGCCTGGCCGGGCGACAACGTCGCGATGCCTTCCAGAAAACCCAGCAAGTATGGTAACAAGTTTCGGTCAAGTGCTGCGTCCTCGAACCCCCGACGAGCCAAAACAGTTGAATTCAGCTCACTACGATCCACGGAAGCGACCTCACAAGATGAGAAATTCGAGGCCATTCGATTGGCCAACAGTATCGATGAGACCCTCGGCTTTCCACGTTTCGAGTCCGGCGAGACAAGGGCCGGTTGGCTCATCAACATGCACAGCACGACGATCGAGGACGCAAATGTTCCAGGAGGCCGCGCCGGTGTGGATTACTATTTTCTCCAGGACGACGGCGGGAGTTTCAAGGCGACAGTGGAACACGATCCATACTTTTTGATTGCAGTCAAGAAGGGTTACGAGATGGAGGTCGAGGAATGGTGTCGCCGATCCTTTGAGGACTTGATCAAAAAGTTCACGCGCCTTGAGAAGGAAGACCTAAATCTCCCCAATCATCTTCTTGGCTACCGGAAAACCTATATCAAGTTTAGTTTTGCCAATGTGGGCAATCTTCTTGAAGTCAGGAGGACGATTCTTCCTCTGGCGGAGAAGAACAAGAAAAACGAGAGTGCAATGGATGCATATGTTGAGATGACCAGGTTCGTTCTGCATTACCTGCTTTTTGATTTGGACAAGGCACTAATTGTATGCAGTGCAACTGCAGGGATTGATCTTTTTGACGACGAAATAATTAATGAGCAACGACCTAATAGCAACCTACAAGCGAGTGATTTTATTGTTGATATTCGAGAATACGACGTTCCATATCATGTCCGAGTCTGCATTGACAAAGGTCAGTTGTGCTAGGCATGTGGACTATGCTCTTGTGCTAACATCTCTCAGATATCCGGATAGGAAAATGGTACGATGTGCAGGCGAAGCACGGCGTGGTATCATTGACCTGCTTGGAAGACCGACTTCAGCGTGCAGATCCGGTCGTCCTCGCTTTCGATATCGAAACCACAAAATTACCGCTGAAATTCCCAGACGCCGCATTTGATCAGGTTATGATGATTTCATACATGATTGATGGGCAAGGGTTCCTTATCACCAACAGAGAGATTGTATCGGAGGACATCAACGACTTCGAGTACACGCCCAAACCAGAATACAATGGGCCATTCATTATTTTCAATGAACCCAATGAAAGAGCCGTCCTTGAGCGATTCTTTGAACACGTCAAGATCTCCAAACCCACTGTCATTGCCACATACAACGGTGACTTCTTCGATTGGCCGTTCGTCGAGACCCGAGCCAGTGTTAATGGACTTGATATGTACATGGAGATTGGTTTTCGGAAAAACAGCGAGGACATTTACCAAGCCGACAACTGCGTGCACATGGACTGTTTCGCATGGGTCAATCGTGACAGTTATCTTCCTCAGGGAAGCCGTGGTCTGAAGGCTGTGACCGTGGCAAAGCTTGGCTATGATCCAGATGAACTCGACCCAGAGCTTATGACACCTTACGCCAGCGAAAGACCACAGACCCTGGCCGAATACTCAGTTTCAGATGCGGTGGCTACCTACTACTTGTACATGAAATATGTTCACCCTTTCATCTTCTCCCTCTGCACCATCATTCCTCTCAACCCAGATGAAACCCTGCGAAAGGGAACTGGAACATTGTGTGAGATGTTGCTCATGGTGCAAGCCTACAAGCATGAGATTGTTTTGCCCAACAAACACAAGGATCCGACAGAGGCTTTCTACGAAGGTCATCTTCTCGAGTCCGAGACCTACGTCGGTGGTCACGTCGAAAGTATCGAAGCTGGTGTTTTCCGAAGCGATATACCGACACACTTCAATGTTGACCCTACTGCAATCGAAGAGCTTCTGAAAGACCTGGACCACGCTCTCAAGTTCAGTATCGAGGTCGAAGAAAAGAAGTCTATGGATGATATTGTGAACTACGACGAGGTTAGAGCTCAGATTGTAGAGCGTCTCCTCGATTTGAAAAACAACCCGAGTCGTGATGAAGTTCCATTCATTTACCATCTGGATGTCGCATCCATGTATCCCAACATCATGATCACCAATCGACTGCAGCCAGACTCATTGATCAACGAGTCAAATTGCGCTGCCTGTGACTTCAATCGACCCGGCAAAACTTGCGACAGACGCATGCCCTGGGCCTGGCGTGGTGAATACCTGCCTGCGAAGCGTGATGAATACAACATGATCCGACGTGCCACTGCAAACGAGCGTTTTCCGGGCAAGTTCAAAAATTCGCCAACGAGGCTGTTCAGCGAGTTGAGCATTGAAGAGCAAGCCGGGATTGTCAAGAAACGGCTGCAAGATTACAGCAAGAAAATTTATCACAAGATCCACGACAGCAAAACTATGGAGCGGGAGGCCATCATTTGCCAGAGAGAAAATCCTTTCTATGTTGATACTGTCCGTGATTTCCGTGACCGTCGATATGACTTCAAAGGCAAGCAGAAAGTCTGGAAGAACAAGACTGATAGCTTACAATCATCTGGGGCTTCTTCGGCTGAAATTGATGAGGCAAAGAAAATGATCATTCTTTACGACTCTCTTCAACTTGCGCACAAGGTCATTCTGAACAGTTTCTACGGTTATGTCATGCGAAAAGGTTCTCGATGGTATTCAATGGAAATGGCCGGTGTCACTTGTCTTACAGGTGCTCATATCATTCAGATGGCCAGAGAGCTTGTCGAACGCATCGGTCGACCCCTTGAACTGGATACTGACGGTATTTGGTGTATGCTTCCTGGAGGCTTTCCTGAGAATTTCTCCTTCACTCTGAAGAACGGGAAAAAGATGACCATCTCTTACCCTTGTGTCATGCTTAATCACCTCGTTCATGCGAGGTACACCAACCACCAATACCAGGCTCTGGTCGACCCGAAGACCTTTAAGTATGAGACTCACAGTGAAAACTCCATTTTCTTCGAAGTGGATGGGCCTTACCGAGCAATGATCCTGCCAACTTCAAAGGAGGAAGACAAGAACTTGAAGAAGCGATATGCGGTCTTCAATCATGACGGCTCCCTAGCCGAATTGAAGGGCTTCGAAGTAAAGCGAAGAGGAGAGTTGAAATTGATCAAGATCTTCCAGACTCAAATCTTCAAGTTCTTCCTGGAGGGTACCAATCTTGCCGAGACTTATGCCGCTGTGGCTCGGGTTGCAGATCGGTGGTTAGACGTTCTTTACGAGCGTGGAACCACCCTGGCGGATGAAGAGCTTATCGATCTCATTTCGGAGAATCGAAGTATGGCCAAGACACTTGAAGAGTATGGCTCTCAGAAGTCCACATCGATCACGACGGCAAGACGTCTTGCAGAGTTCTTGGGTGAACAAATGGTCAAGGATAAAGGTCTCAACTGCAAATACATTATTTCCTCAAGGCCACGAAACACACCCGTCACCGAAAGAGCCATTCCCGTCGCTATCTTCTCGGCCGAAGAAAATATCAAACGTTTCTTCTTGCGCAAATGGCTGAAGGAAGACCCCGGCGACATGGACCCTCGCACTGTCATTGACTGGGATTACTACCTGGAGCGTCTGGGATCCGTGGTGCAGAAACTGATCACTATTCCAGCTGCACTTCAAAAGCTTCGCAACCCAGTACCCCGTGTTGCCCACCCCGACTGGTTGCAACGTCGGATCAACACAAAGGATGACAAATTCAAGCAGAAGAAGATGACCGATCTATTCACCAAGTCAGATAAGGCGCCGCTTGCCTCGATATCTGCCAACATTCTAGATCATCGTGTTCAGCATACTGGTGACCTGGATGAAGCGATTGCGAACTCTACTCAGAAGCTAAAGTCTCCCAGCAGCAATAAGGTTTCCCAAAAGAGAAAGCATCCTGAGAATGCCTCAAAGACGGCTTTGGATCCTTTTGCTAGCCTTCCAGCTACCATGCCATCTATCACGGAAGACTACCAAGGATTCTTGAAGTATCAAAAGCAAAAATGGAAGATCCAGAAGCAAGCTCGGATTCGTCGTCGTCAACTGTTCGGTGAACGAACCAATGCTGCCTCGGACTCTTTGAGTAACTTCTTCCGCAATCAAGCCCAGATGCTATACATTAGCACATGGCAGGTCTTGCAGCTCTGTGAGACAGGCGTTCCGGGAGTTGTACGAGCTTTCGTTTTGATCGATCAAAAGATTCACGCTCTCAGCGTTAGAGTTCCACGGCAATTCTTTGTGAACTTGAAGCGTGATTCCTTGCCAGATGTCGATGTACCGGACTGTGATGTCGAGAAAGTGAATCACACTTTGCCAAATGGTCATCCCTCGGTCCACTTGTTCAAGCTGTCTTTGTCGGAGGAGAAATATCTGGAAGAAGCTGACAAGATGGATGTTCTTTTCCAACACCCTAGTATCGAGGGTGTCTACGAAGGAAATATCCCGCTCAGCATTCGCGCGGTGCTCAAGCTAGGAAGCCATTGCACTTTCGATGAAGAGCAGCGCGGTGTGCTTGGTGAAGGATTGGACAAGGGCTTCGATCTCTCAACTCTGCTCCACGCATCTTCAGAGCAGCCATATCTGATGGACTCGTCATTGGTATACCACTACCTGTACCACATTGTTTCAGGCGATAGGCAAATCTTTGTGCTTTTCTCGACAGCGACGAATGAGGCCAACATCATCGTTCTCAATCGCACCAGGGATGTCCAGGGTCTTCCAAACGTCGATAAGATGTACACCGAATTCCTCACTCGCAAGATGCAAGCTGCATCGGGCAATGACTCGCAAGACGCCTTTGAATACCAAGACAAGATTCATTTCAAGACAACTCAGGTGATGACACGGAGAAAGGCTCACCTTGAGGTTGGTGACCTGGTAAGAAAACTCCGAAACGACGAGAGCCGACCTGTCGTTCTTGTGATCCAATCCCAACAGAAGGACCGCCTATGCCACGATATCCCAATCTTGAAGGAGTATCCAGTCCTATCCGTGAAGCCTGAGCCATCCGACATGGAACTTCCGCCTCTCGGCTGGCAAGCATTTGTAGCCAGGCGTATCATCACCCGGTACTTGTACTTGTCTTCCTGGATCCAGCACTTGACCGGTCTTGCTCGATACGGTGATGTTCCACTTTGCAACTTGGAGAGTGACGATCCTCGCTATCTCATTGATATCTCCTATGCCAGAAGGCTTCAGCAAAACAATGTCGTTCTCTGGTGGTCCCCTGGTCCACGTCCTGATCATGCAGGCTACGAGAGAGATGACATTCTCGGGTCGCTGGACAAGGTCAACATGCCATCGGTCAACGTGCCCAGCGCCTACTCGACTGTTTGTATTGAGTTGGAAGTTCGTAACCTTTCCATCAACACGATCTTGACTTCTTCTATCATCAACGAGATGGAAGGTAGTGATACATTGCTAGCGCCTTCTGGTGATGCCGAAGACACGGGTGTTTTTTATTCCGAGAAAGCATTTGCTTCCGCCGGTGTCGTTGTTCTTCGAGAGATGGTCAAGCATTGGTGGACAGAGGCTTGCGCTGGAAACAGCATGGCGGATGTCATGGTCTCGCATTTGATTCGATGGGTGGAAAGTCCCGTGTCCTGTCTCTATGATCGGTCTCTGCACAATTATGTCAGATTGCTGTCGCGGAAGTCATTCCAGAGACTCATGGCGGAGTTCAGACGCGTTGGCTCCCATGTCGTGTTTGCCAGCCCTACACGTCTTCTGCTCCAGACAACAAAGACTGAGGTTGGCAATGCTTATGCCTACAGTCAGTATGTTCTGAAATCCATCCGCGCCAATCCTTCGTTCCACTTCATTGATCTGGAGATCAAGGAGTACTGGGATTACCTTGTGTGGTATGACGAATACAACTACGGAGGCAAGGGCTGCCGAGAGGTCACCGAATCCGACGAACAGAATCTTGAGACGGTGATGCACTGGCAGCTCAGTCGCTTCTTACCAATGCCCATGCAAACCATCTTCCACGACTGGGTTGTCGAGTACATCGAACTGATGCATGCCTTGAAAACACCTGAGCCAGATGGCGAGATTTCCTCGACGCCTCGTCCGACGCAGATTCCAATCGGACGAAACCACGAAGCAGACAATGAAGAGATCACTGCTGTTCTCGCGGATCGATTCTCAAAGCCGCTGAAGAAGCAAATCTCAGGTCTGATCCGCAGACAGCGCGACGAGATGCTTCACCCCGAGCTTGCATCTGATTATGCATTCCCTGTTCTGCCAGGTGTCCTGGTCAACCCCAAAGACAACAAGCGCAACCCATCGCTAGAGTTGACAAAGCTTCTGATGCAAGTTCTGAGTCTCTCCAAGACCACGACCCTGGAATCTCGGTTGTTGCGCCGCGAGCTCTTGGCTCTCTTTGAGGTCCGCGAATTCAGCAAGGAGGGTCGATTTGAGAACCCCAGTGCTAGCCTGAAGCTTCCCGAGATGAGCTGTAACTCTTGCTGTCTGATTCGGGATCTTGACCTCTGTCGAGACGAAGATGTGCTGCCCGATGTCGACTCGGACGCCACCACTACTTCCAAGCCCTGGAAGTGTCCCTTCTGTCACGCCGATTACGACCGGCTGGCACAGGAAGAGCTTCTCATCGGGCAAGTCCATGGTCTTGTCGTTGAATGGCAGACCCAGGATCTCAAATGCTCCAAGTGTGGTGGCCTGAAGGTCAGTGATTTCATGGAACACTGCTCTTGCAGTGGCACCTGGGCAGCATCTCTCGATCGCAGCGAGATTGAGAAGAAACTACGAGTGTTGGAGAGTGTGGCCAAATTCCACAAGCTGCAATTGTTGGAAAACATTGTCGTGGATGTACTGGAGAGGTTCTGATGTGTCTGAATATCTGTTTCTGGGGAGCGCTGGGAATGGCATTGGGTAGGAGTTGTGTATATAAGTTAGCATTCAATAATTAATGGCGCCGTTGACGATCCGTCGATCTTCGGCTTTGTTTCTACTTCTTCTTTGGTACTTCTTCATTTCCAATCAGCGCTGTTTAATTATATCCCAGGTTTCTTCGTTGTATAGCTCTCTCCCTAGCGACTCCGCGACGCCCAGCGACCTCCGATCTCCAGCGCTCTCGAACTTCAACCCCGCAGTGTCTCGGTCGGACACCAAAAACCAACACACCAGAACATCCCTGGAGTGCCCTCCTGTGCGTTTTTCTGAATGTCTCACCTTGGCGGGGCTCAGCCGCATATTGCGGGCAACATGTGGCACTTCCAGCGTAAGGCTGACTTGAATTTGTGCAGGCACGTATCGAACGACCGTATATATCGCATACCCCCCGAAACGAGTCCCCTTGGCGCCCGGTCCAGTCTGCAGCTTGTTTGCGTCGACCTCCCTCGATCCTCCCCGTGTTATCGCAGTTATCCCCCATGGCGACACCACCTCCGAAACCGAAGGTCCAGCCGTGCCGGTACAAAACCGGCAAGACACTAGGCGCTGGATCGTACTCTGTCGTGAAGGAATGCGTGCATATCGACACTGGTCGCTACTACGCAGCCAAGGTCATCAACAAGCGCTTGATGTCCGGGCGAGAGCACATGGTACGTGTTGGAACTGCGGCCGACCCCACTGCATGCTAATGGAGCGAAACAGGTCCGCAATGAGATCGCCGTCTTGAAAAAGGTGTCTATGGGTCACCAGAATATCCTCACGCTGGTCGACTACTTCGAGACCATGAACAACTGTGCGTTTCCTGTCGGTGGGATGTATACCGTCTGTTTGAGATGACCACTGACCGGTATGGATGTTTAGTGTACTTGGTGACCGATCTCGCGCTGGGCGGAGAACTCTTTGATCGCATCTGTCGCAAAGGCAGCTACTATGAGTCGGACGCTGCCGATTTGATTCGCGCAGTGCTTTCCGCTGTGGCATATCTGCACGACCACGGAATCGTGCATCGAGACCTGAAGCCCGAGAACCTGCTCTTTCGCACACCGGAAGACAATGCCGATTTATTGATCGCTGATTTTGGATTGTCAAGGATCATGGATGAAGAGCAATTCCATGTCCTGACGACAACCTGTGGAACGCCAGGATACATGGCCCCAGAGATCTTCAAAAAGAGCGGCCATGGAAAGCCAGTGTGAGTCCCCAGTCCTATATGCACCACCAAACCCTCCATGTCTAACATACACCAGCGATATCTGGGCCATCGGCGTAATTACTTACTTCCTACTATGCGGCTACACCCCCTTCGACCGCGACTCCAACCTGGAAGAAATGCAAGCAATCCTAGCAGCAGACTACTCCTTCACACCGCTAGAGTACTGGCGCGGTGTATCACAAGAAGCACGCAGCTTCATCAACCGCTGCCTAACAATCAACCCGCAATCACGCATGACAGCTCACGAAGCCCTCCAGCACCCATGGGTCAACCCGCCCTACGATACAGCCAAGATCGGCTCAGGTGAGGATCTCCTGCCAACCGTCAAGAAGAACTTCAATGCACGACGCACGTTACACCGCGCTATCGATACAGTGCGTGCTATCAACAAGCTCCGCGAGGGTGGTGGGTTCATGATGGATGGTGTGATGAGCGTTGATCCTAAGCCTGAACGTGTGAACGGGGATGAGATTATTGAGGAGGAGAAGCATGCTGCGCCGGCGCAGTCGGCTGACCATGCTCCTGGTGGGCAGATTGATAGTCGGGGCAATGCTCGTGGGCAGTCTGAGGAGCAGATCCGGGCTCAGGAGCGCAGGGTTAAGGAGATGGTTGCTGGGTTGTGGAGTCGGACTCCTCGGTAGTTTTCATACCCTTCTTTTCTCTGCATTCTGCATTGTGGATACATCATCTTTGAGCTCTGAATATGATGATTGTTTTGCGTCTGCTTAGGATGAATATTTGTTCTTGTCTAGTATGGGAATTTACAATGTATATGCATACCAGTCTTCCTGGTCTCTAGGACTAGGTGAGCCTCTAATAATATACCGGGCTCCCTTATATTGTAATCCGGGGAAGTACTCGCTATTCAAGTACCCTTGCAGTGGATAGCTATGAATATAGGTGATACGCTATGTTGAAGCAAACTGATGAAGGGGAATATTTACTAAGCTTAACGCGAAATGGCCCGAATCGATGTTTCACTGTAGTCACTAGGCTCCATATCGAGGATTTGAAGCGCACTATTGCTATCCCATGAAACTCATCCGCAAACTTCTGGACCAAACCCGGCCGAAGTAGTGTCATCAATCATTATCAAGTCTCACGCAGGCTAGAAATGTAGAAAAGAAGCAACGCGATCTAGAATAAAAACCTGAATCACGCCGAGCCAGCCAGGATTTCTGCTCCATCATCCAGAGACAGAACCCAGTCCCGCCATACCTGCCACTGAGCATAATCTGCACTCGCCTTTAGGCCCTGGTACCTGACAGTGCAGAACTCAGAGACCTGGTCCCAGGGTTTGGAACCGCTGGAATTTCCTCCTGCCGCACCTCGTAGTAGTCTCCTAGCAGTACTTCCAACACCACCGTCCCACCCTGCCTTGCGCATCAAGCTCTCGATGGTTTCTTCTTTTGTCCAACACTGCTCGACGGCAACGTCTGGGAGATAGGTGGCGCCGTAGCGGCGGCCGCGGTGGATGAAAGAGATGCGCAGGCCATGGGTGCCTAGAGTCCAGTCCAGGGCGTTCGTGCATGGTTCAAAGGATCCTAGGAGGGTGAGAGAACATGATAGCGAGGAAAGAAGAGATTTGGGGATAGGAGAGAAGCGTGTGTCGTCAAAGGCTCTGTAAGAAAAAAGTAGATCACAAATTAGCAGGTCTGGTATACTGGGGTTGTATTGTATGGTTGCTTGTGAAGGCACGTATTGGGAAGTACATACGAGGTCAAAGCGTAGGACTTCAGCCCTGCCGCCAGCTCCTGTCCCTCGAATGTGCCTATGCATCCCCGCAGAGACTTGTTTCCGCTTCGTGATAGGGTATTCCATGTGACGAACAGGGGGTACCGCTGATCGGGCGATGTCAGCTGGGATGGGGTCTCAGCCAGCCCGGGCGAGGTGATGTTAGTTGAGCTGGAGCCAAGTGAATTGGCGGACGCATTGGAAGTGGATGATGGTGTCGTAGCTGCACTGGATACCGCGGAGGATTGGCTCTGGAGACGACTGACGCTGGGGAATTTCAGCTTGTTGGGACGACTACTCGTCAGGGATGATTGCTGGGTATCATCTTCATCCTCTTCATTTACAGACTGCTGACTGTCCGCTTCTTGCTCTGTTTGAACTTGCAGACTCGACAGCTTCTTACTTTGCTCATGTTGCTCCCAAAGGGCTTCTACGGCTGCCAAAGTGGCTGGCTCGCGGTCCTGGAATGAGGCAAGCAGAGACTCAAAGCAATAATAACACTGCGCTGTATTCGCCATGTCGACCAGGCTCTCTCGGCCAAAGCTCAAATGATGCACTGCACTGCTTCAGATCCTGACTGTCAATGACCTCAATATCCCGATAAGAGATATGTCCTTATCGATAGACGGGGGGAATCCAGACTTGGAGGCGAGTTCGAGGGTGTCTGTAAAGAAGTGAAAGCAGTGCAGTAATGATGCTTGAGATGCCTATGAAAAGGCTTGAGAGAAGATACTGCTGAAAAGAAGTGAAGAGAACCTTGGGACGTCGGGAAAGAGAGGGGTCGCACGTGACCCTAGATAACGTGAACTACGTGGGGAAGTATGAAGTCTAAGATCGGTAGAAATCGTCCGTGAATTGTATAAATTCTTGTGTTGAGAACAAAATTGTAAAATATACATAGGACGCCCCATTAAATGTTGAACTTTTCCCGTAGAAAATATGAGCCCGCTGTTGAAAAAGTGCGGTTGCTCATCAAAAAGCATTGCTCGTCATGCATAAAAAAAACATTCCCAATATCCCAATGACCCGCGTCAGGTTGAAAAAAGCAGTCCGGTATTAAACCCCTTAAAACGCACTCATGTAGTTTTTATTTTCTGTACGAAATGATGTTGAACTCGTGGGACCTGAGTCAGATCCCTCTTTCTTCACTCACCATACTCTCTTTGCATCTAACTTAGATGGGAAGAGGGTAGGTGCTGGCCCAATCGGCAATCTCCTTGCGGAGAGCCATGATCTCAGGGATGTTCTCAGGGTTGGCAACCTTGGCCTTGAAGTCCTTCTGCTTGTTGGCCTCCTTGGGGAGCTCGCTCTGGATCTTCTTGGACAGGGTGATAGCTTGGTCAATGTAGCGAGCGATACGCTTGAAGTCCTCCTCGCCCATACCACGGGAAGACATGGCGGGGGCACCGATACGGATACCACCGGGGGTGAGGGCAGACTTGTCACCGGGGACGGAGTTCTTGTTGCAGGCAATGTTGATCTGCTCGAGGACAGCCTCGATACGGGCACCATCGATGCTCTCGGGGCGGAGGTCAACAAGGACCATGTGGCTGTCAGTGCCGCCGGAGACGAGCTTGTGGCCGAGAACGGTGAACTCTTCCTCGAGAGCCTTAGCGTTCTTGATGACCTGCTCCTGGTACTGCTTGAACTCAGGGGTGTCGACCTGCTTAAGAGCAACAGCCAAGGCGGTGATGGTGTGGTTGTGGGGACCACCCTGGTGACCGGGGAAGACGGAGAAGTTGATAGGGTTCTCAAGGTCGTACATGATGTCCTTGCCGGACTTGTCCTGGCTGCGGACGCCCTTGCGGAAGAAGATCATGGCACCACGGGGACCACGGAGAGACTTGTGGGTGGTGGTGGTGACGACATCCGCGTACTCGAAGGGAGAGGGGATAACACCGGCGGCGATAAGACCGGAGATGTGAGCCATGTCGACAATGAGGTAGGCACCGACCTTGTCGGCAATCTCGCGCATGCGCTTGTAGTCAATGAGACGGCAGTAGGCGGAGGTACCGGCAACCAGACACTTGGGGCGGTACATCTCAGCGTTGCGCTCGAGCTGGTCGTAGTCAATGATACCGGTCTCGAGGTTGACACGGTAGGGGAAGGTCTCGAAGTAGGTGGAGACAGCGGAGATCTTCTTGGTAGCGGTCTGGTAACCGTGAGACAAGTGACCACCGTGGGGGAGGTCCAAGCCCATCAGGCGGTCGTGGGGACGCATGAGAGCCTGGTAAACCTGGAGGTTGGCAGGGCTGCCAGAAAGGCACTGGACGTTGACGCCCCACTTGGCGGAGTCAAGGTTGAAAGCTTTGAGGGCACGCTGCTGGCAGGTGATCTCAACAGCGTCGATGTGCTGGTTGCCACCGTAGTAACGAGCACCGGGGTAACCCTCGGAGTACTTGTTACACATGGGAGAACCAAGGGCATCGAAGACAGCGCGGGAGGTGAAGTTCTCCGAGGCGATCAGGACGACCGACTCACGCTGGCGCTGGATTTCCTTCTCCTGTAAGAGTAGGAGCATTAGTAAGGGCAGATTCCGTTATAGACAATGCAATTGATGTGTCATTCGGCTCTGAAAGGGTTCAGACTTACCATGATCGCAGCGATCTCGGGGTCGCTGGACACGAGAGAGTTGTGCATTTGCTGTAAAAAAACGATGAGTCAATGATCTATACAACACCTGGAACAGGTGGAATTGAAGAGACTTACACCCTTGTGGGCCTCAGAGAGAGCGTAAGACATGACGAAGGTAAGTGTCTGTTTTCTTGATAGATGAAAAGCAGAAGGGGAAGATGAAAGAGAGGAAGAGAAAAAAAGAAATGGAAGTGGTGGGGGAGGGGTGATCTTCCTTGTGCCTCAGGCCACCAAAGTTAAAGAGACGATATCGGAGACCGGCACGCCGAATTAGGTGAATTAGGTCATCCGATTGGAAATTCTTAGCTCTAGATATTGAGAGCTATAAGAGTGGTTTTTGGTGGCAATTGGGGCGTATTGGAAGAAAGTATGACTAGACTGCTAAAAAAAACCCTGGGTATTCCGTTTATAAGCATCCAACACCGTAAATGATCCCGAAACTGGCTCGGCCTTCCCATTATGCCTGCTTGTCCCTATGTAATTTTGTATTCTTGGGTTCCTATAGCTCTGCTATTAGGCCCTGATGCCCTCATTTGGCATTCCTGCACGGTCCCCAAAGTCCGAGATCACGGAGCGTAAGCGTCCCACACGGTCCTCAAGCTCTGCAATCTCTGTTTGTTGCTCCTCAACAGATCGTTCCACGTCTGGTAGTCCCTCGACGACTGTGCGCGCCTTCTGGATTCGAATCCGGACAGAGCTAGTTTCGGTGGGGAGATCTTTTACATCGAGTGGTGGATGAGTGGTTGGGTCAAGGACTGGTACATCGTGTGATGCAGTGCCATTGTTTGGCTGCTGGGCTCCCTGGTTGGTCTCAGCTGAAGCTCCTGGAGCTCCTGTGCTCTCTCCGGGTGCGCCCGATGTGTCGTTTGATGTGTTCTTGGGAGATAGCAAGCGAACGAGGATCCCATATAGCGGCGGGATGATCTCAAAGGTCTGTGGTGAAGGAAAGGGTACGGTCCGGGGTGAGGTTGGCGCGTTGAAGGGCGTCTCGGGCGCGACTGAAGATTTGAGCAGTGGAGTTCCCACTGTCGGAGATCGAGAAGTCATTTGCGGGATCTTTTACTAAAGGGACCCGAGGAAGTTGAAAAACGATGTGATCCCGGGGTAAGTCTTTAGGGAAGAGTCGGAACGCGGAGTGACGTCGGGGAAGAACCAAAAGCGTCACCGGGAATGCCCCTCCTCACCGGCCAGTTTTTGCGTTTCTCTCCTGTTCTCTTTCTCCTCTCATCATCAGTCTGTTGGTAAGCAATCCGGCATTATCACCCATATAGGGTTATAATATCCTTGAAAGTCAATTAATCGGTGTTTATAGGTCATTCAGACATATACAACCCCACCATGGCTTCGGTCGACCAGAAAGTTGCTTTGAGTAAGATCGACTACCCCCCAGGTCCTCAAAACAAACACTAATGTCATGCAGTTGTCATTGATGGCTGGGGTATCGCGGGCCCTAACTCCCCGCCCCAGGGTGATGCCATCGCCGCCGCCGAGACTCCATACATGTCTGGCTTCTCCGAGCCTAACTCCAAGACAGCCCAGGGCTTCTCCGAGCTAGATGCCTCATCCCTCGCCGTCGGTCTTCCTGAGGGCCTGATGGGCAACAGTGAAGTCGGTCACCTGAACATTGGTGCCGGCCGTGTTGTCTGGCAGGACAGTGTTCGCATTGACCAGACCATGAAGAAGGGTGAGATGGGCAAGGTTGCCAACATTGCCAAGGCCTTCACCCGTGCGAAGGAGGGCAATGGACGTCTGCACCTGTGCGGTCTGGTCTCCGACGGTGGTGTTCACTCCAACATCACTCACCTCTTCTCTCTGCTCGAGGTCGCCAAGGAGATGCAGATCCCCCAGGTCTTCATCCACTTTTTCGGTGATGGACGTGACACCGACCCTAAGAGTGCCGACAAGTACATGCAGCAGCTCCTTGAGAAGACCCAGGAGCTCGGTACCGGTGCCATTGCCACTGTTGTTGGCCGCTACTACATCATGGACCGCGACAAGCGCTGGGAGCGTGTCGAGGTTGGCCTGAAGGGTCTGGTCACTGGTGAGGGCGAGGCCAGCGAGGATCCTCTCAAGACCATCAAGGAGCGCTACGAGAAGGGCGAGAACGACGAGTTCCTGAAGCCCATCATTGTTGGTGGCAAGGAGCGCCGTATCCAGGGTACGTTTAAGCTATACACATGAGTCGATATCATGATATTAACCGAGCATAGACGATGATACCCTCTTCTTCTTCAACTACCGTTCTGACCGTGTCCGTGAGATCACTCAACTCCTGGGTGACTACGACCGCTCCCCTACCCCCGATTTCACCTACCCCAAGAACATTTCCCTCACCACCATGACCCAGTATAAGACCGACTACACCTTTGATGTTGCCTTCCCCCCGCAAAAGATGGGTAACGTTCTGTCTGAGTGGCTCGGCAAGAAGAACCTCCAGCAGTGCCACATTGCTGAGACTGAGAAGTACGCTCACGTTACATTCTTTTTCAACGGTGGTGTTGAGAAGCAGTTCCCCGGCGAGGTTCGCGACATGATTCCCTCGCCCCGTGTTGCTACCTACGATCTTGACCCCAAGATGAGCGCCGCTGCCGTTGGTACCAAGATGGCTGAGCGCCTTGGCGAGGACAAGTTCGACTTCGTCATGAACAACTTCGCTCCTCCTGACATGGTTGGTCACACCGGTGTGTACGAGGCCGCCATCCAGGGTGTTACTGCCACCGACAAGGCCATCGGGGAGATCTACGAGGCATGCAAGAAAAACAACTACGTTCTATTCATTACCGCCGATCACGGGTAAGTTATCCCACCTACTTCGATTTCGTGGGAATTCTTTGTTAACCGATGCCTATAGAAACGCTGAGGAGATGCTCAACGAGAAGGGCACCCCCAAGACCTCCCACACTCTTAACAAGGTTCCATTCGTTATGGCCAACGCCCCCGAGAGCTGGAGTCTGAAGAAGGGCGGTGTTCTGGGTGACGTTGCCCCCACCGTTCTCGCTGCCATGGGCATTGAACAGCCCGAGGAGATGTCTGGCGAGAATCTGCTCGTCAAGGCTTAAATACGAATTCTCGCAAATAAACGTTGATCATGATACAATGAATAGAAACTAGTTCTGTCAATATAAACCATATTGCTTTTTAGTTCGGAGTGAAGTATAGTCTTCGGAGTAGACTCAACCCTCAGGATGATGCAGTCGTAATCCACAGATCTCTTTAGTATTGAAATGAAATTTTGATGGGTATATCTTCAACCTAATCCATGCGCCATTCTGGTGTCGAGGCACCTGTACAGATCACACTTCCCCATATGCTAGGGTATCCCGATTCATCAAAACTGGACGCTCAACGCCCATGCGCCGTTTTCGATATCTCACTGAGTCAAGATGGATCACAGCTGCGAAATGTGGGTGCTAAAACGCAGTGAACTGGTTGGACTCTAGTCCCATCTGCCGCCGGCTTCATGGTGCGTCATTTATCGCATCTTTTGGTGACATCTCCTTCGCTTCTAGGTTCTGTTGTTTCAAGCTCAAGCAGAAGCCTGAGCGGCCGCAGCCTGCTGCTGCTGTTGAATCTGGCTCTGGAATTGCATGATCTGGAGGGGAACGTCAAAATATGCCTATAGTGGGGAGGTTGATAGTGCGCCTTACCTCTGCACGCTTGGTCTCGCTCTTGTCCTGTGTCGCATCGATCTCGCCTTCAATTCGCTTGCTATAATTTCACAATCAGCATCCATATTAGCCGGTTCGGAGCAGTGGCACATACATCTCCTTCTCAATGAATTCCAGACGACCGTTGACGGCCATGGTAGCCTCGGTCTTGTCCTGCTTCAGCAGGACCGGGCCGACAAGCTTGAAGATATTGGATTCATCGTCCAGCTGAGCAAACTCGCTCTGCACACCCTGGTTCTCCTGCTGCTGCGATTCAAGTTTCTGACGGGCATCGACCAACCCTTCGAGCTCTGTGCGGGGCAAAAGTCAGTAGCTGCCACCAGAGATAGCAAGTATAAAGTAGACAAACCGGTCTGCATGCCCTGGAACTCTTCCGTGAGCGCCTGAAGCTGTTTCTGGGGATCCATGGTGAAGTTGGAGGTGAAGTGAGAGGAGGGAAAATCGATCGACCTGCCCGCCCGTAAACAACTTCCACTCTCCCTCTCCCCTCTCCAATTCCATCCAACCGGCTGTTTTTGCGCCGATACTTGCCTTCGATTTCCTTCTTTACTGATTTCCTAGTAATCACTACTTGCACGTCCCTATCCATCTAGCCTTGGCCTGCCCACGAGACCCTCCCCTCTTCTCTCCCCGCTTTACGTCTGCCTCCGCGGTTCACTTGCCTCTCCGAACCCACGCCGACACGCTTTGCCATCATGAGCAATACGGACTTCCTGGGGCGGGCGATCGATACGGTCAAGAAGGCAATCGAGAATGACAATGAGGGCGAGTACGAAAAGGCTTATCAGATGTACTATTCCGCACTGGAGTTGTTCATGCTGGCTTTGAAATGGGAGAAGAACCCCAAGTCCAAGGAGATGATCCGTGCAAAAGCCGGCGAGTACATGGATCGCGCGGAGAAGCTTAAGAACCACTTGGCTGATGATCGGAAAAAACCAAGCGCTGTTGGCGCAAATGGCAAGGTGGCGCAAGGTAGTGGGAAGGGAGGGTATGTATTCGACCTCTTCTCTTTTGGCTGGGCTTGGTCCTGCTCTGTCGGTTTAATTGTTGCGTCTTAGCCAGGCTGACCATTGAGCTATCTACTTGTGTTCATCCGCTGACAGTTGTCGTCCAAACAGGAAGGAAGATGATGATAATGGCGAGGATGCGGAATCGAAAAAGCTCCGGTCAGCACTTCAAGGCGCTATCCTGTCCGACAAGCCAAACGTGAAATGGGAGGATGTTGCAGGTCTGGAAAATGCAAAGGAAGCTTTGAAGGAAGCTGTCATTCTTCCTATCAAGTTTCCTCACCTCTTCACCGGCAAGCGGCAACCCTGGAAGGGTATCTTGCTTTACGGTCCCCCTGGTACTGGAAAGTCTTATCTCGCCAAAGCGGTTGCAACAGAAGCAAACAGTACATTCTTCAGTGTCAGCAGTAGTGACTTGGTATCGAAGTGGATGGGAGAGAGTGAACGGTAGGCGATAATGATTACCGGCCGAGCACTGAAGTTGCATACTAACTCGCATCCAGACTTGTCAAGCAGCTGTTTAATATGGCCCGTGAAAACAAGCCCGCCATTATTTTCATTGACGAAGTTGACGCTCTGTGCGGACCTCGTGGCGAAGGAGAGTCCGAGGCATCTCGACGTATCAAAACCGAGTTGCTTGTACAGATGGATGGTGTCGGCAAAGACTCAAAGGGCGTCCTGATTCTAGGCGCAACTAATATCCCCTGGCAACTTGATGCTGCCATCCGACGACGATTCCAACGCCGAGTACACATCAGTCTGCCAGACGTCAACGCACGAATGAAGATGTTCATGCTGGCCGTGGGCTCCACGCCGTGCCAAATGTCCCAAGCTGACTATCGCCAACTAGCCGATCTGAGCGAGGGCTACTCCGGCAGTGATATTAGTATCGCCGTGCAAGACGCATTGATGCAGCCAATCCGTAAGATCCAAGGAGCAACACATTATAAGAAGGTCTGTACCCACTTCTCACCCAATCTACAATACGTAACTAACCCCCCTTGTTACAGGTTTTGGTTGAAGGCGAAGAGAAACTCACCCCCTGCTCACCAGGAGACGCAGGCGCAATGGAGATGAGCTGGCTCAATGTTGATGCAGAGAAGCTCCTGGAGCCCCCACTCGTCTTAAAGGACTTCATCAAGGCAGTCAAAAACTCCCGACCAACCGTCAGCGGAGAAGACCTCACGAGGAATTCCGAATGGACCCAAGAATTCGGCAGTGAGGGTGCCTAATCGATCGCGCCGTCTCAACTGATATGAATATTCCCACCAACGTATCGACAGCTTCAGACATTCATTCCATCCCGGGTAATCGTCATGAAATTCCAAAGTTCTTGCGAGGATGGAAATAAAATACTGTACTTCATTTCATATCTGTGCCCATATCTCTCCATGACTGTCTCGTGTTTCTTTCTCTTTGTTTTCCTTTTGTTTCTCTCCTGTCAATGCTTGCTTCATCTCGGATTCCTGTGGCTATGGGTGGGTGTCTCCGAAGAGTTTGGTGTTTAGAAGCGTATTATCAACTTTTGGCAACGGTGCGGCGTTGTTTGAGCAAATATTTCTTCTGTCTATTCTCCCACGGGTCCTTCTATAACAAAGAGCGCGAGAGTGGTGCATACAGTATAGTACATCCTTCGAAAGCTATGGCTGTTTGTGGTTGTGTACGCTATCAAATACGTGGCTACCATTCGTTGTTGGCTATGAGTTTGATATGGCACGAGCATACTTCAAAGTTTCAAAGGGCTTGTGCGTTCGTATGCAGGTATAGACAATGTCAAATGAGGCTCAATTTCTGACAGACACAACTAAGAATACTCGTACCCGGTTCATCCGATTCCTCGTCAGGATGACTATGCACAAATAGTCAACAGGCAAATGCAAAGCCAGCCCTTAACGCCCCAGTGCTGAAAAAATCGCGAAAGACAAGGAAAACAACAGTTTGAAAAAGAGGAAAAGAAAAGGAAAACCTGCTATACTTGCAAGACATGTCGGGGGAATCTCTCATGGCAAAAGATCGACGCTGGAAGAACTAAAGACAAAAATCATAACAGGATGCCACACACGATGCTTTCAGCATCTACTGCCCAAGCGAACTCTTGTTCGAGCCATCCCGACGCTTAAGCATCTCGGTCTTGGCCCGCTTCAAGCCCTCGCCTAGCTTCTTAGTCCGCTTCCAATCACTGCTCATCTTCTGCATGCGAACAGCAGCTCTCACTAGTGAAATAGCAGATCTTAACTTGTGGCGTGGGGTGTGAGTAGGAGTACGGTCACGGGCCTGTACGCCCATCTCAGAGATCATGCGTAGATCGGCGTCGTTGCTGTGAATAAAATGTTAGCTATGTAGGGTGAAATTTGGATAAATGGGATCACGAACCATGCCACCCGAACACGTTCACCGAGTTCCATCAGGCCCTTACTCCAGGCCAAGTCACGTCGGAACTTCTCCTCCCGTTGTAAGCGAGCACGGAGCCAAATGATCTCCTTGCCTAGACCTCGCATCTCCTTCTCATGCTTGGTCTTGTTGCTTGACTTGAGGTGAGTATTTTTCGTTAGGGCTTCTTCAAGACGTTGTTGTAACACATCGAGATTGCTGCTTGCTGCCTCGGCCTCTCGTCTGTGAGCATCTCGTTCCTCGCGAATGCGGAGAACATGCTTCTTCAATTCGTTGAGACGTCCTTCACGTTCAGAAAGCTTCAGCGCTAGCGATTCGGCCTCGAGAGTAGAAGACCTAAGTAGCTCATGGAAGTCCTTTTGGTCTTCTTCTTTCATTGCAGCGCGCTCCAGTTCACGGTTCTTGGCAGTCGCTTTCTGGAGAGACCGGTGTGCTTCAGCCACTTGCTTTCGTAGAGTGCGTAGCTCGTCATGAAGTTTGTTGGAGGGTGAATTATGCGGGGAATTTGAATCAAACTTGTTCATCATCGCCTCATGAAGATCCTTCTCTAGCTCCTCAATTCGGGACTTGTAATTTTGTGCGGAAGACTTCTGCTTGGATTCACGCTGAAGCAGAATCTTTTCGCGTTTTCGAGCCTCGTCCAGGTTGTGTCGAAGCAGAGAGAGATCTCCATGTGCCCCGGATTGCTCGTTTTCTACAATGGGCTGTTGCTCGATCATGGCTTCGAGTTCTTGAACCCGACGTTCCAAGCGCTGAACCTTGGTCTTGGCTGTAGTAAGTTCACGGTCCCGATTGCCTGAGCCTGCAAGCAGTTTGTCTTGGAGGCGATCGATCTCGGCAGAGAAACGGCCTTCCTCTTCGGCGAACCGCTCACTCTCAGAAACAAGCTGGTGTTCGAGCGTTGTCTTGGCGTCTCGTAGTGCGTTAAGCTCATTCTCAAGTCGTGTTGTTGTTTTGCGTAATTCAAGCTTATCGCGGTCAAAACGAGTGGTTTCATCTGCACTCTGGACTCGTTCAAGCTGTGCCTGAAGCTCAGCACGCTCGACTTCCATCTCCTCCACTGATGTCTTTAGGTCGTAGAGCTCAACATGAGCATTCGCAAGCTCATCGCGAAGCTTTTGTCGTTCAGCAATTGTTTTCTCCATGATTTTTTCCAATTCAGGCGTGTTGTTCTGTCGGCCCTTGGCGAGCTCTTGTTCGTCTGCCAGGCTTGACTGTAGCACAACAACTTCGTCTTCCAATGCTCGCACTTTATCCTGGAGAGTTTGCTCTTCGCGGCGAGATACTCGAACATCTTGCTTCGCTGCAAGGAGTTCGTCTTGTCTTTCATCAAGATCGCGCCTTGTCTTGGCGAGGTCATCCTTAAGGTCTTGGATTTGCTGGTTCAGCATGGCCATTTCTTGAGTGTTCCGCTTCTTCTCGGCATCAAAGGCCTCCTGCAACCTGGATTCCTTGCCAGAGTAGGAGTTACCGGCCTCCTGAAGTCTGTCGATGGTGCGCTTCAAGTCCGTCACTTGATCTTCTGCCCAAGATTTCTCTGATAGCAAGGTCCGCTTGTTGCTCTCCCACCGGCTTTGATCAACTGCGAAGCGTCCTTCTTTCTCTTCAATCTCGTGCTGGAGGTTTTCGATCTCTTCTTGCAATCGTTCAATTTCGATCTTGTGCTGCCAACGGGTGTTGTGTCCTTCATCCTGGGCGCGAGTAGTGGCATCTTGAACAGCCTTCTGAAGTTCGCGGATTCTAGATTGTGCTCGGTCGAGTTCAACTTGCAGTCCTCCCGATTCGTCGGTCAGCGCATGATGGCGAGTTTGAAGAAGTTCTTTTTCGTCTGTTGCACGTTGGATTTCGTTCAGAGCCTCCTCCAGACGAGCGGAGGTTCTTCTCAAGTCGTCATGAGCTTGATCGCGTTCGCGTTTAGCAGTGTCAAGATCCTGGACGAGATGCTGGGCGTTATCTTCCAGGCCGTGTTGCATGGTTTGATAGCGTTGTTCCAGGCGAGTCGCAATATTCGTTTTGTTCTCGAGCTCCGCACTAAGGGCATCATTTTCTTGTCGAAGATCATGTACTTCCTGCTCGAGGCTTTCGGTTCGCTCCTCCATTTGCCGGTTCAATCCTTTAGTGGTGAAGGATTTGTTTGACATCTCGTCTTGCAACTCTCTCAGATCCTCTTCGGCGCGATCCTTCGCTGCGATGGCTTCTCTGGCGACGGCGTCGGCTTCTCTTGCCTCAGATCTGACCTGTTCAAGGCTGTCCTGAAGATCTTGCATCTGCTCCTTAGCGCGATCCAACTCAAGCTGGAGCTCCGCGGCTGCGCCGTCCTCCTTGTCGCCATTATGCTTCAAATCCTCCAGCTCTTCTTCCCGTTCCTCAAGGAGCCGATCCTTTTCTCTCGAGCTTGCCTCCAAGTCTTCGATCTCGTCGCGAAGTTTGTCAGTTTCTTGTGATTGACTGTCCTTCACTTGTCTCAATTCGTCGCGGGCTTCTCGGAGTTCATTGTCGCGCGATTCAAGCTCTTCGCGCATCAGATCCATTTCGCGTTGCACAGTTTCGTCGGCTTGTCTCTTCCACGCCTTCTCCTTCATTTCCATAAGCTGCACTTGATAATCCTCGAGGTCGCGCTCCGCCTGCGTTAGACTTTTCTGGTATCGGGAGATATCGCGTTGCATGGTCATTCGCAGCACCTTGAGTTCGGTGTTCTCTTTGAGAGCGGCGTTGTTGTATTCGGGACCGGCTTTTTCTAGTTGTTCCTCCATGTAATGGATCTTCAGTTTCAGATTCCAATTGTCTTTCTGGAGTCTGTCGATGGCCTGTCGAGTGATAGAAGTCAGCATACGGCCAATCTCTAGTTTTTTTTTATGGTGAACACCATACCTGTACTTGCTCCTTGAGCGACATCATATTCTGACCACCACCAAGGACTCCTGCGCTGTCGCGTCCCATTCTAGGTATTGGTGTACTTTGCGCACTACTGCTGGCTGCTTGAGGAAGCGGTGTTGCATCTTCCATGGTCCGATCCTCCTCGTAAATGTCCGACATGTCCATTGGGGGTAAGCCGGGGGTGTGCGCGTTGCTTCGATAATTCTGTCGCTGATAACCGGGGGTCTTCGGATCTTCCGTTGCTCGAGCCGCAGACATTGTCTTTAGGAAGTTGTTCTTTGTCGCGCTCTTCATCAATGGGGTAAATTCTCCTTTCTCGGGTCCTGATGCTGGGAGATGTCGTAACGCGCTTCTCACCTTGGAGGCGCCTGCACGCGGAGTGACGCGTTTGTCGAAGCCTTTGATCACATCGTTGTCCTTGGACGGTGTATGAAATGAGTTTTCAACCGAGTCCAATGCCGACAAATGAGTTCGCCCCGCGCTGCGAAACCCGTTGGTAAGGTAAGTCGCGTTGCCATCGATTTCGGTGCGCGGCGTGTCGATGTAGGGGAAGGCCATATTGTCGGGGAAAACCAAGGCCACAAATATTTAACGTGTGACCATCACCTCATATAGCAGGAACGTTGCAGACTTCACGTTGGGCAGTTACGGGCTGTTGCGGACGTGTTTTGGAGAATTCCCGCGTTGGGTCTAGTGTGGGCATCTGTGTTGATTTCTAGCCTATTTGGGCTTAGCGTGTTGATCACGGGATGTGAGTTTCGCCGCTTTTTTTATGAGAATGCCATGAGGTCATTCTCTTTCTACACGATCAGCCAAAATGACCACCGAGGAGGATATCGCCTGGTTCAAATCCACTTTTCGTCCGATCCCGAAGCCAGAGCTCCCCGACGATGCTGTTGAATATTCCATCTACTATATCCCGCCTTCCCCCGCCCCCGCCGTTATCGATGAAGCTGCCGAGACCCGCGCGCGATTGATTGAGGTTCAGCGCAGTGCTGCAGATCTGACCAAGGATCTGCTTAAGGATTACATTTGGCAGCGTGAGGCTTTTAAGTTGGAAATCGCAAAGGAAGATGGTACGGAATATATCTTCTTGTCTGTAAGACTTGCTAAATGTATGGTTATAGGGATCACCTCGCTGCAGGGTCGCACCAACTATGGCGACTCCATCGAAGACGAATGGGTCATTGTGTACTTCCTACGTGAATTGACCAAACGGCACAAGGATATCTGGGTCAAAGTGGCAGACAGCGATGGCGAGTTCCTTCTGATTGAAGCCGCGGGAACGCTCCCAGCGTGGATCGAGCCGGACGTCGCAGACAATCGAGTGTGGATCAACCAAGGAGAACTGCGCATCATTAAGCCGAAGCATGATGCGAAGAGACAAGTTACCGAAAAGATCACCCTCCCAGAAGCACGAAAGATTATCCAACACGAACCCAGTCGCCTTCTCCGGTCTACCATAATCCAGGAAGAAGCATTCTATCGTCTGCGCAAATACCCTGAGCAGATCAGCGAGAATCTCCACTCTGCCATCATTACAATCCCCCGCAAGGCTGCATACCTTCTACACCAGAAGCCGGCATACATCTCACCCGCCGTCGAAGCATTCTACGTTCGTGATCCAATTGCTTTACGACCACTACGCGCAAAGGATACCTCGGGTCTGGTTTTCAAACCCGACGATTTGGTTGACGTGAGTGTCCGGTTCACTCGGGTCGGGTATGCGCAGCTCAAGAGCCAGGAGTTCCCCGTCCCAAGCACCTGGGCAGGCAAGCTGCCTTCGACTGAAAATCGAAAGACATACGACCGCGCAGAGGCAGGCATGAAACTTGCATGTGGTCTTGAGATGTTGCTCAACGATCCTCAGAACCAAGACAAGGCTGTTGTCAGAGAAATGAAGCTGCTTCTTGAGGATGTCGAGACCGGTGATGACGAACTTCCCACCGACAAAGAGATACTAGAGAAGTGGGACAAGCACGAAGACGATGAAAAGTGGCTCGATATCAACTTTGAAGATCTAGAGGCAGAGCTCAAAGGCCGGGGTCAGGGAAAGGGCGAAGATGCTGGCAACTTCGGCGATGCTGGTGCCCAGGAGAACCTTCAGCGCATCGTTGCTCGCTTTGAAGAGTTTTTGAATGACAACTCGGCTGGATTCGATGGAGCCGATTTCATTGACGACTTTGGATCGGATTCTGACATCGATGAAAACAAAGAGGAAGAGGAAGAGGAAGATGACAGCGAAGGTGAGGACAAGGATGCCTCTTTCAACGAAGAGGAGTTCGCCAGGATGATGAAAGAAATGATGGGCATGCCGTCTTCGTCGGACTCTATTCGCAAGCGAGTGGAAGAGCTCGACTCGGACGGCGAAGACGATACTGAGCAGATCAAGGAGTTGTCTCGACGAATGGAGGCCGAGTTACAGGGAACCGGTATTCTCGATTTGAATCGGCGCCCGCAAAACCTGTCCTCTGGAGAAGCAAGCGGCTCTGGAGGCAAGGCTGTCAAGTCTACTGACGACAATGATGAGGATGACAATGTCAACATCAACCTCGCTAAGAATTTGCTGGAGGCTCTTCAAGGCCAAGCTGGTGCCTCTGGCCCAGCCGGCAACATGTTGTCAATGATGAACCTCCGCATGCCAAAGGATGATCGCCCTTGAGGGAATCACATGTGTACGAGTTATGACCTCTTGAAAAGGAGGAACGTGTCTCCGAGGTCAGCAAGGGAACTACATATTTACGAATGGTTACCCAGGTATTCTACCCGTATTCAATAGACGAGAGCGCGTGCCAACAAAAGCAGATTCATGCCACATGATATCTGCGAGACTGCCCAGGTGTGCATCTCAGCTTACATACGTCCAAGTCAGCCCTGTATGATGATTGACTAGTGATTTTGGTTCAACATCCGGCTGCTGCCGTCTACGGGTAGTTCGGCAACATGCGACGAACCGAAGCACTTGTTGTTTCCGCTCCCTGTGTCGAGTCATCTTGAGACCGAAGACATACCTCCATCACGCCCAATTATGATGATCGCTTCCCTCTATGATATCATTACCAGACATACTAATCCATTGAACGTGTATGTAGCTTCAAAGACACGTCAGACGTTTTCATAATCACCTTTCCACCCGTCCATTTCACATTCCTTAGATAGCTACCTCGGCAGCTCCGCCGAAAACGGTGCCGTGAACAGTAACGTTACCACAGCTGCGGTTGGGTTACAACGCCGGAGTAAATAAATAAATGAAAAACATCATGAAACCCAAATATTCGATCCTGCGCGTTACATCACATGCCGAGGTAGCTCCGTCCAAGAACCTGTAAGTCGAAATACATATATAGCACCGGGCGCATCCAATATCCACCAAGCCCACAAACAGGATGAACTTGCCGATGAAGTCCGTGAAAAAGGAGCTTCGTCAACCGACTCCACGGTTCCGACCTGCCCCAAAGGATATGTGGAGCCGACACCGCACGGATCTCCGGGAGGTCAACAGTCCGTTGAACGTTTACGGGGCTGATAGTGAATCACTAGTGGGAGTAGACATGAAGAAAGGGAGTCCGCAAAGAATGTGGAAGTTAAGCCAAGTATACTATAGAGTGACTTGACACATGCACGAGTTAACTAAATATAAATGCATAACGTTAGTATAAGCTAACCTTCATTGAGCCGAGTAAAGAAGCAGCCTCTAACCAGTCACGCTGCGTCTAATTCAATTAGAGTGGAAAGTAGCCTTGGAATGGAGGGACTAGCCCACAAGTGATATACTAGACTGTCTAGGTGCATATGTTTATTATTCATTTACGTACAAGCATTGGGTCTAGCCCAGCCACATTTGTTGAGGATCTCATGATGGTTTTGGAGGATACGTGTAGCTGAGTGTATTGTTATCAGAAGTACACCGATCCAGGTACAGGTACTTATGTACAGATCAGCAATCTCATCAGATCAAGATGCAGGACATCCCACGTGGCTCGATCGCAGATCGAGTTTCAGTAAGTGATATGATACAGGTGTGCTCATGTCTACACTATCATTCCCGTCTGGTGTCGGGGATATTAGTCGCTGCCCAATGTCTCAGCCATGTCAGCCTCACACTATAACTTGGGTAATTGATTATGTTCGGAGATAAGTCCTACGTCAGGCACGGCCTTGTGGAGTAAAGATGAGCGATTTTAGACATGGAAAAAGCCAAAAGGATTCCAGAAGGCCGAAGTGGAGATGATGGAATGCGACTAAACCCCGAACCGTTAAAGTGTCGTGTGCTGGTGGCGAAAACGGAGTCCCGCTGCGGACTGCCGGCCCACTCTGGTGGGCTTCTTTTGTAAATCCCTCAAGTGATTAGAAATCAAGGTACCTGTATGTTAAGTTGACTTATGTAGAGACGGGAAGTATTGTGGTCTGGAAAGTATAGAGGGGGATTGGGCTGAACATGTGTGGACGGAACAATGCAGTCCCCTGTATAGCGTCCACACTAATCGAGTGCCGGGAGCCGGGATAAATTCAGGGTAAAGTTGAGTATGTTTCAAGTTGGAGTACGCCTTACAATACTCCGTACTTCGGAGTAGTGTTGAACCGTATGAACGGGGCAATTATAATGCTGTGGAAATCAACTCCGGGTAAGAGATGATCATCGGTGGAGCCTGGAACATTCGAAGCGTAGCGGAGTATGCACTCGGTACGGAGTACTGTACTGAAGACGATCCTTGTTCGTTATGGAAACGATATTCCCCCCCCCCGATTCGTTTCAGGATCGTCGGCAATATCAGAGTATATCCGAAATTATCCCAGAAACAAATAACAGGTAAGGAATAACTTCTGACCTGGCAAATCGGAGAGGTTGGAATCCAACCTACTGTATACTAGGTACTTATCTCCAAAAGAAAGGCAAGGGAAAGTGATAGATCATAAGTCTTTACTCACATGTAAGGGTGAGACGGGATCTAAAAGAATGTGACCGGAAGGGAGTGGAGTTCCATGTGTAAAAAGGCAAAAGTCGGAATTTGATCTCCCTGTTCCTTTTTAATCCTCTCCATCCTCCCCCTTCCTCTTTTTTTCCCGGGAACCAGGTTAGTGGGCATACCACAGTCTGTAGCAATGGACTGAGGTACCCACCATGGACTTCATTGTATGTATCTCTTGCTCTGTATATTGAGCCTTGACTGACTTGCCACAGCTCTCGTTGACGCACTTCTGTGAGGTGCACGGTCCCACCTCTATCATCTGCTCGCAGGTGCTTCCCTTTTCATGCCCGCAATGCCACCCTGAATCCGACTCACCACAAGGGACCCCGGCCACCGATTCTCGCTTTGAACAGCCTCGTCACAAAGAAGACTCCAAGTCGCCCAGAATTGAAGACCACCCGTACTTTTTGAAAGGACAGCCGGCCTCACCCGATGAGAAAGCCAACCGAGGTGGCGGGAATGGCGACACTTGCGCCAGCTGTAGCCTGTCGCTACCCGCCGATGTAAGCAAGCAACTGCCTCAGGGTGCCGGCGACAAAGCGAGCAATACCAGTCCCGTGTTGCGCTCGCGCGAATTGGTCAACTCATGCGGCAACACACATTCGGACATGGATGACGACTCTCACGATTTCCACTCTCACGCCTCTCCCCCCGAATCACTGCGCTCTGCATCGGTCGCCTCCGATGCCTCCTGTCACACCCACATCCATACTTACCTCTCTCAGCGCGGGCCGCCGAAACCGGCCGACTATGCGCTCCTCCGCCGATCTTCCATCCGCACTCTGAGCTGCGAGCTCCTGCCCCGAGGTCTCTCTTCTGGCCCTATCTGCTTCGGCGACTCTGTCGCAGGCTACACGATTGCCTACATCTTCCGCCTTCCGGACCCCATGGCCCGCGGCAAGCGTCGCAGCTACGCACTAGTCGCACTGGCCGGGCGGGATGCCGGAAGAGCATTTCGCGCATGCCCCATCATCTGGCGCGCATTCGGTCGCATCGCCGCCAGCATCGTTACTGCTGCAGAGCGTTTCCAGGAAGACGAGAAAACTCGTGATGAGCAAAACAACCCGGGAAGACAGCCCGGTCGCCAGTACACGCCTGTCTCATCCTTCCTCACGGGTCGTGCCATGGACCCGGCTGGCCGGCGTGCGGCTGGCCAGATCCGCGCCCGCAACTTGGCTGAAATTGTCGGCAATGAATATATCTTTACTGAACTACATGCCCACTTTGTCGCACTCCTTCAACAGCTCGGCTCGATGTTTGGCGGTATTCCTCTTTCCGAGGAGCGCTTCATTTGCAGCACGATGGGTGACGATGATACTGCCAATCCCGCTCAGCCGGTCCTTGTTTCCGCAACCGGACAACCCAAAGACAAGAAATTCGATGGCAATGACCTTGACATGTCAAACCTTGAAATTGCCTCGGAGCCAAAGGCGATCCCCATTGCGCCTCGCCGGCCCGTCATGGCCTGACTTTTCTTTTCTTTTCATCATTTGCACGAACCTCTTAATGAGATACCCGCCTGCCTTTTTGTTTCTGTTATTTTCCTCAGGCACTTCTTTTTCACCTTTTCTTTTTTCCCCCTTGTCTTTTTCGATATTCAATTCTCTGTGCTTCTATTCGCTTTGGCAAGGTGATCAATCTCGCATTGCTCACTCTACATCTAGTTTTCTTGCGATATGGATATGGGCATAGACTATAGCGTCTCACAGACACGGAGTTTTTGTTTTGCAGCCTTGATTTTTCGGTGGTTTTCTCTCTTGGACGTCTCTGATCATGGGGTTCGCCCGTCCGTTCAGACCTGAGACTGGCGCTATGTTACGATGAGATATCACGATCACGAGACATTCAAGAGACATGTATTCTATGTATTATTTGAACACGAATCACAGCCATTGGCTTTTTCCAATAACTCTCCAAGGAATAGCTTAATATTCCTGTACTCCGTTGTCAATCCATATTTCTCTTGTTCGATGATGTACTTATAGTCCGGAGAAACTCGGATAAACCAACCTAATTAGGTTAATCCGACCACAGGGCCACAATCAAAAATCCCACCAAAAAGAACATCCCGCAGAGACAAAGACCCGCATCACCTCCCACCTCCCTTCAGTAATATCAAAATGGTCGCCTTTGACAAGTGTGAAACTCGGCCCGCCCACATTGAGGCTATCCTCAGTGGCCTCGACCGCTACAACCCCGAGACCACCACCGTGTTCCAGGACTATGTGGCCCAGCAGTGCGAGGACCGGTCATTCGACTGCTACGCCAACCTGGCCCTCCTGAAGCTGTGAGTTGGAATCATTTCTTTCGAAAATTGTGTTGTGTCAATATCGAATGAGAATTGCTTCTGTGATGATCATCTTTTAAGCGTTTCCTATTACCTGACAATCCCATAATATACTTGGGAATGTTGAGAAATCCTGTGAAGATGCTGAAAAGCAAAGCCATTTGCAATCAGCATGGCATACAACTCGCGATATGACTCATTAAAAAAAAAAAAAAAACGAATCAATCGCTAACACCCCATCCAGCTTCCAATTCAACCCTCACCTCCTCCAAGCCGACACCGTGACCAACATCCTGGCCAAGGCCCTGACCGTCTTCCCCTCCGCGGCCTTTTCGCTCTGCCTCGCCCTCCTCCCAACAAACACCCAGCCCTTCCCCACCACCAGCGAAGCCCAAGCCGCCAGCCAGACCTCCGACTTTGTCGAGTCCGTGCAGAAGCTCACCCGCCTCAACACCCTCCTTGAGTCCGCCCAGTACGCCCAGTTCTGGTCGACCCTCAACTCCGATGACCTCTACGCCGATCTGACCGCCGACGTCGCCGGCTTCGAGGAGCTCGTCCGCATCCGCATCGCTGTCGAGGTCGGCAAGACCTTCCGCTCCATCACGGCCGAGAACCTCGAGTCCTGGCTCGACATGCGCCGCGACGCTCTGGACAAGTTCGTCGCCGACGTCTGCGGCTGGAAGGTCGATGGCGCCACCGTCCACGTCCCCACCAACAAGGAGAACGAGGCCCGCTCCGAGGTCAAGAGCGAACGCGTCGGCGTCGAGCAGTTCGGTCGTGTTATCCGTCGTGGCTTTGAGCAGCCCGCTTAAGCGCCTGCCTTCTCTTCTCTATCCCGCCCTCCACATTTGATTTGTTACTTCTGGCATCTCATACACTTCCTCCTTTCGTATCTCTACCTTTTTCTTAACTACTCCAAAAAAATGTGCACTGTCGCTCCGTCGGTCTGTCGGTCCGTCATGCCATGAGTTCATGAATTACCCCACCTTCTCCCTCGATCAAATGATCCGATGGTGATAGATTTCGCATGGAAGAGGGGCTCTGAGATGAGTCGGGATCTGGCGCATCGGGCGTTTTTCTTTTTGTCTTTTTGGACTGGGACTCCTTTATCCTTTCTCCTGTCTGTATTGGATTTTTCTTCCCTTTTTTCGCACTCCGTGCTGTCAGTCCCCCTGGCACTGGATGATATGAGAGAGATTTATCTTTTGTCCATACCATAAACAATACCTTGATGTCGAACCTGTCCTGCCTACTGTCTACTGTCTACTGTCTACATTACATGTACGTGTTACATGTAGGGTCCAACTGGTTTCGCCAATATAAAATAAATCAATCATACAGTACAAGTCATGTTCGGATATTCGATCTTAGTAGATTGCTAGAGCATTGAGCATGTGAAGCGGGATATCAGCTCAGCTCGGTCTACTAATCTTTATGCTATGTGCATGTACAATAGGCACATAGACCAATTAGGTTACCCGACATCTATAATCCCATTTATCTCTGATCCCTAGTCCCTTGGTGCTGGCATCAGCAGAGTTTTGTACTGCAGTCCATCAGCAATAGAAGCTTCGACTACCATACATGAGCAGACCCAACCATCTACCCGATTTCCTGTGGTCATCTTGTAATCCGCCAGGTAGCGCAGATGATACCTACAGATATCACGAATACTGTAATCTCATTTGCGCATAGCCCTCCGTCTACCGAGAGAACCTGGCAAGGAAGTCGAACGAAGCACCAGACTTAGAGGTTTAGTTGATATCTCCGTTGTTTACCTCGTCGGGAGTAAAAGGATGATCGAAGCGACGGGCAGAAGAGATAGAAGTGTGCGGCTTACGTGGCTAGTACGGTTATAGAAAATGATGTCTGGTAGAGACTGAAGGTTAAGTTAGACCTGAAAGTAAGATCAAAAGTAACATGAGAACTTCTGTTTTGATTTCTTTATCTAGCTCTTTGCTTACTTCTATGCTTACTTGTTCGTTAGTTTCTAAAGTTCATTCTCTGTGAAGAAATAATCCTTGTATCTAAAAGCCTTTTTTTTCTTCTTTTGCCTCTTCTTCTTCTTTTTCTTCTTGTTCTTCTCTCGACCTCTTGTCACGTTATATAAGAAACCATCTCTTCCTTCAGCTCTTCTATTTTCCTTTATCTCTTCACAGCTCTGCGCCTGTCTCGAGTCCCATTTTTCGATGGGACTTTCCCTCCTATAGTCGCAGGCTCATTCTTAGTTAGCACATCATGATAAACCCCAGACAGACCCTAACACCAGAGAGGGAGTTCACCAGACCAGTTCGGAACACAGCGTGAGCTTAGGATGCCGGGATTCCTCAATTGAATCCAATGATCCAACTATACCAGCGAATGGTAGGGTCCTCGCCCGGTCATCGGCTAGTGGATGAGGGGAGGCTTGGGGGAGGAATATGCCGATATTAAGGAGCACATGAATCTCTTTAACAACAAGGCAAACTAGATAATTACCCAGACTCCACGTCGCTACCTGTACTTCAAGCAGCGGGGAAAGTTTCTGAAAGAGTTGGCACGGTGGATGTCGTCTCACGGAAGGGATTAGTGCTTACCGCGGAATGGAGACACACAGAACAATTTTGTTTCGGATTTCCTACTCATTGCTTGAATAGCCTTAAAGTTTGCTCTATGCTCCCTTTTCCTATAGCTTTCGACTTGCAAGTAGTTCTCTATAGTACAATCCGTGTATGGGCTAAGCCGTAATGGGACTAGCGTTATCATTTCATCCCCACTCCCGACACCTCGGAGGTTTCCATATCACTTCCCATGTAAGATCAGGAAAACATCCCATCTCATAATTAGCTTCACAGACTTTTGAAGCCTATGCCATGGCATCAAGGCACATTTCGTTATTCCTGTACTTTGTCCTTACCATCCTACTCTCTTTTGGCAATGCCGCAGAGCAGCAGCAACCACTTCAAGCCGTAGATGCAACCCCAAAGAAGGTAGCAATTATCGGTAGGCATCCCTTCATCCCACACAAGCTTACTCCTAGCTAAAAGAACCCGTAGGAGCCGGGGCCGGTGGCTCATTTACAGCATATCAACTACGCAAGCTCGCAGATGAAGCCGGCATCCCTGTGAAGATCACAGTCTACGAACGTGAATCATACGTCGGTGGCCGTTCGACAACAGTAAACGTCTTTGGTGATCCCGCTTATCCAATTGAGTTGGGCGCGTCCATCTTCGTCCAGGTCAATTACAACCTGGTCAACGCTTCCCGTGACCTGGGTCTGACCGTCCGCAGCGCTGATTATGCCCGACCACAAGAGGCCGATGAAAGTATTGGTATCTGGGACGGGTCACAGTTTGTGTTTTCACTGAAGAATACATACAAGTGGTGGAATCTTGGTCGGCTTTTTTGGCGGTACGGGCTTGCGCCGCTGCGCACTCAGAACTTGGTGAAGAAGATTGTTGGTCAATTCTTACGGCTCTATGAGGAGCCTCTGTTTCCTTTTAATTCACTTTCTGGGGCGGCTATTGCGGCAGAGTTACTGAATGCGACTGCATCTTCGGGCGCAGCATTTCTTCACGCCAATGATGTTGGGTCTCTTTTTGCGAGGGAAATCATCCAGGCCAGTACTCGCGTGAACTATGGCCAGAATTTGCAGTTGATTCATGGACTGGAGTCTGTCGTTTGCATGGCTACTGATGGGGCTGTCTCGATTGAAGGCGGAAACTGGCGCATCTTCGATGCCGCGTTGAGTGCCTCACATGCGCATGTCAATGTGAACACTACTGTCACTGGGATTATACGGAATAGCGATGGCACCATGCAAGTATCGTCGAAGTTGAACGCCGCTTCCACTTCTGAAAAGACCTTCGACGAAGTTGTCGTTGCCGGTCCGTTGCAGTACTCTGGCATTTCGATATCCCCTTCATTGGACCACACCCCGGATGAAATCCCATACGTGAATCTGCACGTTACTCTCTTTTCATCTCCACACCGCATCGCACCGCAGTACTTCGGACTCGATCTCAATGCCAGAGCACCAGAGACAATCTTGACGACCCTCCCAGAGGACTTCAACCCGGAGAACAAGGCTGATGTCGGGCCTAGCGGCTTCTGGAGTATCAGTACTCTCCGAACAGTGGATCATCCCACAGTCAACTCCGAGGAAACGGAACAGCATTACGTCTACAAGATTTTCTCGCCAGAGCGCCCAACAGCTGAGTTCATTGCTGGCATTCTAGGTCTAGAGAAGGACTATGTGTCGAGCAATGCGACGATCGGAGACCTTTCAAAGAACGATGTCAGCTGGTTCCATGAGAAACTTTGGAACCCATATCCTGTTCTATACCCGCGAGTCACATTTGAAGATACCCTTCTGGCTCCGGGTGTGTGGTATACTGGTGGCATTGAGAGCTTTATCTCGACGATGGAGACTAGTGCTCTGATGGGTCGGAATGTGGCGACCCTTATGTTCCAGTCATGGCAGAAAGATGTTCGCGTGAATGACGGGGCTGCTACGGAGGTAAAGTCTGAGCTATGATCTGCACTGCACGTGTGAGCCTTTTGCATATTCACAGATAGGTACAGCATATCATGTAGTTTAAGTTAACAAAGCCAACATGATTGACGTTTTTATCCGCACTAAAAGGTAATGGAACATCGTGAATAGGCCCCGATTTCTGCGACCTAGACCATCTTTTTACATATCTAACTTCAATTAGGCAGTCAATATTATGCTTTCTGATAAATTAGGTAGCAGATATCATGGGCTAGCTAGCTACTTATTAGTAGTGAACAAAAGTAACAAGGACGACTTACGCAATATACTTTCAGAGGCCTACGGATTGGCTACCCTACTAGTTTGATATGTATGATTAGCTTTTGGGATTATAGGCTACATCTTCGTAGATCTTTGTGTGGTACTTATAGTACGGCAGTCTAATGCGGCGTTAAGCTAAAGTCGAGTCCTGCTAGTGTTAAGTAGAATATCTGTCATGGACCCTAGAGGCACACGTATCCAAGCACGTAGTAAGTCATGTTAAATAGAAGTTCCCCAAGAATGAGTCTCTGTACCAACTCCCGCATCACTTGTTCCGAGACATCTTTGATCCTGTAAACACTAGACCTATCCCTTACAAGTGTATGCTGACAGTAGGATGGTAGGAACAATTGAAGAGTGTAAGTGATGACATCAGTTCCGAGATCACCCTAGCACTAAATGATAGTAATGGTCAGGATGATAATACAGAATAGGTTTATTTAATTAACTTAAACTGTAGCTAACTTATCACGGTTTTGTGCCCGAATATGCGCACGTCGTCATCTACCTGGCCGAGATGAATATGTTCAGCTGACCTCAACCTCTGAAAAAATAGTCAGTGAGCCGAATGACCAGTGCTTTTGGGAACGCTTGGTCTAGCATGAGTAGGGCGGTTATTCCAAAGGTTTCTAGAGCAAACTAAAGAAAAATGGCCTGGCTCTCACCAAGCCATGGAATATAAAAGGATAAAAAAGGAAGCCCAACGCCGGGATCGAACCGGCAACCTTAGCATAATCTTCCTCTCTGGACATTTTGTCGCAGAAATCGATATTGAAATCACAGGTAGAAGTGCTATGCGCTGCCAATTGCGCCAGCCGGGCCTGTTTTGTGAATGCCATTCCTTTCCAATTCCTTTCGACGTTGACGTGCTGAGCAAACCTTAGTGCTACTCTATGGTGCTTAGTATCTGAATTTACTCTTAGATGAGCGAAGAAAGCAAAAGGGAAGAAAAAAAAAAGTAAAAACCAAAAGCAGCATAAGTAGTGAACTAAAATTATAATATTTTTATCAAGTCGGAGTACACATTAAGTCGAGTAAGTCGAGTAAGTCGAGTACACCAAATCTGCTCCTCAATTACCATATCGCTTATCGCCAATTTCTTTTTTTTTGGCGGGGTGAACATTTCACTTCCTCGAACTTTGCGCAATGAATCCCTATGACAGTGACTCGAGTCTTGACGAAGACTTCACCGATACTGGTGTTCTTCTCGGATATGCAGCTGAAGAAGTCATTGAAGACACAGTCAGTCATCTAGGAGGCTGGCCCGTATGCTTAACCCACGTCCGCAGACCCTCGAGGCCCAAACCCTCAAGCTAACAATGCGATAGAAATGGCTCGACGATGCCTCCCCAGCCCCGGGTGATTTTGCCAACTGCAAGGTCTGCAATAGTCCAATGCTCCTCCTCCTCGAGTTGCATGGTGACCTGCCCGACCACTTCCCAACCGACGAACGGCGCCTCTACCTATTCGGTTGCCCCAGGAAACCCTGCAACCGCAAGCCCGGAAGCATCAGAGCCTACCGCGCAACCCGCAAAGTAACGGTCGGTACCGAAAAGCCAAAGCAACCCGAGAAGCCCAAGAATGAAGCCCCGCCATCCGCCCCCGAGCAACCAAAGCAAGACCTCGGCGCAAGCCTGTTCGGCGCAACAACCCTAACCAACACGGTCTCCTCGAACCCAAATCCATTCTCCTCCACCTCAGGCCCAGCATCCGCAGGCAGCAACCCCTTCGCGGCACCAGTGCCAGCAACCCCAGTCGAGAAGAAGCCCGCCCCCGCCACACAAGAACAATCCCTGGCGGAATCCTTCGCGGACAAAGTTCGTGTCTCAGAACCAAACCCTTCTGCAGCAACGAAACCACCCCCCGAGTCAAGCACTGACACAACACCGTGGCCCGCGCAATCCGCCTTCCCACCCCCGTACAAGAACTTCTACCTAGACGCCGAATACGAAACTCTCAGTCGGCCCTCGACACCCACGGTGCCAGAAAATGTCACAATGGAACCGATGGACGAAGACGGCAGCGGAGGCGCCGACCTCAAAGACACCTTCGAGTCTGAGCTCGATAAGGCCTTTATGAAATTCTCCACTCGCCTAGCACACAATCCAGAGCAAGTCCTGCGCTATGAATTTAACGGCGCGCCTTTACTCTATTCGACTGGTGATGCGGTCGGCGCGAGATTCCATGTTCACAGTGCGCCCGGTGCGAAGGTTACCACTACCACGCTTGGCGCGGGTAATATCCCTCCTTGTGAGTACTGCGGTGCGGCTCGCGTCTTCGAGTTCCAGCTTGTGCCGCATGCTATCAGTATGCTTGAAGAGGGGCGTGCTGGTGTTGGTCTTGGGAAGGATGATGCCGGTATGGAGTGGGGCACTATTATTCTCGGTGTTTGCTCGAGGGATTGTAGACCTGATGAGCTTAACGTCACTGGCTGGAGAGAGGAGTGGGCTGGTGTGCAGTGGGAGGAGATGAAATAGTTTGATGTCGAGATAGAGTTGGCGAGGACAACAAAGAGTAGATACTGCTATTTTTAAAAACATACATTGGTTGTTTCATTGTTTCCTCGATATGTATTGTTTAATAGCTCCTTGAACATGTGGGCAGTATTTAAAGACAAAAGTTTGGGGAGTATTGAAAACTTCCAGAGAAGCAGAGAGTGGGCCTCTGATATATATATTCCATCTGGTCCTTAACAACCCAATCCACCTCATAGCGGTACCTCTTCAATAGATATTTTGTTTGACGCTAGGTCTTGGTGCACAGTATCCATTTATATATCTCACATATAGGAGCCACAAATTCAACTCATTGTCATTTCACTTGCTTCCTGTTTACACTATACCCTGGGACCGGAACCAGTGGCCCCGGGGATACTCAGAAGGATAAGATGCATGCATGATGTGTGCCTGGCAGAACGAAAAGAGCAATCTACTCATATAATAGAGCATCAAAAACAGCGCGCGGCTCTTCGTGGTAGCATCTTTAAAGCAATGATAATGTCCTGATCGAGGAAATCCTCGGCCTATTCTATCAACGTAGCCTTTTTCGTGCCGTCTAGCATTATGCAGCGAGCGAGTATCGAACCAGGAACCCGTTTGGTTACCGTCTTTGGCGGGAGGATAAGCTATATAGATTTCATTTCTATCGTGATGGCTGTACGAATATAGGTGCGAGATAAGCTCACCTGAGCTATCAGAAGTGATGACAGTAAGTTGTTCTTCTGATTCCAAGCACAATCCAAGCACGATCAGTATAACAGCTTTTCTAAGTCATGGTGGTCCTAGGAACTATGAGTGTAGGCCTATAGACGATGAAATTAGCAGATCCTCGCCATCTTTCGAGTTCCTCATCAAGACTTATACTCCCCGTTTTTTGGGGGAGCTACTGTGGGGGCCAACCATATCAGAATTATAGTCACTCCCATGGTCAGCCCCTTCAACGTATCCTGATGAAGACGGACTTGCATATGGAGATTGGGCCCTCTAACCCAATGGAGAATCATATGCCATGAGCAAGTATGATGGAGGGCCCTGGAGTGAAATAATTGCATACAGCGTCGTGCGTGGTCAATATACAAGGCCGAAGATAAATTAATGAACTTGATTCCTTTCTATGCACATGGATTCGTAACCTGCATCCAATCATTCTAGCTAAAAATTGTACTGACATGAACTTTTCTATAATCCCAACCTTACGATGCTGAATCTACTCCATCTCAATGGTACCAGGGGGCTTGCTGGTGAAGTCATAGGCGACACGGCAAACACCCTGGACCTCGTTGACGATGCGGGTAGAGACCTTGGTCAGGAACTCGTAGCTGAAGGGGTAGGGAGTGGCGGTCATGAAGTCCTTGGTGGAGATGGCGCGGAGGAGGATGATGTTGGCGTACACGCGCTTGTCACCCATGACACCGACGGCGCGGGAGGGGTCCAGAGCGGCGTAGGCCTGGCCGATGTCGTCGTAGAGACCAGCCTCGCGGATCATACTGATGAAGATGTGGTCGGCGTGGCGGGCGGCGTCGACCTTCTCCTTGGTGACCTCACCCAAGACACGGATGGCAAGACCGGGGCCTGGTTTGCTGTCAGTTGTTTGGCCGGAAGTTATTATAGTAGTGGTTACTTACCAGGGAAGGGGTGACGGCCGACGAGCTCGGCAGAGATGTTAAGCTGGCGACCAAGCTCGCGGACCTCATCCTTGAAGAGTTCGCGGAGGGGCTCAATCAGCTTGAGGCCGTGACCGGCCATGAGACGCTCGGCGATACCGCCAACGTTGTGGTGGGTCTTGATAGTCTGGGAAGGTCCCTTGAAAGAGATACTCTCAATGACATCTGAGATGTATTAGCGCATTATTCACGAATATAGAGATATTGATGACCTACCAGGGTAGAGAGTTCCCTGCAAGAACCACTCGACCTTGCCGGCGTTCTTGGCCTCGATCTTGCGAGCCTCTTCCTCGAAGACATCGATGAACTTGCCACCAATGAATTTGCGCTTCTGCTCGGGGTCGTGGACACCCTTGAGGCCAGCGAGGAACTCCTCGGAAGCATCGACAACGGTAAGGTTGATACCGAGCTGCTCCTGGAGAACATCCTTGACGACAGCGCACTCATTCAGGCGCATGCAGCCGTTGTCCACCAAGACAGCGTGGAAACGGTCACCGATAGCCTCAGTCATCAGCTTGGCGGCGACGGTAGAGTCGACACCACCGCTGACGGCACCCAGGACCTGACCGGTAGGGCCAACGAGGTTGCGGATACGGGTGATCTCCTGGCCAATGAACTCGGACATGGTCCAGGTCTGCTGGGCACCACAAATGCCGACAGCAAAATTCTTAAGAAGCTGACCGCCCTGAGGGGTGTCTGATTTTCGTTAGTACAAGACCAATACTCCCACTTAGAAAACCATTGACTCACGGGTAACCTCAGGGTGGAACTGGATGCCGTAAACGGGCTCAGTCTGGTGTGCGATAGCAGCGTACTCAGAGTTCTTGGTTGTGCCGATGGTGTGGAAACCCTCGGGAAGGTTGCAGAGCTTGTCACCGTGGGACATCCAGACGGTCATGGCATCCTCGAGACCCTCGAAGAGCTTGTCGACATGGCCTCCGAAGCGGGTGGCCTGCAGATCAGCGTGACCGTACTCGCGAGCGGTACCAGCAACGACGTTGTCGGCGTGCAGACGGTGGGCGATCTCCTGGAGACCGTAGCAAATTCCGAGAATAGGGACGCCCAATTCGAAGAAGGCGGGGTCGATGTGGGGGGCATCCTTCTCGTAAACGGAGTAGGGACCACCGGACAGAATGATTCCCTTGGGGCTCCAGCCGAGATCGGCCAACTTCTGGGTGCAGGGAAGCATCTCAGAGTAGACATTGATCTCTCGTAGACGGCGGGTAATGAGGTGGGTGCTGCACGGAGTAGTCGGTTAGACTTGACGAATTGAGATGCAGATTTGGGCTGAACACAGAATTCGACTACTGGCAAGGAGAACATACTATTGCGATCCATTGTCGAGCACCAAGATGGTGTCGAAGCTGTTGTGAGGAATCACCTCAGTCATGGTGATAGAGTTTGAGTCACAAAGTGATCTCAATAAAGTTGATGGTATGGAGGCGATCACAGATCAATATCAATTGACTGTGAAGGGGTATATTGGCCAAATGAAATAGCCTCCAAAAGTTATCGCAATGAGTCAAGGGAAGGAAGAATTCTAAGAATCCGATAAGAGAAGAAAAAAAAGTGGTACATGGGGAACTCCCGCATTCTGCCGCCAATTAGGGGATCTGATTGGTCAGAAGCGGTTCCGCTTTGATGACTAATGAGGGGCAAAGTGATAAGGCCCGATTTGGGTATGAGAAACCCTAAGGCGACTGTTATATACTGCAATTGCATTGGTCTCTGGTATTTGATACATATCTACCACTCTGGCTCGCTGTCACTGCCGGGGTATGCCTTCTTCCTCAACTTCCATAATGACTTTTCACGCGCAGCAGCTTCACGTCGGTGACGACTATTGTCTTCTACAACGGTCATCCAGGGTACGTTGCTAGCTCTCCGTATCCTCTCACGCAGGAGCGCAAGGGTTCGGTTATGCTCAGGATCACCGTCAGTAGCAGAGTCTCCAGATTTGTGCGACCGGGATGTTGACCGTTGGTAGCGACGTTCTGCTGCACGAGCAGCATAGTATTCTTCACTGATAGCCCAATTGGGGTTATCAACCTGACCACGAACCAGCACAAGGCCGTGGCCCTTTTGGATAGAGTTTTCAAGAAGGGAAGAAGGAATAGGAGTAGAGAGTTCAAGCTTATGCGCAGAGGTATTGATCGAGCGGACTAAAGCCAGACCGAGACAATGCGAAGATCTTGGATCCAAAGGAATGCAACTGCCGGACCCAACGAAAAGATAGGGAAGACCTTCGCGTGTTCGTACAACGCTTTCGGATGCAGCAGCCTGGATTGACTCAATCAAACCTGGGGTCTCTTCATCCATGTCCATGTCTGAGTCATTCAAGGCCTCGGGGCCTGCCATCTCACCTGTGAGGGCACTCGGCGATTCCACTGCCACAATGCCTACAATGGCCCCTTCGAGAGTTTCTTGCAAGAGATCAGGGTTGATCTGAGACCCCATAACCATGATACCCATGATTCCTTGCCGTGCGCCAGCGTAGTCCACGGTGATGGGTCTGGAACGAGAGAGAGGACCATTCGTCCATAATGGAGTGCTGAGATCAGACGGTTGAGACATGTGGAAGTATGATTGAATTTGCATGGCGCGCAGTTGAGCGCTTGAACGGCTCACAAAGTCGGTCGGTTGCGAAGGAAGGATGGTCAAGGGGACGCGGGCTTCACGGGCTGCCAGAGACAAAGGATCCACGACCTCTGATGGGCCCTTTTCGCTCATGTAAACCACGTCGGAAAGACCAAGTGATCTTACCAACCATGTTGCAACCTCTAATCCTTGACCAAATATCCAACCAGGATAGTTGATAATCAGAGGGCACCGAGGATACTTGTCCAACAATGAGCGATATTGATCCATCAGATCCATGACCGCCATGGCATAGTGGTCTGGGTCTTCCTTGGGTGATGTTGCTCCGATATGATGCGCTCGCACCATTTCACCGTCGCGGGACTCGTCCAGCGAAGGGTGGGTGAAAGGCGGGCCAAAGAATGGGCAGCACAAGCGCGCAAGGTAGACTTGGCCCATGGGCGCAAATTCAGGCTGACCTGGATCTAGATCCAGGAAAGCAACACCGTCCGTATTCGTGTATCCGGTCTCGACCTCAGGCGCGGCGCTGAGAACATGGTTTAACAAGTAGCGACTGAAAGTAGATTTCCCAGACGCCTTGGGACCACATACCAAAACACGAAGTCTGCTTTGGCGCTGTGAAAGGGCTTTCATCGACGCACTCCACTTCTTGTCGAGGTGAAGGGGTCGAAGATGTCTGTTCAAAGTATCATCTGACGATGTGTACAGCTGTCAAACTGGTTAGTCTTGAATTTGAACTCTTTGAAAAAATACTACTCACAACTGAGAAGGTTCGCTTGGAGTTTTTCGTAACGCCCTTCAAAGTTATTTTGTCTGCAGCCGTGTTTTGACCAGCCCAGATCTTTTGATATAGAGGGGAAAGGTCCCGGAGATGGGCAATGCCGCTGCTGCATGACTTGATTTCGACCTCAGCTTCACCATCAGGACCAGACACGCATTTGATAACCGGCAATGAGTGTGTTGAGGGAGCATAAACTCTATGCACTTCTGCGGAAGGGTGCAATTTCGCGCCCATCAGACTGACAACGCCTCTTTTAACCCAAAGATCATATTGACCAATCAATGCCAGATTCTATACCAAGTCAATAAAGTCACATCTATCATCCGGATGATCTGGTACATACTGTTCTCTCCTTGATACGGATACAAAGAGTGTTACCGTCACTGTAGACGATGTTGCTCTTGTTCAAACGAGCCTTTGACAGAGGGAAGTTTTGGAGCTCTGTCGTGGTTTCCGCAGGTGATTCATAGCCATCGGCATCACCTGCTACAGACGCGACTTCGTCCTCATCCATTTCATCCACATTTGCGACTTCCTCTTGCTCGGACTCAGCATCTGATTGCTCTGAGGCATTCTCCGGCTCTGGTTGGACCTCAGACATATGAGATCGAGTGACTCTTGTCGGCTTCTCTGGCGACTTTTCTGCAGGCAAAGGCTCATTCTGCTTCTTTGCGGTCCTTGTTCGCGGGCGATACTCTCCATTTTGTTCGGTCTCGGCTACTTCGAGCGATCGTCGCGGCTTTTTCGAGGGTGGTTCGGTTGCAGCTACAGCTTGCGGAGTCTCCTTTGGTACGACTTGCTCCTGCGCTTGTTGCTGGCGAGCTTTGCGCGCAGCGAAGGCAGCGAAGGCGCTCTGAGGAGCTAGAACCGACAGGCGTGAGCTTTACACTGGAATAATGGGACACGTATGTATGAAGCTTACCACCCGCTTGCTGTTTTTCAGCCTTGCGCTTCATTGTATGTAATTGACCGCAGTCAGAGTTGGAGAGAAAACGACCGTTTTGATAATGCGGTCCAAAGCCGATAAGCAAAAAAAAGTTGGCTTGTGGTCCGTGCTCCCGCGGAGCAGAAAAAAAGATCGGCTGTTCAACTCGAACATTCTCACTCAACGTCGACTATTGCCGAATTGCGGGTTCGCATAGATATTTCCCGAAGATCTATCGACCGTTTCGCTGAATGTGAGTAGTGGGATTTGGCTGCGCCACATTCCGCGAATCCTTTGCGAAAGCATCATCGGTCTTCGCTTTGCCCGCTACCTTGAACAGCCGCCATGGCATCCGATAGCGATAGCAGCTCGAGCAGGTCGACCTCGCCTGAGCCTACGACCAAGCAAGAAAAGAACATGAAGAAACTCTCCAAGGCACAGGAATCAAGCTCAGATGAGTCCTCGAGCTCGTCGGGCTCAGACTCCGACAGCGACTCCGATAGCTCTAGTGAGATGAAGCCTACAACCTCGGGCAAGAAGTAAGCGGTTTCCGATTTTACAACACCAACATACAATGATACTAATATATACACCTTCAGGGTCTCAATCTCCGGTCCTCAGCCCTACAAGCCCCCGGCGGGCTTCAAGTCTGCAAAGACGCAGGCCCCGCCATCCTCCAAAACTTCCTCCCTTCTCTCCAACCTCAGCGGCAAACAAATCATTCACCTCACAGCCCCCGCCTCTCTCCCATTGTCCAAGGTCAAAGAGGTGACCATGTCCAAGGTGATGCAGGGCGAGCCAATCCTCAGTCACGACGGCGTGAGCTACGGAATCCCTACCGAATCATTTTCAGAGGCCGGACTCCCCAACAAGTCTCTTCTCGTTTTCGACGAGAAGTCGCAAACATACCGCACCGCAGCGGCCAGCATTCCCAGTTTCCACGTCCAGGAATTGATCGATCTCCCAAGTTCGGAAAAGACCGACGCCGCAGTGGCAGCACTGCGCGAATACGTCAAACCCGCCAGGCCTCAACCAAAGCACCTGAAGATGCGATTCCGACCTGTCGGAACCGACGCTGCTGGCCCCGAGACCTTCGGCTCCAGCTCGGAATCCGAGGCTGAAGTGCCTTCGTTCAAGGTGCCCAAGGGAGAAGAGCGCAAGCGGAAGCACGATCACACCGAGGCTGATCCTGATGCCCCTCAAGCGGCGGCTGTGCCTCGCAAGAAGTCAAAGAAGCACTCCCGAGAGAATGATGATGAGACAAGGCCCAAGAAGTCTAAAAAGTCCTCTAAGGACAAGGAGGAGAAGAAGCGGAAAAAGTCTGAGAAGGCATGATTTGGCGTTTGGTTTTCTTTCTAGCTTTGTTTTTACGACATTTCACAAATACATGTACAATTTACAGTCTCACTTCATTACCAATATCGTTGTGAGTTTTCCAAAAAGGCATATCTGTTTCGATCTTGCAATGATCTTTGCAACTAGCAATTGCAGCTCTAAGCTAATACCGGAAAGTAGATAACCGGCATGGATATCTGGTCATTCACCTTTCAATGTTCCACGGACTGATGCTTGAGGTTTGCATGGAAGTTTTCATGCACACTGACGATCTGAACTTTCTTACCATCCGCATTGAGCACACCTCCTTTCTCACTATCATCAGTCGAGCTTCGCTCCGCAGTTTCCCACTCAGTACCAGCAGCAATTTCGAGATTCTTGCCGCGGGTTTCCTTGACAAAAACCCAGCAAAAGCCAGCAGCTACAATGTCAAAGCCCATGAAGACGAGGAAGGTGTTAGCACCGACGTTCTTGATCATGTAGGGACTCGCGAAGGAGAAGCAGAAAGATGATGCCCAGTGAGCAAGCATACTAACTGCCAATCCCAGAGCTCGAATCCGTGTTGGGAAGATCTCTGGTACGTATGCCCAAGGCAGTGGACCCCAAGAGCAGTTGTAGATCTATTATAGGTTAGCACATATCGCGAGTGCCTCAATAGAGATGTCTGACCATAATGTCAAGATAAATCATAGCAACCGTCGCTCTCCCAGCAGAAGTAACATTAGTCGCAGATTGAGTTGGGACATAATCAACAATGAGCGCAGTGATGAGCATGCAAATAGCCATAAGCGCAGCACCACCAGCAAGCGTCATCCGACGACTAAGTAGTAGCAATAACCTTGACAGCACCAAACAAACCAGTGAACAGCATGTTACGGTTCGTTCCACTGCCCGAAATCAACTTGAAATACTGTGGCGCGAAAACAGCCAGTGCACTGCTTCCCGTGGCATTCTGGAAAATGAACAGTAGAGGTCCAACGATGAAGCGGAGGCGGTTGGCTGGCTCGAGAAGCTCGCGGTATGAGAAGCCCTCGCGCTCTGCGCGCTCTGCTTGAAGTCCTAACTGTGTTTCTGTGAATTCTTCTCGGGTCTTGATATCTTCGTCGCCGCGGATCCAGGTAATGGACTTCCAGGCCTCGTCGGTGCGGTTTTGTGTCAGTAGCCAACGGATCGATTCCGGTAAGGTGAAGCTGCCGATGAAGAGGATTCCTCCCGAGATCAGCTGTAGTCCAACGGGGATCTGCCACTCGCGTGAAGTACCCGCGATAGAGTTGCTCTTCGCTACACCCTGCTTGGTTGTTAGTTTTGTTGATACTTGTTAGGGCTAATGGTAGAGCTAGACCCACATAGTCAATCCAGTATGCCGTGAAGACACCCCATGCATAGAGCCACTGGTAGAAAGAACCACATCGACCACAAATCTCCTTTGGTGTCATCTCTGCTGAGTACATGGGGATGACAACACTCTGGCCACCCATGCCCAGACCGGCGATGATACGGCCGATGTACCAAGCTGCCAGAGAGTGGGTTTTGATGACTTGTATGATGACGCCTATGATAAAGAGGGCTGTCGAGCCGAGGATAGTGAGCTTGTGTCCATATTTGTTTGTCAATGGGTAGACCACTGCTGCTCCAATGAACGATCCTAGTTGCTCGAGACCAACGGTGAGCGAGGACACCTTGGACTGGGATATAGTCTTGTAGCCCAGGTCGGCTTGGAAGGATTTGTAGGTTAAGATGCCACCTGCAACACCTGAATCGTAGGCAGATAGGAATGAGGATATGCTATAGAGAACGTATCAGTTGTTATCATGATATCACTTCTCATGTGTGACATACAAGACAATAGCTGCCAGATGATAGGCACGGAGGGTGCCCAGACGGGTGTTCAACTCGGGCATAGTAAAGAACCCCATGGCTAAGGTATATCCAGGTTAGAGAAGAAAGAAAGAAAAAGAAGAGAAGGTAAGGGGATATTTCTATCCAAGGGGCCTAATCTCGGACTGTGTTTTGAGTTCCAGCAAAAGCCCAAGGCGACATGGCTCTTGCTTCGTATATAGAAGCAAAGCTTCTACATTTAGGTATCTCATGAGTAGCTACAAGGATGCTCTTGCGTGCTGGGTCTATACTCCCGCCAGCCGATAGCCGATGAATACTCGCTTCTAGAGCACACCTTCGCGCTTAGTGATGATGCTATCCTCATAGTGACTGCAATACTCCATAGAAGCGTCCCATATCAGCTCGGCTTGAAATGTTTTGACAACGCGCGTCCTGTCGCAAATGCCTAGGGTGTGATTGTTGATGCAACATGAAGGGCTAGATCCAGTGCTTTGCAAGGGGCTTCGTCGGCTGACTTGGTCTCAGACTGAAGCCTTGAGAGGCTGTGGATCTTAAGTGATTTACATGCCTAGGGCTGCTCATATAGATAGGCTTGGAAATTATGTGGAGATTTATATTGGAACTGCTCCATCTACGATCAACATATCTCCGACATTAGTCGATCCCTATATGCTTAGCACTATGCTGACCCACATCTCTATTAGTGCTGGGCCAAAGAGATATTCGAACACGATAGATGTTTGTATCAACTCATATCTTAAAAGACGCGAAAAGAAAGCAAGAATATGCCAAGAGATTAACCTGGTGGACCTCACTGGATGACCTCAGCCTGGGGTACCTTGGTGACATAAGCATCACCTGATTGCATCACATGCGATAGGCAACTAATGATCTCCTTTGTGCTTTGTATCTGTATTGTCTTTGTCTCTGAAGAAAGCGTTTCGTATTCCTGGCTTCATTTTGGGTATGCTTGGTTGAAGTGTGCATGTTTTGACAGCTTCAAGCCCGATATCAGTTCTGGCGCCCAAGCTCCGAGTGCTTATCGGGGATCCTCCGTAAGTTCGCCTTGGGCATTCCACATTCATCGGCTGACCGCATTAACATGGCAGAGTCACTTGGTCTAGCTTGACGTGTCTAGCTCCTGACTGGTGCAGTGTCGATCGCCCTATCAGCACCAGCCAGTCACCTGGCTCGAACCTCTGCCCGACCGGTGATTCACCATTAGCATCCATCGTCCTTACCTGTATCCGATTATACCAGTATACCATTAAAGATGAGGCCATTAAGAGATGATGCCAAATGCCGGCCAGACCGGCAGATGAGCGCAAGTATGAAACTGACTTCATCGAGCCGTCCATTTTCAGATCGTATACCAGAGAGATTCAAGGATGGAGATGATGCACAGTTCGATTTCACAGCTCCGCCGCGTGGAATGGGAACACGGGATGGACATGTGCACTATATGCAGCAGTCACTATTCTCCATGATTGCCGCTGTTGGATCCAAATCGGACTTTCATGCTCGGTTTGATGAATCAAGCGATAGCGATGCGGAGGGTGATGCGGATGAAAAGTTGAGGAGGAAGCTATCTAAAGAGAAAGCGTCATCGCGAGCACCAACGACATCGTCTGCGGTACCCACATCATCTCTCGCGCCAGCGACATCAACTGCACCACTATCAGCCTCTCACCTATCGGCTGAACTTTCTGAATCAATACCACTTGGGACAGAACAAAGAGGCCGTCGTCATCGAAGAACATTAACTAACAATAAATTCCCCCAACGGCTACCACGCTTGGACTCGAAAGACGACGCCCAGTCATCCCCAAGCTCGAGACTTATGGCTCCCCCCAAGAGACGAACTCGCAGTGCCACGCCGAGAGCAGCCCCTGTTTTGAGTCGCATGGTCGAAGCACAAACTCACTTTGATTCTTCCACTGCAACGCACTCACCATCCAACTCTTCCAACCTTGCCGAAACTATGGAAGAGTCGCACTCGTCTGCGTCTGCTCTTTCCACACGACTGATGGAGATGTTTGAGTTTGCAAAACCTGAAAAGGTTCTAGTCGAATATGCATGCTCGCTTCTTCAAAGCATGCTTCTACAGGGCTACATGTATGTGACCGAAGGTCATATCTGTTTCTATGCCTACCTTCCAAAGAAATCCAATGTGGCGATAAAGTCGGGGTATCTATCCAAGCGCGGTCGCAAGAATCCCAAGTATAACCGGTATTGGTTTGCTCTAAAGGGCGATGTCCTTTCATACTACCCAGACCCTTCGAATCTTTACTTTCCCAGCGGACATGTGGATCTTCGATATGGAATCGAAGCGTCTCTCGCAGAAAGCAAAGATGGCGACAAAGACAGCGATATCAAGGACTTCCAAGTCACCACCGACCAGGGAACATATCTGTTTAGGGCAGATAGCTCCACAAGTGCGAAGGAATGGGTGAAAGCTATCCAGAAAGTCATCTTCCGAACGCATAATGAAGGGGACAGCGTGAAAGTATCTTTTCCGATCGAGAATATCATTGATTTAGAGGAGAGTTCAATGGCCGACTTCGCCGACACATTTAAGATTCGAGTCATCGATAGTGGCGAAACATATGCAATTGACGAGGTACGTTATGAGACAACCCTGGTTTCGTTCATTTCTGATCCGATATAGTACTTCTTTTCGTTTTTCGACTCGGGCCAGGACGCGTTCAACTACATCAAGAGCCTGGTGAGTGCGACGACTATGAACGCAACGGAAGGATCGCCCAAAGACCGGGAGTCAAATCAAAAAGGTCAGAAATTGCAGACCAGCGGCCGAGTCACAGGTCAAAGACAAGATCTCTCACCCTTAAAGAGAAGCTCGAGTGATGGAAATGAAAACCAATCAGCGGATTCATTTGCCGAACAAGGCACTGCATCTTCGCCTATTATGCAATCCATGACAGACACGACCGAATCTGCGAGTCAAATACTGAATCGAAGTGATGTCTTCCACTCTCCTACCATGCGAGCAATGCGAAGGCGCTCATCAGATGTTGGAGAGACCATGCGGCGCTCCGAGGAGACAACTCGCTCTGCATCTGCGCAACTGGACTTGGATCGAGCCGGTCGGGCTATTGACAAGAGCGATGCTTTTGACCAGTCAGATGTCATGCAAGCATCTAGCCTTGGCTCAGTCGCTCATCTAAACGACCTCGTCAAGGCAGGCACTTATCCTTTCCAACGAGCAGCAGGATTTGCAGACTACGTGAAAAACCGCTCGAGGCAGATGAGCACCTTGTTGGCAACAGAGTCAATGGGCTATATTGAGAAGGTTTCTGGTATGTGGACTGGCAGCCAGAAACATTACGGTGAGCGGGAAGGACCATTGCAAGGCCAAAGCGTTGATGCAGAGGATGAAGGCGAAGGTGGACTCAATCATGGGGATCGGTTCCGTGCCCATTTTGCGCTTCCACCAACTGAAAGATTGCAGGCAACATACTATGCCTACTTGCATCGTGTGCTCCCGCTTTACGGCAAGATTTACATCAGTCAGAGGAAGCTTTGTTTTCGCAGTCTGATTCCTGGTACTCGGACCAAGATGATTCTACCATTTAAAGATATTGAGAATGTCGAAAAGGAAAAGGGCTTCCGTTTCGGATACCAAGGACTTGTCGTTATCATCCGTGGGCATGAAGAGCTGTTCTTTGAGTTCAATGCTTCAGAAGCGCGAGATGACTGCGCCGTCACACTGCATCAAAGCCTCGAGTCGGTGAAATACCTGGTGGAATCTGGGTTGCTCGCAGAAGAGGAGCGAGACGAAGTCGAGGCGGCCAAGGCTGAACACCGCATGCTCCAGGAAGCCAGACTGGACAGCCCCGACGAACATGACACACGCCCTACGCTTAATGAGGACTCATCCGAGATACATCCGTTCTTTGATGATCCTCGCGCCTCTATCATCAATTTCAAACCCACCGAGCCCCTTCGCATTACTTGCCTGACTATTGGCTCTCGAGGTGATGTGCAGCCGTATATTGCACTTTGTAAGGGACTACTTGCAGAAGGACACAAGCCTAAGATTGCAACACATGCCGAATTTGAGCCTTGGATCAGGAAGCATGGAATTGACTTTGCCCCCGTTGACGGTGATCCTGCCGAGCTGATGCGCATTTGTGTTGAGAACGGGATGTTTACATACTCATTCCTCAGAGAAGCATCACTCAAATTTAGAGGATGGATTGATGATCTCCTATCATCAGCATGGAGGAGCTGTCAAGGCAGTGATCTATTGATTGAATCGCCGAGCGCCATGGCCGGAGTTCACATTGCAGAGGCTCTTCGAATTCCCTACTTCCGAGGCTTCACCATGCCGTGGACTAGGACAAGGGCATATCCCCATGCATTTGCCGTACCAGAAAATCGAATGGGCGGAGCATACAACTACATTACATACGTCATGTTCGACACCATCTTTTGGAAAGCCATCGCAGGCCAAGTCAACCGCTGGCGAAACAGAGAGCTGGGACTAAAAGCTACCACGCTGGATAAAATGCAGCAGAATAAAGTCCCATTCCTCTACAACTACTCGCCTTCCGTGGTGGCCCCTCCTCTCGATTATCCGGATTGGATTCGCATCACAGGATACTGGTTCCTAAACGAAGGCTCAGACTGGACTCCGCCAGCTGACCTGTCGAACTTCATCCAACAGGCCAGAGCAGACGGCAAGAAGATCGTGTATATTGGCTTCGGGTCCATTGTCGTCTCAGATCCATCTGCCTTGACACGAACCGTCATCGAATCAGTCCAGAAGGCCGACGTCCGCTGCATCCTTTCAAAGGGCTGGTCAGATAGACTCGGCGATCCAGCCAGTGCAAAGCCCGAAATCCCTCTCCCACCAGAAATCTTACAAATCCAATCTGCGCCCCACGACTGGCTCTTCTCTCAGATCGATGCTGCAGCTCACCACGGTGGAGCAGGAACTACTGGCGCAAGTCTCCGAGCCGGCGTGCCCACTATCGTCAAGCCATTCTTCGGAGACCAGTTCTTCTTCGGCGGCCGAGTAGAAGATCTAGGCGTTGGAGTCTGCATGAAGAAACTCAACGTCAGTGTCTTCTCAAGGGCACTCTGGGAGGCTACGCATAGCGAACGCATGATTGTCAAAGCGCGCAATTTGGGGGTTCAAATCCGAAGTGTAAGTTATTTCATCCTTCCAAGTGTGAGGTTATTGATACTAATCCCTCTATAGGAAAATGGCGTGGCAACTGCCATCCAAGCCCTCTACCGCGATCTTGAATACGCAAAGACATTGGCTCGACAGAAGTCCCTTGTCTCATCTACCCCCTTCTCTCCTACACCTACTGCAAAGGCTTCACCTGATGGAGGCGATGACGATGTCGATGACATTGAAGAGTGGACTTTTGTTGGGGATGAGACTGGCATTGATATCTCTAAGCGGATGCGCGAACGAGCTGCTTCGGATGCTGATCTTGCTTCAACTTTAACATGATTGAACCTTTCAAGGTTCCGTTGAAGTCGGATAGTCAGTCAATATCACATGCCTCATGTTTGGGCGATGTTAGTTGCTCCCCTCTCTATCTTTAATACTGTTTTCGGTTTCTCATTTCTGCTGTCTTTCAATTCCTTAATTAGCCTGTTCACGAATTATGACTTGCATTTCTGTTTCATTCTATGCATAGGGAGCTTTCTTTTTCTTTTTCTTTTTCTTTTCTTTTCTTTTCTTTTTGTTTCGTTTCTTCTCTTTTCTTATATCACCAGGTTCCCAGCCTTGACCAAGACTTCCCTTACGAGTCTTTAATATCCATCTCATTTGATTTGATGTTTCTGCTTGATGCATTCCATTCTTACGTTGATTTCATTTGGGCAGATGAAAGGACTGAGTTGAGCGCATGGATACCAAAGAACAGAATAGATTTCCAGCTAACATTGGCAATAATTCTATAAGATTGATACTGTATGTTCCTGATACTCTCTCTTATTCATATTTTCATACCAAATCCAGGTCATCTCCCCAGCCACCAGGGCGCGTTGTTTTATTATTTCTTTTCGTCGTCTCCTTTGCCGTCGGCCTTGTCTTTGCGTCTTTGCACAACGTCCCAGTTGTACACTCGTGCTGTGGCAACCTCCAATGTCTATAGCATGAACAGTCAGTAACAAGAAAAGACCAAATCCAGATACATCACATCTACATAGATATGTCTGTATTTGTATGCGCAGAAGGGAACGGACCGTAATCTGCTCGCGTAAGAATTCCAGATCCTCCTCGCAATTCTTCAAGCTAGACTGCGCAGCCGTAAGCTTCTCATCCAGCATTGTCTCCGCCTCGCCGAGCGGGTATGCAAGCATGACATTTGCTCCGAGCCAGAGGTAAACCTCCTCCGCATCAGCAGGGGAGATAGAAGCGCGGGCGTAAAGGGTATCATTGAGTTCAAAGTTCGTTTGGAGGTCTGCGTCGGGGTTTGACTAAAGTGACGGGGCGTTAGCATTCTATTCTCTTCCCTCGCGAATCTTGGTCTTCTTCGTTGTGCTCCCCGCCATATGATTTTTTTTTCTTCCTCAAAAAGTCCTGCATAATAGGTGTGGTGACAGAGTAAGCTACCTCTTTGCGCAACTTCAAGAATCGAACCATCTCAAGTGTCTTCTTGATATCGGGGATCTTCTCGCGCAGTCCCTGGCCACGGCGCTGGGTGTTGACCTCCATGAACTGGTACTTGGAGATCATCTCCTGAAACGAGCGGAGAGTCGGCTCGACCTCCTCGCGGGAGGAGACGTAGTCGCTGACATTGTCGATGAAGGGGGCGACGGGGATTCCGCGCGGGTTGGTTTGTGTTGTTGCGGTGCTGGAGGGGTTAGTTTGGTTCAATGAGGTGGGGTGAGATAAAAGGCAAGGAAGAGAATGGGAGATTTCAAAAGGTAGAGTAATCAGAGAAGCATCTGTATATCAATGGTGCAAAAGGGAATTGACATACCTTTTTGAAGCCATGGCTGCGATGTCAAGAAGAGAAGATGACGATGTGGGGAGGAGCTTAACTGCCACTTTTGTTTCCGCCTGCTATCTCCGCTCTCTACCTACGGTCAACGAACGACACACTCCAGTTTCAGTCAACATTGACAGTTCCCAGTCTTTGACTGGACTGGATAAATATCAAAATGGTCAATCTCCTCACAACAACCCGAATCCTCGCCGCCCTAGAACAGGTCCCAGCTTCGCAGCGCGAACAGCTAAACCTACCAGCCACGCTAGCAAATGGCCCAATAGCCCACGAACAACTCATCCGACTATCGCGATATCTCCAAAGCAACCGGGAACCCGAAGAGAAAGACACAGAGGCAACTACCTCCCCATCAATCCTCAATTCCCTTCTGCGCGGCACGAAGGTATACGTACCACCGCCGCCACCGAAGCCTGAGCCGGTATGCAATACGCGACAGCTATATCTACACCCACTCTAACTCCCCCAATCATACATATCAAAACCCAGTATATCAAGACTAACACACAAAAAAACACAAATAGACGCCCGAATACGTAGCCAGCAAAGCAGCCCTTCAAGCCCGCGCCGACCAAATAGCCTACAACAGACTGCTAAACCCAACAGCAGAACAAACACCCGAACACCACGATCCCTATCACGCCTCTGACCCCTCCAACCCGAATAGCGCAGAGTACCAAGATACACTTACTCCCTCGCTGGTCATCAATATCTTCTTATCGGTCGTCATAACCGGGTTCAGTGTCTACTGGGCTCTGACGAAATTTGCTACGCCGGATATTTTGTATGAGGGGTTTGCGGCTTGGACGGCTGGATCTGGGAAGAGCGTTGGTGGTGGCGGGGGTGGTGAGAGACAGGGTATCTCAGAGGCTGTGCGTGTTTTGATTGCTTTCTTTGCTGCTTTGGCGGTTGCTGTTGCTGAGGCGTTCTTGTATGCTGCCTATTCTGGGAAGGTTGAGCGGGCAAGGGTCAAGGAGAGGGGGTTGAGGGAGAGGAAGGTTTTTGTTGGAAGAGTTGGTGAGGGTGAAGGTGAAGAGAGGAAGGGGAAAGGTGCGGATAGAGAGGGCGTTAGTGTTGACGGTGATGGAAAAGAGGAGATTTGGGGGAAGGGTGTTAATGGAGGTGTTAGGAGGAGGGTTAGGGAGAAGTGGGAGAAAGAGAGGGAGGGGGTTGTTGAGTGAAGAGTTAACCAGCGTGGAGAGTTGGTTTGTATCATAGCTTATATCAGAAATACATGTTTACATATTAGTAGAACAGCTAGGTTGAATGCTCGTGGTATTCTATGCCTAAGCTATAATCATTAATCTAAGATGCTAGTGGTCGTTAGTTCTCGTTAGGGCTCGTCCAAACGAGGTCGAGATGCAATGTGAGGAAAGGGGAATAAATAGAGAGAAAGGAAGGACACAAGAAGAGGGAATACCTCAAACCCGCTTCTCAAGAAGCAGCTTGCCACTCGGGGTCTCACAATCAAAGCCCTGCTCACGGCTGAAAACCCGCTCACCACGCAACCAAGTCTCACGAACCATGCCGCGCAGCGTGCGACCCTGGTAAGGCGAGCACTTGTTACGGAAGAGCATGGTAGAAGGCTCGACAGTCCACTCAGCAGAATCATCAAAGACGCAAATATCAGCGTCGAAGCCAACAACCAGATCCCCCTTGTGAGACTGCAGACCGACCTGGGCGGCAGTATTGGCGCAGCAGAGACGGACGACGTCTTGCAGGGCATTCTTGGTGTTCTCATCTTCGGGGGAAGATGTCAGACCCTTGCGGCGGCTGAGGTCTGTCCAGAGAATCGGCAGGCCCAGGCCTACGGAAGAGATACCGCCCCAGGCGGAGAAGAAGTCGCCCTTGTCTTCTTCTTTCTTGGTACTACTGGTGCAGTGGCCTGGGACATGGGGTGGGAGTTGTTTTAGCTCTGGTGTGCAGGGGGAGTGGTCTGAGACGACAGTCTTGATGACGCCATCGCTGGTGTGCTTCTCTAATTCTTCCCAGAGACCGTCTTGGTTGAGCTTGGAACGGATGGGTGGGCAGCACTTGTGGCGGGTGTCACCGTCGCGCACTTCCTCGGCTGCTAGGGAGAGGTAGTGGAAGCAGGTCTCGGCGGTGATCTTGACGCCGGCTGCGCGGGCCTCACGGAGGAGAGGGATGGCTTCCATAGCTGAGAGGTGGACAATGTGCAGGGGGAGGTTGGGGGCGAGATGGGCCAGAGATAGGATTCTTTCAATGGCGCATGTCTCAAAGGAAGAGGGCCTCGAGGCGAGGAAAGTGGCATATGCCTCGAGAGGACCAGCTGGGGCAGCTGGGGCATCAGACTTTTGGACTTCGTCGCCCACGGATGCAGTGATCGGAGGCACCATCTCAGCGTGGAACATGAGGGTGGTAGGCTCATCAGCCAGTTCGGCCATGGCCTTCTTAATATCTTCCTGGCTGACAGCAGGGAACTCATCGACCTGTCTATAGTTAGCACAGATATCGCAAGGACTCGATATAAAAACTTACACCACTGTCAATCAGGAATCCCTTGAAGCCACGAACACCCTCCTGGACAAGGGCCTTGAGCTCATTGGCATTGCCGGGGATGATACCACCATAGAAGCCCACATCCACCCAGCACTTACCCTGAGCAGCCTTGATCTTCTCCTTCAGGCCATTCACAGTAGTGGTAGGCGGGATAGCATTGAGAGGCATATCAATGACAGTAGTAACACCACCAAAGGCCGCAGCCTGGGTACCAGTGTAGAAGCCCTCCCATTCAGTCCGGCCAGGCTCATTCAAGTGCACATGGGCATCAACCAGACCGGGCAGCAAGACATGCGGCGAGTAATCGGTATAGGGAGTATCAGCGGGGAACTCCGAAGCTGGAATCACGGAATCGAAGACAGCAGTGATCTTGCCGGTAGTTCTCGAGATGACAACAGTCGCAGAAGTCAAACGGCCGGAAATGACAGCGCGCGACGAAGCCACAACGGCAATGGAGGGCATATTAGACGCCATGATGGAAAATGAATTGCTTTTGCAATGTGATCTGTAGTAATGGCGGTAACAGAATAGGAATAGAGGGAGTCTGGGGAATATAAGACAAAGCTGGAGAAGATAAGCCGACGCAATAGTATTGGAGCAAAGCCAGCTCAAAGATAAGGGGTTTGGCGCATATAAATATCCCATCGGCTTCGGAAAGTCGGTTTGGCCCACCTCATTTTTTTCTCTCCACCCTTCAGTTGCCATTACTCGATCGATTGAACGTCCCGAGTTCGGGTGCTCACGGCAATGGGCTCGGACATGGATTCGCGCATGACCACGAATGCCCTCAACCTTGCCGGATGAGGGTGCGCACAGGGCCACTCAACGGAGTGTCGCTCGATTCCGTTACATGTGCATGTAGGTATGCCTGCATGCCTGCATGCCTGTATACTTCGTATACTTCGACAGGCCAGGGGCACTGAATTTGCAGGTTGAATCCGTGGAACAGCGCCACCACAACGTGGTTGGGCCAAGAGGCATCGGGCACCTCCGATGCGACGCGGGCAAGTCCTGCACTTATCAATGGCCGCGGATCCGCTTTATCAGTGCTTTACTCGATCAAAACTGTCGGCTTTTGCTTTCGTTTACTCGATGGAAACCACCTCTGTCGGGTTGTCAGTCCGAAAGCGCAGGCGCCACTTTTCGGACTAAGTTCTCGAGTAAACTTGTCATATTCGGCGTTTGATTTTCCGGATGTTGAAATGATGAGGTTGAGAAGAGGGAGTTTTGCGGGGTTGACAGGAAGAAATAAGGGATTCTTCAGGGATCGAAAGGTGAGTCTGTGACTGGTCAAAGGTGACATTCCGGTTTGTATGCGTTCACTTTATGTTCATGTCTACAATAACCCTATTTCTACAATCTCTATAACCTCTACATCTACTCTACAATGAATAGATATTCGGAGAATATAGGCATTGATCTGCTTAGCCCCTTTCTCTCTGTCCTCAGACTGATATTATTTCCGCCTTGGTTTCGGCTCAGTCTACCAGGGGCACCCCGTATTCACTATTCACCTCCCCTCTGATGGCCACAAAGAGACCCGTAGTATAATGTAGAACAGACCATCAGAGGGGCGCTACTGTGACAGCCTTACAGCGCAGCATCAACTCCCCCACCGTGGAGACCTCGCCGTCGCCTTACTGGGCGACATCGCCGCCACCGGCACCGCGACGCTCATCCCCCACCAACCCCTCCAGGAAGAAAAACAAGCGATCCATTGTCGCATTGATATGTTTAACCGGGGTGCAATCATACGAATTGTCGTACCTCCGGCCAAGCAACACCAGCTCACGGGCATACTTGCTCTCCAGCTTCTCAGGCGGACCACACCAGCTCAGACGGAGCAAATTGCTCAGCACAAACGACCCCGCCCAGTCGTGGTCAGCAGGGGGACCGTTACGGTCGGCCCGCTCGAGCATGTTAGCCTCGCCTTCGACAAGGCAGGGCGTCTCCTTCAGCGCGGGGTTTCCGTGCATCAGCTTCATCCACGCCAGCGCCTTGTCCAGGCAACGCGGCAGTATTGCGTTTATGTGGGCTGTCTCACCCCCTGCATAGCAGTTGCAGCCGCGGGCGCCGATGCCGATTTCATGGCTGCCCAGTGGGAGGTCGGAGCGGACCCAGGCGCGGCTGCGGTCACGCATGAAGGACGCGAAGGAGGATGGGTTGTACAGAGTGGCTATGGTGCTCTCGTCGAAGACGTGACGGGGGTCGATCAGCTGCATGTTGGAGATGAATGGGTGCCAGAATGTCCCTGTTGAAAGAGCGTGCGTTAGAATGTGAAGTTAGCCCTAATGCTTGTTTGATGATGTACTCACAGTTCTCTTTCAGGAACTTGTGCACGGTGACGCCACCATCGGCGACGCCCAGGATGTCAATTTTCGTGTTGCCGCGCATGCAAGGCATGAGGATGTTCTCAAAGACATACTCGACGTGCTCATGGAGAGTCCGGTTGCCCTGGATCTCATTGCGACGAGTGGGGTCACGGACGGGGGAGATCAGAGAAGAAGCCTCACGCAGGCGAAAGGTCTCAAGGGACTCAGCGAGCTTGGTTTGAGGGTTCCAGATGTATTGGGCTGGGTTCAGGACGATTAGGGCTACATCGTCATCTGCGATGTCTTCCCCATTGCAGATGCCACTGACCATACCGAGGATGGTGCCGAATCTGAGACTGTGCTCGATGGCATCGAGGTAGGAGAAGATACCCATGTCTTCACCTTCATCGCCACATAGGACGATGATGCGTTTGGCGGTCTTCAGGTTCTGGCTTGCGGTGATCAAGGTGTGGGGGACTGCTTCGGCGTTGCCTTGGACTGGAATTGGAATTACGTGCATTCGCATGGCGCTCAGATGATGCAGGACCAGTCCGCAGACGGCCTCTGTGTTTTGTCAGTTGATGCTTACCTCGAATGGTGCATCTCGCTGTGGATGCTGTTTGGGGGTACTTACGTTGCAGGGCGTGAGCTTCCATCTTTGCAATGCGCTCATCCTTGGTCACGTCGAACTTGAAGCCCTCATCTGGGTTGCTGATCTTGCGGATGAGTCCTTCCTTGGTGAGAAAGTACCTGTGTTGATGTTGTGTCAGCATCGGGTGTAATGTCTCGGCAGGAGGATGGAGTACTCACCCGAGGCTCTCCAGGGTTGTGCCAAAGGCAGGCCGGGTAGGCAAGCTCGAGGATGGGATGTTGGTGGCCATCGCTGCTTCTTGTATCATCGATGAGATGATGCGAGAGGAGAGGAGAGAGAAGTTCGAAAGAGTCAAAACTGAATAGACTTGGGGTGATGAGAGAAAGAGAAAAGAAGACTGAAAGGTGAGCTCTAGATCAGGGCAATGATACGCAAGGCAGCGCGACGACCATAAGAGACGAGGAAACGGCGGTCCTCAGTTGAGACTGAGCTTTCCAAACTGTAAAGAAGCAAGATGAAATACGGAGAAGTAGAAAAGATTCAGAAGAAGAATATCCAAAGATATCCTCTCATGCATGAGTTTTGCAAGATTCAAGGACCCGAAGTATGAAATGAGAATGAGTCCCGGCTTGTTAAGATATCGTGAGGGACAGCAGTATGAAAGCAAACGACGCAATACGCAGTACGCAGAAGAACCATCAAAGAAAGCCACACTCATTACAAGCAAACAGTACGGTCAAAATGAGAGAACATGACCATTGCCCAAACGAGTGATCAAGCGCCAACAACGAAAACGGCGGTAAAGTGACCAATGATCTAAGAAGTAAATGGCTTCATAAACAAATAATATTTGCATACTGTACAAGCTCCAACCCAATTGAAGCCAGAGATAACGCCGCGCAACCCATTCAACCGGATATCCCATATCCAAGATAAACCAGCGGCAATATGCCAGATCTACCAAGAAGCTTTCTTGACACCAGGGAGTTCACCAGCAAGAGCCTGCATACGGAATTGGTACTATAGATTGAGAAATAGATGTGTCAGCAATCATTCATCAAAATCTCGAGACAATCGCAGGCGCATTCAATCGCTTGATATCCAATTCAATCCACTCACTCTGTTGATTCTGAAATCGCGGAAGACACTGCGAGCAGTACCAGACTCAACACAGCGGTTCTTAATCTGCGTAGGACGAGTGTAGGCGTGCATCTGGGACAATTGGAGCTGAGCCTGTGCGCGGACTCGGCCGGGGAGGGATGTGTTGCGGATCATGTAGCGGAGAGCTTGGCTGCACGCGAAAAGAAGTCAGCAATAGATCTCGATCTCAACTCTGTGACCATTCCAATGGAACGGCTTCCAGCAATGCGTGTACGTATACATCGCGAGTCCAGACCATCTGGTCTGCGGACGAGGTTCATTCATACCGTTCAGGCTCAGTCTGCTCAAAAGCAATGCGCTTGTTGTGGTCGCGGATCAGGCGGGTATTCGTAAAGCCAGAGAGGTCCAGCTTCTTGGGCCGGAAGAGACCTGCCATCTTGGACATTTTGGCGGTTGGTTTTGCGTTGATGGGGTCGGGATTGAGGTCGAAGGTGGTTGTCTCTTTCGGCGAGGCGGAATTGGCGAAAACTGGATGCCCGATTGGGTTTAGCGCCTTTGATGCAGGATTTCACGGGTAATGCTTGACAGCACTACGTTTTCTTATACGTTGGTTCATTGGGTTGTTAGAGATTATGTTTATTGCTGGTAAAGTACAGAGAGTGATTTGGGGCTTTTTCTACGGTCGCATGACGTTGGAAGCTTGTAAATTAGCCCTACGTTCCGCGGCGTTGCGCCGGGTGGATGTGAAGTATAAAGCTCTACAGTGTCCACAGCCCTATGTTTGGCATGGCCGGAATTCCCGGTTCCCTGAAATCGGTAATTCCAATACAAGTAGCATCATGCCTGGAGGAGAACAGTACGAAGAGGCGAACCTGCCCAAGTGCAGAATGGTACTGGTACAGCTTGTGAATTGATCCAAGTCACCCCGATCGAGGGTATGATCTATATGCTTGGAAGGGGCAAACTGCCCGCAAAATCACAGTAAATGCAAGCCGGTCCTTGATGACCTAGACCATCTCCGCCCGCACGCACATCGCGAGGGTTTCCGCCCGCTCTTCCTTCACAAGGAAGCGGGATCTCAACGCCCATTCATTGTCGACGAATTTAGTGGTCTGCCTTGCCAGCGGGCTTAGCGTTGGGGTTGCGGGGGTCGTTCTTGAACTCGGCGGCTGCGGGTTTGACGGTTAGCTGGGAGTCCGGGACGGCCATCGGAGTTGCATTCGCGGGGATTGTTGTTGTGCGAAACTTGGCGATGGTTCATGTATAGCTGCGCGGGTGGGACTCACTGTTAGACAGAGCGTTCTGGAGAGAGTTGACACCGTAGAGAACAATGAGGCCTAGACAGGAGATTCGTTAGATTGAAGTCCGATTAAGCGCCCCGGATGCGTCGAATAGCGAATTGACAATCAATTCAGGTCCAGGATATCAGGGCAACATGGGATAGAGTATGTAGGCGTACCGGCAGCGAAGAAGGGAGTCAAAGGCTTGGCTATAGTTGAACAGATGCGTCAGTCGTTGGTCCATGTTTAATCCTCCCACAGGTCATATTCGAGGCCCAAAAAGCACATACCCATGGCGCCGGGGAACTTCTTTCCGAGGAGAGACATTGTGGCAGGTAGATCGAATGCGAAATGAATTCGGTGTTCGGGAGATGATATGGCAAGAGGACGGAAGAGGAGAAGTGAGGTTTGGAGGTTTGCCCGGTCCCGAGATCACGCCGCCTTAAAGGCGGTATCATGCCGCTTTTACCGCCCGATCTATCCCGACTGTAAACAATCACCTTCTGTACTCTGCAATCGGCACACCATGGCTGCTTCACTGTCTTCATGCGTTTCCTCGCTACAGTCCTCTCTTCATATCTTGGATAACTCTATTACAACCCTTGATTCGGGTGTCAACGACTTTCCGCGACTATGTAAAGTTCTCCAAACAACTCGAGTACGTTCAAAGCAACGGAGACAAGAGAATCAACAAGCCTAATATGAATTACTGGAATAGCACTTCGAGCTCCTCCCCGAGCCAACCCTCCGTGAAGCACAGCAATCCCTTCTCGACGAAATCACCCCAAGCATAGCCCACCTGCTCACGCTATCGACAAACCACGTTGAAAAGCTCGCGCGGCGCGAACAAGGCCTCAAGGCAAAATGCGACTTGCAAGAAGGTCGACTCTCCTCCAACCCTGAGAGCCGGTCGTCGGCAGCTCGCCAAATGCAAAGTAATGCACTGCGGGGTCGCACGGCGGGGTCTGGGTCGAATAACGCAGCCAAAGCAGCTGAGCTGAGACGACTGCAGCAGAAGAAAGAGCGGCTTAAGTTTGCGGTTGATCGATTAGAGTTGCAGAGTACCCAGAGGCAGAGGCAGTTGAGGAAGAGTATGGCTGCGCAGTGAATGGGGGCCAGAGGACTACGAGATCACGATTATCTATGAACACGCTGCATGTTTATGCTGGGAGTTCCGGCTCAATGAGACACGGGCTCACCCATGCTGTCATGAAAAAGTACTCAAGCCGACTTTGGAAAGCGCAACTGCCTTCCCGGACATGATGTCCATTCACTTGAGAAGTCGAAAACAAGCCTGTTGCAGACAGGCAAGCATTGCACTGGATGGATTCATACCCCACATCATCGGCGACAGAGTCCAGTGCCATCATATACGCTACAATTTCACCACATGGAATGTAAGCTGTACCAAGTTAACGCACGAGGATAATGAAGGGCTTAAGGACACAGCTCTTACTACTCAAGTGAACAAATACATCCAAATCTGGTCCAAATTCAGAGTGAAGATGCTATATTTACATTTGTAGAAAGGCGAGAATGCGACTATAGTATACAAGATCCATCCCACCCAATGCCAGATGCCACCGCCGTAGCGAATATTATACAATAGGTCCCATCAAGACAAAATAGCGCCACCAAATAATGCACAGAACCAGCAATCCAATCTCCCTAGACAGGAGATCAAACGACCTATTCAGCAGACATCTTACTCTCAGCCTGCCTCAACTTCTTCTTATCGTTATGCTTTTTCCAAGGAGGAATGCGCTGTCCCCTCTTCCTGGCCGGAGTATCAGGGATTTCCTCTTCATAATCATACTCATCCTCCTCTTCATCATACTCATTCTCAAACTCCCCGTCCTCATCATCACGCATCTTACTCGCCGCCCGACGAGCCAAGCGCTCTTTCTTTCCTTCGCCATGCTTCTCGCCTAACTTCAGGTTCCGCGGGATACGAGTCTTCGCGCCGAGAGCCCACAGATCACCCCACTTCGACTTGCGGGCGTCGCGGTATGCCTGCCGACTATAAGAGCGGGGGACGGTCCAGCGCTCGATATTACCGGCTGGAGTGCACAGGTCGAAGATGACATGGCCACGACGTTTCATGGGTGGGTAGACGGCGCGGGGAAGGGCGAGGGGATGGAAGGATGGTCTATCAGTGAAATCGGTATGTTCGTCTTCGAAACCCTCGAAAGCAGCATCTGTGGCTGCAGCATCTTGTTTGATGTCTTGTTTATGGCGGAGGTCGACACCGCGCTGGGCGGCGATGTAGCTGAATTTCAGGTCTTCGTGGTTGCGGTCTTTGGCGCCCATGATGCGTTGCAGGAATGGGGGGCGGATGTACCGTTGCTCGAAGTGGCAGTAGTCTCGACGGCCCTTGGTTGCGCCTGCGGAATTGTGCATTGGGCAGCTTGAGTGGTTGGTGCAGGGGGCGATGATCATGCCGGGTTCTTTTTGGATTACTGAGCTTGGGTCCGAGTCTTCCAGGAAGTTTTCGTATTCTGTTGAGCCTGGGCTGGCGATATGGCGCTTCAGGAGCAATTCTCTTGCTCCAGCGATAGCCTCGAAGCCCTTTTGACGGCCTTTTTCGAGGAGGATGAGGATTCCGCCGTTGGGGTTTAGGAGAGCCCAGAGGTTTTCGACATGTTGCTTGCGCTCGTATTCTTCTTCCAGGCCGAGGAGAGAATGAGGTGCAATGATAATGTCGTATTGCTTGCGCTTGGGGGCTTTGCGCGAGTCGTCAAATGTTGGCTTCTCGCGTACATGGACGTAGTCCGGCAGACGGGGGAGGAAGGTGGTGTTGTCGAGCATGGCGGATGCACGCATCTGTAGAGCTACGGAGCCCGTTAACACGGTTGATCGCCCGTATGGAACGGGCAACTCCTCGGGGTGATTGGGCACCATGAGCTCGTATTCTGCACGGACGATATCTCTCCAGGCGAGGATACCAGCACCACCACCACTGGCATCGAGAACATTTGGTCCGTCCTCTTTTAAGATGAGATTACGGATCCAATCAGATCCCATGCGCTTGCGAATCTCAACCAGGACACTGAGGGATGATGCATAGATCCCGGGGTACAAAGCTGCCAGGTAGGCATTGGCCTCCATTTCACCCATCTGCCTTTGCGAAGCATGGAGAGGGATGGGGAGCTGTGGTAGATGGGCACGGGGAGGTGCTGTCGTAGTCGAATGTGGTAATCCCGGTCCTCCAAATAGGTTGCGTGCAGTTTCAGCAATATGCTTGTTGGAGAACTCCGACAGAATGATCGAAATAGGGCCGGTCAGAGTCTTCTTGGGCAGATGGATAGTGCTGGGGTCCGTCCCAGATTTACCCGCAAGAGTGTTCGGGTGCATTCGAGGGGCACTATCTGGGACTGCCTCATTCTCAAACTGCTCGAGCATGATCTCGCCGCCTAGTTGCTCCGCAACCTCTCTCGTCCGCCTCATGGCAATGGTTTCTTCCTCCTCTGGGGGAACTTCCATGTCATAGACAACGGGAGCATCATCCTCCGCAGTAGCATCTTCCTTGTATTCAACCTCCTCCCAGTCACCTTCACCAGTTTCACGCAGCAACCTGGGATCCTCGTCAAACTCCTCCTCGGCTTCCTCAAGCATGGGCTCTTCCTGACGGAAGATAGGTTCTCCATAGAGTCGGGCGTAGATCTGAAGCTCGGCATCATTCAACAACCCCTGAGGCAGTTCCTCTCCAAACCGCTGCTTGACAAGATGCACCCAGGCCTCTGGAGTAAGCTCGTCCCGCTGCATGATCAACTCAACGAACTCATCCACCTCATCTTCCACCCCAAATTGATCCAACTCCTCCAGTATCTCAACCATCTGAGCCTCATTTTCACCAATCTTCTCAATCAAAGCATTGATATCGTCCACGGCGTTCTGTTGCTCCGTTCCGCCGGATGGAGGCAAGTCCGACGCCGCAGGGGCGGACACAAACCTCCGCTGAGGTTGGGACTGTGCGGCCGCATACTCGGTATTCGATCGGCGGGAAAGGTTGTTGGAGATCACTAGGGGTGAAGCTCTTCGGGTAAAAGCGCGCTGCTGGGTTGTCGTTACCCTGCTGGCAGCTCCGCGGAACTGTCGCGACCCAGCAGGGCGCGCAAATGTGCGCAGTAACTCGCGCGATTGGGACATTTTAGCTCCTTATGCTGAAATTATTGACAGCATGAGCTTTTGAGTTGCCTCAATAGGTGTAAGTTGAGTTGGTAGAAAAAATATTTCAGCCCCAGAAACCAGAAAATTGATGCCAAGATTCCTATGCGCCCATCACAAACTGCAGACTTCTGATTGGCTGGTCTGGCGTTCCAAGATGGCCTGTATAGATCAGGTTTCTAATGGCGAGGAACTAGCTGGCTATTTCTGCTGAACCAATCAAAATCTGTATGTGAATAAATAATTCGAGAATTTCACAGTATCTAATATCTCTATCAATATTCAAAATCAAGTCATGGACTCAGATTGAAAGCAGTTTATATTCCAGAGTAGGGTATCAAAAGCACTACGCTTCACTTTCTGTATCTTCATTACCCATAAGCACTTTCAGCGCACCTACACACCGCATCACTTCATGCTCAAGGGCCGACAATTTCGCCATGACGGCCATAAGACTAGGATCTTGGCTTTCGACCCGGACCTTCTCCCTAACGCGTACTTCCTCGCCTTGCCATTGGAACGAGGCACCCGCCTCGTCATGTGTCGGTGCCCGTGATCCGAATATTCGATCTCGCAGGGAGAACCCTGTCAATGAGATATCCGAAGCGAATGCAGTTGGCGCGTGATTGAGAGCGGTGGACTCCAATGTCCGAAGAATGAGAACCAGAGCGGAGTCCGTGATAGAAAGGTGGAATGATAATTGCGGTGGAAGCGGAGGATCGAACATCTAGAGCAGCATCAACACCATTCAATTGATTATCGGAAATAGTCACATGGACTGCACTCACATTCTCAGTCGCGCTGGCCTCCCACCACTTCCCTCGCGTATCGTCCCCCTCCCCCTTCAGCATCTGCCTTGCTTCACTGATAGTCTCAAGCAAGAGATGCAGCTGGCTAAAGATGAAACCCGCATTGAGAGGGTCACCTGTCCACGTGCTCACGTCGACGATGTCCAAACTCTGCGCGACAAGATCCCGAACCGAGACCAGCTGCGGCAGAACGAGTTCCGGCGCACCGGGTGCCTGGGACAGATTCAGACGAGTACTGGGGGCACCACGCGTAGGCGGCAGCGACGCAAGGCGCAGTTGGATATCCTAGAATAGGTCAGTCCATCATTCCGATCGCACGTCGGATTCGGCATACGTACTCCTTTCACGACCTTGGTGCCAACTCTAGTCACGAAGCCTTTGACATTTTCCGATCGCAGCGATGAGAGTACCAAGGTTGAGCCTGGTTCCTGGGGGGCTAACAGGACTGCACATTCTTGCAAACCTTCCTTCAAAGAGGCAAGTGAATCCTGCATAGACTGCAGGAGCCATTCTAGCTCTCGGGCCTAAGATAGGTTGGCATATTATATTGGGGAGGGCTCCACAGTCACCAATGGAGGTATGGAGTACTCTCTGTAAGGATGTGGACGTACCAGCGCAGTGTCCGCCTCATGGTTGATCAGCTCTGCTGACAGTGGGGGATAAGCCCAAGTGGCCATGATAGGGGCTCAGGTCGCAAGGTTCGGTAAGGGCAGAAAAACTTGGATAGGCAGAAAGATTCGATGATCCACGTCACTGTTGGGCTCACCGCGTCGATAGGAGCTGCAACGTTGTTTCGTGCTTCACTTCGTCATGGACCGCCCAGGCTAACCACATTAAGCTTAGTGCGGCCAATAGAGTGCGGGCTAACCCACGAACAGTTAGCCGATCAGGTGCAAGCATGACGTTATGATCGTCGATGTGCTCAATTTTGATGAGAAGAAGCACTGATGATGCGCATTATATCAGAGGCACTCGGATACCCCGGCTCTTATAGAGTTGGTTCCTTTTCCACTGGTTTTTTTACCTCTTTTCTCTCCAAGATCCCTCGAGCTTGTCCCCAAATCATTCCTTTGAGATACCCAACCTCTTATACTTCACTTAATCAATACTTACCACTTACTATCTGTACTGGTTTACCCCGCAGGGATCAAACACAATGGGTTTGAGCAGTAAGCCGATCCCCCTGATTATCAAAGTATCAAAGTCTGACCTCTATTATAGGAGTATCATTGGGCTTTTTGGGCCTGTTCTTCACAGCAGGCTCCATCTTGCTGATCTTTCTGACACTGCTGGGTGGTGCTCGCAACAGCACCCCACTCAATGAGATCTACTTCCTGCAGGCCGACACGGGGAACATCCCTGGGGCGCCGACGACTTCGCGATGGACCTTCTGGAACGTCTGCGGAGTGACCAACGGCAAGAATGACTGCGGAACATCGCACCCCGATTACCCATTCGATCCCCCAAGCCACCGCACTTTTAATACCACTGAGAATGTCCCCCAGGAGTTCATCGGGTAGGTTATTTCGATGTTCTATGTTGTTAACTATATATCGATATATACTAAAAATGTGTATAGAACCAACCACTACTTCTTGATGTCGCGTTTCATGTTTCCCTTCATCATCATCGGTCTCTTCTTCACCGTGCTGTCGCTCTTCACTGGTCTGCTGGCCATGTGCACGCGCATCGCAAGCTACCTCTCTGGTTTTTTGGCCTGGCTCGGTCTGACCTTCCAGGTCATCACCACCTGTCTCATGACGTACGTCTCTCTTCAATTGATGTTCCCCCAAATGCATATCACTAACTTCAATCATCAGTGCTGTCTACGTTCAGGGCCGCAATGCCTTTAACCGAAATGGCCAAAGCTCCAGCCTAGGCGTCAAGGCGTTCGCCTTCATGTGGACCGCAACCGCCTGTCTGTTCCTCGCATGCCTGATGTACTGCCTCGGCGGAGCTGTCGGTCGCAAAGACACATCCGGATACAGTGGACGCAAGGAACGCCGCCGCGGCTTCTTCTCTTCGCAGCGTTCGAACAGCGTGAAAAGCCAGAAGAAGGAGCGCGAGAACACCTCCTACGCTTAAGGATAAAATACAGGTTATTCGATCCAGCGTTCCTCATCTGATCTCGACAAGAAAACAAAACCGGAGCACTAGCCAATACCGTCGACTAAGATCGATCTCCGAGCCTTTTATACAAATTATTTTTTATTCTCGTGCGTTGATATCCCCATTGGAAGTTCCATGCTTTCTCTAGGAGACGAGACCTCTTCCTATGCTTCGATTGAACTTGAAGCACCCACACTCACTTGATGCTGTTACGAACCTATTACGATCCTTACTAGGCTTATCTTCGTGGCCACCAGATGGCTGTGGCCATTTACTGCGCAATACTCATTTTGGTTTGGTGCACGTGTTTAAGACAAACGCGAGTTTTTGATGCTTTATGGATGAATCACATGGTTCAACGATTCTCCGATTTTTCAAGATCATTTTGGATTTGTGTTTTTGGTTTCGACGATACTTAATAGTTGTTATAATATAATCTATTGTCCTACCATCGAAATTATATTCAGATCTAGATTCTTAGGCTGCATAAGATATCGATATCCGATGGGAATAGAGCTGATTCCTTTGTTTGGAACCCAATCACGAACCAGCGGGAGATGGGAACCCTGGGAATGCAGGAAGGTACGTGGAAAAGTCAATCTCCATTGGTCAATCCAATTGAGTTCTATAGATCTGAGTCTGAAAAGTAGGAAAGGAAAAGACTCCATGATGATAACTGCAGTATAAGTAAAAGACAAACATAAAAAAAAGACAGCCTCTATCAGTCATGCATGCATCATCACACCATAAACGAAATCCAAGTCTTTTTTTTATTCACAGGACAAAAGGGAAAACTTAAGCGGAGCCGTTGACAGCACCGCGGACGGCGTTCTGGGAACCAACTTCACGAACAGCGATCTGGAGACCGAGGTCGGGGTTAACGTGGACCATGACCTCGATCTTGCCGTTGGCCTTGACGCCCTTGACGGCGAGCTCGGCAACAGGCTTCTCGGTCTTCCAGACAATCTCACGGGTCTCCTCCTCCTCGTCATCCTCGGAGTCGAAGTCGGAGTCGTCCTCATCCTGAGCGGGCTTCTCCTCTTTGGCCTTGGGCTCGGGCTTGGTGACCTTGATGTCACGGGCACCCTCGCACACGCGGACCAGGACGTCGCCACCTTCCTTGGGGGCGGAGTACTGAGCAATGCGGCGGGCGGGGAGGGCAGTCTCAGCACTGAGCAGGGGCTGGAAGGTGACGCCGGACTCGGAGGTGAACTCGACACCAATGGCCTTGGTCAGGTGGGGGGTGACGGTGACCATGGGGTGGATAGACTGCTCAATATCCTCGTGCTCAAACTCCTGGACGAGGGAAGCCTGGAAGGCGGCACCACGGGAAGACAGCTCGGAGGGGTTGATGGCGGTGGTGGAGGTAGCGGGTGCCAAGACGGTGGTGGTCTCGGGGAAGATGTTGCTGACCAGCGAGGCGAGCTTGGGGGTGTGGGAGACACCACCGGAGAAGATAACCTCGTTGATGTCAAGAACATCGAGCTCGGCCTTCTTGACGACCTGCTGGATCAGGTCGGTGAATTGAGCGAAGACCTTGCCGGCGAGGAGCTCGAAACGGGTGCGGTTGACGGTGCTACCGTAGTCGACACCGTCGACCAGGCTCTCAATGCTGATCTGGGCGTTGCTGCTCAGAGAGAGGGCCTTGCGGGTGGCTTCACCCTCGAGCTTGAGCTTGGCAAGACCACGGGCGTTCTCGCGGGGGTCGGTCTTATGCTTCTTCATGAACTCCTTAGCGAAGTGGTCGATGATGATCTGGTCGAGGGAGGCACCGCCAAGCTCGTAGTCGTGAGCAGTGGCGAGGATAGTGTACATGCCTCCGCGGCAGGCAACAACGGCAACATCGGAGCGGGTGCCACCGAAGTCAGCAACAACGGTCAGCTTGTCAGTAACGGTAGCCTCGGGGCGGGCATCGTAGGCCATGACAGCGGCAACGGGCTCGTGGATCAGCTGGAGAACGTCAAGACCAGCGGCCTTGGCGGCGGCAACGAGGGCCTCACGCTGAGCATCGGTGAAGTCGGTGGGGACGGTGATGACAGCGGCGTTGACATCCTTACCAAGGAAGTCGGAGGCGGACTGCCTCAGGCGCTTGAAGTGACGGGTGGAGATCTCAGAAACAGTGACGGTGTTGGGGGTTTCGCTCTCAGTGTCGCGGATGGTGAAAGCGACAGTCGAGTCCTTCTGCTGGGGGTGGGCGGACTGATGGCAGGGAGTAGGGTCGATAGACTTGAATTCCTTGCCGAGGAAATCACGGAAGTATGCGACAGTGTTGGTGGAGTTGCGGATGAGCTGCGCCTTGGCCTGTGTGCCGTGGTACTCCTCGCCTTCAATATAAGAAAGGATGGAAGGGATTTGACGGTCTGGTATGGGGTTAATTCAAGTTCACTGAGCGCGGGGCTCAAAAATCTTACCTCCCTCCTCGTTGGCAATAACCTCAGCCTTGCCCTCCTGTGTAATTGTTAGCCATTGCATTATCTCAGACTGCACACAGATATACATACAGGCGAGATACGGGCAATTGAACTGCAAGAGTTACCGAAAGAGATACCGATAGCGAAACGCTCGGCCTCAGCGGGGGCAGCGGCGTCACCCATTTTGAATGTGATAATAAATGGATTCAAATTAAAGAAGAAAAAGGATATCACACGTCACGGCGTGAAGGGGGATGATCGTGATGGATGGCTCGATTGAGGGGGAATCGAAAAATCTTCTGAAGATTTTCGTCCGCTGTGGCTGGGCTTATCGATAGGGTAGTGGCGCACGGGTACCGCCACATTTCGAGTCCACAGGGACGACAGTAAGGTATAGTTGGATTGATGAGGTACAAGAGCAAGTCGAAATAGAAATTGAAGACTGTCTATTTAGTTATGTTAGCAAGAATAACTGCCCACGTATGTTAATATACCTGTCTCCCATGCGTTGAGATGTGTAAGTGGGAGGTCACGTGTTGATAATGAAATATGGGTTTGCAGATAATTCGATGCTCAGTCAACTTCAAACAGGCTTGAGCTCGAGCTGTCTTAATTTTTGCTGCAACACAACTGGCCTCAGCACACGGTCGCAAAACATTCACCATGACCACTCCACTGGTCTTATTACCCAGCGATGAGGTTCCCCGCGACTATCTTCCTGCCAACAACTCCAACCCTCTACGACTGGGTCCTGGCCTTCGTATCCTCTCACAGCCGTCTTCCAAGTCTGCGGACTCCAAACATGTCTTGACAGCCACACAAGCTGGTCTACTCACGACCGATGCCAAGAAAAACACAGTCTCACTTCTTTCTTTCCCGAACCGCCGGTACATCCCCACCGTCAACGACTTCGTCATCGCACAGATTCACCATTCCAGCGCCGATTTCTTCCATTGCATGGTCAGCCCACACACAGCACATGCGCTCCTAGGTCAACTGTCATTCGAAGGTGCATCCAAGAAGACAAGGCCAATGCTGAAGCAAGGCGAACTGGTGTACGCCCGAGTACTGTCCGTGGGGGTCGGCGCCGGCGCCGAAGTCGAGCTTACCTGCGTGAGTCCATCAACCGGAAAGGCTGAAGGAGGTATGGGTCCTCTGGCCGGAGGAATGGTCTTCGATGTTTCAACTGGCATGGCTGCTCGCCTGATTCGGGCAAACAACCCTTCAGCTGAGATAGATGAGATTGAAGGGCTTGTCATCCTTGCTGAGCTTGATAAGAAGCTGGATCCTTTTGGTGGATTTGAGCTTGCTGTTGGGCGGAATGGAAAGGTCTGGGTGAACTGTTCGGACTCTGAAGAAAACACCGTTAAGGCTACAGTTGCTATTGGGCGCTGTCTACAGGAAACCGACCAGAAGAACCTTCACCCTCATGACCAGAAAAAGCTTGTATCGAAAGTTCTCCGGGAGATGAAGCTGACCTGATTGCCCGTTGGGCTGGAGTATGGGTGTTACGACTTGCATCTGCTTTCTATTCTTTTATGCCAGCATGTACATTATTAATGCAATCGATGAGCATAACGTCTGTTCTGTACCAAAGTATATATATAGATATATCTGTCAGGAGGTTTGTATAATATACAAACATTTCCGTTGTCCGTGGCTATAATGTCAGGAGTTCGGACGAACCATGTACAATGCACGGTCAGGCATTACCCAGTCTACCTTAATCAACGGCATTGACTGGATTTTTCGCAAATTAAATGAACAAAAATCAAGCAGCATGAGAAGTCAGTAGTAATACTACTTACTGAATGCAAAAAAGAAACTCTCCCTCGGGGAATCGAACCCCGGTCTCCCGCGCTTCTCGGTGTTAATGACAAGCGGAAATCATCACCACTAGACCAAGGAAGATTGAATGACCGAGTTACAGCTCGACCACTTGGCTGGTTGATGAAAGGTTCCACATGCCAATGGATTCAGTGTCATCACAATTTGTCAAAGCACATACATGCATTGTGTCGTATATCCTATTTTGCATATTTTCTTAAGATCAAGAGAAGAATTGAGTTTATGTACAAAAGCTCCGGGCTTGGTATATATATGTATCAGCTGCTTCTTCCTTGTGTCGATTGACATCGACTTATATCTGGTACAGATAACTGGTCAACATGAAGGCGGTCATCGAGGCGGTCTTGGATATTGCCAGTTTACGAGCTCTCCGCCGTAAATTTTGTTCGGGTTCGGACAGCGAAGCTTTCTTCAACTGCACCTTCCCCTCCTTTTCCACATATCCAGGGCTTCACTATGGGTCAGAATTCGTCCCAGCCCGAGGGAATCCCTGAGATTTCTGAGGATTTTGGAATTGTCGGTAAGTCTACTCAATGCGATTGATCTTTAGACTTGACACTGACGTTCATTCCAGTTCCCGAAACTCCGTATGCAGAACACGACACGCCCGAGCCGAAGAAGAGAGACAAGAAAAACCGCCACTCGAAGAAGAGGGAGAAGCTGAGTCAATCTGACAAGGCCAATGGGATAGGAACTCCACCTTCAGATGACAATGCGACGAAATCCTCGAAGCGAAAGCGCGAGGACGAACCTGAGCGCAAGAAGTCCAAGAAGAAGAACCGCAAGGATGATGCGCGACATGAGGCAGAGTCCCCCTCCCCACCAAGAGCTCCCTTCTCTAGCCAAGCCACTTCATCGATGCTCGAACGATCCGAGAAGAAAGCTCACAAGTCAAGCAAACAAAAGAAAGATTCAAATGGCATCACTCCCCCCGCTTCTCAGGTTTCTCGTGCTACTCCGGCTGCCAAGGGCACTCCCGACAGTAAGCAGCAGATGTCTGAGGAAGGCAAAAACAGTGTCCGAGGCCCAAGAATCAGAGAGGCGGACAACAAGAAAATCGGTTTCTACACCCCCGAGGAACTGGAGAAGATTGAATCATACAAGGTCACTTTCTGTAATTGGCATGGCGTCTCTGGGCTCACATTCGATGAGTTGGTCCACCATTCAGAGCGTGGCTCACAGGATTGGCCACTTCCCACAACGACCATGACCAAATCTGAATTCTGGGACGAGATCTACGCTCTTCTTCCTGGCCGTGACCGACGGTCCGTGTACCGATTCATGCGCCGACACTTTCAGGGCTCAACTCAACGGGCACATGACTGGTCCCCAGAGCAAGATGAAGAGCTCATCGAGCTGCACGCCCAGCATGGACCAAAATGGACATACATTGGCAAGCTTCTCGGGCGTAGCGATGACGACGTTTACCAGCGCTGGAAGAACAGGCTCAGATACAAGGACACCATGAAACGTGGCGCGTGGTCAGCAGAGGAAACAAAACTATTCCTAGAAGCTATGCAGGCAGTTTGGGAAACTCTGAGATACACCCTCAGCAAGGAGGAGAAACGCAAATCGCTGGGCAAAGACTTATATGAAATGGACGAGACTCTGGTTCCCTGGGGTACCATCAGCAGTGCATTGGATAATAAACGATCTGAACAACAGTGCTCGGACAAATTCCGGAAGATTCGGCCTGTTGTCATGAGAATGCGAGCCAATGGCAATCCAGACGCTGTCTTCGATTACGAGACCTCTGCTAAGAGAGCTCGCAATTGGAACAGAAAAATCGGCGAAGGCCAGATAAGCGAACAATACGTGAACGATGATGACAGCGACGTGGATAGGGATGCTGACGAGGTTAAAGAGACCCCGGGCCCGCAGCCAACCCGCACGCAAGGGTTCTCCGGGATTGTTCGAGAAATTAGCCATGGCCCTAGTCAGGAGACTGATGCTGAGTCTGAATTTGAGTCCGCCAAACAGTCAAAGAAGTCTAAGAAGTCGAAGAAGAACAAGCATGCTGAGGACCCCAATACAGAGGAACAAGCCGTGTCATTCCCTAAACTTAAAGAAGAGAAGAAGCGTGAGAAGAAGGAGAGACGTGAAAAGGAGAAGCAAGAGAATACTGAGAATGAAGTGACGGCCGAGAAAGCTTTACGAAAGGAGCGCAAGAAGCAGAAGAAGGAGGAAAAGAAGAGACGAGAGGAGGAAGAGCGCCGTGCGGCTGGAGCATCGAGCAGCGAGGCTGAGAGTGAGCCTAAGCAGAAGAAGGCCAAGGAGTCTAAGTCCAAGAAGGTTTCTAGCGAGGCTGATCACAGATCTGACGGTGAAAATGACAACACTCAATCGCCCTTTGCTGCTCCCTCTCCCAGTTTCGCCAAAACTGACACTCCTTCGGTCCACGATGAATCAGAGAGTGACAAGGAAGAGGAAGATGGCGACACGAACATGAAGCTCGAAACTGACTCGGAGTAAAGTAGTTGCGACTTTTGCTATTCTTTGTTCCTAGATACCCTATCCTGCTTTGTTCCAAGCCTCAATTGCAACCATGTCAAGCCAAGAAATGAAATGAACCAATATTAAACACAAGAAAGCTCACTTGTAAACAGTAATTCAATTTTCCAGGCTATATCATGTAAGATGGAAATGCACATCTACAACTCATCCTTCTTCTCCTCACCACTCTGCACAAACTCAACCCCAGCAGCATCCTCAACACCAGCAACCCTCTTCGCCAAAGCCGCTATCTCATCATCATAAACCGTCCACTCAGGAACCTGCCTCCTAGCCCTCTCCAACTTAGGCTCCTTAGTAAGAGGATTATTACAAAGATCAATCGTCTTCGCAGCCCCCAAATCCTCATCCGCACACCAAGTTTCACACCACAACCATTCCTGCGGAAGACTATGAATGGGAATATGATGCTGCATATGATTAGGCAGGTCCTGATCCAGATTACTAAGACTGTTCGGATCGGACGAGAGCATCTGATACTGCCCGCGCAACCGATCACCAGCCGCGAGCGCCCGGAAACGATTCAAGTCCACAACATAAAGCGCAGAAATATGGTATGGCTTCCCACGCAGGAAGTTAGACCAATACCCCGACTTCCAGAAACGGAACCCTTCCATTTCAGAACGGGAATCGCCCATCGGCGTGAAGCCGTACGGCGCGTCTTGGAGGTCGTGCGTGACTAGATCGTGCATGTCCGTGCGGACGATTTGGTCTGCGTCGACGAAGATGACTTTGTCGAGCGAGAGGGGGAAGAGGACGTCCAGGAAGAGCATCTTGTAGCCCCAGATTTCGCGCTGTTTCTCTTTCTGGGAGCGTAGCCAGTGGGGCCATTTGTAGGTGACCATTTCGTAGGAGAAGTTGTATTCCTTTGCAAGGGAGGGGAGGAAGGCGCGGAAGGAGGGTGAGAGGAATTGTTCAATGAACCAGAATTTCACGGTATGTTTTGTGTGCCGCATGACCGAGACCATCATTATGTTTAGCATGCGTTCGTAGAGGTGGCCGCTTGCTACTGAAAAGATGTTGATATCGGCTTGTTGGTCGTTGGTTTTGGTGTTGACTCCTACGCTGGAGAGGACGCCTGAGGCGAAGTTTAGGCCCTTGGCGAAGTAGTCTTTTGTTGAGCCTGGTTGGATGCCCGTTTCGAGGACGTCTTCTTCTTCGTGCCCTGGTTTGCGAGATAGGCGTGGGAATAGGGTGCGGCCTTGGAAGGTTAGTAAGGCTACCTCGTTGCTTTCGTCGCCGGGTTGGGGGCGGTATCCGAGGCCGCCAACGCTGTCGATGTTGAAGAGCTTCTCGCTGCGGCCGGGCTTGAGGTTGATCTGCCATAGGCCTGGCTGGGCTTTGAATTGGAAATATCCAAGGTTGGCCATGATGATGGTGTCAGCGAAGTAGTGGTTCTTCTCCGTGCCTAGGGTGAGCTGGACACCTCTGGGAGGTGTCTTGGTTGTGAGATCACGAGAGTGACCTTCAATCAGGATGTGCTCGAGAGCATAGATCGCATCGACATCGGTGCCAGCCTTGAGCGAACTCAACTTGATGTTATCCAGATCGTGGATTGATTCCTTGGGCGCAACAAGCCACGATGAAGGCACATCCATGCCCAGAGTAAGCAGTGCCTCGACTGGCACACCAGTGAAGGAAGCCTGAGGCCGAGCAAGAGCACCGTTTTCGGTGAACGACGGCTCTGACTCGAGGACATAACGGTAGAACCGCTTGACCGGCAACTCCTTGAGGTCCTCCTTGGGGTTGAGGAAGATCTTGAGCTGAACACCGGACAGTTCAGAAAGAACCTTGATAATCGGCAGCCATCGCTGGGCAACCTCGGAAGCAGGATCAAGAACGACCGCAACATTAATGGCAGGATCATCAGAGTTGGAAACCGTGATCACGGAATAAACAGTTCTCCACTTGTCAGACACATCCATTCTGAAATCAGGAGTGTTCTCAAAGATACCCTCTGGAACATCCGAGATCATAGAAAGAGCCACAAGCGAGGTCAGCTTGGCAAAGTCGAGGGGGCTCGAGATCTTAGTTTGGAAGCCCAGTTGGGCGACAGCCAATGCAACAGGATCTAGACGTTTGAGCCGTTCGTACGCGATGAGCTGGCTCAATTCGTCTACAGTCAATGGGTAATCCTTCTCGACAGGACCGACTGCTCTTCCGTTGACGACGAGTCCTTCTGTGCCAGGCTCGAATCCAAGTTCCTTAGCCAGGCGCTGGTGCAGTTCTTGGACAGCAGAGAGCTCTTCAACTACGATCTCAGGAACCTCAGCGTCATCATCAGATGCGCTGAGCTTAGCTAGGACCTGGTCGATGCTCTCGCCCTTTGCAAGCGACCGGTAAACCATGACGAGGTTTTTGGGGAGAGCCACATCATCTGATGCGGCATTGTGAAGAAGAAAAACCTCGACATCAGTATGTTCCTTCCGGAGGTTAAGGGCTTCAGTCAACAATGCAACACCCTCCGCCTCAAAATCACCCACGACAATCATATGAACACTCTCTAAAGCGCTCTTTTCAGAGGTGATATGGGGGATCCTGTTCAAAACGTTCTCATCGGACCCAAGGACATTGGCAAGATCCACAATGCGGACACTCTTGGGGTCTTCGGGCATGAGGAAAGTGTTACGTCTCTTGAATGCTCCAGCGAGGAAAAATTCGGGGAGCCAAGCATCACCCTCGAAGAGATCCTCAACAATTCCCTGCTGAACCAGCTTCAGGTCTCGGCTGATCTGCATACTCATTCCCTGCATCCAATTGCCTTCGCGGGAGACGGGAATACCGTTGACGAGGAAGTGAGGTTCGTCGCCGGTAAGGCTCAAACGGCGCTGATAGGCAGCTGTGTGGGAGACGAGGGCATTGTATTTTTCGCTCTTCAAGACTTGGTCAAGAGATAGAGCTGGATGGTCACCAATGAGCTGGTGTTCCTTGGTTGCAGCCACGAAGCACGATTTATCAGGAGAGCCTCTCTTTCCCTTAGTAGCATACTATTCAATGTCAACATCCGTGATACACTTAAGATATTAGGATTCAGGTAAACATACCGCTTCGAGATATTTGACGAGAGAGTCCAGACCATAAGCATCGAAAAGGTAGTGAGCCACCTTCAACTGTGCGGCAGACTCAGGAGACGAGCTGAGAGGCACCAAACCAAATCTCACAGGGATACCTCGCTTGATGAAAGCATGCAAGTTACCGGCAATGAGCATCATGCTCTCCGGATCAGACAGATCAACAGGAACGACAACATTGTGCAGGTCCCTGCGCACTGGAGGCAATTGTCCCGGATAACCACCGGCGATGTACTGAATGACAATTAGCAAAGTTCAGAGCAATAAGAGATAAATCACGAACCGCCTCGAGTTCACTGGACCAGCCCTCGTATCTGGAATCCTTTTCCAGGTCATTCAACCAGATGATAACCTGGTTCTCTTCCGAATCATCTCGGTAGTCATAACGCTGTTCCTCGCCACCAGCCTGTGCCTCAGTGAGAATCTGGTGCGACAGAATCTTGACAGCATCACTAGCGGAAAGGCCAAGACTACGGAACTTCTCAATAAGCTTCCTCTCCCGACGCAGATGTTCCAAAAGAGAGAAGGCATCGATCTGGCGCGTATCAATCTGCACACCGTTGATCCACATAACATTGTAACCACCAGGAAGCATCTTCGCCCGGTTATGACGAATCTCCTGCAACATTTCCCCAGTAGCGTTATGAGCCGCCACCGTAGAAGAATACTTAGGGAAATTCTGCGAGAGCTTGATCAAAGCCTCCAAAGGATCAGGGCTATCCATAACATACTTCGCCGAATTAATACCCAACCGCGCAACTTCCGAAGCAGACAAAGGCCTCAAATCATCCGGCGCGTCCTTCTTCGTCTCCCGGTCAGCGTTGGTCTCAGTATCAAGCTTCTCGGCAGCACGGTCATCAATAACGATATAATCAGTCTTCTTCAAAGCAAGCTCAACACCATATCCGGAAACAAACAACGGCCTTGAAACCCAATGCCGAGGAGGCCGGTAGCGAACCCGGTACGAGATCTGTCCCTGCTTCGCCATATCGCTCAGCGTCTCATGGAAATCCTTAAACATTGGCGCGGAAATATCCGCATACAGGACAGCAGGAGGGAGCGAGATATCGCCTAGGACTCGATCGAATGGTAGTTCGCGAGGATCCTGCGCATCAAGCACATCCTGCTGTGCGCGTTCCAGCGCAGAAGAGCAGTATTGCTTCCCCTCCAGATGAACCCAGACGGGACATACGGCATCCTGGGCTGCGCCTAGGGATTGCTGGACAGAGGTATTGTAGAATTGGTAGTGGGCCTCAATGCGAGGGGCGGACGAGCGAACAGAAAGCGATAGCTTAAACGATGATAGACTCTCCGGGGTGCGGAGATGTCCGCCTTCTTGGACCACGGTCAAGAATCGGTTGTAGAGCTCTTCCTCTGTTGTGAGGTCTTCGAAGGTGCCGTCGGCGATGCGGTCTAGCAACGGAAAGTATGCAGTAGAGTTTTCATCTGCAGCAGATTCCCTGTAGTCAACTTGCGCATTAGCATTGTTCTTTTGGGCTGTCTTCTCAACTATGGGGGCAATCTATTGTGCAACGTCACATACAAGAGCTCGACTAGGTATGGGGCCGAGTCGAAGGAGGCCTGGAGCGCCACGTTGACGGCTGGGCTGGCATTGGCATTTGCAATACAGCCTGCGAGGGCTCCGATGGCGGCGTACCACCGCCAGGAGATGCGAGATCCCATCTTCATTGTTGTGTTGGGGTGGTTTGTATAGATGGATGTTTATAGGGGGGCTGCCCCGGGTATGGGTGGCTTTGTATTGGTGGTATCACCGAGTCTAGATGTCCATGTGAGTCTTATCAAACATAACGGGCCCAATGAGCCCCAGCTCGCTTAAATAAGGTGTCGAGATGAGGTTGGAGATTCAGCTGATCTGGACACTTGGGGCGTTTCGTTATCTCTTATCGGGATTCTACGGTGGACGCAGCGGCAACTGATGCAATCTCCGAGGTTCTACCCTTGACTGGTCACTACATGTGCAAGAATTTTATATGATAGATTGTATTGAATTGGAATTTTTATCCCCAGGATGCTATGCATACTGGGCGCTTTCATAAGGACATTAGTCGTAAAATCAACCTTGGAACACCACCAGATGCTCCACCAGAAACGCCGCTTGTTTTTAATGTTCAAGATAATCAGAGTATGTGCAGCACCAGCTGGCTCTGTACAACAGAGACTGTGAAAAATTGATAATATGCAGGGGGGCGGCTGCAGGGATGATGCAGAAACTTGAACGAGGAAAGAGGAGGGTTGGGTGAGTGTAGTATTGCGCGTCCTTAGATGGCCACGGCAATGGCATCAGGATGGATATGGGCGGGAGCGTCAATTGCCTTGCGAGCTTTGGCCTCATCAATCAGGCGTTGGCGCTTCTCTTCGGTCATGTCGAAGAGCATTTTTGTGTTGAAGTTGGGCGAGATATGCTGCGGGCTGGAAGAGCTATCAGGGCGACCGGAGATGTCCTTGCAGGACTTCATTTTCTTAAGGGACCGGGCCCGCTCCTTCTTCTGCTCCTTCTTGGGGTCCTTTTTGGTCCATCCTGACATCGAGCTGGCGAAGCGCTCCAAGATGGATCCGTGCTTGCTCAAAACAGGGGGTGCAGGGAAGTTGGGAAGAGGCTTCTCACTATCCTGGGTTTCCTGGGAATAGGAGGTAGTAGGACGAGAGAGGGGACGGGAGGCGACGAAGCTGATGCCTGAATCGGCGCGACGCGAACTGCTCTTGGTGACTTCGGATCGGTCGTTGATCAGGGCGCACTCGTCAATCACCTCGACAACAGCGGTCAGGTATCGGTCCATAGTATCGTACACGGCAGGCCAGGCGTTGTCATCACCAGGGCGGGTGCCTTGCTTCATGATAGGGTCCAAGATTCTGGGGTTCTCCTCAAACTTGATAATGAAAGTGAAAAAGGCATCGCGGTGGTTTTCAAGGGTCTTTGGTGCCAATTGCTGGGTTGGAGTCAGGGTTGAGGCGTGAACAGGTGGCAACAGAGTGTTGAGAAGAGCCAGGCAGTTGGGCTTGTTATAAGGCTCGAGCATCATCTCATTGATCAAGATCCAGCGACGGAGACCGACATAGACTTGAGTGTACAGGAAATCGATCATGCGAGCCTTTCCATTGATCTCCTGGTACCAAGCCATCACACCAGGGTACTGACTAGCAAGCTCGGAGTTCTTGGCATCCCGGGCATCATCGGCAGTAACATTCAAGCGACGGAATGCGGCATCGATTTCCTTCTTCCAACGGTCCTGAAGGTCCTTTAGGTAGTCAAGAGCGGTCAAAGCCTGGGCGAAGTCGACTTCGGCCAGGTCCAAACAGAAGCAACGGCGCACAAAAGAGGTAGTGAAGCTGGGAGGCAGCGAGCAGGGCTGGGAAGGCAGTTGAGAAACAGTACGGGTGAGGAATGCACGGAATTGGGCATTGGCATCGCCATCAAAAGAAGGAGTGTCAGAACTACGGTGGGTAGACTTGGATGCCTTGGACCACACTGAGTTGCGAGACAACACGGAAGGAGTGTTGGAGCCTGCCATGGTGCTCTTGGTGGGGTGGCAGTTGAGCTCGTAAGCAGCGCGAAGAGAGATTTCGTATTGGTCGGCGTAACGCAAGCAATGATCAAAGATCCAAGTCAACGATGACCCATCGGGTGCATCGAGTGTTTCATAGTTGAGGTCGGGAGACATGCTATGCAGCTTGGCAGTAGTCTGACGAAACAGTTGTCAAGACCAAGGAAGGTGAGGAAGCGATTGCAAACAAAGATGAGTGAAGGATGGAAATTCCAGATGGCACAGAGCCGTAGTTATGGTCCAGAGAATCGCGACGGCTGGGATAGCTCAAAAACCAGCCAAGGGAGGGGAAGACCTGATAAATCCAAATAGGAAAAACAGACAGACACGGGCGCGCGATTGGTCGAGTCTCGATATGTCTGAGACAGTCACGTCCAAAGGAAAAAGCTTTCGCGGCTGGCGGATGTTCTTTGTCTGAGATATCCCTTGGGGAAGGAGAGCCAATCAGATTGCAGATTAGATAGATTTCCTGCACGCCAGATCTGATGTGTATGCAAAGTGAAGAGCGGGCGTCGGGAGCTAGCTTCCGAATGAAACGTAAGACACGTCGAGTGAGCGAAGGGAGGAAAGAGTGTAAAGTAAACAAGACAAGAACGAGGTTGGAAGTGAAAGTGGTAAAAGTGGAGGGGAAATAGCCGGTACTAAAAGGCGAGCGATGTTTGTCCGAAAGACATTTTAATTAAGGGCTCCGAGTCCAGGCCCGGGGGGTTCTCCACTAGCGTCACATCATCACTGGTCCCTGAGTTATGGGTATGCTTTAGACAGCCGTTGCTTTCCCGCCGCCCCGGTATACACTTTTCCCAATCAGGTAGGTTCTAAGCCCAAATTCAATCCAGCCTCTTATGATTGGACTTATGTCCTTGATGTGCCTTGCATGCGATTTCTTGTGCGGGAACTGGGGATAGGCAGCCGTTAAGGCGAAATCTTCGGTTCTGTGTGTACTTAGTCATGGGACTGGTCAATTTAGATATTTCGCCCCCCTTCAGCTTGCGTCGTACGATTTATTTTTAAGGTGGCCACATAATTTGTTCGCCTCTCCTCCGATGGAAAAAAAATTACTGCATGTCGGGCGTAAAGCAAAGGATCTTCAATTTCGATAACCTTTGGTAATTATTTATCCATTTTATTCTTAGATCGTTCGCTTGGATCGGGTGTGGGGCTCATACGCAATCCCCGATGAAACTGCCTCTACCACGATACCGGGACCGCACAGAAAATGGCCGTTAGATCAGTACGAAAATGGGATTCCACACGCACACACCCGTGTTCTGTACGTGTAGACTGCATACGTAGACAAGAATAATATATCAGGATGATATCAATAAACAGCCGGAATCGGAACACAGTTCCATGGTACAGATAAAGTGCCATTGATGAGTACCATGGTTGGTCCCCGTGTGCCCCCCGTGTCTCTGCCTCAGGCAAAGTCTCGTGCTTTTGCTCCGTTTCATTAACTACGCCCGACAGGTCAACTTTGCAAAATTGACACCTCCTAGTTTGACCTTTCTGAGCTCAAAAATTGGTATCAAGGAATGCACACAGCCGGTGTTTCCATACAAAACACCAAGAATGATCGACTGGACCGGACCTTCCCAAGCGAGTCTAGTGCATATCACCTGACTGTCTTTCAGCTCACGGCACCCTGCTGATCCCTCAAGTCCAGACATGAAGATCGCCAACGTGTTTATTTGCTTCCGATACGTCAACCTGCCTCAGGGGGAAAAGTACGCCCCATCACTTATATTTTTTTTACAGGCGATCATTTCGTCACTGACGGACATGCATCTCATCGGTCTTCCAACTACCGGATATTCGGGTGAACGCCGGGCTAAGCGTAGACACTTGGACCTCTACGGACCTCCCTATCGGAGATGAACGCTGGAACTTCGATCAGGGGGAGGGGGGGTCGCATTTGATTCTGAGGCTCTATACGAAAATACTGCATAGCCTGCTCATTTGACAAAGGACTTCCTTGCTACACGTCATCCGCCTCATCCACGGAGTACACCTCCAATTCAGCGATCATCGTGCGCGCCGGGATAGTAACACAAATCGGGAACCCCCCGTAATCAGGTTCCTCATTGGGCATCATAGCAAAGATCCCATTCCTAGTCTCATCGCCATTCAAAACACGCAAAGTGCGTAGTTCCCCAGTTTCCTTGTTCGCAACGATCTTCTCCTCAAACCGCAAAAAGCCGGTGAAGCTGCTCGTGGGACTCAAAGAGCGTGCACGGACTTGGAAGCCCCATCCGATCAAAAGGAATTTTCCTCCGCCGAGGTGGACGACGATGCCTACGCCCGGTCCAGCTTTGCCAAAGACAAAGCAGCGCTCGATGGTGATTTCGTAGCCGTTCCAGTGCTTGATCACCGGATGAGATGGGTCCGAGCCGTCGGCTGCTAGCTCGTCGAAGAAGAATCCAACCGAGGCATTTGGCCTGGTCTGAGCGTCTAACACGATCTGTGACACCGAATCTAGGAGTCCGTAGTGCTTTGTAAAAGGGTTTGTGGCGGGATCCAGTGTGTCAATTCCAAAAGGTGAGACTCCAATTGCTTGGAATGAGCCATATGCGACCCAAATACGTCTGACGCCGTATTCATCGCGACGCTGCTCGGGTATGAAGAGTGGCTGACTCCGGTGTCTGTATTTGCGGCATGCGGTTGCGTAGTCGTCTAGATAGACGTCCGGTGCAATAAAGTCCAACGAGGGCGCAAACTGCTGCCAGATATCAAGGACGTTGCTGGTCCCGCCGCCAGACGGGTAATCACCCGGATGGCCGCCTCCACCGACGACGACTGGGAAATTATTGTCGCCGTCTTCGCCGACAAAGTTTTGCCAGACATTCGTATAGAACGGAATAGGGTACTCCTTCTTGCCAGCAGCAGCAACCTGGTCGAGATACTTGGCGTAGTGATAAGCCATGAAGAGCTCATCTGTATGAGGGCTCTTGCCAAAGACCTGTTCCCATGTTCCACGGGGACTATCCCGAGTCTTAAAATGGTCCAAGTTGCCTTTGAGGTCAACATGAAGCGCTTCCCAGTCCTTCGCTAGGAATTGCACCAGATCCTCCGGAACAGGCGCGAGGAATCGCTTCTCTGCGGCAGCAGAGCCGTCGCGGGAATCACCTAGCAAGCCAGTCTCGTTCTCGACTTGGACCATCACCACAGTTGAATGAGCCCCGTCGACTTCTTTGATATGTGCCAGCAAGCGCGAGAATGCCTTGGTATCGGCTTTGCATCCTTCTCCATGGAAAATGGATAGCACATCGCCGGTCTGGAGGACACCCCCGGCCTTGCGTAGCTTCGCTCGCGGGAACCGCTTGGTATTTGTCTTGACCCATGGGGGCACATATGTAGAAATACCTAGACGGGCGCGGTGTCAGAGAATTGTATCATCCATCCAAGGAAGGGAAGATACCATTCTTGTAAGAACCAAACCACAATAACACAAGATGCAATCGATGCTTCCTAGCACCGAGAATGACCTTGTCCAATGCAGCAAAGTTAAACTCATCCTCAACAGGCTCGATATCCTCCCAGGTCACACATCCCAGCACAGTATTGATATGAGTATCAACAAGCTTCTGCCAAACAGTATCCATATACTCAGCCGAAGTCATAGAGGAATTCTGCAGTTCACCAGCAAGAGATAGGAAAGGTCGGCCATTGACAATGAGTTGCTGACCGGTTTCCGTCTTGCGGAGGTGTGGGATGTCGGAGGTAGGGACTAGCATTGTTTCTTATACTGATATGGCTTGGAGTATCAATATATCAAGAAAGACGAGAGAACCATTGACTCCGTCAGAGAATGAAACAAACGCTTTTTCATGGCTACATTGTTATATCTGCTCCCTCGTCCTCGATTACCCCTCATCGGACTCTCCACATACGAGTACAATGGACAAGAATGCTGTAAGACTCCTGTGGGATGTACACCAATATCCCGGATAGGATCACACCACATCAGAAATGCGGCATTGAACATGTCTGATTGGACTAATATCCCGCAACATTTAATAGATCAAACCTCCAGCCCCCTTCCCCCCGCACCTCCCAACGCCGGATCATATCATCGTGAGCAGATGTTGCGGACATGAAGATCTTTTGTAAGCTGATATTCCGTAACTTGAAGCGGGGCGCTTCTCTGTAAACGCTCGTCCTGTTTGAATAGAGATCCGGGCTAGAGGTATGGGTATGGGTATGGGAATGTTGTTTGTTTCTGATTGAAGGGGCCGGATGTTTTCTTGCTTACGGCAGTCTGCTGAAGCTATCTGCTTAAAGGTCATTTCCCCTGTATCAAGGGCTGACTGCCTTCACGCATCATTCTTTTCTACTGTATGAACATTCAATTGACCTACTCTCTTTATAGACCTTATCCTATTTTCAAATGACTATTGATTAAGGTATTTAAAAGAGACCGAAAAGAGGGGTTAAAGTAAGGTAAACATAACTTCGAAAACGGTACGCCCATTCAAAATGTTTTTTTTGTGTAGAATATCTTCCAGGAGACTAGAAAGGCCGCACTCTGTACGTGGTTGTGGTGTATGAAGGGTATAGTAATATTACAAGCTTATAGGCGGCAGAATGGCTTTTTCATTTGGTGGCACTAACAGACTGCCGTACTTGTTGGTTGTACTTGGATGTGAGAGGCTCTGATGGCCCTGAAATGGATATTCGTAGGAGTATAAGCCAAGCCGTCTTGCGTTTTATCGCATTGCATTGCAACACAAATATGTGAGGAAACACTTGAACGCTGGCGTGGCTACTGTTGCTCACTCTGAGTTTGTTGGGATGGTTCGACGGAGTTTCCTCGCGTTACTTGATTAAAACATGGTGGTTTGCGCAAGTTATATCCTATGATGTGGCGGGATTGTAAGTGTTGACGAGACATATGATTTAATCCTGGATACTGAGATGCGGACAGACTTCAATAGTCTTTTCACTGCTATCCAGAACATTGGCGGTATTTGTTCTTTGTTCTTCTGTGGGTATTCCTCCAGATCTAGATGAGATTCTGCTAACTGGTTCTTCAACTGATAGCCTCCCATATTGCTGAGTTGCTTGAAAGAAGGGCTCGACTATCGGCTTAACTATTCTGTTTGTTGGGACAATCATCCCGCTGGGGTTGTCGGTCAATTCCAACATTTTCCTGCGGGTATGATTATTTGTGGGTCTTGGGTATGTTACAGTTTATATCCACTGTACCGATACCCTACTAACAATTATAAAAAGGTCCAACGTGAGCCAGGGTTCCGTCCCTTTGCTCACCACAGAACTTGCCTTACCCCAACACCGCGGAAAGCTGACAACGATGTCCAACACATTCTGATAGCTAGGAACCATTGTCATAGTTCAAGGTAATTCAAGTTGAAGTTGAGACTGCTTGTGATATCATACATAGTAGAAAGATTATCATGTTCGTACACTAAGATTATCCATCATGGGAATTTTCTGTTTTCCATGGTCCATATTCCGTTGAAGTATGCCGCGCTCCTCTGCTGTCAGACTACAAACAGCTTGGGCTACGTGGCATCCGAACTTTCCCCGTAGAAGACAATCTAAAATACCGCGATTGAGTCCTGATATTCATGGGTTGCAAGAAACTTGCGTAGTCCCTGGGTATCTCGAGAATAGCGGTGCAGACCTTGATATGGTGAGGCCATCTCCGAAGCAAGAACAAAAGATACGACAAATTCGACCCATGGTAAACACATCGACTCCTTTGTTGCACATGGGGCCATAACCTACATTCAATACCGGCTAAAACAGCATGGCCACAAAATGGACCGACTCCTCAAATATCAAACAAGTCTTGCTCAATTTATTGCAGGGTTACATACAAATCAAGCAGTTATTTCATTGAGAAGAAGGAACAAGATGAATATGAGTCTATCCACATACGAGTGTTGTTCAGGGCTGTAGTCCCGTCTGGCATATCGAAGTCTCCGCCCGGCAGAAAAACGGACGATAAGCGCAATAACTTAAACTTGACTCGGCAACATTTCATTCCTGAACACAACATTTTAACTATGGGGAAGGGACCCTTGGAGCGGAAGCTCCAGTTTGAAAAGAAGAACAAAGATCTCGTCAAGCTTCCCAAATGTAAGGCAACCGCCTACGCCTGCGGGACGTATCCAAATCGCGAATGCGACTGCCGAACAGCTCAAACTCGAGATCTCCAAGACTGACTAACTGTTTTACACAGATGCAACGGTCGAGAAGCGCCCCATACCCCATGCACCAGTTGCATCTCCCTACGCCGGAGCCTCTGTTCCTAAGATCGTCTACGTCTCGAGCAGTACGCCATTCATGAGCGCAGTCAAGCGCATCCAGAAACTACTCCTCCAAGCCGAGAAGCGCGCTACGGCAAACATCAACCTAGAGGACACGCGCAAAAATGAGAAGCAAAAGCTTGCAGAACTGGCTAATATCTCCTCCAAGCGAGAGGAAATTTTCGTGAAGGCGACGGGCCGTGCTATCGAGAAAGCGCTCAATGTCGGCAAATGGTTCGAAGAGAAGGAGACAGAGTATTCGGTTCGCGTGAAGACTGGAAGTGTCATCGTTGTTGATGATGTCGTTGAGGATGAGGACAAGAAGGAGCAAGAGGAGCAAAAGCGTCAACGGCAGGAGGAGCAACCTCCTGCTTCGGAATCCAAGTCGGCTGCGAAAAAGAGGAAGCGTCAAGCTGCTGCTGCTGTGAATCCTGATGCTGAAATTCCCGAGAGCCGTACACGGTGGGTTAAAATGGTTGAGGTTGCTGTCAGTCTGAAGTGATTTTCTAGACTTCAAGACGGCTACGCAGACGGAATTTGCGAAAGCCATTTTCCTCAATCATGACTTGCAATCATGAATCAATCTGCCAAACCCTACTGGTTGGACTTGATCGCTATGATAATCCTGTGGCAGAGCCCAGGATGCTTCGGCAAAGACCCAGCAAGTTGCATAATTACATCTTGTCTATTGAGCAGACCCGCTGGATTCAACGGTGATCGCCCGTCACCCGATCACTCAGCCCAAGGCTCTTCCGAATCTTATTCCCCATGAGGGGCCCAGTGATACTCGCAATTGCTAAGTTCGAGACTTTTCAACGACCCGCATCTTTAATACCCAGTGCATCTACGTTACAATCGCAACATATCATTCGCCGGGCAGGTACAATCAAGAATGAAAAACTTCGTTTGTGGAAGGCCAACCAAGGTCAAATTCATGTACATCGAAAACATCTTAACTTGTGAAACAATACTAGTTTACCCAGGGCACATCCCCAAACGATTCAACTCAACCCGCCGTAGATGCTCAACCGACTGGCATGGAAAGAAAGAGATGGACATCAACTCGAGGCTGACAGTTCTACTGTAATTCAAAAGAGCTCAGAGAAGAAAAGCGTAAATCATCGCATCTGTCAACGGGAACCAGATAGGCATGAATAAGAAAGAAAATAGAACTACTGAAAATGAACTCCATAATACGCTCAGAAAGCCCTGCGCTGACATGACACGATGAATGATAATGCTTGAAACCCCTCCATCAAAAGAAATATTTCAAAGAGAGGCTGCAAGTCATGAACGTATCCTTATTTTCCCCCATCATGTACAGACAAAAGAGAAAGAGATGCCGAGTCCCAGGGAGTGAGAGGCTAATAGTAACATAGTAAGAGGTAGAGAAACAAACGCGAAAGGAGATGACCGGAAAGAGGGGGTGGGACATCGGAGAGGTCGATAGAGAAATTCATCGAAGAAAGTCATCAAGAAAATTCGTGGCAAGACTAGAGAGATTGTGGGCTGAAATGGACGAGGCTCCGAATATGAAGACAGGAAAAGAAAAAAAGGTGGTCTTCATCTGAGAAAAACGACCAGGGAATTCATCGCCAGAGAGTCATGACTGGCGGAATTTGAGATCTGATGGCACAAAGATAGGAGTGGCACAAAGATAGGAGTGGCACAAAGATAGGAGTGAAGGTCCAAGGTATGCAATGCACTTATGTAATAAAACCGCAGAAAAAAAACACCGAACCCAGAAGGAAGCAAGGCGAAGCTGGTTTATTTGTCCATCTTTTGCCAACCGTTGAGATAGGCCATCAAGCCTACCCCTAATAATACCACGCCAAAGATTGAAGCATAGGGGCTTGCTTCTTCCAGAACATTGTTCCGATGGTGTGTTGCAAAAGCTGTAGCGGCAGCTTCCAGCTCTTTATTCTGCTGGATAACCGAATCGAAATGCTGCATTGGGCTCTTCGGCTTAGATTGCATTGCATCCTCGCTCGAAGTAGACTCCCCTGACTGAACGCTGGTTGGCTCATGAGTGATATCGGGCTTGATAGTAGCGGCCAACGCAGAAGCCTTCTGGCGTTCCTGACGCAGAGTTTCAACCATTTCTGCCAATGATGTGCGAGATTGTGTGGACTCATCTTCTGCCTTCTCGGCACGGTCTTTGAAAGATGCGACTTGCTTCCTCATCTCGTCCATTTCTTCCATCATAGTATCCAAGCGGGTTTGAAGATTGCTGGCATTGGCTTCAGCGGAAGCAAGAGCCTCACTGTCTTCGGCAGCGGTCTCCGGAGGATGAATGCCATTGGCCTGCACGGTTTCTTCCGAGTCATCCTGCTGCTTCTCTTCGGTATCCTCTGAATGTGGAAAAATGCCATTTTCGACAGGGGCCTCTCCATTAACCAATGTAAAGCGCATCTCCATTTGGTCAGCTCTTTCTTCTGCCAATTTTCGAGCAGCCTGCTCCTGAAGCAAAAGAGTTTCCAGTTCCTTAACGCGGGTTCCTTGAGTATCAATCTCTCGCTTGGCAGAAGACAGCGCCTCGATAAGAGACAAGATCTGACTGGAATCGCGTGAGACGGGAGATCCCGCACCTCCTTTGGGCTTCTCCGTATCGCTGCGCTTCAAGGGAGAGAACGATTCCGAGGCACTGCGCGGCGGCGCATCAGGTTTCTCTGGCAATGGTTGTTGAGGTGGAGGGGCGGGAGGATCAGAGAACCTGGAGAAAGAGTCGACCCGCGGCATTTTCGGTCGGCCGTTCATCTGTCGGTGAGCACTGCTCTCCAGAGGGGATGGCTTGGTCATCTTCTCCTTCTCTGCATAACCTGGTTTCATAATAGTTGTCAAGAATTCATCGGTCTGGCCAAGATCGGTTGATTGTTGCTTTGCTGATTTCAATTCGCCCTAGAATGTGTCAGAAAGATCCTCGTGCCGGGGTTTGTGAAGCATACCGTGAGCCGCTTAACAACCTGTTCAATGGAGATTGGCGAATTCCAGTAGTTCATCTGTCGTTGTTGGTGCATAGCATTGAGCTGAGTACTGGCAACACTTTGGCTGCTTCGATTGCTAGCATTGCTACCAGCTCGGCTGCGTAGATGCGAAAGAGGCTGACTCAAAGGGGAAGGAAGAAGTCCGCCTCCAGAGGCGGGATCCAAGTCCCCAAAGTTCAGGTCAAGTACGTTAGGTGTGCTGCCATAGAGACCAGCATGTTCAACCTTGGCTGAGACTTTGTGGTGAACAATAGTGTTCTGATCCTCACTGACGATGTCAATACCAAGTTCCAGGGTATCGTTTTCTCGTATTTCATGCGGATCTGACTCGCGGTTTTCAGGAGACAATCGGTGGCCGTTCACAAATGTACCGTTGGATGACTTGATATCTCGGATCCAAATCTTGCCATTCTTTTCGGCCCAAATCTCAGCGTGCTGCCGAGAGAGAACTTTGGAGTCGAAGTACCCATTGAGAGCTGTGGGGACTGTTTTGGCGTTGGTCTGTCGGCCGATTCGCATAACGTCAGGGTAGATTGGCACGTGGATTTGTTTCTTTTCGAAGGTACCGTTCATTGGTACGAGAGCCAAGATCACCGGCATATCAGCGGATTGCCTAGGTGGCCCACGTTGACCATTCTGCTGATCAGGAGAGGGATAAAGCATGTTCGCCGTCTGCGACGGGACAATGGACGGAGGCTGATGCATGGCAGACATTGTCGAGGATGCAGTTGGGCCCGATGAGAATGCAGGTACTGCCTGAGATCGCGCGTTCGTTACCCCTGATACTGGTTCAGACTTCGAGCTGGGCCAAGGATTCCGCGCGGGCTTCTTTTTCGATGACCAAGTTCCTTCAGTGTCGGAACTCTGCGCAGCATGTGTATCTTGAGAAGCGGACACGGTCGACTTAGTAGTGGACGATCCGATAGAGGAAGAGGAGTTTGATCGGTGGACGTGCTTCCGTGGCATAAACATCCGTGACACGTCGTCCGCGTTGACTGAAGACAATGCTCCTGGTCCCCCGTTACCAGAGCTGTACCATCCCAAGCGAGACCCCGATTCTACACTAGGTGGAGATGCCACAGCAGTCATGGAGAAGGATGCTCGCGAGTGAGTCGAAGCAACGGAAGATGTCTAGATCGGCGCGTCCACGGTCACGAATTGAAGAGGAGGCGGTTGTTCTCGAGGCGGTCTAGGAGGTGAAAAAGAAGATGTATTGAAAGATCAGGTCAGGTTTGAGGTGATGGGGAAATTGAATGCGCGCAAGGGTGATTCAATCTCAGCAGCCCGGCTAAAAGCAGACGGTCGCGTTAGTGTCGTTTGAACAAGGTAAAATAGATTGGCCCCTAAAGTCGAGGTCGAGGCCTCGACTCAGCTCCACACACAGGCTAGTCGCAGGTGGTCGTATACTCACTATTGAACAGTGATCTGAAAAGTGTTTGGATGTGATATTGGCCCGGACCAAGGAGGGAGATGCCGAATCGTGAACGACTTCACACGTCCCAAAAGGTGACGGAAGCACAAGACGGCACTACCGCCTCAGCGCAGGCTTCTGACCCTGCGGATTTCAGGGAAAAAGATGTCAGAGATCGTGGAGGGTTGCCATCAAGGATCTCGGCAAGTGCGAGTTGCTCACTTGGTCTACTCCCTTGACGCCCCCGGGTCACGTGGTATATAGGCACGTGTGTGCCCGTTGTCTGTCACGTGATGATGTGGAGAACGAAGCTGGGGAGGAAAACGAAGCTCATTCTCCGACTGTTCAACGCCGGGATTTCTCGTTCAGCTCTGAGTTGCTACCTTTTCGACCTTATAAATCTCTTTCTCGATTCCAATAATGCCTGTTGTTGCTGGTCCTCCCGCCCAAGGTGGCCCAGGGGGTCCTTCGACTTTTGACAAGAGTATGTCATCTACAACCCACTCGCTATACATTGCAATGCGCCGGAGTGTTACCTCTCGCATGGATCAATAAAACAATTGGGATTATATGGGCTGACAAGACTTTAGTGAAAATGGGTTGCATGATGGGCTCCAGTAGGTGGTCGCATCACCTCGTCTCGAGCTCTTGCTAACATAGTACTTTAGCTGTCGGTGGTATCATGGGCTTTATTGTTGGTCAGTCACGCTACTTGCCTGCATCGACAATAAGACTGACTAGCTACAGGGACTGTGACAATCTTCCAGTACGGCGCTGGCCCCAATGGTGTCATGCGGACACTGGGCAAGTATATGCTGGGTTCGGGTGCGACTTTTGGGTATGCTTCTCTCATCTTACAAGGACTTGTTTGAATGCTTTCAGAACCCCAAGCTAACCAAACGCTTTTCCTATAGACTCTTCATGTCTATTGGTAGCGTGATCCGCTCCGAAGGACCTGTGAACGATGCCTGGCTCCGTGCCCGCGGACCCCCAATGATGCTCCCCCGACAGAGCCCCTTGCGCCAATAAACACAATCTTTCTCGCGGTCTTAGGACACCACCCGGGAAATATGCGATATGACCACTCCCCTGGCGACGTCCCTTGTACGATATAATCTCTGGCTGAGTGACTTTTTTTTCGGCAGTTTCAGGAGACAGGAAACCACCACGGTTGCAACGGTCAGGTTCCAGGGCTACTGTCTACTTCAGCACGCGATGTACATAGACTAGCGGTACCCAGAACATGCTGGCGTTCAACAATCTCTCTTTAAGTGCGCCAACCGTTGTAAGCGTTAATGTGAGAATTCATCCTTTTTACTACCATTCGATTCAGTTCCACATGTGCAAAGAGGGCTTATTGCTGTAGTCTTTCGGGGCAATGTATGCAGTTTCAAGTGGGAACCGGCATACGAGGCGCGAGGCTGCAAGCCCTAGTCTTTGTGACCAGTGATCAATCAAGCCGGAACGACTTCAATAGATACCAGCCGGTTCCTTCTTGGCATCACGATATGGTTGCTGCTTACGTGTCCATTGCATTCATTGGAAAGAATTGGCTCTAATCCAAGGCAGCCATCCGAATGGTGTGTTGAGCTGGCAAAGGTACATTTTAATTCAGACCTGCCTTGATCAGAGGCCGGGAGCCTTCAATGTAAACCTGGGGTCAATTCCAATCAAATTCGAGGCGTCAACATGTATCTCAGGTCTTTTGGTCCTTTGTCTTGTTGACAGTTCACATCCATAGATTGCGAATATTTATCCCAGACGTGCTAGCGCTTTTGATAGATCCAATCATGCATCGAGTCTAGGGTGTCAAAGTGGCATACTGGGCTTTGCTATTTCTATAAATGCACAGCTAGCCACATAACCAGTTCAGTGACTTCTGTTCGTACCCGTTTGTCTGGTTTATGCACTGTAGCCTTGGGGTGCTTGTTGGATTTCCATTCCAGCTACTATCTACCTGTTCGGAAGTCGGCAATTAGAATGTGATTAAGGTCATCCAGGTTGATGAAACCCTCATTCTGATATGTATGCAAGGTCAAAAGCACCCTTTGTTCTAGTTCGGAAATACATTGTTGAGTTTCAAATATGACAGCGGGAACAAAGACGATTGGATATTGTCGCAAGTCGCCAGGAATGAAACAAAAGACAGGAATGTCTTATAGACGGTATTATTATCAAAAAAAAAATTATATCCCTTTGAGTCACCGATTACAGTCAGCCAGGTACGCAGGAAGCTCATAGCAAGCGGGATTAGTCCAAGGCCAATCAAGCCACCGAACAGTATACAGTACGGTGTAGCGGCTGGAGTAGGCTGGCATTCAGTGGAATATGAAGACTGCCCAATAATCAAGGCTTTTCTCACAGGGTCAGCCTAAGTCACAGCCCGACGCCCCTATGCCCCCAGCCCCAGCCCCCGCTGCGTATGGCACAGTAACCCTGTTGAGTGGGAGACCAATAAGAAGTTTGACGCTTATGTAGAACCAAAAGTTTGCTTTGGTTTAGATAGTAAGTAAATATTGCGGCTCAAAATTGGAATATAAGTAGCAACGCCCTGCAGGTAGGAGTTTCACCCTTCCCGCTTCATTTCCCCGTTCATCATGGCTACGCAGCGGGTATCTCAGACTCTGCATTACAGCTGCGCTTTGGTAGCCGCTCTGTATATCGTGGTCTGTTTTCTCAGCGGTAGCCCTGCCAAAAAAAGGAGAAAAGGTCGATCCAAGCGCAGAACACGACTTCGGGCCTTCTTAACGGCTTTCATTGTGCTCACATATATCAGCCAGACAGCTTTGGGCATTACCATCAATGACCTTGATCTATCCCAATCGTTTCTCGTGCATATGACCTCCCAGGCCGCCGTATGGTCTGCGGTGTGGCTCCGGCAAGATAATCCTTCCAAGTATGAGTTGGCCGGAGCGTCAGTCGTCACCGCTGGTTTCGAGATTCCACTTCTTGCACTCTCATTGTACCACAAACCGAGGCACTGGGAACCAATCGCGCAGATTGTCGTCTCAGCCATTCGGCTTTTACTGCTTGTCTTGGTGGCGATCACCCTTTTATTGGAAATCAGGCAGCGAAAGAAAAATGCCTCAGATGAGTCGCGTCCCTTTTTGAATGGAAATCGATCAGCCTACGGCGCAGTCAATAGTCCCGATTTGGATGATAGCAGCGCTCTGTCTGACAGCGAAAGCGATTCGGACAAGAACCAGAATACAAGAGCTGCGCGAGTCAAAAGGCTCCGCAAAGAACGACTACATTCGCTTGGTGGCTGGTGGAATTACTTGAAGGACTTTAGCATTTTTCTGCCCTATCTGGTGCCCAGGAATAATCCCAAAGTCCAGCTCTGTATTGCTACCAGTATTGTCTGTATAGGATGTCATCGAGTTCTGAACATTCTGGTTCCCCAACAACTGGCCGATGTTACCGATAGCATCTTCGCCCACAAAACGCCATACGCCTCATTGGGAAAATGGGCCTTGTTACAAGTTATTGGTGGCGGAGCTGGGCTAGGGCTGATCGAATCACTCGTCAAAATCCCCATCCGGCAGTTTTCTTACCGGCAAATCACCAATGCGGCTTTTAGCCATGTCATGAACCTATCGATGGATTTCCATATCGAGAATGACTCGGCAGAGGTCATGAAGTCAATCGATCAGGGGGGAGCGTTGAATAATATACTGGAAATGGCTATGCTCGACATCGCCCCGGCAGTGGCAGACTTGTTTATTGGATGTTTCGTCTTCTATCTGAAGTTCAATATCTATGCCTCTCTTTTGGTTGTCATTGCTTCTATCACTTACGTTTCGGCAGAAGTCTTTACTTCCAATTGGAATCTAGAACACCGGCGTGAATTGACGCAGACGCAGCGAAATGAGACTCGCATCATGCATCAAGCTGTCCAAGGCTGGCAGACTGTCACCTACTTCAACCAATTTTCTTATGAAAGGCTTCGATTTGGTGAAGCGGTTGATTTATGTTTAAAAGCAAGTGCCAGTTTTGGTCAACGGCGAGCAATCGGAAAGGCGCTCCTAGATCTGCTCAGACCGCTTTCTTTTGTTGCTCTTGCTTCGCTCATAGTACACGAAATCTCCGTGGGCCGAGCCTCAACGGGTGACTTTGTCTTCTTTATCCAGTATTGGTCGTCACTTATCTCGCCGTTGGCCTATCTTTCAGCACAGTATCGCTGGCTCGTTTCAGATCTAGTGGATGCTGAACGTCTACTATACCTCTTTAATTCGAAGCCCAGTATCACCGAGAAGGAAAATGCCACGATTCTCAAGTCCGGAGATGGCCGTGTCGTCTTCAATGATGTCAACTTTGCCTACGACACGCGACTATCAACCCTCAAAGATGTGGATATCACCGTCGAGCCAGGGACAACAATTGCACTTGTTGGAAGAACAGGCTCCGGAAAGACGACAATCCTACGACTCCTCCTCCGACTCTACGACGTGACCTCTGGCAGCATCGAAATCGATGGCCAGGATATTCGAGACATAACTCTCAGCTCGCTACGTGAAACCGTCGGCGTCGTCCCACAAGACCCGGTGCTGTTCAACGCATCCATCCTTGAGAACCTACGATACGCTCGACCCTCGGCTACAGATAAAGAAATCCAAGAAGCATGTCGCGCTGCAGCTATCCACGACAAGATCTTGACGTTTGTAGAGGGGTACAATACCACGGTTGGAGAGAACGGTGTCAAGCTCTCTGGTGGAGAATTACAACGAATAGCCATTGCCCGTGTCTTCTTGAAGAAGTCGCCGGTTCTGCTCTTGGATGAGGCTACCAGCGCGGTAGATTCGGAGACGGAGTCTGAGATTCAGGTTGCTCTTGACCGCTTGAGAGCTAGACGGACTACCTTTATTATTGCGCATCGGCTTTCGACTATTGTTGGCGCTGACAGGATCCTTGTTCTGCACGAAGGGCGGGTTGTGGAAAGTGGATCACACCAGGAGCTGGTGAATAAAGGTGGGAGGTATCAGACTCTTTGGGAGAATCAGTTTGGTGGTGATAAAATCAAAAAAGCACTGTAAGGGAGGAGATAGAGCAATAAATCGAGGGTACAGATTGAAGGAGGGTTTACACTAATTTGCTAACGTTATCTAAAATGACAAGTGACGTGTTCTTCAGATAGCATTCATAGAGGGAAAAGGACCACACAATCCACTATTGCTTTATTAAAGCAAGCAATCTTTGTTGAAGATTAAGTAGGTGCCTTGATTGCTTCGTCATGATTCTACCGGTAGCAATTCTTGTAAAATATATCTCAGCATATGGAAGGGCCAGAGTCAACATGTACTGTCTTTGTGACAAGTGACAACACACTACTGAATATATATATCCTCAGTTTAGTATAAAAAGGGTTTCAGTCAATCCTTTGCTTTTACTCTGGCCAGGGAATGCCATGGAAATGTCACTAGACAAATACTTCTCTATATACAACTCAAGACAGTCTAGAATTTGACATTGGGTTTTGTCTATAGGCCAAGGTGGCGAGGCACAGAACTCTGATAAAACATCGAGAAAGCTAGTATGATTAACAACAAAATGGGTACAAGTGAGATTGATACATAGAATTTGTTGAGAGAGAGAGAGAGAGAGAGAGAGAGAGAGAGAGAGAGAGAGAGAGAGAGGGGGAAGATCCCAACTACGTGTGAAGGCCGGAATCGTATACAATGCCCGAATTCAGAGGATACCCGGGCATCCAAGCGATCAACGACCCACAGCAATCTACTTAGTCGGAGAGAGCCCAAGCAAGTGAGCACTTAACCAGAAAAGGACGAACGCTTCAGGCTGTACCTCGGGTGTCCGAGCCCCTGTCTCTACCTTTGCTTTCGCCCCTTTTATACCCCTTGGTTTCTGGTCCATTACAACCAAAATGAGTTTAATTGGATCTACAAGATGCATCCGCTTGCCAAATTAGCCAAATGGCTATTGAACTGTGAGCCCTGGACGTCGGGCATGAGGGTATGACTCAGGCGGGGTCTTTTAGGGCTTGGGAGTCGAGATTTCCTTAAGCCACCCCCGCAACCCAACGCTCAATGCTCCAAGGCGTGGACTGCTACGTGCGCATGTACATGTGTACATCGTGGTCATTCTTGATGCATGACTGCCCATCCAGTCCGCTGTACATTGATGTTATGACGAACTTGTATTTCTGCAAGGAGGCGGTGAGCAAATCACGGGAATGAAAAGAAATGAAGCTTGTTCTCGAACGCCCCAGACTCTTTCATCACCATTGAACTATACGAAAGTGGTAGGCCAGGGCGACGATCGAGTGGGTCGGAGTTCCATGGTTCTTTTCAGGTACCGGGAGAATCATAGAGCCCCATCAGAAAAGTCTGTTTAAGGGGGGCGATGGTTGAGACGGATGTCGGTTCAATGCTCAATGATAGATTTGGCATATGGCGAGTGCAGTACTCCGTCTACAAGAGATTCCATGAGGTAATTCTCAACGTAAATTACGATACGACTATGTTTATTATGGTTTATCATAACAAGCCGAACTTATCTGCTGTATGTTCCTGCGTATGACGCCAGGGGGTTCGGAAACCATGCAAGTTCCGGATTGGCCGCGAAAGTGTGATGAGAACTTTTCTTTCTGTTGATTACAGCGCTTCTGGAATCAAAACCCGAGTACACACCGGAACCGGTCGCCAAATCAGCCTGTACTGTAGGTACAGTAGGGCAGACTGGACAAGGGTACACTCACCCTATCGGATTCCGAGGGAGGCGAAGAATCTCGTATTACATGCATCTCACCGGGGCCTTGAGAAGGGCGACTTTCGGCCTTTCCCCGGGCATGTTCGCCCGGGACTGGCCTATGGATCCGGTGAACAGGACAACACAACCATTGTACACGTATTCGGTAATAGTTTGGTAATATGCAAGTCGCCCCTGGCGTCTGTGCGGGAAGACCCTTCGTGTTCCTGAGTTAGCGCCTTGTTTGGGAGATTTGTTAGGGCTCCAAAGGCCATAGTTCGGATACGATGGAGCCCAATTTGGATAGTCCCATAGTCCGCGTGTCTCAACGCCCAATCACATCTCATAGTTTCACCTGAAAATCAGTAATAATTTAAACAAACCAAGAAAAATAAGCCACAGGGCTCTCATGGGCGAATGGCCCTTTCCCCAGGTTCGGGCCTGGCTTATTATTTAGGGCATTCCGGGCCCTGTCCGATTTTTCCCTTTTCTCCTGCAGGCACTTTAAGAGATTTCTCTATACACTCGTTTTACAAGTCACTCGTTTATCTTGAGCAGCGCTCTCCCCACACTCTTTACCATACATTCCTTGACGCTCGTTTGCGCACATTCTAAAACAAGTTCCAAACAGCCATTGTCTCATTGTGAAGCCTCATCCTGCGACATATTCCATACTTCGCGCCAGTCTAAACCTCAGACTTCTCGCCAACTCATCTCAATTACGCATTTATCATTTGATCACTGTTGCGCATAACTTCCCACAATGAAGCTCACCACTGTCATCACCTCCCTCCTCTGCCTGGCAGCCGCCCCGTTGGCTTTCGCAGAGGACGACGTCACATCGACTGCGACGACCACTATCACCAAGACTCTTGTCCGGGTCAATGCCATGACTCCTACTCCTACTCCGAGCTCTAGCATGGTTACCATGTCGACCACGGCTACCTCGACCCCTCTGTCCCGCGCTTCTTCTTCTTCCACCACCTCGGCTGTCGCAGCCGCCAGCTCGACTGGTGCTGCTATGAATTTGGGCGCTGGCGTGCCAGCTGCCCTTGTCGCTGGATCCTTTGCTCTCATCATGGGCCAGGCCCTGTAAATTGGAGTGCAATGCGACGAGGCGCATTCATGCAAGCTGTGCTCAACGATATCAGGTCCACTGGTTACCTCGATCCTTTTTTATACAGCATGAACTTCGCCTCGTTTCTTCTCGTGAGCCGTTCATCTTCAGCAGAGCCGGGATTTATACGCTTTTTACTTCTTTATACTTCTTTTTTTTCGGACTTTCTACTCCTCTCGGTTAGCTGGAGAACCCATTTTGGAGAGGAAACGGTTTTACGCTTCTCAAATACCCCTGTTCTTTTTTCTTTCATGATTTCGCGGAACGATACGAGTTGACGCAGTTATTTTTACCCTTCTCAACAACCTCTTTTTTTCGATTCTCCTGTCCATATTTGTTTGGTGGGTGACTGTTTGATATGGCTCTTACCAATGGCGTGATGTGGTGGAATTGGAATGGAGAGGGTCTTATAGTCATCTAGAGAACAATTGACACCTTTGTTTCTTGATACCCAATATAAATATCTATACAACTATACAATTATACCATAAAGTGCCGATCATTCCAAGCCGTGGCCTCCGGTGTCGACTGATGGCCGTGCACCCACGCGTCTGATCTGATCTTATCTCTGGCATTCCAATCTCGACCTTTGACCTCTCTCCTTTTTTTTTTCTTCTCTGGCCTATATCAATAAAAAGTACCATTCCCCGTAGAGAGATCCTGATTGATCTCATCCTATCTCCCAATCGCGCAATTAGCGCGTTGTTGACACCCGTGCCTATCGCGGTCTCCACCACGCGTCGCACCTCACCTAGCACCAGACGAAAACTACCTTTGAAAATTCAGACCGAGCCTGATGAGCCAGGCAGTCCCCAAGGAAATCCTCGTCTGAATCCAGCGCTGCAATGGACGGCGAGATCCCCCTCCCTCCGCCGCGGAAAATCCGACACCGCTCACCCGCGCACGCGGCCAACCCCTCAGCACCAGGCTCAGGCCCGACCCCTACAATCGCCTCGTTCCACAGATCGCGGCGCCTATCTCGCTTCGATGACCGCTCTAGTCAGCCATCCAGTGATCCCGCACTGTTTTCCAGCGACGATATCCCCGCTTCAGGCTTGGAGAACTATCATGCGCCTGTGTCTGGCGCGGGCCGGAAACGCCGGTATCGTGGGACTTGGTGGGGGGAGCAGGTTATTGATCCGAAGCGCAAGCGTGGTGATTTCAAGGAGAAGAGAAATGTCGATAGTGGTGTCTGGATGGGGAGTGATGAGTCTGTTGCAGAGTCACTTTTGCCGTCGGAGGATGGCTCGGCATGGGGAGAGGATTTGCGCAAGTCGGTGCTTGATCCTAGGAAGTCGGAAAATTTGACTTCTTTGCTTATCGGGAGTGAGAATCCTCCTGCGCAGATGAAGGGTGTTGTTAAGGGACCCGAGGAGTCCGAGGAGCAGCGGTTTGCGAGGGAGGTTGTTAATGATTGCCTTGATAAAGGACAAGAAAGCATTGATCTTGGGTAAGCTCTCTGTTCTGATATGTTATTTATGCAATTGTCTGATCAGTTCTTTTCTAGTGACTTCCATCTGAAGACCATACCTTCTGGCCTGTTGCGACCTCTGCAGCATCTAACGAAGCTTCCCTCGGTCAAGGAAGCCCCAGTCTCTGAAAATGTCTTTACGTCTTTGCAACCATTCCTTCGAATCTTCCTTCCCAACAACTCCCTCTCAGCCTTGCACAACGACCTCTTCGAACTCAGCAATCTAAAGGTCCTTAGCTTGCGGAACAACAAGCTGACCGAACTTCCATCTACTATCCGCCGACTGACAGCTCTGCAAGTCTTGAATCTCTCAGTCAACAGATTGACCTATCTCCCATGGGAACTTGTAAAGCTCATGCAAAAAGGCGAACTGAAGCACCTCACTGTACGACCAAACTCATTCCTCCCAATTGAGGAAGCCCAAATCGCAGAATGGCATCACAACGCCAACAAAAAGCGGACGGAAGAAACCGACGAAGACTTCCTATCTTGCCAACTCAAATTCAATCATGACGAATCTTTAACAAGCTCCGAGCCCTTGTGGGACTCAATCCACGTCGCCACAGGCCCAACAACCTTCCTAAACATGGAAGGAAACCCAATCATTGCACCAGCATATCCACCCTCAAACACAGCTCCATCTCTCCGTGAAATCTCCCTCCGCGCCGTGAGCAAGCTTCCCTACTTCGAGCAAGCCACAGACGAAGAACTAGCGGAGTACCCAGCCCTCCTCGTCCCCCTTCTCCGCCAAGCAAGAGAAGCACGCGCAGCAGGCGGACAGCTCTGCTCTGTATGCGATCGTGAGTTCGTGATTCCTCGCACAGAATGGCTGGAGTGGTGGGATATCACCCCATGTGAAAACGGCATGAAAATGCCCCGTCATCCTGGTGAGAAACTTCGGCCTTTGCCGTTCCGTCGGCTTGGGTGTAGTCTGTCTTGTGTTCCCGGATCACAGTGAGCATGGTGTTTTGTCTGATTGATTGCATATACTTCCTTCATGGGCCTTATTTTCGGATTGATTGTAACTTTGCATGTAGATAGATTGCATGTTTGTCTTTGGTGCTGGGTTTCTTTTGTATTTTACTTATTGGATATGCTTATTCATGGTGTGTCCTTGTAGAAACTATGAGAAATGTGTTAATTAGTCGTTGTAATTGTTTCTAATGTTGATCTGGTATCAATTGACTTTGATTGGACTGGCCTACTCTGTTTTGCAGTAGCGCAGCCTCATCCGTTACTTCGCCGCGAGCCTTGCGCTCGTCCAACCTCTAGAGTTGTCTGATGCTGACCAATACAATGCTTTGCTGAGAAATGGACATGATTTGCTGAGGAATGTGCACCCTTTGCTGGACAATCACTGGGCCTAACGTGCCCTAACGACATGTAGCAGATGCATAGACCACATCAATCTATCAACTCCCTGCACAAGAGCCTGAAGAATAAACTCAGCGAAATCGTACAACATGCAGCCTAAATACATAAAGATCCCATCAAGTCCAAGAAACCCCCAAAGACAAACCACTCAAGACATCAACAACCAAATTCTCAACACACGAAACCACCACGCACGCCCAAAATGCCAGCAAACCCAATCTTCACAAAACCAAACCGCCTCTTTACCTGACTAATAACAGGCCCGTCCTGTGGCCTAGTTATCTCCCTCGCGTGCACCGCCCAATCCCCCGGCCACAGAATAATAGCAACATCGCGCAACCCGTCACGCACCCCAGAGCTAATATCCGAGATAACCAGCAAGGGCAGCGAATGGCACGCCCTAGACGTGAACGACCCATCCGCCCCAGCAGCTCTCTTATCCAAACGGACCCTATCCCCAACAACAATCGACCTGCTGGTGAACAATACCGGTTTCTGCATGATCGGGAGCTGTAGAGCAGATCTCCGATACGGAGATGCAGAACCAGATGGAGACGTTGCTTTTCGGTCCGCATCGGCTTGTTAGGGCTTTTCTGCCTGGGGTGCGGGAGAGGAGGGTTGGGGTTGAGCTTTAATCTTAGTTCTGGGACTGGGTTAGAGGGTGGCTGAGGGGCTTGGGGCTTATGCTGCTGCTAAGGCTGCTGGGGATGATATGCTTTCTTTCTAGTTCCTGGGTTCTGATTTATTGACTGACAGGTTATAGGGTTATCTAGAGTGCTTGCTAAGGAACTCGCTTCGTGCGATATCCGTGTTTCGACGGCTTGATTGAGTACGTTCAAAACTTGTATTGGGAATGCGAGTGTTATATCTAGCGAGGCTCTGCCGGAGGATTATGCGGGGTCGGTTGTTTCTGAGGTTATTGAGTACTTGCACAAGGGTACGTTTGTTGCGGATGGAGATAAGAATAAGGCGGCCAAGATTATTTGTAAGATTGTTCTGGGTGAGGGTGTTGGTGCTTGGCCTCAGGAGGAGCGGTTCTTCAATTTGGGCCGGAGGGTGATTCCTCATGCTCGGATGGTGCGGGATCAGTTGGGGCATACGCTCCTGGTTGTTGGGGAGGTTGTTGGGAATGTGTATATCGATCAGCAGTGAGATTGAAATAGGGGGTTTGCTTTTCATGATTTAGATGATCAAGGAGTCGTTAGACCCGAAGATAACATTGTTTGCCGGGTTTTCCAGATGGCTGTTTAGGTGGTGTTTTGATGGATGTGCACAGCAGATAATAATTTTAGCCGCAATTAGCTATGTTTGAGCATACATATTACTTGAGGAACACGACCTAGCAAAAGGGGAAAATAGCCAAGTCTCGAAAGCAATGGAACACATTTATGTATTCATCGCGAAGTGAAGTTTAGAAGGATGGACCGGCGGTGTATCCCAGCCGCTTAACTATGCCTGCACATTTTGCAATCGCCCAGCACGCCGGGATACCCTCCTCCAACGCCAGGCAGGCTCAAGTCATGAAAAGGAAAATCAAAAAGATCGCTAATAAGCATGCTTCAATACAAAGAGAGCAAATTTCACACACGGTGTGAGGGGGAATAATGAAAAGGGAAAGAGTGGACCAATATAGAGAGGGAAGTTAGCGGTTTCGGTCTGCACGAGCCTGGTGCCAAATCGTATCACCACTAAGGGCCGAAAAACTGAAGGTTGCTAAGTTCCTCCAGCTTGACTGTGGCGCAGAGCTTGCGTGTTCACCAAGTAGACCTGCAGTTTGCTCAGCATCGGAAGCATCATCGGTGACGCCTTCAATCAAAACCGGGGCGGAAGAGGCGCCAACCCGGGAAATGGACTCGGAGGAATGGACATCGGGAGATTGTTCATGGGAACTTCGAGAGTCAGGAGTCTGACAGTGAGCCATTGAACGAACAACATCGCCTTTACAGATCGGGCAAGTTCGTCGACGGGTAGTTAACCAAGGTGTGCTGTTATAGGGGTTAGCGTTGGTTTGAGTTGATGGACATGTATAACTTACATGCACTCCGCATGGAATTCATGGCCACACGGCAAGCTCATGACCCGGCTCTGGCCATCAATGTATTCCTCAAGACAGACAACGCACTCAACCTGTCTTCCGGTGTACTTGCGTCGCCACAATGTAGAGCCGGTTTGTAGGCTGCATTTCTCTTCTTTGGGTAGCGAAGATGAGTCTAGCATAGTTCCCGACACTGCTTGTGAACGGGATCTGTTCGGCCGAGATGCGCTTGGCTGGATTTCATTGCCAAGAAGTGGCGAGGTTGGCGAGAGAGCACCAGGGCTAGCGGGACGTGGTGAACTGGAAGATGACGAAGTAGTCGTGGTGATCGTGTGATAAGTCCGGACCGGAAGTCGTTCAATGACCGACTTCGGGGCGCGCCATCGACGGCGTCGGATTCGAGACCGAAGAAGCAATAGCGCGTACACCACCGTAAGTGTCAGCAACGGACTGACGACAAGTACCAATAGCGTATCAAAGAAGGGGCTGGTAGACATGCTCGTAGGAGTCATTGTGACCCAGAGACCTTCATGTTCAGGAAACTGTACGCTTGGGCGGCTCGGCGATTGAGGCACGGGCTGAACTCTCTGGTTGGCTACTATGCCTTTCTGAAGCGAAGGCGACGAGGAAGGCAAAGTCTCTTGTTTGGTTTCATCCCCCCAGAAGTGACTGGAGAACCAGCCCTTGGTCGATGTACCAGAAGATTCAATTTCTGCGTTGGCCCCAAGAAATTGTTTTCCAGAAGCCTTCACACTCGAGTCATGAGAAAGACTGGATTTGTCGATGCTTTGATATTCTCCGCTACCAGGCGTAATGCTACCACCTTTGAGGATATTGGACGCAGAAGCAGCTTCTTTTTCTGCGTTGGCAGTCTTGGATGTGTCCTTGCTTGTCGTGGAGGTACTAGCTGTCGAGGGCGTGTTACCCTTCATTAAATCGGGATCTCTCCAGTCTTGAACTCCAATGACAAAGTCATCATCGCCAAAGCTTTCCGGCGACATATCGGCTTTGTTAGATGTCTCCAATTTGTTGTCCGACTTGGCTCGAGTGCGGCGATTGGATCCCGTTGATCTCTTCCATCCGCTTTGTGGGGTTAATGGGGTTTCTTTCTCGTCCCAAGAGCCAACGTTGATCCAGTCAATGTTGCCGCTGCTGGGCGGGCGTCGGCTGTCTTCCAAATGACCCGAGCCGGCGTTTCTATCGCACAGCCCCAGGAGCGAACCAAGTGCACGAAAGAAGCCACTGCTGGAAGGGGATGGCGTTGTAGGCTTATCGTTGACCGTCGAATGGACACTGGCGCTAGGGGTTGGCGTAGCCAAAGCCGTTGTTGAAGTAACCACCTGCTCGCTCTCAGGATCCAACTGGCCTGCTTGATTCACTTGAGATGACTTCAACACATTTCCCAAGCTAGCAGTACCGCCGCCATGTCCAGGAATTAATGAAGACAGAAGATGTGCGGTGGTGTGGGAGGTGAACAAGGCCGGGATCGTGACATTTGAGGTATCACCCCGCGCATACATGGTGACCAAGTTGCCACCTCGGGTATCATCGCCAACAATCAACGCGACCCCTCCTCGGCGTTGCGCCCATTTGACCTTTTCCAGGAACCCACAGCCGCCTCGACTCAGCAAAACCACTTTGCCCTGGATTTCGGCAGTCTCCTGTAGAGATTGAATATCGGCATGCGCAGGTGGCGTGTTTCGAACATAATCGCCATACTTCTGACTCATACCGGGGTTTGAGGCCCCTGATTCGGGTAGTGGATGATGCAGGTGGTCGTCGGTGCCATCGTTCAACGGCGAGGTAGTGGTATCGTCTCTATCATTCTGAGGTGTGGTATCGGCCTGCGACACCGAGCGCTGCGGGCGGTTTGGTGACTGATCGTTTGCTGTGCTACCTCCGGGCTTGCCGGTACTCTGATCCGCGCCCTTGGAGGCTTTGTCTTGTTTTTTTTGGTTGGCGCCCTCACCCCAGCCGGGAATATCGGAGCAGCCCAGTTCTCCTTCCACACCGCCAGCGATTCCGCCCTCACCAAAGCCGCTTCCTACCCATAACTGGCCACTTAAGCCCTTTATCGGCAGGAGCGGGCCAAATGCCGCTGGTCGGGCGAGGAAGAAGGTGGAGTTGTCATCGGTGAGACTGATGATGGCCGACGGAGGGAAAAGCGAGGATGGTATATTGAAAGAAAATAGGGAATGCAACCCAGTGGTTCGACCAGCGAGCGTATTGGGGGTTGCCACACGAGGTGAAGTGAGCGCGGAGAAGATGGTGAGGAGGATCGGGAAGAAGATTAGGCAGAAAAGCACGATAATCAAGCGTGGCGGTCGCATTTCTGGTAGACGAGGCTATCCTCAACGAGCTCGGGAAACAGTGATCTTGGAGTGTGAAGGAGGGAGTGATATGCGGGTCCCGGTCGTACCACAGTCTAAGGTTCTGGGTTATCTCTTATGACCAATCCAACGGTTGGCGGCAAGTGATCAAGCTGCCACTCATCGAGCACAATGAGCAGCACTACGGCTGTTTGAAAGAAACCGCAGGTGACCACACTGAAAAGGAGACGATAGAGATAAGGAGAGAGTTGAAGTCAGGTGGAGAAGGAGACTCGGGTACGTACTGATGATCGATTACCTAACTGGAGTCTGTGACGGCGTGTTCACCGTGTCATGTGAAGTCACATGACACGTACACTTTGACTACAACGCCATGAGCACAGCATGTAGAGAGACACTTATGGATGTTTATGTCCTACAGATTGAAGATTTACATGCCTCTTCCCCCGTGAAACACTAGATCAGAGAAGGCTGAAGTCAAGTGGCAAATATAGTTGTGCCAGGGAAAGAGAATAAGTCTTGAACAACATTGTAGAACTATGTGGGCACATAGTGTGGTGTGCACATAGGAGTCCATTCCATGTCTATGTAGTGCTAGCCTTAGCCAAAGTGCAAGCAAACAGCTACAGCTACAATTATAAGATGGCGAAGGTTCTGGTTCGGGGACGATCTGCCGATCATGTCATCATGGCTAGGCAACTACGTAATCCACCGCCTTTTCGGTGAATTATCTAACACATACACATGGTCTAAGTATGGACACATCTACATATCTACAGCACCAACATCACTCTCACATCAAGGCACAGGATATTTTTGGACGATCAGCGATAAGGCTAGCTCCACTTACTCCGTGGGGCTTAAGGGAAATTAGCCCCGCCAAACATGACGTATCTACATTGCCTTGATCCTACTACACGATGCATTCTAGAATCTCTTTTCGGTGCAATGGACAATTATAAGCGTATACTTTGAATCTCAAGCTAAGAGAAATTTATATAGCAAGCATAGACCACCGTAGAACAGAGTCAATTGTACCCAATCTAGGTGTAAAAACTCGGATGAACAGCACAATCGGCAACCGTGGAAACCCACTCAATGTGAAACCATGGTCGTACCCCTAAGCTCCCCAGCCTGTTGCTGCATGGCTTACCTCCATGCTCATATGGACTTACCTTGAGGACTTGGTTCAGTGGCGTTCTAACCCATGCAGATCCGGGACATGACGACGGATGACATTGACTGTTCTCCTCATTCTCAGCCAAGAATCTGATATGGTTGATTCATCCCGTTTGGCACGTCATGGGTAAGTGAATGAAGACAATCAATGGGACTTTATCCGCGTTTTACTGGTGCTAGCACTCGTGTACCCCCGCGTTATGGCGTCACTAAATTTCCGCAAAGAGCAATCTAGTTGTAGCTGATCGAGATCAATCATGGCCCAAAAAACATATATAAAGCTGCTGTGGTTTCCGATTGCCGAAGTAATTTTTAGAATCCCAAGAACCTACTACTCGGAATTATCTGATCCAAGCAATACTCTATTAAACCTTCCATTTACTCACTTTGATATACCTCCTTCCACAACAACAAATCTATCATCATGTCGAACATTATTCACAAGGTCAAGGATGCCGTTACTGGACATCACGACAAAAATGAGAAGCACAACAGTCATGACTCCAAGACATCTCACAACGTGAATGGTTCGTTATTCCACCCATCAATCTCACATATAGTACATACTAACGATCCAACCCATAGATAACTACGGATCCTCTCATAACACCCATGGCTCCAATCAATACAACCCTTCTGGTACAGACTCCAATACCTACGGCTCTGGAACCGGTGCTGGCTATAGTTCTGGTACCCACCACGGTTCCAACACAAACAGAATGAATGGTGAGCCTAATTGACCTCTTAATTTCCTTGGCAAAGCGATTGACCATAACAGAACCCTCCAACACCTATGGCTCATCCAACACTGGCACCGGTGCTGATACCTACGGTGCCTACGGTGCCACTACTGGCAGTGGCGCCGGCATGGGCAGTAGCGGCATGGGTGGTTTGAGCTCCGGCACCCATGCCTCCAGCATGAACCCCTCTAATACCTACGGCTCCTCCACCGCTGGCACTGGCTCTGGAATGGGCACAACCAGCGTTGGAACCCACCATGATTCCCGCAAGGGACCTATGGACGTCAATTCTGGTGGTATGGGCAGCACTAGTTCAGGAACTTATCATGATTCCCGCAAGGGCCCCATGGACATTGGTTCTACTGGCTCCGATAACTACGGGTCAAGCAATATGGGCGGATACGGCTCGACCAACTCCGGAAGCTATGGCTCAAGCAACATCAATGCTGGCCCCCATGACTCCAAGATTGCCAACAAGATGGACCCCCGCGTCGACAGTGACCTTGGTAAGTTTCATCATTCCTCGGTGCTACGACGCCTCTACTTAGACCAGAAAGCTAACACTCCTATTATAGATGGCCGTGCCCAGCATCACGGAACTACTGGCTCCCACCACACCAGCGGTGGAGCTTACGACTCTATGAACACTGGCTCCACTGGACACTCCAACACCTATGGCTCGAGCAACCTTATGACCAGCTCTGGTCGTGACAACTACGCCTCCAGCAACCCTTTGACTAGCGGTGGCCGCGATCCCTATGGTAGCTCCACCACTGGACACAACGATGCCTATGGCTCCAGCAACCCAATGACTTCCGGTGGCCACGATACCTACGGTAGCTCCACCGGACATAATGATGCCTATGGTTCCAGCAACCCTATGACTACTGGTGGTCGCGATAACTACGGCAGCTCCACCGATGGTTACAACACCCGCTCTGGTCAGCAGTTCGGCGGTAACGCTCCCGGTGGCAGCAGCTACAATGACTACAGCTCGGACGCTAGAAAGACTTCTGGTCCTCACAACTCTGATTTGTTGAACAAGCTTGACCCCCGTGTCAAGGAGTCCAAGCAGGATTCTTTGGCCAACCAGCGCAGCGGCTATTAGATCATTGATGATGATTATGATTTTGATATCACGACTAATTAGTTAATCTTTGTACTTTTAGCTTGCGCTCGTTTACTTTTACGAGTATGATCCAATTTGATTTGAACATTCTGCTCTATCTTCTGCTTTTTTAAAATATTCTATCACATACACAGCGAGAGCAGAAAAACTTTTCTGGAGGTGACAGCCTCCCCAGTATGTGAGAGTTAATAATAGCAGTTAAGTAGTGACTGCTATTTCGTTTTATATATGTACCCGGCCTTGTCTTGTACACACACACGACCCCCGTTGCCCTTATTTAGTGGGAAAGGCAAGAAGCGGTTTAACACCTCAGTAACGTGAACAAAAAGAAGAATGCATTAAAATATTTGCCGATCATTAATACGAATAATTCACACCACTAACGCAAACCAAAAAAAATGAGTAGTCCATGATGACGTAATCTATGCTCTCGAGCACTGCTCAACTCAGGACAAAGCTAGCAAGAGAAAGAAGGAAGAGTGAAACAATCAAGACGGGCCCATTGATTGTTTCGAATACAATGAAAAAAAAAACCAAAGAAACCACCACTAAATAAAGGGGTAGTGAAGCTAGCCTGGAAAGAAACAACGCACAGCCATCAATGTATAGTGGACTTACTCAATCGCCAAGACGCCATGTAAATTTGCATATCGGGTTATGCAAGTGCATATTACAGTAGGAAGCAAGTTAAAACAGGGGTTCAAAAAATAGTGCCGGCATAGACATATCATGAAGCTTCGAGTTTGGCTAGGATTAGCAGGACACGAGATTGACGTGGTGATCATTCAGCGCGGCACATGCAAGCACAGTCCGGTGGGGATGGAAAGCAGTGCTTGCAATGGGGGACGAGCGGTTATGATGGAGGAAGCTTGAGTATGGTTCGAACGTGGACAGGTAAGTGCCATCCACGTTGAAGGTCTTGACCTCGTGGCGGTTTGTGCCCCTAGAGTTTGGGTTAGTTCAAACGAACCAAGTACCGAGGAATATCAAGGGTAAAACTTACATGCTGAATACAGGGGCGTGTTCATGTACGCTCAAGGTTCGTAGGGTGTCTTTGGTGGCGTAGATGGTGGAGATTGGATCATCCATCCGCAGATCCCAAAGGCGAACCTCGCCATTGCGGCCGCCGGAAATTAGTTCTCGTAGCCCACCACGCTGCATGTGAACGTTGGTAATCCATTGCTTGTGCTCACGCCAGACCCTGACCATGGAAGTGGTGGGCTTCAATCGCTGATCGAAGACTCGAACGGCACCGTCACCAAATCCTGCAACGAAGATGTTGCCTGCGACCTGGTCAGAGGTCAAGGATGTAATGCACGAGCCAGAACGGGCAGGAATATCCTATCAAGTCATATTTGTAAGCGGTGGACGTATAATAAACTTGGGAAGAAAAACTCACGTTTGTGCACACTTCAGTGGCAGCATTCCAAACACGAATGACTTTGACATCGCCTGCAACCAGGGCTTTACCTTGGCCCTGCTGCCAGTCGAGTACAAGACCAGCGTTTCTATTGCTGGGAATCAACTCAGGAAGCGCCCTGAAAGCCGTGACCACCTCAATATCTCTGCTGGACTCATAATGACGGAATAGCTTAATAACACCATCCGAAGATCCAGTCATGAGAAGTGCCTGATCATCCTCATTGATGTATCGAACCTCGTTGATCTTTGATCCTGCAGGGTTGCTGTTCGAGAACTGATTAAGGCGTCTTTGGCCCTGCCAGTCCCAAATTCTAATTTTATGCTGGTCAAACGCTGTTCAACCGGGGGGGGGGGATGTGAACAACTTACGCAATGGTGTCTCGATCATCTGCAACAGCAAGGTGATCCTCAAATTGGTGGAAGCACATCTTCATAGGCTGGCTACCATTCGACAATAGAGCAACGGAGTTATCCCACCGGCTTGCTCCAGCCTTCCCTTTGAGGGGCTGGGTTTCGGCAATAATTTTCTCATTGCGGCCGCGTCTCCACAGGCGTTGGTTGTAGTCCGAGCTACCAGGCTCATCCGGCTCGTTGGGCTTCATCTGGGGCTCGCGGAAATACTTGAAAACCTTAGTAACTGGGTCATGTAGGTGATAGGCTATGAGATCTCAACTTACCTCGGTCGACCAGTCAAGGAATCGGCTCTTGAGGGGAATGACTGGGACAGCCCCAGCGCCTTTGGGTTCAAAGCCTCGTGATGTGGGTGAAGGTGCCTGATGGTATGCTGTCGCAGGAGCAACATGGTCATTGCCTTCTGGGGGTCGAGTCCATTCGGGAGGAGCACGGCCGCGAGGGGTGATGGGCATCCTACCTGTTGAGGGAGACGGGGGGTTCGAGTTGTCTGATGGATCCCCGTTTGCTAAGTTTCCGAACGCGAGGTTCTTGAGGGAAGCAGCGACACTGGCTGTTCGTTTGAAACCGAGCGAAAGATAACCTTCTTGTTTTGAAGTTGCTGCCGATGATGAGGGAGGCGTCGAGGGTGGCGCCACCTTCTTTGTCTCGGAACGCTCGTGAGTTTGAAGGTTCAAAAACCCTGCAAGATCCAAAATTTCATTTTTAAGCTTGTTAGTCAGGGGAGCCATCGGAGATTCTAGCAATGCAAGGTGGATGTAATCGACAATGATGGCAGCATCCTGGCCAATATCAGGGTGAGGATCAACCGAGAGAGCCAAAAGTTGTTTCCAGATAGTTCCGAAGGTGGTATTGCGAGATATTTTTGGAGTAGAAGACACTATTCCATCCTGGCTCTCATTGTAGGTCGAATGGGGGTTTTCGTTCTGGAAGCGCTGGCGCAGGGAACGCTTCTCGTCTTGAAGTTCTTCAAAGGCCGCAACCAAGAATTTGTTTTGGTGTCGTCGGACAAATGTGGAGAAGAACACTAGAAGTTCCTTTCTGACAACCACACTACCATCTGCAGACATGGGCAAGACAGCCAGAGCCAAGGTTTCCTCAATTTGAGCCACTTGGTCTGTCAGGTCAGGGATTCCCAGGAAGGTTGTCACAGCGTGCAACATGGCAGCACGAACTTCCGGAACGGGGTCGAAATTCAACTCGCAAAGTCTCGCGGGAGCGGCACAACGAATACCCATCCACTTTGCTTCTGGGAAGTCACACCAGAGCATGCTAAGACACAGACATGACCATTGTCGCAGCAAAGGGTTTTCCACGTCACCCAAATGTCTGAGTGACGAGTCAAACAGTTCGTTAGAAAGGCAGACATTCTGGCCCTGTGGGTAGTTCTTGCAAAAGATGGAGACTATGAAAGCACACATGGCACGATGCTCGCTGGCATTGCCGACGGGAATTGGCGAAGAAGGATTGAGGATTGAGATGAAATAATGAATCCCGTTATCCTTGAGGAGATCGTTTTGAACTGTGTGGTCCACTGCCATGATACGGGCCCAGATGAACACCATGACGGGCTTGAGTTCCTGGGCCGCTGATTGCAATAACTTGACGACGTATGGGAAGATCCCGATGCTCAATGCAAGGTGGACAGCCCATGGACCGAGGTCTAGGAACTTACTCAACAGAATCAATGCCCGCAAACGATGTGCCTGGCTTAGAAGAACTTGTAGCACAATCGGAAGTTGGTCTGGTGGGTTCTTTTCTGTAGGACCGGACGACAGATAAACTTCAAAGGCAGTGAGCTGCTCAGCGAAAAAAGTAGAATGCTGGTATTCGTAATGGCGACGTCCCTCCTCATGATCAATCAGAGCAGGAAGCTGGGATAGCACCATCTCGACTGCGAGGTCCCAGCTCTTCCATAGCGGGTGGTGATGGGTTTCTGGAAGCTCGGGTGAAGAGATGGGATGGCATTTGTAGGTTCGCATAATACGCTCACTTAGCAAGAAGTTGCGGAACAGAGCAGCAACCATCAGATCCTGCCGGAAAAGCTTCTTGAACAATGCCCGAGGCAGAGTGTTCCATGCAATGGTATCAGTGATAGCGGTGAAGATCCAGTTCAACTCGCCAAGAGGGCTTCGGCGATCCTGCAGTCGACCAGGAACTCGGAAATCGTCAATGGAAATGTCAGTTCGGAGTGGATTTTGTAGAATAAAGAAGCGCAGAGCAATTTCGATTGGTGTCGTCAAACAACACGTGAACAAGTCTGCAGGCAAGTCGGGATTCGTTGGGAGAGACTCAGTTTTCTGGCATGCAGCGAGGAGAATGCAGTCTCCGTAGTTCTGGACGATGGCATTCGGGTCTCGCTTTTTGGCTTCGATGTTCTCCTTCTCATGTTTCTCGACAAAAGTGTGGAAATTCTGGACAATGTTGCCCGCGTGCGAGACATCAAAGACGAAAAGACTGGGACCAGCCAACCAGGATTGCAAATCATAGAGTGGCACGGGAATGTACTGAGTATAATTCTTGTTGAATACCCAGATTTCACCCGATTGAGTTGGGAGTGGCACACCGTGACCATTGTAATGTAGAAGTACTCGTTCATCCTTGGCGTTTCGGCGAAGCGATATGCAGAACTTCTTTGTTTCATCGACTGACGGATCCAAGTATTGCTTGTATCTGGTCCGTAAACTCAAAGTTTCGTATTGCTCCTGTAGCTTCTTTCCGATCTGCTCCATGATCTTGTTCTGACCTCCACCAGTAGTAGAGGTGGGATCCACCCAGCATTCTAATTTTGATGTAGGGTTTGTCTTGACCACATCCGGAGGGTCAACTCCGATATTCAAACAAATTGCCAATGCTGCAGACACGGTCTTCAGGCGGTCCTTCATACGCCAGTCCTGACTGGGCCAGCTTCCGACTGGGTCTCTGGGGACGCCGTTGGTTTCGTGGCGCTTCTCGGTGAAGTACATGTAGAAATTCTAGTAGAAGCAGACACTCATGTTAGTCTTTGGGACCCGCATTGCAAGTAATTGTTCTCACCGAGTGCAATATCTTCAAATATTCGCTGGAAGTGTATTCCTCTTGCCATCCATGGCGCATAGCAAAGTCCTCGTCATCATCACCCGGTGCTTTATCAAAAGTAATACGACTTGGGCCATAATCACTTTTAGCTCTCTTCAGCATGGCGGGTCGGCTACTCTCCGATCGCCGGGGCGAAGGGCGACGTGGGGGAGTATCTGCATCTATGCCGCTGGATAAATTCTCTCCAGAGGAACTTGTTGGTCGTTCGGGGAGCGCCAGAGAAGGCTGCCTTTGTTCGACCGTTGTGAATGAACGATGGTGGCCAGCCAACGGGGCCGGAGATCTTTCGCGAGTGGGAATTGTGGTTTCTAGGTCGGGACCGAATGCGACTCGAGCTGATTTATTCGGGTTTCGTCGCGGGGCCGTCGACCTGTTGGTCGGTTGTTGTGAGATTTGTTCCATTTCAGTCGTGGGATCCCTCATGTTGTCTGTTGGCTCATGGTGTTACGCGCGAGCATAAAGGCAAAAAAGATACTGATCCAAGTGTCTCGACAAGCTGCAAGAATCTCCAAATGATTAATCAAGTGAATGTCACGCTTGGATCTGCTGTGGGGGATGAGGTGTAGCTGAAGAAGAGATGATGAAATGACTTCACCGGCGTGGGGCTTCGTGGGGGCGGTGGTAAGCCCGGTCTCAAATTGCGACTGAACTGGATGTCGTCCAAGAGTGCAAAGAGAGCACAGCGCACAGCCTATCGAAGTCCAGTGAGCTTCTTGTTCTAGCCGATGGGGTTCGAATGGGGACGCTCCGATGCAGCATCGGGGCATTGATGTTCCGGGCCCACTGATTACTCATATCTTGGCGCTGAGCGAAGTATATAATCGGAGTCTGGAGATGACACTTGGAACTATAGAGTTATGCTTCTCACGAGATTTACAAGAGCCAAAAGGCGGCGAAGTCCAATAGAACTATTGAGTACGTGATAAAATACTCTCAAAGTTTGTTAGATATAGATAGACACATAACGTTACATCATTGCTTACTTTAGGTCTTTAATGTGAAAAGACTAGAGCTTGCTTGGCGGGGACTAGAGGCGAAGCAGATAGAAGTTTTGCTCTTATTGCCTTGGATGCCAGCATATATGCATGGCATATGTTTATACACTTACTTAGGAGCAACCAACGGGGTCGAGTGTACGCTCTCATGCTGAATCAAGTTGACTGCATGAGGCTTGATAACCTATTGGTCTTCCATCGCATAAGCCAAACCTTATTCACTAGAAAATGCATCAGAATGTTCTTATCTTAGAGCTGCAGGTTTGCAGACATGAGGATTACCTGAGAGTGAATTGCTGGAATGCGCCACGGTCCAAATGTAGCAAGGTAGAGGCCCATGTGTGTCCGGGTGATATGGTATACACTACATAGCTAGCAATCTTGATGTGGAATACTTGACAAACCATAGGGTTCCGATTTAAACGATCGAATCAAACAAGGGGAGTAAAGTATATACTAGGAGACAGGATATCAGGACAGGATGACACACGTACACGTATCACTCAGGCTCGGAGCTTGAACGCAATACATGTCAACAAAGACACCTGACCTTATACAAGGAGGTCAAAATGCAATTTCATACCGAGACAGATCTTGCATGGCGGGAAATGTCTAAGACAGCTGCATAATGAGATCAGGATGTACAAGGTACATAATTAGTCTCACTGGAAGGCTGAACCTGGGGAACTCGTCGAGTTTGGATACGTCAATTTAGACAAGTAGACAAAAGAACGCAAAGCACAAAAGCCACCCAATAAGAATACATTTTAGCGTTAGGGCTCGAGAGATTATTCTTTCATCCCTTGACAAGAAACGGGCTGGCGCTCAGGGACCCAGAGATCATCGCTCAGATTCTTCTGATAGGCAGGGAAACCCCAACCCCCTTTTTCATGGAACCAGCATTTGGCTTCACCTACTTTTTGTATTCAAATGGGCCTTTGATCAGGATAGGCTTCGGTACAAGATCCAATAAATGACGATGTATGACTTCTGCACGTTGTGGGGTGTGGATCGCCGTGTGAGATTGGGGAATGCAGTGTCAGGATGAATTATCATTGGACCTGCAGCGAATGTTCGCACCATGGTCAGAGTCCGAGGCTCGGCATAAAGCATTGTAGTGTGATGCAAAAGTTAGGGTTGTTAAACGAGTTCGTTTATACTTATGTGCACTACGTCAACCCAAGGCCCTAATTTGCCAAGTGGTTCCATAGTGTAATGTGTTATGTTCTATAGATATGAAGCACTGGAATGTGTCACCATGGTACCTGGAGGCTGGAAGAGAGGAATGATATAAACATAGAAACAAAAAGACCCATGTCAATGGATCTGGACTATAACATTATCGAAGTCGTGCCCCTGAGTACATGTATGCAGTTGAACTAAGACTAGTTTGACTAGAGCATCTCCGCCAGGGAAATTGAAACACTCGCTTTTCTTCCCATTCACCTTTCCCACCCCCTTTCTCAGCCTTGGGCCTTTCCATATTTAAACGTTCAAGCCCAGGGCGGCGAATGTCGGAGGCTTTTAGGACCCTCCCCCTGGCCACTTTTTTTTTGGGGAACGAGTTGTGCATGGAACAGCTTCCCGTGGTTCCTGTTCCTGGTTCCCACTCCACTGAAAAAGAACACCTCCCCCTATCCCCAAGGAGGACATCTACACTTCCGAACTTCGGGGTGTCGGAGACACTGCCACACTTCTTGCTACGACCGATTACGACCGCATAATTACGATGGCTTTCTTATTCAAATCGAAAAAGGCCCAGGGCACGGCTCTGCCCCCGGCGACTCGAAATGTCCACACTTCCGAAGGCGCACCATCTACAGGATCATCTAATCTGCCTAATGGGGTGAAAGCAGATGGCACAACCTCTCAAACACCAACCCCCAGCGGAAGCTTTAGCCACTCACTCAACACTGCGAGTCCAACCAGCCCGGACGCAGTTCGTCCGCGGCAAAGAGCGGAATCAGAGTCTCAGGTTAGTATTTTGAGGCTATGTGAGTGCGAGTGCTAATTTGTTTGTCCTAGGCCCAACGACCACAAGGACCCCCAAACGGTATCCCGCCTCCCAGTCCGAATTCATCCCTCTACCCATGGTCACAACGCCGACTGAACTTCTCCTCCCCGCAAACGAATCCGTTTCCTCGATATGGCGCCGCGATCAATTCAGTGGCCTCCAAGGAAGGAGATATTTATATGATGGGTGGATTGATTGACGGATCCACGGTCAAGGGGGATCTGTGGATGATCGAAAGCAGCGCTGGTAGCTTGAATTGTGTTCAGGTCGCAACCGTATCCGAAGGTCCTGGTCCGCGAGTCGGTCATGCCAGTTTACTTGTCGGAAACGCTTTCATTGTGTTCGGCGGTGACACCAAGATTGATGAGAACGACAGCTTGGACGACACATTGTACCTTCTGAATACTTGTAAGGTTCACGGCCACTTGTCTTGAAGATCTGGTTCTGATAATTGGTCTTTTAGCATCGCGACAATGGTCTCGCGCCATTCCCCCGGGCTCTCGCCCTTCTGGACGTTATGGACACACATTGAACATCTTGGGATCTAAGCTTTATGTGTTCGGAGGTCAGGTTGAAGGTTTCTTCTTTAACGACTTGATTGCGTTTGATTTGAACCAGCTCCAGAACCCTGCAAACAAATGGGAAGTGCTCGTCCAGAACAGCCACGAAGGTGGGCCCCCAGCAGGTCAAATCCCTCCGGCGAGAACGAACCATACGATTGTCAGCTACAACGACAAGCTATATCTGTAAGATACACAAATAAAGCACAAGAACGGATCCAGAATTAACAACAATACAGCTTCGGAGGTACAAACGGAATGCAGTGGTTCAATGATGTCTGGGCGTACGATCCGCATACCACCACCTGGACCGAGATGGATTGCGTTGGCTTCATCCCAACGCCCAGAGAGGGCCACGCTTCTGCCCTGGTCGGTGATGTAATGTACGTGTTTGGAGGTCGGACTGACGAAGGTGTTGATCTGGGAGACCTCTCAGCGTTCAGAATCTCAACTCGACGATGGTTTTCTTTCCAAAACATGGGCCCGGCACCATCTCCTCGTTCTGGCCACAGTATGACAGCCTTCGGCAAGCAGATCATCGTCATGGCAGGCGAGCCAAGCTCGTCTCCCAGAGACCCTGTTGAACTGAGCATGTCCTACATCCTTGACACAAGCAAAATCCGGTACCCGAATGATTCTCAGCCTGGAGGGCGCGTGCCTGAAGCAGCAGGAAGAAAAACAAGCGTTGAGAAACAGGGACCCTCATCTGGACGAACATCTCGTGAAGCACAAAACCAACACCCAGAACAGACAATGCGCAAAGGACCCACGCCTTCTCGAGAAAGCATGACCTTGGCGACTTCAGGCTCGAATCCAAACCTGGGACCAGGATCTAGACTTCCTCGGGCCTCAATCGCTCAAGCCCCATCTGGACCACCACCTCCTGGGCAAGCACCATCTCCCGGCCCCCGAGGCAACGGTCCTCCTGCCAGCGCGAACCCTCGCAGCAAGACTCCAACAAAGAATGAGCGCGGGAACACCCCTACTATTGATATCCGCACAGCGAACGGTGAACGTGGTGAATCCCCAGTCACTAAGGAAGGACCCCAAGATCCGCAGGGACCTCCTTCAGCTGGTCGCCGAACCCCGACTCAGCACCAAAAGCCATCAGCCAAAGCAATGGAAGCGGGTGAAGCAGCTCCTCTGATCAGTACCCCAGGCCGCCAGCGATCGCTCCGTTCTCAGAGACAGCGTGGGTCTGTTGACAGCGGGGAAGAGTCCATTTTGGGTCGGCATGCCAGCATTGAGGGCTCTATTGACTCTCGAACCTACCGCAACTCCAAGACCCTAGGTGACGAGCCTCGGTCTCCTCGTCTCACCCCCCACCAGGAGGCATTGATCAAGGAGCTGGAGGCCACCAAGGCTCGGAATGCCTGGTATGCATCGGAGCTTGCGCTGGCGAAGAAGGGAGGCTATGTTCCAAATGCGACAAGTAGCCCTGCTTTGGATGAACGGGCTAGTGATGCCTTGAATGACGAGGATCGCCCCCTCTTGGAGGCCTTCTTGGCCATGAGAGCAGACTTGGTTAAGATGCAGGCTACTGTCGACCGACAGGCTGCCATCGCCTCGAAGCGTGTTGCAGAAGTAGAGCACCAACGTGATATGGCTATCAACGAGGCAGCATATTCTCGGGCCAAGCTCGCTGCCCATGGTGGTAGTCAGCGAGGCACCCCTCAGCCCGAGAGTTCCCGCGATGGCGAAGATGAACGCCCTACTGATATGGGCCGTCGCCTCGCCCTGGCTCTCGCCTCCCAGGCTGAGCTTAAGGCCAAGCTGGATCTCCAGACGACCGAGCTAATGCAAGAACGCCAAGCAAAAGAACTTGCCGAAGAAACAAATGAGGCAACTCGCAAACGCCTGGCAGAACTGGAGATGCAAAGCAACACCCTCGAGGCTGAGAACCTGCGTGCCGAGCTCCACCAGGCAGAAGCCACTTCTAGACAAGAGGCCTTGTTGCACGCGGAGGCTGAAGCTTCACTGCGACAACTCACTCTAGATAAGGAAGAGCTGTTGGCACAGCTCGAAGAGTCCTCAGCTCGTCTGAAGGACTTTGGTTCCAACTTCGGTGGCTTGAGAGAGGCTGTTGCCGCCTCTGCTGCCAAGACCGCCATAGTTGAACGGCAGTTGTACGAAGAGCGTGAGCGTCGGGAGGGTCTTGAAAGAAAACTTTTGCTGCTTCGCTCCGAGCACGAGGAGCGGACTACGGACCTCGAAAACGTCACTCGACGTCTCCGAGATGCGGAGGAGTTGGCCGAGAGCCACGCAAAGGAAGCCGAGACTCATAAACTGGCATTTGTTTCAGGCTTGGAACGTGCTTCTTCTACAGACTTGGATAATACTATTCGTTCCCGTGCCGACCAGAGAGTGGCTGCACTGGAAGCCCAAATCGAGCGTTCGAACACTCTGGCCAAGGCCAACCAAGCAGCAGCCGACTCCGCAGCGGACAAGCTCCGCCGCGCCGAGGAGCGGATTGCAGGCCTCGAGGCTTACCAGGAGCAGGCGAGCCGTGAGGGCTTGCAACTGCGCAGACAGCTTCAGACCGCTATGAAGGAAAGCCAGTCCGCTGCTACAGACAGCAGAGACCTCAAGTCTCAACTTGAGACCCAGCAGCGTGAGGCTGGTGCTCTCGCAATCCAACATGCTGCTTTGAAAGATCTTCTCGGCGAGCGTGGTATCAACAGTGATACTAGACGTTCCCCCCGTCTTGACTCCCCTGGATCCCGCTTCGGTACTCCCGAGCAGGGTCGTCTGCGGGAGCTGGAGCAACAACTCTCCGCCAGCATCAAGGCTCACGAAGACCTTAAGAATAGCTTCGAGTCTCGCGAGCAAGAGGCTGATCGCACATTCCGAGAGAAACTGGAGCAGCTTGAGAATGACTACCAGTCAGCTGTCCACTATGTGAAGGGCACCGAAAAGATGCTCAAGCGCATGAAGGATGAACTGAGTCGCTACAAGACCCAAAATGCCAAAATGCAGTCTGAACTCGAAGCTGCTCAAAGAAGCCTTGAGAATAACGATCAGCCATCTGGAGATTCGACTGAATTGGAGGCTGAGCGGGTCCGGCTTGAACAGACAGTCTCCGAGATCGAAGCGCGCACATCCGCCTCTATTGCTAACCTCGAGGCTCGAATCTCTCAGCTTCAGGGAGATCTAGACGAGGCTACAACTGAGAAGCAACACTCGCAGAACGAACACGAACGCTTCAGACAAGAACTTCTTTCTGCTGCGGAGCGCAGTCGAATCGAGCTGGAGCAACTCAAGCGAGAGAACACCCACCTTGAAACCCGTGCTTCGGATGCAGAGCAAAAGGTCAACATGCTCTTGGAACAAGTCCAGACATCCGTCGGTCATTACCGCCGCCAGTCCCAGCATGGTACAGGCACTAACGGGATCTCTCGCTCTCATAGCAACGCCTCTAGCAACACTGTCAGCGGAGGAAATGGACGCCCTCGAGCCGATAGCAACGTCTCGCAAGAGTCCTCTTTCCCCGACAACCGTGGCTCCATGGCGCTGGACTCTCTCGCCAACGAGCTGGATGCCCTTCGTACTCATTGGGAAAGTACCAACCGCAACTACCGTCTGAGCAGCCAGTTGGATATGGAGCGAACTCCCACCAAGGATAACAGTGACGGCCCCGCATTAATGAGTGATAGCTTGGCCGAGTGGAGAAGAAGACTAGATGAGGATGAACGGGCTGGTCTTCCCGTCAAAACCAAGCCATTGACTGCCGGAGCTGGAGCCGATGGTTCTAACGTGATCTAAGAATCACGCATTTATTATGACCATGTGGCCTGAGATATGTCAATTTCCACCGTCTGAGCGTTTTGCGCATGTATTTTTGCAACACTTGTTTGCTTTTTACTTGTTTCCGTCCCATTGGATCTCTACTTTGTTCACATCGAAAGAAGGGGTTGTTTTGACGCTATTCTGCTGCCGCTCTCGTTTGTTTTTCTTTCTGTTTTGATCTTGTTTCTGCCCGCTGAACTCTTATACCCCGGTTTTCCGATGTTCATTGGACTCTGGTTGTACTACTATCACATTCCTCGCGGATTCCTTGTTCGATTAGTATCAGAACCTTTCATGATTGCTTTTTCCAAAGACTTTTACTATTTTGCAAAGACCTTCTAGAACTATCGTCGTAATTTGACGCTTTAACCTGCGAACGATGACCTGTCACTAGCCTGATTCGACAGGTACACAACCTCCCTGGTAATGTCCGGGGACAACACTATGCCAAAGATCCCATTAATATGCATTATTTCCATCCGGACAACTGATTGAGATAGTACTGCATGAATTGTATTCAGCTTTGCCTCAAGTAGACGGAGACAATTTTCCATTAGAGGAAAATCGCGCATAGATAGCATCTGGTAATGTATTGATCCGGCTAGGAGCAAACATACCTTTTAGTCTCGAGCTACTAGAAATGAATTATGATTGCCCATATTCTCGTATACATCTGATACATCCCATGGATCTCAAGTGTCTAGACGCTATAGTTGGGCGTACTCCGTACTAAATGATATACCGGGGTCAGCTGAGGTCTTCCTCGCCACCGCCTGACAGGCAACGTATACAGCAAATGACAATAGATGCCTGAATCTGATTTTAAAGCAAAAGCTGTATAACAGTATTCGATACTCAAATTTGCAGCCCAATACCAATAATACAGTAAGCCCAAAATTGCAGACAGAAATAAGCGGTGCCAGCCTTCGCGCCCTGTACATTGCATGTAACCGTCAGCCACCCTTTCGCTAAAAAATACACCTCACCGACTCCCCCCTCTTACTCTCTCCCTACTCCTTTCCTCTCTTCTGCAACAACATCCCCTTTAGCCGTCATCAAGGCTTTGCCCTTGATTCTCTATTCGATTTCGACGGAATCCCGGATCTGTCCGGATACCCGTTACTCATTTCTCTTGCCCGGTTGCTCTCGGTCGGAATCACCTCTTTGATCCGTTATCTCAGGTATGCAAATATATCGGATCTCTTGCTTTTATCTTCACTTTTGTTGCCCAACTCCTCGCGTCATTCGCGTCGAGTGCGTTTTATTCATCTTTGCTGGGGTAATCTGAAAGATCAAGTGGCCTGGCCCAGCCTTGCAAGTTGTCTGAGCTTCAGCTGTCACACCCCCTCTCACCATTTCCCTGTTTCCTTCTTGCTTTTCCTCTCTTTTCTTTACTTCTTTTCTCTCTCTCCCCCCCTTTCTCTTCCTTTTGAGGTTTCTACCACCGCCACTCGACCAACCCCTTTGAACTTGAACTAACAATCGTGGTATCCTAGCATCTAGTCCTTCTCCACGGCTAACCGCTGTGCCCCCATCTCTTCAAGATGACGACCATGGTTAGTGTTAGCCAACCCCAATTTCCTTTTCTTTTTCTTTGCTCGGTGTTCGACCTGTCTGGACCTACAGTCTAGGCTCATGATGGGTCTTTCACATCCCATCTCATCGACCTCGCCTTTTGCTAACATTCTCTGCAGGATTTGCGTGTCGGTAACAAGTACCGCATTGGCCGCAAGATCGGAAGTGGTAGTTTCGGTGACATTTACCTTGGTATGTTATCCTTGTGTGTCTATTTACCACTCAAGCTGACAGATTATAGGCACCAACATCATCTCCGGTGAGGAGATTGCCATCAAGCTCGAAAGCGTCAAGGCCAAGCACCCCCAACTCGAATACGAGGCCCGTGTCTACAAGTCTCTCGCCGGTGGTGTCGGTATTCCCTTCGTTCGTTGGTTCGGTACCGAATGTGACTACAATGCCATGGTCATCGATCTCCTCGGTCCCAGTCTGGAGGACCTTTTCAACTTCTGCAACCGCAAGTTCTCGCTCAAGACCGTTCTGCTTCTCGCCGATCAGCTCATCTCCCGCATCGAATACATCCACGCCAAGTCGTTCATCCACCGTGATATCAAGCCCGACAACTTCCTTATGGGTATTGGCAAGCGTGGCAACCAGGTCAACGTGATCGATTTCGGTCTTGCTAAGAAATACCGTGACCCCAAGACCCACTTCCACATTCCTTACCGTGAGAACAAGAACTTGACTGGAACTGCCCGTTACGCCAGTATCAACACCCACCTGGGTGTTGAGCAGTCTCGACGTGATGATATGGAGTCCCTCGGTTACGTCATGCTTTACTTCTGCCGTGGCTCTCTCCCCTGGCAGGGCCTGAAGGCTGCTACTAAGAAGCAGAAGTACGACCGTATCATGGAGAAGAAGATGACCACCCCCACCGAGGTTCTGTGCCGTGGTTTCCCCAACGAGTTCGCCATTTACCTGAACTACACCCGCTCGCTCCGCTTCGATGACAAGCCCGACTACTCTTACCTTCGCAAGATCTTCCGTGACCTCTTCGTCCGTGAGTCCTTCCAGTACGATTACGTCTTCGACTGGACCGTCTACAAGTACCAGAAGAATGCCGCCATGATTGTGGATGCCACCAAGAAGGACAAGGATGCAGAGGACCAGCAGCGCCGTCAGGGTGTTCCTGCCGCTGGCCCCATGGGTGCCAGCGGTGCCCCCAAGCCCGGTGCCATTTCTAGCCAGCGTCGCAAGGTTATGGACCGCGGCGGCCTTGACGGCACCCCTGAGACCGGCCGTGCCGTGGGAGGTAGCGACAGGATGTGAGTAAACATGAAACCTGGTTTCCGAGTAGGGAACCCCTTCTTTTTTTTAACTCCCTGCGTTGTGTGATTTGCTTTTCGTGACACTGGCGTGGAGGAATTCTTTGGTTCTGAATCTGACTAATCGCATAGTCTTCGGCGTTAGGCTGCGTTCTGCCTCGAAAGGTGCTGCTTTAGGTTATGGACCTTCTGGTGGCCGTTCGAAGCGGGATGATGGAGCGGGGGCTCAGTGGTACTAATCGTGTAGCATTACAGTGAGGTTATTGTACAATTTCCTCCTGTCTGTTGTCACATACTTGTCTACTCGGAAACCCGGGACCTCGCTCATGTCGCCTTGGAGCGGACCATGTCGCACTCAACCTCTCGGAATTTTCTTTTTTTCTACATGGATCTCTTTTCATTCTGCAATCCCCCGACAGCCCCGTATCCCGTTTTCGATCATTCTTCGACTTCAGCCGTTTCGAATCGCCATTGATTTATCGCTCTCAATCTCAACTCTTGATCATCTGGTCAACCCCTGAGCTTGCGATGAAATTTGACGGTTTTTTTTTGACTTTGCGGATTCTTGTACCCGTTCTGCGGGACAACCGATTACGTCTCGAAACGCTCTTGATATTGTGGCTTATTTCTACGTCTTTAACCTCTGGTTTCTCTTTACAACCTGTCATCTTCGGTCAGCATGACCAGAGGGCAAGACCGGGGGACATGCAACTGACGGCGTCATCTCACAAGTTTCATCGTCGGATTATGTGACAGCTGCGATTGGAGATCCCTGAACGCATCATCAGATGTGCTACCCATTCCTTCACCCCTTTCTTTCCTATGATTTGTTTTCCCTGCCCTTTGCGTTTTTCTTTGTGTCTGGCGATTATCAATTTGTTAACATCGACGTTTAATGGGGACGAGGGGCGGCCAGCTGGTCGATTGATGGTGACGCGGAGATGTCTTTCTTCGGGGAAATTGCTTGCAGGCTTTCTGGTTATGTCCAGCTGTCTTGTAGAATTTCTATCTGTTTACAGGTGGTCTTTAATGCAATCCCGCTCGGAGGAGGCTCGTGGTATGGCGACGGAAAATGGTTAGGGTCGCTTCCGGGGTGGTATGCGTCGATGTCTATGTTATAAGCTCTCACTAAGTTAAATGTGTTTATCCCAGCTCCTCCATTTTTACACTTCGTTAGCCCATAAGTTTAAAAAACCGATGAGATCATCGAACACCTCCCGTTGGCACAGACCAAACTCTCCAGCAGTTTGTGTTCTGTCTATTCGAGTGAATAATGTTGCATCGAAGTAAACTTAGGATTAGGTGTGTTGTCAATGTACCGAGTACTCTGCTTATTGGTTAGACCTGCAGCCAAACCCAAGTACCCGGTACGAACGGTCGAGAACGCAATTATTCTGGGGTCCAAGCCACGTCTTTCCTCCTTTCACTTCCTAACTTTCCGACAGACTCGTTGTTGTATCCAACATTACACCGTCATGGATTACTCCTACTACGGCCCCCGATCGCAGCCTTACCCTCTCTACGGGCTGCCGACCCCCGACCAGCCACCCCAGGCGCAACCCGATGAGGCATTTGCCCCTCTAGTGGGTTCTTTGTCCTGATCTCCAAAGCCCCTGATCCTAACTATATCAGAATAACTACGAGCAAAACTTCGCTGGCTTTGACCCCTCGTTCCGCATCGACCCCTCCTCATCCTTTGTCCCGCCACCGCATTCACCGCCAGAATCGTTCTCCAAGCACTCAGTCTCAAGCAACGAGGCCGGCAACCAGCACACAGACCCCATCTCCTTTGACGGCGATGAGCACCAATTCGCCGATCCCTCAATGGGAAGGAGCAGCAGCGAAGAAAACCAGTCGTTGCCCGCGCAAAGCAAGCGCAAGGCCCAGAACCGCGCTGCGTATGTGACAAATCAATCCCATCCCCACGTGTTGAAACACCCACGAGATATATCTATCAGAACCACTAATAGGGCCAACTCCCGTATAGCCAACGAGCATTCCGTGAAAGAAAAGAACGTCATGTACGCGATCTTGAAGACAAAGTGAACAACCTCGAACAAGCATCCGACACATTACAAGCCGATAATGAACGCCTGAAGCGCGAGCTGGCGAGATATACAACCGAAAATGAAATCCTGCGCGCTACATCAAATCAACCCAATCGCGGCAACGGCAATGGCAATGCGAACGAACCTCCCGAGCCAACTGTCACTGGTCCGATGAAATACTTGCCGACAGACTTTTCTGGCGCAGTACAACAAGATGGAAAGCCCGCGCCTCCAACTCCGCAACACCGTATCCTCGTGTGCCCAGTTACCGGCGAGAACCTTCTGGATTCGCGGGCTACCTGGGACTTCATTCAGCAACATGATCTGTTTAAGAAGGGTCAGGTTGATATTGGTGATGTTAGTGAGCGACTTAAGGGTATGGCGCAGTGTAATGGCGAAGGCCCTGCTTTTAAGGAGGGTGAGATTCTTAGGGCCATTGAGGAGAGTGCGGCTATGGGGCGTGATGAGTTGATTTAGTATATGTTGTATTCCGCTGTTACGATTATGATTACGAGTATTTTTTTGGCGCTGGACATATGATTTGATCTACTAGGCCCTGAGCGTTTGGGGGTTTTTTTGGATTTTGGATTCTCTTATTGGAGCAAATGCTTGATTTAGATTTTACTTTCAGATTATTGGATTTATAGAGTGTATATTCAACGAAGCCTTCGATTATCGACTTGGGCAACTTGATATATACGCCTCTGGTCTAACTTTCAAGGGCCGAGTCCGTTTAGACTAATACCAAGTAGAATATAAATCTTGCATTGTTTACCTGAGGCTTGACATAGTAATGTATAATTCCAGGCGCCCGTGAGAATGAGCCGAGTTTGTCTAGGTCGAGGGTGAGGGATATCGTCACAAACGAGGTATTTTCCCAGATATATTGACTCTTCGATATAGACTTACTTACTACTTTGTCTGACTGTAGAGCGCCCGATAATATTCAATATTTACGGAGATTACATGTATATAAGGCAAAAATGAAGAGGATTACTATATGTCATTAAGTTGACATGGGATTACGTTCAGATTCCTAGGGAAATGGATGATCCAATCCTAACTATAGTGCGGTACAAGCATATCGAGACGATTGCGACCGATCTATATGAACGCGAACACACGAAGAGCTCATTTCAAACCAGGACATATGGCTATTCATGCTAGAAGGCCGCCTATAGGTTCTCCGACTAAAGAGACAATCAATATTGAAAACGAGATTCAAATTGAGGCTGACATGTGCTTTACGTCTTATAAGGGCGTCTCAATCACAATCGCCTGTCAACAGGGAAAGCCTTCATTTTGGTTGGATATAGTCATAATATACACATGCCATAATCATAATATTTGCATTGTTTTTCAATTGGGAAGTCAATCCCAGTCGTCGTCATAATCTTCAACGTTCAGGTCATCGGCCTTCTCATCTTCATCCTCGTCGCGCTTCTTGAGACGAACGTCATTCTCTTTCAAGGCACCAATCTCAACCAACAAACGCTCAATATCTGTATCTTTGATTAGTATATGCATGTCTTCACCCATAATTGTAAACAACTTACCTTCTACCTTGGTACGGGGTCCCTTCAACTGCTGCAACGTGATAAGCTGCTTCACGATCTCGGTATCCTTATAGACCAAAATTGTGGGTGTGTTCTTCTCTGGATATCCCTCAATGCACATATCGGCGCGAATCTCACAAAACTTGATGTCACCAAACTTGGCAGCCAGCTGCCGCCAGAGCTCTGTCAACACGCGCGATTCGACATTGCCGCCCATGGATGTGAGATTGACGAGAACATAGGCGTTGTTCGACGCCTCTGTTACTTCACGGGCATAATCGACCTTCTGGAGTGGGTAGACTTGGTTGAAGACGCTGGTTTGTTGAATAGTGGAGAGCTCAGCGAATCGCTTTTGCCTGTTGATGAGATTTAGCAAATGTGTCGCTTTAGCAGTGATATAAAAAGCGCAAGCTCACCTATATGAGTTGAGGAAATCCTCGTCTTCCTCTTCCTCCAGTGCGTCCAGCTCATCGATGTCCTTGTCCTCGAGTCGGTTTGCATACGCTCTGTGCTCTGCTTCGACCAGAGCCTCTTGAATCAGAGGCTCGGGATCGACAGGTTTCTCTGGAATGATACCATGCTGGCGGAGGATATCGTTCCTGTATAAAATAGGCAGTGGTTAGCACACGCGCTCCCTTGCAAACAGTTGCAGGCTGCGGGGTACGGCGACAAGCTTACCACTCAGTATCCTCGTTTTCGTTGACTTCAACCTGCATGTTGAATTGATATGATCAAAACTGCAGCCAAAAAGAAATGAAGTATAGGAAGAAATGAGGGGAGTTGGAGGGGTGCTGCCTTCGACCATGATGCCACTGTTTGCAGTGTTTGTTTCGGGCCAAACACACGGAAGGCCACCTTCAACTTGTCCCCAATAGACAAGCTTGAGGAGATTCAAGACTCACCACCTCTTCGCTTCAATTCTTGTTTCTCTTCTTCCTTCGGTTCACTCTCGTTTGGCTTTCAATTCTCAGGTGGCTATGCTGTAGTCGCCTACACCGCCCTGCCCTGATTCTGTGTACTCGACCCGTGTTCCATTCACACCCACTCCACATTTCCAAGGAGACAGCGATTACTCCCTGCTGGTAGATTCCAGCTCCCGGGCAATATGAGCTATATGAAGAAAGATGAAGATGCGGACCAGGTCATGATCAAGCTTGATCGGACCTCCGTATTCCAAGATGGTGTGGAATTGCTCTTCCCCCTGGCGCCTCCATGCGCTTTACACAAGCTGACCAGACAATTCTCATAGCACGCCTTTTCAATTCCTCTCCTATTTCACCGCGAACATGCCGGACGTTACTTACCAAGATCGCTGTCCTCATGTTCACTGGGGAGCAGTTTCCTACGAACGAAGCCACCACCCTCTTCTTCGGCATTTCCAAGCTCTTCCAGAACAAGGACCCTTCCTTGCGACAGATGGTGTATTTGATTTTGAAGGAGCTGGCTGGTACCGCCGAAGATGTGATCATGTCGACTAGCATCATTATGAAGGATACCGCGGTGGGAAGCGATGTTTTGTACCGGGCCAATGCCATAAGGGCCCTTTGCCGCATCATCGATGTAGGTCGCTGTGGCTTAAAATGATTGGAGAGGAAGTAGCTGACGATTCTAATTAAAACAGGCCTCCACAGTACAGGGTATCGAACGACTCATCAAGACCGCCATTGTTGACAAGACTCCCTCGGTTTCCTCCGCCGCCTTGGTCTCCTCCTACCACCTTCTTCCCATTGCGCGCGATGTCGTCCGGAGATGGCAAAGCGAAACACAGGAAGCCGCCTCATCTTCCAAATCATCGACCGGCTTCCTTGGCTTTTCCTCAAGCTCGCAGAGCCACGCTATTTCCCAGTCGAATTTCATGACCCAGTACCACGCTATTGGTCTTTTGTATCAGATGCGCGCGCATGACCGTATGTCGTTGGTCAAGATGGTACAGCAGTACGGAGCTGCAGGTGTTGTGAAGAGCCCGGCCGCTCTGCTCTTGTTGGTGCGCCTGGCCGCCAAGTTGGCCGAAGAGGACCAGGGTCTCCGGAAGCCTATGATGCAGATGCTGGATGGCTGGCTCCGTCACAAGCATGAAATGGTCAACTTTGAGGCAGCCAAGGCTATTTGCGACATGCGCGATGTTACCGATGCCGAGGCCTCGCAGGCTGTTCACGTCCTCCAGCTATTCCTGTCCTCCCCACGGTCTATCACCAAGTTCGCTGCTATTCGTATCCTCCACAACTTCGCCTCCTTCAAGCCTCACGTTGTCAACGTGTGCAACCCTGATATCGAATCGCTTATCTCCAACTCCAACCGCTCCATCGCCACGTTCGCCATTACCACATTGCTCAAGACCGGTAACGAAGCTAGTGTTGATCGCTTGATGAAGCAGATCTCTGGCTTCATGGCCGATATTACCGATGAATTCAAGGTCACTATCGTTGAGGCTATCCGCACTCTGTGCTTGAAGTTCCCCAGCAAGCAGGCCGGTATGCTCGTTTTCCTGAGCGGCATCCTGCGGGACGAAGGTGGTTATGAGTTCAAGCGCACTGTTGTGGAGAGCATGTTTGATCTGATCAAGTTTGTTCCCGAGAGCAAGGAAGATGGTAGGTTTTGAACGCATTCCACGTGATACATCTACTAATGAAGTTTTAGCTCTTGCCCACCTCTGCGAGTTCATCGAGGATTGCGAATTCACCAAGCTTTCGGTTAGAATTCTGCATCTGCTTGGTGCTGAGGGCCCCAAGACTACCCACCCCACCAAGTATATCCGCTACATCTACAACCGTGTCGTTTTGGAGAACGCCATTGTACGTGCTGCTGCCGTCACTGCGCTGGCCAAGTTTGGCGTGGGCCAGAAGGACCCCGAAGTCAAATCCAGTGTTCAGGTTCTGCTCACCCGTTGTCTTGATGACACCGATGACGAGGTGCGGGATCGTGCTGCGCTCAACTTGCGCTTGATGGGCGAGGAGGACGAGGCAGCGAGCGCCTTCATTAAGAACGGTAAGGCCTTCATCATTACTGATAATGTTCTTTGAACTGACAAATATAGACTCCATGTACTCCCTTTCCACCTTTGAACACCAGCTGGTCATGTACGTGACATCAGGTGATAAACAGACCTTCGCTGCTGCCTTTGATGTCGCTACTGTTCCTGTTGTTTCCCACGAGCAGGCCCTGGCCGAGGAGAGAACCAAGAAGCTCACTTCCGCTACCCCCACACTCAAGGCTCCCTCAGCGGGTCCCACGAAGAGTAAAGCCAGTGGCGGTATGGCCGAGGCTGCCACTGCCTCTGCAACTCAGAAATATGCTGAGCAAATCATGCAACACCCCGACCTCAAGGAATACGGTACTTTGCTCAAGTCCTCTGGACCTGTCGAGCTCTCCGAGAGCGAGACCGAGTATGTTGTCACGGCCGTCAAGCACATCTTCAAGGAACACATTGTCGTGCAATACGACATCAAGAACACACTCCCCGACACCGTCCTCGAGAATGTCACTGTCGCTGCAACCCCGGAGGAGGAGGACGTATTGGAGGAAGACTTTATCATTCCTGCTCCCAAGCTTCCCACAGACGAGCCCGGTGTTGTCTATGTAGCATTCAAGAAGCTCGGCGGCGAGAACAGCGTTCCCGTCACCTCATTCACAAACAACCTCAAGTTCACCAGCAAAGAGATTGACCCTACGACTGGCGAGCCCGAGGACAGCGGCTACGACGACGAGTACCAGGTGGAGGACCTCGAGCTGACTGGCAGCGACTATGTCATCCCGACATTCGCCGGCAGCTTCGACCACGTCTGGGAGCAGACCGGTGCCAATGGCGAGGAAGAAAGCGAGACCCTACAGCTCAGCAACATGAAGGGCATCAACGGTACGTATAAATCCTATTTAATCTTCGCCAGTGATACTAACTATTTCCATAGATGCCACAGAACAGCTGATCGCCGCCCTGTCGCTCCAACCCCTTGAAGGAACCGACGTCGCCCTCAACAGCAGCACACACACGCTGAAGTTGTTCGGAAAGACCGTCTCTGGTGGCCGTGTCGCCTCTCTTATCAAGATGGCCTACTCCAGCAAAGCCGGTGTCACGACCAAGATCACGGTCCGCGCAGAAGAGGAGGGTGTTGCCGCGGCTGTGATTGCTTCTGTGTCTTAATCTCTCTGCTTTAATTTTTTGTTGTTATCTGCTTAATCCTGGTTGGGGGGACAAGAGCGTGTATGTTTTCCATGTGTCTTGGCTCGTTAGATTGCGTCGTCCATCCCTCAAAACTTGTCAATGCAACTTTTCTTCCCAATATCATACTATCTATATTCATGCCTACTTATTCTGGCTGTTTGATCTGCTATCCTTGTTGTAGAGACACTGTTTCGTATGCCATCGTATAGCTATATAGGTGTTGTAAAGAAAACCCTGTCTTGATCAATGTGGTGGAAACTAGCCTTGGCATATCTTGGGCTGTAGTACAGTACATCCGTAGATATACTACTTTTCCAACCACAAGGAAAGGCAGATTTGTGAAGCCAACAGCAAAATCACAAATATGGTATGAACGGTATTGAAATTTTATTTGGATCTTATATTTCCCACAGATGTTATGCAAAGGACTCTCCATAGAGAAATCATGGACGGAGACGCTGGGGGTCCCGAGGGAACAGCGAAGCCAGACGCACATTAGGCAGACCAAGGAAGAACATAACAATGCGGTTCAGACCGAGACCACCACCAGCGTGAGGCGGGCAGCCCTGGCGGAAAGCATTGAGATAATCCTCGAAGCCCTCCTGGTTAGGCTCGAGACCCTTGGCGCGCATGGACTCCTCAAGCTCCTTGATATCGTTAATACGCTGAGCACCGGACATGATCTCCTCACCACGCATGAAGAAGTCGTAGGAATTGGAGAAGCGTTTGTCGTTGGGGTCAGCCTTGGTGTAGAAGGGACGGACCGACATGGGGAACTTGTCAAGGACGTAGAAGTCGGTATCGTACTTCTCGCGGATGATCTGACCGAGCTGCTTCTCCATGGCAGTGCTGAAGTCGTTCTCAAAGTTTTCCTGCTCGGAAACGTCGACGCCGGCCTCCTTCAGGAGGGCAACACCGTCCATGTAGTTCATGCGCAGGGCCTTGCCGTCCTTGGGCAACTTGAAGTCACCGGCCTTGGGGTAGGACTTTTGGATGGTAGCAATCTGGGGGGCGTAACGCTCCTTGAGCTGGGTAAGGATGAAGACAAGGAGATTCTCAGCGAACTCAAGGACCTCGTGGTAGTGGCCACGGAAGGTCTTCTCGAAATCGAGACCCGAGAACTAAATCATGTTAGTATAAATGGTGGCTGTCACTGAAGAAATACAAGGTGATCATACCTCGGTCATGTGGCGGTGGGTGTTGCTCTCCTCGGCACGAAACACGGGAGCAATCTCAAAAACGTTCTCCATATCACCGGCAATACACATCTGCTTGTAGAGCTGGGGACTCTGGGCAAGGTAGGCGTTGCGCTTGAAGTACTTGACCTCGAAGACGCCGCTACCACCCTCTGTAGCAGCACCGACCAGCTTTGGGGTGAAAATCCAGCGGGAGCCGCTCTTAATCATGTACTCAGCAAAGAGCTCGGAAACACCGCTGGAGATCCAGGTGATAGCCTGGCTGGTCTCGGTCTGCAGATCGAGGACACGGTTGTCAAGACGGGTCTTGAGGGTGACAATAGGAGCACCGTCGGCATCAACCTGGGCACCCTCATCAGTAGTCTCGGGAGGTGGGCGCTCGGCATCCTTGACTTGCATAGGAAGCATCTGGGAAGCCTCGGAGATCATGTAGACCTTGCGGATGTGGATTTCGAGGTGGCTGATAGTGGCGGACGAAATGGGGATCTCGGGCTTCTTCACGATACCGGTAACCTGCACAATAGAGTTGACGTTCAAACCGCCGGTGTACTTGATCATCTGGCGCGAGATAGGCTCTGCGGCGGCGATGACGGCCTGCACCTTCTGTCCCTGCTGGCGGAGCATCAAGAAGGCCAGCTTGGCACTCTGCACGCGCGCATTGTCGACACGGGCCACAACTGTCACTTCCTTGTCGTAGGACTCCTCTGAGAACTCTGAGAACCGTGTCGAAGGGACAACATCCTCAGTCTCGGGGAGAGGTCCGTATAGATCCTTAGCTGTGTCGTTAGCATCCTGGGCGGCGGCCTGGGCCTTTTCCTGTGCAGCGCGTGCGGCAGCCTTCTCAGCCTTCGCCTTGTCCTTGGCGGCCTTCTTCAGAGCATTCTTGCTGGGACCCTCGGCGGCGGGCGCAGCTGCGTCGGCGGTTTCCTCAGGCTTGGGACGGTGGGGCAATTCGGAGTCGGCCATGGCGCTGTGAAGGCAATTAGAGAGGAGATTGATGAAAAGAGGTCGATATGTCCTACCTCAATGGTAATCTATCACGGAATGACAAAGCTTTAAACAACGGGCTGATCGGCTTCTGTCACCCGGATGGATCCTTGACTCACCCCGCCGAATGCCAAGCCCTAAGCCCTAAGAGGGGATGTCACATGATCTATGCCCGAGGAGTCATTTTCTATACAATAAGAGAACTGATGCAAATATTGGAGCTGTTTGACTTGCTAATGTGGTAAGTGCTTGCTGTTACGGTTCTATGCAGCATGTATTGTGTTCCTGTTTACCCCAGCATCTATATATCTAAATAGAGACATCCACTTAAGATCGAGCGGCGGGCCATTTGGAGCTTTCCAATGCCCATTGGACAGCCTTGTGTACATTGTCCGTGATGGTTTGAGGAGTCCAAGCAGGCTCACCACCACTGTAGACACCAGTCCGAACAAGGATTGAGTGCCAGCTACTGCCAAACTCACTGCGGTAGGAGTTTGCGCCCCGAATATCAGACTCAGGGTTATCACCGACCATGTAGACTCTCTGCAGAGGCGGGAGATCTGCAGAGTCACCGAACGTCTTCATCCGGTTGCGGAGCAGCTGCCATTCGGCAAATTCATATGTAGGCTGATAAGGTTTACCTATCACGGTCTTCTTCAACTCAATGCCCTTGCTGGGACCTCCTGTAGTTGCGGCCCAGACACCCTCGAGCGCCTCTCGGAAACCGCCCTGGCCCAGACGGGGCAAGGGGTATGCGGCAGCCCACCACAAGTCAGGATTGGAGAAATATAGGTGAGGCTGGCCATCCTGCTGGTAGCCATGGTTGGGTAGATCGATCCGACCGTTCTTCTCGGATAAGGTGCCCATACGGCCCTGTGACGAGAGAAGGAGATCCATGATCACCTGGGTGTCCAATGCCCAGTCTCGGGGGTCATTGAATACAAAGACAGCGTCAATCTTGAGACTCTTTGATGGGTCATTCAAGTCAATTGGCTGAGGTAGCGGACGGGCGAATGTCTTGTAATAGTCGCTGAAGTTCTTGGAGAACGGCCAGATGGCGGAATTGGCCATGAGAATATCTCCCGGGGTGACAACATTCTTGAATCCGTACCTAGAAAAGTCGATTAGCATCAATTGCAGAGTCATGGTGAATATCCATTGACATACTGTTCTGCCACACGCCGACAGTTATCCCCGTCGCCGCCGGCAACTAGTACGCATTTATGCTCAAGAGAGCTAGCCTCGTCTGTCCCATTAACAAGTTCCGCAAAGGGAGAGTGACTCTGTACAATGTCCGTGGGATCCAATGGGATTTGCAGCTTTTCGCTGATCTCTGCGACGCGCTCTGTCTCGTGCTTGCCGCCGCCATTGGTGAGTAGGATGAAGGGAATGCCCTGCTTCTTCAAGAGGGCCAGCGACTCCGCAGCACCGGGGATAGGTTTGGACGATCGAAGGAGAACACCATCGATGCTAAATAATGGGGTTAGATCATGAAAGTGAGCAGGGTATTCCGCCCGCGCATGGATAAGACTCACTCGAATGCAAAGGCAAAGTTAGGGATAGGCCGGGAACTGGCCGTCTGAATCGCCCGACGGGTAGCTGGTGTGTAGCGAGCAGTACGTTGCAACAGGCCAAATGACCGCCACATAGTTTGTGGTCTCATGGTTGTGGTTGGTTCTGGGGATGTGTACAGATGTCGTCATCTCGGGGGTTCGGCGCGCCAAGACTTTGTTTGTCGGATCCGCCAAGACTCTTATACATAACATCTGAAGTCTTGCGAATCGATGCCTAATCCTCCAAATGCTTCCCAGGTGGTTTACAGGCAAAGGGTTTTCTAAGTAATGCTCCTGATTGGGTTATAAGATGCAAGGCAGGTCCAACCTAGGGCACCTGGGCAGTCTGTACATACGATGAGCTACATAATTCTCACCGTCAATACGAAATTTTTTTTTTTGTAGTATGTCATCAACATGGAATAATCAGGCCAGTCTAATACTACCACAAACTGACACCCATAAGCATGTAACAAAATGCCATTCGAGTGATCTTATCATACATGTGTTGCGTAACTCATCAATCATTAAAAGTCAACAACGCTCATTCTCGATCTCGTAGAGACCCAGGTCATAAACATAGTCAAGCTCATCCTCCGGACACTCATCAATGTTTTTCCATATCTTCTTGTCAAGTTTGGCATGAGATTCCTTTGGTATAAGATCCAGGCACTTTGGATAGATGGCCAATCCGCAAACCCGAGAAAGATTCCGCCCGAGGGCCTTGTGGAGCTCATCAAGGTCAAACTCCGGCTCGGAGTCCTCCTCATATGGTGCCATGAGAATCAATTCACGGATTGAGAGTGGCGAGGTAGATTCATCAGACGCAGGTAGAATGAGTAATGGGTATAAAACATCAATAGGCACCTCAAGTCGTCTCAATGCGAGCAAGCCGCTTAGAATGGAGGCTTCGTCATCACCCAGCAAATTGCCATTTGAGGAGTGAAGAGACAATGTGCGCAGGGTCGAGCACAGTTGCTCGTTCATCAGAATCAACTCAAGGGTGAAAGTGTTGAGGTCCTCACAGCCACAGAATGCGAGACTTGTAAGATTTGGTGGCCACCGAAAGGTAGGCATAGACTCTAGGTCAAATCTTCCGCCTAGTTGCATGTGCCAGATATTGGCAGGCCAGCTTAAGCCGGATTGATCGTCAGTAATCAGCATCGAGGATGGCAAAACAAGCGACCTAAGCTTATGAAGACCTGAGATAGCCTTTTTCAGGACGGGAAGCTCAATTGGTTCTATCACAAGCCCTAGCCGCAGGTGAACCAGTTCCTTGCACTTCGACAATGGTGCAAGACTATTGATTCTGCATGAATATATTAACCAGGGTCAACGAGGAGGCTTGTTGAAGATCAACATACGAAAATGAGGTTCTGGGTGCAACGAAAAGCTGTAGATTTTTCTTCACGCGGCCCAACAGCCTTGAAGTCAGACTGTTGGAGCTGTGGTGCACTAACCCGCCGAGCCACAAGAATCGGACCATTGACCCGAAGTCCATACTCGGTTTTTTCGCACGAAGGGGTGGGCATACCGTGCTGGTGAATTTTGCGAAGCTGTTTCCTCTGGTGAGATCGGGCCGGGAGTACAGCATTTCAATCCCAGCAGAGTACCATTGCCACGACACCAAGCAAAAGCTGTGAAGTGTTGTTTGGTATACAAATGGGCGATCCGTCTGGGTATCATTTGTATCCTCTCGGAAATCCCGTATGTATTGCGCGACCTCAACGAGGATTTCTGTCGGGAGATGAATCTGTTTGGCGGAAGCCATGGCTTTGGTGAACTTTGTGTGGGATGATCGAAATGTGCCTTTTAGGGAAGCATGATTGACATGGAGGTCAAGGTTGGACTGGAAGGAGTGACAATAAATAGAGAGCACCGGGTGTTCGGATCATCTCTTAAATATAGAAATCGGATCAAGAGAGTATTCTTTGATCATGAAGAGAGAAAGAAAGAGAGAAAGCAATTCAAAAGAGAGCCATGAGGGGTAAATTGGAGAAAGATGAAGTGAGCTTATCTTTTTTTCTGGCAGATGCAGATCCCGCCTTTAGATAAACATCACCGCCTTGGTAAATGGATTCAATGGACCTAGGCTCAATAGTTTCATTCCCTTTCTATAACTCTTGTTGCTCTCGGTAATCCTCCAGTTCGCCCATGCAAACGCGTTTGCACTGTTCCGCTGTCCCGGCCTAAACTCCAAGCTCAAACTGACCACCTTCACCTCACCATGCCCGACAAGCGCAAGGGCGACCACTTGCCCCCCTCCCCCAAACGTGCCAAAATGTCTTATGATGACCATGAGGACGAGGGCCAGTATTCGCCCTCACACCAGGAGCGCCCCCGCAACAATCCCACGTATGGCCAGAAGAACGCATTCCCGGGCTTGGATGACAGAGATGATGGAGGTGACGAACTGTTTTACGGGCCCGCAGAGGATGGATTAGAATATCTGCGCATGGTTCGGTGAGTTTGCCCGTTGACCTCTTTCATCACTGGCTCAACTTACCATATACCTCAATTCTCTACGCGCTGATTTGAGTTTGACCTGACTTTGTCGCATAGATCCGAAGCCAACTCTCTCCCATCGCTATTCTTCAAGCCTAAAACCGTAAATACCCCCGAGCCAACATCAGATGAACAGCAACATGCAAAGACTGCCGGAAAATCTAAGTCATTCCCGAGAGGCTTCTATGCGGATGAGGCTTACATTGCCCCCGTGGAGGACATGAAGCCAAGTGCGGCCGCAAACATTGATCAACACTACCCCGATGCGCAAAATTCCTACTACATTCTTCTTCGACACCGATTCTTGCTCTTGCGATCGACCCTTCGATGCAGCCCACCTGCCGAGGCTATCAGCGCCCTCGACCATGCCCACCCTATCAGCCTCCCACGAAATGCTTGGTCGGCGCATAAGGAGTGGCGCCGTCTGTTACTTGCGGTCGATCCAAACATGGTGCAGCTGGCGTGTATGGACTCGGATAGCGTGTTGGAAGTGCTGGAATTAGTAGCGCGGATGATGTCCGACGTTGTACGAAGTGAAGACACTGAACGCCTACGACGCATCGGGGCCTGGGCTTGGGGCTTACTGGGAAAGTGTCGCGAGGTTGGAGAGTTATCCACAGAGCATGTTGGTACCATTCGGAACCTAGGAAAGCGCGCCGCGACAATCATGCGAAAGATACAAGAGACGGAGAAAAACCGATTTCAGGATGAAGAAGATTCTGAATTGCCAGAGTCAGATCTAGAGGACACACCCCAGCTGAAAATGCAAGACCAGTATGCTGATGAGCGCAAGGAGGATGAATTGCCTGTTAACGCGGAAGTACAAGACCTTAGCACGATTGATGCTTCAGAGCAGTCTCAGTTGGAGGCTGCCAAGGCGCGCCTGCAAGCTCAAATACAGGACAGTGCCGGCATCAGTAAATCTACTGAATCATTCAACGAGGACTTGTTGACACGGACTCGCTCTTTGCTCGACATGGTGATTACCGTGGTTGGTGAGCACTATGGCCAACGGGATCTGTTGGACGCACGCGAGATCTGGACTTAGGATTGAATTCGCATCGAGATTTGTACGAGATACCCATATTTGTTAAGTTAATCACAAGCTGCATGCCAATATGCCCGTGTCGTGTGCCTAAGTAGATGTGCCTGATCACTTAGGTCGGGTGGCCTAAGCTTTTGCGTCATAGGGAGCTCCCTAGGTAACCTCCGACTTCATCCTCGAACAATGATACTCCAATTTAACCATGGCACCAACCGTTGAAATAGCCATTCCAAATACCACCATTTCATCCTCTTCTCCGCCATATACTATCTATCACATCTCCCTCCGGCTTCCGCTCCGCTCCTTCACCGTCCCCAAGCGCTACTCGGACTTCACAACCTTCCACAAGAATCTCCTCTCTCAAACAAACACCCCTCCGCCAGTGCCCCTACCTTCCAAAACTTGGTTCTCAAACACTATCTCGAATGAGCGTTTGCGCGAAGACCGACGCTGCAGCTTGGAACAATATCTCCGCGCAATCAACGAATCCGACGATGGCCGCTGGCGCACCTCGCCCGCGTGGCGTGCATTCCTGAATCTCCCCACAGCAGTCGGCTCGAATAGCAACGGATCAGCGAATACATCTGCGCGACTCCATGCAGCCATCACAGACCCAGGCGCTACGAACGCACCGATCACGGATCCGACATTATGGCTTGACTACTACCGTGACATGAAGGGTCATCTCCACGATGCACGACTGCAGTTGTCTCGCAGAGACCAAGAAACCACACCGCAGAAGCAACATGAAAGCTCAGCACAGGCGAAGAGTTGTCTTGTCCGTTCGGGAACCATGATCACTGCACTGGACGAGGGTCTCAAGAACATAGGAAGCGGTGATAAGTCTTCGTCGACATTAGGCGGCGGCGAGATTCGGCGACGGAAAGATCTTCTTATCAATGCGCGCAAGGAGAAAGACGGCCTGGAGGATCTACTACATGCTATGGCGACGAAGAGCAAACTTGATCATGCGGTGGCATCCATTCAGGACAAGGAAGCTTTAATGAGTACTGGTAATGTGAGTGGGGATTCAGCAAGCAGTGGGCGTAGGACGCCAGCCCGGACCGGCAGAGTTCTTGGAAAGGAGACGGAGCGGACTCGTGAACTTGATAATGAGGGCGTGCTACAACTTCAGCAGCAGATGATGCAGAGCCAAGATGCTAATGTCGATGAATTGATGAAGATCATTATTCGACAGAGGGAGCTGGGTACTCAGATCAATGAGGAGCTCGAGGTGCAGAATGAGCTACTAAAGTTGGCAGATGAGGAGGCTGACATGTTCGTCCATTCCCTTTCCTCGATTACATCTGCTTTGCTAACCATGTTTCCAGCTTGAAATCCAAGATCGATGTTGGGAAGAAGAGGATCGGAAAAATATCTTGATTTCTGATTTTCAGATTGACATAGGCGTGCTTGCAATTGCACTTATACATAGAGCTTGTTTCTTTATTTTGATCCGTACAATTTTGAGCGGGATTTTCTTTGGCGTCATGATATTCTTGATATGAACGAGTTGATTTCTAGGTGAACTGGAGATATTTGAATATTTGCAAGGGTATCTTATATGACAGCTAATTCCGCAACGCGGGTAGAGGACGTCGGTTATCGCACCGCGAGAGCAGCATCCCATTGTTCATCGACAACAGGTTTAGGCGAGCGACTTTTGCTTGGGTATGTGATAATATCGAATGCCTCGAGCCCCATGGAGGCTGCAACCAGATCAAGCCATTTATTAGGTGATGGCAGCTCTTTTTCAAGGCCACCTGCTTCGGTCGGTGTCAAATTGGAGTCTTTGGACCCTCGAACCTTGGAAATGAGGTGAAATGGCAAAAGGTCCACATTCTCTGTCTCATCCACCTCGCCGCATTGAGCGTCCATCTCGTAGCCATCAAGATAATCGACTAGAAGACCAAGAATGTACCTACAAATGTCGCAGCCACGGAGAACGCTGTTCGCAAATTCCTGCGGGAAAGTTGAGGGAATGGGACCAATGAAACCAGCTCTGTCGATAGATTCAGTGCCGTTATTATCGTCTGGCTTACACCATTGATACTTCTGCACCGCAGCGGCTAGACGAAGGTGAGACGAGAAGGTATAAATGACCTGGCTACAGCTCAAAGCTCGTGCCGAGAGCTGTTGTGCAGTCTGTTCCGGGTGATCCGTTTGTCTCAACCGTCGAGACTCAAATAGCAACCCCGGAATCTTCGCAACTTCAATAAATATTCGATCCTGCAAGTCGATGAAGAGAGCAATAGGTCCATCAACCCGTGGATCAGCCATATCCTCCCGACGAACTTGATGGACATGGGCCTGCCACTCCGGCTGTTCGAATATACACCGTTTGCCGTTCAAGAAAGCTTCAGCAATAATGAAACTTCTGAAAGAGAGATAAAGACAGCGGTCAAAGCCCGTCAAATGAGCATCAGGGCCACGATGGGCCATGAGCAAAGCCGTCCCACCAGCATGGTGAGCCCACGAGTCCGGGTTCGTAGGCGAATATGCCTCGAACAGGCTCAGCACGATCGTAATGCTAACACTCTCCCGAGACTTCATGGCAGCCTCATCTCGAATCCTATCGCCAAACAGCCGCAGCGCTTTACTATACATCTCCTGACTCGAGCGCTGCAGCTTATCATCGACATGGGTGTATCCCATGAAAACCAAGTTCATGCTATAGACGGCCGCGTCAAATGCTGGACTCTTTCCGCCGTGCTGGGCGACGTATGTTGTCCACGGTACATGCACTCGGTATCTGTTTAGTCCGAACCAGCGTGTGAATGAGGCCATGACGAAGTCGCCAAAGATGACTGGTTGTTGCTTGCCCATTGTTCTGGAAACGAGTGAGGGTGCGATACGCTCGTCGATTGATTCTGGCGTTGATTCTGGCTTTTTGCCAAATCGGGCTCCGAGTTGAGGTCCTTCGTTTATGAACTTGCGGTTTCGAATGTAGCCGGGACATTCGACGCCGTATTTTTGGCATTGAGTGCATTTTGGTCGTAATAGATCACACTATCGATGATAAGACTGGCTTAGTGACGAGTTTTGAAGCCTTGAGAGGGAGTGGGGTCTAACTTTCACACGTCGTTTGATGCAAGTTTGGCAGCCCTTACTTTTGGGGACGCCAACCATGATGGAATGACTCTGTTGGCCCCTGCCTTGACATCACCAGCTTCGGAGTCCAAGAAAAGAAGATTGCAACCCAGGAGTGGGTATGTAACTTGATCATCTGGGGTCAATCGTATAGATTGTTCATCGTGCGAACACAACCCATCAGTCTGCGAGTTATGCGGCTATTGTCCCAGATCTACTCAGCGAGAGCACGAAGCAAACCAGAATGTCCAGATCAAAGACAAAAGAAATAAAGTTCAAAAGGAGAAACCCAGAAAGAAAAAGACAAAGAAAAGTGCTCGGCACCCCGCCAATAGAGAGGGATGGCCCCATTGCCATATTTAGCGACACGCTCGACCGCCTGACCCGCATAAGGCCCGTGTAGGGCTTACATCGTAGACTGACGTAGCCCAATCGCAACCATTCTATTGTAGCGCTAAGGTACCAATAGAAGCGGGTGGAAATGAATAGCAACGGTAACGGGGAATGACCGTCAAAAGTAAACCCTGAAAAGGCGCCCAGGCGCCCAAGCGCCCAACCAAAGCCAGGTAAAGTTGCGCCAAGAGGCCGGTAAGCTTAAATCATTCGTTCATTGCTGGAATTGGCTTGGGACGGGATTTCGTGCCATGGTTTGGTTGTTGGTAGCCGAAGTGTCGCTGGCATAGTGTGTGGTGGGAAATAAGATTGATCTTTTCTAGTTGGATTGTTTGCCAAGAGGCCCAAGTTTGGTGATAAACGTCACAGTAAAATGAAGATTTTGCTCCAGCCGTGCGCCAAGCCAAGCCAGATGTCTGCAGAAACTCTATGCTAGTATGCATTAAACTAACGCATGGCGACGTTGACATATGCAGGTTGTCTGTCCATGTGCATCTCACCGGTATTGTTAGTCCAAAGAGACAAAGTTGGATGTCGATCTAGTCAATTATTTTGTTGGACTATAATTTCCGGTATCTGAACGCCGGACCTGGATACCAGCTCTAGCGCCAGTAGAACCAAACTTGTGAAACAAATCGAATCATTAGATTCACAACATGAACTATTCATTGGATAAAGAATCATCATTCAATATAAGCCTAAGCCATTCAGACTGGCTGCGTCATGGATATGGCCATCTCAAGTTTGACAGGCGGCACAATCCCCACAACAGGCCCAGCAATAACACGAACAAGCTATTCCTGGCAATTCTCAACAACAGAATGCCGATTAGGCGCGTGAGAAGGAGATTCGCATTTCGCAACTTGCTCCACAACTCGTGCTTGCTTTTCAGACACAACGGCCAGTTGATAAAGCGTCGAAAATGATTCGGCCTGGGTTTCATTTACCCAGCCTTCAGGCTCATATGCCATGAGTCCTGCATCGCCTTTGACGTGATAGATAGAATCTAGCTGGTTTTCGTGCGCGACAAATAGTCATCAGTAAAAGAGTTTTCCTGGACCTTGTGTGTGCATGGTGGATTAAAGAGAGATAAAGATGCGCAGCCTCAAGTGGGGCTGTGAAATGGGCTTCATCTTCTGGTACGTGCCTTTTCCATTATTGTGCGCCCTTTTTGCGTTTGAATGTTTGTCCATTCACCTCGCAAGTCTCTCGGCCTAGGTTTATTGTTTTGATGGCCGTATCTGCAGTTGGATAGTTGCTCATTTTGTCCTCGACATTTTACTTCGTACGAACGTTGTAACTAATTTGATAAAGCAGCGGCTGCTGCTATTCGACGGTTAGGGAGAGTCATGTGCCCCACGGAACCCTGCACCCCTGCATTGTGACTTGTATATTCTAGAGACTTTAGTGCATGTAAGATAGCGGTGGCCAAATACTAGCGTTTGCTGTTGCGGAAGGGGCATATTAATTAAGGGCAATTGTAAACTAATATTATGAAACCGAGTTACCTCCTATGCATATTGCCGTGATTCATATGCTCATCCCAAAAGAGGATGTGACTCGTCAAAGAAGAAAACGAAACCAGTATTACAGTATATACATAAACTTTTCCAACGCTCAAGTCAACCCGTGCTTCTTGAATCATCGGGTTTCCACAGAGGTTGACACATCGACCGTCCGCGTAATCCCTATACCATCAAAGTTGACGCCCCCAGCGCCTTCTTGTCGTGGACTGTCACCCCGAATAGTAGTCTCAACTCTTGGATTGCCTTGCGCATTGTACACCAGTCCATCCTCATCGGAGTCCAGCTCCCGAACACTCAGTTGATTTTTGCTTCTTTCGGTCCTGGTCTGATTTTTCATTGAGCTCATCTTATACGACTCGAGGGTTGCTTTATTGCTGGAATACTCGTTGTAGAGGCGAATGACGAGGGCAGAGAGGGCAGGGAGACAGGTACAGATCACACCAATGGCGACTTCGGCGTTACTAGGAGCCCCATCAGTTAGTTCGTTGCAGTATTGAAAAAAAGCGACAAACACGAAAACATACCCGAGCATGTTGATTCTCATGAAAGCAAAAGAAGCATCTGCTGATTGTCCAGTAACCATAATGAGTGCTAGACGAATGATACTTGACGCAACAGCTAGCCCGCCCGCACCTAATATGCCCATAACCCTCATTTTTTCTTTTTGTTGACATTTGCAAGCTCAAAGTCAACGGGATAGGAAGAATAAGAACAATTAAATCGCTGACAACACTGACAACAGCATCGGCCAGGATAATTGAGTTCTTGTCAAGGCATGTACCGGCAACCTTCGGGTCCCAAAATCTGGGGATGGGGTTGCAAATTCGAATTTTGACGATAACAGCGGGGATATAGTAGGCCAACATGATACCCATGAAGATCCTGATGAAGATGATGCATTTTCGGAATGGACTAAACACACGGGTCATGATCCAAAGAAGGCAGACCTTGGTTAGATAGGCGGTTGGTCCGTACATGACCATCGTCACGTAGATAGTCTACATTGTTAGTACCCTGAAGTCTCATGTAGTCAAACGTCGCATACCTTTTGGAAGGGGATTTTGTCCTCTTCATGGACATCAGACCAATGTAAACCACCTCCATAGTGTCCCACTGAAAGTTTATTAAAGAGAGAATGGTGAGGGGTAGGGATGGGCAACATACTGACGAGGGCAATAATCGAATAAGAAATACCGAGGAACTTCGGAAAATTTGTCAATATTATCTTCACAAACGTAATTTCTTTGATGCCATACCGTAGCTGTTAAACATGCCCCTGTCATGATTGTTAGTATTTCTCGGGCTGCGTGTAACAGACCAACTCACAATCTTCTGTGCCGAGCCCACTAAGAATAAACACTCGGGTATACATGCGAAGACCAAAGAAAACTGTCATCCCAATAATGCATAGTGACTGACAAGCATAATTCCAGTTCTGAACACTTCGATCAATAGAAGCATCCCCGGATGCTCGCTCCAATAGAGACGACATTGTGTGCATTATCAAGAAACGATAGGGCTGGAAACCAACCTCGAGAAAAGAGAAGTCAAATCAGGATAGCCGCGCTTTAAACAATATTCTAATGAATCCAGCCAGAGCATTCAGCCAAGATTAATACAGCGGAGACCAATCATTAGGTTTAGGTACCCTTGTTTGACAAACAGATTGTACTGTACACCTAAACTTACCATTACCGTCTAAAGGGTCTGCACAGTAGAAATAGAGTATGGATTGACCATGATCGGCTCTCCTGAAACACCAGAAAAATGAGCACTGATGATAGAGCATAAGCAGAAGCTGACGATCGGGACTTACGGAACCACAAGGTCCGTGGATGGTTCAACCCTCGATTGTGGTACGCGAGATCCTCGTAATAGTCCGTTAACCAATTCTTAGCGCCGGTGTTGATATACGTACATGTATCTTCCATGCAGCAAATACATAGCCCCTTCAAACGCATACAAAACGGATATGCAGTAGGCCCATGCATCTGTATCTAGGCTAGGATATTGCTGTATCAATCACATGTTGCTATGCGTAATCTGCCATGCTAGGCAAGCCAAAGTACTGTATTGAGTACTATACAGGGATATGAACAGCTTTCCTGCACAAATACTATTCAAATTTCATATTTAACAACCAATGAATGTTCTTTAGGGTGGAGTCTCTCCATATGTCACACTAGTGAGACAAAAACATGGTCTTCTTCTCTAAAGGGGGTATGCATAATGTTCATGTATGTAATTGGCACACCTTAGACATTCTTCCTCTATCATAATTTTATATCAGCATCTCCAGAGCCTTTTTCAAACAGTGAAACCAACAGGGATGTGAATGAAAATTACCCGAAAGATTCACCCGAAATTGAGGCGGCCAAAATAGACAAGCGGGAAGTGGGTCCCTAACGGCCCCGTAGTGTACCACTCGATTCCCCGATGGGCTTTCACCTTAAACCCGCAATAGTGACGATGTTAGTCTAAGTGGGGTGATCAAAAGACCAGGTGGAGCATTGGTTCTTTTGCCAGCCTGTAGCCTAGGATGAACCCAAAATACGAGACAGATCCACAATGCACTTTTCAATGACTTCTTTGGGAAATGACGCCCGTGGACCCTTGGACTATCATTATTCATAAGCTTCGCCTTAGTTTGAAGAAACTTTATCAGGTCAACCAAAGCGGAATGTGCTGGGATTCAAGGTTCGCGCGTGTTCGTCCCGGCCCATCAGCCCACACTTACTCACTGGTTTCAGTGTCTCCATCTGCAATTTATTTGACTTGGCATTATTCAGGGAGCTTTACAAAAGTACAGTGGCGCTACAAGGCTGCAGAAAAGGAATCCCGGGCTCCGACAGAATAGTGCAATGACCTTTATAAAAGTCTAGGCAGCGTTGGTCTAAAAGATCGCCATCATGTTCGGAGGCGATGAAACTCCGCCAGGCATGTTCAATGGCACAGATGTCACAAAGAAGCTCCACCGCTGGAGTTCTTGGCAGGTGCGGGCCAGTGCCTCGAGATCGAAAAGCTCGCCTGCGGTTCCTTAGTTGGAGTGGACAATGAGCACTGTTTTCCGCTAACTTACCGATCGGCATACCCCATCCAGCCAAAACATACTCGTGCAGGAAGATGTCAGGGGATTGAGGCGGATAAACCTGTACATCTGTCAGCCAAACCCCTGCAGTAGTTGATTCGCCCTTGCCACATGGCAAGATATAAGGGATTTGTTGCTCACCTCCCAGCTAATTGCGTCACTGGCGATAGCGGCGAAGCCGGTGTCCCAAAGCCAGCGAAGGACTTCAGTAGTCGCCTCGACTCCAGCATGCTCCGGACTAGCGTTGTCGGAATATGCCGATTTTTGCTCGTTTGTCATGGATGTGTCCCACTCCTTGGTTACTCCAACTCGGACGAAAAGGATGTCCCCCTTTTGGAAGGTCATATTGTTTTCCTTTGCAATCTCAAGAATGTCGGCAAAGCGGACTTGATGAGTCGAGAACGTGGTATACTTGATCCCTTTTTTCTCGGCCCACGTTGCATAGTCAATTAAGACTCCGCGTCCTATAGCCATTTAGATGAAGGAAGATTGATTAGGAAGGAAGGCATTCATACCTGCGATTCCCTCTCGAGCCCAGTGCTGGAGACCGATTCGGTCATTTTGGCGGTCATTAATCTCTTCAACGGTTGTTCCGCCATAGAACACACGCTCAGATTGACCGGGGACTGTTTGGGAAAAATGGCGAAGGCCATCCCACTGGCTACTTTGCTCTGTGCGCTAGTTAATACAGCTGTAGGGACTATAGAAAATACGAAAAAGCACATTCAGAACTCACGTGGGTTCATGGTGTACACATCGTCAAATGCGACACCCCCGAGAAGAGGCACAATTTTGTGATGACATGGCTGACGGTTGAGATTGGGATAATCCAGCTTCGTTAGCTCCCATCCCATAGTCACACGGCGACCACATTTGATCTCGCCAGCTGCTGCCTTAGCGACGACTTCAGGGGTAAGAATGGCCAGCTTTCCGAGACCCTCTTCATAACTCCCAGGCTTTCCCAGCCACACTTGCCTCGGGTTGGGAAGCTTATCAAAAGGGATGTCGAAGGGGGACTCGGCCATGATTTTGGTTATGAATGAAATAACCAGGAACAGGGGCCTTTGCGCTTGGCTATTTAAACAAAATAGTACTTCCGTACCAGTGGACTTTACAAAGCGGGCAGCCGCATGAATCTACGGACACCGTCAGGAACTTCGGATTTTTATGTGGAGGTAATTTACATCATGGGTAATAGCGTCGGACCAGGTCCGCACTGGAATGTACTGGAGGGCAGCTATTTGATTCAACAGATCTGCATATCACAAGCCAGTCATTTTCGTCTGTCTTTCTAGCCTCGTACAACTCAGCAATACTGTATGCACTCCCAGATTGGTCCAGCCTTAGCCGCAGCCTTTGCTCTGATCGGCCGTCCACTCTTTTCATGCCTTCTTATGAACTTAATGCACTTGAGTGGATCAACTCCACTACGCGTCTGTCAAATGGACCCCCTGTTTATGCCGCCTACAAATGTCCTTAGAATTCTCTGTCTTGCATTCAAATGCGATTGTTAGAATCCTTGCTCACCCACTAATTTTTTAACTCTGGTCAAGTTGGGAAGACTTTCAAACGGCACGATGGGTAGGTTCGGGTCTCAGACCAGTGCCTATAACAGGCTGGTGGCTATTTTCGTCGCCATTGGGTCTATGGTAAGCTCTTGCATTTCTTTCCATGAATTTTGACGGTACTAACATGAAGGTTCACATAGACATATGGATATTGCACCTCGATTATTTCTAGTACGATCGGCCAACCGGGATGGTATGCCTACTTCAACCTCCCGGCTGATGGAGAACCGGGATACACCACGATCACGACTCCCGCAATTTCAACGGCCAACGGTGTCTTCAGTGCCGGCGGTGCTGTTGGTACACTCTTGATAATGTGGTCCTGTGACTTTTTTGGTCGGAAGGCGAACATTCAGTTCGGTGCCTTCTTTTCGCTATTTGGAGGGGCTCTCCAGGCTGGCTCCAACTCGTTGCCGTAAGTAGCCCCGTTGAATTATTTTGCTTGCAATTATGTTGACAATGTATAGCATGTTCCAAGCTGGACGTTTTATCTGCGGTTTGGGGATTGGTATTCTAGTGACCGTCTGTCCGATGTATCTTTCCGAGATGTCGAGTGCCCTGCGTCGCGGTTGGCTTGTTGGCCATCATGCGATCTTCCTAGTCTTTGGCTACATGCTTTCTGCGTGGGTCGGTTATGCTTGCTACTATGCAACAGGCTCTCTGTCTGGATTTGGCTGGAGATTCCCTCTGGCTTTGCAATGCCTGCCACCTTTGATCCTGCTAATAGGATCCCCTTGGCTCCCGCGTTCGCCTCGTTGGTTGATCTCAAAGGGCAAGCTTGATGAAGCGCAGCATGTGCTTAACAGGCTTCGCGAATCACCAGAGGACCCAGATAACTTGGTTGCCAAGGAGGAGTTCTTCCAGACGAAAGAGCAAATTCGACTGGAGGCCGACAAACTGGCCCAATACGGCAATGTGTGGAAAGCAGTATTCAAGAAGAAGACTTACCGGAAGCGTATGGCTATCGGCTTCCTTACCCAGTGGGGTGCTGAATTCGGCGGTCCTTTGATCATTGTGAGTTTAGTAATATTATCGGAGAAGATGTACGCTGACAATCAACCAGAACAATTATGCCGTTCTTTTGTATACCAATTTAGGCATGGAAGGTGGTATGCCTCTGCTCCTGAGTGCCATTTGGCTGACAACGGCTGGTGAGATTGAAATTCGAGTATCATTTATGTATCTTGGCTAATTCAAACCAGGTGTGATTTATAACCCCCTCGGCGCCTGGCTCCATGACAAGGTCAACTCTAGGCGCGGAATGTACATAACTGGCTTTGTGGGCATCATTGTTACCACTTCGTGTCTAGCTGCTATGACCGCTCAATACGCGGGTACTACCAACAAGGTCGGAAACGGATTTGGTATCTTCTTCATGTACCTGTATTTGGCTTTCCAGGGGTAAGTTTGAAAATCTCTAGTATACACACTTCGCGAACTTGAAAAAACTGACATGATTGCAGCACATTCTGTGACACTACCATGTACCTCTATGTCTCAGAGATTTTCCCAACTGAGATTCGTCCAATTGGCATGGGCTTCTCTCTGTTTGGTCAATTTGCAGGTGACTTGATTGCATATCCAATGATCTTTGATTGTCAGCTAATATGAAAAAGCCACAATCATTCTCCTGCAAACCGCTCCCATGGGCTTCAACAATGTTGGCTGGAAATACTATCTGGTCATTATCTGTTGGTCTGTGTTCTTCATCCCAGGTATGATCCTTAGCCCAACCAGGAATAAACGTCAGAACACTAGTAACTAATCATTTGTTCAGTTATCTACTTCTTCTTTCCAGAGACTGCTCGTCTCACCTTAGAGGAAATTGCACAAAACTTTGGCGAAGAGGTCGCTGTTCATCTTACCGATAAGACCGACGAGGAGAAAGCTCAGCTTGATCACCAACTTGCTCAATCCGGTGGAGTTCTCCAGCCAGCTGTAACCTCGAGCTCAGGAAGGGAGGGCGAGAAAGACAGCATTCCCTCGCCGGTAGAGCAGGGTGAATCAAACACGGCAAAAGCGGAATAAACCACGCCTATCCGTTACAATTGTGCTCATTGGGAAAATCTTATGCCGTGAATACCGTAGCTCGAAGCTCGTTCTAATGAGTCAGACTATTTAATGATATATACAAGTCCTTAGAGGAGGAAAAGTGTGCTCGATGGCTAAGTCGTTGACGCAGGTTCGGTCAGATCTAGACAGAATGTCACCAGCTTATGATCACTTAGCTCCTTTGTAATTCATGTAATTTTGCCTATAGTTTGCCCAACGGCTGCCGTGCGAGGCCGAGTTTCCGAGCGGGATATGCCCCATACTCTCCGTAGTTGGGTTTAGATAACACAGCTTATAAATCACATAGGGCCCGAGAGCAATGAGTCACTCAGGTACTTTTCTTCTTTTCGATCGAAACTTATCATATTGAATGCATAGAATGGGCCTTACTACGAAAGTGAATCTATTTCCATGGGATCCCAGTTCTGATCTTCATGTAGAATTGCTCGTGACCCAAAGGGTGGAATGCAGTTGGGACCAGGAAAAAGTGGAAACCAAATGGAAAGGACAACAACTTCGGGGTGAGAAATGCATTTATTGGATTGTGAGTCCTTGAAATTAACGAAAGCCCTTTTCGTTATCTTCAATTCGGAGCGAAGTCTTCTAATATTTGACTGTCAAGGTGCTGCCATCGGATGATCCACAGATGGCATCAAAAGACGAAAAAATCCAAGACACAGCGACAACAATAAATGCTGTAGCTCGTCAGCCAACAAAAGAAAGCTTCATTCCAATTGGTCATATTTCCCTGGATTCCAAAAATGTCGAAGCAGAGCACCTTGACCTAGACCTGCCATCTGGAAACATCTTCTGGATCAAGACATTCTATATCAGACAACACATCCAAGGCCAGGGTATCGGACGGGCTGCAATGGATGAAGTCGAGTCTATGGCAGTGCGAGAGCCACTTAACGCGAGAATATTGATGCTGGACACGGTCCAAAAAGATGATCAAAAACGCGAGGAATTTGCAAATGCGACATATGGCGGTATTCCGAAAGTAAGTACATTGTCAGCAATTGAGACTCTGGAGCAGATAACTTATCAAATGTAGTCTACGAACGAAGATTGGTATTCTCGCCGAGGCTATCGCTTGATCAAAACAGTGCAGAACTACTACCGTGTTGAGGATAAGAATGGAAAGGTTTGGGACACCAAGACTGTCTTTATGCGGAAAGACATTGCCGGTCCTGACTATAAATAAGGGGTAGTGTCGTCATTTGGTAATGTATCTCGTTTTAATAGAGATAGAGAAATAATAGAAAAGTGGTTAGCTGTTGTCTTAGCCGGAGACTGTCGATTTGCATAAAAAGCCTCATGTCGCACTGTTCGGCGCCGTAGAGTTGGTCCAGCGTATACTAAGGTATTTGAGAAAAGCGACTTGAATAGACCACTGATGTCAACATCTCAAGCTCATTCCTATAAGCTCGGAGTTATAATGTCGGCCGCATACTCTCAGATACACGCTAAGCCCGTTTCGGAGCTGGCCGACATCGCGGGACCATTCCACTTTCTTTCACTTCTTGCTTTCCAACCTCCAATGCAGAATTTCACGGAGAGCCATGAGGGACGACGACCGTCGTTCTCAATCGCCGGCGACGCGTCGAAATGGCACTTTGCAATCATGCGAGCCCTGCCGTAGATCCAAACAGCGATGTGATCATGACAGGCCAGTCTGCCGCAGGTGTGCTGCAAAGCGAATCAGCGATAAATGTTTTTACCACCCAGCTCCGATGACTAGGAGACGACCATCGGATCCGATCAACCCGGCGGGTGTTTCTAGTCGACTGACGAGCCAGCCAACCTCAAAGTACGCACCCTTTGCACCAAATCATAGACACAATGCTAATGCGGGGAACAGTGCATCCAGTCCAGGGTCGCTGGGCAGTGGGCGTCTTTTCGCGCCGTTGGAGCCGCCTTCGGCTCTCCCTGGCTACTTAGGCTCGACGAGTTTCTCTGCAGTCTTAACTGAGCACCGCAATGAGATTCCATTTGAGCCTGAGGAGAACACGGACTCATCCGCGGGGTTGGTAGTGGAACCCGATCGACTACAATCTGGGGTTGACGTTTTACGGTTTCTGTACAACTTCAACGTGCGCCATACATTGATTGAGAAATTCTATGTTCGGACGTGGAATACGGTTGTACCAAAATTGGTCATGGATGAAATTCTCCGCTCAGTGCACATCATTTTTGACAGTTTCAATGTCACTGATCCGACGGCACAATTGCAAGAGCTAGCAACACTGATTTTCCAAAACACTGCTCGACCGATGCGGACGCATAAGTCTATGACCGCTGAGGAGTATTGTGCGTCTTTTAGTGGGCGCAATCTTCGCTGGGAGGCTCTTGGATCCATCTTCACTCTTTGTGGAATGCAATTGGTCATTACGCCAGACAGAGACCCTGAAGTTACTCAGGGATCAGATGATCCTCGGGCACGAGACAAGTTACTGGAGCAACTTACAGTGATAAGTACGATATGTCTTGGATTCTGTGATCAGGCATCGTCGGTAAATGAACTACTGGCGATATTGCAGTTCAATGATACCATGCTACGAACACAGCAGTATGGTGATTCCAGTACGGTGTTTACCTTTGTGCAAACTTTGTTTCTTGTTCGCTCATTGACAATTTTTCAGGTTACCAAGCATGGCGTCGACTTGGCGATTTAGTATCCACAATTTATGCGGCTGGACTGCATCTGGAGAACGATGGCGCAGATAACTGTCCATTTTTCCTTCGTCAGTGGCGAAGGCGCTGTTTTACTGCAGCCTTTTACATGGATAAAATGGTCGCGACTTTCGTTGGGCGACCGCCACTGATGAACAGTAAATTCTGCACCCCAACTGCTCCATTGGATTTGAGTGATGAAGATCTAGTTGCAGGTGGTGATGTCCTAAACAAAGCTATCTCGGAGCTAGACAGTGCGGGCTGGAATACGAAAGGAATGCTATACCTGGTGACCCCAACCATTCTTCGCTATCAGTTGGCAATAATACGGGAGGAAACTCTTGAGGTTGTACTAGGAACTCACGAACAACAAAATCTCATCCAAAAGTCCGAGTATGTCGTTTATCTCATCCGACTCCAGTGAGAATGCTGACAAGATAATATTGAAGGGATATTCAAGCGAAGTCTCGCGCCATATGGGGAGCAGCTCCAGATCATCTTCGATACGACCGAAGATTGGACGACAAGTTCCATGATGGATGGCTTACAATTGCCTATTTTTATCTGGATTATCTCTATACTTGCTTTTTGCTCTATCGGGCAGTCATAAAAAACACCAATACCGGTTTAGCCGACTTGTGTGACGTATCCCGTCGGATTCTAGCAATTGTCATCCGCGTGAATTCTTTCCGAACCCCAATGGTGGATCTAGATCGTCACTTTTCCTGGATTGTATGTCTCCTGTGAGCCAAATGGTCGCTTTTTGCTTACATCTGTACAGGTCCTTACCTACGGGGTTCCCTCCGCGAGTGTCCTTCTTCTCGAACTTTTGCGCCAGTCACATGAGCCTGGCCCTCATGCTGTGCCACTCCCACGCGCAGAATTGATCCGGAATTTGAGCGTGTTTGTCTCCTTCTTATCCTGGGTCTCATGCCCCGGTCACGGCAATTATACGACCTGCAAAGAAGCCGAGAAAAAGCTGTCTCAGATTCTTGACCGACTTCTTGATCCCAAGCCTGTGCAGCAGAATGTGGTAGATGATGTCACATCAGGTCTCGATAACTTCCTGAACTGGTCAAATTACAACACGATGTGGGATTTTAACTCCGAGTTCATGTCTCTGGGTGAGGGATTTGCACCTTGACACCAAAGTCAATAGTAAGAGCCAAATGCGGCTTGAAATATTGATCGGAAGGTCATGATAATGTGAAGTGGAAGATTTCATTCATAAAGGCATGATGATACTATCATATTCTCCCTTGACGACTGGACCCGAGTCATACCATCCATACGTAATCGTTGTGGGGAGGTGTGTTCGACGCATAATATGCTCGATGACACAAGGGACAATTGAAATGGTCACCTAAAAACCACTTTTCCAGACACTCTCGGTGAAAGACATGCAAGCAGCGCAGTTGGCGGATTTCATGCGGGCGATCTACTTGCTCCAAGCAGACAGCACTGAAGAAGAGGTTAGCCAGTGCGAGAAAGCAAACACCACGGAGAACACGGATGGAAAGAGATATACCAAACAAACTGCCCATCAACAGCCTCTGAAAGCCCAAGATTCCCTTTCGTGGTAGTCCACCACTTCTCAAGCGTGCAAATCGGAGCAACAGCATCCAAACTCCGCAAGCGCTGATCGGGATCTTTCTTCGAGCGCAGAAATGACTGCCGATCCCGGCGGTTAATGACAATCGTCAGACTAGGTGATACAGTCAGTATGCCATCGCATGTGATACGGAGGGAATGTATCAGAAAGCCAAAGAACAGAAGAAAAGAAAAAGCCGACTCGTGCACCCGAATATAATTGCTTCCCACTTACATTAAACTCAGCACGATCAGTAGCACCACCCCAAGCCCGATGCCTAGCACGATGGCCATATGGCTTTTTTTGAGATGTTCTTCTTCGGCCATTACTTATTTCCCGCCGTGCGGTCTTTGTTCGCACGAATGTTCAGCGTCGCGATGAATAACACGCGTGGTGGCGATAAAACAGCACACAAGCCAGAGGAAGCCCGAGAGTCGATAGTGCGCCCAAGTCGCCCGGAAGGGAACTCAAAAAGGCAAGTAGACGCTTTCAACTCGCGATGAGTGACCAACTCAAAGGAAAGTTGAGGGTATGGCGCGACACCGCACCATAAGAAAAAGCCAGTTAAACGTAGGGTCGCATCCAAGTCCAAGCCGAAGAGGAATCAGAGTCCGAGTAGAGTGCAGGGGATCTGGGGATGATCGACCCGTCAAAGCGGGGAAGAAAGGCAGTGGATACACAGATGTTCACACGGTATTTGGGCTTCAACTCACTGTAAACCTTGTGTCATCCCCTCCCTGCATCGTTGGCCCAATAAGGTGAGTGTGTAGGGGAAGGGATAGGCAGGCCAAGAGTGGCTTGGGCGGCGGAATGTGGATCGGCTGAATTGTCCTTGGGGGACACGGAAGATTTGTGCGGGTGAAGTTGATAGGTCCATAGGGTTTGAGGCTTTGAGGTATTTAGTGGACGTTATGGAGTATTGGCGATTCCGGGAGATAGGCTTGGTGGTTGACGGCGCTGTCATTATCGCTTCAAGTAAGACAGACGCATGTTTTAAGTTGTTTTAAACTCGGCCAAGACTATATGCGCCTCAGTGCTCCACTCCCCTGCTTTGACATTGCAAGGTTGTATTGCAGTCTAGAGTTGTACATTCTTCGAAGTTTCTAGTATGTAGTATTGTCGAGAGAAGATGGTATCTTGGGCTCCACTTTATTTCATCTTGGAGGATAAATGTTCAATACATGTTGTTGTCATGACCGGCGAGTCCGAAAAGTTGCATACCGACTCCAAGGCACCCTGACCAAACAACATGCAAGGATGCGGGCATCTGCCGAAAGACTGAAAGGGGGTTCCATTGAATAGGGGCAATCTCCCGTTAAAGGAGCTGGCATAGTCAAAGTACCCAAATGGAGGGTTAAATTCTATTTCTACAGATTAACTGATCATGCCTGCATTCTCTATATTGGTTGCAGATGCGCCCATTTCTGCCTTGTCAAACCGTTGGATATCCAGTTTCGGGTCAAGCTCGACAGCGTCCTCATGCGGCGCACTCGACCGTCCACCAAATAGCAAATCAATATCCTCCAGTGATTTCTGCTTGGTTTCCCGGAAGAAGAAATAAATCACAGGGAGAGATATACAGAGATCTAATCGGTCAGCGAAAACAGCAACGAAATAAACACTTGAAATCAACTCACTCCACGCTACAAAAATGAAATAGAATCTCCATTTCAGGTTTCCCAAAGCAACAGGTGAGATCTGATTCCAAAGCGTACTGACAGCCCAGTTCCCAATTCCGACTGCAAAAGCGTTGCCTTTACCCCGGATCTGCATAGGCATGACTTCAGACATATAAACCCTAGAAGCAAGGGGGACACGATAAGCGTATGTCAAACACACAAGCAACCGATGCATACTCACCAGCTACAAGGCCCAAAAGACATTGAATATATCACCGATACCAAAAAGATGAAGAATACACCAGCAATGCTATATCCAACTCTCTGACCATCCGGATTCTGCGAGTTAAGCACCGCCTCACAGATCAGAGCAATCGAAATGGCCACGGTAGCAAAGAGCATGGGCTTTCGACGGCCAATACGATCGAGAATGAAGACCACGAAGACGAAATTGGCGAGCGGGCCGATACAGTTGTAGATACCTGCAATGAGCGTGCTGCGACTTCCTGTTATACCAAGGGACTTATACATGATCGTTTGATAGTACCCAATCACATTGATACCAGTCATCTGCGTGAATACCTGGACAGCAACACCATGTCTGCGGAAGCTAGTAAGTCTCCGATCTTGGGGTTCGCAAGTGGGGGAAGGTGCATACAAAAGTCGAGTCCGCCATTGCGGAACTGTGAACATAGCCAGCCATCCAGGCGCGAGAAGATGTTTCTCAGCCTCGATGGCGGTATAGATCCCGCTATACTCAGCCTCGATCCAGGCATCATTCGAGCCATCGGAGTGCAATCTGTGCAGAATGCGCCGCGCCTCGGTATATCGCTCCGTTTCGATCAGATACCGCGGTGACTCTGGTAAGAAGAACATGCCGATTACCAAAATGAGTGCTGGTACAACCTGAAAGGCAAGCGGGAATCGCCACTGAAATTGACTTGTGTGAGGTGCGTGAAGTGATCCATAGCCGACCCATCTGCATGTTTCGAGTTAATTCTGTGTCGGATCTGGGTCTTCGATGGCGTGGTCATCATACGTGCTCACAATGAATCCAATTCCAATCATCTGCTGTGCTAGTCCTACGATCATGCCCCGAGAGCGTGGGTGTGCACACTCAGCTTGGTAGACGGGGACGGCCATGGACATGAGACCGACAGCCCAGCCAGCTAGTATTCGCCCGATGAGGATCATGGAGAGATTTTGTGCGGCTGCTTGTAGTGATGCACCGATTAAACATAGGAAGGCTCCTAGCTGGATGGTGAACTTGCGGCCGAAATGGTCCATGGTTAGTCCACCTTGTAGAGAGCCAAGTACCGCTGTTAAATAAGGTTAGTTGATTGATCTCTTCTAATCTGGGATAGATGCGATATGCAAGCAAGACATCCACGATCTTCGACGAACAGACCTCCACCTGAAAAGGTACTGTTGATTGCCCCAACAATGGAAGAGGTTTGCGTGGTATTGAAGTACTGTAGAAAATTGGGTGAATCGATCACATCTGTCATGACGCCAGAGTCATAACCAAAGAGGAATGACCCCGTAGCCGCCAATATGGCCACCGATATCGTGTACAGCCGACCCATTGCACGGTGGCGGAGGAAACTGTCGAGTACTAGGGATTTAGCCCACACTTGGAGCTCCGCTACATATTTGCGGGGTGGCCTAAAACTTGAAAAAGGTGATGAATTGAAGAAGTTGTACAGAGTAGAAATCAAGTAAGAAAGGCAATGGATCCGGGGGCATAGAAGCCCCGATTTCCCCAAAGTGACCCCGGTGTGGCCCCGCACGAGACCGTTGCAGTCTGCAAGGCAGTGGCTGCACGCCTTTCATGCTCCGGGTCTAGGCCAGACAGCACATTCCCCCCTGAGATGGAGACATTCCTGGCCAACAAAGAAATTTGAACAACACCGTGCATTCTTAATGATTTCAATCGTCCGAGATCTCCACGTGCGGTCCGCGTGGGGTCACGTGAGTGCGCGTCACCCGCGTCCACAGCTCAAGTAAGGAACTCAGCGTCTCAACATCACCTGAACATGGATGTTCTCTGCCACCTGCATGTGGTCTTGTGAGTGCAAATTGTAAAGGGGACTGTACTTGATGCACCAAGGTCCTCCGTAGAAAATCCTGTAAATGTGCATGGAACTGCAACCTAAGTGGAGATCTAGTCCAACGCGTCAAACGTAACAGACAGCAATTGGCAGCATCATTGGCACTGGATGGATAGAATCAACAAAGTAAACCATGGCAAACAAGTACAATACCAATATCAACATTCAAGAGCAAATCGCTGGGAAGTAGCAAGTACCTCCGAGATGCACTGTGTTACTAGCGCGGGCCACGTTCTTTCTACTCCGCGTCCACACCGCGACGCGATTTGACGTTTTCTGCATACTTCTACACCAGCCTCATTGAGCTCACTTCACATCTCGCCTTTTTTTCCCCCCTACTCTCTCCTTACCTTCTCTTTCCTCCAATCCCCATGCTCTCTTAGCCTGTATCATGTCCGATCCGGAGCCTTCGGTGGCGATCTCATCCTCGCCTTCTCTCCCGGCCACCGACTCCAATCCTCTTAACTACGCCTTTCTCGTTCACTCTCAAAAAACACTCACTCAGAATCTCCCTCCTCGGGTCGACAACAAGTTGTTAGCCCGCCAAAAGCGGCGCCGCACTAGGTATGCTATCTACATGGCACGTGGTCGAGGGTATAGTACGCGTCGACTAACTTCAATATGTGATACAGCCCAGAAGACCACGCAATTCTCGAGTCCGAATACCAGCAGAACCCTAAGCCCGACAAGATCGCCCGCACAAACATCGTGAACCGCGTCTCACTCGGCGAGAAAGAGGTCCAAGTATGTGATGCCAAGAACTAACACATCAAACCCACATCTAACCGACTGCGCAGATTTGGTTCCAGAACCGCCGTCAGAACGACCGTCGAAAATCCAAACCCCTTCAGCCTCACGAACTACTTGCCCCGCGGTCGGGCATGGTCGATTCACCTGGTCAACCTTCAAGTGACGATAACGCGTCGGCGGAGCCGGGGTCTTCAAGTGGGGCAGAACAATCCGACGTACACGACCGTCGCGAAGAAATGGCGAAACCATGGCACGGTGGACTGTTGAACTTCTCTGATGAGTCGGAGCCAGGGGATGAAAAAGAGGAACATGAGCTGCCTCAGAGTACACAAACAAGCGTGGCTACGGAGGCTGTAGAGGATACGCCGCCGACCACGCAAGAAGAGTTTTCCCAGAGTGTGAATGACCCCTCGATGGACTCTCTGCTGTCTGTCCCCAAGAGAAAGCGTTCTGTGTCGGATATCAGGGGCGAGGGAGCACATGAGCAGGAGACAACAAACGCACAAATCACACATACCACGCCGACCAAATCCCCGCCATCGTTGCGATTGTCAATGTCATTTGATGGAGAGGCTATGGTGCGCAAAGAGGGCGAGCTAACGCCGTCGCCTCCAAAGGGTCGTAACGCGTTGCGCATCGCCATGTCATCAGATGGCAAGGCAGTAATTCGTGGGGAGAATGAGCCGTCACCATCCAAGAACCGCGTGGCAATGTTCTCAGTACGTCGGACAAAGATGTCCGGCCTGCGACGCAGTAGCAGTGCTATCTTCCCAGCCACGCCGCGGGCAGGCATGGCCGAGAAGGATCGGATATTCGGTCGCTCTCGCGATTCGCGCAACTGGGAATCATTCTGTGACACAGATGCCCGAAGTGCTCTTTCCACACCGACCTCTGGCCCGAACGCTTCCCCAGGTCTGTTCCAATCTCGCAGTCAGCGCTCATTAACACGGAGCGCTTCTGGGCGATATGGCCTCGCTGCCCAAAGCGACATAAATAGCACCCCTATTTCTCAGTCCATGGGAGAGAAGAGACGGAAGTTGGCTCGCACAGTTTCATCATTGGGGCGACTAGAGACCGGACGAAACAAGGCCAATGGTGCATCGAAGCTATCAAAGCCTATATTTTCCAAGTCTGGAAAGCAGGACCTGGAACTAGACCCCGGTGACTCTGATAAGGAGAACTGGGTTCCAGGCACACGAGCGGCCAACATTCGTCGTCGCAACAACTCACACGTGCCACGATCCGTGCTTCGCGATACCAACCGGAACCGCGGTCTCGGCATCAGCACCAACGGCAAACGCAATCGACCATTCCAATCTGGCCAGGGTAAAGCCCCGCCAGAGGTCAGTGCAGAAGTGTCAGCGTTCATGTCCAGTGGCAATGGGGGAAGTCAAGAAGACGACCTGGACTGCGTCCAGGGTCTCCTATCGTTGAGCCAAGGGGCCTGGCGATAGGGATGCGGGAGCTTGCATATGCATAAATGGCATTCAAGGCGCCGACGATTGCCATTCTCGTCCCAATTTTTCCATTTTTATTTCCTTTGTGATTCTCATTCCTCTTTGTTCAGAGCCTTGATGTATTTTTCTTCTTTTCCCTGTCGTCATGATTCGAGACGTGTGCTAGCGGTCACGTGAACCTTGTGATCTACTTATGTTCGGGCTTGTGCTATTTTTTCTCTTCTGCATCTACTATGCTATGGAGTATTATCATGAGGATTTCTTCTGTTGATGGTGCTTTTGGTCGCTGGACTTGTTTCGTCTTGCTGTTGATGTGTGAAGAGATTCCGGTGCAAAGCTTCCCCGAGACCGATACTAATCCTGGAATGATTCCAAGTAATGACCTGAATACCATTGATTTGAGTATGATTATCAGACTTATTACCATTACGCTTGTTCATTCATGGATTGTACATGTAATATCTTGTAGATGTGTATAGAAGAAGTTAGTTTGCCACCCGATCTACCCTATACTTCCAACTCCCATCTCCCAAACTAAATACTCTCCCTATGTACAGTAATGCTTCATACACACCTCTCAACTCTGTTCCAAACCATAACTACTTTATTTACAACCCCCAGAAGGCTGCTCATCCCCAACACCACCAATTGCACCCACAACCTGCAATCCCCTCGCCTCACAAATCTCCCTAGCAATCCTCTCCCCACTCCAATAAGCCCCAGTAGTAGTCCCAAGCGCAACAAAGGGCGCAGTATGCTCGCCAGCAAACCACAAGCCCCTTGCACTTCCACTCCCAACCCCATTTCTCAAACACTCAATATCCTGATCCGCCGCCGCAACCCCAATTTGGAAGTTACAATACGACCCATGACCCGCATACTCATCCTTCTGCCACTGCGTCGCGAGCAAAGCGGATGGTATACAATCCGCCAATGTGGGATCGTATCCCGGGAGTCGGGAGTAGAATGGTTCCAATGTTTTGATCAGTGTGTCCGTGTACTCTGGCGATGACGGCGCCAGGTGGGCAATGGAGTTGATGATTTCTGCACCACTTTCACCGTAGGTGTAAAACAAAAGCGTTGGATGCGCTGTAGAAGACGGGAGAGATGCCATACTCAGGCATTCTTGGTTCCACTCTGCGGTCTCGTGGTGCGGCGTGTAAGATGGTTCAAGAAACTGGGCGAAGACTGTACTTTTCTCGGTGTTGTTGTGCCACCATGCTTGCGGGAATGTGATGTAGACTTTTTCGAGTCTTCCGTAGGAGATGTTGTTGATTGCTTCTAGGAGGCGGGGTGGGAGCCCTGGGGTGAAGGCTGTTGTGTTTTGTTTTAGCCAGCCTAGGGGGCAGGTCACGACTACCTCATCGAAGGTGTAGATTTTGTTCGTGGTTGTGGTCACTGTTACTCGGTGCCGCGTTGGGGATTTATCATCGCGTTCGGGTGCGTTGATGTTTATGACTGGCGAGTTGAGATGGATGTTGGCGTTTGCTTTTGCGTTCTTTGAGACGTGCTCTAGGATTCGTCTGTATGTTGACGCCACGACGAAGTTGCCTGCGGGTATTATGTTAGCGATATAACACCGTAATCCAACCAGAAACTGTATACATACTCCCATCAACACATTCCTCCAAGCGGAAGAATCGCAGACTCTGGCGTTCAATCGGTTCACCGACATATGCACCCCAGAGCTTGGACGCATCAAGGGCAAGTTCCTTCTCTGTATCTGAGAGATCAGATTGCCCAACTCTTTCGCCGAAAAAGTCAAATAGACTCTTCTCAGCGGGGATACTATCACCATGCCGATTACTATATTCAAAGGCCTCAGAGATGGTAGTCCAGACAAAGCCCTCAACTTTACTAGTAACAGTCTCATCAATCAACTGCCCCTCACGAGAAAACTTGATATTTCCACCCTCGGGATCATGCACAATAGTTCCCGTCGCCTTAGCGATATCCATAATGGGGTTCTCCCCGGCGCCATGGATCCAATTTGGACCTCTAGTGATAGTATAGTCAGCTTCAAATTTCCAGTGGACAAGCCAAGTACATGGGCTTGTATACTTGGCATCGCACGATAACATGTGCAGGGGCAGAAGTTACATACAGGTCAACCACATGGGAACCAACCGATGATTGGTGCACCTAAGCGACAAAAAGCAAAGTGCGTTAGTTCGTGCAGCTCTGGGATTTACTGCAGGTGATACAGTAGATAGTTTACTGTACATACTCGTCCGCCAATGCGCTCTCTTGCTTCTAGGATCGTTACTCGGGCTCCGTTTTGGAGGAGGATATCGGCGCAACGAAGGCCTGAGAGGCCTGCGCCGATGATGCCGATGTGAGGTTGTGACATTGTATGAAAGAGTTTGAGTGAGGAACTGAAATTTCGAGATCTTGCGAATAACATGGAAACTCTTGAACCTGAAGTTGAAGATTTGCGCTGTCAGAGGATTTGATTGGCTTATCAGACCTTATCTGGTCCACATTTACTTGCATGCAGTAGTCTACAGGGTACACTCGAGTACAGGTCAGATTGGAAATTGAAGCTCAATTGCATTGAGTTGGATAGATACGTTTAATCAAGGAGAGGCGAATTATGGCCAGCATAATCGAAACAGGAACATGCGCTTGGTAAAATCCGCCGCAGCGGGGAATGGGAAACAAGAAACAGCATAAATCGCCGTAGAACTCCTGGGCGAAAGCGCTTTTTGAAAACAAAGACCGAGAGGTTATGTACGGGTCGGAGGTAAAAGAAGGGTATCAAGGAAGTTTAGAGAATGGGATAGAGCGCCACAAAACAGAAAGGCAGGATTGGGCAGTAGAGATCAACTCCAAAACAATGCGCGCGTGTAATTGAATGGAATGATTGGAGTCGCGGACGTGGATAGATCAAGATGGGGTTGTAGATGCCCATTTAATCCTCCCAAATGGTCTCTAGGTCGAGATCCTGTCGTCGTTCGGCGCCGCATACACTCCACCGCTTCCGCTTATCGCTGCGAGGTGCGTATGTGCCGGTTCCTCCGCGCATTGTGGTGAAGTTACCAGGCGCATCAGGTGCTCCGCGCCGTCGGTTCGCATTGCTGGCCGCGTCGGCTGCATCTGCCGCGGCTTTCAATTCGGCAATGCGATCCTCTTCCAGAGCCTCATTCTCGGCATCTGGGATATCGGGAATTGTTTCCAAGGACGAAATGCTGGGACTTCGAGAGCGCAAGCTGGTGGGGGTCGAGGGCACGGAGACCGACGAGACTGAGGAGGCAGAATTCACGGGGTATGACTCGTTGTACTTGGAGCCAAGCACGGGCGAGGGATGCAAGGAGGGGGAGCCGCCGGGGGGCTGTAGATGAAGGGGAGAAGTCGGACGCAGACGACTGATGCGGGGGAACGTCTGCGCCATGAGGACAGGAGAGCCGGACTGTGAGGAGGGAGATCGGGGGGCTGTTTCGAGCTCTGCGTTCTCTGAGATAGTCTCGGAGATGTTCAGAGAACCCATGCGAGCCTCGATGTGATCTTCAGAGCGCATCTGCAGCCTTTTTGTATCGACGGGTGCCCCGCGACCGTTGATAAAGATATGCCGACCCCGGGAATCCAGCCCCGGGGAGGAATAGGCGCGCGTCATAGACGGCATACCTGGGATCCCCGCCAGTGAACGAGAGCGGAGATGCGATCGGGCCAAAGGGGATCGGGTCCGAGGTGGTGCCGGTGGTTCGGAAAGCGATAAAGTGACCATGACGTCCTCCTTTTCTGAACCGGAGTCGGGTTCGCGCAAGCGCATTCGCTCCATGTCGAAGATTTCAGGGGTAAAAAAACCTACCCTCGCATCATGACATGGGAAAATCAGAGCAAATGGCAGAACCTGCCTGCCAAAGGTGAAATGAAAAGGGGGAGTGATGAGGTCAAAGATGTGGAAGGGGGGAGAAAAAAAGGTTGAGGCCCAGAGCCAATCCCGCCCGGATCTCCCGATGATCTTCTCAGCCTCTTCACAGCAGATTCTTCACTTGTTTCGTCGTCAATCCCTTTTAGCCTTTTAAGTTTACATTTGCCCAGTCCGTAGATTTCCCTCACTCTATTCAAACCCGGAGAGTTTTTGGTTCTCCTATCATTTGCCTCCGTTATACTATATCCCGGCCTATAGTTCGGCACTATTCTTAGTATCTGTTGACGTCCTCTACTGCCCGGTCCTGTTTCGGCCCAAATGATCGTGGCATCATTCATAAACAGGCCCAAGATTCGTAAACCTGTGGATCGCGAATGTGTGCTCACTTCACAGGGGAAAATATATCCCAATTTTCACCCAAGCCTTCACTGGTGATTTTAACTATACACAAAGTTTTTGAGTCCCATGCATGACTCTAAGTCAATGATTTGAATACATACTTTACCTGTTAACTGCAGTATCTACATGCACGTAAACATCTTAGTGCCCACTCTTACCCACATTAGCCGTTGGGCCTTAATAGACTCAAACCCAAGAGCATGTTCTAGACTCAATCCACAGTGTATCCACGGATATCCTCTTTATTGTCTCACTTCTGTTTTATGTTGCATTCGGGGTTTGGGTCTAGGATGTATAAACGTAAATAAGACAATAAGAAAGGCACTAGTAGATTCATCTACGGACACGCCGAAGTACGTACTCCATGCTCGGTCGTTTGATTCGACCTCCGAACATTCGGTCAGTCTCTGCTACGTCTACTATACAACTGTCGAAACTGATTCGCCGAGCACGCTGTGCGCCAAGAGACTAATAAATTGACGGTAAACGGGTTTCGATCTGAACTGCAGAATTCTAGACAGCTCTAGGGGACTCTAGGCTCGAAGATACAGGTGTAAATTAGATGTAGGTACCTACAGTCATAGACCGTAAGTCCTTTTATGTTTCGACCCTTAGATAATCTGCATACTTGAACCGAGACACTCGAAACATCAGAAACAAAGAAAAAGAGAGGCCAAGGTAGGCAAAAACAATGCATGAAACGGCATACTCGTTGGGAGGCGTAAAAATTGTTTAGTACTTCATAGAAACGAATACAAATTGATGACGACTGTTCTTTCATTTCATACAAACTTTCCTCCAAAGTAATTACCTATTAGACAGTATAAAAAAGTGCCAGAGTGAAGGCGAATAGAAAAAGACACAAAACCAAAGTAAAAACAGGGATATCTTAGGACACAGGGTTGGTCTTCTGACCGTTTGTCTCGTTATTCTCTTCACCTTCCTTACACTTAGAAACCTCCTTGCGGATGTAAGTTTCACGCACAGGATCGCCCTCATTCCTGCAAACCACCCACTCACCCATACCATACTCGACAGGCGCAACACGAATACCACGACCACCGCCACCAATAATCACATTACCGGGACGATACGTCTCGTTGGCCTGCATACGACGGATAGCAGAAACATGAATTTCGGCATTGGAAGGCACATCACGCACCTCACCACGAGGTAGTGGCCAGCTAATAGGCTTCCACGATCCATCAGCCTGCAAGTCCATACGACGGAACGGCAACCACTCCATGATGCGCCACGTAATAACGGACATGGCAGGGATGCCCTGGTTAAACATGAGACAATCATGCATCAGACCCTTAGTGCTGGAGGTATGCAGTGCATGCCAGAAGTCCCGGCTAGCAGCCGTACGCTCTTTCTCATCAGGCGCAGTACGGAACATGTTAGGATCCTCGTTATGGTCCTCGACACATCGACTGGGCCGGCGTGCATTGATTTCCTCCCGTATTGGAGTGTAGTTGCCCTGGTACTCCTCCAGACACTGGAACTGCTTCATCTTGCGCTCGTCCAGTTCGAGACCGGCCTTGTGCGCCTCCTGGGTCATCCAGACTAGAGGCGCATGGCTGAGTGCCCACAACTCGCCGTCGTGCAGCTTCCAGCCTCCGCCGATGTCTGCGTGGCAGCCTGGGAACCAGATCTCCTGGATGTCTTGGTCGTCTTCGTCGTCGCTGGATTCGTCTCCTGGGATGTGCACGGAGAGCACGTTCGAGTGTCCACTTTGGCAAGATTCCTTGCTGCGCACTGAGTGTAGATCGTCCATTGACGCCTTTGGCACGGCGAGGCTGCGTCGCGGGGATGGTGCGCGGTATGCGTGTGGCTGCATGGTGCCGGTCTCACTTCCTGCGCGAGAAGTTTGTTGGGAGTTTTGGTGCGAGTGCTGCGCGCTGTGATAGTACGACTCTCCCGCGTTAGGTCCCCATCCGGGCACTTGGGGTTCAGGCTCGGCAGCCCTATTGTCTTGCTTCTCTTCTTCGGAATTGTCGTTGAGACGGATGGATGGGACAGCCTCCGGGAGTTCATCAGTCTTGCCGTCCTTTTCTTCTTTATGGTCCTGGTGGAAAAGGTGCAGATGATGCTGGGCATCACGGTGACGCTCCATGTGGCCCTCAAGCGGATTTTTGGGTAGATGGTGGCGATGACGGTGGTGTTTCTGTCCACGAGGCCGAGGGCCAGAGATTAGATCCTGACGGAACTTGGCGCGACGCTCGTCAATACCCACAGCATGGCGGATCACCTTGGCTGAACTGCGTGCTGTGTAGGGGAACTTTGTGCGCTGCATCCACGCGGACTCGAACCGCGGCACACTGTTTACAGTATCAAACAGACCCATGAAACGGATACGCGAGATAGGACGACTGAATGTCTCACGGAAGGCCTTCATATACGCGAAGAGTTTCTTCTTCTCTTCGCGCTCTTCTTCCGTGTCGTCGGACCGCTGCTGCCATTTCGCGAATGTTTTCCACGCGAAACGGACCAGTTCTTCGTTTCCGGCTTCAAGCAGACCGATATAGTCGAGCATCTCGGCCAAGAATCGCGCGATATACGAGCCGCGACTGAAGCCAATGAAGAAGATGTCGTCGCCTGGGGAATAGTATCGCATCAAGAACTTGTACCCACCCATTACATGCTCATCAAAGGAGGACCCGACCGCCGAGTCCTTGGCCTTTTGATACGCAGACTTGATACGCTGGATGCGGCCATGACTGGAAAGCGACTTGGATGTCACATATGTGCCAATACCAGGCTGGTAGTAATGGTACTGGTGGCTTTTGCTGCGGTCGAGCATCTGCAACTTGTCAATACCGCTTCAAGGCTCTTGGCCCTGTGTCTCACTTACGCGAAAAATCTTGAGCACATTGCTGTCGGACTCATCACCGGCAAACTTATTTCCCGTACCATCAAAACAGAGCACGAACTGCTTTGGCATGCCTGACGGCCCTTGATGATGTCCGTAACCGTGTGCCATGATGCCGACGAAAAAAATTCTTCAGTCGGTCAGAGTTGTTCCAACTTCAGGCACTAATATTCAGCGCAGAGGAAACTAATATAACAGACAGGAAAAGGGAGGAAAATCAAGCCTGTGAAGAGCACTCCGCAGATACAACTGAATACAGCCAATTACACGAATCAGCAGTCTACGTCGGCCCCAGCAGGGAGGGGCGGGCTGGCAGCATAAGAGTGTTTAACCCACTAGTCGATCGCTGCAGCTTTGCCAAAGAATACGTCAAGCTGGCGTGGGCTGACGGGCGGGCCCCGGCCTGGCACATTCTAATCACAGATCTTGTGTTACACAGTGGTATTGCGGTTAGGATTTGCTCCGGGGATGGACACTCCTACATATTTAGCGTGTCCAAAACCATGAGTCGAATTCGTTCCGTTACACAGGACGGAGCTCAAGCTTATCTGTAGGGGTGCATACCATCTAACGGAGATGCACTAGATATCATTGCTTGATCGTGTCACTTGCAAACTGGACTTACCCTGACTCGAGACAGTCTGCACGAGGAATGCCCGGCCCGGACCTGCGCAATAGTGTAAGAATGGAAATTCTATGATACCATACATGTAAGAAAGACATGACATTTACGAGAGGTACGGGGCTGAAAAGACAAAAAGCAAAAAGGGAGACGTGCAGATTTTACAACCCTTTTGTTGCTACGCGACAATTGGACCCATCTGCTCATCGGGATTTGGCCTATGAGCACAGCGCAGATGGGAGCCGATCTGTCTTGGTGTTCGGGATATTACTGTCGATCATTCTCCAAGCCTCTGAGCGCGTGTTGGCCACCAATAGATTGAGGAGTGTCGTAAGGAGGCAAGTGTTCCTCCGCGATGGTTCCGCCGTCAGCGATTGGGTCTAACCCTTGCAACCCCTACTAGTAGCTCTTGCTGTAAGATGTCTTGAACCGTGACCCGCCTATCTCTTGAGAGTTGTATTCACAAAGTTTGGATCAAATAGTGACACGGACCGGGCATCAGACTTTGATACCTGCTGACTGAGGTCATTGAGATCAAGATCTTGCACATGCAGAAACTGGGATTCAGGAGGTTCTCCGAGAATGCGCTAAATCCCAGTTGAAAAAGTTTGGACCCGGATGGCTGGAAATTGTGGGTCGGGCTCCAGCGCTCAATAACCTATGGTATACTAATGTATCAAGTAGAAGATTGCATGCCAAAAAAGGGGGTGTAGACAAGATCTCAGATGCTTTACCCAAAGTGACTAATGTAGTTATGCTTACTGGAGATGCACCTCGGGAGTTGCCGTGTACCCCGGAGAGGCAAATGGTTGACCCGTGGTTCCTTTGTTTGTTTGTGTTTGTCTGGACTCAACTTCCACGGCATCTCTTCTTCTCTCAACAGTTTACAATATTTTCTTCTTTGCTTTTTCAAGGGGTACACTTCCTGGAATTCCGAGCAAAGCGCCACGAGCAGAGGGAGACCCTGAAGGTGGGGTTCAGCTGGACGATACATCACAATCTGAATGATCCCTGACGATGACTGGCAGATCCAGCTGCCAATGACAGAGGACACATTGTGGTTCGTGGTGTAAGCGGCCCGTTCGCCACTCGACAGACTAAAAATCCATAGTCAGTGGGCGAACGGGTGGGCCATGACGATCTTACAAAACAAAACCTTGATACGGCTGTGTATATCCTTATTTCCGATAACAACTTGTTCTGTCATATCCTCGACCTTGCGTCTGCATGATGGCCTATGCTCAAGGCCTATTCACCAGAGGCGGATTGATCTCGGTGAAAAGATCAAACACAGGGTGTGACAGCACCCTCCTCCAGACAGGGTCAGCCAGCCACCGTTTTTTAGCGACTGCCACATCTGATCGGGGGGATACAGCGAGCGAAGACCTCCGGCAGACACTCCCCACTTCGTGTCGATTTAGCTCGATCTTGAGATCCCCAGTGTGGAGCTTCGACTTCCACGCGGGAACTTTGTTCCTTGTAGTACACCGCTGCTTATGCATTGCAGAGATCACATTAATTGGTCTGTAGGGATATCTCTCCCTTGGAAGGATTGTGACGCATGCGCTGATCTTCTCTCTCGGCTTGTTCAGCTTACCTAGCTCAGCTTGGATACCCTGCATGTACTGTGGACATACGATACTATGCCGGTTCTCAGATGGGACTTGTACATCTACAGCTGTGTATAGACAGCCCGTGTCCAATCGCCTGCCCCGCCCCCTTTCTCAGGAACATAGACGTCCACTGGCCGTCATGCAAGATGATCAATTACTGCGTTCAGACCTTTCATCATCGTGTCCCCACCGACCTGCCCCCACTGTGCCTCTTTTGGATGCATTGAGCTTGTATCACGCGGGGCATGTAATCGTACTCCTGAGCCTGGCTCAGGTCTGGAAGATCGGTCTCTCCGTCAATCAGATCCAGTCCCTGCAGTCAATCAACTATTGGTGATAACAAATCCGCCACCTTTTGTTGCTCCACAGTCCTGCAGCTGACTTGCGTAGCCCGCGCTCATTTTTAAATGCTTCGAGCTCCGTCGCGCGACTAATTCCTTTTCTTCCTCACCTAATCTGGCCCACGGTAGCCATCTCTGACTCTTTTGATACCTAATTTTTTCGTTTTTGTTTCTGTGATACCTTTGTTGTTTTGTTTTTTTGTTTTTGTCAGAGTCCATATTCACAATGTTGAGAAGAATCTCTACCCAATTCAAGCGGTCGTCCAAGGACAATGGCGACAGCGAGCCCAAGAGCGCAGAGAAAACCAACAAGCGTTTCTCAAAGGTTTCCCCCACACGCAAATCCACTTCCAACCAGGAGGAGACCCACGCCGTGAAGCGCGCTGAGGTTGTCGCAACCTTCGAGAAATTTGCGCAGGCCATTCACGCCTCGAATGAGCCTCTGCCGAACCAGACCGGTGACGGCACCTTCCTGAAGCACGACCAGTCTTCCGGTCTGATCAATGACATCAAGTCGCTCGGTTTCCGCGATGTGAACACTGTCAAGGATCTCGTCAAGAGCAAGGCCTCCGGCGAGCTTGTTGATGACAAGACCTATCTCATGGAGCGCATCATCCAGATGGTCGCTGATCTACCCGGTAACTCCAAGAACCGTACCGAGCTCACCAATGTCTTCTTGGATGAGCTATGGAACTCAATTCCTCACCCACCTCTTTCGTAAGGGTTCACCAATTGGAGACCACATTTTTACAATTGCGCGCTAACACTGGGAAAAGTTACATGGGCGACGAGTTCAAATACCGCTCTGCTGATGGCTCAAACAATAACCCTACTCTCCCTTGGCTTGGAGCTGCTAACACCGCATACTGCCGTACTATTCCTCCCCTCACCATCCAGCCCTCTGGACTTCCTGATGCCGGCCTGATTTTCGATACCCTGTTTGCCCGTCAGGAGTTTACTCCTCACCCCAACGGAGTTTCCAGTGTCTTCTTTGACTGGGCTTCTCTGATTATCCACGGTAGGTCTGCTTCGTTGAACATTAACATTCACACGCTAATGCGCTAGCTCCATAGATATTTTCCAGACCGATTACCGTCAACAGCACCTGAACAAGACCTCTGCCTACCTGGACCTCTCCATTCTCTATGGCGATGTCAAGGAGCAGCAGGATCTGATCCGTTCCCACCAGGACGGGCGCCTGAAGCCTGATTGCTTCTCCGAGGGTCGTCTGCAGGCCCTTCCCGCTGCTTGTGGTGTTCTTCTGGTTATGCTGAACCGTTTCCACAACCACATTGTTGAGCAGCTCGCTGAGATCAACGAGAACGGTCGCTTCAGCAAGCCCCGCCCTGGTATGTCTGAGGAGGACACAAAGGCCGCCTGGGTGAAGCGTGATGAGGACCTGTTCCAGACCGGTCGTCTGATCACTTGCGGTCTATACATCAACATCACTCTGTACGACTACCTCCGCACCATTGTCAACCTGAACCGCACCAACTCTACGTGGTGCCTGGACCCCCGTGCTCAGATGGAGAAGGCTGGTGCCACTCCGTCTGGTCTCGGTAACCAGTGCTCTGTCGAGTTCAACCTGGCCTACCGCTGGCACTCCACCATCAGTCAGGGAGACGAGAAGTGGATCGAGCAGATCTACTACGACCTTATGGGTAAGCCTGCCGAGGAGGTCACCATGCCTGAGCTGCTCATGGGTATGAAGAAGGTCGAGGGTAGACTCGATACCGACCCCTCCAAGCGCGAGTTCGCCGGTCTCAAGCGTGGCGAGGGTGGCTTTTTCAAGGATGAGGAGCTTGTCAGCATTCTGTCTCACGCTACCGAAGATGTTGCCAGCTCTTTCGGACCCCGCAACGTGCCCAAGGCACTGCGTTCCATTGAGATTCTCGGTATTGAGGCTTCCCGTAGATGGAACGTGGGTTCCCTCAACGAGTTCCGCAAGCACTTCGGCCTGAAGACTTACGACACTTTCGAGGAGGTCAACTCCAACCCCGAGATTGCCGATACTCTCCGTCACCTGTACGAGCACCCCGACTACATTGAGTTGTACCCCGGTATCGTCTCCGAGGAGGCCAAGGAGCCCATGATTCCCGGTGTTGGTATCGCCCCTACCTACACTATTTCCCGTGCTGTGTTGTCTGACGCCGTCGCCCTTGTCCGTGGTGACCGTCACTACACCGTTGACTACAACCCCCGTAACTTAACCAATTGGGGTTACAACGAGTGCCGCTACGACCTCAACATTAACCAGGGTTGTGTCTTTTACAAGCTTGCTACCCGCGCGTTCCCCAACTACTACAAGCCCGACTCCATCTACGCCCACTACCCCATGACCATCCCCAAGGAGAACCGCAACATCATGAAGAACCTCGGCCGTGAGCAGGACTACTCTTGGGACAAGCCCGCCTTCATTGAGCCCCGTGTCAACCTGGTTTCTCACCAGAACGCCAAGCTGCTCCTCGAAAATCAGAAGGACTTCCAGCCCAGCTGGGGCCGCTCCATGAGCGAGCTTTTCGGCAAAGGTGAGTTCGGCGCCGAGCAGCGTGAGGCCATTGGCAAGGCCCTCAATACTGAGGAGTTCCCCAAGCTCGTCAAGAAGTTCTACGAGGATGTCACCGAGCGTCTGATTGCCGAGAAGGGCGGCCAGCTGGGCAAGATCAACCAGATCGATATCACCCGTGATGTCGGTAACCTGGCCCACGTCCACTTTGCTTCCACCATCTTCGGTCTCCCTCTGAAGACCGAGGAGAATCCCCGCGGTCTCTTCACCGAGCACGAGATGTACATGATCCTTTCGACCATTTTCACGGCTCTCTTCTTCGACGTCGATGCTCCCCGCTCGTACTCCCTGAACCGTGCCGCCTCCGCCGTCTCCAGCCAGCTCGGCTCCGTCGTCGAGGCCACTGTCAAGGCTGACACCACCAGCGGCCTCTTCTCCGGCATCATGGACAGCTTCCGTCCCCACGACAACGCTCTCCGTGAGTTCGGCACGGACGCCATCCGCCGCATGAAGGAAGCTGGCTCAAGTGCCTCAGACATCACCTGGTCCGCCATCATCCCCACCATCGTCGGCATGGTCCCCAACCAAGGCCAGGTCTTCACCCAGATCATCGAGTACTACACCGCACCCGAGAACAAGGCCCACCTGGCCGAGATCAACCGTCTGGCCAAGGAGGACTCCGCTGAATCCGATGAGAAGCTGTACCGCTACTGCCTGGAGGCTATCCGTCTGAATGGCACCTTCGGTGCCTTCCGTGAGGCCAAGGTCCCCGTCACCGTCGAGGAGAATGGCAAGATCTACGGCATCCAGGTCGGCCAACAGGTGTTCGCCTCCTTCGTCGAGGCAAACCACGACGCCGGTGTCTTCCCCGAGCCAAACGAGGTCCGTCTCGACCGTCCCCTTGACTCCTACATCAATCACGGCCAGGGTCCTACCACCGGCTTCGGCGAGCAGATCACCAAGATTGCTCTCGTCGCTATGCTGCGCGTCGTTGGTCGTCTGCAGAACCTGCGCCGCGCTGCTGGTGCCCAGGGTCAGCTCAAGAAGATCCCTCAGGAGGGTGGCTACTACAACTACCTCCGTGGCGATGGTACTGCCTACTGCCCCTTCCCCATGTCGCTTAAGCTTCACTGGGACGGTCCCTTCGAGAAGAAGAAGCCTGCTTCCTCCTAGGCCGGTTCTCTGGTTGAGGTTTAGTTTGCGGTGTAGTCAGACTTGTTTGACTGTGTCCGCCCAAACGTCATAGTTGGCGATGTGCAATGTTATGTGGATGTAATACCCCTGGGGTTGGCTATGAATTCATGTTGCCTTGACTTTTTTTTTGTTGCTTTCGGGGGCTATTTAGTCGCCAGGATATCCAGAAACCGTTGCTTTTTGTTTATAGTATAAGGTAGAGATCATGAATCGTTCCCTGTTCTCAATTTTCTCTTAATATAGTAAAATCCCGACGTAAAAGTAATGTGGCTCCAAACGTCCGTCACGCCAACCTCGGACAGCTCGGCGATCTCCAAACCCTGGATATGAGCTCCCCACCACGCACATCCTGCCAGCTCTCCATATGTCCGATTATTTTTAGAGATCCAGGTGAGTAAAGGAGCACTTGACTGTCAAAATCCGTGAAAAGCTGATATGCAAATTAAAAAACTTGCGAGTCGAATTGCCCGCAAAACCCGAAACCCGCAGAGCCCGGCTCTAGAGCCGACGTCATACAATCCGGAATGTCCATGGCATGACCAACCCACCCTATACATTATATTCTTGCAACATACTTATCCAGTGAACCATTTCAAAAAAAACCAAAACAAACCACTCAAAATGACTACAGATGTCCGAATCGCCCAAGCTATTGGGACTATCGGTTGCGCCGCTGCAGCAGGTATTTACATCAATCCCCTCTAGGGATATCGTCATATCCCATATCCCCCCTCATAACCTACTACCAGCTATACACACTCAGCCCTCTATATCTATACTCATACTACACATTTGCATATACATAAACTTACAAAAAAAAAAAAAAACAGGTGGAATGGCAACCCTTTCAATAATAAGCATCCCAAATCTCGCCCTCCCACCACGACACCCAAGCAACAAAACCCTAACACAGGACACAACACCCGGAACAGCAGCAGCCCACATAACACACCAATGGCTCGACCTCTACGACCGAGGTAAAAAGATCTTTCCAGGCCTCGCAGGGGCAGCATCGTTAGCAAACCTATATGCAATGTGGTCACTACGTGATAGTCCGGCGCCAGCGCCTGCGATTGTCGGATCGAGCTGGTCGGGTATATATGCCGTTGCTGTTGTTGTTACTATGTCTATTGCGCCGTATACTTTTCTTGTTATGGGCAAGACTAATGGGCGGTTGAGGAACCATGCTGTGCGTGGTGATGGGATTGAGAGTGAGGGGACTGAGGGCATGGTTGTTGGTGCTAAGGAGGAGGCGAAGTGGGGGAAGGAGGATGAGGAAATCCCTGCTTTGCTTAAGAAATGGGCGAAGTTGAATTTGATTCGGGCGGTTTTCCCGCTTGTTGGGGCTGGGGTTGGGTTTTATGCTGCTGTTAATTCTTGGGTTCTTCCGTAAGGGAATGGATGTTCTGAGATGGGGATTGTTGCTCTGCTGTATACGTGTGGAGTTAATATTTTGTATGATTATACGCTTGTTTTGTTAAATTGATTCGGGTATCGTTCGTTTCTATTGGTATGAGTGCGCTATGTACTGCGGCTGGCTCGGGGGCTATATAAACATGTAGAGAAGGGGGTGGTTTGTAGGTGCTCTCAGTGGACATGGAGATGACAAGCTTTGGATATTATGGCTGTAATTATGTCGACACTGGCTTGGTATCCCCGTCTGTTTCCAAGGTTTGTTCGTCTTCCTTCTCAATGGTAGACCATTGGCTTGAGTGCTGGAGGGACTCATCGGCAGTGATCTCCTCCAACGGGCTGGACTTCTCAGGGCTCTCGCGATCGTGGTCGATCTCACGGGTCTGATCCTGCTCCTCGTCCATAGCAAACCCGACAATCTTCCCTGTACCGGGCTGCGAGCGGGCTTCTTCAAGTACATCACCATTCCAAGGCTGGCACTTCTTGACAACTTCACCACAACGGAGACAAACCCATCCTTGGCCCTCTTCGCCTTCGAGTTTCTGCACGATGCAAACGAAACAGTAGATGCAACCACATGGAACCGTCTCATATGGATTGGTAATATCTGTCTGGGCAGATCCAGCAATGCCACCTGATGTGGACGCTGCCATGACATCTGTTTCAGTCGTCGAGGTTGGATTCTGGTCACGGTAGCAAATGGCACAAGTGCGTTCCGGGAGGAAGGCCAGCTCCCCTTGCTTTTCGGATGGCTCATCATCATCATCACCGCTTGACTTGACAGAAGACATCATCTTTCGCCAAGCGCGAGAAATCCACCGTCGCCAGCGACTGATTCCAACAAGAGGAAGAAGGAAAAGCAGGAATTCAGTAAACGCATGCCACACAAGTTGTCGGTTCAGGTATTCAAATGACACTTCCCGACTGGCTTGTGCAGACGGTGGAGTAAGGCGAATGCGGAGGATGCGATCAACCAGGGTGCGGTATCGGCCGTTCACAAGAAACACAAGGAAAGAGACAAAGGCAGCGATCGAGTGGGAGGTGGAAATTAAGTCCGTTAGTCGGGACAGCATGCGAATATCCTGCGATGGCTTGGTGACTGTTAGTATAGTATGATCAATAGAGCACTGGAGTGACTAACCTCATCGTAGCCGCCTTCTTGTCCGATCAACCAACTCTCCCACTTGTCCCAGACATATCGCCCTCCAACTGTCAATAAGCCGTAGACGCTCTTCTGCCATTTTGTTGGAGATGAGTAGACCGGTCCCTTGCTGCGACTGTCGGTGTACTGGAGGCCTTGCAGAGCCGCACCATATGACGCATTGTGGTCCCATATTGATAGCTTGAAGAGAATCGCCCGCAACGCGAACAGAATCTCATGCGACCAATCTTCCCGCATCTGAGGCTATTGGAATTGTCAGCCGCCGTCGCCATAATGCCTCGGCATAGTACCCGACTGCTCGAACATACCCCGAAGTATTTGAGGGCATCCCCGACTTGACCCTTCATCAAGCCGAGCAGCTCCTCATCCAGCAATTCGGCATCCACCTGTCCCACCCGGAATGCAGGTTTCGTGCCATCTCGCCCATTGATAGAATTCCATATCCGCCATCCAGAGCTCGGTAATCGATTCAACGGGTATGGAAGACGCTGGACGGTGGCCGGGCTGATCGGAGCCGCCCGCTGTCGAGCTGCATTGCGGGCGCGCGCTTCGGCCTCGCGTTGACGACGACGTTGAAGAACTCGCTCTTGTGCGGCGGCGAAGTTGGTTGAGCTCATCGTGAGATCATGGCGTGTAGATAAGAGAGAAGGCACGGGGAAATGGGCGGAGTTCATTCACGCTCGGTTCCCCAGACGGAGACCAGCCGAGGCATCTCACGTGACTGTATATCTCGGTCATGTAACAATCAAGTCTTGGTGTTGGTATAGCGGCAGATGGAGTAAGCATGGAGAATCGGAGAATTGGGAGTTTTATATCGGACAATTAGAGGTTCTCATCGATCTGGAGGACCTTTGGCGTTTGATCGGCTCTCCGTGTGGACGCCGAATGGAGATACATTTTCAACTACTGGTGAACACTCCACCTTGTTCACCCCTGGGAGAGTTAAAAAGCTTCGTTGGTTCACGAAGATACACACTATGAACATTGGACGTTGACTCATCGGTAAAACGGGATAAAACGGGGAGGAATTAGTCTGAAAGGCGTAAGATTGAGAGTTAACCCTAGTAAGCTTAGAAGGATCATCATCAAGAAAATACAACTCTTCGGCAATAGGAAGCCAAGCCCCGATCTGTACTTCCCGAGCTCGAGTGAAGTTATTCCCAGAAAGCTGCCAGCCCTGTAAGGCAGACATCCACCCACGGGAGAAACAAGCATTAGCCTGGGTCTTGGAGGATTGACAGGGACGAATTGGATGGACCAACCAGAGAGCTCCATTAGACCATGTGCTGCTGCATCTATACCCTCTCATAACAGTCAACACGGAAGGTACCTGTATGATACTGGTCAAAGGCTCAGAGACACGATGGACCACTGACAAGACGAGTGAACCTCAAGTACTTATCAAGTATGCTTTGTTCAAAGTCTACCATGTCACACGTACTGCATCATCCGCCAGATTTATCGTTGTGCTTTAAAAAGACCTTTGACAGGATTCTCCTCTTCCTTTTTCTTTTCCTCTCTCACCTTCTTCACAATTGTTCCCTCTTCCACCGTGGTATTGACTTCCACTGACATTCATCAAAATGAAGGCTATCATCGCGATTGTCCTGGCCACGGTAATTTCGGCCATGGCTCAGGTCGCCACTGTCTCTGAGCCTGCTCTTTCCGAAATTCATGCTGCGGCCGCTACCATCAAGCCCCAGGTGACCACCTCTGACGTGAAGGGACTGGTGTTTGATCGCTTCTACCAGGTCTGGTTGGAGAACATTGTACGCGACACCGCAATCCATGAACCCCAAGAAACATTGCAACTGACATTTTTTTAGGACTTCGAGGACTCTGCTGCGGACGAGAACATGAAATGGCTCGCATCCCAAGGAATCCTTCTGTGAGCAGATGCCTCCAATGAAGCATGAATTATAATGTGATCACTAATTTGTCTTAGGACCAACTTCTATGCTGTCACCCATCCTTCTGAGCCCAACTACTGCGCCGCCGCCGGCGGTGACACTTTCGGAATGGACAATGACGACTTCAAGCAGATGCCCGCCAACATCTCTTCTATTGCCGATCTCCTTGCCACCAAGAAGATCTCCTGGGCTGAGTATCAGGAGCACATCCCTCATGCTGGCTTTCAGGGAATGAACTATTCCAACCAGGAAACTCAAGCCCATGACTACGTCCGCAAGCATAACCCCCTGGTTCTCTACGACACCGTTGTCTCCGACGAAGGACGTGCACGTTCGATCAAAAGCTTCGATGACTTCGAGAACGACCTCAAGGACAAGAAGCTTCCTCAGTGGGCTTTTATTACCCCGAACATGACCAACGATGCCCATGACACCAACATCACCTTTGCCGCCAAGTGGGAGCGTCCCTGGCTGGCTAACCTGCTCAAGAACGAGTACTTCATGAAGGATACTGTCGTCCTTCTGACCTTCGATGAAGATCAGCACTACGAGCATGACAACCGAATCTTCAGCGTGCTTGTCGGTGGTGCCATTCCGGAACACCTCCAAGGTACAACCGACGACACTTTCTACACTCACTATTCGAGCATCGCCACTGTCTCTGCTAACTGGGGCCTCCCATCTTTGGGTCGCTGGGATTGCGGTGCCAACATCTTCGATATCGTGGCCAACAAGACTGGATACGTCAATTACCACGTCGACAAGACTCACCTGAGCCTCAACCAGACCTACCCTGGTCCCATGTCCATTGGTGATAAAGAGACTGGTCTTACCTCCACCTTCTTGGCTGAGTGGCCCATTCCTCTCACAAACGGTGACTGCTCGGCTGGCCATGGTATCTTAGATATTGTCAAGAAGACTTACGGCAATCTGACTGCGACCTACAACTACACCAGCCCCTACCCCTGGGACTCCAAGCACAATTACAACGTGAAGGTCACTGCTACTCGCAAGACTAACAGCGCCTCCTCTTCCAACGAGAAGAATGTGACATCTGTTCCTACTGCCCACACGGGCACCGGATTTGCTGCCACAGTTCCCAGCTCGACTGTTGTTCTGGCAGCTGCTCTGGCAGCTTACTTCCTGTTCTAATATTTTGACGTACTCAAAGCTTCCAAGAGGTGCTTTTGGTGTTAAGTCCACGCAGACTCTGACATCGGTTCGAGTGACCAGAGAAGAACGAGTCCTCACAACCGCGAAAACAATACAAACATCAAAAACACAGTGTCTTTAAAGACCAATCATTTGCTACCTGGTTGTGGGCTATCCAAAATTACAATCAAAGATTTACTAAATCAACCACTACCGTCAGTGTAGATCTACTTAACAAATAGAACACATAGCCATTCATCTAATCTGCATGAAAGCCTCACAGACGCGCCGCCGTCTTGATCAAAATAGTCTTGACCTCAAGGAAACTGTCAAGACTATGCAGCAACCCCTCGCGACCAGTACCACTAGACTTGAAGCCACCGAAAGGACAATCTTTCGCCCCTGTAGGACTAGTACAGTTAACACCAACAGTGCCAGCATCCAGCGCCTTCGAAACCCTCACAGCCCGATCAAGATCCTTCGTGAAAACAGAAGCATACAAACCAAACTCAGAGTTGTTAGCCTTGGCGATCGCCTCCTCCTCAGTAGAAAAGGTATTAATGGCAACAACAGGTCCAAAAACCTCTTCCTGCATCAACCGCGAATCCTCAGGAACACCCTCGAACACAGTCGGCTTAACAAACAGCCCATCATTCGCATTCCCACCAACAGTCATCTTCCCATCCTTCTCCCCAATAGCAAGATACTCCTTGATCCGCTCGTACTGAATCAAATCAACCTGCGGCCCATGTCCAACCGACGGATCCATAGGATCCCCCATCTTAATAGCAGCGAAATGCTCACGGAACGATTTGATGAATTCGTCCGAGATCGATTCATGCACGTAGATTCGGGAATTTGCAACGCAGATCTGGCCGCTGTTGAACTGGATGCTGAATTGGGTTTGGGCCGCTGCTGAGGCGATGTCTGCGTCTGGAAAGACGATTGCGGGCGTTTTACCGCCTAGTTCCATGTGGACGTGCTTCATGTTTGATTTTGCGGATGCGACTTGGATCTTTCGACCTGTTAGCGAGGAGCCTGTGAAACTTATGCCTCGCACACCCATGTGCGATGCTAGTGCTGAGCCGGCTGGGTCGCCGTGGCCTGAGAGGATGTTTACGACGCCTGGGGGGAAGCCCGCTTTTTGGATTAATTTTGCCATATAGAGGGACTGGATGGGTGGTTAGACGTGATGGAGGAACAGGGAGACTAGGGGTCGACGAACTGTCAAGGGCGCTTTCTCGCTGCTTTTCAACACGACTGTGTTACCAGCAGCCAAGGCCGGCGCCATTTTACCGGCAAACATGATAAGAGGAAAATTCCAGGGAATGATCAGCGCTACCGCGCCAAACGGTTGCTTGACAGTCAGGTTTAGATGGTCAGGCGTGTTGAGACTGGCTGTACCCTGTGCGCTCCAGCCTGCATCAGCGAAATAGCGAAAGTATTCAGCTGCCAAGCCGGGATCGAAGAGTTGTGTCAATGGGCGACCAATGCATAGGACCTCTAGCTTTGCTAGATCGTCGACTGACTCGAGGATTAGCTGGGATAGTTTGCGGAGGTAATGGCCGCGCTGTTCTACGCCTAGATCGCGCCAGGCAGGGAAGGCTGCGTTAGCAGCGGCGACGGCATTGTCGACATCTTTGGTGTCGGCTTCTTGGACTGGTGGTGCGTTGTTAGGGCTTGTTTGGATGGATGGAGAGAGTGGGGTTGAGGGTGTATATACCTTCGGCGACAACCTCTTTCGTGTAGGGGTATACCACTTTGAATGTTTTGTTACTCGATGATGGGAGAAACTAAATAAGTAAGCATAATTCATACCCCAGAATCAAGATTTGACTATATACCTCGTTGTTGATGAACAGGCGAGTCTCGATAGATTTAAGGTCAACCGCAGCAGATGCCATGTTGGATAAAAGGGTTAGTTAGACAGTCAAGAGATGAGTTGAAGTCAGAGAAAGAGTTACAAATAGGAAAATGGTAGCCTTATAAATGCTCGACAGACAGGGGTCAATGTCAACCGGGTGCCAGTTGCAACCAGTAATCGGCTTGGCCCCAAAGTCAAGGTCTCCCCGACGTCAAACGCCGAGAGAAAGCTATGCACGGAGATAGCCTATGGTAGCAGAGATAGCAGCATTTAATGTCAATGCAGCACAGCAACGTGCATGAGAGGTTAGTCCGTCCAGGCTAATCTTTCCGATATATGCTGATTGGGCGTTTCGTACGAAAAGGGCGGAGTTACGCGTGCGGGGTATATCTTGACTAGTGGGGGAGATGTCGGTCCGTGAGACTTAGATCTTATTATAATAATGCATGCAACTTATATGAAGTCGAATTCATTTGATTCCGACCTGCATAAGTGGTCGGATATAGTTCAAATGTTGAGGTAAACGATATATGATTAACATTCCATTATCGTAGAAGTCGTCAGGCTATCACTTTTATATAATGTACACGTTTATGAGGCAATACCGCGGCGCTTCATATCCTGCAAGTTCAAGGCGTCCTGGTCACCGGGGCGGTTCTCGGAGTCTTGCTTCACGCTGGTCTCGGGGCCGCCGGAGCCCTGGAAGTGTTCGGCCTTGGGGAGTCTAGAAAGAGATGGCAGGTTAGCATGGTGAAAGATTCCAAAACCATTGAGATCTTACCTGTTACGGTCGTCACGAGTGCCACCCTCATCCTCGGGGATCTTGCGGTGGTCGCTACCGGAGGCAGTCGAGCCAGGGCCGTACTTCAGGCCAGTGGGCTCGGAGAATTTCTTGTCGACCATCTCATCGACACCGGACTCGAGAGCTATGAAACAGTTTAATATCAATGGAAGTCACTCGGTTTGCATCATTGCATCTTACTTGAGTCACTCTTCTTGCCGAGACCCTGCTTGGCCTGATAAGAGTTGAGGTCCTTCTCGGCCTGGAAGGCAGCCTGCCTGAGGTCCTCGAAGTGTGCCATTTTGTATTGTATGAAGGTAGTTGGGTAAAAATATGAAAGAGATTGAAGAGTGAGAATATATATGAATTTAAAACTGAATGAAAAACGCGATTCTGCTATGGTTTATATACCCTTTGCTCTCCATCACGATCAAGTTACAGCTGGGCTAGAAACTGTTGTTGCATCATGATACATCATAGGTATGTCACGGTGAGGAGTGTCCAGGTGATATGGAACGGTCTTGCTGTCTCCATAATTGCTCAAAAACAAGGTTGTAGATCCCAATTTGATAGACCCTTAGCAAGTTTGGCATCTCTGACTTCATCGTCTCCACCGGCAGAAGCCCTAAGTCCATAACCGCATTGGGAGGAAACTGAGGGTCCGGCCCTAGGGCTGGACGGATTCGGAAAAATATATAGTCCGGAGGCGGGGAGCATCGAGGAGCTCCAAGGCGGTCAGTTGTCAGTGCCTTATCGCCAACATCTTTGAAAGCGCGTTGTTTCTCTTGTCTATGGGCTCTGAGACACATCCGGACATACTCTTCCAGCCCTCAATCGCATCTTGAGAAGCGCAGATTTTAACGGTTCATATCATTCGTTAACTCGAATCTGCCATGGCGTTCGCCATTGAGGTCGAGGGTGAGGCCAACCCATTGAGCGCCCATAATGTGTTGAATGCCCTGGTACTCGCGGCAAGCTCTACACAGCATCAGGTTCAAACGGGCACTCAGCAGCTCCAGAACTGGGAAAAACAGGGCATGTACTATACATTTCTACAGGTATTCAGCTCGCCACCCAGACCATTCATGAATCGCGCCCTAATGTCTGTCTTGACTTGTAGGATGTTTTCCTTGACCATTCCGTCCCCAATGAAGTCCGCTATCTCGCAATTATTCAGCTGAAAAATGGCATCGACAAATATTGGCGCAAAACAGCAGCAAAGTACGGCATCAGATCCCCGCATGGAAGGCGACATGCTAACATCGACCCAAGTGCGATCAAAAAGGAAGAAAAAGAACAGATCAAGACCAGAGCCCTCGAGGCAGGTATCGTTGAGCCTGCCCCTCTGTTGGCCCTTCATAATTCATTGATGATTGCCAAGATCATGCGTTATGAGTTCCCGCAGGATTGGTATGCATACTTATGCATCAATAGAGTTTAACAATGCTAACTCCGACTAGGCCAGATGCTATGTCGTCCGTCATCTCTTTCCTCCGATCCTCTACCCAACCTGGTGCAAACCCACTCCAACTCTCCAGAACTCTCCTCATCCTATTGCAAATCATCAAGGAATTGTCCACGGCCCGAATTCAGCGAACACGCCACAATCTTCAGTCTGTCTCTCCTGAGATCTTCCAATTACTTGGGGGAATCTATGTGGACAAGCTTAGCAGATGGGTTGCAATACTGGAGCAGGGTGGCGCCGGCGAAGAGGAGTTATTGGAGACGCTCGATCAGAGCATGGTGTCTCTCAAGGTTCTTCGACGATTGATAATTGCTGGATTTGAACACCCGAGCCGGAATCAGGAAGTACAGAGTTTCTGGGTTCTGACCCATTCTCACTTCAGCAAGTTCCTCTCGTCTGTGGATGGGTCTGCCAACCTCCCCGAACCAGTTCACAGGGCCATTGAAAAACACTTGCTGCAGATGTCCAAACTGCATGTTGAGATGGCCAAGACACACCCTGCATCTTTCGCCTTGCTGCCAGACAGTATTTCTCTTGTCCAGTCGTACTGGTCATTGGTCGTGAAGCTCGGAGGAAAATATGATAGCCTTGGCACAGGCGATGAAGCCGAAGGGAAAACTTTGGCTGAGAAGACTGGTCTCCGAGCTCTGCTCTTGATCCGTGCATGCGCGAAAATGGCCTTCAACCCTGCCCAGACATTCAAATACCAGACGCCACAAGATAAGGAAGAGCGGAAACAATCTGTTGAGCTCATCAAGTCACAGCTCTTCACCGAGGATTTTGTCGTCAATGTCATGGAGCTACTGGTCACACAATTCTTCAGGTTCCGCAACATCGATTTCCAAGAATGGGCAGAAGAGCCAGAAGACTGGGAGAAGCGAGAGGAAGAGAACGCCGATGCATGGGAGTTCTCCATCCGCTCTTGCTCCGAGAGGCTCTTCCTTGATCTTGTCATTCACTTCAAAGACCTACTCATTCCCCGGCTCTTGAATGTGTTCTATTCCTTTGCGAGTAAGCTAATGCAATATGGTTATGAGACATGCGCAATACTAATGTTATTTCTTAGACACCGAGAATCACAATGTGCTACTGAAGGACTCACTGTATTCCGCTATTGGCTTGGCGGCTGCCAGCCTGGAACAGCATCTGGATTTCAATGCATTCCTGGAGCATACTATGGTTCCCGAGGTTCAATCCCAAGAACAAGAGTATAGGCTTCTGCGAAGGAGAATTGCGTTGGTCCTGGGCCAGTGGGTCCCAGTTAAGCCGGGTGAACTCAACAGAAACGCCATTTACCAGATCTTCCAACACTTGCTTAACAGTCAAGATCCCTTGAATGATCTTGTCGTTCGTATCACAGCCGGTCGACAGCTCCGCAACGTTCTCGATCCATACGAGTTCTCCGCAGAAGGATTTATGCCATTTGCACCTCCAATTTTAGCAAGTCTCATGTCTCTCGTTCAAGAAGTTGAATCATCGGAGACGAAGATGGGACTTTTGGAGACGGTTCGCGTAGCCGTTGTGAAGATGGAAGATAATGTAAGTATTCCTTGTGTCCCAACCGCAGCGCCCTAACTGACATGACAAGATCACACCCTTCTCCGACCAGATTCTGTCCTTGCTTCCTCCTCTATGGGAAAGTTCTGGGGATGAGCACCTGATGAAACAGGCCATTCTGACCCTGCTTTCATCTTTGATCCAATCTTTGAAGCAAGAGTCTGTGAGGTACCACTCGTTGATTCTCCCACTTATCCAAAGCTCAGTAGAACCTGGCTCGGTAAGTCAATATGTCTTTTTTCATCGCTTGTCTAAAGTTCTAACATCCTATACAGGAAACGATCATCTACCTTCTTGATGAGGCATTGGAGCTGTGGGCTGCTATCATCCAGTCTACACCATCTTCCGCCTCACCGGAAATTCTCTCACTCCTCCCATCTCTATTCCCCATCATTGAAGAAGCTACCGATAGCACTCCCCAGGCTCTGCAAATCGTTGAATCCTATATCTTTCTCGCCCCACAAGAAGTCTTGAGCGACCGGTTCCGCCACCCATTACTGGTGGCACTCGAGGCTGTACTCAAGACAACAACCAAGCAACGCCTCGGTGTTATTCCCCGGATAGTTGAGCTGATGATCCGTGCTGCTGAAACTGTTGACGGCGGCAGTGAAGCCACATACAGCGTGGTCTCTCGCTCTCTCTTGGATACTTCATTCCTTTCATCCCTTCTAGAGGGTCTGTACTCTGCCTTTGAAGTCAGCCAAACCTCCGGCCCCAACAGAAAGACCTCGCCAGTGTATGGTGCCGTGGAAACCGATTACTATTCGGTGTTAGCGCGCATTGCGCTAGCAAACCCAACCATCTTCGCTTCATCGGTCGCTACCGCGACCCACTCTTCTGAGGAACAGTCCCTCACTTGGATCCTCACAGAATGGTTTTCGCACTACGATAACATCGGCAGCGTGAACCAGAAGAAGCTCCATGCTCTTGGTCTCACCCAACTACTGGCCCTTCAAGGAGTCCAGACCGATGCTTCTCAACCCGCTCCTCCCCCTGCCTACATCCTTTCCCATCTCCAGTCATACCTGAGCATGTGGACCGACCTCATCACCGAGTTGGCAGATGGCGGCACAGACCCCAATGCCGACTATCTTGTATACTGGAACGCACCAGCTGGATCCGAGACAGCAGTTGCCGAAAATACAGAAGGAGCCGAACAGCCCGAGTCGATCCGTCGCCGCGAATGGCAGTCTGGTGATGTCATCCACCGCTTCACCATCCGTGACTTTGTCCGCCATCGTCTGCAGGAAGTTATTGGTGCCTGCGGTGGCGCCCAGCGATTCCAAGAGGAGTGGTTGGTGAACGTCGATACCGAAGTGGTCACGGCCTTTGGAGCCTTGGGACTACTTTGAATTTAGAATCTGCATCTTTTGCGAAGGAATTCGCCTTATGTTGTTTTGTTGCACGATTCCCTTACACTTGCATGAAATATTCATTTCCATATCTGCATAGTCACCTAGCCTCATCCATATTGTTGATTCTTGTTTCCCTCGTCCTTGTTGGCCATTTTAGCTACATACCCCAATCCATAAGTCATCATTCCCAAGTTCATCAATGGTAGATGTAACTCACAACACGTTGATAGACTTGTTTCATTAGTCTCTAGACGCATTTCGAGCGTAGTTGTCCTGAGGCAGACACCGACGTTTTCTCATTTCGCACCGCACACTCCTGCCGTTCATTTTGCCTTTTCTCCGCCGCAAGCTTCTGGGCGCCCTGAAAATATATCCCGTAAAGAAAGAAAAGCATTCCTAAGGCATGCATTATGTTCTGGCGGTAGTAACGACACGAAACCGCATCACAGTGTTGACGACATACGAACTCAAAAAGATAGAGACATGCGAAGAGACAAATTGTGAACCTCCATTGTGCAAGTTAGCTAAGCTAAGGATTCGACTGGAAAAGGGCCACACAAGATTGGATGTTTCCAGAGCCCTAGGCGTGCCAATATGCGCATTAGAAGGTCTGGTTTCTGCTTTTGTTGAACTAGTCTGGGAGTTGGACCAGATGGGGGTTTCGCTTCCATACTGAATTCCAGAAAATTGCGAGAAGACGAAGGGAAGGGCGAAACAACAGAAATGTGTAGAGTTGGTGGAGTTTGGGTGTTGTGTGGGTCCGCCCCCAAAGTGTGAGCGCGTTGCCTCGGAGAGGCTGCGGACCCGCTGTTGTCAAAATGCCTTATATGGGATTATTTTTGTTGAGCACAAAGCGGCAAGGAGTGAGCACTGGGATAAGAAGTCAAAGACTGTGAATGCAATGTGGTATTTTCTATGATTATGCATATATTATGCTATGTGTAGCGCAAATGGAAGACTTTTAAATAGAACAAGACGCAAAGGAAAAAACATCAATGGAAGCTGGAAAGGTCCATACATCCATATGTATGATGAACCTAGCAGGTATCATGACCTCCGATGATTTTTAATATGTGGAACCCCTCGAAGATAACAAGGTTCACACAATAGCATCAACAACCGCCTTACATCGACTGCTTCCCTTGAGTTTCAATGGGCAAGAAGCACATAGCCACAAAGGAAGCCAAGATGAGAGCACCAGCGGCATAAATCGGCGCAACAGGATCAGTACTAGCATAGATACCAATAATGGGAGCCATCAGACCCGCAATGCGGTTCAAGCAACTAGCAATACCAGACCCGGTACCTCTGTTGGGAGCCGGGAAGACCTCGGGTGTGTAGGCATACAGGACACCATACATGATCATCTGGAAGAAAGATTCCAGGGAGGAGCAGACGAGCTGGATGTTGGGGTCCTTTGTGGCTGTGAAGCAGAACAATAGGACGCCTGTGATGAGGGTTGAGGCGGCCATTGTGCCCTTGCGACCGATGTACTTGATGTCGACAGTGTACCAGCCAAGAAGCGGTCCTGGGATTCCACAGACTGCTGTGATGGCGTAGTTGCGGTAGGTGATGTAGGTGGAAGAGTTGGCGCTTAGGTATTGGGGAAGGAAAGCGTTGAAGAGAGTGTAGCCCATGCCGATGCAAGTCCAGCAGAACCAGATGAGGATGGCTAGTTGGTGGGTTAGTTTGGGGAAATATGAAGCAGGGGAATGGATGCGTACTGGAAATGGCAAGGCGTCTAGTCCTGAACAGGGGCTTGATCTGTTGAACGGAGAATCTCTCAAGGGACCGTTTGATGATCTCCATGGTAGAAAGAGACTGTTTCTTGTGTTCCTCGGGATATCCACCGATCTCATTCATGATCTCCTCAGTGAGCCAGGTGGTGGTCTTGTTCTTGTGAGCGATTCCTTGCACTGCAGCCACGGCCTCATCCTGACGGCCGCGAGAGACCAGGAACTTGGGGGACTCGTAGAGAGTGAAGAGGAAGACACGGCAGAGGAACATGGCGAATGTGATGGCACCCAATGTCAAGACCAGGTATCTCCAGCCCCAGTTGTTTGCCTTGGTACATGTCTCTATGCTTTCACAAGAGAAGTTCGGAATGTAAGCCCAGGCAAGCATACTAGGATAGTATTAGCTTTCATATCAAGTTCAAAGATAGCTCAAAGACGAACCTGGCAATCAATGTACCGACAGACCACCACGTAGCTAGACCACTCAGAATGTTGCTTGAATTGGGTGGCAAGCATTCCAAAAAGACAGCTGCGTCAACGGGTAGGTTTCCACCAACACCAAGACCAAGACAAGCGTACAATGCACATGTTCTGATGAACAAGTCAATAAATGGGTCTCAAAGGGCTCTTGAGATAACATACCCAACCCAATTAGGTCCACCCCCGGCGGCGAGACCAAATATACCGCAAATGCAAAGGGTCATGTTGAAAGCGGGACGTCTTCCGATGGCATCAGAGGCAATACCCCAGAAAGAAGCACCAATGATCAGACCAACAAAGAGAGAGCATGTTGCGAATCGAGACTCATTTTCAGAGACACCGAATTCGTTGGCAATTGGGGTCAGAGTGAGGGCAACTCCCTGCATTTTATTAGCATACAACTTCGGATTGACTCAAGCAAAACCAGTCGTACCTGCAACCAGAGACTAAAAGAGAACTTAGTTAGCAAACATTGCTGCCAGAGTTAGTACCGGGAAGGGATGAATTTACTTGTCGGCAACCCAACCCATTCCACAGAGCACAAACAGACCCCATTGGTAGCGTCCCATGCCAATGTCCTGAATGGCTCTGTTAATGATCTTTGCCTTGCCTATGTTGTCATGTTAGGTCCGATATCAGACTGAAGCAGCGAGAAAGAAGCCAAACTAATGTTGAACAAGATCCGGCTCGTCAATTAGACATACGATCGTAAACAGTATCATGGCCTGATGCGCCAATATCGGACTCAACCTCGGCCCTGAGAGCTTCCAGAGTCAGTTCACCGGTTGGGACGGGGCCAGCGGCGCCCTTTTCCTGGGAAGATGATCTGTCGAGGCCGGAGTGGTCGCTGGGGTAAGCATCTTTTGGTGCGGAGCCATGGGCAAGTGGGACGACAACCTCGGGGAATTGTCTCCGTTGCTTGTTGGAGAAGAATTCTTTCCAGTTCGGCATGTTGATGTTTCGTTATCGCAACAGGGCAGCTGTGAGCGTAAGGTGCTTGGCAAAGTATTTGGTTGGCGCGACGGAAAGGAAGATCTGAGGCTACTGGCTCGGCTTGTCGAATATAGCTCTTCCGTGAGGGTCAATACTACCGTTTCGCTTCTGATATGTTGTTGCTAGGACTTTGATAAAACCTGGTTGGCGCAATGGATAAAGGGTTGCAGGTGCAAGGGCTGATTGGATCTGATTTGCGAGGGACTTCCGAAAATGCGCAATGGAGTAGTGAGACCGTGCTTGATATCGAGGTTGGCGCAACGGGATTGTTGACGCAAGTATATGCTGCTACTTTTGCGAGACTGTTGAGCGAGATCAAGTTTCTTTGCCAGTGAAACTATATATGCGGGGATGTTGTCAATAGTATTCTCAGTAGGACTCGACAGTGTTGAGTCGGGTCAGTGTGAAAATAGCGAGCAACGCAAAAGTCAAAGGCGAAGAAGATACAGAAGACAAAAAAAAAAGAAAGTCGACTGTAGTTGGGATGGATAGGAGTTATAGCTCGCAATGGCTCGACAACGAGGAAAAGTGGGAATTACAAGCAGGACAAAAATCTCTCACGTCGAATCGTGAATTAGATAATATGAAGCCGAAGAGTGGATCGTATATGAAGTCGGCCAACCATGCCGTGGTTTTTTGGCCCTATGGGTCAAGCCTCCAGCCTCTGATGTATGCAAGTCACCGAGTATACCCACACCGGGTCCACTACACCATGCCACATTAAGTATTAAAATTGAGGTCCCTCCGAGCGGATTGCCAAGAAGCGAAAACCGGATGGTGAGTGTGCGACAGTTTTCCACAAGAACTTCATGCGCGTTAAAAGACGGTCAACTTTTCAGGAAGCTGTCTATACTTCAGCCGATGTCGCCCGGCCTTGGCCTATGACTAAGCTCATACGGGCGGCGCCCCAGCGCCACCCGGGGCCGTCTCCGGTGACGGGGTCGGCCCACCGAGGGTCTGTCTCTTTGCAGCGCTGGACCTCCATAAAAAAAGCATTCTCCGCGCTATGTTGCGAGATAGGTTGCTGATGCAGATACCTGCAGAGAATATGGATCGGTGATAAAAAAAGGATACGAAGGGGCTGCTTTGGACGGTGTCTCATGTGAACGTGCAGACATTTTGTTGCGGATAATTAATTTTCCGCACGTGCTAATGTACTGTACGTGGATGCCAATGGTGCCTTATGTTGCAAACAGCAGATCTAAGTAAGACGTATTGTATACTGCCCTAGATGATCAATCCGGGATTGTTAAGATGTGTGGTTCTTGGCGTTCACGCTGTCTGTTTTGCAGTCTCCTTTGCAGAATAAGGCTACTGTACACTGTAGTGAGTTGCAGCGGACGAGATAGCCTTTGTTTCCTGAAGAATACAGACGTACCCGATCTTCCCGACATCGTGTTTAGCTATTGGTTCTAGGATATACTGGCGGATAAAAGAGATTTTTCTTTCTGGATCACTTCCACAGACAGATGCCGCAGGCGTAGGCCAGTCCTTTTCTAACCCACTGGATGGACTCACAACTTCGAAACAACTACAACTACGATCTGAAATACTTATTTCCAAATGTGTCTGAAAATATGAGTATATCAAAAGACAAAGAAAAAGCTAAGCGGGAAACAGTAAATTCGCCTCGAGCTTTAGGTGTAGAGACTGTTGATGCTTCATTTGTGGCACTGTATACACTTTTCTGATCATTGTTACGAGTGATTTGTCTTTTTCCCCGATCAGCTAAAGCACAGGAGATAACTTATAACAGGAGCCAAATTTGATTGTTTGACTTTGAAGCATTGATGACGTTGTAAAGCGTACTTCATGTAGTCCATTCCCCTAGAGTTTTTGGTTATGCGGTTAGCCAGTCGCTCCTTCCTTCCAAAAGATAGATATAATTAACTTAAATAGAAGGAAACGCTCTTTAGTCAGACTTTAGTTGTTTGACGCACCCGACTAAAAAGCAAACATCTTCCTGACAACTCACTGATGACCACATTTCACCCCTGCTAGCTTCGCATCACCTCTGCATCCTCATCCATGAAGCCCCTCTTTCCCACTGTCATTTCCATTTTTTCTATCCTCCACAGATATCAAATATCCTATAGTCCACCCAACTCCAGTTTTCGCGGATCAAGGTGTCCTTCGACACGCCGTTCAGATTCATCGACTGACTTTTATCTCAGTAACCACAGGCAGCAGAAGAGTTCTGCCCAAGTGCGAAGACGACGTGATGGATCATAGAAGACTTTCCCGGTGGTACGTACCAGCTAACAACATCATGATCCCATCTCCAAGCCTTACTAACACAATCTGGAATAAAGGTACAATACCCTGCCCTCACGGATCGTGGATCTTGTTGGGGATTTCGCGGGAGATGAGCTCTTCGTCATTGAAGGGGACTCACTTCTGCTGCACTGCTTTTCGAACGACAAACTCGACTTCTTCAAAGGATTTCAACCGCTACATGCTACTTACCTTGTGGAGAAGCTGATGCAAAAGCTCCAACATCGCAAGTGTGTTTTTCACATTGTGTTTTTTGCCCGAAACTATCGATGTTGCATTCCAGCAACAGCCCCAAGCGGTATTCATGACAGATATCTGCTTGCCCGAGAAGCTATAATCCAACACCTCGTCTCGGTTTCACGTCAATCCTCATCTTTCTTTGCCGCACACAGATTTGATAGTTTTTATTCCGATGGATTCACAGACTACTTTACAAAGTCAGGGGCTTATCTATTTATGTGCCACGATGGGGCATTTGCTCGCAGTGAAGAAGACGAAATTGGCGAGGACGACAGCGACGAAGAAGATAGCAACGATAACGACAGCGACAAGAACGACAGCGAAGAGGAAGACAGTAGAGATGCTAACGAGAGCGGAAATGAGACTGCTACCATATCTAGAAATTGTCACCATCAAGCCTCACAAATCTGTTCACATGAAGTGACTTCAAAGATCAAACTGCGCATGATGATCCGATGGCTCATTGCCCATGGGCACAACATCGCTCTCATCAATAACCTTGTGTTTCGAGATACCAAGGTTTGCTCTCATAGCCACTGGTAACTAAATGGCTAAACACTAATGAGATCCAGGCCATGGTGATGGTTATTGAAGGCTCACGCAAGAGAATGAAGCAGACGAACTCTCCATTGGTTTCCCAGAAAGCCTCTCCTATCCCAGAGAGACAAACCCATCTAGATGCAGCTTTTGAGTCACCCGTGAAAAAGGAGATACCTCCGAACGACCCCAAAATGGAACACCAACACATCGTTGCTGTACCCGACTTGGAGCCGGGAAGCCACGACAATAAAGAAATACCCTCCGTTAATACCATTGACCGAGAAATGCTCGAGAAAGTGATTTGTACAAAGTCAGAGTTGACACAGAGCCAATGTCTCATGGTTGTGGCCCTGTGTATTATGTTACGGGATGCCGATGCTCATGTTTCTGTCAGGCCTATCGAAGCTCAATCCATGATTTTACATCTCGTACTTCTACAAAATATCAAGCTAACTGACAGAGCAATTCGAAATGCTAGCCAGAGATGCGTGCCTTTCTTCGATGACTTTTTGAGAACGGCGAGTGCTTTGCTCTCTTCGGTCTCTTGGGAGGCAACAGTGGCTAAGCATAACTCAATCTGCGATCTTTCGGACTTCGTGGATGAACGACTGTTCTTTGAAACCTGGATGATGATGAACTCGCTTGGCGCTAAGAAAGCCATCTCGCCTCTCGTGGAACGGCAATACAACACTCTCGCATCTTTGGTAGACTGTTTTTGTGGCACCACGTTGAATTGTATGTCAACAGAAACGCTGCAAGCCAATACTGAATCCACTGCTTCTTCGGGATCGATTGCCCTTGCGACAGTACTTCCATTTGAGGACCCTGTATTCAATGCTCACCTGCAGCCCGTCCGGCTATTGGTTGACAAGTCTTTCGACTCGAGTGATGAGCCTGGAATTGCTCGAACCTTCAAAGATCATACCCACTGGCATAGCTCTAGAACACTTGACCGAAAAGCGAAAATGACTTTACCGCCCAAGGTAGTGAGGCGGGGTTTAAGAAAGAATCAGTTCTTTATGGCAGAAATGATGGACTATGCGGAGAGTCTTTCAGGTTCTGCAGGATTGTTGAAACCAGAGACAGTGGTTGTTGAAGCCCCCAGCACCTTACAGCAAACGTCTAATTTGAAAAAAAGCCATGGTGCCAGATACTCACCTTCTCTGAAATCAAAAAAGTGCAAACCCAGTTCTGGCACTCCGAGCATCAGAGAGGTGGCAGCTGCAACCATTCGCCAAAAACAAGATAGAGATGCACAGAGCCATAGACAGAGATGGAAGAATAAGCAGCAGGAATTTGGACAGATTGCTGATCTGCCGAGTCGCTTTTTGAGAGTCAACGAGTACCTGTACAGTTTGCCCGATGCCACCCGCCAGACATTGGCCGCTGAAGTCCTCATGTATGCACTCGATACACTAGTCAGACTTATAATTGCCGAATTCAAGGGCAAACACGGAAACGAACATATCTCAATAGCAACAAGAGCTTGGGAAATCATCGCACGGCTCACAAAGCTGAAGCAGGGTGTCTCTGCTGAGATTGTCACTCATGTTGGGGCAGTGTGCAAACTATTTCAGCTCCCACTTCCCCATCTCCAGGTCCAAAACCAAGATTCACTCAGCTTTGTGGTGTCTAAACCATCGAACCTGTTTTCTGATGTCAGTGTAGGGATGTCCCCGGCCGAATTTCAGCTTTTGTATGGAGGCCCTTTCATGGACCGAGGCATGGACTCACTTCCAGACATCCGGACACCAGACTTTGAACCAGATCGCTGGCAGCGTGATGTTCTGGATCAAATTGACGCTAAGAAGAGTGTCCTTGTGGTGGCTCCTACTAGTGCAGGAAAGACATTCATATCGTGGGTTTCGGATCGGCTTCACCAAATTGAAATGACTAACATGAATTAGTTTCTATGCAATGAGACAGATACTGAAAGAGGATAATGAAGGTATTCTGGTCTATGTCGCTCCCACAAAGGCGCTGGTCAATCAAATTGCGGCCGAAGTACAGGCTCGATTTTCAAAATCGTATCCTTCCAAAACAAGTGGAAAGTCAGTGTGGGCCATTCATACAAGGGATTATCGCATCAATGAACCCATGGGCTGTCAGATTTTGGTCACTGTTCCACACATTCTTCAAATAATGTTGCTCGCGCCGTCGAATGCGAATGCATGGACTCCGCGCATTAAACGAATCATCTTCGACGAGATCCACTGCATAGGTCAGGCAAACGATGGCGTTGTCTGGGAGCAACTTCTACTTCTGGCCCCATGCCCCATTATCGCCCTTTCAGCGACCGTCGGTAATCCGCAGGAATTCTACAGCTGGCTCCATCGTGCGCAAGGCACAAATGGATTTGACCTGAAGATCATACAACATAAGCAGCGATACTCAGATCTGCGCAAATACGTCTACCGTCCTCGGAATTTCATGTTCACGGGGTTTTCAAAATGTCAAAGCTTGCCACGCCTTGGTCTGGATGAGGCAGAAGATATGGAGTTTGTGCACCCCGTCACCAGTCTGCTGGATCGCTCGAGAGGAATGCCGGAGGATCTTGATCTTGAACCGCGCGACTGTCTGACGCTATGGAAGGCAATGAGAGACGTACAGACAAATTATTTCCCTGTTCATCATTCTCTTGACCCTTCTGTTATATTCTTGAATATCATCATTCAAAAGAAGCACGTCCTTGAATGGCAAAAGAAGCTCAAAGCTTTGTTGGGGGAGTGGATGAAAGACCCGAATTCTCCATTTGAGCTTCTCTTATACCGGCTGGGCCAGAAGGATAGTCAACCATCGGAGGCAGGTGTTGACCTGCTGCATAACCCTCCTGGACTGCCTCATACTTTTTGCAGAGATGACCCGGGGCTTTTGGACACAACTCTGCCCTTGATTTTCTCACTTCACTCTCAAGGCGCTCTCCCTGCTCTTTTCTTCAATTATGACCGAGCGCAATGTGAAGACATATGTCACAATCTTTTAAACCAGTTGCAGTACTCAGAGAATGAATGGAAGGATAACAGTTTGACTTGGAAGACAAAGATTGAAAAATGGAACAAGTGGAAATTTTCAAAAGAGCAGGCTGACAAGAAGACTTCCAAATCGATGAAGAAGAAATCAAATGGAGATGACCAATGGTCTCGGGAAGATCAAATTAGGGAGTCAGCATCAGCAGAGCACAGTCACTTCGAATCTTTTGATCCAGAGAGGCCCGTGGATGGTTTCCATTTGGCCAATTACAAGATGCTGCCGTCGGAATTCCCCAGCTACGTCCGTGAGCTAAGGAGACTCGAAACTCAAGAATGGTTGATTGAAGCTCTCGAGCGAGGTATTGGTGTTCACCACGCCGGCATGAACCGCAAATACCGCTATGTTTGTGAAATTCTCTTCCGAAGAGGTTTCCTACGTGTTGTCATTGCCACTGGTACTTTGGCCTTGGGCATCAACATGCCGTGTAAAACGGTTGTGTTTTCTGGGGATTCCATCTTCTTGACAGCCCTAAACTTCCGCCAAGCTGCTGGAAGAGCTGGACGCCGCGGATTTGATTTGTTAGGAAATGTTGTATTCCAACTTGTCCCTACTTCGAAAGTGAAACGGCTCATCAGCTCGCGACTTCCAGACCTCAACGGGCACTTTCCAATTACAACAAGCCTGGTTTTGCGACTCTTCATCTTGCTGCAAGGTTCGAACAGATCTGCTTCTGCTGTCAGATCGATAAATTCCTTGCTGTCAGCCCCGCGAATTTACCTTGGTGGCCCCGAAATGAAAGAAACCGTGCTTCACCACCTCCGGTTCTCGATTGAGTATCTGCGACGGAACGGCCTCCTTGATAGAAATGGGTCACCTTTGAATTTTGCCGGCATTATCTCCCACTTGTATCATACCGAAACTGCCAGCTTCGCTTTCCATGCTCTTCTTCGTGCCGGATACTTTCACAGATTGTGTAAGAACCTAAGTACAGACACCAAAGGCACACTACGCAATTTGATGTTAGTTATGTCTCATCTCTTTGGCCGACATCCACTTCGTCTGTCTACTCTCGAGTCATACAAGTCTAGCGAAAAGAAAGCATCATCGATTGTCGTCCTTCCACCTTTGCCCAAGCGTGCAGCTGCCGTATTGGCTGCGCATAATGACCAAGTTCTCAAGATCTACACTGGTTATGTGACCAGCTTTATCAATCAACATGTCAAAGGGGAAGATTGTCAGTTACCATTCAGTGGCATCAAATGTGGCGGGGATCAATCGGCCGCAGTACTCGGTTTGTCAAAGGCAAATCGCATTACCACTATGGTCACATCTCCATTCTTTGCTCTCTCTGGACATGAAGACAATTGGAATTCCATTTCAGACCTCTGTGAGACAGTTCGCAGCGGTGTTTGGCTCGAAGAATCCGTCATTCCCTACCTCTGTGCATCCGGCCCAGAATATTCCACTCCACTGAATGCATATCTGCTCGACTTTTTCAAACACGGAAGCGTCCGTCAGCTGGAGACTGCAAACCACATCCGACGAGGAGACATCTGGTTTGCATTAAATGACTTTTCTTTGATATTAGCCACAATAAATACCAGCTTGGAGAACTTTATCAGTCCTCGGGGCAACATGGATACAGACATGCTTAATGTTGTTGGTGGAGGAGACGCACATGAGATGTCGGTGGACGGTCAATATTTTGATGAAGAAACCTCTAAACAGCAGGAGACGGAACGTCAGCAGCCAGGTGAGACTGAGCGCGAGGAGGCAGAGCCTCGGGTTCCCATCGCGAAATACAAAGCAAAAGCTACAGTTGAAAATTGGGAAGAAGAGATGGATGAAGATTCTGAGGATAGCCAGATCAAACATCGCTCCCCCAGGTCGTTAAAAAAGGAGGCTAAACCAAAGGCCCAGAAGGAGGAGATTTCGGACAAGTCAATGGTTCTGGTTGCCCGAGGGTTCCGGATGCTTCAAGATGAGTTCGACAGGAAGTTCAGGGAGATGTGGGCTTGATGCTGCATCATCCATAATTCAGTTTTGTTTGTATCTTCATCTTGTTATGTCAAGCGAATATCTAGATTGTTAGCAAATGCAAGAAGTACTGTATGTTAAGCATGAAATCATCTATTTTGATAGAATAGGATAGCACCCACAAAACAAAAAGAACCAAGACACAAAGCAGCTTTAACATAATAAGGGATACACTGGAGCATATTTCTCGTCCTGAATGGAGGCTGTCAGACTTTCAGTCCCTAAAAATTGTCAGCATCCATCTATTACGGTCAGAATCGTAACGGAAACAGACCTTTATTCTTCAATTCGATATTAACAACAGGACTCAACCCAAGTCCTCGTCGAACATGAGAAAGATAGGTGGCGCACTCATGATATGAGCAGTAATATCATGATCTGGAAGATTAGACTTCAACTCATTCATTTTTGATCGCCCATTCATAAATCCAATAGACTCCTCCAATATCCCACGTTTCACATTCGCAGAAAAGTTTTTGCCCGTAATCTCTGGGGACGAATTGAGAATATCATTCATGGAGTATGACTCACAAGGCGCTTCAGGAATTTTCAAAGCCTCTACATTCCGAAAAACATGAACATCAAAATGATTTTCACTCCCAATGGTGGATTTCGAAGTTATTCCGGATTTCGGCCTGTCTTCTGATTTCCGACAGTCGGCAACAAGCGTCTAGAAAGGACCACATTTTATGTCGTGGGACTCGTGCTTCACTCGGCCAACACCCCGGTACAGGTCAGGTCCTATTTCCACAGAACTGCGTCGGGAGAACCCTGCATGGAGGAGGTTTAACTGGACCAGACATATTGAATGGACTCCCCGATATGCAGTCATGAGGATAGCGCAATCGTACTCTCCCATTCCATCCATAAGCTTGGTAAAGTCTTTTTCAGTGTAGGAATGACTCGCGGAGTATTCCTGTCCGAACATTCGCTTATAGTCATCGTCATTTAATGCATCGTAGAACCCGCTAACTGTGGTGAAGCTGCTGATAACCTCGAGTCTGTCGGGGACCTTCGGGCCTGTCATATCCGGCCCCCAGCTGGCCATCATAAAGTGAGAGCAGATATCCAGCAGGTGGTAGCCGCTGTGAGAAATCTTTCCATATCCATCCTTGAAGGTGTGGTAGTCCTGCTCCACAATCTATATAAGGTCTCATGTTAGCTGATAATGGATATTGGTTGAGGAGTGGCAGGAGATACCTCTTTTGGCATACGCCAATTACCATCACAGTGACTGGAAGAAATACTCGTGATAGGACACCCAGCAAGCGTTTGGATCTGTCGAATTTTATCCGTCACGAAGTCATAAAGTGGATGGTATCTTCTGTGACACTGAATGAGGAAGCAGGTCTGCTTCCGGCTCTGAAGTTCGTCGTATGCATTCTGTAACTCTTCATAGTCTTCGGCAATACCTTTAGCCGCAGTTATGCTGGTGCACGCATGTTTTCGAGCCGTTATGGGCTTGTCCATAATCACATTCAACCCCTGTTCCATGGCCCATAGTCCATAGGCTTTGTGGGCCACTGGCTCAGTGCTGATAATAACACAGTCTATGGTCAAACGATGTATCATCCAATCCAGTTCAAATTGTACTCTCGGGGGCATTTTTGTCTCGAAAAGAGGTACAAACAGAAACTCCAGGTGGGGGTACAACGGCCGTAGATGCTCGTTTCCATAAACTTCAACGATGGCCACAAGTTTGGCTCGGCCTTTCCCGTCTAACTGTTGTAGATGGGGTATGTAGGTCTTTTGGGCAAAGAGACCTGCTCCGACGAGCAGATATCTCGGTGTTTTAATTGTCATTGATGCGGCGAACTGGTTCTCTCTATGCGAATGCCTTTGATGGGGAATACGGTTAGCTCGAGTGTTCCACGAATCGGGGTCATACAGCAGTACCTTTCTCGTCTGTGTCCATGAACAATTTGATTTGAGGGTGGGTGAGAAGTTCCTCGCCTTTTATGTTCTTCAAACCCATGAGCATCTACAAATGACATGTCGCCCTCGGTTGGCAGACGCGTTTCAGAACTAAAATTTTCCGAAGTATATCATCCTCTGCCTTGCTGGTCATATCTGGCGATCGATGGAATCGATCCAATTAAACTCATTCATTTCTAGTTTGTCACGAAGCTCCTGGTATCCTACCTAACCTCTCGATTAACTTTCGAATAAGTCTTTGCTAGGCAACCCTTCTCCAAGTAACGTTACACAATATTTGTTCCTATGCATTGAAATCAACCTATGAAAAAAACACGTCTGAAGTATACGCCATCGCATTCCGGTTATATCGTAACGATAACCGGACATGGACACATTAAGGCGAATGTAAATACCACTGGTGGTTGCACGACATATAGATACGTCAACAACGACTCCGAATGGTCATGGATTTGAAAACCAGCATAACTACTTTGGAGATGATTGGCCGTTGGCAATAATCTGCAAAGTGAAATTCGTTACCGACAAATGCACATCGCTCGAAAGAGAAGAGGGTCAGTGTCCCGGTATAGCCGCAGACATCCGAATCTCACCCCATGATCGATCTATGTATATCCACCCCATAACATCATAACTCCACGATTTGTTTTTTCTTAAAAACTGGGTCATTTCTACGGAATCAGTATTCGAGTCAATATTCCGCCACGAAAGCTTTCTCGAAATCGTTCTCTACAGCCTCAACCCTCCCATAACCACCTCCCCAATCCCAAAATGGACATATCCATAGAAGAAATCAACACTCGGTACCGAGACCCGGTGACCAAAGCCGCGGGCCAAGTCCCGGAGAACAAAACCACCCTAGCGACCATCGACACTTTAAAATTAACCCGACATATTGAGGGGGGCTACTTCGTCGAAACAGACCGGGACAAGAGCCTCACGACCAATGCCGCTGGCGAAGAGCGGTCCATGTCGACTAGTATCTTCTACTTCATCACACCGAACACTCCGATCGGGGCATTCCATCGTAATGCAAGTCGTACCGTGCACACGCTACACCAGGGACGGGGTATCTATATTATTTTGGTTCCTCTGGGGCCTAATGGCAGTTTTGAGGATTTCCGGATTGAGACATTTGTAGTTGGGCATGATATCGGGAATAGGGAGCGGTTGCAGTGGATTGTTGAGGGGGGTTGTTATAAGGCTAGCTTCTTGGTTCCTCGGGAGAATGAAAAGTTGGATGATAGTTCTGGGTTGCTTATTAGTGAGGTGAGTTCTCCCTATCTCTGATAGTACTGGCGTTTGTTGTTTGTTTGTAAACTAATGAGAAATAGACTGTTGTTCCCGGGTTTGATTACAGAGATCATGATTTCCTCACCACTGAGAATTTTGAGTCTTGGGTTAGTCCGGAATTGTTTCAGCAGCTGCGGTGGCTAGTCAGAAAAGAGTAGACCGCATGAGCCTCTGAGGGCCATGGTGGTATGCCGTCACGTCTATCCGCAGATTGGTCTACAATAAGCATTGCCAAAAACCTCATACTGAACCAAAAATAATAATCATTTGATAATGGTCACAATCGGCCCTGTGTAGCAGGTCCGAGAAAAGAAAGTCACATACACCGTAACTCCAAAAAAGACACGAGAGTCCAACTCTCTTTCACACGCAATCCCAGCAACCAATTTGTAAACAGAGAAAACTCCTACCAAGCAATGGTCAGAAGCATGCTTTATGCTTAGGTCCAAAAAGAATATAGCAAAAAGGTACAAAAGGTAGAGCATTTAGCACTGGCCGGGGAAGGCACGGCTGGTGACGGGGTTGGGGAAGACACCGGCACCGATCTGCTTCTGCATGTCCCACTCGGGGGCACCCTCGGTCTTCCAGGTCCAGTAGAGCCAGCCGGTACCGTGCTCATAGGCATCGAGTTGACCCTCAATGAAGCGACGGATGTTGTTCCGGTCATCATCAGACAGTGTCTCAATGGATCCAACAGACTTGCCATCACAGCTGCCAACAGCCTTGCTTCCGGGGTAGGTACCGTCATATCGGGCGCCAACGCCCTTTCCGTTGAGGTACTTGGCACAATCAGTCATGGCACCGGTCCATTCACCGACGATAGTCCACTTGTCGGAGGTCTGGACGTGGTCCTTGGAGAAGCCGCAGACATTCTCGACGTGGGCATTGATGTCCATGGAGAGAAGACCGCTGTCAAACACCTCGTAGTGGTGCGTGTCCATCATCACATACCACACACCAGTGGACTCGCTCATGAAGCCGTTCCATGACTCGGTGGGCATGAAGCCGTCGTGGAGGACAACAGTGGTGTCCTGGCTGGTCTTGCGGGCAGCACCCCACGAGTCGTAGTAGTACTGCTTGAGACCATCTTGGTTGACGCCTCCAGGGACGTTGGGCTCGTTCAACGCCTCGATAGCGGTGACGACATCTCCATCGTTGCCATAGCGGGCGGCCAGAGCTTCAAGGGCATCCTTGGTGTCGTTAACAGTGTTACCCTGTTGCCATTGGATTGCACCTCGCTTGCCGCTGTTGTCGAACCCGTTCTGGGAGCCGGGCGCTGTGACTCTGGTTAGCGATGACTATGCTGACGGGATATCGAAACACGTACCACCGTGCAGGTCGACAATGACCTTAAGGCCAGCAGCGCGGGCCCAGCCGACAGCTTGGTCGAGGTACTCCAGTTGACCATCGACGTACTGATCTCCGTCGAGATGCTTCAGAGCCCAGTAACCAACGGGGATTCTGACGTGGTTCATGCCAGTTGAGGCAATCTGGTTGAAGTCATCAGCAGTGATGAAGCTGCTCCAGTGCTGCGCCAGAAGAGACCGGCACTGGTCTGCGCCAACAGTCTCACAGAGAGACCACTCATCAACGGCGGCATCACCAGCTGCATCGAAGATAGATGGAGTGATCCATGGCTCCAGCACCAGCCAGCCACCAAGGTTGACACCGCGAACCTTGTCGTTTCTGTAGTCAAAGTTGAGGCTCCTATATATCAGAGTAAGTAAATATAGTGGGAAGGACCTGTCACAAGCTGTGAAGGTAAAAGCAAGTGTCACTTACACTGTAGGTGTGGCTTGCGCCAAGGCCGCCAAAAATGACAGGCCGAGCACCGCTTTCTTCTGCGAGGTCTTGGATGGCATACTGAAAATTCTAAACTTAGTTAGGCCCCAAAGTCAGGAGGTTGGGCTTCGGGAATGAGGAATGAAAGATTTGTGTCAAATGGCATGGAGATCGGCTGCTATAAGTAAACCTGAGTGGATTGATGGCTGAACAGGTAGCCGAATGCAGGCAAACAAGAGGTTACTTGGGCGAGAACGGAAGCCCCCACGAGGATTGAAGCAAAAGTAACATACCTGTGCTGGAGATCCTTCCTATAGCAGGTCTGAATCAAGCTGCTCGGTCGAGCTGGGGAATGTGGATGTGCTGAAAGCGGCGGGTTGTAGATCAGGTCGTCTGGGGTCCGGGGTTAATAAAGGCACAAAGGCCTTCTTCGACGGGTAAGGGTCACAATGGATGCTCACTCCGGTTAGACAGTGGGGTCTATGACAGACAATTTCTGATGCCACACAAAAGTTCTACGGTCACAGAAAATATGGGTCAGGCCTGAACAAACAGTTCGGGATCACAAAGGGGACTGAGATAGGCAAGGAGAAGTGAGACAAGAGACTAACGCTGATTTGAAAGCGGCAGTTTCGTTGATGTCGTCGTCATTATGTGGTCTGGAAAGCGCGACCCGATATCTGGGGAAGTTATCCTTCATCTTCAACACAATTTTCGATTTTTCCCCAGCCAAGCCATTGTGATCTCGACTAGACAATTTCAATTTAGACCAGACGAATCTCCCTTTTGCATAAGCAAATCGTTGAACTCATACAGAAAAAAGAGCAAAGCTGCTTGCAGTGATCTCACATTCCAGTCGGCACATGGTTCTCCGTGGAATGTCTTGGCATTGACCTCCGGCTCAACGAGTTTAAGTTTGCGTGGTTTAGTATAGCTGCAATGGGTTAAAGCCATCGCAAGTAAGACCTAAAAGCCTTGTGGTCACGAAGCCGACCGGCTCATCTTGAGTATGCAATGTTGGAAAGGCTAGATCTATACACCGAAGCATAGAGATAATAAGTTAATCTGCGACAATGCCTTTTGGAGAGACTCTGCAGCATTCCGCACTGCGAAGATCTAGAATTCGATGTCACTGACGGCAAATCATCGGCCTTGGGTGTACCCGTGAGGTGTGAGGTATGGGACGTATAGCCAAGAAGTGTCAAATGCTCTTCTTCCGTTCCCGGCCACAAGCGCATTGTTCCCCGCCAATTGACGATGCCGTGAAGATCAAGGTTGTGGCGTGCACCGTACTCCGCTTCGTATATCCAGCCTATAGGTCACAGTTACACCCTCATCATAAAGGTGGTATCATCCAAGGGTCAGGACCCAGCAATCCATGGCAATCTGCTCGGTACATCGACGACTCGGGTAGAAATATGGGTCCCCGTGTGGTACTTTGATTCTATTCAACTTTTTTGTGTCATTCCTGTAACCCTAGGGTGTCTTATCGTAGAGTATGAAAGAATGTGAAGATTATCGGAATGTTCATCACGTTTCACGATTGTTCACCGTGGTGGTCCGAGCGCCCGACGGGTCAATGAAAGGGCAAGTAGATGCGGACTGTTGTTCTAGTACAGTTAGAATTTGAATTCAATTGGGAAAAGAAACAGCAAGTCCATAGCCATCCTTGCTATTTTGAGACGATGGAACGATCTGTTTCGAACAAGCAGGGGAAATTACACAGCGAAGCCTCCTCATGACATATCTTTATGCATTAGACTGGCGCTCTCGGCGCTGACGACTCACCATCCGGAATTACTCTGCTCAAATGTAGCTGAAACTTTCATAAGCAAAAAATCTCGAGGAAATTAACCGAGAAGACTTGGAAAGGCTAACACGGTGGTCGACGTCGTCGAAAGGAGCTTTGACCTCCCGTCAGCGACAAATTGCCCGAGTCAAGTGCAATATTTAGTTCCAAAGTAATATGTTCATCTAAACTCCCCACTAACAGGAGAATCATATGTAATGATAAACAACACCAAACATGTTCAATCATATTGTCAAGAATCGCTTCTTTGGTACCGCAGTTGAACTTTGATGGGATTGATGCAAGATGTATAGAATATAGGAAAGCGAGGCTAGTAACTACTTCGGCAAAAAGGACAATGAGCTCTGCCACGTAATCATATATGCAGGTACACCGGTGATTAACGCTGAACCATTTCATTAGCTGCTCTCTTGTTCAAGGCTATCGTCGTTACATACAGAAGTGCACAAGCGTGCCTCTGCCCGGGCGCAAAGGGATTCGGATGACATAACGGTATGGTAATATTACCAACAGAGTACACGCTACTTAGGCATTTGGTCGCCAGGTTACCAGCATTCTGACAATACTAATACGGGATCGGATCATCGCTCAGTTTTAGGGAGTACGCAAAACATAAATTATGCACATCATCTGTGAATAATGAAAGCAAAAATGTTAAAGCGACGTCGGACTTGGACGGAATCATTGAAAACCAGAGCAGAGCAGCTAAGCAAGCACGTTCTTCAACACAAGCATAGAATAGGCGGGTGCATGCCCTGATGGGCGCCGCTCATTGGAGCCGAGCAGACACTAAACCCACTTCCCGCGACGAAAAGAGCTCTTAGCTGCCCCCACGTGCAAGACTGGACGATCATGATTGATTTGCGCCTGTCTCTCCCTTCATACACTACAACGCTGAAGTCCTAAAACCCCGACATACGACGTGGAACTTGTAGCTTCCGTGGTTCTAAGCGAGATGGAATTATGATGGCGTTCTCGTGTCGCTTAACGCGTCGGCAAACGCCCATGTATAAGTTAAACCCCAGGTCTGATCATACTAGAGAATCCAGCCTTTCGTTCACCCTTCCATTGCATTGCATTGCATACGCCACTGTCCACAATGGCTACCAAAAGCTTTATCTCTTTAATCGCTCTGGCTGCTGGTGTTGAAGCGGGCGCCATTAAGCAAAGGGCGACTTCTACACAGCCCGATTGGTTCCAGACCTCTCCTGATAACTATGCTGGTAAGTACCGCTTCTGTGATGCAAGTGATTCAGGAGAAGATTAATTGGTCAAACAGGCACTACAGCAACTGGCGCTGCTCCTTTCCTGGCTGCAACAAACGCTGCTCCCTTTGGCGAGCCAACTTACATGCCCAATGCCCCCTTGGAAACATCAGAACCCATCAGTGGAGCAAATGGGAGGAACATCTTCCATCTTATGGGTGATTTGAGGTAATTTCTTGCATGTATATTAAATTCGGCCTTGGCTAACCCCTGGAAAGCCCCTACTTCTCTCCAAGTGAAGGATTCGGAGTAAAGGAATATCCTCTACCCAAGGGCGCAAACATCACCCACATGCACATGCTCCAACGCCATGGCTCAAGATATCCCTCCTCATCTGAAGGACTGGATACATGGGGCGCGGGCATCCAAAAAGCTATTGCAGACGGAGCCGCCTTCAAAGGCGAGCTCGAATTCCTGAACGACTGGTCCTACCAGCTCGGCAAAGAGATCCTCGTCCCAATCGGCCGCCAAGAACTCTTCAACAGTGGCATCCTAAACTACTACAACTACGGCCATCTGTATGACAACTCCTCTAAAATCGTCGTGCGCACAACCCTCCAGCCACGAATGCTCGAGAGTGCAGAGAACTTCCTCGCCGGATTCTTCGGACTGGACTGGACCAAGAACGCCAACATCCTGGCAACAATTGATCCAGCCACTACCGGCGAATACGCCTGCGCCAACGAGGCTACCAGCATGTTCGCCAACATCGCCGAGCCAATCAGTACCTGGCAAAAGACCTACCTGAAAGACCGCACGGAGAAACTCAAGAAACTGACCGGTAACTACAACTGGACCGTGACAGACACGTATCACGCCCAAAGTCTGTGTCCCTATGAGACCATCAGCCTCGGCTACAGCGAGTTCTGCCAGCTATTTAACTACGAAGAATGGGAAGGATTTGCCTACCTCATGGACATAGAGTTTGCCGGCCTTTCCGGCTTTTTGAGTCCCACCGGACGTGCGCAGGGTATTGCCTGGGTTGAGGAATTCCTTGCTCGCCTTGAGGGTCACTACGTCGATGTCCCGACTAAGCTCACCGGTGCCAATACGACATTGGATACCAACCCCGTCACCTTCCCGCTGAACCAGAGTCTTTATCTGGAGTTCACACACGACGCCAACATCGTCTCTGTCTTGACTGCGTTTGGTCTGACTCAGTTTGACGATTCCTTGCCTGCTACCCATCGCCCCAAGAATCAGCAGTTCTCTGCGAGCAAGCTTGTTCCTTTTGCAGGCCGGTTGAATATTGAGATTATTACTGCGCCTCACCAGGTTTCGACCAAACGATCCGGCAAGGCTGGAAAGAAGTCTACGGAGTATGTTTCTGGGACGGGTGAGACGAAGTATGTCCACTTCATTCAGAATCAGCGCACTATTCCTCTTCACTCTAGTTTCTCTGCCTGTGAATACCGTGAGGATGGGTGGTGTGAATTGTCGACTTTCTTGAAGGTGCAGAAGCATAGTCTGGCCGATGCGCAGTATCCTTATGCTTGTTCTGGAAATTGGACCGTTGGAAGTTGGGGATCTGTTAGAGATGGGGTGCCTGCTTGAGAGATGTATCATGTTTTATGAAAGAAGATTTGTATATAAATAGGCCTGAACATATTTAATCTGGGATAATTATCCATATATCCGTGTCGTCATTTATGAAACTGTAATACACGAAGAATTGCAAATTTATAAATATCAAAGAATGAATAAGTTGGGATTTCTATTCGTTATGTTACACGTCCCGTTCCGGGTGTTGGGTGGTTCTGATCGAGCAACCCCCTTATAGCGAAAGATAGTCAGTCCTTCTGCTCACTCTTGAGATTCTGAAGCGCCGTCCAGAGGAGTAGAAAGTCCAACACGGTCAATGGTGCGGGTGTAGATGACACCGCCGTTGGTGCGGTCCTCCTGGACGATTAGGTCCTTGCGGTTGGTGTCAACAAGGAGGCGGATCAGGTCGGGGCGCATGTAGTGACCACCCTAGTATCTATGTTAGCCTTTTGTGTGTGGGTATGAAGAAGTAACGTGTGACTTACGAAGTCAGCGAGAGACTTGGTCAGGTGGATCTCATCGAGGTCAATCTATTGGTCGTGTTATTTTCGCATCGTCAAAATATAATAAGTATGAATAACTCACGTCAACATAGAGAAGACCCTGGAAATCCTTGTCCGGGTGAGGAACAAGGTTCTGACCATCAGGACCATAGATACGACCGTTTCCATTGTAGATACGGGGATCCTCGAGCTCCTTTCCGGGAGGGGTGTTGACCTTGATACCCTCAGCGGTGATAGTCTGCCAGGGAGCAAGAGTGAAAGAGCCAGTCTCTATAGCGTAGGCAGGAGTAACGAGCTGTGCAGTCTTGTCAGTCATCAGATCAAGTGTTCGCCTCGGACAAGAAACAAGGGGTTCAGTACATCTGCGTTTGCCTCGGCCACGTTGGTGTAGGGGTCGGGGTACTTGAGAGTCTCCTTGCCGGGGTACAAGGGCCAAGCAGCGATGTGAACCTGCTCGCCGCGGGAGGCGGCGTGGGCCTTCAGGAAGGGGTTCATGTTCTCCCAGCAGTTGAGGTGGCCGATGCGGCCAATTTCGGTGTCCATGACGGACTCGGTGGTGTCGCCGGTACCGTCACCGAAGACGAGGCGCTCGACGTGGGTGGCCTTGATCTTGCGGCGGTGGTTGACGACGTCGCCGGCTGGGTTGATCATAATCTGGGTGGTGTACAGACTGGCGAGATCGACCTCGGAGTAGCCGAGGGACACCCAGATCTTGTTGTTCTTGGCGGCCTCGCGGATGCGGCGCATCTCCTGAGAGTCAGAGGGGAGACTGTTCTCACGGTACTTCTTGAGCAGGGGAAGGCTCTCCTGGTAGTTGACCTTCCAGGCCCAGTAAGGATATCCAGGAATCCCTGTTGTATCGGTTAGCTAAAGATTATCGCTTTGTATAGATGATACTTACAAAGCTCAGGGAAAGCAATCAGTTTGCAGCCATTCTCGCCGGCTTCGTTGATCCAGTGGATGGTGCGGCGAACAGACTCCTGAAGGTCGAACCAGCCAGGCTCAGCGTTGACGGCTGCGGCCTTGTACTTTTGGAGAGCGGGAACCATGATGAAGAAATTCTTGTTTTGCTTTGTGATCGGAGCTAGATGATTGTGATGTAGGATGATAATTCCTTTGTTGGCCGAGGAAACAGGCTCATTTTATAGATTCAAAGGCACCTTCGTCAATCTACTATGAAACCATCACGAGTGCCCCAAACCCCGAGATACAGAGTGAGAAGGATGCATCAGCAGATCCGGAAGCCCTCGGATTCGGGAAATGTTTCTGAGGTTGGGATTCATGTTTGCTCTCACGTAAAGTGGTGAAGTCGGGAAGTACAGGCGCACGTAGCTCACCCCGGGATTTGCTTAGGTGCGGTATCATGCCATGTGAGAGGCCGTGCCGATATGTGGAAGTTTAGTGATTCGCAGCTTAGCTGCAACTCGATATTGAATCCGGGGTTTGCGGGGTCTGCTTTTCTTCACATCAGGCCATGAAGGGATTTGCCGTCCTGAATCCCGAAGTTATACAGGGTTGCGTGTCAGCCAAATGCCGATCCTATCTCAATTTCGAGAACAATTGAGCAAGTTATACTTGATACACTTGGTTGAGAAAGTGTTAAGCTAGTTGATAGAAACTTCATTTGCACGTAGGCCAAATTTTCATGCTTGCTTCTTTGGACTGGGTGAGGGATATCTATAAGACTAAACGAGTCACACAGGCTAATCATATTATTTTGGTAGAAGCGTCACTTCTGAATGTTTTCAAAGATATTAATAGTGCATTCAATGAGTTCATGAGGAGTTTTCATCGGCGAAAAAGAACAAACAAACAGCTATGTCACCTATCAACTTCACTCGAGATCCCGAGCTAAGTAGACTGCAAAAAGCGCGAGATAAGAGTATTCCGTTACTGGGAGCCGATGATTATTCTATCTAAAACTAGCCCAGATCCCGCAAGATTGGGTGTCCTGATGTAAGTTCGTTGAAACATTAGATCGTACCCAGGAACCACTTCGGGGTTTGCACGATAAAGCAGCCCGATTAGGCTTGTGATTCCCATGCCCATATTTCCAGGGCTCGCCCAACCGTTTACAAAGCTCGGACAACAGCTCATACGCCGTCGGATGGCCGGTTCAGTCCTCAAAAAAAGTGTGGAATTATTCAACGATGGTGTCTGTGACTTCTGTCTTGTATACATGTCTCCGATAATGAATCGGCTAGGCCTTTATCCCTGCCAGATATTCCTTACCGAACGGGTAATCCGAATAGCCCAGCGCCGACTCAAATGAATAAAAGCTCTCTCTGTTATAGACATTGAGCTCCAGACCCTCCTTGATCCTGTATACTAGGTCCGGATTTGAGATAAAGTGTCGACCAAACATGACCACAATATCTTTGCGCGGGTACGTTTCATTCACGAGCATCTGTGCCTCCTGTGGAGTATATCCACCAGCAACGAGAAAAGTCCCATGCCAAAGATCGTATGCAAAGTCCAGCCGGTCGTGACCATCATAGTCCGTGGAGCCAGATATCCGCGACTCCACGAGATGAAGATAGGCGACATCTGACCGACTAGCGTTGTTAATTACATCCCTAAATTGCGGGATTGGGTCTTCCATTCTCATACCCTGGAACGTACTCCAGGGACTCAGACGGAGCCCGACACGTTCAGAACCGATGGCATTGACGACGGATTCAATCACTTCACTGAGAAGACGAGATCTGTTCACGACACTGCCACCATACTCATCGTCACGTTTATTGCTGACATCCTGGATGAACTGATCGAGTAGATACCCATTGGCACCGTGAATTTCGACGCCATCAAATCCCGCCCGGAGAGCGTTCTTCGAAGCATCAATGAAATCCTGAATATTCTGTTTGATTTCCTGAATTGTCATGGCTTGTGGCATTGCAGCACCTTCTTCAATCGGAATAGCACTAGGTGCAACGATAGGGAATCCCTCCTTTCGGGCCACTGCGACATCCGCAGCACGGCCCATTGCAAATAGCTGGCAGTATATATAGCATCCTTTGCGATGGACTTCATCGGTGATGGTTCGCCAGGCATCGACTTGGTCTTCACGCCAGATTCCCGGTGCGTGGGGGAAGCCGCCGCATGTTGCTGATATGAAGGTTCCTTCGCTGATGATCAAGGTGCCGGGCACAGCAGCTCGTTGACTGTAGTATTCCTTCATTAAGGGTGTCGGAACTCGATCTTCGGTTGCTCTGAATCGAGTGAGGGGAGCCATTCCGATGCGATGCTTGACTTCTATATTGCCTATCTGGAGAGGCTTGAAAAGGCGTGATTGAGGCATGGTTGCGGATCTTTGAATATAATAAAGTTGAGTGATGAAAAGACCACTGCAAATTTTGACATGTCTCGGTATTTATATCTGTTTCTCAAAATCATAGCGTAATGTTGAGATGAATGATAGATAATCTTTTATACAGTTAGGGCAGCGAGATGCTTCCCAAAAGGGAAGAGAGATATCTCCAATTAGGGAAAGGTCGATCTTGCCCGGTGTTAACCAATCATTTCCGAGTGATGGGGAAAGGCCCAGCCAATCTCTGCGCTCAGGTATTCCAACAGGCCCGGGATTTCGGGTTAGTAGTCAGCGCCCGATTACAAATGCATGAGATTCAATCTTTGAACTAGACAAGGCACTATCCAAGCTATGGACTGAAGAATAATATTGGTCATTTGCTAGATTTTCATAGGTGGTAACAAATCACCGATTTTGTAGCTTGTCAACATGACTGATGAAATAAATATACATACTTCGGGGAGCAACCCACAGTTGAGAAAATTAAATATGACTCTCTTCATAGAACGCTTTGACTTGAGCTTCAAAAGCCTTTTCGGACCAAATAAACTGCTTCAGAATCTCCAGCAAACTAGGCCAAGACGAATAGAGGTTCTCAAGCCGTGTATTGCGATTCAAATGCAACAAGGCCAGGTATGCTGATCGTATGTTTCCAGTAGGAGCAAAAGCCCCCCCAATGTGTAGCAGCCAAGCTAGCAGTTCAGGCCAATCATCCCACAAGAGATCGGGGTTTACTTCTTGTAGCTTACAGAGTAGCTGCAGTGAAAGATGGGACTATGTCATCCAATGTCAGTAAACATCAACAAAAGTCTTGGGTGCGCGAGCAAGTCTTCCATATCGGCTTACCGGAATAGTAGAAGCACGCCAAAGCTTACAGCGCAACATAGTTGAGCATAGATATGCGGCTAGATGGCAACACTCTGAAATGGAGCAGCAATTTGGTAAGCTTACCAGTCTCGACTGAATTGACGCTTGGTGATTATCAATATTTGCCATTGCGATTGTATCCTCTTTACCGAAGAAGGTGGAATCTCGGATACATTGCAACGCAAAGACGTCTTTGAGCACGTCAACAAAGTCCGCACCCAGTAGATGAGAATAAACCTGGAATCCAGGGGGTAGAGCAAAGAAAGATTGAGTGAAAGGATCTCTTTTCCACTGAAGCTCGGAAAAGGTTGTGTGATCAACAACCCGGCTGGACCCTGTCATAACCGAGGCATTCAAGTCTGACCTATTGAAAATTGGCAAATGTGAGAAGGGCTAAACCGAGCGTTTGCGTGGTCACTCACCAGAATATGGCACGTTTGATACCATCACTCAGATATACCCCCTTCCGCCGACATATGTCAAGAAGCTGTTGTATTGCCCCCATATGCAGTTGGACTTGACACGGTATGCCAAGCTGAGCCTGTGCCGTCCACTTATGAGCCATTTGTGATTCCTTGACAAATATATGGAATTGAAGGAGAGAGCATGGTACGAACCTCTACCCCAACTAATAGCAAAATAGCACCCAAGGTCGATTCGGTGGTAGCCATATCTGGAGAACTCATCCTTCGACGAATTGAACTAAGAGCCTGGCCCTGATATCGAAGGCATTCCACATCGATATAACCATCAGTGATTGCAAATGAGATTCTGAGCATAGCCGCACTCAGAAGGGCATGGTCATCCAGTCCTTTCCGGAAAACTGCGGGAAAGTTCTGGAGCACAAGCTCGTCCAAAACGCTGAAGATTGGCTGTTGAGAATGTTGCATTTTGTCTAAGGTATTCAATGTAAGCTTCTCCCCAGCAATATTTGGCACTCATTAAGATCTTACCTTGACTCAATAATGCCCGTAGCTTTGGTGACTCTGCAGCCAGCATCTGGAACGCACTGGACATCCCGGAAAAGGAGACCGATGGCGTAATAAGAGAACCTGACGTCTTCCTCTTGTCCAGACTGCGGCCAGAATCCCCTTTCAATGTTACGGCATGGAAATTGAGACCCGACTTTTGCTGGAGCTTGCGTTTATTCTCAAGGCCTCGAGCTATAGCATGGGATCTGGCTATGCGCTTTGCTCTACGGCCATCTGTGCTTTTGGAAGAAACAAAATGAAATCTGTCATCTGAAGAAGGTAAGCAAATCAAGCTGTTGTCATGGTCTTGAAGCTTGGCATACCTCGACTGGGTTCATTGGGCTTGGCCATTCACGCAAAAGTATATGCAAATCAGGTGCGAATCAAGATTTGAACCCTTTTCAGTGTTCATACATTCAAGTGCAGGTAATGGAATCTTTAATAGTTATACGGTGAAATAGATAGGCCGTTGACGTCGATTCCCAACCAAAACCGTGGCGTGGCGAAGGTGGATTACAAATCCGATTTTGTGTCTCATCTGCGCGCCAAAATCCATGGAAATCGCATTGATTAGATACCTGACGACGTTTGTAGACTTGGATATTAGACTAAAGGATGTGGGTTAATGGACGTGAACATATATATGGTACACATTGATCTAACAGTCTCAATTTAGCAAGGCGAAATCGGCTTCCATAGCAGCCATTCTCAGAAGCCAGTATTTTCCTCATGGCTCCTCACAAATTGAAAGGACATCATCCGAAGAATCCGAATAACACAATTACATGTCCCAAACCGATTTTCTTTCCAAGTTGATATCTTCAATTCGCCTTGTGACACTGTAAATCAGGGTCCAGGTGACGTCGTAAGTGAAACACAGTGAGTGACCAATATAGATCCAATGTAAGTACTACAGATGTACCAGGCTCTAAGCTAATTATCCTCCGTAGTGGCGAGGAAAAAGAAAAGAGAAGAGAGAATACGAAAAGTAAGAAGAAAGTGGCATACAGCCACAAGCCACGTCGGAGTGGCCATTTATTTCGAAAATTCGAGCGACCAATTTTTAACACAAATGATGACTAAATACATGGCCAGTTGAGGTATCATCGCTGTGGGATCCAAGATCCATGCACAAAAGAGCGGATAGAAGCAAACGCGGGTTCGGCATGAGGGTTAATGAGGGTGTAGTGAGGTGGTAGAGGTATAGATAGAGATGAAAAAGGTAAGTCAGGTATAAGATAGATATGACAAGAAACCATTTTGGAGGAGCCAGACACCCCTGAGAAAATGCAGATATATAGTAATACACCTCAACCCCAAGGACGCGGCCATAATCTAATGCCGTGCCGCAATGGAGTTCACATACCACCTGCAGCGATCATACCAGTGACCGCATTTTTCTTCTGTTTTCGTGATAGCACATAGAGAGGGAGGGGGAGATAGAGATAGAGACAGAGAATTAAGAGAGATAGGAAGAGGAGGCAAAAAAGGACAAGAGAGAACAGAAGGGCATGATTTTGGGATTTATAGTGGGATAATGATCAAGTACGAGGCCAAGTCCCCTGAATCGGCGGCAACAGGCCTCCAGATACAGACGCAGATGGGGCAGGAGGCACACCCCGAGCGGTAGGCGGAACAGGAGTAGAAGGGTAAGAAGACGAATAAGCCTGACCTTGAACCTGAACGGGTTCCAACATTCTCGGGGGAGGACCCGCCTGGGCCGGCTGTGTGCCTGACACAGATCGGCCAGAATCCGCGCCTGACCACGTGGTTGGGCCTGCTGGATCGGCATTTGGGACGAGTGCTGGCTGACTGGAGCGTGGAGAAGGGGGTCTTGGGGGCAAGGAGGCCTGGGGGATTGTTCGGCTCAGCTGGTCACGATAGAAATCTCGTTCGGAGTGGTAGTGGTCTCGTTGTTGGATGAGGGAGCGGATCTCGTCGCTTTGTCGTCGGACTGTTTCCATGCTCCGTTGGATTTCCTCTTGCTGTGCTGTGAGCCGCTGCTCCAGTTGCATTTCGTTGCGCTTGCGATTGCGGAATCGGCGCGACGCATCGCTGTTTGCTTTGCGTTTTTCTGCTTGGCTCGATGATCCTGACCGCATGTCTAATACGCATGGTATCATGCCTGGTGGAAAAGCACCGCTTTGTGGAGTTCCCGCTCTGGATGGTGTCTCTTCTGCTTTGATTCTTGGTCCGGCTGGTGCAGGAACACCCCGGCTATGAGGCTCCATTGTCATATATGGAGAAGCCGCTGAATATGCCGGGGCACTGTGTGGAATGGAAACGCTAGTTACAGCCGGAGAAGCACGACCAAACTGGCTGAACGTAGAATGAGGCGTGATTGGGCTCGTTTCTTGGGAATTCGGGTTGGTGAGAGGTCCTGGTCCTGCGCTGGTCCGGCGTGAATGGAGACTAGGCGTAGAATGAAGCGCAGCCGATACAGGAGGCTGCGTGCCTGTAATGGAAGCGATTGAGCGTAGACCTGTCTCTGTTGGATGAGGCGAGCTGGCTGCGGGTGGTCGTGGGCCCATGAAAGGTTCCTGGGGAACTAGAGGTGACTGTGCAACGCTTGATTGACCAGAAGTCCTGCCACCCCCGCCAACAAACCTGGCCGAGGGCGAACCTGGGTTCATGAGAGCTCTTGAATGGGACCTCGGGGACAATGGATGCGGTGCCAATGGTGGACCTGGACGGGCTGTGGGTGAAGAACCTTGTGGTCGAGGTGAGGATGATGGGCCTGGGAGACTGAATGGCTCACGTTTGCTGGAGGGCATCTCTGTGGCTGTCTGTGATGGTGGATTTAAGATTGCATGGACGCCGATAGGTCGCGATGACGGCGACTCTAGCGGCGGTTCTACCGGTCCATATGGATGCCATGACTGGGGTCGGGTCCGAAGAGGTGGCCGACGGGCTGGGACTCGGTTGCCTGCAGGCCCATGCTCGTTGCTGATCGCGCGGTCATCTGCTTGAAGCGCATCTCTAGTCAAGGAACCTGCACGTCGACGATCCTTCGACATAGAATCCGAATCGTCCCCGGCGGACCGGGAATTAGGGCATGACCGAGCCCCCCCTCTCTCCTCGTCGCTGGGGGTCCCTCGAAGAGTATGAGAGAGGGAGGAAGTCGGAGATGGATAGCGGTGATCCGCTGAATAGAGCGACAATGTGGAAGGATGTAGGGGACCGGAATACGGCGCGTTCAACACGCTGATTCCTAGAGCAGCCACGGTGGGTAGATATGAAGTAGAAGTTGGGAAGTACAAGCGCCTCCCAATTGAGGCTAGACGTTTAATGGAGGGATCAATGCGTAAAGTAAAGAGAGAAAAGGGAAAGAAAGAGCAAATGGGGAAAAGGGAAGACAAGCTCTAATAAGAAAGACAGCGGTGAGAAGTGATGTTGTCCACGGAAGTTGGGCATCTCCAGGGAGACTTCTTACGGGGGGAAGATTGGGCTCCTCTTTGGGTGTAAAATAAGAATAGAAAATCAGAAAATACCAAGTAAATACTGAGAAAGTACCAATGAAAATAAAGGAAAATCCTGTATAACTGAAAAGAAGAGGCCGGGGAAAGCGTCATGCACAATCATAGTGCGCCGTAGCCATGGACATGGACAGGGACCGGTGGAGACTGGATTTTCTTCTTCTTTTTTCTTTTTCTTTCCCTTTCCCTGTTTGAGAATTGTTTTCTTTTCTTTTTAGTGCGTTTTAGTCTTTTTGTTTTGTCCTATTCTGTCAGGTTCGGAAGGTTTGGGGGTGATATAGTACATGTGGACTATGGAATGTTCAGGCTCCATTTACGATCTCCATGACGGCATTCAAAATCTACACTAGCTCTCGTGTGATTGTGTCTGATCCATACCGACTCAGGGCTAGGGTGAGGCAATGGATAGTTGCCTGGTCCTGTCAATTTCCGGAAGGCTAAACTCGAAGTATACCAACGTGAGGCCGATCAGAGCCCGGGGGGAGGGAAGAAGGAAAAAGGAAAAGTTTAAGTGATTTGCGTGTCTCAGAAAACCTAATCCCTTCATGTTGTGCATTCCCCGTGTCCCGGTAAAAGGGGCCGTTGCCGGCCGTTAGGGGGGATGCAGGACGTCGGGACACTATTGGCCTTCACCGGTCATTGACGGATCGACATGGTTGGCTGACTAGACTAGAGTGTGGATTCGATGGAGCTGGTCATCGGGATTTCAATTTACGCGAGTATCAGGGGGGAAGCTATGGATGGAGGAGATTCTACGTCATTGGGGGTAACGCAAGAGTGGCCAGGAGTTGTAAGTCTAAAGTACCTGTGTCAGAGACCGTGATCTAGACGCGAAACAAAAACGTAGGAGAGCTGTCAAAATCCAAAGGTATTAAGTGGACAGCTTCTTCTCTATCACACTGTTTCTCCACGATCGGACGTGCGGAAAGGGATCCGGTCATTCCCCTAGCCTCATGATGTGTGTGAGCTGCATGAACGAGTGAATGGAGACAGCAAAGACACCGCGTGGCAAAGGGTCAATTAGGCGTAGATCGACCGACCCACAAAGTGGAGATGAATCCTTTCTCAGCTGAAATTTTGCCGCACGGAAAAGCTCTCTGCTTGACAGCTTGAAAAGGTGATTTTGGATAGATCGTCTGCAGAAGTTTCCGAATCAAGGAAAAAGCTGTCTATGGACGAATCACCAGGCTGGAGGTGAAAACATTGGCGGTCTGATAGATCCAGAGAACATGACTGGTCAGATCTAGGGGCTGAAAGAGAGAAAGTGGCTTGCACCTCAAACGACCAAATCCAGAGTGTCGGGTGTTGACTCCCGCCTAGGCAGGTGGTTACGACTATCCCCGAGAACACCCCGGTTCGGATGCGTGGAACTTACCGAGGTCGTTATAGTGTACTCTATCCTCCGTCCTCTGCACTATATAGATCCGTTCTCGAATTTTCAATAGTCTCTCTGGAGAAATGATGTGTCCCGGGCTCCACTCAATAGCCGGGCAATTTTTAGCCTTCTATAATTGCTTCACCCCCCTTTTTTATTCTTCAGATCAGAAAGAGGCCTGTTCACCGCATGGATCTCCGATTATCTCGTGTCCGCTGCAACCGCTGCAAGCAAAAAAAAAAAGATAGAAAATAAAATAAAATAAAAAGAAGTATAGCTTTGTCCAACACAGAAGATCTAGACCGAAAGTGTGAAGTGCGCATATCTTCATGTAGATCCAAGCCCCAGTCGCTATTCCGCTGTTCTCTTCACCGAGTCCACAGTGTAGCTAGCACACACCGAATAATCAGCAGAGTGCCTGCATCACCCTGCAGGACCCGCAACAGAAAAAGAAACAAATGGGCAGTGCTGGGCCTCGCCCACGCGTGTGTTCTCAAGATCGGACGGATTCTAAATCGGACCCGACAAAAAAAACAAGAATGTATGGCCTACATAATTTGAGATCGGCATGGAACACATGCTGATTCGATGTATAGATTTTCCCATGTCCCCTTGCTGTGGGCAAAAAGACCTGACAGCGATCCGGACCGTCGCTGTTCGCCCGTTTGCTGATCGTCGACCCACTCTGCATATCCGGATCGAGTGCCTGATGTAGGTAGTCTGCGAATAAGGCGTCTGCCATTACCGCCTTTTTGTCATAATTTTGAGATGCATGGTCGATCCTTTGGATGTAGTTACATGTGAAGTATATGTTAACCTAGGCTATATGATATCGTTTCTCTTCTACTGTATGTGCATGTACAGGCACAGTAGCAACATGGCAGTTTACATGTAACCAGTCCGATAGTGATAGTCCGGACCGATCAGGCGTCCGATTTCAGATTTACTTCTGAAACCGAAACTCGGTCTTGGGCTTGCCCCGGACCCCAACGTCAACCCTGTAAAGTCGGCCCCCATACCGTACCGACTGGGGCAACCGCTCGTCATCACGATCATCCTTGGCAGTAGTGATGAACAGCTCGATGCCAACAAAAGTAGGACAAGTCACGTTGCGCGTTGGCAGGTCAATTTGCCCAATCACCTTGCCAGCCGGATCAATGCGAAGCACGCACCCACCGCCGTACACGGCAGTCCAGATACAGCCCTCGACATCAATGGCGAAGCCATCAGGTTCTAGCGACGAGCCGATGTCAAAGTGAACGCGGCGGTTGCTGATGGCGCCGGTGGTAGCGTCAAAGTCAAAGGCAAAGATCTTGCCCGTCGGCGAGTCGGTCAGGTACATGGTGTCGTCTGCGGCATTCCAGCCGATGCCGTTGGGAATCGTCACCGAGGTTAGCATACGGTGCAGACTAAGGTCTGGGTCCAGTCTGAATAGAACGCCTTCGGCGTCCGGGTTCTTGATCTTGGGGTCGTTCATGGCCCCTGCCCAGAACCGGCCGTGGCTGTCAACTGCACCGTCATTGAAACGCATTCTATCATTTTAGCCATTTAGCGTTTATCAATTTATTATGATTATTTTTTTTATCGGCGTTCATCCGGGGAACAAAGCTGTTCTCCGGAGAGAGAGAGAGAGAGAGAGAGAGGGGAGAAATGGGCTTACCTCTCCGCTTTTCTTTCCCCCTTCCTCATCGCCCCAGACCTCATGGATATAGTCCAGTTCTCCGGTAGATTGGTTCAGCCGCGCGAATCCATATTTGGCCCCAACAATCAGCTGATTCGACCCTCTGATATTGGCGGTCACGCTATGGGGTTTCTGTCAGCCCAATTTCCACTCGGAACCGCTTGAAACCCACCCAACAGAAGCGGCGGTATCGATGACTCTAAGGGAATCTGGGTCTTTGGCCAGATCGAGGCGGTAAAGCTTCTGATCCCAGATATCGACGAAACGGAACTCGTTGTTGGCTGCATCGTGATAGGGGCCTTCGAGTAACGTTCCCGGGATATCGAGGTATGGCTGGACAAGTTAGTTGCATAAACATTAGAGGGAAGGGTGTATGATTTTCTGATTGGGTGGATATTTCTTTTTTCCTTTTTGCTTCTGTGAGAGGCTCAGTAGAATCAAACCATTTTCATGTCTGACCGACATCCGACGCGAAAAGTCCCATCGAATAGGAAAGAAATAAAACCGAAAAAAAAAGAAAAAGAAAAAGAAAAAGAAAAAGTCGGCAAATTGCATACCTCATTCACCGTCCATCTCTGAATTTCAGACATGACGCAGATCGGTGCCTGATGGACACCGCTACTTGAGAGGGGGTAAGAATCCTGAATCCTGACACAAAGTCAAACGTTGGCAATTGACAGTTGGCAGTTGGCAGCGCCGATCGCGGAATAAACCCTACCCGTAACCTTGACTGATGTTTGTAGAACAGTGAGTGAACAGGACGAAGTGAACTGCGTGGCTCGAATGGGGAAGGTGAGAAACGCCAAGACCACCACCCCCCATAACTCCGAGATGAACTCGTAGGACAAAATGCCCTGCAGTTCTACTGTAACTACATGGCTGCAATGCGAATCACTACAAAGGTTATCAATACTTGCAGACACTAATGCTGACAATAATCAATGAAGTCTAGCTTGAACAACTCATCAAGTGGCTTTCACATGACCAATTCTGCATGCAGATGCACGAGATGAGCTGGCTAGGGGAGATCTGGAACCTGGAACCTAGAAACCTAGAAACCTGGAGTTCTTTCTGCCTGACTCGAAAATTGGGCCACAATTGTATTACCTCTACAGAGTACAGCCCATTCACTACAAAGCACACAGCACAGACTTGTGTAAGATTATCATCGGCAGTAGATCAACTTTCATAGATTGCTCCAAGACAAACCAAAGATCCAGAGCCAGATAACATTCAAGATTGATAATAAGATTGAACGATCAGATAGTCCACATCATATCCAAACCTAACCAAGTAATGTTCAACATCCCGTGTCCACAACTCAAATCCAAAGCCAAATCCAAATCTCAAAGTCTCGCCCCGTGCCAGGCAATGCGTGCATATGCAGTCATCGCATCAGTCGGGAATAGGTTGGGCATCAACTGCAGGAATTAATTTCGGGTCCAGTCGACTGGAAATATGCAGTGATAAACGCAGAGTGATGGTGATGGTAGACACAAATCCTAATCCCTCCGGCATCAATTCCAATTGGGAATTTGGGACCGGGATATCGTCGCTTCTGCTTTCCCTGTGCCCTATGACGTATTGTATCATATACATGGAACTGGGACTGCATGCAGGTTGTGTGATGGGGCCTGATCTACATGTACATGGTCTGAACATAGGTGCTAGTGATTACAGTGCCGGTTGCCCTTGGGACTTGGGACTAGACTAGTGACTCCATAACGGTGAGTTTGGAATGTTGCTCCTTTTTTCCGTTTTTCCATTTTTCCATTTTTGCGGGGGATCCTCAGGTCGTGTTTGTGGAGCTGGAGTGGGTATCTCATTTCAGGAAGCGAGAGCGAGATGATCACATCGGCTTGTCGGGATTGTCGATCTGGAGGATCTGTAGGACACAAAGGAAAAATGGTAAGGGGAACCCTTGGGATCTGCGTGAAACGTCATGTCATGTCATGCGTGCAAAATATTGTAGGGGAAAGTAATTAGACGACAGAGTTTGCTAGATTGGTCATTAAACATAACGGCTGAGCCTGGATACATGGGAATAGATAATCCGATTTTCTCGTAGTAACACATTTACAGCTTGGTGCCCATGTTGACGTGGACAGCCTTGACTTGCGAGTACGCGTCCAGGCCGGCCTCGCCGAGCTCGCGACCGATACCACTCTGCTTGACACCGCCAAAGGGCACGCGGAAGTCGCTGTCGTTGCTGCTGTTGATCCAGACCATACCGGCCTCGATGTCAGAGGCGACACGGTGTGCGCGTTCAATGTCGCGGGTGAAGAGAGCAGCACCGAGACCGTAGGTGGTATCGTTGGCACGCGTGACGGCCTCCTCTTCGGTGGTGAAGCTGGCGATGGCGACGAAGGGACCAAAGACCTCTTCGCGGTAGATGCGCATGTTGTCCTTGACGTTCGTGAAGATGGTGGGCTCGATGAAGAAGCCACGGCCATCACCAACGTTCTTGTAAGGGACACCACCGGAAGCCAAAGTGGCACCCTCGGACTTACCGGCCTCGATGTATGAAAGGACACGGTCGTACTGGGCCTTGGTGACCTGAGGACCTTGGAAGGTGTCGTCGGAGAAGGGGTCGCCGACCTTGCTGGTGGTCTTGACAACCTCCTTGAAGAGGGAAACGAACTTGTCGTACACGGACTCGTGGACAAGGATACGGGAAGTGGCAGTGCAAACCTGACCCTGATTGTACATGATACCAATGTGAGCCCACTTGGCAGCCTGTTCGAGGTCGGCATCCTCAAACACCACCAAGGGGGACTTGCCACCGGTCTCAAGAGTCACGTTCTTGAGGGTACCGGCGGCCATCTTCATGATCTCACGGCCGGTCAAGGTGGAGCCAGTAAAGGCGACCTTGTCAACATTGGGGTGGTTCACCAATGCACCACCAGCAACACGGCCATGGCCGTTGACCACGTTAATGACACCAGGAGGGAAGCCGGCCTCCTTGATAAGAGTGGCCAAGTACAAAATGCTGAGCGGGGTCTGCTCAGCGGGCTTCAAGACAATGGTGTTACCGCAGGCAAGAGCAGGACCAAGCTTCCATGCCGCCATAGCGAGAGGGAAGTTCCAGGGAATAATCTGACCAACCACACCAATGGGCTGGCGAAGGGTGTATGCAAACTTGGCAGGGGTGGTGCCAATGGTCTGGCCGTAGACCTTGTCGGCCCAGCCAGCATAATAGCGGAGGGTGTTGGTGACCTCACCGAGATCATCATTCAGAGAGACTTGATAAGGCTTGCCTGAAGGATGATCAGTATCATTCTCTACTTTAGAAATGGCAATTCAGTTACTAACCGTTATCCCAGGTCTCAATGGTAGCCAGAGTCTCCTTGTGCTGCTCAATCAGATCAGCGAGCTTGATCATCAAAGCACCACGGTCAGTGGCGGGCAGCAGCTTCCAGGAAGGATCCTTGAGAGCCTTGCGGGCGGCCTTGACAGCGATATCAATGTCCTCCTCGCCGGCGGCATACACTGACGTAATCTCAGTCTCATCGCTATGAATCCGGTCAGCTGAAGATCAAGGCCTTGAAACCCAGATGTACATACGAAGGGTTCACAGTGGCGAACTTCTCGCCAGACTTGGCAGCCACAAATTCGTTGTTGATGAACAGACCAATGGGCTGGGTGTAGCTGTGCCCATTGGGGGCAGTCAACTGCACGGACACGTTCGACATGATGAAAGGAGAGCTATGAAATTGACGAACACTGAAGAGGGGAGATCGAGATAGACAGCGCAGGGGCCGAGAGAACAAACTGGCAAACATGAAGAGGATGAAGAAGCTACATAAGGGAACTCGTTGCACTTCCCCCACCTGATAACGATAAGAATCCACTTCGCATACACTTTCTTCTTCCAGTACTTGTTTGCTCTGTTTGTCTCTTAATTGCACTCTGGTTGGTCATCTCATCCGGCTTCGGCGTTGAAGTCCTCCATAGCTTCCCCTCACTCATTTCTCCAGCTTATCAATTGTCCGAGGTTCGAGACTGTTAGTTGCCCTTTAAAGTCCCCGACAACCATAAGACGGTCAATATCATCCCGATCCATACTCTTAAATCTACCGTATGTTTCCGATATTCCGACCCTCCGATACCCCTGACAAATCGAAGCCATCGAGTACAAACTTAGATCGCGGATGTGACGGCCATGGTCCGCGGTTCCTTACAGCCTGCATCAATATGCAGGGATCGACGACATCATTTACTCAAGGTGGAACATGACAGCTCAACTCCACGGAACGAATAACGGTCGCCGGAATTGGAAATAATTGGCCCTGCAGTGGAACCGGTCTACATGGATCGCGGGAATGCGATGCAAATTGGGAAGGCTTCGGCCTTTCCAATGTTGTGTCACATTCCTCAAGCGTCGATTGGATGGTGTGTCGTGTGCTGAACATAGTACAGTATGTTGAAAATTGATCCATCGAGATAGGCTATTCTCCTGACTATGGTCGCTAGTGTGTACATCTAGACGTACACACTATCGTAGCTCCTTCGTGGCCAGTCGCTCGGCTATATTTGAGCGAATTTCACCGATCCAGCGCTAAAGTATTCCTCATGTCTTATGCTTGATATCTACACGCAGCTCATAGAAGACTAAGGGCCGACGGCAGTATTAAACATGGCCATAAAATCGAGAAGCGAACTAGATATCGTTCCCAGAGGCCAATTTCAAAGAGCCATGCTTGCGGCTCCAGATACTTACCCTATAAATACGAAACTTTGTACTGAATATCAAATGATGCTCAATTCGCTAGTGCAGATAATGCCAATAACCCATATTCACCGGCAACGCCATTGATAGAGACAACGAAAGATTGTACAGGCGAGACCGACTGTACATCGCTTACATACGTAGATTCACTTCCTCATGCCTTCTCCTAGCTAGATTCCACCTTGGTGAACTCCTCCTGGGGTTCCTCGCCCGCCAGTTCCAGGATATACTGCCATTGAGCCGGAGTAACAGAGGAAACGCTGAGACGGGACTGCTTGAGCACTTGCATGTTCTCCAATGGCTTGCTGGGCTGGGCGTGTGCCTTCAAATCGGCGAGGGTGACTTGCTTGCCGAGCTTGCGGCGATATTCAACGTGCACCACAACCCATTTCGGGCTCTCTCGTTTGGATTTGGGGTCGTAGTAGGGGTGTGCAGTATCGAATGCGGATTCTATTGTAGACAATGGGTTAGAGGTGTAGTATGCAGGGCGGAACAATGGCACGAACCGTCAACGGAAGATTCCTGGACGATCTCCATTACTCCAACCACTCCTGGGGTCTTGCAGTTTGAATGGTAAAAGAATGCATAGTCACCCTTCTTCATCTCCTGCATAGATTTGCGTGCTGTTCTATTGTAAGTACGACTTGCCAAAAAAAAAAAAAGGTTGTCAATCGATCAACCTACCAACATGGTTGCGAACTCCTATTCTTTTGGTTAGCTTTGTTGACTACGTCGATAATAGGGGCAACATACCATCCCAGGCCTCCGGCACAGTTGCGGCAGCCAAATCATCGATGGAAAACTTCACATCAACGCCTTTCTCCATGCGCGACTCAGGCTCTGCCTTCATAAGCCAGAAAGAGCGGTTAGTATCGGAGACATTGCTGTTGATCGCCGGTGCTGCCTTTGCCTCGGGAGCCTCTGGATCCTTGGGAGTCTCGGGCTCTCCAATTGGCGCAGGGTTCTTCCGTGGGCGTCCACGACCATCCTTCTTCTTGACCTCGGGGGTCGCAGGTGTCTCGGCAGCTAATACAGATGAATAGTCAGCATAAGTTTCTGATTCTAAAGTCACATCAGTTTCATACCAGGGTCCTTGCGAGGCCTTCCGCGGCCATTTTTCTTGACCTCCGGGGTTGTTGTTGCAGGTGTTTCGGCCGCTATGACACATATATGATTAGCAAGAATCTCTGGTGCTATCATTGCATCAATTCCATACCAGGCTCCTTGCGAGGCCTTCCACGGCCATCCTTCTTCTTAGTCTCATGAGTTGGGACAGTCTCAGAAACTAAAAGCGCAGAGAAAGTCAGAAAAAGTCTCCGACCATAATATATCATCGAATACATACCAGTATCCTTACGAGGACGTCCACGGCCTCTCTTGGGAATAGAAGGAGTGACAGCTTCAGTCTCAGGCTCAGACTCGGCAGCAACCTTGCGAGGACGACCACGGCCACGCTTGGGTCCATCCGAAGCAGGAGGCTTCGGAGTCTCGCCCTCGGGGTATTTACGTGGACGGCCACGACCTCTCTTCTCACCAGTTTGGGGGGTAACCTCAACCTATAGACAAAATGTCAGCCCTGCATGAGTGGGTCGTGGAGTATCAACCACGGAACGGGGATGATTAGCCCCCTGTAGCATGTGCTCTTACCTGAGCCGCTGGGGCAGAAGCTGGAGTGGCAATTACGGAATTGCGCATTCTTTTTGCGGGGGTCGCAGTTCCTTCAGTTGCGCTGGGCGCCGTGACGGGCTTGCGCTTTGGGGGCATGATGGCGGTTGTGCTGCGACGATGATGCAAAGATGCAAAATGGGATAGAAGGACAATGTAGAGATTAAATACTCGGGGAGACTTTGTAGTGAATTGAATCAAATTGCACACGCTGTTTTGAGCCCTGGAAATGAGGACCAGCGCCAGAATGACTGGCGTGAAGCTTTGTTTGCGCTGAGACCAACTCGACGCGGTTGTGGGTCCGGGGCACGTGATCGGTCGATCATATCAAAAGTACAACTGAGGATTTTCAATGATATTTGTTTCTAAAGGAATTTAAATCCCAATTTATTATCAGACCACTCTGATTTACCGATAGCTAATGGTACTGCTATTATACACAATTTAAGAAGACAAAGCAATGTTTCAGTTAGGTTCTTCCATGTAACCAAAAAGCGAGCTGGATATTGCTTTCTAATAAGCAGAACTTGACAACACGTATATATTCGCCCAAGTGCGACACGATTGAATTCGATATCGAGTCTTATACTGTATCATTCTACCTTTACACCTGTGCCTATTTCGGAATAATAGTGAATTGTAAAACAACATGTCGACAACTTGTGGTTCATTCCAGGATATAGATCCTATAAAAGAGCTATGTATGCAGAAAACCTTAAGGATACCAACAAAAAAAAAATACTATTGTAGATCAATTGCTAATGGGCGAATCAAGTGCATGCCTTAAAAGGTCAACCTTGGAGATTGATAGTTATGAAATTTCTCGAGGATCAAGTGATGTGTAGATGAATACTAAGTGATCAGGACCAAGTACAGGACCGACTAAGCTTACTACCCTATCAAATGTCTTAGACAAACAACAAAGTTGTAAACGATCTAGATAATAGATGTTATTTGTACTATTTAAGACACTCCCAAGTAGTAATGACTGATTGGGAAATCGATGGTATAACATAGTACATTCGAACCCAATACATCTCGAAAAAAAGTGGCATTAGACTTGTATGCAGCTCAACGGACGCATGTAGAGGTCCGCCCCACTTGGTGGGTCATAGCTCGACCGGTTCGTCCAAGCTTGCAGGGTCAGGTACATGTGCAGGAGTCAAGGAATAGTAAGACAACATGCAGCAGCTATGCGCTCTGTCTGTGTCCTACGTGACATAGCGATCCGCCGCAGTGATGCCTGATGCAGGATTTGCCATGTCGACATAGGATTGCGCCACTGTTTTGAGTCTCCATTGGTTCTTGTCAAGGCTAGTCGGCCGACTGCTGAAGCCAAAGGCAGATAATCCTGAGTAAGAAGATATACAATGTACTTATATGGGAAATATAGGTTATGTCCTAATGAATCTGAGGCTGTATAGAACGTCACTTGCATAATGAACCACATGTAGATGTAACCAAAAGATGAACCTGGGGAAGCATAGAAGTGTGTAGAAGCTCGAATTGCACTAAACAGCCCACGTTGCGTCAGGCCAATCGCGGGGTTTCTGCCCAGGCGGTGAGACAATCACGCCATCGTATGGGGAGCGCAACAGCCGGATGGGGTAAGACGATCAGTTGGGAGGGGGACAACCTTAGGGGAGCTATATGAACCCAGTCCCTCCTTCTTTTCTTTGTTTCCCTCAAGTTAACTCAATTGATTATCATCACAATGGCTGAACGCGCTGCTCCGTATGTTCATCTATACTCCATCTATACTCCATGTATAGCTATTTGATGGCCAGCTAACTCTTTATTAGCCTCCGTCTGGGCTCTACTGCCCCTGACTTCGATGCCGACACCTCCAACGGCCCTATCAACTTCCACAAGTTCATTGGTGACAAGTGGACCATCCTCTTCTCCCACCCCGATGACTTCACCCCCATCTGTACCACTGAGCTCGGCGCTTTCGCCAAGCTTGAGCCCGAGTTCACTGCTCGTGGTGTCCAGCTCATTGGTCTGGTAAGTAGCAATTCACCTCATATCAAGGAGCGAAGCTAACCAATTCCTAGAGCGCCAACGGCACCGAGTCCCACCACGCCTGGATCAAGGATATCGATGAGATCTCCGGCTCCAGCCTTAAGTTCCCCATCATCTCCGACCCCGAGCGCAAGGTCGCCTACGCCTACGACATGGTTGACTTCCAGGACACCACCAACGTCGACTCCAAGGGTATGGCTCTGACCATCCGCTCCGTCTTCATTATCGACCCCGCCAAGAAGATCCGTCTGATCATGACCTACCCCGCCTCCACTGGCCGTAACACCGCCGAGGTTCTCCGTGTCATTGATGCTCTCCAGCGCACCGAGAAGCACGGTGTTACCTGCCCCATCAACTGGCTTCCCGGTGACGATAACGTCCTCCCTCCTCCCATGAAGACCGAGGACGCCAAGGCTAAGTTCGGTGAAGTCCGTGAGGTGAAGCCGTAAGTTTTGCCCGCTATGTGTTTCTGGCGAAACAACAGACTAACATGTTTCTAGTTACCTCCGCTTCGTCAACATCAAGGAGTAAATGTGTTATGATGTGATGTGAAAGACCTAAAACAGATACTGGGATAGTAGGGGGCTAATGCCCTTCTTGATACCAATGCGATACGAATCCGGCACTGAGTGCCATCTATAAAGCATACAAAGCCTCCCGGGTGCTAGTAAAGCGCCCTTACATACAGTAGAGATACATCACAGTGAATTCAGACAGCTCGGTGTGAGTAAACCCGATGGCGGTCTTATACTTTACCTCATTTTCCGTCAGTTTTGCCTATTATCCATCTGCTAGCATCATCAACCGAATAGCGGACTGTGCAGGCTGCACCGTTTGAGAGTTGTCCAAATTGTATCTAGCGGTTTCGGATCCAACTTAAATTGCCGTGTATACTGTGTTTTGGGCACATGGCCCCACAAGATATGTATAAAGTTAAAGAACAAATTTCAAGCAAGGGCTTAAAATGTGAAGAGTGATGGACTAGTCCCACAATGAGAAGTGTGCAAGGGTTGAGGTAATCTACTTAGCGTGTGGTACCCCAAACCCATCTAGGAAAGGTTGAGACCGCTTTTTTGTGCCGAGTCAACTTCGACATTCTGACACTTCCAATATTCTCCCACCGGAAATTTAATTCGACTTACACGCTCTATTCAATTCTACCACATCGCTCTCCTCCTTGCGAAGCTTGGCGTCCGCAGAATTGCGGCGTCGACGCGGGGAAGCCACTCCTTTTTTTCCGCTCCCCACAGAGGCAACCCTTCGACACCTACGATCAGCACCGACGGAAATATCCCCCGGCTTACACACCAGTGCATCAGAGACCTCGTCTCATGCGAGAGATCCGACTCCGAAACGGTGGACTCAAAAAAGGGAAAAGGGGGTGCGAAGACCAACGGCTGCCAGAGATAAGTGGAGACAGGGAAATCGCCCAACATGATGTCGCGAAGTCAGTCAAGTTTGGGGTACATGGATTCAGGACGAGACGAGCCCTCGGCAGCAGGCGGATCTCCGTCACTAAATCAGTCTGCGTCGTCCGGTCCTATCAACCTCTCCGGGCTGGTGTGCAATGTGCGACGAACGACCGGCAAGGAGCCCCATCCCCTTGTGGGCGCGACGACGACAATTTTAGGCGATAAGCTATACGTATTCGGAGGCCGGATCCTCTCGCGCAGTCGCCCACAGTTGACGTCGGACCTTTACGAGTTGGATTTGATACGGCGCCATTGGACGAAAATCGAACCCGCTGGCGATGTGCCGCCGCCGCGGTACTTCCACAGTGTTTGTGCGCTGGGTGATAACAAGTTGGTTTGCTATGGTGGCATGTCGCCCGCGCCCAGTACGCCAAAGGATCCAGAGAACCCTGGCGCGGATTCGCAGTCGCAGTCAGAGGTCGTGGTCATGTCAGATATTCATATTTTTGATGTGCCATCTCGGGCTTGGACTCGTGTTACTGCTCATGAATCTCCTCAGGGTCGTTATGCGCACTGTGCTACGGTACTTCCCTCTAGTGCGTGCTTCACATCTGCTAGCGCGCCGCTATCTGCTATCCATCACAATCCTGGGTCCTCTACTCACCAAGGTTCGCTTGGTGTGGATATTGACGGGTTCGGTGGTGCAGAAATGGTGGTTGTCGGTGGCCAGGACAGTTCAAATCATTACATTGAGCAGATTAGTGTATTCAATCTGCGCAGTCTCAAGTGGACCAACACAAGTCCCCTGGGCCGGAGCTGCGGTGCCTACCGCAGTGTTGTGGCTCCTTTAGTTGGAATGGATGTATCTGAAATCGGCTCCTCTTCTCCAGATCGTGATCTGCATGAGCCTATTGAGAACACCGAGTCTCCTGGTTGCCCTATGCTTATCTACTCCAACTACAATTTCCTGGATGTCAAGCTGGAGCTGCAGGTGCGCCTGCCGGATGGGCGCCTTGTTGAACGGCCGATGCAGAGCCAAGCATCTCCACCGGGACTCCGTTTCCCGAACGGTGGCATTATCAACGGCCATTTTGTTGTAAGCGGTACATACTTGACCTCGTCCAAGCAGGAATATGCACTTTGGGCTCTTGACTTGAAGACATTGACTTGGGGACGTATCGATGCTGGTGGATCCGTATTTGGTCATGGAAGCTGGAACCGAGGAGTGCTTTGGCCTCGCCGCAACTCTTTTGTAATCCTTGGTCACCGGAAGCGAAGTCTTGTCGATGATTACAACCACCGTCGAATTAATTTCTCGCACGTTTGTTTGGTCGAGTTAGAGGCATTTGGACTCTACAACAACCCATGCCGCACTTCCCCAACCTCGGGATACAAGTCTTATAGCTCATCTTCTGTTCCAGCATCTTTGCAGAAGAAGCTGGTCCAGTTGACGTCCGGTGGACGGCCATTGTCCGCTGCGTCAGATGAGCTAGGCAAGCTTGCACAATCCTTGCCAGAGATGGCCGACATGGAACTGCAGGCAGTGGGAGGAGAGCGCATCTCCGTCAACTCCCGTGTGTTGACTCGGCGATGGGGCCCCTACTTCATTCAACTCTTACGCGAGTCGTCAGAAGGGGGAATCGCAGATACTGCGACTTTTCGTCCGGCCATGGCTCACCCAAGTCGTAATTCGAGTATTACTATCACTCCTTCAGTGGGTCATAATAGCAACTACTCTGATGCGACTACTCTTGTGAACCCGTCTGTGCCATCAAAGTCCTTGCTTGAGAACCTGGAAGCCCCTTCTGCGCATACTTTGGCCCCAACCTCCAGACCGCGTGTGCTTTACCTTCCCCATACTATCCTGACCCTCCAAGTTCTCGTTCAATATCTCTATACTGCAGCTCTTCCCCCTGCCGGCTCCTCATTGTGCACCCCGCAAATCCTCTGTTCTCTTCTCCAGCTTGCACGCCCTTACCAAATTGACGGGCTTCTCGAGGCCACCGTCGAACGACTGCATCAAGTCCTCGACGGGCGCAATGCCGCCGCCGTCTTCAACGCCGCAGCCATGGCAGCCGGCGGAGGTCGTGGAACAGGATTCAACAGCGGACCAGGTGGCACACTAGAGGCTCTCAACGGAGCCAACGCCAATGGCGGCCGCAACGGCAGCATACCAACAATCGGCGAGCACAGCAGCTCCCACCAGAGTGGCCTAGCCTCAGACTCATCCGACACAGAGAATGGGGCCATCTCTGCCTCAGCCGCCAGCAGCACAGGCGACCTAACCAACTTCGCGCGCGGTCTCCCTTCCCTCCGCATCGACACCAACGTCTCCCAACACTCCCGCCAGCGCAGCTCCCAGCGCGAACGCGAAGACTCAATGAGCAACGCAAGCACAGCAACATCCGCCTCGAGCGCCAGCCAATCCGACTCGGAATTCATCAGCGGTGACGAAGGACGCTCCCAATCGCGCTCCACCCACCACCGCCGCGGCACAGACGCCGAACTCCGCCGTCCCCAACGCGAAATCTGGACAGGCGATCTGAGCAGCGTGATCGGTCTCCAGAAACGTGGTCTGCGCGGTCTAATGGAGGGTCGACGGATGCGCGAGCGAAGCGCTAAACCGCCCAGCGGAGGCAGTGGCTCGACTTCTGTTCCGCCTTCTTCTGGTTCTGATCATCATATTCCCCTCCAGGGTGTTGCCAGCTGATACTTCCTACTCGTTTCATTATACATACGCTTCACTGCATATGATACCTTCCCAATTTCACTTCCATTATCATCGCCCGTCCTGAGTCTATCCTTCCGCCACCTTCCTTGTATGATCCATCAGGTACCAGACCATGTTTGGGTTGTATGCATTTCTTTTGTGCTTTTTGCTCCAGCTGACTGGCAAGGTGGGGAGGATAGGAGAGGTTTCCAAAATGAAATAATGCATGTGGGTGTTGTGTTGTGGTCTATCTTTTTCCCTTCTTCTGTTTATGCTTTTTGGCTTGATCATATTATAGCCCTTGGATATATACCGAGACTCCAAACGGAGTTCTGCGATGAATGCTATACACTTCAATAGAGCTGATTCACTTTGGATTTGGATTGAGATTTTGAGATAGAGATTAGATGGGATGAGATTGATTATTGGTACAGTATTTACCACGATAGATCCTTTCTATTAAAAGTACATGCAAATCCGCTTTTAGAACAACAACAATAGTCACAATGAAGGGAAAGAAAGAGGACGAGACAGAAAGCTCAATCCTTCTTCTCAGGAGGAACAAGACGCTTAGCAGACTTATTGCCATAGACTAGAAGAAAACAGTTTAGCAACAAATCCCCAAACCAGCAAGAGATAACCAAATAGGATATGAAAGGGTTGGAGAAGAGACTTACCCCGCTCATAAAGAATCCAAGAAGTATACATGACAATCGGCAATCCAACAATCGCACCAGTCCACCTAGCCAGAAAAGTCAGACAAATCCACGTCCATAACCAAACACACCAAGCCCAAGAAACAAGAAACAGAAATTTGAAACACGAAGAAAGATGAAAAGGTGAACTAACTTCCGCGCAGCGGCCTTATACTCCTTCGTCTGCCGAATATCATGATCCCCCTTCCTAGTCCGCGGTTGTCGGACCGGGCGAGCAGGTCTGGAACTGGGATCTACCCATGCAGTTGGGTCTACGGAGCGCCATTTTTGTGGGTTTGGGGTTGACATTATCCTTTTGCGGTGTGAAGGTGTATATTTGAGTGGGTTGGGTGGTTCGTCGTGCTTTTTTGACTGGTTGGTTGGGATGAGATTGGTTTGGTGAGGAAGAAGATTTGATGTTGTGGCCTCAGGTTGCAATATTTCCTTTTCTGGCAGGGGCGGTTTTGTGAGGCTCTTTTGTTTAGTTGGGCGTCTTGGCTTGTGGTTTATATGATTGTTTGTGATTCCTATGGCTAGGTCTTGCCTTGAATGGGCTTTCTGTATGCTTTCTGGTCTTGGGACTTTCTCTACTTGCATGGGATTTGGTATTTGGTCTCTGTGGTTAGACCTCATCCCATCTACTCGTATTCCGCTGCATACAACTTAATTTCAAGGCTAGTTCAAGTTCATAAGGTATTTTTTGAGTTCTAGTATGATACGACTACCACCCTGCCTAGTCTTAGTACATACTTACCACCCAAAACCTCACACTACACAAACATCCAGAACATACTATATAAGTCAGGGGCTCTTCCACAATGCAAATAGGGGCTCACTCAAATACTACGCGCCGAAAAGAAGGGGAAAGGTATCCAGTACAACAATGGAAGTCTCACACTTCCATACTGCATCCACCAAACAAGTCGCATAAGTCATCGTCCCGCTTGCGTGATGGCCGATCACAATGACAGCGATAGCGTCAACGAAAGTAACCCGGAGCAGACTTCGCCCCCTGAACAGCCTCAGGGCTAGACTGTGACTACGAGTAAATATACGGGGGGTTAGTCTGACGATGGCGTTGTTGGCACCGGTGGCGCTTCTGGGGAGGTGAGATTCGGGTTTACGTGATTTGTATGGAATGGTATATTGCGCTGAGGTTGAATGCGAATGTTACTGTACAGGTACAGGTACAGGTGGTATCTTGATGGTTACATTCGCTTATATCCTTGCTAATATCTGATTGGGTGGGACGGTGACATCCCTCGTGTTGGTGACGATCAGTAAGGGGGTGTTTTGGTGACATCATTTGCGCAGGAATCTCGGTAAATACAGTATAGTAGAAAGGTGATGGAGGTCTGGTCAGTAGATTTGGGAACACAAGGTAGGTTAATTACAGAAGATAGCCATGCCCATGTCATATCTACAGATCCTACCAAGAACGAGGCATAAAGGCATTAACTTCACATTACACAGCATAGCAGAAGCGCACGCAGGAGGCAACGTAACAAAGAGAAGTAAAGACATGGTATGAACGAGACAGATATCAGTGACATGACTAATACCTGAATCCAAGATTTGTAAGATTAAGCCTCATAAACAACAGACATTATTCGAGAGGGCTCCAAAAGAAAGAAAAAAAGAGGTATCACAGGTCAAGCCCAACTCTCCGCTATTAACAATCCAAGACGACTTCGCTTAGAGGGCGAAGGCAGCGAGGACACCGGCGAAGACGGCGCCGAAGCTGATGGCGTTGCGGCCGGCACCGTTGAAGACGGGCGAGGAGGCCGAGGGGGAAGCAGAGGCGGTACCGGAGGGGATGACAGCGGCAGAGGTGGTGGAGGGGCGAGCGGAGGACACCCAGGGGATGCTGGAGGGAGAGCCGACGGGGGCGACGGTGGAGGTCTGGGGAACACCGGTGGACTCAGTCTCGGGGCAGATGGTGGTGGTGATCTCGGTGCTCGAGATGACAGTGGAGAAGGCGGGGATAGCGGTGGTGGCCGGGGCCGAGGTGGTCTCGGTCTCGGGGCAGATGGTGGTGCTCTCGGTGGTCTCAACGGTGGTAGCAACGCCAGTGGCAGCAGCGGTGGTGCTGATCACGATAGAGGAGGACTCGGAGGAGCCACCGGCGGCGGCACCGAGACCGAACTGGGTAGAGTACTGGTACTGGCCGGTACCCTCGACGGTGAGGAGGAGACCATAGTGGGTCGTGTCGACCTCAAGGTCGGTGCTGGGGGTCCAGGAGAAGGAGCCGCTGTTGGGGATGGAGTCGGCGAGAGTCTTGATGGGCTTCACGTTGTTGGAGGGGCCACGGAGGAGGACCAGGGAGACGGGGCCAGTGGTGGTAGGCTCCCACTTGATGGTGTAGGCCTTGCCCTCAGGAACGATCTCGTTCAAGCCAGGGGAGACAATGGCGTTACCAGAGGGGTTCTGGGTGTAGTCGGGCTGGGTCAAAGCGGACGCAGCGACGGCGAAGGCCGAGACGATGGTGGCGGTGAAACGCATGTTGATGGTGTCTTGACAAAGAGTGACTGGAGTGGGAAATCTGAAAAAGAATGACTATCGTTTATAACGAAGGAGTTGGTTGAAGAAGAGAAAAGGAAGCCTGGGAGGCGACTTACATTTCTATGTCTGAGAGTGGGTCCTCAGGCACGGCCCCAAAGTGGGGCTTCCAAGCGAAGTGACTTCTTTTGTTTACTTTTTAGTTGTTTACCCTGTATATACTGGGGTATGTATGCCTATTTGTGTTTCTGTTTGTGATTGCTCGTTTGGACATATTTACATGTCTTATACATCCGTATACACCACTGATGCTATATCAGACTGCACTCCCACGAGGTATCATACAGTACTGTATAAGGCTATGCATTAGCGTGGAATCAACACAGCCTCTGATTGGTGGACTGGATGATTTAATTTTATGTGAACGGGCGCACCCTTGAATCGAGAGAATGTCCGAAGATTAGAATACCTGTAAGATTATGAGGATCGCAGGATCGAATGTGAAATCAAGTTCATTTCCTAGGTATTACCTTGGATACACACATACACACTCACCGTAGTACTCCGTAGAAGCAGTTTGTTTACCCAGCCGTGGGCCCTCTTGGCACCGTATATCATCCGAACAAGTCCATGGGTCTCACCTATTTCGAGGGGAGACTGGTCTAGTAACGCCCACTTTTCTACCTTCCTTCCATTCCTATTCCCTTTCTACTGGAATTCCAGGAATTCCCGATTTTAATGCCTTTAATTTCCCAGCGCCACAATACCGTATTGTACCTGCAGGGTCATGCAGGTACAGCATGTACAGTACCATGTGTCCTCAACCACGGGGCAAACAAAAACCTTGCTGTACTCCTTACTCGGGATGCTGCACAGCAGATTCCGATATTCATGATATTCACGACGATCAGAGCCACCCCCGCACACCGTCTGTTATCATAACGTCTCTAATGTTAACCGCGTTGCCGATCCCACCCGTTCGTTATGGGATCAACCGTTGATAGTCAGGGGCGAGGTTTAGCCGACTGACCTTCTTTCTACGGATACCAAAGTGCCGGCAGCCTTGTATCATACCTGTACAGCTTATTGTGTAAAGTGACTAGAGTGGGCTGTGTAATTGGGTTAATCTAAGACATGCGAGATTAGTGTCCTGGGAAATAGGGCAGGGGATATTACTTGTTCCTGGAATGGTGGGCCTGCGCCCCGTTTACTGGTGTTCGGATATTTTGCCTCAACTCTTTGATTTAGTACGGATTTCTGTGTAATTATAGATATGCTTTCCACCGGTTACTTAGTTCTGTAGGAGAAGTGGCGAGGATACAAATCACATCCTAGATACGATACGGACACCCTCCGCGCCTACAAACAGGGTAGGAGTTTGCGGCATTAACTCAGGAACCGAGGGGTCATTCAATTCGTTGATTTTTCACTGACTTTCGGGTCTGCCGCCTGCTTTTCTAGCTACAGACAAGATACAAGGGCCCAGGCGAGACAAGGCTCCGCCATTGGTGGTCATGGGTGTGTATGCGGCTCAGCCCAACGCCTCAAAGCCCGAAATGGCCCTGTAGCCCCATTTTTCTGGGGGCCGAAATCCATCCTTCTCCAAAGTCGGGGTCTGGATCTGAATCTATTCGTGCCAGGTCACAGACTTGCTTTGCAGGAACTCTTCGAAGCCCGCTACGCCGCCGAAGCGACCAAAGCCACTGCTCTTCCATCCACCGTGGGGCAGGATTGATTCGTCGTGGACGGTCATTGAGTTGATGTGAACGGCACTAGAAAAAGTTAGTTACTATGGTTCAGGAGGCTCCGGTCTACCCGTGGGTTAGTGTGATAGATTCACTTACCCCGAGTCGATTTCCTTTGCCACCCGCAATCCGCGGAACAGATTCTGAGTGTACACCGCTGCGGTGAGGCCGTATTCTGTATCATTGGCCAATGCGATCGCGTCTTCTTCTGTGTCGACCACCATGAGCGACACGGTCGGTCCGAACGACTCGGTCGCATACATGTCCATTTCCTTGGTCACGTTGTCGACAATGATCGGGCGCATGGCGGTGTCAACTGACTCGTTGGAATTGCCGTCGCCAAACAGCAGGGTCGCACCACGGGACACGGCGTCACCAACAAGCTTCTTGTTCTTGGCCGCGGCAGCCGAGTTGACCAGTACGAGAGCGGGCGCCTCCTTGCCGAACAGCTTCTCAGCTGTGGCAGCGAGCTTCTGGCGGAACTCATCGGCGATTGAGCGTTGCACGACAATGCGCTCGGTCGACATGCAAATTTGTCCGGACTGTATAGGTCAGTTCTTCTGTCCCTAGTCGCTGTGTCAGGGATTGTACATACGTGCATAAAGGAGCCAATGGCGCAGTTCATGGCAGCCTTGTCCACGTCCGCGTCGTCCAAGACAATAGCCGACGCCTTACCACCCAGCTCGAGCAGCACAGGCTTGATGTATTTGCCCGCAAGGGAAGCAATGATCGAGCCGACATTGGTGCTTCCGGTAAAGTTGACCTTGCGGACGGCAGGATGGCTAATCAAGGCGTTGGTGACAGGCGCGGCGTCGGAGACCTGGTGGAAGATGACATTCAGACATCCAGCGGGAAGGCCAGCTTGCCGGAAGACGTCGCCAATAGCCCAGAAGCACTTGGGCGAGAGCTCGGAACCCTTGAGAACGACGGTGTTACCAGCGCCAAGGGGCTGGGCGACGGCACGGACACCAAGGATGAAAGGCGCATTCCTGTGAAACAGAAAAGGTTCTGAGTCAGCGTCCATTCCGCATATCAATTTACTACATCTATAGGAATACTCACCAGGGCGCAATTGACAGGATTACACCGTATGGCTCCTTGTACACCAGAGAACCCTCGCCCTCGCGGTTGACGTTAGGCACAATACCCTGGATGGAGGAAATTCGGCCAGCAAAGTCACGGATGAATTCCACACCCATGTCGAAGGTGACCTCAGAGAAGGGGCGGCCAGCACCGGTCTCTTCGCGCTGATACTGAATGAATTCCTCTTTGCGCGACTCCATGATGTCAGCGGCCTTGAGCAGGATCGCGCGACGCTCATTGTACTTGGTCTTCTTCCATGTAGGGAAGGCAGCCTGAGCATTGTCGACTGCACGCTTGGCCTCCTCAACGGAGACACCAGCAGCGTAGCCGTTCAGCTCGCCGGTCGCAGGGGCATGGACCTCGAACTTGATATCAGTCTCGATGGACTCATTGTTAATGATGAGCGGGGTCACCGCCTTTTGGTTTGCCATTGTGTAGGGGGGTGAGAGATGAAGATGGTTCAAAGGGAATATGATCTCAGATTGGAAAGAAATCGAGGCCAATACTTATGGAGGGGTTTAAATGATCGGCGATCTTAGAAAGGAGAGGGGTGGGGATTGCCAACGAGCGGCGTATGGTTCTTAGTCCGAGGCGGTTTGTAACCCGGGACCCCAAGGTGGCTGCTCAATCCCCAATTTTCTCGTAGACCGTGAGTTATCTCCGGTACAATAGCGAACCAAAGATGTATCTCCGCGTCGGATATACAAGTCAATGCCGTTCATGACGGGACTGTGTGGGGGAAGAACCCGATTGGAAGGGGGTGAACAAACATGACAAACACTGATAAACATCACAAACATTCGGAACTCTTCCGCGGCTTACTTTGGGTAGACAGACACAACAAAAGTGATATTGAAATATAGACAACCAGGTATTCCGTCTAACTTTTCCCCAAACGCCAATAGATGCATCACAAAAGCCCTTCTAATTTGCCCAAATCTTCGTCTCAGTCGATGACGGCTTAGCCATATCAGCAAAAGGACACACCGAAGTCTTCGAAGCAGACGCCGCAGCCGAGGTACTTGTCTTCGTGGATGGGGCCGCACTATGAGTGGAAGGCGCAACCCCACTAGAAATACTAGACCGGTCGTCATCAACAGAGCTATTGGAGCTACTGCCAAGAATGCGCTTGTCACCGATGTATCCTTCCTGGTCATCGAAACTCATCAATGACATTTCATCCGCATACTCTTCTCCGTCGCTGCAATGGTACCGAGCGAAGAGATCATTCTGGATCCAAAGGATCTTGTTGACGGCGCGCACGAGGGCGATCTTCCGTCGGAGTGAGAGGTGTGGGTGTGACATCATCGCTTCGATCCAGATGTCTTGGATGTAGCCCATGCAAGCGCCTAGGTGGATGTATTCGATGTTCAGGGGGGATCGTCGGACTTGACCGCTGTGCATCATGCTGTGCAACATGTTATTAGTTCGGGTTCTTGTCTGACACTCTTTCTTCCTTGGAATGCCTCCAGGGGCAGGTTGGATTCACTTACCCGACCTTGTTCAGGTATCGCCAGAAATCCATTGTCGTTGGGTCTTGGCAAAGACGTGTGAGGTACCACCGGAGGAACATCTTGCGTCGCTTGATCTGGGGTGCTTCTTCGTCGAGGTAGTCTTCTTCCGGCTCGGTCTCGTCGACTGTGTTTCGTGTGTGGAAGGCTCGTGATGTGATGTCGCACTCGAGAAGCTTCTTATATACCAGGTTGACTACTGCTGGGATCAATTGTTTGATGTATTTTGTGCCGCTGATCAATGCCTCGATGTCGGCTGGGATTTTGTCAGTACTTTTGTCCGAGGAAACTCAGGGTGAGATATATGGTACTTACCAGGGCCGAAGTCGAGGAAGGCATGCAGGTACTTGATGCGCTCTTCCAAGTTTGTGTAAAGCAGCTTGCGGTCAACATGCTTTGGCTCGGGGGCCGATTTGAAACCGTACTCCATCGTGTGATGCTGTCTTTGATATGATGAGCGCAACCGGCAGTTCAACGAACACCTGGGGTATGTTTGAGATGGAAGAAGAAGAGGTAGATTTCACAGATCTTGGTTGAACGGAATATAAAACTGGGGTACCTCGTGGCAAGCTCGTGGTGGTTCGAGTATTTATACACTGCCATACGATCCCTGTTAGATTACAGTGTTCATCTGACCCTCCAAAATATCATAGCACAAGCCACGAAACTGCACATCGCATCCGATTCGGGATCTGCTGCAGGCAATCTTGGGTCAGGATGGACCGCGGGCCACTTCCTAGAGAAGCGGTCACACCCGATTACACGAGAAAATACTCAGATCATGAATGCATTGGGTATGGTCGAATCAGACCACACAATATCAAGGAGTCATTCTCCGACATGGAGAGACAAGTGTGGGCTGATCCCTGCAATCTCCTCCAGGCTTGCAGAACAATGAAGCCAAAGACGAAACCCACCTCTGTTGTGCTGTCATAGACCGGCAAACTTGAAACAAGCGACTTGAGATGTCCACATGGGAACGCGGAGATTAATCTCTTGCTTCTAACAGGCTGTCTACCCTTCTTCATCTATAGACATGCGCTTTGGTCGCGTTTTACATCGACGACATGACTTCTTCAATGAGATCTGTCAGACCGTTACCTGTCAACCGTCTGCCAGCGCAGCAAAATAAATTAAAACATCACTCGCATCTCGGTCTGATTAACTGGCCGTGCTCCTTCGTACTCCGCTACGCCCCAACGGTCTCGCGTAGGACCCGAGACGATGTGGATTCCGTTCGGAGCCGACGGGTTTGCGGGCTTTGGATTACTATTCAAGATTTACATAGAATCAGACATGCATAAGGGAACCCCGTTATGATCCGAGGCTTAGTTCGAACTAAACCACACACCGAACAGGTTCTCTTGCAGCGCCTAGCAGGGATTCAATTCCCTCGAAACATGTCTTCCAGATATTAGAGAAATCAGACCGTTTAACAGAGTGGGTCTCCAGAAAAAAAAATCCATGGATGCAGAACAATAGCAGGGATTAATCAGAGTTAGATCGGTAATAGCGTCGTGCTAAAGAGTGATAGTCTCATAAAATCAGGAAACACTTGCATAAGGGGCACGCTAGAACACGGAGAATATGCCAACCGTCTTTCCGCAATCATCGGATCGATCATATGGAATCGTCTCCGCAGCTCTTGCGAGCGTCGTGTGATGGCGTGGCCTGACACTGTATTTGGGTGGATTCTCCGGCTGGTGGGGATGGCCTGATCAATGGGGCTGTTCCGATTGAAAATGTTTTTTAAAATAGGCAGAGACATCCAGTGAGATTTTTTCTTTCTCCTGTGCGAAAGGGGTCAATGGAGGATGAGGTTGAATCTTGGATCTTCACTTCCGAAGCCAAATTCGATAGATCATCACTTTCTCCTTTAGCTCGTTTTCCTTTCGGTACCGTACCTTGGGTTCGGGCTCAACCTGAGACGCTTCTCAAACAGCCGCGCTAGACGATCACTACCTGCTTAGTGGTCAGTTCGTTGGTCTTTGGTCCAGAACAGGGCTTTATTTTCCTTTATTAACGGCTTGCCGTGCCACGTGAACGGCGTCCGTGGATATGACATGCCAAGCAATTTGTTTGACTTTACGGGGAGATTTGACAGCGGGAAGTTGAATGTGCCGTCAAGCCATTGCTGATTCTGAATTGACTCTCAGGTGAAGAATTCGACCTGTACATCGCGGGGAATGTGATGAGGGAGCTTAATATATTTAACCTTGGGTACAGGTCGACTTTGGGTTTATGTCCTAGTGAAATTGTGTTTCAGAGAAGGAGCCAATATACATTATATACTCGTCATATTGATTCCTATCATTCCGGTTGGCGCAGACCATTCAGTAGATATAGCCCCTACATGCTTTCCGTGGTCGCATTGCTGCGTGCTGCGGCGGCGTCGTAGAGTGCCTTAATATCCGCCTGCCACTGCTTCTCGTCGGTTCTAGCCAATCGCCGGTCATAGGTGATGAGACCGTTGACCTCGCCCTCGACATCGGTAGTCTGGGTCCAGACTCCACCGCTGCACGAGAAGAGACGGATTTGGTCTTCAAGCTCGCCAAGCAGGATGTGACTGCGATAGTTCCAGGCCTCGATAGTAGTGTCAATTTCATAGGTCTGATTGATGGTGTTAATGGCAGCCTGGTTATTCCACAGGCTGTAAAGAGGAGTAAGTATGTAGCATCAACGTGGAAACTGGTAACTCACTGCTCAATAGAGACATTACTGCCAATACCACCAAATTCACCCTGGAACCCGATTCGGCTAGGATCAAAGGGACTTGAAGCTGTGGAGTAGAATGGCGTGCCACATTGCGGGTTCGCATAGTGGTGGTTGTCCTATATCTCAATCAGCCACGTGTGACCTGTTCGGTGGCAAATATACATACGCTAAAGTCTCCGGCGCCGTGATCGTGCCAGCCAGTCGTCGAGTCCACAAGACGAGTGGGGTCCAGCTGTCTGACCCGATCGGTCAGTTCGAACTCGGGGTAGTAATCGGTGATCTGACCCCAGCCTTCGTTGTATACGACCTGTGAGCCAATCTCTATTAGTTCAGCCCCTGCATAAGGGATGTTTCAACGTACCCATGTGGCAATACTGGGAAAGCTCTTGAACTGGTTGACCAGGACATCCAACTGCCTGGCAAATTCTGCCTGTTGTTCCGCATTTGGGAGAATTGTGACTGATTTGCAGTTATCTTCGGTCTTGGATTGCAGCGGCCGCAATGATGGCATATCCTGAATTACAAGTAGTCCGATCTCATCGCATGCCTGGTAGAAGAGTTCGGGCTCGACTTTGATCTGTGAGGAGGTGAGTACAGACTCGGAAGACAAGTTATAGCGATATCATTTACATGCTTGCGGACCATGTTGAAGCCTAACTTCTTCAGCACTTGGAGATCATACACCATTGCTTCACGGGTTGGAGGAGTGTATAGTCCATCTGGCCAGTAGCCCTGATCCAGGGTGCCAAACATGAAGATAAATTCCCCATTCAGCAAAGGTCGCTCGATACCGTCAACCTTGCCTCGAGAAATAGTGCGGAAGCCTGTGTAGCTCTCCACTTGGTCTTTGTCCAACTTGACAGTCACGTTGTACAAATTAGGCGAGTTGGGAGACCAGAGCTTGGGAGAAGACACAGTGAACTGGAAGGGCGTATTGGTTGGACCATTGTGAGTAGTAAGAACCTTACCATCCTTGTGCACGGTGACTTCTGCTTCGGCGGAAGTATCCTGTGCTGAGCTGTGCACAGTAATGTTGACTACTCACCATTAGAATCACTGAGGCCTCTCTTACCCCGGCTTTGGACACTCACCTTGACCGTCCATATTACCGTCGATATCCAAATGTGTGATGTGATTTGCAGGGGCAGCTTCCAGCCAGACAGTTTGCCAGATGCCACTGCACGGCGTATAAAAGATGTGACTTGGCCTGAGAGTCTGCTTTCCAATGGGAATCACATAGTCACCATCATCTGTGGGATCATGAACGAAGACAAGTCTGCAACTTGAGTCAGATACATTGATCGCTTTTTGAATCGGGTATACTCACAGTTCGTTTTGCTTGTCAAACACCAGGTACTCTGTCACATCCAACTCGAAGCGAAAGTATCCACCACGATGGAAGCCTGCCTGTTTACCATTGACGAATACAGTCGCTTCATAGTCCACGGCGCCAAAGTTGAGAAGCACTTTCTCGCCCTTCCAGGAGGAAGATATCTCGAAAGAAGTTGAGAACCATGAGTACAAAGCATACTCAGTTTGAATCCCTGCACATTTTGTTAGATTCAGCGATGACACACGAAAAGGAGCCATCTGGGGAAACCTACCGGACAATCCACTTTCAAGACATGATGGAATCAAGACATCTTGTGCCAGTTCCTGTCCAAAAGGTGGACTTTGAACTGCATCCAGACCAGAAGCACTCTGATACTTCCACACGCCATTAAGATTCTTCCATTCAGACCGCTGCAATAGTGGACGGGGATATTCAGGCCACGGCTCAGTGCCGACTTTATCTGTCCACGGTGTGGTCAAAGGAGGCTCCTTCAGGGCATAACCTGCACTGCGTGCCTTGTTCACATGTTGTTTGCTACCATCACTACCAGGAAGGGCCAGACCAGAGGCCGCCAGCAAAGAAAACACAACACCCCCAGTCAAATGCATGTTTACAAGAGATGCAAAGATCAACAGGAGTGCAGGCACAAAGCAACGAAAAGACTGAAGATCTTCGGAATAAAAGGGTCACATTCCTAGCATTATTGGGCCCATGCCAGCGTTTAAATACATAGGACCTGCGCACGCAAGATTTCCCGATGGCGCCATGTTTCCCTGCATACGGACAAGAAAGATAGAATGGGCCCTCAGACCCCTCTACTCGGCGCGGCATCGTCAAGGGTACATCTAGATGTACTGTGTTAGCATTAGTTGGCGGAGATGTCTCCACAAGGGCTGATCAACCCCGCAGGGAGAAGCCCAAGCATTCCGAGTTAAGACAGCAGAGAACTCAGAATTTGGGGCCTAAGACCGGAGTGCAGGAAGTATCGGTGTCTGCTTGGCGTGGTTGGCAGTTATGCAGATGCCAAGAGTTGAAGGGGTAGAATGATGTCGACCTACATATAGTGAGCTCAGAGCCCATATAATCCAAAACTGCATATAACTTACAGTAATGAAGACTTTCAATCTGCGCATTACAAGAGACGGTCAACAAACAAAAATTTCCCTGCTCGTTGATCATCCTCATACACAATATTACATCGGTGGTTATACGGCTAAACTCAGCTAGTCCGTGTCCAGGAACCGACAAATCAAAACTTGGATGAAATGTAGTGGAGTAACATGTGTTTCTTGCCAGCGAATCACTTTTCCTTCTCGTCCCTTCTTTTGCTCACGCGATGGAATGCGGGATCTGCCTCGAGATTCGCGGAGAATCATCGGCGATCGCAATAGACTCGCGACAGCCGATCCATCTTTACCCCAGACATACATATCTCGCCCCCATGTACAGTAAAGGCATCAGAGCTTCTGTCTAATCCACGAGCCGACATGCAGCTTACCTGCATGTGAACTTGGTCTGAGAATGAAGTCACCAAGCAAGAAATGGACTGATCATGCATCTAAGTCCACCTGGCAAGGATCGCGAATCGATGTCCAATCCCTTGCATCCAAGTTGCATGGCACTGGGGTCCCTGCACTGGGGTATCAGCCGGATTATCTATGTTATCATTGTCATGATATATTTATTAAGACTGTCATTGAAGATCTAGGATCGCGTCATGCCGTTATTTAGACTGACGTGGTAATTTGAGGTTCCATTCCTGTTGTCTAGCTCTCAATATAAGAATCCGAGCGGCCGACTCCCCCCCCTCAGAGGCGGACTTGGCGCGATGATCACTTCATTTCAATTGGTGAGTGGCTGGCCGGTTTTTTGGGCTTTAAGGATTCTCCGCCTTGTCCTTCCCCGCGTGATATTTTGCGGGCCTATTGTCAGAGCTGTTCCAATCAAATCAACTACACTTCAATAGTCGTGGGGTAAGTTTGGATATTTCCTGGCTGTGATCGAAATAAAGAATGAGATACATGTACTCGATCCCTGTGATTTCTTCCCGGAGAAACTTTTAGGGCCTACCTCAACCAATATTCAAAACTTGCTTCAATACTTTCGGGGTTATTCGTCCCATGTACACAATGATTGCTGCGTGGGTGTTGATTCATGACCAGCCAGCTAGTAGTACATGTACTGCCTTATTAAATTTACCCCTCACTGTTAGTGCTGACTGCATGCGTTGAGCCGCAATATATAATGGCAACTCGACTCCATACAGATCATCTGAGCTGTTGTTTATATCCTTCACAGGAAGGTGTAGTGCTACTCGCCATACTTGATGTACTGCGTTGGTAGTCAGGAGCATCGAAAGTTCGAAAACTGATTCTCTCAAACTGATTCTCTAGGGAATGTCGCCCCATACTTCGTGATGGTATGATTCATTAGGTAGGCTCCAAATTGCCGAATGTCTTTTCGCTCTCTATCCCTACGTCTGAGCTCTCATTTCTTTGCTTTTTAGCCTGCTATGTGACTATGTTGCAAGCTACTAGAAGCTCTACATGTCCAATCAAACCGAGTTTTGATTGTGTGGGGTTCTTGGTCATATTTGCTACGTCAAGCGAAAGACCAGTGAAGCCTTCAAGTAGCAAGTCTATTGTAAGTCTCAAAGATGACGCGAGAAAGGCCGAAATCTGATAAGGAAATAAGAGATGGGCACCCGTGGAAACGAAAGAGGTCGGTCGGGTGTTCGGGTAACGCCGAGACGGCGTTAGAGTGCTTATATCCGGGTCTTCATGGTACGATCCCGGTTGCATAGCTCAAGAAGGGAAATCCAGTTGAGGTATTGGGTTGAACCTGGACGTGAACGGATTTAAGCATCGTAATGTCCATATCTAATCTTGAAAGACCCAGTTGAACCTCTGAGTTGGCGTATATAAATATGCAACCGCCACTCAATATGGTCCCAGTCAATTATCATCCATAAGAACAAAATGTCTGAATCTAAAATCATTCTTATCACTGGCAAGACAACGATCCCAAAAATCCGTTTGTCAACCACTAACTCTCCATCCAGGCGCCAACTCAGGCGTCGGCTATGCAACAGCCCAAGTCCTAGCCGAACATCCAAACCACCACATAATCATGGCATGTCGAGACCCAAAGAAGGGTGAAAAGGCCCTATCTGAAATCAAAAGCACCGGAATAAAGGGCACACTCTCCGTTCTCGAACTGGACATCGAAGACGACACTTCAATCATCAAAGCCGTGGACAAAGTGACCAAAGACTTCGGCCGAGTCGACGTATTCATGAGCAACGCCGGAACAGCCGCACCGGAAAGCAGCGGGCGCGAACTGCTAACAAAGATCTTCTCGACAAACGTCATCGGCGCAATGCTGGTCACCGAAGCCTTTCTCCCACTTCTTCTCCAATCCTCGAAGCCCTATATGATCCAGGTCTCCAGTGGCTTGGGCTCATTGTCCGAGGCGGCAGACCCCAGCTGTCCGCACTATGCTGCGCCATGGGACGAGTATCGTATGAGCAAGGCTGCGCTCAATATGATGACTGTTCAGATGCATAAGCGGCTCCAGGGCCAGGTGCGCGTGTTCGCGTTTTGTCCTGGGTTGGTTAGGTCTAACTTGAGGGGTGAATCCGAGGCTGCTGTAAGTGCGCAGGGTAGAGCCGGGGATCCATTGGAATCCGGAAAGGGTATTTTGGGGATTGTTAGGGGAGAAAGAGATGGCGACGTTGGCCGCTTTGTTCATAAGGATGGTTGTTGGACTTGGTAGGGGGACCCTGTAGGCCCGAGAGGAAAGGCAAAATAGGCATACTAAGCTATTGTGATTCTAGCCATTTCATACAGCTTTGACCGTATATTTCCGGGGTAAAAGTTGAACATTCGACTGCTTCTCCTTGTGATTGGCTGCTTAAGTGCCGGTGGAAGTTCGCGGTGCATCCGGTGGAAATATTCGTCCACTCACCGCAACTTGCCGGCAGCTTCCAGTCCAGACCCAACCATAAACCGATCGAACAGCCAATTACTCGTCAGATCAGCTGCCTATCCCCGGAAAAATGCGGGGTGTGTGGATCTGTCATCGCTTCATGGGCGCGGGTGCAACGGGAGTCTCTCGTGTCTCTCGTGTCCTGTTTGTTCATATTGAGGGCAAGTCTGCAACACATTAGGCAACCCAAAAGATATCTGTAAGAACAATATTGCTATCAATATGAAGCGAGTTACTCAACGAGTATCACAGGCGTGTACGGAGTGCAGACGAGCGAAGCTTCGGTGCGAAACAGAGCAAAACTCACGAGTCTGTCGCAGGTGCCAGTCGAGCGATTCCCACTGCCACGTCTCCAAAGACCCAAGGTAGATATTACCCCGAGTCTAGAAAAAGGGATCACCGAAGCGAATAGCTCAGCGCTAATACCCTTGAGCAACAGAGCTAAGAAGCAACCGCGGTCCGTGCCAATGGATGTGGCATCCTCTTTTGGTATCCTTGCCCAGGCCTTCTCTAATACCGAAGATGTGGATCATATGGACACTTATGGTGGAGTTGATCTAGGTAGGACATGCCGCCAAAACGCCAAGCAAGGCTTGGATAGATATTGACATCCTTAGATGCCTTTTCGCAGCTCATCACCCCAGGCAGCAAACCAAAATCCGATGGACCACATATGAGCTGTACACACAATGTTCCTCAGACATATCCACTAGACAGCTATCTTACGACAATAAACGAACTTCTCTCACCACGAACCCCGGACCTCATTCTCGGAGAACAGCACCAGCCATTTGAGCTCCAAAGAACATTTGAATTGCGGCCTCCACATCTTTCCGAAGAAGATTACGAATACTTGGCGTTGAAAGGGGCGCTGAGGATCGTCCCGGTTGAGCTTCGGAACCAGTTACTTGGGTCATATATCAAATATGTTCATCCATTACTCCCGATCATTGATTTACAGTCATTCTTGTGCAGTGTCATGGTTGAAGATGAAACACGATTTGCCAGTCCACTGCTGCACCAAGCTGTCATGCTAGCTGGAAGTGCTTTCATTGCACAAGAAGTTGCCATTGGAGCCGGATTCTCTTCACGAAAAGCATTGCGAAGGACACTATTTGACAGAGCCAAAGTGAGTCATTGTTGGCATAGAATGATAAGCATCAATTGCTGATATTTTCAGCTCCTGTACGAGTTTGAAACCGAAAACGACGCATACACTCAAATCCAAGCCTTACTACTCATGACTCATTGGCATGGAAGTGGCGTTGGCCATAAAGACCCAATTTACTGGTTTGACCTTGCCTATTCGACAGCAGAGCGTGTAAATCTCCTCGGGAGTCTCGAGCCAGGCAGTTTCTCCCACAAGCACAGGCTATGGTGGTGTCTATACGTGCGCGACCGTATTCTATCTCTTGGTTTCCGTCGTGCGTTACGCATCCCTAATAGTGATGTGACAATGTCGCTCCTGGAGTCGACGAAGTATTATTCCTCGGAGCTGTATCATGATTTCGTTCTTCTCATGCTGGGGGAAGCCTCTGCTATGCTGAAGTGGGAGAACCAAGAGCGGATGATGCTTCTCTTTATCCAGGAGATCAAACTCGCGCATTGCGTCGGGGTCATCGTGGAGTATTTCTACCACGACTCATGGACGCCTTCCCCATCGGGAGAAGCTGTCTATACCCTTGTCCCCAAAACAGAAATATCACAGGATGCTATAGCCAGCTGTGAACAGCTTCTCAAAACTTGGATGCAGAACCTCCCTGCTCTGGCACACTACTTCCCTCCATCGCTAATGTGCGACCTTCATCCCGAATCTACCGAACTTGTTCTGCTAGTCCATCAAGCTTTCTTGTATCTTCTCCATCTTACCGCGATGTCAATTCTGTATATAGCCGCATCAAAAGGAGGAGACGAACTGGACCAAAGCGCCACGCCAGAGATGAGAGGCCTGGCATCGCAAGTCAACGAAACGCTCAACGAGTTGCATGACTGTAGCATGCTGCACTTACTGCCCGGAAGCGCTGTCACTATTATTGGAATTATTCTCGAGGCCAGCCTTCCTGATTTGAAGGTTTCGGACAAGATCGTCAGGCAGCAAGCTATGTCGAATTTGTATGCTTGCGAGGAAGCGGCGGGGCATCTACTGCAGACATACCCTGCTGCAGAAATTGTTATTTCAAAGGTTCAGAATGCCCGTGGAAATCTACTGGGCTTGGTGACCACTTGATGGAGAAAATACAACTTACTTTCTAGCATTTACAAAATGAGTTGAACGAACATATAATTTAGGAAGACTTTCTCAAAGCGAACAATAACAACCACACGTAGTGATAAGCAAAGAAGAAACCCAGACAGTCGATCAAAGTTGCAGAATCTACAAACGTATTGTTTGGCAAACTGTTGCTCGTCGGCGCTCTTCTGCTCTTGCTACAAACACGCAAATCATCATTGCAAAGCGACTTCACGAACTTCATATTCTTCTATTTCGGACTAAAAATCATGTCGGCAGTCTCACGCCTTGCTCTGTTCTTGAGTAGCTTCCTCGTTTTGATAACACGCGTTTTTCTCGTCATAATTCTACCCACCATGTTCGGCGCTGGGTTGACAGTGCTCAGGTTGATGCGGGTTTTAGACCCAGTCATGCAATGAGTCTACGATGAATTGCATCGCACATCCTCTCAATCAGTGATATCTACGACTCGATAGCATCTCAGGGAAATGTTCGTCCCCAATTCCAAGCACTGCTCTGGTCATCCGGTATCAGGTTGAACATAACTATACGTGTCAGTGAGGCTAATCTATTTTTGAAATTTAGATCAACTCACGCTCTCCAAAGGCGCCAAAAGTGTCGTCAAGTTGTTCGAAGATGTTTGCCGAGGGACATTCCGAGGCTTCGAAAGATGGTTGGATTGCCGCACCAGACCGGTGGATTTGCTCGGAGATTCCTGGGAAGTGATTTGAACGTCGTGGTTCTCCAGTTATTGATGCTGGGAGAAGACTGGAGGGCATGTTATGACAAGAGGGTGATTGAGGTTCGAGAAGATTGAGCGGCATTTGTTGTGCAGTCGAATTCACACTGCTATCAGGTACATCTCTTGAATAATTTGGTCCTCCCCTCAAAGCACTAGACATCTCCCGCTCGATGGTCACCTTGAGTAGATCTGTAAGCAACTGCGCAGTTTGCTTGGCTATGCGGTTGTTTGCACCAAACGCCGTGCTTGCATGAATGATGCGCATTACTCCGGCCTTGGCTTCATGTGCTATGGCAGAGAAAGGTTGGCTGGTTGGTGAGATGCAGAGAATGACTCCTGCAGTAAATTGCTGTAGAGACGCAAAGGACTCCGCAAAGTGGTGCTTGAACTGGAGAACGGGGATGCGTGATATTCGCAGTGCAGCTGTTGTGGCTGTTCTTAAGGATCGACACATTGCATTAACCACATATTCTGAACAGACATTAGTAATCTTCTGTTCCAAGAGAGGCCGGCAAGCTTGTATTAGAGCTCCATCATATGTGAGCTGAAGACAAGCTGCCTGAAGAATGATGATCTCTGCTTGGACTTTGGCGCGTGGAGGTAAATTCTCAATTTGTTGGTGAAATAGCTCAAGTCGATTCTCTTGGCTCCAAACCTCGAAGTCGAATAGTCGAGGGACTCTTTTCCGCCAGCAGATCAATTGTTCCTCTGAATCTTGTGAAGCTTCTGCAATGGTCGCTAGATCCTCTTCCATTCTCTCCTTCCTCAATTGAAGACGCCGAAAGCGGGAAAGAATATGTCGGATGATGTTGTAAATCTCATATTTTGCTTCGAAAAACCCAGCTGTCGTTGTCTGCCGCATATCGTTTGGTATAATATCATTATTCAGCAGGATTGGGTCGATCATCAAGTCATCCATATCTTTCAATGTATGCAAGGCGACTAGCCCCGTATCAATACAGGAGGGTCGCCCATAGATCACGGATGTGAACGTATCACCGACAATTGCGTGATTCCAGCATCGAGAGCGAATCTCATCCATCACAGGATCATCGCACCGGGATGACTTTGTATAAAGATCAAGAGCGTAGGCAGATCGCACTGCCATACCGGAGACCGTCCAGGCGATACTCGGAGAGTTATGGTAGACATAATAGGAAGATACCAAATAGCAGGCCTGAACAGCCTCAATCCGACAGTCAATAGATATTTCAAGCAAATGTAGTCGTATCTCATTCACTAGGTTGTGTATCAACTTTGTACCGTCGATTGAGTAGTGTAAGAGTAGTTTGTGCCCGCTCCATTTTTGATCTGGTAGCACGCACTGTAACCCGATCATGGCGACAGCTAAGACAGCCATGGTGGGACTGAGATCTTGCCGCCTCCAGGATGTTCTAGAAAGGATTCTGCGTGCCGTTTGTTGAAAGGAAGGTTCATGAAAGAGCATGACAAACCATTGCATTCGGTCGAAATAAGCGTCGATCAAAGCTAGCATCACATCTTCAGGGGGCAGCTCCACCTCTGTTAAATGCCATAAAGAGTTGTCTAATTGGGGAGCCCCCGTGTCGCCAGGAATTGATGCACCGGTAAGAGTTCGACCGGCTTCCGCTTCATTGAATACACGCCTAGCGAAATCAATTGCGGAAGCATTAGCGCCCGACTGTGGCTCTTTTGGAGAATTCTCAGGGTAAGAAGTTGAGCTCTCTGTGGTATATGATTCGGCTACCACTGAGGCTAAAGGAGTGGCGGGAGAGCCTTTGGATATCGCCGGTGCTATTGATTTGTGCACCCTAGAGGGCCTGTGCAAATCTCTGCTCCCATTTCGCCTGCGAGCTCGTCGCGCCGCCCGCTGCGATGTTTCGCACTCATGCCCAGCTCGAGTGCATAGTACACAAGGCCGAGAACTATCACACTACAACAGCATCAGAAAAGGAGAATCTTGGTGAAGCCTGCGGAGTCATTTACTGACCTTGAGCTTTTGCCGACGGCATCTATCGCACGCTCGCGACGTGCGGGGTGACTTCTGAGTATCGGGAGAATCTCCTCCCATGGACATTGGCATTGGACCTAGCGCTCTAAGTCCCTGGCATTGTTGTCAGGTTCTGAAGGGCCAGGGTCTCAGAGCCGGGGTCTCCGCAAGTTACCTCGGGGCGAATGCCGAGTAACCGCGGGCAACCGAAATCCTTGGAGCTGAGTGTATATATGCTTGATCTTTCATTCAGTAAATGCGGACACAATATTAGCGGGAAATCAGCGACTCCGTTCTGACTCTGTTAGTACATTCGGTGCCTTCGGTCCCCACGTTCTGACTTCGGGTGATACTCTGACCGATGAGCAATCATGATTGTCTTGATAGGGTAGCAATACGGAATAGGAGAATTATTATTACAATACCAATATCTAGTCGCAATCTAGTCGTTCTTCATCCATCATTTGATGGTATGAACTCATTCACTACTCTTCACCAGGACCCCCTAGCAGATAAAACCACCGGTAAGCATCCCGTCATTCACCAGACCTAGCAAGTATACTTGATGAACATTCGGTCCTCTTGCATTAACAACAGTCTACATTAGAACACAAACGTTGATGGGCACGACAACCGTTTGGTCAAAGAGTTAAGAGTAGAGTAATGGGCCTCGGAACTGAGCGGGGCGTATCAAACCAGCGCAAAGGTCAAACTGAGCGAACAGCTACATGGAAGTAAGCGCCACATCAGCGTGATCTGACTCGGGCGAGCACCAGTTACTTGGACAGCAACATACAAGTTATCGAAGTGAACTAAGTGTAACCCCGCGAAAAAGTAAGAAATTAGAAAGAAGACTGGACAAAAATTTCGAACTCTATTCCCATGGAATGAACGCCATGGTATGCTCCTTGCTAATCATACATGCTTGAACGCCCGCTAGTCATAATTATACCCAAAAAAAGTAAGCAAGAAAAGTTAAGACCGAAAGCCGGCATGTCCCTTTACATCAACATCCGGATGATTTCCATGACCATGAGCGTCGCTCTTGCTCTTAGTAGAGGCCTGATTTGGCCTTTGCTGGGCCGCGACGACAGCGCTTAGGAGTTTGCGCGGGGGAAGGCGCGCGCGAGGGGCCGGACGAAGGGGAATGCACGGCAGGGGTATCTTCTGTGTGGGATGAATCATCCCCGTTAACCTCAGCCTCGGGTGCGGGCTTGAGAGTCAGACGAATCCGCTGCACTTTAGGCTTCACATCCTCAGTAGTAGGTATTGCGATGGAGGCAACCTTGCTTGAATGAGACTGGGCTTTTGCCGCGGATTTCGGAGGGGAATGGGCACCAGGAGCAGGAGCAGGATCATTAGGAGGACCCGTAGCAGCGAAAGAGACAGGACCGGGTTCAGTCTGGCGACGGCGACGCTTTGACTTGCGTTCTCCGTCCGGGGTTGCATCTTGCTTAATCGCATCTGCGGCCGCGGTCTGACGACGCTTGCGCGTGGCACGAGGCTTGCGAGTAGCAGTTGCTGGTGCAATAACGGGGGTTTCCTGAGGGCGGGATAACACTTTGGCTTTTTCCTCATCCACGTTCTCTGACTGGAAAGGTGACTGCGAGCCGACGGGGAGGTTGCGGGACCCGATGAGTGGTGGATAGCCGCGAGCGTAGTCACTATCGCCCTGTTGATCCGTACGAGCACGCACAGGGGGATAAGGCAGGTTATCATCACCGTAGGTGTGCAATGAGCGATAAAGGTGGTAGTCATCCGGAATTAGAGAGACTTCTTCAGCTTTGTCGTTGACGTAACCGGTTTCAATCCAGCCATCACTGCTGATTTTGGTATCAGATTGCTTTTCGAAGCCAATGATACCCGGGGTGTCAGTGGATGTAGCTGCGGGAGCTGGAGTGGTAGATGCTGAGACAGCAGAGGTTTCTGGGACGATGGCTTCTGGGACGACTTCATCGACAGCCTGGGACGAAGAAATATCGTCGGCAGAGGTAGTAGTTCCGTATTTTTCATCGTGGCTGTTTTGATAGTATTCGTCTCGTCTCTCCTTGATGAATTGCTCGGCATCAACATTAATTGGAAGAATGAAGTCAGGGTTTAGAGCTTCAAGAGTGAGCTCAAACAACCTCTTGCCAGCGAGTTTGAAGTCCATATCACTGCCTAACAAAATCATACTATTTTGCGTCTTTGAATTTGCCATGCGCTTTGACGTTCGAGTCTTCTTGGCACTCTTCTTGAGGACATTATTCTTCACTGGCTTTGAGGGGGGAGCAGGCTTTTCCCCGATCGGAGTCGATGCTTTCGCATTTTTGCGAGGCTTTTTCTTTGCCGATTCCAAAGATTCAAGAGCCCTAATCGTAGGCTTGCGCACTCGCGATGAGTTCCGCATGTCAGACGCACTTGTGGGGCTGGAGGGACCGTCCGGTGTTCCTTCTGATCCGAGTGCATCAAAATATTGATCATTGGTCCAGCCGGTATTATCGATACCCTCTAGAGGATCAAAGTCGGATTGATCATTTCTTGGTGTTTCGAGAGCAGCTGTCCGTCTGGTCCGCCGACTGCCCTGGCTGACCGGGGTCTCTATGGTTGGTGTATAGACCGTGGATAAACGAGAGGGACGAGTTTGGAATGCTCGTCGGCGTGAAGATGGCGTTTCTGGGACCTCATCTTGTGAGCGAGGACTAGTTGCAGCAGGTTTGGGGTTGTAGAAACGAATGTTGATTGAGGATTCTTGGGGCGAGGCGGGTGTAAGGTTCAACGTTTTGGGTGGGTTGGCGGTTTCAGTAGGGCTTTTTTGAGGAGGAACTCGTGGTGAGCGCCGAGAAGGTGTCAAGGTAGGTGTTTTATTGATGCGCGCCGGCATCGATTTACGCTGACCCTTTTTTGGAGGCATCGTGACTTATGCTAAATGTCCGGGACAAGTCAGTTGAGCTATTCATGTGGATATCACGTGCAAAAAAATAGAGCGGCTGCGAGGCATGTAAAGATACCGATGTTCACGGCCAAAAAGGGTGAGGGGAGTATATGGGGGGTCAGGTGTAGGCCGACGTCAGAAGGATCAGGAAGGGGAGAAGGGGATTAGGGCCCGGCATATCAGGATAAAACTTACGGGACCAGAGGTTCACCCATCAGCAATAATGAGATTTAATGTCCATCAAGGGCATAAAAAGTAGGATAGGGCGAAAGGGTGAGAGCGAAATAACGGTGATGGAGGGTGTTGAGGTCGAGCAGAAAAGAAATTAGGGCTACGATTGATCGGCGCTTATCGGCTTCAGACTGTCCGCCTTATTCTGCAACTCTCTCTTCCTCCTCTATAGCTTCAGCTTTCACTGTCACTTCTTTTGCTTTTGTTATACTTTCTTTCACAATGCATCTGTGGCAGGCCACTGTACCCTTCTGCCTTTTGGCTGCTGCCGCCCTGCCGGGCGCAGCTGCGTCGGCTTGGGGCTTTACTGATGCCACCGTGGCCGTTCAACACAAAGGCGCTGGTGTCAATGGAGGTTTCAAAGAGCAGTATGTCGTTCACAATTTAGTCAAACTGAGGAGCGCTAACATTGTAATTGCAACAGGCTCACTGCCTCCAAGCCGCTCTCCAAGCCCGTTTCAATCATCGACGCTGATACCTTACGCGTCACCTTGACAGCTCAGGAAGGAAGCTCCCCGAAGCGCCCTCACCAGGCTTTCCTTCTGCTGAAGGATGCTCATACTGGATTGGATATCTCCTATCCGTTTACCGTCAAGGAGAATGGCAAGTCAAGGGTGGAATTAGTATGTAACTCGAGATATCGCAAGCGACGCAACTGACAGCTCTCAGACCAAGAAAGACCTGCCAATCCAGTTCCTCTCCCTCCCCGAACCTGTTGATGCCCGTGTGGTGATCGGCGGACTTGGTACATCGGACGCATATGACAGCTCTGTGTTCCAATTGTCCATTGATCGCAACCCCGAACTCGCCGTGCCGACCGTCGAGACTGACCGTTATGGCAAGAAGCCTGAGATCCACCACATCTTCAAGAACTCCCCGTCCAACCCCCCCATTGTCATTACTCTGGCCTTTGTCGCCATGGTGGGCGCGGCTATTCCTGTTCTTGCTGGTTTGGTAAGATTATACCTCATGTCGTCGTGTCAACAAATACTAACCGTTACCTTTAGTGGCTCCTCCTCGGTGCCAACGTCAGCCACCTTCCCACTGCTTTCAAGTCCGCCCCTCTTCCTCATGCCGTATTCCTTGGATCATTGGTCGCCTTCGAGGGAATCTTCTTCCTCTACTACACCTCGTGGAACCTGTTCCAGATTCTGCCCGCTGTGGCCATTGTCGGCGCAGTCGCATTCATCAGTGGAAGTCGTGCACTGGGTGAGGTGCAAGGTCGTCGCCTTGCTGGTCTCCGTTAAGCCTCTAGATTATCTGGAAATTCTAAGCCCTAGTTCCAGTTCTCTATCGACAACTTTACCAGAGTACTGCATGTAAGTCACGGCTCACGCAGTAGAATGTTTTTGCAAAAGCAAGTCTCCAAAACAATATAAGAGAGATGCCAATCTTCGGATCCATCTGTTTTCAAATATGTCTGTAGTATATCTTATTCTGTATACTATGCTTGGAAGTCAGTGTTTGGCTCATGCGACGAGGCATTTTGCACCAATGTACTCCCCTATTTATGGTATTTCTTTGATTTGACTGTTCCTAGCAGCAGTAGTCAAAGCCATGATACTTCGTCTAAAATACTGGCCATGTAGTTAATCCATCGGAAAACACCCTGTTTTGTTGATTTTATTTTGACGTCACCCTAGTGGCAGATCAAATGCCAAGGCGACCTCCGCGATTTTCCCTCGACCTCCGCCGCAAAAAAAGCTTCGGTCTTCCAACATCTACGCCTCAACATTCACAATGGGTTCCGCTGCTTCAAAGCCCGCGAAATCAGCGGCATCCGCTGCCGCCCGCCGTCAGTATCCCAAGAAGCCAACCCCTCCCCCTACGGGACAGCGCAAAGCTCCCAAGGAAACGAAAGCAGCGCCCACGCCGGAGCCTGCGAGTGCAGCACCCAACCTTGAATACACCCCCTCGACACCTCATGCACCCGCGCCTTCCTCTCAAGGGCCGACATATCACTCCAAGGAGCCAGCTTCCGGCGTAAAATCTGACGGTACGTCCCCGCGCAATCCTTTCAGCATCTAAACATTTACCGCCATCTTTGCAACAATTAATTTACCACTATCGTGGACAACAAGCTAACTCATACTTCCAGCCATCGACATGGACGGCCGAGACCCCGACTTCGCCGCTTCCCTTCGCTCAATTGGCCCGGTCAACCCAAACCCAACCTACTCCAACTCAAGCACCGTCAATGGCCCCGGCTCAATGCAAACGATCTTCCCTCGGTCCTCGAACCCAGCCCTGCTGGTCATCAACGCCCGCCAAAGACTCAACAAACTCGTAGAAGAGGAGGCCGAGTCGTATGGTGTTGCCGGCCATCCTGGACGGCAGTTCCTCGATGCGCTTACCATTCAGCAGGTCCTGACTATGCGCGATAAGCAGGGTATGTCTCGGAGGCAGATTGAGAAATTCTTGGGTCTGAAGAGTGGTGTTGTTGATCGGTTAGGGAAGGATGCTATTGTTTCGCGTATTGCATGAGCTTGGGTCTTGGGACTGGACTCTAGTGGTTTACTGGTGTTTCTGGGCATCATCAAATGGCGTCTTTGTTGGTTTTTGTATATTATTTTGTTTCGGCTATCCCTACTCATAACATAGATACTACTGTTGGTCTATATGTCTTACTGTTCAAGTGCCCAATGCCAGGTCTGCTATCTATTATCAATAATGTCTGGAACGATATTCGTCAAGTGAAACAAAATATCATGGGATATGCCAAGTCACATCATAGTGCGCCCGGCTAGTCTAATAATGTCTCCTTCGGCCTCTATATAGCTGGATCATAGGACCAATGCAATGTCATACGAATAAGACATGGGCCACACAACGAACATGCAATCTGATATGTACTACAACGGCCAATGCAGGCAGTGCGGGGAGTTCCTCCGCGGAAAAGCAGCACCACGCCCTTCCAATCCCGATAATGATCTGACTCATTATCTGATGAGTCCAAGCAATCTGGTTAGAGCATTAGCAAAACGTTGCAGCAAAATAGAGAACACCTACAAAATTCGGTGCCGACTACCAATCAAACAACACGGATACGATATGACAAGACTATGCGGGCAGCATCTAAATTGCCCCATTTGACAGAAGACCAAACCAGGACATACAAGTACATACTTAACCTCCTCAACCCAATTGACTCCCCCCAGTCTCTCTACACAACCACCCACAATGTATCTCCGCGCCATCCACGCCGAAGGCCAAATCCCCCTCTTACAACAATTCATTCGCGATAACCCATTCGGAATTCTCACAACAGCAATTAAATCCCCCTCGCACGCCTTCATCCAAGCAAGCCACATCCCCTTCGTGCTAGATACGCCCTCTAACGATGACGCATTCCCAAACGGCATTCTACGCGGCCACATCGCAAAGCAAAACCCGCAAGCAAAAGCCCTAATGGAAGCGCTGGCCGAACAAAACGCAGCTGGAAACAACTCCCTCGAACTTGCCGATGAAGTTCTTATCCTCTTCAATGGCCCGCACCACCACTACGTCACGCCAAAGTTCTACACAGAAACGAAACCCGAGTCTGGGAAGGTCGTCCCCACATGGAACTATTCGGCCGTGCAGGCATACGGCAGGATTAGTGTGTACTGCAATTCCAAGGCTGAAGAGACAGGTGCTTTTTTGCAAAAGCAGGTTGAGGATTTGTCGCGACAGTCTGAGCGCGATATTATGGGCAATACCGGTGGTGAGAAGCCGGCTCCGTGGGAGGTTTCTGATGCGCCGGTTAACTATGTCGAGTTGCTAAAAAAGAATATTATTGGGATTGAGATTCGGGTTGACCGATTGCAGGGGAAGTTTAAGATGAGTCAGGAGATGAGTAAGGGTGATCGTGATGGGGTTGTTAAGGGGTTTGAGGAGTTGGGGTCGGAGGTTGGGAATGGGATTGCTGCTTCTGTGAGGGAGCGTGGTGATATGAAGGATCAGCGGTAATTCGGGATTATCCCGTGCTTATGTGGGATTTTTAAATAGAGTGTCCTCTTCAGATTGTGTGTAGATGGTATGATGATGAGCGATGAGAGTTGGATTAACATTTCAAGTTTGGCATTTGAAGAGATATCGGGTTCATATGGATTTTTGCGATAAGTCGGATTTAGCCTATACCAAGGCAACTCGGGTGTATTGCGCATTTTGATACTTTGTGTACACTCGAAAGGAAGGCCTGTATCTAGTAACAGCACACTTGGTTTGAAATGTGTTGTGACTTGAAGAAAATATAACAGGAACTAAATCACTGTTAACATCCTGAATGGGCTGCTAATGCGTGTGTTTTAATTTCCCCACGCGTTAGTGTCCCTCGGGCCCAAAAAATTTATACTGAAGGTGTGATTGAGAACACCTGAAAAAGTCGGACCCCAAATAAACAACCTCAGGAGATGACTCGGATGGGGCGTAGTCCACGCAATTTACGGTGCACTCGGATTGCCACTGCACCGATGGAGCGGTGCGCAGAGCAATGACAAAATCACACATGTTCGCGAACCAAGAGCACAATAGCGTTGAACCAGTCTGCTGCAGAGCATCCGCCAAGTCAGCTTGGCGAGCAGGCTTAGACCCCTATTTTTGACACATCCTAGGCAAAGGCTTAAGCATGCATCTGAAACAGGATAATGGATCGTAAATTGACCATCGCACAAAAAGCAAGACAAAGCAAGACATGGTGGACATCAATAACTAAAACGGGTATGAGATCAACGAATTCTCCACAAGGCTTAGAAGATGCTACAGGGCTCATCGGAACACGGAAGCCCCGACGATCTAAAGAGATCGGAGTGTCTTTTCCAAGTCCCACGGTCCCTTTTTTTGGGGAGCCTGGAGGGCTTAAGAGGGCCACATCACATTATTAAGTGGGTGCCTGATTCTCTCCAAAGTGGAAATAATTGGAGAGACCGCGGTTTGACACACATTTTCTGGTTGGCGCCGGATCACTGTGGGGGAACGGGGGTCGGGCGTGAATAGCTCTCCGAGGGTTGCATTGTGCATTTGACCCCGGATTCTTTGAGAGTTTAACACGAGGTTGCGTGTCGTATTGCCTGTTGGAGGTTCAGACGTGTCTCAGTCAAGGGGCAAATCAGGGCAGGCTAGGGAAAAAAAAGCCTCGGGAAGGAAGTGCTAGACGAATAGTGTCATGCAGGGTCCACCTTTTTCCGTACCATACAGGTACACAGGTTCGGAGCACAATTCACAGTTGGACATCTCTTTCCGTCACATCCGAAGGAGAGGTCCTCCACCGAGAGTCCGTGGAGTCGATGTTGAGGACTGAGGGAACTGAAGTGGGAGGTGAAAAGGGAAAGTGGAAGAAGAGAGGAAGGGAAGGCAGAAGTCTCCAAAGACAAGCATTAATTGGAGCCGCAAAGTCGCGTGCGCGGTTGCCCCAAGGGTCTCAGATGTATCTCCACAGCCTAAGAATAGTTTCCCTTTTGTTTTCGCATTCCGCATTCCTCTTCCCTCCTTTCTCAACTTCGTGTTTTTATCATGACATGAGTTCACCATGTCCATCTCCAAATATTTACCGCCATTGTCGCCATTTCTGTTCTCTGCACTTGTCGTAAGTGGTCTCGCCTCGAAGGCCTTACACATTGCGCTACACATTCGCTCGTTACCGTTCCTTTATTTCATTCTCTACTCGCCGACTCTCATTATACCCGATGTGCTGGTCATAATATGTGCGCGCTTGTTATTGCGCTTCCATGCGCCGGAAGGCCTTTGGCAATGGTTATCGACCGCCGTGGGTGGGGGTTTATCGTATGTTTACCCCAGATGCGATGAAGCCACCAAGAATGTTGGCTCTCGGCAGTTGGACACGAACTAACAAATGACTAGCCTAATAACATGGGGTGCTTCATCCATTCAGTTCGGCTTCTTCCTACAAACCGGTGCCGAGGTAGCCTGGGCTGCTGGCGGGAGCTTCCTCAGTGACCCAGCTGCCATGAAGATCCTATTCAGTGGCATCTCGACCGTGTCTGCTGCTGCAACAGTCCTCGGACTGGTGGCCTGGTTGATCCATTCGTACTTGTACAACCTCACCGGTCTCGGGTTGCAGGCAATCCGAGACCTGTGTATAGGAGGATACAAAGCGCGGTATACACTGATTGCCCCTAGCAAGTCCTGCATGGCTTCGTTCGACCTCCGATCATTCCGTCGCATCATCCCCGCAGTCGCTATCAGTGTGTCGCTCCTTTTCTTGGAAATCACTCGCCCGGAGATCCCGTACGATCATCTCTCCGGGGCTCTCCCACTGACATTGCTCGAGGCGTTCACAAAGAAGTCTGCAACGGTCGAAGGTTGTCGTGAACCGGCAGTGCCATTTCCTTTGATGACTCTGGACGCCAACGGAAATTCCCACCCTCTATACCAGTCCGATTCGTTTGTGGAACAGTGGTCACGAGTTTCTTGGCTACCTAAAAACCCGCCCAAAGGATTCAGCCGATGGGATCTAAGTCCCCAAGAGCGTGCAGAGAAAGATAACTCCTTCTCTTATGTTTGCGGTGGTGCTGAAGGGGGGTTTTATAATCCCAAGAATGACCCCATCAAGGTTACGAATTTGGGCAGCGAAATCTATGAACCGTTGAAGAAGGCTTTCGAGGAACATTCCGTTGAGGTCAACCATGTGGTACTATTAACTCTTGAGAGTGGTCGCAAGGAGATGTTCCCTACACAGCAGGGTACTCCATTCTTTGATAATGTGCTCGCCTCTCACAGAAAGAAGGATTTGGAGGAGGCGATTGACCGTCTCGTGACGATGACCCCGGTTGCTCAACAGTTGACTGGAGAATACGCAACCGATAGCAAAGGCAACCGGGCCAACCTGACAGGTTCGCCATGGAAAACCCCAACGCCAGAAGGAATGGGCGGTCTCAACGTTCGCGGAGCTATGACAGGTAGCTCGCTGACTTTCAAGAGTATTCTAGGAAGCCATTGCGGTGTCAACCCATTGCCGGTGGATCTTTTGGAGGAGACGGCGCTGGAGATCTATCAGCCATGCTTGCCGCAAATTTTCGAACTGTTCAATGAAGGAAAAGCGATATCAAACACCAGAGATGTCTCCAAGTCAGAGGCTCTGAAGAACCTTTGGAAGCCTGTTTTCATGCAGTCCATCACAGACGATTACGACCGCCAGGACCTTCTCAACGAAAACATGGGCTTCAAGGACAAGGTTGTCAAGAGCACCCTGCAATCCACTCACTCAAAGTACCCAGCGTCTGGCAAGGAAATCAACTACTTCGGATATGCCGAGACTGAACTTCGACCCTATGTGCGGGATCTCTTCGAAGAGGCTGCAAACAACAAGACGCGCATGTTTCTTTCTCACGTCACCAGCACGACACACCATCCATGGGGCACACCCAGTGACTTTGATGAGGAATCGTACATGGGCAGCCAGGGAAGCGTTAACCACGATCTCATGAACAATTACATGAACGCTGCGCGGTTTGTTGATATCTGGCTGGGCGACATTATGAACATGCTCGACCAAAGCGGCATCGCCAACGAGACTCTAGTAGTCATTGTCGGAGACCACGGCCAAGCTTTCGGCGAAGACAACAAGGATATGACTGGTACCTATGAAAATGGTCACATTAGCAACTTCCGCGTGCCTCTTGTTTTCCATCACCCGCAAATGCCACGAGTGAACATTAACGCCAACGCAACTGCCCTCTCCATCATTCCCACCATCCTGGACCTCCTTGTCCAGTCTAACTCCCTGGACGAGCGCGACGCCGAAATCGCCTCTGCGCTTCTTCCTGAGTACCAGGGTCAGTCTCTTCTCCGTCCTTTCCTCGCCTCTATGGAGGAGCCATCCCACAAGGGCCATGATGGCCATCGTCCACCCCCATCCCCTCCAAAAAGCGAGCCCGAGCCCGAACCTTCTCAATTCGAGGCCCGGTCTCACCCCGATAGCTCTGCCAAACGGTCCGTCTGGAACATGGGTCTTATCAATGCCGGTGGCTCGATGCTCTCGGTTACGACTGCCAGTGTTCCATACCGCCTCGTCCTCCCTCTCAAAGAAGGCTTTGAATACTCCTTCACCCACCTGGGCGAAGATCCAAATGAAGATCATCCCATCAAGGACTGGACACTCAAACTTCTGATCGACGAAGTCACCCCGAAATACGGCGAGGAAGCCGCTGCCTGGCTTTCAGATGCCGACAAAGTTGGCAAATGGTGGGTCACTGAGCAGAAGCGTATCTGGGGATACCGCGAAGCCTAATGAACCATCTCAAAATTAAAAAGGTTCGGACTTGCGCTACGTCGATCTCCGATCTATTTCCCGTCTTTTTGCATCATGATATTCACACGGGCCTTGCACATTATCGTGGCCAGCCTCACCCTCGAGCCGGTGTTCTTGGAGTTCTCTTTTTCTTTTGATTTCCTCTTGACGTTCAAAATTCTCTTTACACATTTCTATCATCATGCCCGATCCGCCTTTTTATATTCCTCCTTTCAGCCTTGATCATTTTCCTCGCGTCTATGTATCGAATGGCATTTGCTGCTATCATCTCTTTATGTTTCCGGGTCATGGATTTCATCAACTTACTGTACTTCTACGGGACGGGTCTGGATGAGCATTCTCCATTGTACATAGCATCGAATGACTCGCCCGTTTTTTTTGGCTTGGGATGTTCCTCATCTACCACCTGGGCTTGCATTATCTATCGCCCTCTGTGCTAGATGGTCGAGGATTGCTTGATTTTAGGTACATTGATTTGTATCTGTTCTTCCAATATAATCCATTCGACATGATATCTCTATTCTTTGTGTCGTGCAGCACCTTGTAGATTACATCAATAAGTAATGCCGCACATGAAACGAGTACATAGGCATAGCGAATTTACAGCAGTTGCCAACTGCGCACTAAGAAGACCAGTAGGGGTCTACAGAGTTGATCCCAGGCCAGGGCTCGGCCCCACTTGATCCACTCCAGTCGATCCGTCAGGGACTGTACAAAGTTTAACTTTCATAAACAGCATGGACTTAGGGTGACTGTGATATTTTTGAGATCTGGGTTTGCGCCTAGGAATGCGACATTCCAGTTGAGACCGATAATTAGCGTCCAGATGCTGCCAAAAACGGACAGCGACAACTATATCGAAGGGTTTCACTGCTACGTCTTTGGGCTCGTGGTCATTGAACTAGTATCATTCCATAGGAGACGAAGAGATACGACATTTGCAACATGCGGCGTATAAGGAAGTCACGGAAGAAGAGTGGCCAATTGGCATCATGAAAACTGTCTGATAAGGTTGAGGTTACGCGGCAAACAAAAATATGATGCATCCCCCAAAGCCAAGATGTTGGCCAACCTATTCACCGACATCTGACAAAGCCACGCCCATGTAGCCGCAAATCCCATGGAACTCTCGGTAAAGGCCCGAAATGCAGCATGAGAGAGAGAGGGACATCCAGACCGGACTATAAAGGCAAAGCGGAGAAAGGGGGAACCCGGCACAGACCAGGATCATAGATCTACTATTCTGCAGCGACAACGAACCGGGCCTAGAGCGTGGGGGTTCGTCAGTAAGAGTCTCAGAAGCCGGGGCAGGGGTAAGAGTCAGGGGTAGAATAATATTCTAGAAGATTGGGGAATGTTGATTGTCAGTCTCGGAATCGCCCAATTGAGTAAGGAGCTTTGGAATGGAAGATTCTGCTGGTCACAAGACGTTTACAGCTGGAGATAAGCTATCAAATCTATTCGGCTAATTTTAGTTCCCCGCAGATCCGGGAGTACGGTAGACATTCGCTGTTCACTATTTGAAATGCGACAGGGACGCGTGTGTTCGTTTCTAGGCGTGTAACCTAAGAAGATCTAGATTATAGGATCTTAATGGTAGAATAGATAAAAGTCTGACTGTTAAGTACTTTTCTTTTTTATTAAAAAAAAAAAAAAAAGAAAAGAGCCAATTGGCCAATGATCTCTAGACCGTTACCCTGGAGCCGGGGCGATCGAACAGGATCAGGCACGGGCAGTCTTAACTATGAGTGATTGGAGGCGGATCTGCAACTGATCACTTGACCCCAGTAAGTTAGGTGCTTGGACTCATTTCTAGAAGATCCGTCTCGAGGCTTATGTTAAAAAATTAACGAGGTCACCTGGATCCCAGACAAAAATAAATAATAAAAAACATGGAAAAATCAAAGTGGCGTTGTTCCCCGGGTTCCCCAGACGGCTTTCCTAAACCAGAAATCCGGATGGCTATCCGTTTGGGTTCCGATCTGCCACATCGTGAACTTTTGTCTGGTGACTGTGCATCCCTGGATTTCATCCGTATTCAATTTGCTGGATAGAATTCAAATTGGAAAACTTAGACGATACCAAGTATCTATGACACAATCCATATTTCATTCTAGCCAGATGTCCAGAAAGTCTCGTAGTACACCATCACACCATTATAATCGTATAGACAGACGTACAAGGGGTAGGTCTCGCCACAGCCGTTTAAACGCATTCCTCGGAGGTCTGGGCCGAAGCTATGCAAGGCCCTTGGTCCAGCCTGAATTTCCATTTTGGGATTCTTTCAAAGCTCACGAGACCGGTCTGCTAGGACCTTGCTCTTGGCTTTTTTTCGGCTGGATTGGGCCGGATCGTGAACCATCATTATTTAATGAGAGTTTGGTCCACGATGTTTTCTCAATTGAATCATCTTCACTTTCATCTAATATCTGATACTTCAGCAGTGTTCTGGTACTCCGCTTACCTTAATATCCTTTTATCACTTCATTGCCATCGACTTTTGTCTTAATCCTTTACTATCTAATATCTCCTCTTGCAATGTCTGTCACCATTGAAACTACCGAAGTCCCAACTGCCCCCATGTCTTCCGAGCCTATTCTGCTCGGCCAGAAGTCCAGAATGCCCGAATTCAGTCTCGCCGGCAAGGTGGTACTGGTCTCTGGTGCTGGCCGTGGTCTTGGATTGACTCAAGCAGAGGCCCTTTTGGAAGCCGGTGCAAAGGTGTACGCCCTTGACCGTCTCGAGGACCCGGTATGTTGAAATCTGGAAAATGCATTCAGCGGAACGACACTAATAAACTTGCTGAACACCAGGCCCCCGAATTCATCCAGATCCAGCAACGCGCAAAGGAGCTAGGCACCGAGCTGCACTACCGTCGCATCGACGTACGTGACACAGAGCTCCTCAACAGCGTGATCGAAACCATCGCCAACGAAGAAGGCCGCATGGATGGTCTCGTCGCTGCCGCGGGTATCCAACAGGAAACTCCAGCCCTGGAGTACACCGCCAAAGACAGCAACACCATGTTCGAAGTCAACGTCACAGGCGTGTTCATGACCTCACAAGCAGTGGCCAAGCAAATGATTCGCTTTGGGAACGGAGGTAGTATCGCCATGATCGCCTCTATGAGTGGCACTATAGTCAATCGGGTATGTTCCTCTTCCTTGTTCGTCCCACCCAATCCCTTTCCACTCCCATATATATATATCTGCCTATGTGTATCTCGCTCTTTTTGGCGTGTCACCCCGGCTTTTCACTCTGCTAAATTTCGCTATTTCCCCGCATTATCCCCCGTGCCACATCACCATTTTCAAATCCAAGTCCAACAATCTGACAATTTATATTGTAGGGTCTTATTTGTCCCGCTTACAACGCTAGCAAGGCGGCCGTCCTCCAGCTTGCTCGTAACCTCGCTGCTGAATGGGGCCAGTACAACATTCGCGTCAACACTATCTCCCCGGGTTACATCGTCACTTCCATGGTTGAAAACTTGTTCGTTCAATTCCCAGAGCGTCGCGACCAGTGGCCTAAGGAGAACATGCTTGGCCGTCTCTCTCGTCCCGAGGAGTACCGTGGTGCTGCCATCTTCCTGCTTAGTGACGCTAGCACTTTCATGACTGGTAGCGACCTGCGCATGGATGGCGGCCACGCGGCTTGGTAGTTTGATGGCAACGATTTACTTGCTTTGGGATTATGATCATCGCGTGACCAGATTTACCGGGTCTTCATTGCATGGCGTTGCTTTCATTCAATTTTTTTTTTTGTTTTCTTCTTTTTTGGTCCAAATTGGTTTGTCTGTTATGTCATGGGCTGGAAATAGCGAAGCGTCTGTGGGTGTATTTGGAATTTTCTTTGAACAGTGTGGTACTTGTGATTGGTTTTGAAGTACCTGGGTACTGTCATTATAATACTAGACTACAAAACGATCGCTTTAATATTTTTTCTCATCTATACACCTCGGCTTTAAGTATTTAGCTGCATATAATCTGACCCACTCCCATCTTGACAGATCTGCCCCACTCACATTTATTTTTTGTTGACTTACTCTAGCGACATCCTAATAAGGCTGAAAGGTTGGGTATCCTTGCAAGGGGCTTTTGGGGGCTCTTGATCACTTGAGCACACCTCATTCATTTCACCCGGCAAGGCTCTTCCGACCACCCTCACCGACAAAAACCCGTGGTCAGCCATCCAGTCGTAATGTACCACATAGTAAACCTACAGTGGGGGATCAGCACATGACCAAGATCTACCAAATTGCTATTCTCTATCGACGATCTCATTAAGAAAATATGTAGTTGTGACTCAATACAGTTAGCCAAACAAACCGTACACGTCGCATGACATCCATAATCCATGATGGCATGGACTCTGTACTCGTCATTAAAAGACATGGCCAAGAACCATGGGAATCACTCCGTATTTATTTATCTGGGGATGTGGGGAGCGTGTGTTTTTAGAAACCAATCATGACGTGTTGGTTCCGGGATGGTACATTTTGTCGATTGGTTGAGAATTCAAGACTGTCTTTGAGCCAATAAATTTTGATTACGACACGGTTGGTTTTGGTCTTGTTTACTGGGGTTGGATGGAAGCGGTCTTTGCTTGCAGGGTTCTTTATATCCTGATGCTGTGTTCGCTTATTTGCGGATACTTCAGGGACCGGGTGCGATATGTTGAGAATTATCCGGAGGTGCTGACCCGTACTCAAGTTTATTATAGATACCTTAGACGCGTGTCTGTGAGAGAGAAACCATGAATGAATCCCGCATGGAAGAACTTTGAGACTAATATCGAGCCACCCGGAACTATGCAAGGTATGTCTTTTCGACTTTAGGCAGGGCTGGAAGCTGGGTAGTGGATTGTCAAAACCCCCTCAAAAGTGTCCAAAAGGTAGCCCCGGTATGTGGTCGGAAGCCGGTCACCAGTTATGGGGTACGATTATCTTGATTCCTATTTTGCGCGACTTTTGTAACCCTCTAAACTATATTCGAGGCCTGAACCCTCGAGGCCTGAACCCCGGGGACCTGCCTCAAACCATGTTCTGACAGTGCTGTGGCGGCTTAGAATGACACAAAAGTTATGGATTCGAGTGGAACACAATATGATTATCAGCGCTAGAAATGCAGGGTCTACGTCTTGCTTTACCGAGGCAATGGTGGCGGTATCTGTGAACAAAGCCGCCCATTGGAAAGAAAAATCACCCGCATGTTTAGCCGCCCCGGGGATGTTCAGCCTGTCCTAGAGAACTTTTTGTGGACTTTGACAGGTATAGGTGGTGGCAAAGATGCATTTCGTGATTTCAGACGGGTTGTTCGGTTTCTCTTGGGAATTTATCATTGGTTTGTCTTTATTCCTTGCATATCATGCCTGTATAGTTGCCACCTGACGTAGTATTCTACAGCTGTTCGCAGATAAAGGCGTACAGGGATTGTAGAATTCGCCTTCTTGGCTGGGCGACATATTTCTTCTCCAATGGCCTGATTCATGTAGGTGGCGCACAGCACAAGAATCTACTTGCTTTGACCGATCGTGAGTTCCTTGTTTCTATCAGTGGCCACTGCAACACAAAATACTGTACATCCACATTCTTATCAATTAGATACACCTAAATCCAAACTGATTAATGCATTGGCCCTGTTTGGTTGATGAAAATGCAGCCATGCTGCAATGTGGGCCGTGGCGCTGGCACCAGGACTGTGCACGATTCCAATAGTTCTAGAAGTGTATGCTTTGACCTTGAACCTATCAGTAATTACATGGCCAAACTACCAATTTCTGACAATATTTGATAACTAAGGAACGAATACGGATCTCCGTCCAAGCCAAACAAGCATGGCTAAGCTTCCCTGGGACTCATGGGGTCCGTGCGCGGCCGCACCCCGTCGGACTCCCCGAGCATCGTCCCCGTCCTCCTTCTCTCTCTCTCTCTCTCTCCATGGCCCAATTACTTTGCAATACGGCCAATGGCCACTACAAAGAAATAAGCGAATTTAATGTCGCGTATCATGCAAACCGAGGACACCAATTCCCCCATATTGCCGACTCTATCAGTCCCACTGGCCTCGTTATCATTTGGGTTAAGCTTCGTCTTAGCTCAATGTCTTCTTTCGCTAATGACCAATTAGAAACCACCGGGCTCGGTCTTTTCCGGCCAAGTTACATGGCACGGCACATGCTGCATCCACCGGGGATTTAGCGAGCGGACAACGTGGGTTGATTCGCCCGCTACTGAGCCTTATCTACAAGCAGCCACGGAGATGGTCCCCATTGAAGCATAGCGTCCTTGTGGCGTGATAAGTCCGGGGTAGAACATCAACGGGCTAATATTGCTGTACCAAAGCCTAGGGCCATTTTACGTGCTCGAGGCATGCAAGGACTTGGCGAGGAAAATTTGCAATTGGTCACGGTGAAACGGCCCCTGTCTCTCAGTTGGGATTCCGGAACCTATAAGTCGGAGGTGTTTGTCCACCACGCGACTTCTGTTTTCACCCAACGTCTTCATCTTCGACCCTTCATTGCCTTGATCCGGCCTCGCCTTTCTTGCCAAGATGGCCACTCAAGCTGTGAACCGGTCTTCGGACTCGCTCGCGATTCGTGATACCGAGGTCACCGTCGTCAAGTCTGATGCTGAGAAGCCCTCCAAGAACATCATCCCTGCCTCCTACAACCTTGGTCTCGGTGATGAGGACCCAACCGAGGAGGAACTTCACGGTCCTACTGCGCTGCGTCGTGTGTCTGCTCCCATTCCGTGGTCCGTCTACACTGTCGCTTTCGTCGAGCTGTGCGAGCGATTTTCCTACTATGGAACCCAAGTTCTTTGTATGCCTATCATATTACTATGAGGGAAGAGTCAACTTCTAACATGTGTTTACAGACTCTAACTTTGTGAACCACTCCCTTCCCCTTCCTGCTCCTTACGGCCCTGCAGGTTCTCACCACAACACCGGAGCTGGTGGCTCTACCTCCCAGGGTGTGTCTGGTGCTTTGGGCAAGGGTCCTGAAACTGCCAATGGAATCAACACTTTCAACACTTTCTGGTGTTACTGCGTTCCTCTTCTGGGTGCATACGTCGCTGATGAGTACTGGGGACGATACAAGACTATCTGCTGGTCTATCGGCTTCGCCATTCTTGGCCATGTTATCCTGGTCATCTCGGCCATCCCTCCTGTGATCACTAACACCAATGCTTGCTTTGGTGTGTTCATGCTCGGTGTGATCGTCATGGGTTTCGGAACCGGTGGTTTCAAACCCAACATCTCTGCCCTCGTCGTCGAGCAGATTCCAGCTGTGAACCTCAAAGTGCGCACCTTGCCTTCCGGTGAGCGTGTCGTGGTCGACCCAACTATCACTCAGAGTCGTATTTACCACTACTTCTATCTGTTCATCAACATCGGCGCCTTGGTTGGCCAAATCGGTATGGCCTATGCCGAGAAGTATGTCGGTTTCTGGCTTTCCTTCCTACTGCCCACCCTCATGTTCATGACCACACCTTTCGTCATGTGGTGGGGTCGTCACCGTTACCGTCAGTCTCCCCCACAGGGCTCCGTCACATCTAAGGCTGTCAAGGCATTCATGTACGTGATGCGCGAGCGCTGGTCCTGGAACCCCTTCGTCTTCTGGAAGCGGACCCACGATGGCACCCTCTGGGAGTCTGTCAAGCCCTCCAACATCGAGCCCCGATTCCGTCCCAAGTGGATGACCTTCGACGATGCCTGGGTGGACGAGGTCCGTCGTGGTTTCGCTGCTTGCGCCGTCTTCTGTTGGTATCCTCTCTACTGGCTGGCATATGGCCAGTTGACCAACAACTTCACCTCCCAAGCTAGCACCATGACCCTTCACGGTGTGCCTAACGATGTTGTCAACAACCTGGACCCCTTCGCCTTGATTATTTTCATTCCCATTTGTGATGCACTGCTGTACCCCGGTCTGCGTAAGATGGGCATTCAGTTCACCGCTATCAAGAAGATTACCGCTGGTTTCTGGCTTGCTGCTTTGGCTATGGTCTGGGCTGCTGTCATTCAGTACTACATCTACAAGACCTCCCCCTGCGGCACCGATGCCAACAACTGCTACACCGAGGATGGTAGTGTCAATCCCTCTCCCCTCAACGTCTGGGCCCAGACTGGTTGTTACGTTCTGGTTGCCTTCTCCGAGATTTTCGCCTCCATCACCTCGCTCGAGTATGCCTACTCCAAGGCCCCTCGTAACATGCGTTCTCTTGTCCAGGCCATTTCCCTGTTCACCAACGCCATTTCCGCTGCCATTGCTGAGGCTTTGAACCCACTTGCCAAGGATCCTCTGCTGATCTGGAACTACGGTGTCTTTGCCGTCCTCGCCTTCGTCGGTGGCTGCGGATTCATCTGGCAGTTCTGGCAGCTTGATATGGAGGAAGATGCCCTGAACAACTTGCCCGAGGGTCATGTGGAGGCCAATGAGAAGATGGCTCAGTTTGAAGCGGCTGAAATCGGACCCGTTCGAGGTTAGCTTTGATTGTTTTCTCAGCAGATACCTAGATATGGGGGATATCTTTACTTACATTGGGTTCGGCGAATAATGGATGATGGATTAATTTATGTATCAATGCATTACGGTTGCCAATCACTTCCTGTTTTTCTGCAGATTATTTCTCCACAAGTTTACTGTAGAGTGTCGATCTCGATTTGCCCGAGGATCGCATCGCATATGTTGCACCTTCTACATAAATCGATCTGGGACCTGGATGATATCAAATGTTTAACTTCAGGTGAACTGTTCAAACCTGATCTCGAGATTAATCCCAAAGTTGTCCCAGCAATCGGTTCCACTTCGGAACCAAAACAAAATCCGCAGTCATTACTGAGCCACAGCACAGCCAACATAGCCAACACTAACATAGGACGCCTCCAAATGAGTGTCCACTTTTAGGCACTCCAACATTGTGCACAACTTGCCATATTTCCGCGATATTCCGTCTTCGTCCAATGATAGCATCGGAAATGCAGATGCCTGGCAATGGATGTATCGGCTGCCTGTGCTTCACGCCCCAGCCGAATCCACCTGCATACAGCAATCCTAATCAGGCACTTCGTGTTCGTATCAAACTCCCACGGCGACGATCACGGCTGTGGCTGTTCCAACTTCAGCCTAGTGCCCAGCGTTCAAAGGCATCTCACCTCAGCCCTGCGCCTGAGAATGCTCACACCGCTAAGGTATCAAGAATGTCTCAACGGAAGCCTCGGGGTCCGACATTTGATGTCACTACTCCACCAGCTCGAATTCCACTCGCTGCACCATGATTCGCGATCCCGGGGAACTAATCTGCACTATAAGCTATGCTGAACATGCCGAACTGCTTCCCTTGGCTGGGCATCCGGCGGCCCCGGTGCATAAGTATTCCCCCTATCCCTTCGAGATCGTCCCGACTTCTCTCTTGCATTTATGAGAAGCAATGAAGACTTCCACGCTGATCAGTTCGGTTGCGCTGGGCTTTCTGCCTGGTGAGTACCGTCATTTTCTTTCCCTCGGTCGCGTGTTTTCCGTTCCTCCCTTTTTCACACCTGTGGAGACCTCCGTGATGATCGTCAAGAACTTCAATATGACTTCAATCGAAGCTTTATGCGATCGCATAGCTAATCCGCTTCTTCCGCAGGCGCAATCGCTGCCCCGGGCGTTTCCAGCTCCGATGATATCACCTACGCGATCGTGGAACGAGCCCTGCCTAACGCGCCAGATGGATACACCCCTGACAATGTGACTTGCCCGGCCACCCGACCGAGCGTGCGCAGTGCTGAGAAGCTCTCTTCGAACGAAACATCATGGCTCGAAACACGCCGCAACAAGACGCTGTCGGCGATGAAGGATTTCTTCGGACATGTGACAGTCGGCGATTTCGACGTTGTCGGATACCTCAACGACAACGCGAACAATGTTTCGGCTCTGCCTAATGTTGGTATTGCTGTCTCGGGCGGTGGTTACCGTGCGCTTATGAACGGCGCTGGTGCCGTTAAGGCCTTCGATAGTCGCACTGAGAATGCTTCTACTAGTGGTCATCTGGGTGGTTTGCTGCAGTCTTCTACCTACATTGCTGGTCTCAGTGGTGGTAGTTGGTTGCTTGGATCTATCTATATTAATAACTTCACTACCATTGCTAATCTGCAGACGCATAAAGATGGTGCTGTTTGGCAGTTTGGAAACTCCATTTTGGAGGGCCCTGATACTGGTGGTATCCAGCTTTTGGATTCTGCCAGTTATTATACGGATTTGATCGAGGCTGTTAATGGGAAGAGAGATGCTGGTTATGATGCTTCTCTCACTGATATCTGGTATGGTCTTCTGTGTCCACTTCCATTGTTTCGCTTCTAACTTGAAACAGGGGTCGTGCTCTCTCTTATCAGATGTTCAATGCCAGCAACGGAGGTATCGACTACACCTGGTCTTCCATCGCCGATACCAAGGACTTCCAGGATGGAAACTACCCTATGCCTCTGGTTGTTGCGGATGGCCGTAACCCCGGTGAGCGTGTCATTGGAAGCAACTCCACTGTCTACGAGTTCAACCCTTGGGAGTTCGGTACCTTCGACCCAACTGTCTTTGGTTTCGTTCCTTTGCAGTATCTCGGCTCTCGTTTTGTTGGTGGTTCACTCGCTAGCAACGAGACCTGTGTCCGCGGCTTCGACAGCGCCGGTTTCATCATTGGAACCTCTTCTACTCTCTTCAATCAGTTCATCCTCCAGATCAACACTACCTCGCTCCCCGACTTCTTGAAGAACGTCTTCACCGACATTCTGGGTAAGCTCGACAGAGCTGATGACGATATCGCATCATACGACCCCAATCCCTTCTTCCACTACAACAATGACACCTCCCCGTACGCTGGCCAGGAAATCCTAGACCTTGTCGACGGTGGCGAGGATTTGCAGAACATCCCCCTCCACCCCCTCATCCAGCCTGAGCGCCATGTCGATGTCATCTTTGCCATCGACTCCTCCGCCGACACAACCTACTACTGGCCCAACGGTACCGCTCTCGTGGCCACCTACGAGCGCAGCCTGAACAGCAGTGGTATCGGCAACGGCACAGCCTTCCCTTCGATCCCCGACCAGAACACCTTTGTCAACTTGGGTTTGAACACCCGCCCAACATTCTTCGGCTGTGATAGCTCCAACCTGACCGGCACTGCCCCCATTGTCGTCTACATCCCCAACTCTCCTTACTCCACTTACTCCAACGTCTCTACCTTCCAACTGAGCACCGACGATGAGCAGCGTGATAACATTATCCTGAACGGTTACGAGGTTGCCACCATGGCCAACAGCACTCGTGACGGCAACTGGACTACCTGCGTTGGCTGTGCCATTCTCAGCCGCTCATTCGAGCGTACTGGCACTACCCTCCCTGATATCTGTAACACATGCTTTGACCGCTATTGCTGGAACGGCACTGTCAACTCAACCGAGCCAAACACTTACGAGCCCGTTACTTTGTTGGCCGATAGCGCCGCCTCGGCCATTCTACCTACCATTGTTTCCACAGTGGTCGCTTCCGGTATTGCCATGTTCACCATGCTTTAGGTAACGCAAAAACATCCCTTGTGCAGTTATGATGTAGGTGTCGCCATATTATCGCCTGCTTTGGAGGTAAGGAAATATATCCTGTTTATATTCATTGGCTTTTTTGCCGGTTCTATTTGATCAATATAGCGTGTAACGTTAATCAAGATATGTTTAACAAGCTCTTTCTCTTTCTCAATCCTTAAAACCCTTCAATCTACCACCCAATAACTCCCTTATCCCCATCCATCCAAATAACCTTAATCCTCCACATGGTGATTTTCCAAGCACCATGCTCATCCTTAACAAGATCAACGAAATACAACCCTCCCACCAAAACACCCCTTGAATTCTCCACCAATCCCTCCCCGGCCCGGTAATGCTGCCCCAAAATATGAGCCGTCGCGGACGCTGTCTCGGCTCCGTCTTCCATCTCAATGCGCACATTGCTGACGGTGTGTGTTGTATCCAGTGGACCAACTTTATCAAATGCGCATGTCTTGATGGCTTCTATGCCTTTGTGTTGTTCGCCGTTTAGGTCGAAGGTTGTTGTTGGGCTGTTGTGTAATGCTGGGAGGACTAGGTCGAAGTTATTTGTGTCGATTCCCAACACGCCTCGGTAGATTGTGTCTGTTATTGCTTCTCTGCTTGAGAGGATATGGGGTGTAGAGGCTGTTGGGGACATTTTTGGACTGTAGAGTAGGTAGGTTTTGAAGATGTGGTATGAAAAGGTTGTGTTCAAGTTGATATTGGTATTTGGTTTCGATTTCTTTTGATTTTATTTATCTCAATCTCTCTTCTGTGCACTTCATATTTAAATGCTGCTACATGGTCGCTCCAAGTATCCTCTTGGCTCCCTTTATCTCGGAGACGTGTTTTAACGCCGTTGATGGTGTCATGGTTCATGGGTCTATTGCCGTCCTATCTCCGCTCTGTACGGTCGGTCGATATTTTATCTCCGATTGAATCATATAAATTGGAATTTGATTCTCCAAAAATGCTTATAATGTCTCACTTTTGGGGTTGTGATGATGTACAACATTTTGTGGAACGTGCCATCAATGTTACGAGGTAGACAGGGACTAGACCAGGGCCTCTATCCAGCCTATTAAGGTATTATTTATAGATTATAGATAAAAAACGATTGCTGGATGTTTCAAGCACCTATCAACAATTCGACGGGTCTGGATTTGCCACCGTGATGAAAAACGTGGATAGCCAACTATATATCAGTTCTAGTCCCAAGGATCCAGAGCTGCCAAACTAATCATACATCGGAACCACCAATAGTTCCAAACTACATGTAACCAATAGTTATCACTTTCGCTATAACTATACGTCGTCTATCATCTGACACCCATTTCTCAAGAGCCCCTCGAGCGGTCTACAAAAGGAATTCCAAGCAGAGGAATTTCGAACTTTCGCGTAGCATGAATCTAACCTCTTTCAAACCACACGAACCAAACACATTATCTCATGTCTGGGATTAATAATTTCCAAACATTGCTTGACCAACAGGTTGGCACACTCCCAATCCGATCTTGGCCAGCAGTAACAGGTACGACTTTATTTTCCCGCTGGTGCTGCAGTAGATCTAACCTTCATTGCTCTAATAGACAGGCCTAAAAAACAGAGGCCTATTCCACTTACCTCCTTGCGCTTCCAGGGCGCTGCTTGGGCTACTGCTGGTGGAAGCATGTATGCAACTTTGCACGGTGTCTATAGGATTTTTCGGAATTTCCGTGGGTTCAAGTATTTCTGAATGACCTATTGCAAGTTGGATCAGGTTGTTGTTTCAAAAGCGAGCTAATTTTCCTATCCAAGGCCGGGGGTTATTGTTTACGCTTCAGTCATAACAAAGGATTCAAGTTCTAGGTGTAATCGGATTATCGTAAGCCAAATCATCAATTTAATAAGTGGTAGATTGTAGACTTCAATAGCTGAACGGCCCAATGTGATCCTGTTAGCGATGACCCAATAACAAAGGTCTTGTCTATCATTCCATATTAGCAACATTGTTACCCTAATTAGTTCTGCATAATGATTCTAGCACTCACCAAAAGTAAATTTCAGCAGAGAAATCACAAGGCAGAGAGCCACAACAGTAACCATGTCCAGCACCGAGGCCGCCTTGGAAATCAATGTTGTAGCACCCATCGCTGGTTCGCCACATCTCAGCATTGAAGCTATAGCCTCCAGGGCTGGTCTCATAGAAAATTGAGAACAGTTAACCAAATTGTGCGCACAAGCATGGCTTCAAATTTGGAACTTTAGACGGGGCATTGAGAGCTGGTACAAGAATTAAACCCTCCGCGAAACGTACCAGAGTAGGTAGATCCGGTGTCGTAGTCGGTAAGATAGATGACTTGGAATGGGCCACCCTCGTCTGCCTGGTAGCTCGAAGCGGACATTTGGCCCCAAAAGGCGTTTGCGTGGTTAGCAAGGGCGAGAGCGGTTGCGCTCAATCAACATCAATGAAAACTGCATTTAGATAGGGGTGTTATTGAAGAAACTGGGATTTTGTGGTGATTTAGAAAGATTGTGTGTTCGAGAAAAGGATCTAGGGAAGAAAGTCGGGCTTCGTATACGTTTGACAGTCAACAATCTCTATACTCTGTATTCGTTCCTCATTCCTGACATGCAAGATGTATGCAGCACTAAATTCTTACTTTTAAACCCGCTTAAAAGCAGAGATACTAGTCTGCTTACTATATAAGCTAGTTATTGAGCTAAGTGGTGCGGAGGAAAGTGGCTTTCTTAGGCTCAGTTCAGAGAGACGATAAGTATGTTCCCAGACACACGAACTCGACAGTCCATTTGACTTGACGCGGTATTGACTCAGCTTCTTTATGGACATACTGCCATGTTCAAGTGTCAATTGCCTTGTGCAACTCGTCCGAATGCCTTCGTCGTTTTCGATCTGGGATGGCTTGGATGGTGGTGAGACATTCCCATATTACACTCAAAGGTCTCTGCAGAATAAGTCATAATTGGGACTAATCACCATACATCATATTACAAGCCCAAATTCACCTCTAGTCTGGATGAACGAACACATTGTAACCTGGCCATGCAACGCCAGCACAATCGTCTGCACGTTTATTTCGCTACAGGCTCCGCTAGCTTATTTTTGGCACGTATTTTGGCACGGTCGGCTCTACCGAGTAAGGCACAAGCTTTATCAGTTGTGAACCATCGGTGATAAAACGCTCCTCGTGTGGCCATGTCTCAGAGTCTCCAATCATGCACACGACGAAAAGGGCAGCCAGAATCCCACTCGCGTCCGCTAGCTTAAAGATTCAATATTGCAGTCTGACACACCGGGTCATCTTTTGAGACCATTTACAGTCAGGAACAAATCCCAACCAGTCGTTTTCCTTGTCAAACACGGCGATGCATCTACTGGATTAACCCCGAGGTGCGCCTCGGTAATAACGTGCATAAGCGAGGTCGAAGGATGCGTTTAGCATGTTTAGCCTCAGATGCTAGGCTGCTTAGCTCAAAAATTAGATCGGATTTTATGCTGTAAATATAGTGTCAAGCGCCTATCTCAGAAAGTTGTCTACTATACAGATGCATTTCCATTTCATTTGAGCGTGGTGTTTGCGCTAATAGTCAACTTGGACAGAATGAGAATAGATCTCCCCTCCTCCCATGATCCCACAAAATGAACTGGTTCCTAGACTTGTTCCTGTTTGAGTATGGAGTCTGGAAGGAGCGCCTAGATCAAGCTTGGCGCATGGCACTTAGCGGCTTTTATAGCGGCGAGAGCCCAGATAGGAAATCCCCGCGGATCAAACTACGTAATACAAGCCCCTCGAATGCAGCCACAGTCACTCATTAGGATCTCTGTAGGTTGTGTTTTGCCCATTTTCCGAAATAGGTCACTCTGGGACCATTTCCTTAACCTGGTAATTGTAGAACGTTCATGGGATCCTTAGGACGCTCGACTGCCAGTTACTCAACATGACTACCATACTTATTCATTGGTCATCCCCGGAGTATAATATTTGACCTACCCACAGTCTATTTCTAATTGCTCGCTGAGATACTATGTTAATTTAAAGATATTTCTTGTTAGTAGATGGATTTTTTTTCTCCACTTCGTAGCATATATCATTTATTTAATCCCACAGTAGGTGTTTTACGATGTAAGGCTGCAAGGTGTGTGCATGCAAGTCAGATAAAGCACCTTGATACACGCGGAGAGTCATGAAAAGAGATCCAAGCACACATCTCTGATGGTTGTACCGGAGGTACTCTTATTGGTGAAATTCGAAAGGTAAGCATCAGCTGCATGTGAGATAGGGATGCTTAGCCGACTCTTCAAACAACCTCAGTTTGACTGTTCGTAGATTAAATAATTTGAGATCCAATCCCTGCATTATTGGCAATCAAATCAGGCTCAAAAGTCCATAACTCGCAGTTGGTCTCATTTTGGTAGGGCGCCGTAATATAATTAGCAAAGCAGCAATATGATGCCGTTGTCTTCATTACAAGCACTGTGGAACAGGCTTGTATCGGTGCTGGCTGACTACGGGCGCAACCTTGTTGCTAAGGTGGCAGCATTTCCAAGGCTTACATAGACGCTGCTGATGACTTGGCAATATAGGTTTATTCTCAGATACCGTCTTGCCTAAGCAGCCACACTTTGCAGGGCTCTATAGCTTGCCCAGCCTCGGTGATTTATCACGCACGATAGATGCATATGTTAGAACATCGCTAAGATAGCCTGGGTTTGAGACTTTGATGGGAAACTAGGAGGTGGTTTCTTTGTGTGAATAGATCTTTGTAGGAAAGGAAGCAAACGAAGATGACTATAGTAGGTAGGATATTGGTACATCTTGGCTTCAAGGCCGTGTAAGGGGAAGGGGCTAAGTTATGGTCAGGCTACTATGTTGGGATCTACAGATTATGATGTCTTTCCGTGTTTCTTTAGAGAGTGAGCTGATAAAATACAACTTATCTTTGGATCGTATAAAAAAATTCCTTTTAAAAGAAGATCATAATCTGATGTCGATGATGAATGCTGGATGTTTAGTATACAAGGATGAAAATATATCTCAGAACGGAAGACACAAAATGCTAGTTTTGCTTCTTGCGATTATTGAAACCCTTGATAGAACTTTCAATGACGAAAAAAGAAGAATAGAGAGATTATTTGCTTATCATTTGTGTTAGGGGTACACTCATGCTGTGGTAGGTTTGTTGTGGCACTATTGAAGCTTGTGGTCACGTGCCAGTTGCTATAGAAACAACGCCACAACAAGCAATTCAGAACGGTCACCTCCACAGTGGATTATTTGCTTTGCCTTGCTTCATCTTTCATGCAATTAATTCGACAACCTCGGCACCTGCGACATTTCAAAGTCCGGACCGACATCTCATTTCGACAAACCAAACCCGCCATGAGTGTCGCATGCCACTAACTGCGATCACCCTTTACATACAACGCGCAATAATACCATCATGGCGCGTGCCGCAGTGATCCCCCCGTCCCCCGCCAACCGAGCTGGGCGAACCTCCACTAAGTCAACAGCTGCAACCGACGCGAAAAAGAAATTAATCCGGAAGGCTACACCAACCACACGAGCTGCCACCACACCAACCAACTTCGATTCAGATGATACCGAAGATGAGTTGGGCTTCGTTGCCGCTAAACCTGCGAAACCTCGAGGTCGTCCCCCTGGCCGCTCAGCCGTCAAACCCAAGGCGACAATCCGCGGAAAGAAAGCGGCCCCAGAGCCCGTCACCGAAGAACCAAATGTCAACGAAGCGGACGAGGTTGGGCAGCAAACCGAGGCGCCCAAGAAGCGACCCGGCAGACCACGAAAGAATCAAACCATGATAGAAGCCCCTGTCGGGAAGCAGGAGACTGTGCCTAAACCCAGGGGTCGACCTAGAGCTGGAACACCAGCCAAGCCCTCAGCGACCCGTGGGACAGCGGCATCCAACAGGAGGACACGGGGTGCAACTGAAGACCCCGAGGAGAAAAAACCGAATCAGATTACGATTGCGACAAACTCTACGACCATGCGCTCCAATTTGCTTCGTGGGCCCGCCAAAAAGAAGACAGTCACATTTCAAGATACATCTGACTCCGAAGAGGAAGAGCCGAGTGCCCCTACGCCTCCTGCGGCTGGTCGCAAAAAGGTAGCTACGAAGGCCACGGGCGCTGGAAAAACCGGCCTTAAGGCGACCCCAGTTCGTAAGCCTGCGACAACAGCTGCACGAGGGCGGAAACCGGCTGGACCCAAGAAGGCTGCGACTAAACCACTGTCTCCCAAGAAGACTAAACAGATGGCCAACACCCTTTCTGCATACACCAGTTCCGATGGAGAAGAAGACGAGTTGAATACTCTCAGGGATGACATCAAGAGTCCGGTCAGACTAGTTGTGCATTCACCTGCCAAGCATGGGCTGGAAACCACTGGACTTAGCTCCCCTGTACGGAGAATCAACTTCACTCCTAAGAAGGCTTCCAACTATGTTGATGAAAATGGTGAACCGAAACTACCGACCCCCAAACAAGGATCAGAAGGTGCCGGCCTCAACTCTCCAGTCCGACGAATCAACTTTACGCCGAACCGCAGCCAGACTACAGTTGCTGACAATGACCATCTTGCTCTTCCTCCTGGAAGGGCCATCGATTTCAGTGATTCAATTTTCATGTGTAGCCCCGCTAGACGACCACCACCAACCTCGTCCCCATTCAAATTCTCCCTGCGAGATAGTCAGAGAGGAGGCTCTCTCTTCCGGGACTCAGCAAACCAAACTGGGGCAGCCGACTTCACTCCTGGCCATGCTTCTCCCCTCAAAAGCTCACCAAAGAAAGGCAACTTGGGTGCTTCTTTCTCACAATCGCCATTCAAGAAGTCCACACCAGCAATTCCAGCTAGGACCCCCTTGTTCCAAAGCCCAGCAAAAAGAATGGCTTCACCATTGAAGAGCTCGATATTTTCTACTGGTGCCTCAGTAGTTCAGTCTCCTGCTACCAGCGAGCAAGGAACTTTTTCCAAGCCGTTGGAAACTGAGCGAACCACCCCGAAATATTCACCGAGGGCGGAAGAGCAGGACCAAATTGCTGTTGACAGGGATTCTGAAATGGTTGAAGACGTAGCTCGGGATATCTTTGGCATTGAGCTGTCTTTCGAGAAGACCCCATCAGAATCACCTCTCAAAGCTGAAAAGCTTGGATCTGAGGCGGTGGAAGAGACAAATCACGATGAGGTCGACGCTGTCTCTACCGAAATCGATGTTGAAGGAGACTCAGGTTCTGAGGAGGCCGAGAACCCCCAAGACCAGCTCAGTTATGAGTACGAAGAACCCGAAACTGTTTGCTTCGACGCCATGGAGGAGGCAGAACTGGAAACCGGAGATTTGTATGACGAAGAAATGCAAGAAGACTCAGGCTCTGAACAGGATGAAGATCCTCAAGCGCAGGTTCAATTTGAGTACGAAGAGGCCGATACCGTTTGCTTTGATGCGATGGAAGATGCAGAAGTGGATGCCTATGAATCACACAATGAACAGGTGCAGGTCACAGAAATTGCCCTGGAGGACGAAAGGTCTCTGCACGAGGAAGAATCCGCGCCGGAAGACCAGACTGAGGAGGAAGAAATCGAAGGCCGGATTGCCCCCGTATCTCCAGACTCGATATCCGAATCAGCGCAAGCCCCAGAGTTTTCCGATGAAGCTCCTTCGCCGTCTAAGCTAGTGTCTGATTTGGCCCACACTGAGGATGTTGAAATTTTGGACGTACAAGAAGAAGAGGGTGCGCCTAGCATCATCTCCAATTTCGATGAGGAGCAACAACTCACTGGCCAGGAGGCTCAGACTGAGGATACTGATTACTCTCCAATCCGACCCTTTGTATTCGATTTATCCAGTCCTGAGCCGATATCGCCCTCCGAAGCCAGCGAAGGAAATGTCGTTGGAAGCCCCCTTCAGAGGATGTATGCGACGCCCTCACCAGCGTCGATGCCCCCGGTCGGTTCATTTACTCCACCGACCTCGGATCGCCTGGACAACACAGAGAATGATGACCCCACTCCTCACGCCAGGAATGCCAACGTTGGCATGCCCTTGGGCGAGATAAGTGGGCCATCCCCAAGCGTTCAGGCCGACAGCCCTACGTTAATGGCGCCCAGTCTCTTCAACACCCCAAGTCTTGCTGATCACCGCCAATCACCTCTCGACGCTGGCCTGGGCTTCACACCCCTGGCGCAGAAGTTTGACCGCTGGGAGACTAATACACCCTCTCAAAGGAGGTCGCTGCGCCCTCGTCGTCGTGGAGTCTTCTCCCTAGTAGGACCTTTGGACCTCACCAAGGCGGAAACACCCGTGCAGCCTGGTGCAGTCTCTTATCCCGATCTGTCGAAGAGCCCTTTGGCAAATTCCCCGTCTCTGTTTGCGGAGTTGCCTCTCCAGCCCCAAAGCGAGGGTACTTGCATAAGCCCCGAGCAAGATCAAACACCTCGGCCATCTTCAATCTATGAAGATGATGGATTAATCCAATCCCGGAGTAAAGACACAGAAATATTTGAAGACCCTGACATGGACATCTTAGAAGACGACAATCAGGAAAAGACTCCACGGAAAGAGCGTATGCCTGCTACAGAACCCCAGTTCCAGGAGCAGGAGCATCTGGACGAAGACAAGGAGAACTTCAATTCTAACATTCTTCCTGCAACTCCAATGAAAGTCCAGCCGGAAGCAATGCGCACTGTCCATACAGTGTCGAAGGTGCCTTTGAAAGCTGAAGGAGAGGTATCACCTATCAAAGTATCACGGAAGAGAGGCCTGTCACTGTCAAACATGTCTCCCACTCGTTCATCCCCCCGAGTTCGAAAGCCCACTTTCAGGCCCCCGGAAGAGAATGTGCTGCTTCTTTCCCCTACTCGCAGACATTCGCGGGCGAACAGAACTCCTTCACCAAAACGGCGCTCAAGCACTGCTCGACGCAGCAGTGGCAAACCAGCAGTCATTACCTCAACAGGTGAACATGTTGCAACTCAAAGCCCTGCTAAGAAATCTCGTTCAAGCATGAGCACTAGCCAGAAAGCTCTGCATGGCGCAGTTGTGCATGTGGATGTCCACACCACCGAGGGCGAGGATGCCTCTGGTATCTTTGTCGAGCTATTGCAGCAGATGGGGGCTCGATGTGTCAAGTCTTGGTCTTGGAACCCAGCTTCCAGCCACCCCGATGTTGATGGGGCAGAGTTGAAAGAATCGAGGGTTGGGATCACCCATGTTGTGTACAAGGATGGTGGCCTGCGGACTTTGGAGAAAGTGAAGAAGGCAAGAGGCCTTGTGAAGTGCGTTGGAGTTGGCTGGGTTCTTGAGTAAGCCATCATTTTATGACCTTTTCCAAGCATTTTTCTAACCAATTACTTCAGTTGTGAACGTGAAAACCAATGGCTGGATGAGACACCCTACGCGGTTGACAGCTCTATTATCCCACGTGGAGGCGCTAAGCGTCGCAAAAGCATGGAGCCTCGTGCCTTGAGCAATGTCAACGGTACACTCATACGCATCCCTGAGTCTCCCGCTCCTTCCGCCAGTGGACGTCGCAGCGGGGCCGACCAGGGCGCCGTCGATGGTTTCCGCAAGATTACTCCTCCAACCCACCAGCAAGAAGCGCCGTCAACCCCTACACGGCAATCTTCGACTGATGACTACCAATTCCCCGCCACTCCAGGCTACAACTTTGCCAACCTTGATGCCATTGGCATGTCGCCTGCTACTCCTTACTTCCTCTCCAACCGTTCCAAGCTTGTCCAGCAATCTTGTCCTCCAAAACAGAGCAACCGCGGCTTGTTCCCTGGCGCTAAGCCCTCCAGCATCCTTGAAGACGAGGACGATGATGATTCCAGACGCAAGCAACGTTTTCGTATGGAAGCTGCTCGTCGTAAGAGCCTTGTTCACAAACCGGCTGTCGCTAGCCCGCTTCGTCGGTGATGGCATTCAGCTAGTTGCCTACTTTTTGTAAATTTCTATAGTCACTGTACATATGGGGACTGCTTGTTTCGGTATATAATTCATGGCGGTTAGGTCGGGGTGTTTTTGCATTGTGCCATGCGTCTTGTCGGATTTGGCTTGTATGCCGCTCAACTCAATTGGATACAAATAAGGTTGATTTTTTGGATATCTCCATTTAACTCGAAATGAATCATATCGACATTCATCGACAACTGATGTCCGAAAATAAATGCTTGCTTTTAATTAGTCCAAGAAACCCGAGATTACTCTGACGATGCGCAACTCCAGCTAGGCAAAATCAGTACTCAGACTCCTCGCGATAGAATCCAGCAACCAAGAAAGCAAGCTCCAAAGCTTGCTTCTCATTCAAGCGCGGATCACAGAAAGTAGTATACCGCTCTCCCAGGCCATCCTCGGTCAATCCAGCTGCACCACCCACACACTCAGTGACAGCCTCACCAGTCAACTCAAGATGCATGCCACCCAAGAAAGACCCAGCAGCCCGATGAATTTCCAAAGCCTGACGCAATTCAGACAAGATATCCGTAAAATGACGTGTTTTAACCCCAGACGGCGTACTCTGCGTATTGCCGTGCATGGGATCACATTGCCAGACAGGGAGGTGGCCAGAAGCTTGCACAGCAGCGATATGCCCAGGCAAGAAGTTGGCAATTTTGGAAGCACCATACCGAGAGATCAAAGTCACCTTACCGATCTCACGCTCAGGGTTGACAACATTCAGCAGGTTTACTAACTCGTCCGAGGTCATGCTGGGCCCGATTTTGATTCCGATGGGGTTGGCGATTCCGCGGAAGAACTCGACATGTGCGCCGTCAAGTTGGCGTGTTCGATCGCCGATCCAGAGGAAGTGGCTCGAGGTTGCATAGTATCCAGAGTCGGAAATTGTTGGGTTAGTTGAGGTGATGGAGGGTGGGTGTCGGAGGAGTCGGGTTAGGCTTTGCTCGTATTCAAGCGAGAGGCCTTCGTGGCTGGTGAAAATGTCTGCTGTTTCCACGCCGCGGTCTTTGTCGATTCCTACTGTATGCATGAAGCGGAGGGCGTCTTTGACTGCGCTCACGGTGCGTTCGTATTTCTCTTTGATCGAGGGTGTGATTACGTGTCCCAAGCCCCAATCTAGAGGGGAGTGCAGGTCTGCTAGACCGGATGAAAGGGACGCGCGCAGGTAGTTTAAGGTTGCTGCTGAGTGGAAGTACGCCGAGACTAGACGTGTTGGGTCTGGTTGGCGGGACTGGGGATCGGCGTCAAAGCCATTGATGTTGTCGCCGCGGAAGGAGGGCATTTCCACTCCGTTGACCACTTCTGTTGAGCTCGAGCGTGGCCTGGCTTGTGTTAGCCTTGTACTACATATATCTTCTGCAAGTGACATACTTCGCAAATTGACCTGCAATGCGGGCAATACGAATGACGGGCTTATTGGCGCCTGTTCATGGGTCAGTGGGTGCTTTGTGCTTTCGAGCAATTGGGACATACCCCATATCAACACCAAGCTCATCTGCAATAGAAGCTTGACCTTGGCTTCGATCATTTCTTGATTACAGTAGTCGAAGAGCTCCGCACAATCACCTAAGTAAATGCTTAGTCGTATGTTCGATGGTGATGCTGTCATTGATCAACGTACCACCTTGCAAAACGAATGCCCTGCCCAGAGCAACATTTCGCAGATTTTCTTTAAGATGAATGACCTGGATCTTTGGTTAGATCTTGTCTCAAGCCCAATCAAAATAAATAACCTACTTCCCGTGTTGTTACCAGCGGAGGTAGCTTCTGCAGCTTCAGTAGCGCGTCTTTCAACCCCTGGCGATCTTCGTAAATGACATCTTGCTTGATCGGCTTTTGTGTCCACGCTGAGAAAACTTTGTAAATCGGGACCAATTGGGAGTACGGACGAGCTCTTACAACTAGGGGTCCATTCAGTCATGGCGGTGAGTAGCCCGGAAGGTGGGGTGAAAGAGTGGGTATTCTTATGGGGATGAGCTGCTTCTGATCGTCAAAACGGTCGCAAAAACAATCCCAGTCACAAAAAGTGCGTTGAATTAAGGGAATAAAAACTCAAAGGAAAGATGTTGCAGCCACTGCAACAGCCAATGTGCAAGGTAACGTGATATCCACATGAATCCACGTGCGCTTATTCACGGAGATGACTCATTTCATGCCTGGAAGGTCAGGCGTCTCCACAGCAATATCGAATTTCACTACCGAGCGACGCAGTCCGAACCTCATAGTAAATGCGATAAATCACAACTTGATACCTTAACAACAGTAGCCTCTAGGGAATTTGCTCTATAGCCCACTAATGTTCATATGATATCTAGTCTATACAGAGTCTAGCAAATTATCACCGCTCAGTGAGATGCAATCATTGCTAGCTCAAAGCAACGTAATTTTCAATACCATAATAAGATAGTACTTCTAATTCCCTGAAATCGATATGTAGTACTAAGAATATTTATCAGCAGCTATTGAGTATTCATGGTAAAAAAAACAAAAGGGTGGGTGTCGAGATGTAGTTTATCGCATTTACTATGGAATTTGGACTGCGTCGCTCGGTGGTGTGCGTTACTCGGCAGTGAAATACGTTATATTGTCTTAGTTCTACCATGTCACTCAAAGCTGGCTAGACACTGATTTAGGTACTAACATGTAGATCAGAGTACCCCATGCAACTTTGTTTCAATGGCCCAGGGTCACCTTTCAACAATTGGTCTAGTCTGATCTATGTTTCTTCGCCGGATGGAATGTTGATCACGTTGACAAGCACAATTGTAGGAAAATGAACCAATTTAAACAGATCGACTTTCGCCCTTTTTCTTAGCCACAGTTGCCTTGGCAAGTAATGTATCATTTCTATCTGTTTCCCCCATCAAGGTCTTGACTTCGTCCAGACAGGCAGCTTCGAGTTTAGTCAGACCGGCCTTTGCAGTCCAGCCAAGCTCTTCGGCCAGGTTGGCCCTGGAACTACAACTTTCATTTTTAGTTTCGGGGAAACCGAAACAGACTAAGAACAACATGGCAGCCCCTTACTTTGAGGCGAATTCTAGTTCGATAAACACGTTGTTGCCACCCATCCATTTATCAGCAGCTTCTTGAACAGACAAGCTCTAGTCTCCTCGGTATCCAAGGCACAGAGCCAGTTATTAGACTTCGCAATGGCCGTGGAAACCTTCCACCAGGAATGATCGCATTTTTCCGCAGACGAAATTCCCTCTTTTCCACTTGGAATGACCTCACCGTTCATGAGCCTCGAGATGAGGAATTCGTAAACTCTCCCAAGTTTTCAATGTGGATATCACGCCAGCGAGAAGCGCCCTCAAAAACTTGGGCTTGCTTGGCTTCGATAGCTGAAGGTTTTATCTCCTTTGGGTCCGTGATTAATTAGATTTGCTGTTGCAGACTAAGTATATATTAGTTGAATGTCCCCTGGTTGCGCCTAATGCAACCTACAAGCTGGCCAATTCGTTGAATGAAGTTGATATATGAAGACAGACATAATCGTATTCATATAAAGTCATCTGAAGATTATCTTCTCTATTATGTCGATTACAGCTGGGTGAAGTAAAGCGTTTATTGTCGACTTGGCCGGGACCATACACATGAAGGCAACGTCTAAGCCCTGGACTACTCTCTATTGTTGACCCACACTTCAATTAAACTTGGCTACATGAGAATCTTCAACCTATTGAATCTCAGTGAATCCTGCCCGGTTTGAGTGTCGCATATGAATAATATTCTCGAAAAGCTTTCTTGCATATGCGAGAAGCCGCGTTCGTTCTTTGCATAAGTTAGGGAAGCCCTGAATCAGAGAAAGCAGATCCTTGTGTTCTGGTCTTTGAACCCATAGATCTATAAATATTTTAACGTCTGCGTTGATCAACCTATTGCCTTATGATCACCTTCATGTCCACAAAGTGTACAAAGTGCGTATGTTGCTATCATCTTAGCTCAACCTAGTGGCCTTGTGCATTTCAAATCTAACTAGATAAAGATCGTTCAATGGTGCTATTAAGTTATTTCTATGCTGAAGCTATGATATGATAATGTCTTTAATGTGCGAAATGTGGGCCAGTGGTCTAGTAACTATGATTGACTAGCAGTGCTATTGGTATTCGTTTGACTCTGAAAGTGGAAGGTCGGGGCCAAGTTGAGACGGAATCAAAGTATCAGGGAGCATATGATAACTGTACCGGTGTCCCAAACGACAGGCGGACAATAGCTTCCTTAGGAGGCACTGGATTGAATTTTCTACTGTAAGCCCACAGTGAAAGCCACTTTATTAATTACTATCAACGTATTCTGATGAACTGGATCGGAGTTCAAATACTGCAATGGGGGGAAAAAACGCTCAAAGGATAAATCAAGCAGAATGGGGGCCGAAAAATAAAAAACAAGATTGCAACAGTCCCCGGACGCCCAAGACTGAATGAAGCCCGGGGCCCAGTGGAGTTGACGGAACAAAGAGTTGAATCGGCCCCTAGAGGCAATAAATCGTTAAGCCAAGATTCTGAATAGGCATTGAGATCGGACCACGGAGCCTAAAAAAGGGGCATGCAATTTCCACGCTTACAGAAAATAAATGAATCCAAGCTGTGGCGTTTTCAGTGTCAATTATGGCGGGCCAATCTATTTCCGATCAGGCAACCCTGCAGAAGCCTTGGCTAGGAACCGATAGCCCCATAGGATAGAAAGGTACTATTGGACATGTCTCGCCGCTAACGTTGGCTAAAGTTAGTGTGCTCGTTTGAGTTTGCTTGTTTGGCGCTAGTTGGGGCCGAACGTGGGCCGGACCCTAAGAAAAAGAGCCCCAAAATATTCCAAGCTTATGCTGACAGGGTTATTTAACCTCCTTGTTTCCTTTTTTTTACATCTTCATCCATACTCAAATCCCAAAATGCAGTACAAGGTGCTCGTTCCTCTCGTCTTCGCCGCTACGGCCCTGGCTGCCCCTGCCCCAGATGCCACCGGTACATCGTCCAGCTACGAGACATCCGACGATTATGACGACAGCGATCTCTATGATAGCTACGACTCCGGTGACAGCTACGGTCTTGCCGATGTGCCCAGCTCCATTCTGACTGTCCTGGCCACCGCCATTCCATCTTCGTGGTACGACGACATCATGAACCCGGAATCCCGCTCCGCTATCATCAGCGACGCCGCAGCTGGTACCTACCCAGCCTGGTACAACTCGCTTCCTAGCAGCGTCAAGGCCTGGGCCACTTCCCAATTCGATGACGAGGTTATCGGAGCTTCAGCCACTGCCGCCAGCATCTCTGGGACCACCGCCAACAGCGCTTCCCTGACTTCCGCTGGTACTGCCGTTGAAACTGGCAGCGCCATGACTGCTGGCAACACTGCCAGTGAGACTGTCAGCCAGACTGCTTCTTCTTCCTCTACTGTTGAGACCACTACTGGTTCCTCCTCCGCCAGTGTTACTTCCAACTCTGCCTCTTCCGACGCCAACTCTAGCTCTGCTTCGGCTTCTGCCTCCTCTTCCCAGTCCACTGGCGGTGCTCCCGCTCCTACTGGTGGTGTTGCCATGGGTGTTGCCGGTGCTGCTGGTGTTCTGGCCCTTGCCCTTGCTCTGTAAAGTAGGACCGTGGGACTTTTCTATCCATCTACTTTTAATGTTTTAGATTGGCATTCGGAGCATCAATACCCTTATAAATCAAGTCATTTTGGCTCTCTCTGTCGGTAAATAAAATCGCCCTTTAAATTTATCCTCTAATTCAAATATAACTCTCTGATCCACTTTTCCACATCACAACGTCCTCTTCTGATATTTTGCTTCTTGACCTCCCCTAGCACTGGCAGCCATTCCGTCCACAATCATAGACGGTCATCTTCGGAAATATCAAGCTATTTGATCGGTCAACCAGGATTATCGACATTCCACCGAATAGAATCCACTCCGGACACCTGAGTTGTACAAAGCCAGAAGGCTCGTACTAACAACTAAATCACTGGAACCGTTGTTCATGCCTTCGGTGTCTGATTTAAGGGTTCCTATCAAATTGACCAATGCACAAACGAGGGAATCACAAGTGGCTGCTACGAAGAAAGTGAAGTCGTTATGGAGTACTTGTTGGCCGATCATGCAGTATGTTGTGTAGCTTTGCATATGGATTGCCGCTATTTTGACGTTTCTGACAAGATCTTGAATATCGTGGATCTGATTCAATGCTCTGCCAAGTTCCTCTTGGAAGATGTATTTTCTGGAGAGAGTTTCAATTGGCCTTTGGATGAGCCTGGCACACTTGCACTAGTACTCACGATAATCCGCCTCTCAGTCAGTCTGATGTTTTGCATGTAAATTTGCATTGAAAAATGAACCATCGGGTACATATCAACGGAGGTATGATATTCTGGGGGCCATAGTGAGCGAAGGATGTAAGTTGTGACGTGAATTTGCGGGAATTAGTCGATGATTTTCGGGGAAAATGTGATGGCTTGATTTTGCAAGAGTAGGCAGTATGGTTGTTGAGTTCAACGGAAGAAATGAAAGTTGCTTGGTGCTGGAGAGCCGAAGAAGCTTGAAGTTAAGCCCCATTTATAGCTGTTCGTGGAGAAGGGAAATATCATATAAACCATGAATGCCATTGTTTATTTTTTTTATCTGTTGCCAGGTAAGAATGACAGAATGAACAATTACTATTGAAATGAGGCGGAGGACTCTAAGACCGAAGAAAAAAGATTTCATGGACTTTAAACATTCTTTGTATCGATCTCGGTACAGACTGAGACAATATGTGTGCTAGCTTATTCGAGCTTTACATTTCGCCTTTGATCCTCCACCCTTTGATATGCACTACAGGATATATAGGCCAAGTTGAGAGTAGACTGAATAGAGATTAATCAGTTATGTCTATCAATCTTGTAGATATGACAATTTCAGGATGTCTGTCATTGAAACGATTTCATCAGATCAGGACTCGGCCATAGTTCTACTGAGTATGACTTCTAAAACCTCAGCGCCCGGAGGAAGATCAGCTCCATCATCGTTTTGATCAAAATAAAGCCTCCAAAGTCCTTGAGTGTCCTCCATATCTAACTCCTTGGCATACATTTCATCGCGCGGAAGCCGCACAGCCATCCAACCTTCCCAGCCCTCTAACGTGACGCGTGATTCATCCTTTGTCCAGTCAAAAGGACCACATAAATTCCCTTGGCTTTCTTGTCGGCCGCCCCAGCGCACCTCATGAGTCTTTGAATCCACGTAAAGCCAACGCAGAGTCGGAGGTGCTTCACCCGAGATGGTAACAAACCCTGCTGTGTTGTCAGGTGGAAATTCAGGGTGTGGGTAGAATCCGCCATTAAAAAGTGAGAGCTGTGGGCAGTTCGACTTTGTAATATAGACCTGGATTTAGGATGGCTAAGTACTAGACTTCATATGAAATCAAATGGGTGACCTACTTTGCCATCTGTGCCCAAGTATACCTGTGCATTGTGGACTGCCTTTCTCTGCTGCAGTGGCTCCTCATAGGATGGGCACTGAACCAGAAGATGAGATCGCTGTGTTCGCGCATTCTTCCGCCGCTGGTTTTCATGATCCTTGGTGCCTTTGGTCGCTTCATTGACGCCCATCATGGTCGGCACCATTGCCGCCATCATGACGATCCCGAACACCATTTTAAATTAGGACTGGAGAAAGGGAGCTTGTTTAAATTGATGAATATGTAGTTTCGACGTTCTGCAACTTGCGTGTGGAAACAATTATTCGCAATGATCGTGACTTCCTCGGGAGGAAGCGGCTCTGCCGTGCCGGATGATCTCACTCGATGTTTATTTCGACCTTCAAGGAGCGGTAGATCAAATTACTTTCTTTCCTTGTACTTGGAATAAAAACAGCTTCCGCATGCAGCTCGCTTGTTCTACTAAACTTTCGGAACCAAAGGAACCATCGTTGGCCATCACTCGGGAACCAACGTTAACCTGCCGGGAAGCTATCATTCTCCACCACAGCGTGGCAACGACGCATTGTATGACTTATTGATTCTATACAAAGAAGTGATTTGATAGGATATGCATATCGTACTTTCGACGTTTAAGCTTCGTGTCGCTGATTATGTCGGAGATCGCGATACCTCGAATGACATAAATACCAAAGGATACTCAGCCAATTTTATTTGGTTTTACACAGTTTCCACCAATCCCTTATATATTATATGCAAGACATCCCCTAGAGACATCTCACAAGTACAAAGATGGTCAACCCAACCCAAGCATTGAGGTACATCCAAGCTCAGCTCACACTCTATACCCTCCTATTATTTCTTTGTCTCCAACAGAACCCATATCTACAGGTCACAAAGGCTAATTCTAAAGTCGATGGGTATGATAGTGACGCACCCATAACTGGAGCTGGTAACCGACGAGGCCGCCAGAACTCGGATGATTCGACTGCGAGCGATGCTACCGACCCCATTCAGGACCTTGTCAACCCTCAGACACTGGCCCAGGGAGACGACCCGTTGATCGGACCATCTGCCGCACGTGCACTTGACAAGAAGAATAAGAAAGACGGGGATCAGGTTGAGAAGAAGAATGATGGAAGCCTGAATATCAGGATTCATTTGGATCTGCATGCTAAAGTCAGGCTGGATCTAGAGGCTGATCTGTATGGTGATATTGTGATTGGATTACTGTAAAGTAAGGCTTATGAACCAATTGGCGTACTTGAGCTTCAATATATTATCGGATCTAAACGGATTACTCATTGCAAGAGATAGCGGTTCTATAGATGCAGGTCTCAGCGGCTAGGCCTTCAACCATAGTGATTTTAACCACAGTTTACGTCATTTGGATCCCTGGTACAGAGGCTGTCTATCTCTGGACATGATCCCCAGCATATCTGCCAAGACAAAATAGTTCGATTTCCAAGGTCCTCCCGGCGGGCAACAAGGAGTGCGCCGTCCCGAGAACGGACCGGAGAGGAATTCTATAGAAGCTGCAGGCCCAGTTGTTTCTGGAGAAACCCAATTGGGGTTTCACGAGTTATTCGAGGCTTCCTATGCTCGAGGTAAATTTTCAAAAGAGTTGCGATAAGATCGATAAGAATTCCACCCCGCGGAGGGGCCTCCGTCAAATGTTCGACAATCAGTTATAAGCCGAATTCCGCAGGTGATGCTATTCGTCTCTATGATTGGGTCCTATGGGGCTACCCGGCGCGATGACCGGTGAAGCCAAGCGCGGAATTTCGTTCCTCATTTTTTTTGCCCCCACCTCATCCCGCATTCCTCCCCTTGCTCTATTGGTATTGCATATTATATCATTACAAAATGCCTGGAAAAGACGCTGGCACTCCCCGTGTCTTCCTCTACCGACACGGTATGTCCAAACAACCTAACATCCAAAATTCTCTAACGCGTCACAGGTCAAACCGAGTGGTCCAAGAATGGACGCTACACCGGTGTCACCGAGCTTGAGCTCCTCAAAGATGGTGAGAAGCAGGTCTCTGCTTCCGGCAAGATTATTGTTGGCCCGGGCAAATTGATTGATCCCGCCAACCTTGCCCACGTCTACATCAGTCCTCGCAGACGTGCAATGCAGACCTTTGAAATTGCTTTCAATGATGCCGATCAGAAGGCCCTGAGAGATGCAAACAAAATCTCTGAGACCGGCAGAATTGCCGAATGGGATTACGGTCTGTACGAAGGCATGCTGACCAAGGATATCCGTGCCTTACGAAAGGAGCACGGTCTCGATGCCGAGAAGCCTTGGGATATTTGGCGCGATGGTTGTGAGAACGGAGAGTAAGTCGTTCGCGTTAATCCTGCGGCTCTTGACACATATCTGACTGGATCGCACAGGTCTGCGCAGCAGGTCACAGACCGCCTTGATGATCTCATTCGGGAGATTCGCTCCATTCAGAAGGGTAACATGCATGGCGAGAACCCTGCCGATGTCCTCCTTGTTTCCCATGGTCATCTTCTTCGTGCCTTCACCAAGCGCTGGCTTGGGTACCCCATGGAATTCCCTCTATCCTTGATGCTTGACCCTGGTGCTGTTGGCGTTCTCAGGTAATGGAGCCCCTCGTGATTCCCGTTGATTATCTGGCTGACCATTTGATTATAGCTACCAACACCACAACATTGATGAGCCAGCTATGCTGGTTGGTTATGGCTTCCCTGTGGAGGAATAGTTGATCTGTTGGATCCCTGCACATATTGAAATGAATCCCATTGCACATTGATAAATATAGACACACCTCAATATAAAATAAGTTTGGCTCAGAATATAGTTGACCACATAGAATCATTCAAAGGAATTGTTCTAAGAGCCTCCGAGGGTCGAACATGACCACTTGCTGCCTTGCCCTATCGGGATTTTGATGTAGCATGCAATACGCTTCAGCACTATCGCCTTGAAAACATGCCCCAAACGCGTGTAGGTTGAAGTAAACCTTCTCTCTAATAGCTACCTTCACTTTGGTCATTGATGGCTATTTTCTAACACAGGAATGATCGTAGATCTTTTTGAACCCCCTCAAAATCACCCCAAAAGAAAGCAGATAGCAAATTCTCTAAGCCCATTGAGGTGCTGTTCAAAGATTTGAATTTTCTATGTAGAAGGGCAAAAGGTGGCACCGGAAGTTGGATATTGATCCTCTTGACATCCGTGACAACGAATGGTAGCAGCGTTGGTCGAAGTTGATAGGACTGAAGTTATCAAGCAGTGTACAAACTACTGCCCTGGAAAGTGCAAATAAATCACCCACGAATCTAATTCTCACTTTGTTTTCTCTTCCCCCTCCACAACACCAACCACCCAAACATCAACACATCCCAACCAAACATCAAGATGCCTGAACTGGACTCCCGAGGCTGATGCCCAGGTACATGTGTCTTTCAATCTACAAGAAGCATCACTGCTCACACGAAACAGCTTCTTCTCCTGATCATTGATCAGCTGAAGGCCGCCAGTTTCAACCTTGACACTGAAGCCATCGCCTTCGGTATGGGACCAAGTACGTATTCCACTCTCACATCATGGTCTGACCCACACTAACAAGAACATGACAGAGTGCAACAAGCGTGCTATCCAGCACCGTATCAACACCCTCCGCAAGCTGAACGAGGAAGCCCATCCCGCCTCCACGGAGGAAGCCTCCGAGGCCACCAGCTCCCCCATGAAGCGCAAGCCCGGCCGTCCTCGCAACACCCCCAACAAGAAGAAGACCAAGGCCCAGGACACCACTGAGGAGGATGAGGAGGTCTTGCTCGGCGTTGTCGTTCAGGGTGACCACCACGATGGCAACTAAGAAGGTTGATCTTTTTCCATTTGTGTTCTATTCCAACTTCTCTTTTGTGAGAAGGGCCGCGTGACAATGATCTCGGAATCTATCCCAGCATCAGACAGATACAGCATATTTTCGCTGCATTAGCTAGTTTCCACTCTTAAATTCATTATCTGAGTTGGAATATCTTCGAGTGTAGCAATAATTTAACCCTAGAAGCCGCCCCGCATGAAAAATGTAATGTGTATTTTGCGTAGTGCAGCTATGAGGCGTCCCTTATCGCGACTATTGTAAGCGTTGGACTGAGAAAGAGGATGCAGTCATGTTGATCGTGAGGTCGCCTCTGAAGGCGGCATTGCATATTCTGCCGGCAAACAATGACGTACGTACATACACTTGTCAAAGGAACCAACGTCTACATTTCTACTCCTAAACAACTTCTGCTCACAACTAGATCAAACACACAAAATTCACAATGTCAGACCCTATTCCATCAGCAACGGCTGACCCAGACAACGTCGACCAACCTCACCCCACAAATGCCGAAGACCGCAAAGCCGCTGCCGCCCTTTCCTCTCTCCATACAAATGAAATCAGCTCGGGGACCTCCTCCGCAAAGGCAAATTTCGCCAACCAAGAAGCTCTGGGGAAGGCGATGAGTCGACTGGAAATTTCTGGTGGACAGGAAGCCACTAAGAAGGGGACTGGGCAGGCACAGAAGGTCGATGGCGTTGCAAGGAAGCAGGTTGTCAAGGTTGCAGCGGCTGATGTTGCACTGTTGGTATGCTTCCTGCGTGTTTTTGCCCGGTCTTGATATCAGTTTGGTTACTGACGATTATATCTGCATCAGGTGGATCAGCTGGAACTGACTAAGACCAAGGCTACAGAGCTGTTGAAGGCTCATGATGGTGATGCTGTTAAGGCGATGACGGCGTTCATTACACCTGGTATTCGAACTTAACGCATCTTGGTGAAGTTACATGGTTACATGGATGGACCAGACCAAGACAAGCGTTTTGTGGAGGGTTCCTTATGATTTTATGAGTTTCAAGATTGAACAGGCAGATTGACCGACATTGTAATGGATGCATGCTAGGTGTTTTCACTCTTTTTTTTTTTTTTTGCTTCTGAATGGTCACTGGTTGTAGTTTATTCCAAAAAAACCCAATAGTTAGTGGATTATAGGACGAACCCCATAGTGGAAGAAATAGCTGAGAGACAATTGCATCCAGTTAATGATTTTCGTTCAGTTTCAATAATCAAATATCTAGAACCCAACGCATTTGAAAATGAGCAAAAAAGAGGCCAAAAAAGAGAAAGCAAAATACGACATTCGAGTGTGGGATATAGTGCCAATGAAAGGGTGTTAATGTTTGATACTTGCAAACAAATACCCGAGATGTTGAAAGAGAGAACATATAAGCTTAACGGGCTGTTGCGACGTAATGCAAGTGCACTTCTATGAGTTAGCTCTAGATGTATGCCGGGGTATCTGGGATCATGCCACACATCAATCATTCTTCATCTTCCTCCACTTCCTTCTTTCGTTCAATCCCCTTGCCTTCATGAATGGTGTGTAGAACAGCCCATCCAATCAAGGCTTCAACAGCCAGTGCCCACCAGACAGCCCCGATCATATTGTTCTCAAGACCAAGGCCAAGACCCCAACCACCCAAGAATGGACCCAGGGTACGGGCTGCACTGGAGATGCTCTGTGCCACGCCGTGTACAGTGCCCAGAATAGATGGATCTGTGACACAGTTATTGACGAGGATAATGGCAGCTGGCAAGATGAATGTCCGCGAGATAACCTGGAAGCTAACCACCAAAGTGAAGCTGGACCATACAACACATGGTATACGCGGTAAAATCACAAGGAATGGCATCAAAATATATGAGAGTGGAGAGAATGGCATGAACGCGCGGGCAGAGGCCATTGTCCCGAGCTTCGTTTGGATTTTCGGATAGAGGAAGATCTGCAGTGGTAGACCAATAAAGCCGATGATAGCTGTAGCAAGCCCAACGCGGGCAGAGGGCAATCCCAGCCCACCATTGAAGTGGAACCATCCTCTGCGGGAGTCTTCTGGGGCTCTGGGTGTAGGAAGGAAGACGAAGGTCATGGAGCCGAAAGCACTCGTGTGGAAGGCAAGCAGGAAGTGAGCAAACAGAGTCAAGAGTACGTTGCGTGTCCAGATCTGTCGGAAGCCTGGGCGTTTGTGTGCTCTAGACTGGATCCGCGAGAGGGCCGGGCTTGATGGTACCGACCAGTTTTCAACGTTGTCGTCGAGATAGACCGAGCCATCATTTCTAGCACGTGGGAATGGGCGGTGGCATTTTGATGATCGGGTCAGAGCTCGGTAGATTCGTTTTCCCAAGCTGCGTCCCCAGTCCTTTCTGTATCGTGCAATTTCGTGAGTCTGATGAGATTGTTAGAAATCGGGCAGTTTCGTGGAAGGGGATGCAATATACTCACCTCGTCGAGACCAAGGAAGACCGCCAATACTGATGCGAAGATAAAGATTGCACTTAGTACATTGGGTAGCGCATAAGGCCAATGCTCCATCCACCAGACACCTTCCTTGCTGCCAAAGACTGATTCAGGCCCGAAGAATTGAGGAAAACTGTGGACGGGGTCTGCCAAGGAACCACCGAGGATTGGGCCTATTATGACACCAACATTGAAGCACATAGGGAGAAGCAAGAATGCCCGGGATTGAAACCTGAATTGTCAGCTGCTGGCGGCCAATTGTGAAAGGATATCAACTCACTTCTTCTCAGCAATGATCTCGGCAATCAGAGTTCTCATCACACCAATGTTACTATTCAGTACTCCACCAAGTGTCCGAAAGATCATGGCAGAGGTGAAAGACCGAGAGAATCCGAATCCCAGGCAAGATATGCAAGTGCCTAACAGTCCAATCAACAGAACTCGTTTCCTTCCCATCCATTCCGCATCAGCGAGCCGCCCCCACCAAACAGCAGTAAGAAACTGCGCGGCTGTGAAGCTGCCTTGGAGAATACCCGCCTGCACGGTGATTTCCGAGTCCGGCAAAGACGGATCAAAAGACTTGAGCTGATAGAACATATACGCTTGCAGAGAAGTTTGGGTCAAGGGCTCTGACAATCGAGCAAATGTCAAAATTGCTAATTGGCCTTTTTTCGGCAGCGAACTCCAAGTCACCGGCTTTTCTTCCTCTGCTTGCTCAGGCATGCTGTCGGAGTTGCCGCCATCATCTTCATCGGAAGATAGCCGTCGACCATTAATTACCAACGGCGCCGTGCCTAACCTCCTCGTGCGGAGTGAATCACCTTTGAAGATCGCAGTATCCGTGCTCTCAGAATCACTGTCGCCCTCGGTACTCGACAGGTCGGAGACATCTTGAGCAAGAAGAGTTTCTTCTTCTGTCGCAAGGCGGCCTTGGCGCGCGTGCTCGGTTTGCGGAGCAGACCCCATCAACTCCGATCCCGGTCCGCGAGGTTGTCACGCGAGCGGAACTACGATGTGGTGATGCCGGTCGGGGAGCACAGCGTTGTTTGCTGCCTCGTTCTTGGCACAATATTAGATCGGCAAGAGATGTGAAAAGGAATGAAAAATAGAAGTGACATTATTCTGGGGATCCCTCGACCTCCGATACAGTCGGGACGCTTTGCCTAACGTGGTTAGATTATTGACGGAGGTCCGAATAGCATCTGCGAGGCGTCAATCGCCATTCCTTACCAGATTTGCGTCTGTCGTCTCTCACTCGTCTGGTTAGTTAGACCAGAAACTATGGTGTGCTTATTATTGCACTAAGAATTGGCACTGTCGTTACCGAGCCCATATGCACATTATAATGGGCAATGTCATTCTTTCAACTCTTGGGCTCACCTGTCACAATCGGTGAGACCGAGCTGGCCGAGCTGACAGACTGTTCATCGATCTACAATCAAATAGGATATAACAGGGAGTAGCTGCAAGTAGTAAAGATATGTCCTATTTCTCCAGGATAATGTGTAGCTGCACTTGCCATTACTATGTGACCGTTACCTAAGTGACAATTTTCAACTGGAGCATAGAACAAAACGCTGACGCGAAATGCGGAATCTGGTTTTGATCCTAACGTGAATTGCCTCCTTCAATTTTGCTCTGGAGTTTGGCCTCATGTGCTCTAACCGACTCTGAATAGTATGGCACATATTGGAATGTAGCTTGTTCGATTTCCTCGGAATCTCAAGTTCCACCGGCGATCAGACATACCACCAAACACATGCCCAATCTGAACGAGAGGTCAAAATCATAGATTCGATCTTTAAGGTATAACTCCGTCCGTTCTCACAAATCCACGAGTCATCTCACAGGACCACCAAAAGCAAGATCATATGCGTCGTGCTTGAAGGTTGATCTCTGTTATATTCATCAAACGTATAAACGCACCTTGTATAAATACACATGCCGTGATATAGAATGTAGGCCAAACAATAAACAAGAAGTAGAAAAGTCCTTTCAAGAAGCCACCCAGTTTCGTCGTTTAGAACATGTCGGTATTAAGTTCGTCAGCCATGCGCAACGCAGCCAACAGGCAAGCCATCCACAACATCAATAAAAGATCGACGACCCTCCTTGCCCTCCTGGAACGCCGCCAACCGCTCAGCAGCCTCAAAGCTATAATGTGGACCATGATACTGACGTCTCCCACGGAATAGCCACCACAAAGCAGTCAAAGCCATCAATCCAACAATAATAACACTGGTGTAGTTCATATTATGGATAGTGGCAGGCAACACAAGGGGGAAGCAGAAGAAAATAACAGTGACAGAAATGTACACCAAAGAAACAATGTTAACCGCCATGCCGAGATTTTGTCCCATATAAAACGGCCCAGGAACCATATTTCGACGACCAGACAGGACATGCGGAAGGATAGCGCCAAAATATGAGAGTGAGCTGAGTACAATGAATGACGAGATTAGCGCCTGGAACGCTGTAGTGCTACCGATGTATATGCATCCTAGGCAAGTCACAAGTGCACTCATTGCGACTGTTGCACGGACCGGGCAGTTTAGCGTTGGATGAATGTGGGCAAAATAGCTTGAAAACGGTGTCGCATTGTCGCGCGCTAGACTCCACCACATTCTGCCACCTGTCACGAAAGTGCCAATTAATGTCGGGAATGTTGCGAGAAATAGCACAGCAATCAGGCCGATGGCACCCCCGTTGGATCCGGTTGCTTGTCGGTAGATTTCGGCAGTTGGGAAAGATACGATGTTGCTCGCGAATACTGCGTCAAGATCTTGGATAGAGTAGAAGAGTGCGATTAGGTAGACGAAAGATGTGATGAAGGCTGTGAGCATTTGTAGCATAATGCCTTGAGGAACCTTGGTCTCAGGCTTGGGTACTAATTAAACTTGGAGTTAGTTTGCGGTCTTCGGGAATATCGCCATTTTTTCGTGTGAAACACGTACCCTCTTCGGAGAGATGGCTGATACAGTCGGGCACTCCGACTGCAAATGCAGCATTGAGCAGTCCAGTCATGAAGCAAACCCCATCTGACCATCCGCCTGTATTGTTGTGATACTCGACCCACACCTGCTGGCTGCTTGCGTGTTTCTTTGGCATCACCGCAAGAACAATCACAGTCGTGACAAGTCCAACCATGGACAGAGTGAGGGCGATGCGATTGAGAAGAGGGATGAAACGGTTCCCCAGGCACACAATAGCACAGCAGGTCCAATTAACAATCTGGAACACAATGAAGACTTGCCAAGCTTGCCATTTCACACTTGTATGATGGAGCAAATACATGGCGACTCCTTCATTGCCTAGCATTGAGCTCATTGAAGATGCGGATAGTAACCAGGCGCAGGCATTTAAATATCCCGTAAAGAAGCCTGCTGTTTTGCCCCGGTTGCGACTTAGTACAGACGACCAGTAGTAGACACCACCGGCAGAGGGCATTGACGAAGCAAGTTCGGCTAGCGATGCTGAAATCGCCGTGTAAAAGACACTAACTAGAATCAACCCGTAAAGAACGGCCATAGGTCCACCATTTTGAAGTGCTGCGACAATGGTCCCTCCCGTTGAAGCCCAGGAGCTTGGTCACGTTAGTACGTGAATTCGTTTCAAGAAGCAGGGCGCATACTTTGCAATGACAATTCCCAAGCTGGTCAAACTCCATAATCCAAAATTCCGAACCAATTCTTGCTTGTGGCCAAGTGCTGACTCCAGTCGAGCCTCATCTATAGCAGAATCGGACTTGGTGGGCTTCTCGCTATTCCGAGGGATTTGTCGTGCGATCACCACCATCTTGCTGTCCGTATTAGCGTATCAAAGCAAATGTTCAGCAGGAACTTCAGGCCATGGCAAAAAAACGAAGAAGAAGAAAAGAGGGAAATGGAAAAGGAGGACATAGCACGCCACCCCACTAGGTTCAACAAAATCGAACAGGGTGCACAGAAGGCAGATCGGGCAAGTCGCAACCCCAGGAATGCTGTATGCGAGGGTCGATGCCCATATGGCTGCCACGTGCATTGATTCATGTAGAATTCTTTTGCGATCGAATGACTCGTCTACAATTTATTCCGAGAAGATACTTTCTTTCCATGTTCCGGCTTCAGTCAAGTTAGACGCCTGTCTATGGGCAATATTGTGGCGCTGACAGTCAGGAAAAACCAAACATGCGCGTAAACCGTGCCCAAGTGGACCAGTAGGATTGCAATTTTGTGTTTAGCGTCAAATGAGTACGGATCACATCTCCTTGTAACTTCCTAAAAAGCAAAGCAATGCTGGGTGATGCATCGCGGTGCGGCAAGGGGGGATTTGCATAGTCCACCTAGAAAAGTCGGGCGTCGATCGGGCGATTCAATACGCAGTAATCTCCGGTCGGTCTGGGGGCCAAATGTGTCTGTATACTGTCCCTTGCTATAGAGTGTTGAGGTTATGAAACTAGCAGTTTCAGCTGGGTTTTGTGCTACTGTGCTGCAATTTGAATATGTTCCGCTCATCCCAGCATTTTTGAGGGTGTCCTGTGCGACATTTGATTGGCTTGTATCATGCATGCAATAGCATCGATCCCTTTGTTGATGGCCCACATAGCCCTATGTGACGTATCACTTTCGATTTAGAGATCGGACTAGCGCACGTACACGTATAAACCAAATAGGCGACAGTACCTGTCTTTGTTTGCTTCTTGATATCGACTTTCTATTTGAGATCCAAATAAAATGCCATGGCTTCGCTCGTCAATGACAGATGCATGATAGATTTGAACAAAATATACTCCAATTTTGTTTCTATTCTAGTGTTCAAGACATACATAAGAACCAAAAAAATGAATTTGCGAAGTCTAAATAAGCAATCATATATTATCAATATAAAATTTAGTTGACAGGGGCCTCGGAGTCGTGGAAAGAGCCCAGCTTGAGCAACTTCTTCGCATTGTCACGACCAATGTGGCGGTAGGCATCAACACCACCAACGGCTTCCTGAATGGCCTTGGCGTCATTGTCCCACCAGCCACAGCCGTTCTCAATGGTCTCATAGGGGTAGTCTACACTGAAGAGAACGCGATCGGTACCAATCTCGTTGACCACATACTTCAAGGTAGCAGTGGAGAAGTGACCACTGGTAGTGATCCAGATGTTTTGCTTGAAGTAATCGTAAATGGTCTTCTTGGCCATCACCCGGCCTTCCTCGTTAGCGATGGGACGCTTGACATCTTCGAACCAGTGGTTGATACGCCAGAAGTCAAATGGAATGTGTTCGCCCTGGTGACCAATGATGACCTTGGCGGTAGGGAACCGGTCGAACACACCATTGGAGATCAAGCCGAGGGTGTGCAGGCTGACACCGTTGGCGAAGGACAGAGGGGGTCCGATTAAGTTCTGGCGCTGGGCGTACAACTTCTCAAGGACAACATCGGAAGGAGCAGCGGGGTGGATATATAAGGGGACATCGAGTTCGGTCAGGACCTTCCAGAACTCGTCATAGGCGGGCTGGTCGTAATAGAGGTAAGTCTCGCCGTTGGAACCAGAGTGCTGAAAGTCACAAAGGAGAGCACCATGAAATCCAAGCTCTTGGACACAGCGACGCAGCTCCTGGCCAGCTTGCTTGGGGTCGTGCATGGACAGACAGGCGAAAGCACCCATGCGGTCGCAGTTGTTCTTGATCTGGTCGGCGGCCCAGTTGTTGGTCTCAGTGGCAGTCTTCTCGGCCAGGGCCTTGTCGGAAATACCCTGTATACCAGGAACAGTCAGGGAGACGATGGTGTAGCCAATGCCGTGGGCGTTGGACAGACGGACACGCTCATCGTTGATGTCGTGAATTTGGCGCATGTAGCGAGCGCGGTCCTCGGGGGCAATGTACAAGGCAGCTTCGGCCTTGGACTTTTCCTCCTTGCCGGCGCGCTCATAGGCTTCCTCGAGAACGATCTTGCCCAACATTTTGAGATTTGAAGTGGAATATAGAAGTAGATTGAAGAGATTGCTTAAATGATTGCTTGAATGATTAGTTTGATCTCGGGGATGTAGAAGCTTTATATACTTGAGAATCGCCTGTATTCCCGGTTTTATCGGTATACTCCAGTCTATCGAAGACTGAAGCCCAATTTTCCGACTCATCCGCAATTGAGATGTGATGTAGATAGGCCAGCGAATATCTTGAAAGGCCCACCACGTTCCAATCAGGGCATGTCAAATGCGATCTTGCTACAACCTGGCGGAGGCAGCTTTCCAAAACATCACAGGAACTGACGCCATTGACGGTGGTCCACCAATGATGGATCTGTCGGTGCGAGCAAAGCATATATGGAGTGGGTCTATGAGATCAACCTCAAAGATCTAGAGACAATCACAAGGTCTTTAACCCGGAACTGGGTCCAACTATGGATAATTGGCGAGCCAGCTGCGGAGAAAAAGTGCCTAAAGAATAACTTGGAGGTGAGTGAGTACACTTCCGAAGTTTCGGAAATGGATGTGGCATGATTTGCCTCATCGGAACATGCCAGCTTGGAATCCCTAGCAGTTTCGCACCGACTAGCGTGCCATTGGTTCTAGTTTCTCTCTAGCATCATCAATTAATCACCATCATGGCGCGAGCTACACTCGGTCAAAAATCCAGAACGGGCTGCCGGGAATGCAAGACTCGAAAAGTCAAATGCGATGAACAGCGACCAATATGCGGCAGGTGTTCGAAGCTCAACAAAAGTTGTAGCTTTCTAATTACAACTCCCTACCTGTGGGGCATAGGACTGCCATATCAACAAAAAGAAAATGGCAAGGCCAGCTCTGCTCAAAAGCCGAGGCTTGATGCCGGAAAAGGCTCGTCCAAGCATGCGAAGGAGAACCTGGGCTATACCTTGAATGACATGCGTCTATTGCACCACTTCACGAATTGTACAAGTGCAACTTTGTCAGATTGCCCAGAAGCTCATAGAGCATGGGCCACAGCAGTTGTGCAAATTGCATTTGCACATTCCTTTCTGCTCCAGGGCATTTTGGCCCTTGCCGCTCTTCATATGGCAAATTTGAATCCAGGCGACAAAGAACAGCTTTCTATTCTTGCTGCCAGTAAGCAAGATGCTGCACTCAAAGACTTTCGATCCCAGCTGGCGAGCATTACTTCTCAAAACTGCGACGCCATTTTCGCATTCTCGTTCCTCGCCGAATACTACATTCCTGCCTCTGCCGGTACTGTCATCAATCCCGCTGCCACATTTATGGAGGATGATTTCTTTGACGCAATCGTGGATTGGCTTCGTTTGCACCAAGGAACATCTGACATATACAAGCGCAAGGGCCAGTGGATTCAAAATGGCCCTGTTGCTCCTCTTCTCTGGAGTGATGTCTTAGGCGAGAGATGTCAATCAGCAACAGGGAAAATTAATATTGACGAAACCAAGGCCTACCGACTGCATAACCTCGCGAGAATATGGAATTCCGACCCTGCAGCGACAACGAGCCAATTCCATGAGAATCAAATTAATTCTCGGGCACTAGAAATTTTGGTTGAGGCATTTAATCTGGCCTCCGAAGATTCTAAGGTCAACACTGATCGATTAGCTGTCCATGAGTTTCTTAACAATCCGCAGCTGTCAAAGATTAATATTTCTCAAAGGGCCGAAACATCAAATTACCTCAGTCTGTCGTTTGCATGGCTGTTTGAAATCCCGCTCGGGTTTGTGGAGCTTCTTGAGCAACGCCGACCGGCGGCGCTTATCATTTTTGCTCATTTCTCTATACTATTTCAGAATGCTCCCAAGTTCTGGTGGAATGAGCCAATTCCAGCGAAGATCGTAAAGGCCGTCGCTGCTGTGCTTCCTCAAGAATACCACAGATGGATGGAATGGCCACTACGTGAAGTATTGGGTGCTGACTGTTATGAATTGCGAAAAGTATCTTTTGGATAGAGTTGCAACCCATTCAAGGATTATGTACGTGTGACATCCTGGCCTGTTAAAGTCTGCAAGATACTACTGGGTAGTTCGAACTTACACCTGTCCTGCAAGAGCTATCTCGGGGAAATCCCGTTAAGTTCCCCAGGGATGAGGCGCAGTTGAAGATCCATATTTGGTCAACTTTGCCCAAAATATAATTGGACCGGCCTATGAGAGATGTCGGTCTTTGTATTATGCATATATTTAGCTCGGGTTTCGCGTCAGACAGCTTTTTATCGAGGATCACTTATTTTTCCTTTCGTACGAACTATTAAATTCCTAGGTTGGACCGCCTTGCAGATCAAAGACCCGTATCCTCCAGTCACATACGTTCGGCTTCCCGTTCAACTATGAAATTTGACAGGTCAACAACTTTGCTTCTGCTCGAGGCGCGTAGATCATGGAACTATCGCAATCGTGCATACTAGCAATCAAGTCGGATCACATCGAAATAAATTTCCACTCAAGTTGGGACATGGGTTACACCAATCTCGCTTATGCGAACCTGTTGCGGTCAACATGCATACTGTATAATAGTGTTGTAACATATACCGAACCATTCATAACTTTTTGGGGGGGTACTACTCCCCAGGAGGCTCTTGTCAGCTTTTGCGCTGGTGTGCAGAAGGCTTCAAAAAGACAAGGGAGGGATTCGACAGGACCTCTTTCCCACTAGGATCTGCATTCCAAACACAACTCCCATCGATCTTGGACAGCGCTTCGAGCTAATCCCTTGCATCCCGCCTCCATTCTTCCTTGCTTGTCGGCCAACTGTCCAGCCCAGCACTGACATTTCCGAGCCAAGTCCCATGACGATGCAGCCCTGCCTTCGGTTGACAGCGTTATCATACCCCGGGGTCTTGAGTTTGCCGTGTAATCGCTCACCGACTAGGTCTAATAATTGTCCCTGTCGGTGCAGTAGCCCGCCTTTAATACCTCATCCACGGGCCTATGCGGGTGGCCGGTGGACAGGCCATGCCTCCAATCCGATTTTCATAAATGACGTTCCTCACTTGAAGGCTCACACACTGGATCAATTGTTCTTTTCTTGAAATCACACATGGCAGATTTGCATTTGATTGTCTTTGGAATTTGACATCTTGATCCGGGGCTCGTGTCGCTCTATCCGTAAGGATGGGGAACGAGTCGCCCACTCCGCGACAGCTTTTCACAGAAGCTATCATCTTTTGGTCCGTCGGTCTTGTTATTTATGTTGGCAGAATGTGAGTCACAGAATTTACCTGGTCTATAATCGAAGCCAGACTGACATTTCCAAGTGCAGCTCGAATCATTGCCAATGGATCAATTAAACGTCTGTTTGGTATGCTTTCTAGGATCTCTGCTGTATATTCTCCGCACTTACTGATGTACTTCCCTTAGTGGACGACTATGTTATGACAGCAACCTTTGTAAGTGGTCACCAAATCAATCGAATCACTCTTTACTAACCAAGTTGTTCTTCAAGGCGATCTATACCACTCTTCTCGTGCTCATCCAGATATCGGCGCGCTATGCAACAAACCTCATGGACCCGAAGGACTACAGTGAGGTGCTGGCAGACCCGAAGCAGGTCAGCGATAGGGTATATGGAAGTAAAATAGTCATTGGGTTGGAGCAATGCATGTTGATCTCCACTTGGGGAGTGAAGACATGCATGCTAATGCTCTACTGGCGGATCACTCAAAACTTGCGATCGAACCTCTACATCAAGATTCTCGCGGTCTATACAGTAGTGGGATTTGTGGTTATCATGGTCACCTACTATGCGGTATACTGTCGACCATTTTCTCAATACTGGGCTATGCCTGTGGAAAACATGCAGTGCGCAACATATCAACACTACTCAATTACGCAAGCCGTCTTCAACATCTCTTCAGACGCAGTGATGTTCGCCATTCCAATCCCCCTTCTCATCCGTGCACAGCTCAAGCGGCGCAGAAAGGTCGTGTTGATCGGCGTCATGAGTCTGGGTTTGTTCACTATCATTGCCGCCATCTTGAACAAATACTTCAACTTCGCTTCTCCTCTGACAACAACCTATCAAATTTGGTACATCCGTGAAGCAAGTACCGCGATCTATGTGGCCAATCTGATGTGCTGGTGGCCGCTTCTGCGAAAGCTCTTCGGCCTCAAAGCTTTCCAGTACAACAGCAACCGAGGTCAGCGGCCCAGAAACCAAAACAATAAAAACAAAGATAGCAACGGCTATGACACATCCAATGGCTCGCAATCCCGCCCGTCATTCACTTTCCCACGTTCGTGGCGACCGCCTTGTCGCCGAGGTATCAAGAACGCACCACCACTTCCACAAAGCGGTGGTCAGCGCTCCAGTACTGATCCAATTAACCGATCCAATACATCCAATACCGACTTCATTGATGATCCACACCGCATTGAAGCTGTGCCTTTGGAGGACTGGAACAACAATGATCAGATTTCCATGACCCAGGCTTTGGACAAGCCGCCCTCGAAGCGAGATGACTTCACTGATGATTATATGCATTCTGAGAGCGAGTACGAGCCTCAGTCTGATTCAAAACGACATGCACAGTCACCCTGTTGATAATCTCCCCTGTCCTGATCGCTATATTTGTACATTAGGCGCGAAACTACTACCCTACCTGTGGTAAATTTTTCTTGTCTTGGCGATTTGATTGTGATATTTTGTTTTGAATACCCGGTAGCGCTTTGAAGTTTCTCAAACACATATTTTGCGTTAGGGACAGAGTGGGCGGAAGGAATTTGTGAAATTTTCAATCTAGTTTTGGGACGTCGAACTCATATCGGGTCAACAAAATCAACCATATGAGGACTAATATGGCGAATAATCCCCCCATATTGTATACAAGGATATCCACAATGGCATATAAATAGACATCTACCCCATAAAACCCCATAATACCCCGGGTTATGCCCAACGATGGATTTCGCCGATCTTTTTGTACCAAAAAGTGCTCCAAGTTGTTTGGTAATGAATCACTTCTCTTAGGGAATTTGTTAAAATAGCGACCGTAGTCTAGTGGTTATGATTTCGTGGGTTCATCCTGTACTCTATTCATTTGATCGCGAACTAACGTCTGAGTAGGGTTTCCCATTACCTTTATCAGGCAATATGATACAACCGGAGACCCGGGTTCGAACCCCGGCGGTCGCAGCTTCCTTTTTTTGCTTTACCTTCTTACCTATTTTCCTTTATAGCTGAAAAATGGGGTATCATTTTAACAAAATTATGCTATGTCTCCTTTGACGTAGTCACATTATATTATACGCCATATTCCACTCCTGTTGTACATACGTGAGGCACGTCTAGATACTTACTCCCAGGAGGTGAATGGACCGGGCTTACGCCGATGCCCCGCGGACGACGACCAAATATAACCTGTAGCAGTCAGCTTGTGTCGGAATGAATAGAGGAGAGAATAAACCCACGAAATCGTAACCGCTAGACTGAAACTCTTTTCCTGGACTCATGATCTAACAGATAGCATCGCCGTGGGCGATAATTCTAACGTTTTAGTTGTAGCTGTCTTCATCCATGCCTTGCTAGCCAAATAGTTGCCGTACATACCGGTGACAATCTCGAGCCCTACCAACCTTGACCCACAAGGGAGGTACCTGTAGTAGTAGGCCTAAAAGTTTCCCTTTTAAATTTCTAATCTCATATCCAGTGACGTACCAAAGTGGGATTACGGCTCACATGATAGCGAGCATTCATGGATAGATCGTTGACAGATTGAAGTTTTTGCGTTGGAATTAGGTATTGGCCCAAAGTAACATTCAAGTCGTGGTCATAAATAGTTTAAAGGTAATTAGGACATCTGAAATAATCGACTGGTCTAAATGACAAAAAATAAAAGAAGAAGGGGATCAGAGGTGTTCATCATCACCCAACAACCACTGGACATGACGATAAGACACACGGCCTTGATCCTGGGGCTGATGATGGCCCGCCTGGAAGGTTTCGGCAAACATTAGACCACGCTCATAGTGTTGGACTCCCATCATTCCCTGTGGGCCATCCAACTCGCCATAACTCTCCAGGGCATCAAAGACAGCAGTGTATTGCAAGTCGGGCATGTCGATATTCATCGGAGTGGTAGGACGACTCTGGAAGCCTAACTCGCCATTCCAAGTCATGTTCTGGATGGCCATCAATGTTCCATTCGTGATAATCAGATAGTCCCAATCTCCGTTCGAGATCAGAACCCGGTTGGTCGCCTCAATGATCCGGGGCAGGACGTCCTCTGTGGGATTCAGAGACTCATCGTATGCCTGCTCGGGTCCCGGGTCGGCGCCTACAAAGACACTGTCAAGGCTACACAGCTGCCAGTTGACATCCTCGGGGACATGCAGAGCCTTCTTGACATCTGTGCGGTTGAAATAGGGTACGCGGTCTGGTTGATAGGCAAGGTCTGTGGGGTTGCCTAGGACATCCCATAAGAGCGGGCATGTTTGGCTGATCTTGGCAGGGTTCCAGCAGGGGTTCGAGTTGTATACTTCGCCGTAGATCATGTTGTAAATATCACACTCAGAGTAATTCATATGCTTCGTGGGCTGCACTCCAGAGGCAGGGAAAGTAAAATAATCGTCGAAATACTCTTTGTAGCCACATTGCTCGTATTCATCTCTCAGATCTCCCATAAAAGATTGGTTGAAGTTGAACAGCTCAGCATGTTGTTCAACAAAGGGGTAAGAGGGGAGTTCGGCCTGGATCCAATCCCACTGGCCGATGCAGGGGTCATACATGAGCGCTCCTAGCATGGGTCAGAATGTGTGCCCAGTGAAATGTAGTTTTGACAGAGTGGTAGACTCTTACCGCTGAGGTCGAAGTGCTCGGTATCATTCTTGTCAAGCATCGCGGCGGATATGTAGGGCACGTAACGCCCCGCATAACTTTCGCCACTTAGGAAAATTCGAAAGTTTTTGATATCATATGCTTCTTGGAATTCTTGGAAAAAGTCAATGAAAGCGGCAGCGAGCTCATCTTCATTGGTAGCAGTTGGTGTACCGTTTGAGAACCCGACGCCAACCGGTTGGTCGACCCTAATCACCCCAGTCAGTTTATCAAGCATCTCTACAAACCTCAGCATCTATGAACTACTTCACCAATGACTTACCATAGCATGTTGGTCAAATTGACCCATGAATACTCATTAATGACTGGCTCGTAGGTGCCGGGTTGCCAAGTAAAGCGTCCATTCTCCTGCAGAAACCCCTGCATTGAACTACATCCTGGTCCACCACTCAGCCAAATTGTGAGGTCGTCGCTCGGCTCTCCGAGCTTCGGTTGGAATATATAGAACAAGGAATCGTTTCCACGGATCGGCATATACCCCGAGTACATCTCTCCTAATTCGAAGTGAACCCCTGGTAGACTTTCCACCACATGGACTGAAGAAAATGTAGACCTCGGTCAGCCGAGATTGAATAACTGGATGGAGTGAAGCATACCTTTGGTCTTGTTGGTCAGAAATCGATAGTTGGACGTATCGATCGCTTCAGATTCACGATTATGGCGATTATTATCGATGATAGGCCTTCCTGTCGGCCATCTTGCCTGGCTTCTTGCTTCGCTGCCACTGGTGAGAAATGCGGTCGTCAGCACTGCTGTTGTGATAGATTGACCCAACATTTTGGCACTCCCTTTGCAGGGATCACGTACTGTCTGTTAGCAAGGCAAAATTCTCCATCAGTGGACTTGGGTAGAGCCAAGGACAGGCTACGCGTATACCATAATTTGTAAGCTTCCCTTGTTGGGGTATGACAATCAGGACCCTGTCTATTTCTCCAAGACTCTCCCGATAGGAGTCCACCTTTTAGGGGATCGACCGTGCTACTGGATTATTCGGTACGGGCTAAGAGCCGAGAGTGGGTTTACAATCATAAAATTCGGTGGTTCTTCGGCAATTTATTACGGGTTGTGTCTATATACCAGTCAAAATGAGGATTAGTGTACCTTGCATGCGACAACGCCAGTCTCTGCAGCTTGCGCGGACGAGTGATGTAACTAGGCGAAGTTGGGTTTGCTATCAGATCGGATAGGTCCGGCATCTTTTGTGAAATCTTGGAAGGGGGGAGGAGGGATTGGTTAAGTGTAGGTGTCTCACGCTGACCCATGTACATCAAGCAAACTACGGTCAATCCCGAATGTCGTTTCCCCAGGTGACATATGACCAGGGAAGCTATACAGAAGCATAGATTCAGAAGTATTCGGAAACCAAATAGCTGACTAGCGGCAATTATTCTCTCATCTGTGGACCCACTGGCAATACTCGATGGATCTTTGGATCTACCATACGCAACTAGGGCTTTTTATGAAGAATTACCCCTGATTAGGTAAGGCATCAAAGCGGCCAGACCCGAAAGGGGGTCCAGCGTGGTGACGCCATTCCTTGGCGGGAAGGAGTTGGCGGGAAGGAGATGGCGGCCACTTTACCGTCGTGTGAAATGATGTATTATCTGGATCGGATTGAAGGAAGCATTTCACTTCAGCTAGCTTACACTCCGTCGTATTCCAGTCAGGAGCGAACCAGAAAACTGGTAATAACCACGTACAAATCGAAGTAGCCATAGAAGAATGGGAGAAGCTACATGAGAACCACTGCCACAGATACTCAAGATCTAGACTTTCACATCACAAGGTTCTCCAAAAGTGCTTCCACGACTGGCAACTAGGAAGTCTACTTTGAAACTGTGATGTTCCAGGAAACGAGGCAATGGGAAACATATTGCTGATAATGTAAACGACAACGATTCATAGGAAAACGAGACGTTCATACAAAATATCATGAGTCTTGTCCTGCTATAAGCGACATGTATGGGTTGGTTATTTGTTGGCATTCAGAGATTACCTTCCATAATACGAATAAGCGACTTGTTGTCACCTTTATCCTCCAGCGCGCCGCTTAAAATGTCTTTGAAAAACAAGCATATCGATCCATCGAGATCATGAATTAGCTTCAGCTCGCCTGAACGAGTATCAATTGACCTTTAAGAGCTTTCGCCTCTTCTGTGAGACTGTTCAGATAGAGGATATATTCCCTTCTAGACTTTGGGGCTTGTTTGAACTATACACAAGCGCAAAGTATCTAAAGTCATATGAGTCGTCGATAGAGCAGGTGAAGTTTTTCCGGAGATGTCGCAGACCGCATGATCAAGTGGAAAAGAGGGAAGAATGATATATTTTCAAATGGAAATGGTAAATGGCCGGCTGTGAGAGAGATCTCCAGGGAGGGAAAGAAACATCTTTCGAAAACTTTCCAGACTCTCCTCTCAACTATGTCAGGGATTACCTTGCTAATGCTTCTTTAAGCCCTCGTCCATACGTTGCGAGGCCATGTGTCACAAGCAATGGAATATGAGTTGTATCAGCATGATCCTAGAAAATATCAATTCAGTGTTGAAATTCAAAAGAGATGTCTTAAAGTCATAAACTATCGTGTGTAACGAGAGACAGAGTAATGGCAAAAGCTAAGATGTGAGATCTCCGTAATTACAGGCGAGACTTGATGCTCTGAGCACCCTCCCAGGCTTCTCCAGCCTCAAGAGTCTGCCAGCCAGTCACAGAGCCGGCCTCAACACAGATCATGTTCTTGTAAGCCTCATCTGGTCCAAAGTCGGCCATACCCTTAGCCTTTTCAATCCAAGGGTTCCAGACCACGACGTCGTTCAAGGCCTCCCGAGTCACCGAGAACAGAGGCTGGTCATCCTTAGCTGAGGCGACGACAATGGGAACGGCCGGGTCGAGATTCTGGTAAACACGATCGGTTTCTTGAGTGATGGCGAGAGCGGGAGAGGATTCAGTGTGAGAGGTGGCGTTGAGAGTCTTGTCGACGTAGGTCTTGGATTCGAGGTTCTTAATGCGGATATCGGAGATGTCCTGTTCGTTTCAATTAAGTTTAAATCAGCAAGGTATTCGAAAGATAAAACAATCAACAGGGGCTCCTACCGCAATGTTGAGGTATGTGTGCATCAGAGTCTGGAAATCAAAGTTCTGTTTGCCTTCGTTGCGGACCTGCAATGCTGTCTCCAAAGTATCCTTTGTAAGGGTAACACTGTAAACCAGACCGAACTCATAGGGCCATGCCTCGCGGAACTCATCGGTCAACATGGAGTGCGACAGTCCGAAATCGAGCTTCACAGTGAGATCGGTCTGGTCAGCATCTCTTCCAGGTGCTTCCGAGGACGACTTGCCCAAAAACTCCCAGTTAGAGTTGCGTGCGAAGCCATGTTGAGGTAGGGAAGAGGTGGCGTGATTTTGGGGAGGAGGACCGAAAACCTGTAGAATGAAGCAGGGCGATTAGCAGCTAGGTCGACAACAAAGTAATTGCAAATCACATACCGGGAACACGAGCGGAATACCACCACGGATTGGCTTGGAACCATCCAAATGGGCCTTCTCACTCACGAACAGCTGCTCCTTGCCGTTTGTCTTCCATGAGGTCACGGTAGCGCCGTACAGATGCACAGTAACCGACTGACCGGAGGGCAATGAGGCTTCAATGATGTTGTCCTTGATGGACAGAGTGGGCTGCGGGAGAGATGCGCCCACTCCAATGGCGGAGGGTTTGTTAGAACGATCCATTGTTGACGAGAGTGAAGATGTGAAAGAGGAAGAGCTGAGGCTTATGGCGGGGAATCTTATCGCGCCCCCGCCTGTTTTGATTCGCGTTCCACTTTTAACGTGCCTGGATGTCGATCTGTCTATGCTTTTTATATACAATTATGTATAGGTATATACATTCAACTCTATTGTTTACCTCTTCTTAGCTCAGCTCGAAGCTTAGCCTTAGCTCCATAAAGGAAAACTTGGCTAATTACATCGTGTTGTGTATATCACGTGATTGGGCATCGTCAAAGGCCTTACCATCAGCGAGTCATTTGACATTTCAAATGTGTGGTTGGAGATATATTGTCTACAATGGAACTTGCTTGCCTTCTTTAAATAAGTCTTCGCTGTGGTCATATAGTTAGAATGGGAATGTTCGCAAATTTTGTTCTATATATATATCAACAAATGCAAAAACAACCTCGACAGAGTGGAAATGGTATTTCATAAGAGAACATTTGCGTAGATCTCCGAGATCTGTGGAATCAATTCCCCCAGACAGGAACGCTGGATTTGATGAGCTTCCTTCCTAGCCAGAGAATGTTTGCATCTGATCTATAAGTGCACTCGTTCACTAGCTTGTTTACAAAAGAAGTTAGCTAGCTATCTGAGGGTCATTCACAAAGCAAAGTCAGATGCCCGGATGCCCACCCACTCTAAGCCATGTTGAGCGGCAAAGCCTCGTATGTGTCCCGGTCCACCGGTGTATACGTTCTCCAACCACCTGCTAATACTCCTGCTTGATCACAACAGCCAACTATTTCAGGCTCATTTGCTGTTAGTCCAATGGATGTTGCTTAGAATGATGCCCAACGCCCATGAGTCACAAGCTAGAGCATTACACTAGCCACGGTAGCTCTGGGAATGACGGAAGAGCAGGTTACTAGAGCCTTGCCTTCTGGGATTTATCATGTTTATGGAGCAGGTAATTTACACTATAAGCTTTTCGTAAGATCTGTACAAGCATCATCTAGCCATGCTGCAACGAAGTTGAAGTCGGCCCCACAATACTGACAGCCTCAATCCGCTTCATTTCCTGCTCCGTCAGCCGCCAGCCAAGCGCTTGCATATCCAGTTCCGCCTGCTCAGCATCACAAACACCAAACCAAAGGAACAACACCCTTGTTGATAGAGTAATTCAACGCAACAGCTGGAACAGGTGCGCGTCAAGCCTGCTTCTACACAGTCTACAAGTCCCCTGAAGACTTTGGAGATCATAGTAGAATGGATCGGGCCGTGAACGAGGTAGATATAGACATAGTCCAGTTGGAGTCGAATCAGAGACTCACGGAATTTGGAATTGGGCCCGCCGGATCGCAAGAGGGTATTGGTCATATCTGGAATTGAAAGCCACCTTGCCTTGCACGACGAATGAGTCTCGCGGCATGCCCTGGAACAGAGTTCCACAGATCAGCTCGCTCTCGCTGTCGCCGTAGGACTGAGCTGTGTCTTCAAGTGTCAGACCTACGGATTTGGGCTTCTGCCATGCTGCGTGGTTTTGGGGAACATCTTTGGTTGGATTATTATTGAATGTGGCATTGTTGCCCCATGAATAAGTTCATATACTCTTGTAGGGAGTCTACCAAACCTTATCATGGACGTCTGGGAGAGCGATTCGGCTTTGCGAGGTTGGCACCAGGCCGGCTAGGAGCATGTCGACTGGGTCGCTTAGGTGGGTATCCACTGGCTTTGGACGGGGAGGATGGGAAACTTTGTGTGGCGGATATGCCGGCTGCTAGGCTGGCTTGCATCATGTTTTGGGTTCCTGGTGTAGTCATTGTGGTGGTTGTAGTGGTGGTGTTCTGCCTCGTATCTAGCTAGCCTCCGCCGAGCGAGCAGTTTCTGTACAAAGTGAGGTGATTTAGTTAATGATAACGAATGTTGTGAGATTGATTGTCCAGATTGATAGTGCCAGGTGAACTACATAGAGAACAGGAAAGGTTGCACCTGCGTTATCACGACTATAAAACAAGGAGCCATATTGTCGGATTTTCTTCCTTACGGCGGTTACATTATTTCTGCCCCTTAAGACCTGTGGCGATGGCATGGCGAGGGAGCGGGGGATCATTGGGTCGCGGCAGGCGACTGCTACAAGAGTATTCTCAAAAACAGGGAAGTTGATCATGTTCATATCGATTGTTTTAGGGGTAAATTATAATCGCAGAAGCCCCCAAGAACGCGAAAAACAGAAATAAGTACACCAGGATGGAAAGATGAGATACGAACCGAAGGCATCTCATGAAGATAACATACATGTGGGGAAGTGCTTCCACTAGAGAAGACATGTAAAATGCAGGGGAATAATGATGAGACGGCGTGCAATGTAGAAAAAAAATAATATCCAATCAAAGTTTTCGCTGTAAACGCCATCGCTATGCTGAATTGTTGTGTCGATCTAATGCACGAAGTGATTCGACACGAATATGGAAGAGGAGATCATCGACCTCACGGATGGAGTTAGGGTCCAGAGTTGCCAGCTTCATATCTCCTAGGAGTGTCCTGAGAGACTGGGTAATGCTTGCTTCGTTGATGTGTGTTTGAGGCCCAGTGGATGTGTCCTCTATTTGTGTACCCGGAGTGGCAGGAGTGGCAGGATTGGCGGGCTGCTCGGGTTGCTGGCTAGGGATCGCGTCATCCATCTCCATTTTCGTATCAACGGCTGGAGCAGGCTCAATCGTTTCGTGAATATCGCTCATTTGACTGTCCGTTGCCGCCTCAGTAGAAACATAAGGAATGCTCTGTTCCACAGCTTGATCCTCGGCTACAAAGCTCTCAGGAACCACATCTTGATCGCCATCATGAGGTTGGACTTGTTCCAGGACTTCGGAAGAAACTGCAGAAGGCTGAGACATATTTTGTTGAGACCGCGTCTTGCGTTTGCGTTTCTCGGGGATGGTATCACTGGGAACACCGAGTTCCACAGCAGTGGAGGGACGCTGCTCGTCGAGACGCAGTGATTTGCGGGACCGCTTTGAAGGTCTTGGAGTCTCTGTATCTTCTGTTGGCTCCTCCGCAACTGACCCTTGAGTAGCATGAACTACCTCTGCAGGAGGATTTTCTTCCACTTTGCGTTGAGAATGACGGGCAGATCGTCGAGTGGCAGTGGGAGATGAGACTGGTCCAATTTGCTCAGTGACAGTAGATCCTTGAGAGCGAGAATCATCCAGATCTTCTGCCATGCCATCACCATCCTTTCCAGTGGTCAGTCGCGTTGAGCGACGTCTGTCATTTCGCTTCGATGCGCTAGGCTCTTCTTCAACACGCTTTCTCTTCCTTGCGGTTGACTGCTGGGAAGAAGTGGTTGAGGGCTTGCTTTGAGGCTGCCCATCCATGTCAACGGCAAATTCCAAATCCTGTTCAAGCTGAGATTGAATTTGCGTGTCGACTTCCTCGCCTGAATCCATGAAGGCATCGGGAAGGTTGATGTCCGGAGGCGGATCCGTAAGTTGCTGGTTCTCCTCTGCCGCAGGCTGGGGACTTGCTTGCTTCTTTTTCTTAGAGCTAGAGTTTGATTTACTCTTGCGGACAGGTTTTTGAACTGGAGTTTCCTGAGAATCAGGTACATCAACATGGGAAAGGTCTTGGGAAGTGGCTGCTTCTTGATTCAATCCTGATCGAAGACGTCTGCTCGCGGTTGTTGAAATGGCTCGGGGGGTGGCATCTGCATTTTCCTTGTCTTGATCATGATAATTAATCGTGGGAGCATCATTCCTCTCCTCTGTAGCAAGTCGCGAAGTAGCGGGACTATTAACAGTGGATTGTTTACCCGAAGGGCCTGCCAGAACCTTCGCAGCCTTTGCGGCCTTTCGCCGAGCGCTTCTGGACTGCTTCCGACCCTTTGATGGGCTTGGACTTCGAGAGTGAATCTCAGGAGGAGAGGATGGAAGATCTGTTCCCTGAATGGCATTGGAATCCTGGAGTGCAGACACAGAAGTGTCAGTGTTTACGGCAGGTGTTGGATCCCGTGTCGCGGGTGTAGGGGATGATCCAATGAATCCCTCTTCATTCTCGGTTGGCGCAAGTGTGGGGGTTATTGGAATCTCGGATGCTGATTCAGATGACTGTAGCCGGCGCAAATGAGGAGGGGTGTTGAAACCTAATTTCCGAGGGGAGTTGGCAGGCGAAGACGACTGGATGGACTCGATCATCGAAAACACTTCACGACGGTTGCGACGCTTTTTGGCCACAGCAGCACCTCCAAAGATTTCCGTGTCCGGAACTCCAAGTTGGAAGTTGCTAGGCAATTGGGGCTCATTCAGCCCATTCGAAGCAATTGATTCCTGCGTCCGCACCACAGGAGATGAATTGAGAGTGTCTTGACTGGCCCCAAGTTTGCCTCTACGCCGATTGTTCCTCTCTGGAGCAGGCGGAGGCAGCATTTCAGTGTCCTGTAACAACGTTAATATACAATCCCAGTGGACAATGAGAAACTTCATCGTACCTGATCACCATCTAATGGCGGAGCGATGCTCTGAAGCTTGAATTCAGCAGTCTGCACAGCTTCCAGAATACTGTCCGGACAGACAGTAGGCTGGGAGTCGAAGGTTGAGTGCCAAAGTTCGACAAACCTCTTGCTAATCGAAGTGTGCGATGATTTCAAACCAGCGCAGAAGGTCGCCTGGAACTTGCTCACAATTGATAAATTATCCGTAATTGATGCTTGTATGATGCTGACTCCTGCAGAAGAAAGGGCACGACACTAGATTGAAGTCAATACAGGATCCTTTAATTCGGCGGGGATACCTACCGCAGTAATAATCCTACTATCAACACCGGAATCAACGTCGATCTTGTAAGACTTATCCTCAAGCCAGACGCTCAGTGGTGACTCCAGACTTTGGAGAAGCCGAGAGCGGAATTGCGGAATGCCAGAGCCCAAGAAAGATGTCAATGCTTCAATGAAATCTGCGAGACCGGGTACACCAGGGGCCTTGAACTCGTCATATGCACCACACAAAGTACGAGAAATCGACTCGATAAGTTTATGGGGGAAAAGAGAATGTCCGACTGACTGAATTCCATCACGTGCGATACCTAGTCCAGTGCCTTGCAGGAATGGAATAGACAAAGAGTGACAAAACAGCGAGGTTGACGGAAGATAGGTATCACCAGCTGGGAGAACCATGAGGTGTTCAGCCATGGGTTCTACAATCATGGTGGCGATTGCCTGATTTCCTTTTTCCGTTCGAACTACATGGACGAATGAATCAAGCAAATGAGACCAGTCAGAGAAAACAGCAGGGTAAGCCAGACCGAATGTCAAGATTTTGATGGCATTCTCGTAGTCACGAGACACGGACCCATCGCGCTCACGAGCAGATTCGATAGGGAACGATCGCAGGGCATTCGAAGCTGCTTGCGCGGCCGACTTCCAAACAACTTCCGACAATGGGTGCGCGCGAGGCAAAGCGGTGGTCTCTGCGGTGCTCAATTCTACACACTGTCGCAAAAGCTCAAGTCGAGATCCACGGGAGATTCTGCTGTTACAGGCAGCTTCGATGGTACCCATGACTAAGCGTGCATAGGATTCCGTTGGTAATACTGTTCCTGTACTGCTGGTGATCGTCCGGAGAAGATGAAGAATAGGACTGTTAAGATTGGTGCCTGGTTGGGTGTGACGATGCGTTGGAGTGGTGGCAGTTTGGAATGTTTCGTCAGTACTTCTTAAGAGAAGCTTCTCAGTGAATGGGATGCCGCCGAGAGCAACAATCATGGTCGTGGACAGGAAGCGGAATCTCTCAAAGAAAAGGTTCGTGTCATTTCCGACAGCGTTCAGAGAAGGTGGCCCGGTAGTCCAAAGACGATGCAACAAACCAAGAACACCTGCCACAGCTTGCATCGACTCACCGGAGGGTGTGATTTCCTTGCTGGAGGCAAGCGACAAGGCGTTGGACAGATTAATCCAGGCCATAGCGATATGTGACGATTCAATTGCGGTGTCAACCCAGACTGAAGACTTGAACAGGTTCTCGAAAACCTTCAAAATTGACGAAATTCTTGATCGAACCCAACGACTATCGGCCGCAGGAAGTTCTTCGGCCTCAATTTTATTAGTGTCGTTGATTCGACCCTCAGTCCAAAGCTTAGCCTGCGTGCTCCACAGAATATTTGTCAATATGCGAGATAGACAATCACTGAGCGCGGGTACAGTCGAAAAGATGCCCGAAGAAGGCACAAGAACGTATTCCTCCCATATAATGTCAAGATGCTCGCTAGAAGCAGAAGGGCGGAATGTGTAGTATAGCAGGCTGTGATAACTTGTCAGAGCAAGCTGAGTTGGCGGCGATCCGGCCTTGTCACTCTTTTTGCGGTCGAATTGCGAGAGCACTGGTTTACCCAGCATTTTAAGCAACGAGCGACTTGTCGAGTCGCTGGGACCGACGGCATAGATGAATCGATTCCACCCCACGATGGCCTGTGCTTTGATAGCAGCTTCGCTGCAGTTGAAGCATTTTTGTAGTACCAAAACCCATTCCTTAAAGTGATCCCATTGTTCCAGATTCCATCTTTTGCTCCTGAGCAGTAAAATGATGATGCTCCAAATTTGAGGGACATGAACACCGCTTTCCACAGACGACATCATTCGAGCCATTCGCTCACGGATCTCTGTGACTAGTTTTCGGTCATGCTCGAGTGTCCGGTCGAAAAGCTCCCGGATATTTTTCGACAAAATAGGATTCGGACCGGCTTCTGCGGTAATCTGAAATCCAAGGGCAATCGCTTTTGATCTTGTATCTTTCAAATGATGAAGCAGACCAGATATAAGGTGTTCTATCCATAAGTGTGTTTGAGTGATGAAACCTGACTTGGCTTGACTGAGCAGGCGTTGATATATGTTCAATCGATGAGAGATAATCGCGTTGCCAGGAATATTTTTTGTGATGTCTTGGAGGACGGTAAGAAGACGCGTGATGCGAGCGCCTGTCATGATCTTCGCACCGAAGTTCTGGGTCGACAAAATGGACATATAGTGCGACAAAACAGATTTGGGAACCTTGGCCTCGTTAAGACAATTGATGGAGTGATCCACCAGAAATATCTTGAAGTCATCCGAAAGTTGAGTTGAGATATCGGCGTGCCAGACAAATGCAGCCGACAGCTTCAAAGCTTGGTTGGCAAGATTTGTGTCCATAGGTTCGCCATTTGCGAGGTCTCGATTCACATCGCGCTGGATGAATTCTGTCACAATATTCAACTTCTCGGCAATGTCCTGCCCGGCGGGAAGTCCATCATATGTCCGAAGTGCTCCAAAGAATTGCATGTAGGCATCGAGTCGCGAGCTGAGTGACTCGCCTGCGAGTTGTTGAATCACTGATTCAAGTAACATAGCGAGCGATTCGGTGGTAAAAGTATCGACATTAGGTGACCAAACTGGAATTGGTGACTGCGTGGCCTTAAGGATCGATTTCGCGGGCTTCGAATCGGTCGACGGAGGGTTGGATTTGAGGTCTGGAACCGATTTCGAGGCACTAGTAAACGTCGGCGGCTTGATGAAGTTGGGCCATGGTGAGAAATTCACACGTTTAGAGCTCCGATTCGATGAAATGGCTCCAGCGGACCCAAAGGCCACGAAGGGCGACTCCTTGGGGGTTTGAACAGCGGACTCTGTTCGGTTTTCATCAACAGATCGTGAAGCTGTCCTTGGAGGTGTGGGCGGACGAGCCGAGAGGATCTCCACCATATTGGAGATCAAAAGAAAATGAAAAGAGAAAGAAAGACAAGGACCATTGCTGGGCAATCAAAGCCTGTCCATGATACTGTTGAAGGGCTGAGAAAACTAAGTTCCGGCGCGGTCGCGATGCGCGTAAAGTGAGGCGCCTGAGGCGACGAGGCACCCATGTCACGCGCTATACTTCACAGTTCGATGTTGTATAGCTTCAAATCTTCGAATATCGATATGGTAGCACGGCTTTTTTTTTTGATTGGATAGAAATTGCAGTGCAGAAAGTATACAGTGCCTTATATGCCCGCGCCACATGTATTCTCCGTGGCGCATGTCGCGTACATGTTCGCGTGGTCTTTGCAGCCTGTAGATCCTATTGCATACATTTTATATGAATCTTGCCCTGATATCAAGATCGCATTGCCATTGTCACTACGCAGAGTATACAACTTGAAAATCCGAAGAAGCCCAAAAAGAAGCTCAAGTGGGGTCTTTGCGGTTCCAACAATTTTATGACGATTCGCGCCCAACTTTCCCCGCGTCAAAGTTTCCCCTGTCTCCTTCTCTCATTCTAGTGGGATCAGTTTGATTGTAGTCGTGTTGTCCCTGGCTTTATGCGATAGTAGATCGCCCGAAGTTTGGAGCGAAACACGTCCCGCATCCCCTACCGACTACGTCCCTCACTTCTCTCAGTGCGGCTTGCAGACACACGCGCATATTATCATGCATTCCCTCCAGTTGCATGGAGCAGGTATGCCGGATGCATTCCTATTTTGCACCTCCAGGATTGCAAATTGGCTGACTGGAGACTTCGGCGAGTGCAGCGAAGCTGCAGCAGGTGACGCAGTTGATGAAATCTCTCGAAGATGACCTAGCAGGGAAGAACTTGACGACAGAGCGTAAGTTCTGACGCATTACATCCGTCAGCACCGGGTCCATTCAATTCTGACCATAATATCTCCAATAGAAAGAGTCCAAACCCTCCTCCAGTTGCGGCAGCACGGCACGAACCCCACCAGCGCAGAGCCGATCTACTCGCAGAATGTATGGCCTTACGAGTATATCAATCCTCAGTGGAAATGAGACTAACCGTCTCATCAGGGAATTAACACACTGGTGCGGTATGGAGTTGATGGGGAATCCCCTGAGGTGCGACGTGCGGCCTTACGCTGCGTTGCCAATGCCTTGTTGCTTGATGCGAAAATGCGACAGGTGTTCGTGGACACAGGTTACGGCGGAAAGCTCGCCGACAAGCTAAAGACCGATAATTCGGAAGACGAGATGGTGACAAGTCGGATTCTATTCTATGCAACCTACGATACGACTATGGACTTTGAAGACCTGATCAAAAACCATGCACTGGGAGAGAACGTCACCTATCAGCTCGGGCGTCATGCGAAGCAATTCCCTAAGTCAGGGAGGACATCATTGTCCCAAATGGACGAGCTGGCTCTAACAGATACACTTAAGTTGGTGTACAATGTGTCAAAACTCTTCGATCTTGCTGCCGTCTTCTCCCCTTCTATCCCTCACATTTTGAAGATCATCAGCCGCATTAATATTCCATCTAAGCCCTTAGACGGATTACTTGGCAGCCTCCTCAATGCATTGTCAATACTTGATCTAGAAGAAAAGAACGGAAAAGTGTTTGAGAGCAGCCCTCTTTTCCCGACATTTAACCAAAACTGCAATGTGGACAAGTTGATCAACATATTGGACCGGGCCGTATCATTATACAGCCCCGATGAGCTGGAAAGCAAGGCAGTCCCGTTACTTTATTCACTTATCACCATTCACGAGGTTGCACCCGATGGGCCCCGCAAATACATGCAATGGCTTCTTCTGCCGGAGAGCAGTGACCGAAGCCTCCCAATTGGACAGTCCGATACCCTTTCTTCCAAACTGTTGAAACTCTCAACTAGCCACCATACCAACCTCAAGGTTGCGATTTCGGAACTAATGTTTGTACTCTCCGACAAAGATGCCGAGAGTCTTACGAAGAATATTGGATATGGGTTTGCTGCAGGATTCCTGGCTGCGCGCGGTATCGAGATGCCACAGAATGCTAGCGAAGCTTATGCAACCAATCACGGCCCAGATGCACAGCTCAACCCTATCACTGGACAAAGATGGGCTGCTGAGCCTAAAGATGAGGGCCCACCAATGACTATGGAGGAGAAGGAACGAGAGGCAGAACGACTGTTCGTCCTGTTTGAGAGGTACGTCTATCACAAGATCACTAGTGACACGAAACACCGCTGACCAATGCAGGGCGAGGGCGAATGGTCTTCTCAATGTTGAGAACCCGGTGACTCAGGCTCTTCATGAAGGAAGGTTCGAGGAATTGCCAGATGATGCTGATAGTGATTGAACAATAGACACCCACCTAACGGGGATAAGGTCGCATATCAGCCGAATATGATCTAAACCCAAGTCATACTACCTCATGTCATAGCGTGCATGTACTGAAATCCTTGCAGCCCATCAAGGACTCAACCAAAATATCTCTGTAATCATCAGAGTAAAAGTATACTGGAACCTACTAGATGCAGCCGGGCGGGATGACGTTATGCAAGGCGGAGAGTGTAGCCTCCGCCCGTCAAAAAAATTATGTGCGCGGGGCAGCGATCCCACATTGATTTCCATCCTTGACATCACTCTTTGTTTGTACTCTTTCTTTTCGAGTTTACAGTCCTATACCAAACCGTCAAAATGTCGAAGCCATTCAACCCCGAGGAGGCGGAGAACCTGGAGGATGTACGACCCCGCGCTCATATACATTTGCTGATCGCTGATCGCTAACAATCGCATCAGATGGAGAAGCAATTCGCCGTGAAAGGTCCGTCGCAAATCGATTCAAATCTCGTGTCTTCGCTCGTTTTAATGGAGTTTCATATTGAAGTGTGAATGTTAACGTTTCGTTCCATACAGCCGTCGAGCATCTCATGACATACTGGGCTATCCTCGAGAAGGTCAAGGGTTCGCAGCTCCGTTTGACTAAGCAGGACAACGAGATTTACGAGTCCTTCATGGAGGCTTTCCCCGACTTCGACCCCGCCGGTGAGCTTAACGAGGACCAGATGAAGAGCAAGGCCGGCAAGGAGAAGTGGCGCACTTGGATGATGCAGTGGGAGAAGATCGACGACTTCAACTTTGGCACAATCATCCGCACCCGCGCCAACGCTGAGTACGACCAGGATACCACCATCTTCGGTGTGCGCATGCAATTCTATGCTGTTGAGATCGCCAGGTGAGTTGCTCAGTGATTCATGGAAGTCACGCGCGCCCAGGAACTAACATCTATAGAAACCGTGCCGGTCTCAACGACTGGATCTACGAGAAGGCCCAGAAGGCTAGCTCTTGAATACAGATGCCGTATTGTTCCCGCCGTCCTTTGAAGTCGAGAATGGTTCCACATCCGGGCTGGCTGGCCCACGGCATTTGCTGGTTCTCTGGAGATACGGATGATGAGTGACCTTGAGGCTGTGATATACTGGCAGTGTATTGCCTTATCGCGGCTTCCGGTCGATTACGATAAAATTGCGGACATACCCCATAGACATATGGTTCGGATCGAACCATCGCAATTCCTATGTGGATTGGTACTGTTCCTCGAGATTTAGACTGCCCGTCATCATTTGAGTCCACAATATACCCAGAATAAAATATTCTTTTCGTTAATTCAAACCTCTTTCTCTTTCCAGTCTGGGGCTAAGTGATGCTCACTAGCTAGCATTCTGAGTGGCTCCGTCCCGCATCGAACATCTGGATACATACACCCATGCATATTTTTGACACTCATATAGACATTAGGGCAGTAAGAGCTGATGACGACTGATAGAATTTTCGAGATTCGGGATAAATCCAGCCGCGTGAGTTACGGGATCGGAACAATATCAGCGTGATGTCTTTGTTCATGGCAAGCATGAATGTTACCCCATTTGGAAGAATCTTAATATTGTTTTGACGGGGTGAGGGTTTATCACCGTGTGACAATGATTCGACAACCGTCTTTGCGTTCTTGCAATCATCTCGATTTCCGGTTCTTTCTTTCTCGTCGTCTCCCTCCCATGCGCTTATAACATGGAACGCAGAGCCATTTCGACTCATAGGTCACCGTGACGATGACATTGAAACTTCTCAGGAAGATGGGCGCCATGCGCAATTCTCCCACGTCCGACGACTTCAACGAACAAAAACCAAATGTCGACCCCGGCCCAAGCTGGAAATCGCTTTTCGGATTCACTACCCGCAGACATCTGCCAACACTCGTTCTCGGATTGATCTCTGCTCTTGCGGCTAGCTGTGTGACCCCAGCTCTGGCAATCTCTCTTGGTAATGTCTTCGACTCCTTCACTTCTTTTGCTGCTGGTCAGATCGATACTGGAGGTCTCGGTGACAAGATCATCCGTAATTGCTTCGGAATGATAGGACTTGGTGCAGCTGGTTGGTTTCTTAATGGGGCATACTTTGCCCTCTTTGTTGCATTTGGAGAAATGCAAGCTTCCGAAATCCGCAGTCAAGGCTTCCTGAAATTGTTGAAAAGAGATGTGGAGTGGTTCGAAGCCAGAAGTGAAGGCTCGGGCGCATTCTTGTCTGGAATACAAGCGTGAGTATGTTCCGGTCATTGTTGGTAATACTTCTGATCAAGATCACAGGCATATGCATGAAGTTCAGATGGCTACCTCACAGCCACTGGGACTTGTGCTGCAATACACCGGTCGCTCAGTAGCATCCCTTGTCTTAGGCTTTTACACCTCTTGGAGCTTGTCGCTGGTGACTCTTGCGGGTATTCCCATCTTCACCTCCATCATCGGGTTGCTCTCGTCGAAGATGAAGACCAGCATCGTGGCACAACAAGTCGAGCTCACCAATGCCTCCAAAATTGCCAACAATGCAATCACCAATATTGATACTGTCAAATATCTTAATGGACAGACTTTCGAGCATCAGAACTTCTTTGAACGCATTGAGCGATCTGCAACACACTATCTTCGGCAGGCTCGATTGAACTCTCTCCAGATTGCATTCATCCGGTGGATGATCTTCGGCATGTTTGTTCAAGGTTTCTGGTATGGAAGTTCGCTGGCTCGTACCGGGAAACTTTCATCCGGAGAGGTGTTAAGGACTTTCTGGGCTTGCCTGACTGCAGCCCAGTCCCTCGAGCAGGTGCTTCCGCACATGATTGTGATGGAAAAAGGAAAGGTCGCAAGTGCCGCTCTGAAGTTGATAGCACGCAGACCAGCGAATGGCAGATCACCAAGTGGAACGCGATACCCGGAGCATTGTGAAGGCGATATCCAAGTCAAAGATGTGAGTTTGATACCCTTTGCTGATCGGCACCAACTAATGACGACTCCAGGTATCTTTTGCGTATCCAAGCCAGCCTGGTCAAATAGTTCTCAAGCCATCGACCTTTCTCTTCCCTGCAGGGGAAATTACCTTTGTCATTGGGAAGAGTGGATCTGGAAAAAGTACACTCAGTCAGCTGTTGATGCGATTCTATCTCCCAACGTCTGGTGAGATTATCATTGACCGAAATCCAATGGAGGAGCTGGATATCAACTGGATCCGAAACAACATCACTTTGCTGGAGCAAAAGAGTGTTCTTTTCAATGAATCTATCCTCACAAACATTGCCTTTGGTCGCCAGAACAATGGGAGTGTCACGATGGACGATGTTCAAGAATGCATTCAGCTCGCCATGCTTGAGAACACCATCGACGGTCTCCCCACAGGAGTCGACACATGCGTTGGTCCCGGTGGAAGCTTCCTGAGCGGTGGGCAGAGACAAAGAGTTGCGATTGCCAGAGCCAAATTGCGGGACACGCCCATCTTGATTATGGATGAGCCCACAAGTGCTCTGGATCACACTAATCGAGTCGCGGTGATGGAAGCAGTTCGTAAATGGCGAAAGGGCAAGACCACAATCATCATTACCCACGACATGTCGCAAATCATGGAACGAGACTTCTTGTACATCCTAGAACAGGGCTCGATCGTTGAGTCAGGCTACCGGTATGGGGTCGAGCTCAGTCCAGTTGGCAAAACGTACTTTGATTCGAACGTCGACAAAGCTCAAATCCAAATGGAAAGCGGCACATCTAACGGGGTTGATACTGAATGGGATAATTCGCCACGTGCTAGCTTGGACACGCTGCGACCTCCTATGACTGTGCGCGCACATCATCGTGCAAGACTATCGTGGGCTCAAGGTCACATTCCTTCCAATGTTCGCTTTAGTTCGTTGGATATCAACTCAAACAGGAACTCGGTATACTCAGTTTATCCACTAAACTCCGCTGAGTTGCCTATTCGTGATCCGTCGAGCCATTTTTCATTCTTTGGTGAAAGATCCCGAAAGGTCCCACAGGAAGCTGCTGCTAATTCCCCAGGCGAAGAGGTTGAAATGGTTCAGCTCAACGACCAGGGCTTGAATCCCAAGACACATTCCAACTCTCAGGTTGTACTTGGGCAAAATGGTTCGCCAAATGGCAAGGTTTCTCGACACCTGCATTGTCGCCCCTCATTGCAATTCGGAGGTCGACGCATATCCAAAGAAAAAATGACTCCGCTCTCTCAGATCATGAAGACCGTTTACCCAAGCCTTTCTGCACGTTATCGAATCATGCTTTTCCTTGGGTTCGCTGCGGCATTGATGCATGCAAGCGCCACACCGATGTTCTCTTACTGTCTGTCCCATCTGTTCAGCACTTTCTATGCCGGAAATAACAATGCGCGCCTGACAATGACTTGGTCCCTGGCTGTACTCGGAGTGTCACTTGTAGACGGCCTTGCATCCTTCTTCATGCACTACTTCCTAGAAGTCTGTGGCGAGATGTGGATGGACAGTTTCCGGAAGAACGCTTTCAAACGGATTCTCGATCAACCACGGGCCTGGTTTGAAAAAGAGGGCAACGAGTCTCTGAGACTCACTTCCTGCCTTGACCAGAATGGAGAAGACATGCGGAACCTGCTTGGTCGCTTTGGTGGATATGTGGTTGTTGCGGTTTCGATCACAGCGATGTCCATCATCTGGAGTTTGATTGTTTGCTGGAAGTTGACACTCGTTGCACTGGCATGTGGACCGGTGATTTACGGCATCACTCGGGGCTTTGAACAAACGAATGGGTTATGGGAACGACGATGCAATGCTGCGAACAATGTTGCGGCTGATGTCTTTACGGAGACTTTCTCGAATATCCGCACTGTCAGAGCACTGACTCTGGAAGGTCACTTCCATCGCAAACAGTCCAATGCCATCGATTCGTCTTTGATGCTGGGTTTGAAGCGTGCTATCTACACGGGCATGATGTTCGGAATGGTTGAGTCGACCGTCATCTTTGCAAGTGGTAAGTGCTCGTGCAAATTGGCTTGCTTGGATCGTTCTAACCGACGCTCATCAATAGCTTTGATATTTTACTATGGAGGTGTTCTTGCAGCATCAAAGGAGCACAAAGTCGACGATATTATGATGGTGTTTTCGATGCTTCTGTTCAGCATCGGATACGCAGTGCAAATTCTTTCGTGGAGTACGTATATCCCGACCCATGAAATATCAAAGGCTAACTTGTGACCAGTTCCCCAAATCAACACTGCCCGCGAAACAGCAGCTCGGCTCATTCGCCTCACTAAGCTTCCTCAGTCTGGATCACACGAACACAGGGGCACCCTCACCGTTTCGAAGATCACACCTATCATGCTTAACAACGTGAATTTCCGATATCCCTCTCGGCCTACCACATTGGTGTTGAAGAATGTGTCTTTCACTATCCCCCGCAATTCGTGCACAGCACTCGTCGGACGATCCGGATCGGGAAAATCCACCGTTGCCTCCCTCTTGCTGGCTCTCTACGAAGCACCGATGTCGACCAATGGAAAGCCGGCAATTACACTCGGCGGCGAGGACATCCTACGTTTTCATGTCCCAACACTGCGCTCCCAGATCTCAATCGTCTCCCAACAGCCAACAATTTTCCCGGGAACCATCCACGAGAACATCAGCTACGGGATTGATAAACACACCTCCATAGCCACCTCTTACAGCGTCTGCGCAGCCGCCGCTGCAGCCGGAATCGACGACTTTATCTCATCTCTCCCACGGGGCTACGAAACCGTCATCGGAGACGGAGGAGTCGGTCTATCGGGTGGTCAAAAGCAACGCGTGGTCATCGCCCGTGCTCTGCTGCGCAGACCCCAAATCCTGATCCTTGATGAAGCCACTTCCAGTCTGGACCCTGCTGGTGCGGAACTTGTCCGACAGACTATGCAGCAGCTAGTCGCCGCGCGTCATGGGCTCACTGTTATTATCATCACACACGCTAAGGAGATGATTGAGATTGCGGATCATGTTGTTGTTCTTGACCAGGGTATCGTTGTTGAGGATGGACCTTGCCGAGTTTTGTCGAAGACATACGATTTCCTATGTGGACCTGAGGAAGCATAAACTGTTCATGGTAACTGGGGAATTATGGGTAATGGGTTAGGGCGTCTGTCGGCTTAAGCTTCGACTGAATTCTTTTCTTTGCCTCGTGCAATTATTCGCTTCGATTCATGGGGCTAAATATTATCATTCCAAGCTCCTGCAATCTCCCGGTGTAAAGTAATCCTCCCCGACGGCCCCAGTTTGATATTGCGGGACGCCTAACTCCGAGCCTTGGCCGATCAAAAAAGTCCCCAGACATCCCGCAAACGTGGTCACTTAAAGTGTTTAACTTCCTCCCTCAGCCTTACAGCCACGCAAAAGCAACATTCCTCATCAAACAAATCAATCCCCAAATACCCAACCTCTACTCCATCACATAAAAAAAAATGCCCAGACCAACCCTCATCTTCGCCCCGGGCGCATGGTACCCATCAACAGCCTTCGACCCAATCTTCCCAAAACTATCAGACTACAAATGTCGCAGCATCGCCTTCCCATCAATCACAAAAGCAACTGAAATCAAAGACCTGGAACCCGACACGCAGGCCGTGCGCTCAACAGTCCAGGAGGAAGTCGATGCCGGCCAGGACGTCATTGTGATCGCTCACAGCTGGGCTGGACTCCCTGTAAACAGTGCATTGGATGGGCTGAGTAAGCTGGAACGCGAAGCAGAAGGCCTGAAAGGAGGAGTTGTCAAGCTCGTATTCATCGCGGCGTTTTTGCCGCAGATTGGCGAGGGGTTGATCGGCGCTTTTGGTGGGACACCTCCGCCTTGGTATGTTGTTGATGTAAGTTGTTTCATTTCTTTGTTTGTGTTTGGGGAGAGTGTGAAGATTTGATTGCTGATTGCTGTTATAGGAGCAAACAAACACATTCACAACTAGTGATCCGCAGTTCTTGTTTTTCCATGATGTTCCTGATGGTGCGGAGTGGGCGAAATTGCTTCTGCCTCATGCCTGCGCTACTAAGACTGCTCCTGCTACGAGTACGGCGTATATGAATATCCCTACGTCTTTCCTGCTTTGTGAAGAGGATCGGGCTATCCCTGTGGCTGTTCAGCAGGTTTTGGTTGATCGGGCGCGCAAATGTGGTGCTGAGATTGAGACCGAGAAGATTCAGACTGGGCATACGCCCTGGTTAGTTGTTCCTGATCAGGTGGTTGCTTATTTGAAGAAGCAGGCTGGGGAATCTGAATAAGGGGTTTCTCTTCACGAAAGTATATGTTTGCGATTGCATACTCTGAACTCAAACGATAGACGATGTCGTATTCATGAAACCATTCTAAATCAAGACGACAGAAGCAAACGCAAAAAGCAACCAGCCGCGCCCACGTATATACATATTCATGTACAGTATATGCTCAAATCCCTCGATCAAACTTGCAAACAAATCAATGAATCAAGGATTGCTCTTTCTGCGCGACAACTTTCCGACAATCTTCCTCAGCTCATGGAATCGACTCTGCTTGCTAGTTCCATTCCCAGCAGGAGCACGAGCAGCAGGAGCATTGTTGGCCGCTATGTTTTCCTGGACCGGCGCAGCTTCTGCTGCAACAGCAGCCTGATTGACAGAATTACTGGAACCACCACCAATAGTAACAGTCAACAACCGCGGGCTACCATCGTAAACACTACCAGACTGATCAGCTCCACCATTCGGCGCAACATCATCATAAGGGAATGCATATCCGCGAGTATCAGTGCTGACAGCGTGACAAATGCGCGAATAATGATTCGTAACATAATTCTGGTAATAGTTGCCGACATTCTGCCCGTTCGGCTGAGCACCATTCAACAACAGAGTGGAGCGATTGAAGGCAGCAGCAAGACGAGCGGTAATAGCATCCTTCGTCCCATTTCCGGAAACAGCAAAGGAGCCAGAGCTGTTGCTGAAAATATCACCGGACGAGGGCTTCGTGTAAGAGACGCCCGAGACTGAAAAGTACATCACCCCATTGGAAACCTTAGCGGTGACATCACCTGCTGCAGCTTGCGTGTTGACTGTCAGGGTGTCATTGGTATACTTGTTCCAGACGGAGTTCACGTAGTTATCGTAATAGTTGTTGAACAGGGAGTTGTTCAGAGTTCTTCCCGTGTTCGGGGACAAGGCGCGCAGATTGCGGCCATTCTTCTGGATGACGAGCTGGTTCCAGCCCGCACCGTCGGTGTTGTTCTGTGCTATGAGCGCATTGCAAACAAGGTCAAGGCCATTGGCTGGCAGACCCTTGACAGTCTGCGTGGCACCCGATGTATTGGTCAAGGTCATCGCAATAGGTATCGACACGAAATCGACATAGCTGAGGTTGGCATACAGCTGAGCGCTATTCCAGGTGAACTCGCAGAATGCCCAGTCAAGATTGTAGTTAGGGTCTGATTGGTTTGAGACCGAAGGTTCGACTAGTGCAGGGCCGGGGTTCAGGTAAAAGGTCAATTTGTTGTCGCGGACGAACCACAGTCGCGCGCCCGCGAGATGTGGGATCGTGATATTCGTCGTGCTTCCCGCTCCGCCCAGTGGGATTGCACAGTCCCAGCTTAGGCTTGTCAAGGTTGCGGACGGCGATGTTGGATAGTAGGCTGTTCTGCCGTCAGAGCGCAAGAGAAATAGCGCGTTGCCATTGTCGATTGCCCGGCCTGTGATGTAGGCGAAGACGGTATTTGAACCAGTATTATTCTTCAAAGCGAAGTTCAAGGTGGCCATGTTGGATATTCAGCTCGGTAGTTGAAGAACGTGGATTGAAAGCGCTTGAAGGATTGGCGTCAAAAGCCCAATGAGGAGTGCGGGATGAGGTCCACAAGGCTGCAGATGAGGGGTGAAGCCGATATTGTCTGCCGCTGAGCCCATAATATATCCCATCAACGCTGTCGTCAAGCTAAACTGGTGGTATAAAGTAGGGCAGGCTGACAGGGCCCGGTGATGCAGTGTGGTAATAACTCCAGGTTCTTTCCCTGGGGGCATCTTCCCTATTGGATCAGACCCTTGCTTTTGGCTTGCATTCACCCATGGGCGTAGACAACGCGTCAGTGCCAATGAACAGTCGCAATTTCGATCTACGCGGGACGGCGCGATCATACCGTGTTTCCAGGTGATCTCCTTCCTGTCGATCTTGGCCTCTTTTTGCGCGGGCACGAATCAGTATAATGCAAGCCCCCTAATCTGGGGTTCGACACAGCTACCGGTTTTCTTGTATTCAATAGTCAAGAGTAGGCCAAGACATCTTTATGGAATTATCCTGGTCAAGACGGCTCGTGAGCGATGAACGTTCTGTCAGCGGCGGGTCATTTCGCCGCCAGCTCAAAACACCGCTGATATACCTCCGATCTGCCGCCACGAGATGATTTAGTCTGATCAATAAACTTCTTTGTTTCTCTTCATGTTTGATCATATGGCAACCTTATAGTTACACTTCTTTTAGCATCCGAGTCCTGAGGCTCAAGGAGGAGAAATGGGGATATCTGCGAACACAGCATACGCCCATGACACCAGCAAATTCCAGATTGTTGCACGACATATGTCGGACTTGGGGGTTGTGATAGCTTTTGCAACGAACTCTTGCACCAAGCCACTATCACAAGATAGAAATCATCGAATCAACATCAGAAGGTGGCTATTTAATCCAAGCCTGCTCACGGGTTGGTCAAACGTCCGCTAATCACATCTTCGTCATCGCTTGGGGTCTGGCTGAAGGTTTCTTCAAAGGTACAGACCAATCTTGACCTTCAGAACAGAGTTTAACCGTGATCAATGCCCGTTTTGTCACTTTTTGTTGGGATCTTTGCCTTGTTGAAGGTTCAAATCTAGTAGATCTGATGTCTGATCGATTACGGTAAAGACTACACCGGGTAGTATCTAAGTCTGAGGCTTAGAGCTCTGTATATTCTGCCTTACGAGGTTATTTTCGGTTTAATCGCACCTTTAGCACCGTGTAGCAGTGACCCAAAACAGCAAATGGGAAGACACGTCACTCGTGCTATAATGCAGAAGTTGCCGAACCCCAAACGCCATCAAGGTCGGTTATTGGCAAAGTTGCATCTAGAACATTGGCCAACACAGATACATGAACGGTCTCTCAAATAATGGTCTTGTACGCCCGAGCTCCGCGTGAACTATATTGATCAAACATCACACCCTTCGCTGAATAATTACCCCGATGTCCCATTTGGGATAGCGCCCGGCAGTCGGGACCGACAACCGGAGTCACCTCTCGCCATCAACACTAACAGTGAGCAATTCCCACCATGTTAGGCTGATTAGGCCCACTGTAAACAGCTTGATAGGCTCCACAGGGACGACATGACAAGGGCGAGAAATAGTTTAGCAGAATTTAGACAAGTCTGTATGTTTGGTAGATGATGTATTCTATGGTGAAACTGGACTATAATTGCAAATTACTAGGTGTATTACCGACTATGGTATCCCGCGGAGGGAACTAAATACATCCACCTGTCTTACTAGCAAACACTTCATTAGACTGCACAGGTAATTTACACCTTGGTGATCTCATGCTCAACACTAGTTGACGTGGATTTGTCGTCAGCATCAACGTGAACAGGGCATTGCCATTCTATACCCGTCAGACACAATGTCAATTTTCGATAGGGGGACATGAGATGTAAATATACTTTCGAACTGACGTGCAGGGACTTTCTCTGCCCACATGATTTCCAACTCTTCCAGGGATCGACCAGTCATATCTGGCAGGCAGAAGTATGCCCATATGAGACCGAGAAGCCCGAAACCACCGTAGATGAATCCAACCTTGGATTGGAGGTTGGCGTATCCGGCTTCGAGGAGGAACGGGAGGGTAAAGGTCATGACAAAGTCGCAGATGAATTGTACCCAGTATACAACCATCGTATTCTTGTCGCGCAATTGAAGATGTGGAACTTCCGACGCTGTGACAGCACCACTATCGAGACAGATTAGATTTCCAAGGGTAGCAGAACCACTGGATGGGGAAACACACATGGCACCAAAGGACATAATGTAGAAACATCCAAATAGGACACACACGGTCACGATTCCAGTCTTGTCGCCAGATGTGACGTATCCAGTTCCCAGTCCACCACAGATGAGCAGCACAGCTGTGCAGGCAGATCCTGCAGTCAAGTAGATTCTCCGTCTACCAATAATATCGACCAAGGAGAAGGTGATGATTGGGCCCAACAGTGTGACGGCAGAGGAAATGAATTTGAAAGTAAAAGGACTCATCGTGTTGACGCTTTTGATGAATATGGCTCCGTATTGGCTCATGAAGCTTTGACCGGTCAGTTGGTTGAACATGCCAGCAGCTATCGCAATTCCGAGTCGTCGCAGTATGTTGAAATCATGATTAGCTATGTTCAGATGTTCGATTCAAGGATGAGAATCTTAACCTTGTTTGAACCCTTCAGGAAGTCCTTCCAATGTCCTTTCGTCTCAACATCACCATCGACCCTCTCCTGGAGAGAGTTCACCTCCGACTCCGCTTCCTGCTCAGTAAATGAAGACCCACGAAGCCAACGAAGATGTTTAATAGCACGCTCACGGTGACCCTTTCGTATCAGCCCTCGGGGACTCTCGGGAATAATCCAAAACAAATACCAAAACAAATAGTGGAAACGCAAACATCGTAGCCAAGGGTATCTGCCACGATGGACCACCCTCATACTTCGCCGTGGCAAGAGTAACAAAGGAGCATATCAATGAGCCAAGAATATGGGCAAATACATAGATCACCACGATTCCACCTCGAAGAAACGTCGGACTGATCTCAGCGAGAAACATTGGAGCAAGGAAGTTATCCAGCCCACGAAACATTGAACAATGATTCTACCGGCGAGTGCTTGCCTAAATGTTTTGGCAGTATAGCTAACTGCAATACCGATAATGACGATGAATTGCATGGCAATATAGGTTGGCCTTCTGCCGAGTTTCTCAGCAAATAGTAGATCCATGACGGCTCCCAACCATTTCGCGGGTAGACTGAATGAGTTCAAAAAGGATAAGTGCACGGCACTGAAGCCCCATGTCTCCGATTTGGGGTTATAGGCTCCGAATTGTCTCTCGTATGCTAGATAATTGGATTTAGTATTGACCGAGACATACCATGGAGGGGAAGGCAACTTACCATTCATTGCTTGGATCGTTGAGAAAACACTTTGATCAAATCCAAAGCTAAACACACTGATATTTATAACAAGGATCGCCATGACCAAGTTCCACGGAGCTTGGCCAAAAGAGCGCAAGTCCTTCAAGTTTGCCATAGTGAGATATAGCCCGCAACTGTGAACAACTTCTTGACCTCTGACTTTGATATTCCTGCTCTAAACTGCCATATTTATTGTATATTATTCTCTACCCCGCAATATATCCCTGTTATGCTGTGGTTCTGGCTTGAATCCACCGTTGACGGCTGTTCGGTATTAGTTCGTTATGACCGATACAGGTCTATATGCAAATTTAGCGTATGGTCATAAACCGACCCTCCACAGAAAGCACCGACAAAATCAAACGCGGAGCCATGAATACAAGTATGTGTTCTTAGTATTTGACTGTCATTTTCATTGGACAATGAGTTACTGGATATAATGAGGCTTGACTCTGGGTCTTCCCTGGGGTTCATTCACAGTCTCTACTCCCCATTGAGCGGTGATATCGGAATGTCTCCTATCTTCTTTGTTCTTTTGCTACCTATCGCTGTTGGTGAAATAAGATTTAGACATCTTTCCTTTCCTTATAGATTCTCGATCTACAGTCCCAAGGTCATAGAGCGGCTCTGCACGGCTGACTACCTACTGTAGTAACATTAACTATCACTACCGTGTCGAGCACAAATACTACTGCACGAGATAAGGACTCGGGCTATCAGGAGCTGCGAATGTCTGTCGACAACAGAAGAGAGAAGGTTTTGCTCGTACCCGCAAGCCACTAGGCCACCAGCAGTCGCGGCCAAAGCAACCATACAGACAGGAACTGACGTGAGCAATTGCCACGATTATTGTTCGGACAAGACCGCATATTCAAGGGAGATAGATGAATACTCAAAGAGGTTCATGGCGACCGTCCGATCGAAGTCTTGATCGGTTGTTTTGTGAGCACCTCATAGACAGTGTCTCTATACCCCACAAGAGCGATTGTCGGGTGGCAACAGATCGCGTGGGGCAGTCTCAAGGGCTGTACCTGTCTGCCTCCACGGAACTCCGGGAGATAGGAACTGTGCGACTTGTTCATCAAGGGGAATGCATGATCGGGCAGACCCCCTGATAGCTGAAAATGCCCCTGAGATGTTTCGAGGTCGGAGAATTGCAATGCTTATTCGTTAGTTCAGTCGGACTTGAAAAAGAAATCATCAAATCAATCTCAAACCTCGGCTGATTTCCGACAGTGGCTGGGGCAGGAGATTGGAGTTGTAAATATCATTTAGACGCGACGGTCAAGTCCAGAGAAGTCCAGAGACATGATCGACGATTATTAGCGCTGCGTGCAAGGCGCTGAGCTCAGGCAAGGGAGTTCTATTTGTGTCGCAGTATTGAGACTTGAGACCGTGCCCTTGCTGCAATAAGGACTCGTGCAGGTGATTTCGCACGAGAAATTGCGCTCGAGGGAGAAACAGTTCCCACTTCTTTCCATTGACGATCTCCCGTGCAGAGGGGGTTGGGAGAAAGCAATGATTTAACGATCGACACACCGACAGGCCAGATGGCGATGCTTTTGATTGGGAAGAGAGCGGGCGTCACTGCCTCCACCAGGCCACGCCAGTCTGTCGATGGCTTGGCGCTTATAATAATAGAAGGGCCTTGTCTCGGACACACACACACTCTCTCTCTCTCTCCACTTAGGCCTGTAATGTTTCCTCCCTTAGGGTGATTCCTATGTGAAGCCATGTATATTCCTCAAAAACGTGCGAATGATTCGCACAAGAACAAGATCTTCATTATTGTATGCTCTCCGGTCACCTCCGACCAGCCTCCAGCGTCCAGGCTCCAAAGTTTCGTATGCTGACTCGACCGTTCTAGTGTGCATCCTCCATTCTCTTTACGATTGCCTTATGCGTGGCTGTCTTCTTCCTCTCCCGATATCTTCGCCAGCGTCATGCCGAACCCAGATATATCCCCGGGAATTACCTCAAACAGAAATGGAAGCAGTGGCGTCCAGGGACTGCCTCGTACGGGCAAGTTCCAAATCAAACGAATGCAAATACCTCAGACACCTCATATCGCGGCGCCGGATCAGCACCAGAGATGCAAACCGCTGATGGCGTCCGCCGGGAAACATCCATTCGATCAATCATGACACTACCGCCCTACTCACCCAATCCAAAGCCGACCGAGCAAATCATCGCACGGGAAGGCGAGCGCGAAGGAATGGACATGGTCGTGGAATACCCGGAAACGGCCGAAGAACAAGAAACTCGACGTGAAGAACAAATGGACTCGCTCTACCAGCTTCGCCTGCAGCGTCGCCAGGAACTCACCGATCGCGAGGCCCGGCGCCGGGAACGACGGGAAGCCCGGTCGCGCGGCGACTCCACTCGTCTCGAACAACTTGCCGCCGAATCCCGCGCCAGATCCCAGGCTCACCGTCCAGGAAGCAATGCCAGCAGCGGTGTTAATATAGCCGCAGCACTGGCTGAGCATCAATCGCGAGAACGGGACCGTCGCATTTCAAGTGTCAGCTATGCCAATGTTGGACATGTTCGCCATGACGGCTCGAGGCTGCGAGCAGACTCGCATGATTCAGATCGTCACCCGCTGCTACAACAGGATTCTGCCTCGACGGAGGATCCCTCCAGTCGGGACTCCCGGGTTCAATCATTCGCCTCATCAATTCACAGCGAGTCGACTGGTGGTACTGAGCTGGAGCCTCTCACTCTAGCGCAGACCACAACGCATGGCTCGAGTCGACCGCAATCACAAGCTGATGAGGGAGATCTGGGCACTTTAAATATTCCTCCGCCTCCAGAATATGATCACCTGGACTGGGGTGAAGCCCCTGCATACCAGAGCCCTATCGTCGACCGACATGAGCAACCCCAGCGTCTACCTAGTATCTCGCGCCTGCCTTCCATCCATGTGAACCTGCCGAGTCCTATGGCTGTCTCGCCGGTTACGCCGACGCAGACTACGTTCCAAACTATCAGCGAAGCTTCTTCTACGCCGACCATCAGACAGGTATCGGCTGGGTCGAGGACATCCGACTCCGATCAGGCTTCCTGATCTAATAATATATCCCCTGAAGTTCTCTTTTTCACTCTGCAAGCATGATTTACGACCTGTATTAGCATTATTTTTGGGACTGTCTCCCCTGTCCTGTCTTTTGCATTGATATTCTGTTCCATCGAGCGCCATTTCTATCTTTATTCTTTACTCGGCTAGCAAGGCGTTATGTGTTTGGCGGCTGGCAAGGTTCCTGTTTTCATCGGATGCGGTTTGGTTGTGATGGTAGGGGGGTGGGTTCTATCTGCTTGGAAATGTAGACAGCACAAGAATCTATTTGACTTCTGTAGTTACAATTTGCTTAACTAACTGCCTCCTCCAGTCTGCGTAGTCAATAAACATCATTCAATGGCCCCATCAAAACAAATATCCACATCGAGTCCTGAAGATTGTCCTAATGCTGCAGAGCTCCACTCGTGGACCCCTCCAAGCTTCGCACTAATTCCTGACAGGGCTCCAGTTTACATTCTAGTCAACTGTCATTGGCTTTGCTGAAAAATGACATCTTCGATGCACAATGCGGACAAGAATAGGAACAAATACTGGGAAAAGTGGATTTCAATGAACAACCCCATTTTTTACCAATTTCAACCCCTTCTCACATATTTCTAGTCACCAAAGAACAAATCCAATCTGAACCCGAAAAACATATGTACCAAACAAAAGAATATCAAACCAGAATGTAGATTCATCCATGCACATCCCAACCAATCACTCCTTAACCAAAACAGTAATAGCGGTATAAGTCGAAGCAGCATAAGAATGAACATCCTCAACACGCAACCCGGCAGACCTGGCAAGACGTTCAAACTGACTTCGGCTGCGCTCTTTCCCAGCCAGAATCATCATGGAAAGATCGACCATAGTAGCCTGCCAGTTAGCGCCGGTATCAGGCATAACGACATCATCAATTAAAATGCGCGAATCCGGTCCCATGGCCGCAGCCGTGTTTGTCAGGATTTGTGCTGCTTTCTCGTCGGGCCAGTCGTGCATGATTCGGCGCAGGTAGTAAAATTTGGCGTCTGTGTTAGATGGTTAGATATTGTTCTATGTGGTAAGTGTATATAAAGGTAGAAGGGAGGGAAGGTACGAACCTTTCACGGGCTGTTCTTGGAAGAAATCATAGGCTTCGACTTTGACACCTTCTATAGGGGCCAGATTGTCAACTGTCACGGGTAAATCTTGCATGACGAGGCGGCCACGAAGGTGTACGTATTTCTTTGCTAGCTCAATGCACTGGTGGCCGTGGCTACCGCCGATGTCGACGAGAAAGGGCTTCTCCTTGGGGCTTGGGGATGTCAATGGGACCTTTTGGACTTCGGACTCGAGAAGCGTGAAGCCTTCTGTCCATTCGGTTCCTTGTAAGGCACCCATGGTTTTGTGCATTGCTTCCATGTACTTTGGATGTTGAAAGAGCCATTCGAATGTTGTCAGTTTGGTGTCGAACGCTTTTTGAAATGGTGTGTGACGGTTGTCAGTTACGTCTTTGTAGTTGTTTTCTGCGAAGAAAGCGGGCATTGCTTGGTTGAGTGGCAAGTAGAGATTGAATCTTTGTTTAGTTGGCGAAATCTTCTATGTAGATGGAATTGAGACTGCACTTACGCCTGGTGGATTAGACCCTCCCCAAATGGATTGCCAAATATCTTGGTCAGCTCATTTGCGGTATACTCATTTGGTCCTGTTTCTTTGATGATGTTTGTTGCTGCTAAGTGGCGAAGAACTCGCTCTGGGAAAGTGAATTTGCGTTAGCTTTGAGTATAGACAGCTGTACCTCGAGTCAATATAAATCTTACCCAATAGTTCAGGAGTTGCATCGGTCTTTTCTGCAAGCTGTATCACAGAAATAGGAGCTTCGTTTGTCGAAATAAGACCGAAGATTCCCAGGTCTTGGCCGACGCGCAGCATCGCATTGGTTATACCACCCTGTGACAGTTAGTATTTAGAAGATGAGAAATAGAGGTATCATACAAGTCCAGCAAGCTCTAGCAAGACATCCTTGGGAGTTTGAAGTTCAACTTTCACCTGCTGGAGGTTTTTAATGATCTCCAGTCGACCGGCCTCATCGGCGGTATCGGCCAAGGCTTTGATTTGAGAGACAATTGAGTTCATGGTTGCAAGACAAAGAGGATGATCTTCAATGATTGAAAATGGGATGATTGAATCCAAGTCTGCCAGCCGAAGAGAGATTTATAGACATGAGTCCAAAGTGCTATACAACCCAAATAGGAAAGTCCGTTCCCGCGGAAGTTCCGCGGATTCGGCGACTCATGATTGGCTTATGACATCAATACACATCTGGCCCCCAACTCTTCTGCGACAGCGCTCTACGACATGATCATCATACTTTGCAAAGATGTATCGGGTTGATAAGGAGCATGCTAGACCATCGCGCTCGAGGCCGGTGTCATGTCACTTCTGTCGCACGAGGAAGCTGAAGTGCAGTCGGCAGTTCCCTTGCTCCAATTGCACCAGCCGGGGCAAGGAATGTCAGCTCTATCCCATTTTTGCTACGCAAACACTGTCAAGCCATTCAGATCCGACAATATCCGAGAAGCCATCTACAGATTTCAATGCCGATGTTCTTGCCCGGTTGCGCCGCTTAGAAGATATCGTCATTGGGGGGTTAGGTCAATCTCCAACCCAAACAGCATCTCATCCCTCTTCTCCAGCACGCAAATTGGACCATCCATTCACGAGTCAGCAAAGAGAATCAGCTTCAGCAGCAGCTGTTGACTGGCTGGAAAGTGAAATCACATCTCCCGGTTCGACGGTAGGCTCGAAACGCCGGTATCCACCTGCATAGAGCTTGGTACTGACAGCTATGATAGAACTGTCTCTTGACATATGAGCTTGAATTCAGAGCGTGTCCTATTCGGGATGCTCTGAGCTTTGCGCCGGTTGTCTCACAGGCTTCGCCTCCGGCAAAGTGCATTTGGCTACCACTGTATGAGGAGGCGTCAATTATCATTGAAAAGTATATCGAAGAGATCACCTATCTCCATCATGTGGCGCATACCCCCTCATTGCGCGTTCTGGTCGAAAAGCTTTACGGCGATCTACGAGAGAGCAAGCCTGTCGAAATCGGGCAGGTCTCCCTCCTCTTGGGAATTCTCGCCAGCACGACGACCTTCTGGACGGAGCATGATATGCAGAACGAAATTTTCTCCAGTGTTGAAGAAGCCAATGGGCAGTCCATACGATGGATGAAACTCGCACTGGAGGTGATTGAATACTCACGTTTCAAACATACTGAGTCACTAGAAGATGTCCAAGCCATGATCATTTTAATATTCGTGACTACCAATTTGGTTGGAATTGCGTCTCAATCTCGATATATAGTTAACATGGCCATTTCGGTAGCAAGGGAACTATCACTGCACCGTATCGATCATGCTAATAACCGCAATGTGGATGTCCCTCCTCCGGACTCTGCGAGAGCAGAGATAAGTCGAAGAGTATGGTGGTATATTGTTGCAACTGATTGGTAAGTCCTTTTACATCTATTCTACAAGATCGGAGCTCATTAAAGAACAGGCAGATGTCACAAATTTCCGGCCCTCAGAAAGGCACATATTCTATTAATCCTCGCCATATGATGACCAACAAACCTCTCAATGCAAACGACGAGGATCTAATCGACGGGATGGCTCGCGTCGGCAAGCCAATTGAAGAGCCAACATCCATGTCGTACTGTCTTCAACGAATCCGACTGGGCGAATTTTGCCGCGAGATTACAGATAGCGCACCCTTTGGAATGTTCGACCCAGGCACTCCAGACTACAAACACACACAACGCATTGACACCAAAATCTGCGAATTTGCAGAGAAGTTGCCAGAATTCTTCTCGCTGTCTTTTGTGCCAGAAAGTCTACCAAAGACTGATCACCGGCGATCAACGGGAATAAACATTCAACGATATATTTTCAATTTCATGATTAATACCCAGAGATGCAGGCTTCATTTGCCCTATTTGTCGCGTGCGGCAAAAGACCCTGCATATGAATCCTCCCGAAAAGCCTGTCTAGAGGCAGCTCGAATGGTCATTCGAACTGAACAACAACTCTCCCGAGAGATGATTTCTTTCGTAATGATGCGATTGAAGTTTTCAGGAATGATACATTGTATCTGTGTGGCTATTATCGTACTTCTTATCGATTTCTGTTTAAACAGTTCTCAACAAGAGAATGACCAAGGGCGAAGAGGAGAGATCCTTGACGCTTTCAGGATTCTAGAGGAGGCTAAAGAACACTTACCATTCGCAAAGAACTTACTCGAATCTTTCAAAACTGTTCTCTGTCGGCGAAACATATCAGCCCCAGCCGAAAGAACTACAATGCGACCCACCAGCCAGGAAAAATCATCCCAAGGGCTCACTAATAATTATCAAAAGCCCACAGGCCTGATTGATTCGATTGGATCCATTGGGAGCAATCTAATGGACCCGACGATGCCTTCGTTGGATGAGCTTTGGCAGGCATTCGATGAGAGTGTGGACTCAGCAGCTGTGGACTGGAATACCTTGTTCGACGAACTGGATGCCCCGTTTCTTTCTATGTAATCCAATGACCATTCCAATCTCTCACCCTCGATACTATGACACACGAAAAGATTCGCTTTATGTAACGATATGTCATTCTTATAATCATGGTCACTGCGTTGAACTCCACTTAGGCCAACCAGTCCAGCCCAGTGAGATCGACAAGACACGCCGGGATAAACTTGGCGGCGGAAGAGCTAACGCCTAATGGCCGATCTCTCGACGGCCAAGGTCTCTATCCGGTAATGATAATGGGGAGAAATGAGGGATGTGGCTTGTCTAAGCTCGGGATCTAGCATCGGGCCCAGATATTAATGTCATCATTTAATTTACTAGAACCGGTTCGATCGCTGGGATGCAGTTTGATAAGGCCCGGAATTTAGAGAATGTTGCCTGGTTCCTGGATGCATGGCCACTTTTGTTCCTGCGCGAGGACATGCCCAGAACATGCTGTAGACTCCTTAGTCCTTTCCCGTACCACCGGAGGTGCTGTCTACTAGACCAGCTGAGGGGGTTCTGGGTTCTAGAAGCACCGCAGCTTGATGGGCTGTGCCCTACTGATTGCCAGTCAGATCGGGTGCTAGACACGCGTCGTGGGTCGTGGATTCTTACGCATCCACCATACAGAACTACTAGTAACATGCATTTTCATAGTTTGCAGAGTCAACGGTGTTGACGTGGCATGTTGTTTGCGTTCTTTGTTGTCAATTACTGGTAGAAACCTTCAACATAACCACAGCAAAGACTCGGGACTATTAGGAGCGACGACAAGAGCCATGGTCGTAGTAAGGAACAAAAATAGCTAACTGATGTCGTTGGTCGAGATATACTGCCGGGCCCACCGCATTGTTCAATGATGACTAACGGTCGGCCTAGCACCCGCTCCACTCTCATTTCTTCCTTTTGAGGTCATTGTTATGCTCTCTCTCAGGCCTCCACTGCCCTCCACTTAAGTTACGCCTATGAGAGCCATCAGCTCGGAGCAAGATCGCACTTGGGATCGGCAGTTGTCAATGACGACAAAGTCTGGCCCTGTCAACTCTGGTTCTTCGTGTTTTTCATTTCGGTGAACAGAACTTCTTGACAGGTCGAGTATACCTCAGGTCTCAGCTCACAATGTTTATGCTTGGCTTTGCTCAATCTCCACAGGTGTCTTGATTCATATACTCCCGATCACCTGGTAAAATCATTGCCATTCAATGAGAGTTACGCGGTCCTGTGGTTTTCCACGGAAGCTGTTGCTTTGATCCGTTCCATCCGACTGCTCGGAGGATGGGGTCATGCGGTGATCCATGGAAACTTCGTGTTGCCACCTTAAATCGGGCTGCCTGGTTATGCAAATACATTATTGGGGTACCTTGACATGGGGTCCACTGTCCTTTGAATTCGAGCAGCCAGTGACCGTTGTCGGTCCCTTTGAATCCCTGTGGAGCAATGCCCTCTTTCTCCACATATCAGGAAATCGGACTTCCATTCAAGATGACGTCGATCGTCTTACTGTGCATCTCGCTCCGGCTGGTTCGGACCTGCGATGTTTACTCTCCGAGGCCAAAGAAGTTGGTCCACTGGGGTCTTGATCCATGGTCAATGGCAGAAATGCTTGACAGCACAGCGTTTCTATTTTTTGATTTTATCTTTTCTCGGGAGGTTATGCCGATTCAGGCGGATCTGTATATTTCTTTGATTCGTAATGTTGGAGCTTTAATCCACTGCATGTTATAAAGATTGTTTGCCTCCCACAACCTTGGCCTCTTGCCTCCTAGATCTGACCTCTGCTCTCTTCCGGCAAACACCCAGGCGGGTATCAATTAAGAAGACATTCCCATTCCCTATCTTCTCAAGCGCGTTGTGTTCATTCGCTATTCGATCACACCCTCCACATTCGCTGAAGAGCAATCACGATGAAGCACTTCATCACCCTCGCTGCCTTCGCTGCCGGCTCCAACGCCCTCGTTGGCCGTAGTGATAGCTGCTGCTTCCACCTCACCTCCTCCGGCGGTGCTTCTGGCGAACTCGGCCAGCTGAGTGATGGCCAGAACCGTATCGGCGATAACACCCTGTCGGCAGCTCAGTACTGCATCGACTCCAAGGGTGCCATCACCGACAACAAGGGCCGTGGCTGCATTCTCACCCGTAAGTAAACAGCAGTATCTTCTTGGAAACCACACCCGGACATTCCATCTGACTTTCTCACAGCCCCAACTACTCAGTTCCAGTGTGACGAGGGTGCCACCCCAACCCCAGGCTTCTCAATCAACTCCAACGGCCAGCTGGTGTACGACAACAACAGCAACTTCTTTGCCTGTGAGACCGGCCAGAGGGGTGGCCTGAACGTCTACACCACCAATAGCACCGATGTCACCCAGTGCACGAACGTGGAGCTCAAGGCCGACTCCTGCTCCAACTCCGGCTCTGGTTCCGGCTCCAGCGCGTCATCCTCTGCCCCTGTCGTTCAATCCTCCTTTGGTTCCTCCAGCATGCCGACGGCTCCTGTCTCTACTCCTGGCGGTGGCTCTGGCCCCGGTGGTGCTGGCTCGGAGTCTACCCCCGCTGGCTCGGGTTCCGGTTCCCAGCCTACTCCTGGTAGCCCCGGCTCCAGCTCTGGCTCTGCTGGCGGCGGTGGTGTCCCCTCGGGCTCCACTCCTAGCGGCTCGGGTGCTGGCGAGTCTCCCCTGCCTGGCTCTCCCCAGACTGTTATGACTACTGTTACTGTCACTGATTGCAGCTGCTCTGCTTCTGGTCTCCCTGGCTCCCCAAGTGGTGGTGGCTCTGGTGCTCAGCCTAGTGGTCCCACTGGCGGCTCGCAGCCCCCTGGATCTGCCCCTGGTGGTGGCGGTGGTGGTGCTCAACCCTCCGGGTCTGCTCCCGCTACTTCTGGAGGCGGCGGTGGTGGTAGCCAACCCTCTGGACCTGCTCCCTCTGGCGGCGGCGGCGGAGGCAGCAAGCCTTCCATGACTCCCTCCGTTTCTCGCTCCGGTGGTGGCCCTGAGCCCACCGGCTCTGCAACTGCTTCGGTCCCTGCTGACTCGGCTTCTTCTACCCCCTCGGCCAGCCAGTCTTCCAGCGGTAGCTGCCCTACCAACCTGAATTCCGGCGACTACCAATATCCTCACCTGATCATTCCAGTTGACTCGACCAAGCCCAACGATGCCGCAGGTACCTCTTACAACGGTACTGTGTCCTCGACTGTCTCGACCGCTTTCAACTTCGACATCCCGGAGTCTTACGCCGGCAAGACTTGCAGCCTGGTCTTCCTGTTCCCCCTGAAGAAGGACCTCGAGACCACTGACTACACCTTCAGTGGTGACGGCAAGATCGACTTCGCTAAGCTCTCTTCTGTTGTCAGCGAAAAGACTACCTCCAACAACATGCCCTCCGTCGCCCAGGACCTTGGCGACATCACCATCTCCCCCGGCAACGGCTACGTTGTCTCCAGCTTCTCCTGCCCTGCCGGTACTACTGTCGCCTACGAGATGAAGGAGGCTGGCAGCACTAACATCAACTGGTTCAATGACTGGAACCCCTCTCCGTATGTTTCCTTTCCTCTCTTGACTCCTTCTGTCGAACATCAGCTAACACAATCTGCAGCCTGGGTCTCTTCATCACCACTTGCTAAATTAGACGTGCCATTGAGCCGTCAATTATGGACATGTGATCCCCGCGGCCAAACTTTTTTGCCTTGTAAACTCCTTTGATGCCTCACGTTGATACGGATTTTCTCGTTTTCTTCTTCTCTTCTGTTTGATTGGTTGGTCCGGTGTCCATAGGAAAGAATATCTTTCTGCAAGGCTGTCTGATTTGAAAAAAGCATTGCCATATTTGGTTGATGTGTAATTAAGACACATGCACAGGCGTCGACATTCCTTCGACTTGTGTATTAGTACATTGAATTCACTCCTTCACTTTCTCAACTTGGTATTCTTGGTATAGCGGTCTGTTCGCCGCGACTCCTACTGTATTCGAGTATACAAATCGACTGATATGCAGGTAATCATGCTGCCTAATTGCGGTGGATCAGAAAAAAAAAGGCAGCAAGCCTGGGATAAAAGAAGGCGACGAATGAAATATGCCAGCCAAGCATATTTCCCCTATAGAGAATGTGTCAAATAATTAAGAAGGAGCCTGATCCCCAAACCCGACAGAGGTGAGTATCCGGAGATGGGGATCTGCACTGGGGTTCTGGGCCTGAGTACTCGGTACTTGCCACAACGCGGTCTAGACCAGGTACAGCCAGGTACCGGGTACCTGAACAAAGTATAAACTCAGCCACTGGTCCTATTTGGAGATGAAACGCACACCAATAATAACGAAGAAAATGAAGAAAGAGATGAGGCGCCAAGTAGTCCCTTGCCAAGCACCGATTTGCGCCTCTGTTCATAAGGCACGCGACAGCCTGGGCATTACATTGTTGCTATTCATTTCTTTCCTCTGCTTCTCCATGAACTGGACATAATATGGAGCTCCCTAAAACCCTGCCATTTTCTAAGCGGCGGCTCCGACCGCGCGTTATCATCTCGTGTGTTTGGCTTGATCTTCCCGCTGGACCCCGAACTAACTCTTCTTTCGCAGCTACATCTTCGACTATGTGATCCTTGTGTACGCCCCCCTTCCTGCATTATCTGCATTCTCTCGAGCTGTGCTAACCTGCTTTCTTCCGACTACAGAGCCTGTGTGGCTGGCTTCGCAATTGTCGACTCGGTCGAACCTTACCACCAACACTTCTCCCTTCAAAACATCTCCATTCAATACCCCTACGCCGTTCACGAACGAATTCCTATGCAGTACGCCCTTTGCATTTCTGGCGCATTCCCACTTGTCCTCATCGTTGTATACACATTGTTTATCGATGGTATATTCTCGCACAATAAGCCCCAAGATGCCGCGTCCGGGAAGAGGAAGCTGAGAGGTCCTCACCGGTGGAAGGATAGACTGTGGGAGATGAACTGTGGCATCCTAGGTCTCTTGCTGGCACAAGCAGTCACATTCGTCATGACACAGGCGCTGAAGACTGCGTGTGGAAAGCCGAGACCTGATCTCATTGACCGCTGCCAACCCCGTGAGGGGAGTGTGGACTTGTTCCCCGGACTGTCCAATTCAACGATCTGCACTGGAGACCCGGCCCTCATCAAAGATGGATTCCGGTCATGGCCTTCAGGTACGTGCGACACAATAGCAAGAGATTCATGATATCAAGTACTAACCTTCGAATGTCTAGGCCACAGCTCGTCCTCCTTCGCCGGCCTGGTCTACATTGCACTCTGGTTAGGAGGAAAGCTCCACATTATGGACAACCGCGGCGAAGCCTGGAAAGCTGTTCTCGTGATGATCCCCCTCCTTGCCGCGACTCTGGTAGCCGTGTCGCGTATCATGGACGCACGTCACCACCCCTTCGACGTGATCACGGGCTCGATGCTAGGAGCGGCTTGCGGCTTCGTCGCGTACCGCCAGTACTTCCCTCCTCTCACCGAAGCCTGGCGCAAGGGCCGCGCCTACCCGATTCGCACTTGGGGAACCGATCCTGCCGGCCCTGACTCGGTGCGATTGATGGGCAACAAGATCGATAGCTCAACTGCTCTTCGAAATCCCGAGGCCGAGCGCATGAACCCGAACCTTCCTGTCTCGGAACATGACCAGCCCCATCATGCGCCTTCGGACTATCTTACTGAATCAAACCCCTACGCGTCCAATATGTACAATCGCCGCCCGCACGATCACGACGTCGATGGTGGTGCTTGGTCTTCCAGTGAAGACGATGTCACTAATGGGTATGAGATGCGGCATAATTATGCCAGGGCGCAGAATCCGGGTGCCAGTCACTCTCTGCCTCAGTATGAGAATCCTTCGTATGTCTCCCAGACTCAGCCACTGACGGGTGCGGAGATGCACTCTGAGGCCATGGCTGGTCCGGGGCGCCCGTTGACTGATGTCCCCGGTCGGGCTATGTAGAGAAGATTAAAAGGATTTACTTTTATGATCACAGTTTAGATTGCATTTTTTGCCGACGGCTTGGGCATGATTTGGAAAGATGGCTGGGTACCGTCTGTATGATTATGGGGCGTTTAGAGTCTTGCATTTAATAGCCGATTACCGAATAAAACAATCTGCATGAGTCTACTCCGTACTCCATTAGCCTCTTCAGTTGGTATGTACAGTATAGTCAAACTGGGATAGGCTGTAGGGTTGAGGGGGTCCACTTGTTGGCTTGACAACACGCACTTTTATACTCCGTCCTGCGACAAATGCGACCAGGGATCAACCAAATGCAAGCCATAGATTAAAACAAAGGGTCTATGCAAGTGACTAGAACGGATCAATAAGACAGAATCCCGTCGAGGCCACTCAGACCCGGGTTCCCCCAGCCTCCTCAATGGCGCTCTATGAGTCGCCCAGCCTCCTCGGCCCAAAGATGACGCTGCAAGATCTGTGTAAGATTCCCCCTCATATTGATCCTTTTCTGTCTTGAAATTTCACTTTTCTCCCCTGCATCTCTTTTATCGTGCATCCTGCAGCTGTTGCTGTTGCTGTCGCAGTGACATTCTAGTGTAGCCCCACGCTCATACAAACAGTCTCAATCACTAGCAACACAACCAGCAACACGATTGTCACATTCCGAAGATCTAATCTTCAAACTCTCTCAAGATGATTGGCAGTGTCTTCTTTATCTTCAACCGCTTGGTTGAGATCGTCTTCCTGATCCCAATCATTGGCATGATGGTATGTCAATCCCACCCTCACTCCAGAACACAAGAACCTCCGACCACATAGAAACAATCCATAGCTAACAAGCGCACCCTAACAGGCTTACTTCGTGAATGGTTACCTCAAAGCCAACGAGCTCACACCAGCCTACATCCTCGTCCTCTTCATCGTCAGCGTAATCGCCATCTTCTGGGCCGTCGACACCCTGATCCGCTTCTCAACAACGAAACGCTCGGCAATCTTCGTCGCCTTCATCGACCTGTGCTTCTTCGGCGCTTTCATAGCAGGAGTCTACCAGCTGCGCTTCATCGCAAACGCAGATTGCGCCAGTTGGCATGGAGGCTCGGTCTGGATCTCACTTGGTCCCTTCGGGTCTTACGGTGAAAGGACGGATAACCCGCTTGCGCTGGATGTGAATAAGACTTGTGCGATGCTGAAGGCTTCCTTTGCCATTGGTATTATGGAGGTTGTTTTCTTCTTTTGGACTGCTTGCCTTGCGATGTTCTTGCATCATTCGCATCGTGATGTTGTTGTGAAGGAGACTACTGTCCGTCGGCGGAGTCATAGTTCTCGTCGGGGCCATGGATCTGGGTCGCATCACTCCCGTCATCGCAGTTCTAGTCGCAGGCCTTCCCACTATGTTGTTTGAGAGGTCTATATGATTGACCTTGTTTCTTTTCCTGTTTTTTGGTTTTGGGTTTGGCATCTTATGGATTTTATGATGCTGATGATACGATTCGATTAATGAGACACGGACTTATATGTGTTTGCAATGGAGATTCGACTTATTGATTTCGGTCGAATCATGATTATGTGTGCTGGGGTGATGACATTTATGCCAGTGGAGAGAGCAATCTCGAGGTCTTTTTGTGATATTGGTTCGTTCTGTCTAGAATTTCAGTTCCTATTATGATCAAGATGAATTCCTTCATATTCTATTCTTTAATTAAAGTCTACTGAGCTGTAAATGCTGGGAGGTTCTGTCTTTTATACGGCTCCAATCGTGGGCAATGACCGAGTATACTACAGGAGGTGATTTAACAACACGGACTTCTCATTTAACATCTCCGCAAATATCTAATTCACCGAATAGTGGTTATTCCTTTATGGTATTAGGACCCCTATTGTCAGACTGGATACGAAAGGCCAGGCTATATAGCGGCATGATCTACTAGGCTGCTCGTATTTGCTTCACCCGTATTCAACATAAATACTACGCAAGACACCTCTCCCCTGGATTGATATTGTCCATCTCCTTCAAGTTGCAACATGCTTTCTATGGAGGGCTACAGAGGTCTCATTCGACCCATCAGCTTGCTCGTTCTTTTGGTTGCTCTCTTCTCGGCAATTCAACCAGTCGAAGCAGCAGTCCCCACATCTAAACGCTTCGATCTATCGGAGCCTTCATATGACTTATTCCGCAGCAAGTCTCTTCACGATGTAACCGTACAACAAGGATTCGCCTTCGACAATACCAATCGCAGACTGTTCGTCGCGCAACGACGCGATGGGTCTTCGGAGACCTCGGGCGATTTATGCATTACTCAACTCGACTTTGACGGCAATTACCTGGGATACATGTATCTCACAGGGTTTGGTCATGGCGTGTCTTTCGGTGCACAGGGTGGTGGGTCGTCGTCTTACCTGTGGACAGAAGTCGAAGCCAACTCGAATGGATACGGAAAGAAGCTTGCTCGGTTCAAGTTTACCAGTGGAACTACACTTTCATCTACCTCTTCTCTGCTGAAGAAGTTTGTACCTGTCTCTGGGGCTACGGAGCATACATGTTCCATTGACCCAGTGAACAACCGCCTGATCGTCCGTCACCAACTCAGCGATGGAAAACATATCGCTGTCTTCGACTTGGACAAGGCAACCGACGGGGATTTCTCCAGTGCATTGGCCAACTTCAAACATCCTAGCCTCGCTTCCAAGTCAGATACGTTCCAAGGCTATGCAGCTTATGGAGAGTACATCTATCTCTTGACAGGTACTTCCTACGACGTTGCTGGCGGAGCTGTCAACTCGGAAGTGACGAGCGTGAACATGAATACCGGTGCTGTTGTTCAGGGTCCTACTCTTACAAAGGCCGGTTCTACGCTTACTTTCCGGGAACCAGAGGGGTTGGCTATTTATCAGACTGTTGCTGGTGAGGTACGGTTGTTTTTGGGATTTGCTTCGGGCAAGGCTCGTGATAGGCGGTCGAGTTTGTTTTATAAGAATGCTTTGATTTAGAAAGAGTAAGCGTATCTACATAGGTGGAATTTGGTGCAGAGGAGAGATTTGACAATTGGACCAATGTATATAAACAAGAAACAGTGTCAACCGTGAATGCCGGCGTCGGGTAATGATGCAATCTTATAGCCGACTGCCCCGCATGTCTTCCGTCGAAAACAACAAGTGCTTCCAGCAAAAGGATGGTAGGCACCACTTAAATCAATTGAGAGGTCAAAAGTTGATCATATAATCCAGTCGGGCATTGCCATGGCTGTAACAAAGCACCTGCGGGATCCTCCCCCTTTGGATGATTTGGCAACAGTCATCGAGCGCTCTCTGCTCTCAAACTTTGCGACTGCAAGCGCAAGTGTCGTGCAATGCCCCGACCTGCGCGAGGCACCTTTCAACCTCGCTGGATCCGGGCTATCCGGAAATGCTCGCATCGGCGACGTAGGAGGCCAGCAACACCTTTTCCCTCAGCCAGTTCTCGACGCCAAATATTCAGTTCTCTCGCTCGCCAAAGACATGGAAATGTCTCCTACTAGGGGCTTCATACTAGGAGCAGGAGCTGCTCCGTTCCAAGATATTGGCCAGAATGCCGAACTGGCACCAAATCTGTCATGGAAAGCAAACGACAGTGCATCGGATTTCACTGATAAAAGCTCACTGAGCCTGGAGAATGGTACCCGAGTAATCAAAATTAACCAAGAAAACTCCCCAAAATGCGAAAAACTCCCAAGCACAAACTCCGCACTGATGATCAACCTCTTCGGCTCGGACGGCGAAACAGGTCCAGTTCTTAAGGTATCCGCGCGGACACGCACTGGCGAGGAAAATTTTACGAATTGTATACGGAACGGCTTGCGTGATACATATGGTGAATCCAGCCCTGTCAGTCTGGGCGGTGCATTCCTGCTCAAATCTGGAAGTGCCAAATTCCACGTTATGCCCGATTTCCCGCCAGAGGATCAATTGCCTTTTCGAGATCGGCAGCAGTTGGAGAAAGAGTGGCTTAGTTATCATGTTTTTGAGGCGCCGGTTGTCTGTTTGAATGTAATGCATAGTGCTGATCCTGAGGGGTTGGGGTTGAGGATGGAACATACACATTGTTTTGAAACGGGTGGAAACCGGAAGGGGGGTCATTATCATTACGATATTCAGGATGGCTGTGGGGATGTTGAGTATGAGGCTTACTTTAATGTGGCTGGGGTTGTTTATAGGATCGATAGACCTGGTGTATAATGGTGGCGAACCTAGGGGCGAGAACAGAGGTCGGAAATACACTCGTAGGTGTGAAAGGCTTCAAGGTCTATGACTATGTGATATATGAGAAATCTGTTTAAATATCGTTATGGTACTTGTGACTATGATCTCCACTGTACTTGCCTTGGCAATGATTCATATTCTTTATACTTCAAGTTTTGACATGTAATTCCAGCTTTTATTGGTATAATCTCAAGAAATCTCATCCGGAATAATTCTGTGGCCTCGTATCTACACGATCCGCAAGCTCTATAGATTCATTATGCAAGCTCAAACGCACAGTCTTGACGATCTGAAGTCCCCCAGATCCTTGAACAGGATCAATCATTGGCTCTTCATCCTCCTCCCGACCCATGAGTCGTTGTAATCTCTGCGAGGTTCGGGACCGAGAATTGGAAGCGGTCGCTGTTGAGCTATGCTTTACGGAACTAGAGCCAAACCCAGAACCACGCTCTGTGTATGCGAGCCCGTTCTTGTCTTCGTAGACCGCGAGGAAAGATTTGATAAACGCGCTCACAAGGCAAATCACGCTTAAGGAAAGATATATTTCGGTAGAGACGGTTGCGAAGGCTCCGAGAAGAATTGGATATTTGGAATCGAGCTGTCGTTTTGTGAAATAAAAACGAATCGCGGAGAGTGGAACAAGTCTAACAAGCCCGGGTTAGCTTATTGAATGAGAGGCCAGTGTTGGAAGCAAACCCACACAATCCGACTTTCAAGAGCGAGAAAGACTACTAATTTCTTCTTCGTTGGAATTCTGACTTTGTAGATCGCCATTCCAGAATATATGAAGAGCATGACTTCAGTGAACATATCGATCGCTGTAATAGCTGACCAGTGCGAAAGCTAAAAGACACTTAGTTCTCGGCTCCAAATATACGGAGGGTTGCTATTAGACGTTCTCACCAAACTTCCACATTGGGTTGCACTGATATCATTCCATGGGTCAGGGTTACAGCGAATGGCCAGTAGAAATATCGCCAGTACCATCCATATTATCATTGCTGCGAACGCGATGCGGTTTGACCGATGTTGCAGCTGGGAGAATAAGGTCCCATAGAATAGGCAAGTGATGATCTTGGAGATCCCCAATACAACAATAGCCAGGATTTCCGCGGCATATCCTATCTTGGCAGTTGTTAATGTTGGCGCGATTCAGCATATTTCCACAGAGCCCTTACCTTTAGCATGCGATGGTCTATGATCTCACTGGGTTCTTTTCGGGTGCCCCAGCCATAATGCACCTGTGTCAGAACAAGAGATACTTGGCTTATTGCCACAGCCTATCTCGACGTAATCCCACGTTAGAGGGCAGCTGCAGCAGTCCCAAGACATTGGTAGTAACCTACCACGAGTGCGCTGAACAAATAATCATCACGCTGAATAACATGTCTTCGGAAAGAAGAGAAGGCCCGCGCTGCGACCGAAATCAAGACAAAAACCAAGAATAGCGCGGTCATAATAACAATCAATCCGCTGTGGTCGTTTTCGTTGTCAGTGCTGAGAGGCGGGCTCACACCGGGAGGATAGGCTGTTGGAGAAGCCATGACAAGCTGTCAAGCTGTCTGAAACTTCCACGGTCCCTGCACAGAATATTTCGATACATGTGGACAGAAGTAGGAGGCAACTCAAGAAAAGGGGGCCGCTTCTTCTTTTGTTCTTTGTGATGTTGTCAGATTGCCTAAATCTCGAAAATATCATGCTTCTAGAACGATAAGACAGGCAGAAATACAAAATTTGCACGCAACCCTCCATGTAGGTGGACTGGCCAATAGGGCTCGCTGGGATCGCTAATCAAATTACTATATTCACATGGAGTTGCGTCGAGAATGACCGGGGTATGCGGCGATCCCGCAGGGGGGTCAGCTCAGCTTTGCCTTACCCCTTTGCCCGGCGCAAACAACTCTGCGAGAAATGTTCCATAGTGAAGGGTCAATTATTTCTTCAGCTAGTCAAGATACTCATTTGCTAAATCTTATATGACGGACACATCCGCGGCGATCTATAGGGCTGTGGAGTAGACGGGCCGAGTCCTACGCTTGAGCGCACATCAAAGCAGGATATCTCCACGTCGTCATCGAGGGATCGTGCCCATGCAGCTCATTCAGGCGTTACACATTCCTGTGAGACCTATCTTGGCGTGACTATCGCGCCTTGGACTTTCTCTCTCTCTTCCATGCTTTTTTCTGTATTCTGAACAAGCAAACATACCAAAGAACAAATCATGCTCATGTCACATAGTGAAAATAGTATCAAAATTTGCCCGCGAAATGGGCCGCAAATGCCAAGGAAGCGTGTTATACGAATGGACCGCTCAAAGAGGGGAATCCTGGGGCGTAACCTAGTGGAAACAGGAACCTGCGGGCGTTTTGGAGCGAGCTTAATTTGTAAATTTTCTAATATCTCATCTCTACCCCTCCATGTTTGAATCCTTCTTTTTCCTTTTTGGTCCTCTGCTTTTCCGGTCGGTCCCATTTTAATCGTCATGGTCTCTACAAAAGCCCCGGGGCTGGAAGCCATGGACATGGAGCTGCAGCATGTCGGCCAAAATATCCCTCCGGGTCAAACGGCTGGGACTGCATTGGATAACAGTGATATGCACCGGATGGGAAAGGTACAGGAGCTAAAGGTACGATGGCTTGTCTACACTACAGGGGCTCTCGGTCTCACATATCAAAATAGAGAAACTTACGACCTATCGCTGCACTGAGCTTTGCTTCGGTTTTGCAGGCCACATGGGAGTTTATTTTGATGTAAGTAAAACCAAGTTCAAAGAATAGAGTAAAATACCTTTAACAAGTTTGACCAGCTCTAATTCAGAGGGCTTGTCAAATGGCGGGCTACCTGGCATGTTCTGGTCCTTTTTATGGACTTTTATTGGCTTCGGCTTTATCATTGCCTCACTGTCTGAAATGGCCTCGATGGCACCGACTTCCGGAGGCCAGTACCATTGGGTCTCTGAATTTTCCTCGCCTCGACATCAGAAGTTCTTGAGCTATATCACAGGTATCCACCCCTTGCATGGAAGAGCTCCGTGCTTTGTTGACATCTATATTTCTATCACGCAGGCTGGATGTCTGTATTAGCATGGCAAGCCGGTGCAGCTTCTGGGTCATTCTTGACTGGAACCATCATACAAGGTCTGATCAGTGTTCGAGATCCAAGTTATGAGCCACAAGGCTGGCAAGGCACACTTTTCGTGTTTGCCATGGTCTTGGTCATATACATTTTCAATGTCTACGGAGCCGATGTGATGCCGGTTCTGAGTAATCTCTTGATGATTCTTCATGTTCTGTCATGGGCAGTGATTCTGATAGTTCTTTGGGCTATGGCGCCTCGACAATCTGCGGAAGCCGTGTTTGTCACAGGGTGGAAGAATATGGGTGGCTGGTCGACCATGGGGTTGAGTGTGATGATTGGACAAATTTCGGCCATTTATGGCTCCTTGAGTAGGTGTCAAGTATTTGATTACACGATATCCATACTAACAAATAACTTAGGCTCTGATGCATGCGCGCATATGTCAGAAGAGGTCAAAGACGCTGCTCGAAATGTGCCAATTGCTATTGCGTGGGGCTACTTTAGTAATGGTATCATGGCCACCATCTTACTGATTACTTACCTCTTCGCCAATCCGTCCGTGGAAGATTCACTGGATGATATCACGGGGTTCCCATTTCTGTACGTTTTCAAGAACGCAACGTCTACGGCTGGAGTGAATGGTTTGACGGCGATTATATTACTGCCCGTTATCTTCAGCAACATCTTGTTCAATGCCTCCACCTCTCGCCAGACCTTTGCTTTCGCTCGAGACAACGGTCTTCCATTTTCTCGCTGGATTGGTAAGGTCGACGCCAAGCGCCAGATTCCCGTGAACGCCATTGCTCTATCGTGCATTATCAGCTGTGCCCTTTCACTCATTAATATCGGATCCGACACTGCATTCAATGCTATTATATCCGTGAATGTCGCTGCACTGATGTATACATATATCATTTCAATCAGCTGTGTCATCTATCGGAAGATCTGGCATCCCGAGACACTTCCACTTCGTCGCTGGGATATGGGACAGTGGGGTCTACCTGTTAACATCATAGCTCTATTTTATTCCCTTTTTGCGCTGTTCTGGTCATTCTGGCCAGGTGATGTTGATGTCACTTTAGACAATTTCAACTGGAGCGTGGTTATCTTCGGTTCTGTTTTTATACTCAGTCTGGGAATGTACGTTATTAAGGGTCGGAAGGAATATGTTGGTCCTGCAGCTATTGTGGAGAAGCATGAGGATTAGTAGATATGAATCATAGGTGAAACTGTACGAATCTCACATTACTTATTGTCAAACTATATTTCATGCAAAGAGCCTTTATTGCAGCTATCTGAAAGATCACGGCTCAACATTCAGAATTCAGCCAAACTTGGACCAAATAAAGAGAGAGCAAAAGCAAGTAAAGGAGAAATCGGAATCTAAACACCCTATTTTCTTCCAAGGGCTACTGAGGATATAACATCCCTGTTCAAACACTTGGAGGGAGGTCTTACTCTCACTTCAAGATTTGCTTCAGTTTTGAGACTCGCCTGAAATCGAGGATGCTTGAGTCTCGGGATTGCTCTCCATTTTGGGTGCGGCCTCTGCCATGAGAAACCGTTCTGTCTTAAGAGGTTCTGCTATCATGAAAGACTTCCCGGTCTCCGTAATCACTCTTATGGTGGGTTGTGTCTTTGTCTTGAATGATTCTCCTGTGCTTGGGGATTTCACTATATTGGAGGCCTCCGCCGTCTTTGGGTCTGTTACCTTGGGGATCTGCTCGAGACTATGCGATGGTTCGTAATCGCCCTCAACCCTCACTGGCTTGACCCTCTTATTGTTCTGCAAAGTGACACAGAAAATAAGGGTTTCGCCACAAGCGCTCTGTAATCATACCGCCAAAGACCCCATACATCTTCATGATGATATCCATCCCCATCCTTGGCAAACGATTGGATTTGCATACGTTGTCTGGCGGATAAATGAAACAAAGATAATACTTCGGATGCATCACCTAGTTCATAGATAATCTAAGAAAGGTGAAGGATTCAATTTGAAAATTAGATTATGTCCTCCAGGCTATATACACTATTTACAACATCGGTTTAATGAGACAGTTCTTCGCGGCTTCTTCATAGATACAGATATAGCCTAGACCTTCGGGCCGTGTTCGTTAACATATACAACACTTCCAGAGGATGATGACTCTGCAACGGCAGCTGTGTCGCCATACAGCGCGCCTCTTTCAATCCCCTCAAGAGTATGGTTCTTGCTCTCCGGTATCATAAGTGTGACGAGAGCAGTGAGAAACATGACACCGGAGAATAGACCAAGAACACCTTCAAGGCTAATCGTATCTTCAACAGTACCAAAGGCAAATGCGGTAAGAATTGCACCGCATTTTCCGGCAGCGGCAGAGATGCCATGGGCTGTACCTCTAACTCGAGTGGGAAACACCTCAGCGGGGATCAAGAAAGTTGTGCAGTTGGGGCCAACGGTCAACAAAAATTGGGATAGCGCGAATATTACCATCAAGCCGGCTGTTGAGGTATGTGCGCTTTGTGTGCTAATCCCTGCCCAAATGGCATACAATATGCACACCATAATACAAGTGTAGAACTGTTGACGGACTCTGCCAATGCGATCTGGGAGGAAGATACCCACGTAGAAGCCAGGAAGGAACCCCGCAGCTTGAACGATAATATTTCCTACTGCAGTGTTGTAAAGAGTCTGCCAGGGTGTTGCGCCCTTGGCGTAGCCGATCCTGGTCAGGATGATGCTTTGATTGAGGTTTATACCGTAGTAAGCGATATCACTGTGTAGAATGTGAGTCAATATAAAGGTGCAAGGGTGTTATGTAGCTTACAACAAAAACCAAGAAGCAGCTGTCGCAAAAAGTACTTTTGCATGACGGATCTCACGGAAGTATTCGCGAAAGTCCCTCCACTGCTCGCTAAATCCCCGTTTTTGTCCAGCAGCATCGTCACAGACATCTGGATCTTGTCAATATATGGAAATCACTGATACAGTCGAGTCTCTCACATTGTTTATAGGGGACAGTCTCTGAAATTGTCAAGCGAGCGTAAAGGGTGAAAAGTGCAGGAATGATTCCAATTCCCAACAGTAGTCGCCACACCCATTCGAGATGATTCAGGTCATTGGATACAGCTCCTTCAAATGCCTTGAGTAATACAAGGAAGACAATGCTCGCTGCGATGTTGCCCAGTCCGATGTTCGAGAACACAGTCAATACCTGCACGGCACGGGAGCCAAATGGTGACTTTTCCGCGGATAGAGATGAAGATAACGGATAGTCTTTCACAAATTAGCCCTTGACTTCCTGTCACACGATGACTTATAGCATACCAGCTCCAATTCCAATACCAGTCAAAACACGGAACACAGCAACCCAAGCGGTGACAGACTGTGCTGTCATACCATTCCAAGGCAATAAAATCACCATCAGGGTTCCGAGAATAGTGAGCAGTAGCTCTTTTCCGTATATAGTGTGACGACCCAATACATCACTGAGGACTCCAAATAAAAGCTGACCAGCAACCATGCCTAGACTTAGGCCACCTTTGATAATGTCACTGTTGACTGATGGGACTTTGCCATCTTGGAAATATAGATAACCAAGAATTGGTACCACTATATGAAGTTAGAATGTGTTTTCAAGCTCCTAGTTGAATCACTCACCGAGTCCAATTGTGAGATTGAGGTAGCCATCTGCAAAAAATCCCACACCCGCAGTAACCACGAACCTCAATTTGGCACCTAGGGAGGCCATTGAAGCAAGTAAGATATATATAAAAAATCGCTGGAGGTAGAAAAAGATCAAAGATGCATGAGTAACTGTGTTTCACGGCGAACAAGAAGCATATCGGCCTTTTGTGAAGATGTACACTTCGCCATCATCAAATGCTTGGTATCATAATTTGAGCAACATTGGCATGTCGGCGAGAAGAACCGGTCTTTCACCTGTCAGAAAAGAAGTGTAGCATTTCGAGGCAAACTTCAAGATGCAATGAACGACGTGAAAACCACCACGGGGTATATAAAACGTGCATTGGAAAGACCAGTCATTGGCGCACGTGCCGCCCACGTGCTCATGTGCGCCCAGACCCTCCCGATCGTCTCAGTCGAGTCTCCACCTGGGGTTGACGGGGCATATATCTTCGGTGCGAAGTCCGTCGAAAGCCATGTTCATTATGTTTGCGTTGATTGGCGTTGATGAGCTGAATTTATCATTCGTCTTATTGGTCTGATAGAGAACTGGTGCAAATAGTGCAATTTGATATCAGTTTCAACGATCAGTGATAGCACTCTGCTACATCACAGCATCAACTATCATGGACATTGAGTTGCCCTCTCCGCCGGCTGTGAGTGCCTTGCGAGAGTCATTTGGTGATCGCAAGCCTCCGGATATCACCCGCAAGATCACCGCCTGTGTGGCATGCCGAAAGCAAAAGGTGAGCCTTATCTTCAAAATCACCGCTACAGCGACTGATAGGATGGACAGGTGAAATGCCATATGCGAGAGGGTCAGATGCCTTGCTCTAGGTGCAAAAAGCGAGGTCTCTCATGCAGTGTGAATAGAAGCCTGCAGACATTACTAGAAGAGGATGTCACGTAAGCACCTCGCGTCCGTTGGTATTACACGTTCCTAAAGGACCCCAGATGGAAAGGCGCAGTGGTACAGAAGATGCGGCGACTTGAAGAGGCAGTTGCAAGCATCGCGACAAAAGTTGGAATGCCTGAACTACAAGCTTTGCAAACCTTACAAGCTGGCCCTGAACCCGAGGACCAATCTATAAGTCTGACCAGAGAAGTTGTCAACCAGGACCCTTCTCCATCAAGTCAACGAAGGGACTCAGCAGAAGACCATGAGCCAACACAGACATGGGAAGTCATCATGGACCCCCGTGGTGGCCCTGCTTCTATCCCGGCATCTTGCGTCTCTGAAAGCGGGAAAGCAGGTTTGCCAAATGCCATGGCAACTTCCCGTCGTCCAGATCTTATATCTACGGGACTGGTCTCATTGCGCCAGGCATTGGCACTTTTTGAGACATATCATCTCAGACTGGATCATTTCCTTTATCGCATCCTGGGAGATCATATCAGTTTGGACTCCGTCCGGATTGCATCGCCACTGTTGACGGCGGCAGTCTGCACAGTGGGAGCTTTACATTCTCAATCACTCGGGTATCTATTCGAATCGTGCTATAATGAGTACAAATCACTCGTCGCGACACAGATGTTCTCGAGAAACGTGAACCAGGACGACATTCGTGGTCTTTGCGTCGGTGCATTTTGGCTACATGAGCTTTCTTGGGCCTTGATCGGAAACGGTATGTGATCTAAACTTCTTGGTTCTCTTGATACTAACCAGACTAGCTGTCCGTACTGCATCAGACATCAATCTTCACAGTGGAATTTATAAAGCTTTGAAGGGTGATCGTGACGGTTATCTCCAAGCTCGACTTTACTATCTGGTTTACGTCTGTGACCATCATTTTTCTATTGCCTATGGCCGACCTCCCATGTCCAGAGAAGGTTTCATTATCGATTCTGCTAGCAGGTTGTTAGAAACCGAGCATGCGACTGAGGATGATGCTAGGTTAATAAGTCAAGTCAAAGAATGGTCCATTCTCGGCCAAGTCTTCGATACCTTTGGCGTCGATGTTGACACCCCGATTCTGCTGCAGACATTACCTCAGTTGCGTCGATATTCAATTTCCCTCGATACCTGGTTTGCAGACTGGAGTGAAAGCTTCAAAGCCAATCGAAATGTTGGAAATTACCCTCAGAAGGGAGTTGGGTTCCACTTCCATTTTGCAAAGCTTTATCTTTGCTCACACGCTTTTCGTGGTGCACCAATATCGGACGATACACCGCAGTGCATGTCACCTGAACTGGAAGAGATCGCCAACGCTGGTGTTCTATCGGCAATGTCCATCCTGCGAGTCATTGTTTCTGACGATGAATTTCGATCTTTCTTGAACGGACTTCCACTGTACTTTGATACCATGCTCGCATTTGCCGTGGTCTTCCTCCTTAAAGTTGCAACCAAATATGCGACTGTGATTCGTATTGACACGGACAAAATTCTATCACTAGTTGCTCAGACGGTAGCTGCTCTACGAGATACTACGCAGTCTATGCACAAGCAGCACATACTTGTGGTAATTAGTGAGGGTCTAGAAAGACTATTGCACAGATTACCCACACACTCTGCACACGAAATGGTGCAAAAAGCTCTTCTAGTCCCGGAACAGCAACTAGGATTTGATCTGGGGTGGATGGAAAACATGGCCAGCTTTGATTTTCAGACTCACTTCCCCGACGTTGATGACTGGTGGTTGCATTATAGTACATCTATTGGCCCCGGGACGCGTTCAATGATGCCATGATAGGCGAATATCATTTCGACCAGTTGAGCACAAGATCAAAGATGTCGTAGCTCCTCCAACCCTTGTTGACTCTAACGCTGGTATTGTTCAACGGCTTCGACATGATGACTGGAATGTCTTGCTCGCTCAATCCCCCATGCGATCGCAAAGGATGATCTTTCAAGTTCGAAAGGTCATGGTTGGCTTTTGTACTCCCGATAACGGCGTGTTTCTTCGAAATCACGACGATGTCTCCTTCACGATCCAGAAGCATCTCATACTTCTCTGCAGCGTCACGGCCACTGAGAGAAATCTAAATTTCTGGAAGCGATTGACAGAAGCGTACCATCTCATCTAGCTGTCTGATATCCTTGAGACAGACACGCACGAACGAGCCAAGTGCTCCATGGTGTCGGACAAATGGATCCGTAATGGGGCAGATCACTCTGGAAGCATCCGGTCCAAACTTGGAATTGAGTACCTCCTCTAAGAAGAGAACGTTGGGCTCCCCTAATCTATTGGACTTTTGGCTCATGCCATGGTCCCCAGTGACACCGACGGTAGGAGCCAAAGCAGCGAGATTTTGCAATCGTTGGTCAATGGCACCCATGAATTCATCAGCCTCTTTGCTCCCTGGTTCGTGTTTGTGCTGGACGAAGTCAGACAATGTCAAATACAAAAAGTCTGATCTTTTCTCGTGAAGCAACTTCACTCCGGCATCGAGAACGAAGAGTGACAAATCTCCCGTGTATTGACCAGGTGCGGTCTGGCCAAGCCACTTTTCCACATCGTCAATACCGTTCTCCTCAAGGGTACATTCTGCGGCTTTCTCCGACGAGAAACAGATGGACCCCTTCAGCCCGTGAGCGAGGATCTTTCGCAACTTGTCCTTTGCTGTAATAGCAGCAATGCGCACGCCTCGCTGGAACATTTGCTCCAGCAACGTGCAGCCTCGAAGCAAAGAGTCATCAGTGACCATCTTGGTTTCGCCTGTCTCTCGGTCCAAGAAGAAGTTTCCTGCGATTCCATGGACAGATGGTGGCGCTCCTGTGATAATTGATACGTTGTTTGGGTTTGTGAACGAAGGCATGCAGCTCTTGGCTGTGGCATGGAACCCACTTTCAAGGAACCTCTTGAGTGTAGGCAAAAAGCCCCGCTCGATGCCAGACTGAAGATACTCCGGATCAAATCCATCAATACAAATCACCACTGTCGGCTGTGTTGGTAGACTGTATTCCCTAGAGTGGAGCTTGAACTTTGATCGAGATTCTGCAATTTTATTCAGTACTTTCCTGGTTCCTCGTTGTAGACATACTCACCAAGAAGACATTCGAAGGCTATTTCTTCATACGCTTCCAATGGAGGTACCACGCACTTGGGTACTTTGGCAAGATCATCCCATCGCCTAACGGCAAGCATAGCCTCGAGCAAAGGATCCTCCTGGGCCTTGCGGATCTCGTCGGGTGTGAACCCGCCACCCTGTAATCATTAGTTCTAATCAACAAGGCAGGCCAAGAACCCATACCTGGAACTTCAATGTCCTTTTACTAGTCTCACTCAACCCATCATGATATCCCTGATCAATAGCAACTAAGTACCGCTTCGCCATGACATGCGCCCCAACAAGCTTGCACACCTTCTCGCTGAACCCAATTTGTCGTAGATAGGCCTCTCCGAGAACTTCGTGGCTTTGCCGACCAATGTACTGTCCATCTGGCGTGACCATCTTACCCATCTTCTCTGCGGCGGGAATGAACCGTCCGACATCGTGCAAAAGCGCAGCAAGAACGACTTCGATGTCATGTCCGTGTTCCGTAGACTGGGCGGCAAGGTGTGCACATTGTAGCGAATGCTCCAATTGAGTCACTTGTTCGCCGAGATAGTCGCCTTGTCCTTGCGCGTGCAAGAATCGGAAGAGGGTTTTGATTGTTGCGCGAGTATGCTCCTTGACTGAGGGGAGGGGTTGCTCACTCTGGAGATTTGGCATCTTCAGAGCCATGTTGATGGTGCCTGGTGAGGTATTTTGCCCAAAGTAGGAGTCTAGAAGGTATGCTACCACCGTGGAATGTGTTCGTTGACTGCTTTATGTACTGTGCGGTTGATAGAGTCATCTATGAAAACCCCCCTTATCAACCATAGTTAGAAAGACATGGAGTGCAAGTTCAAGGCAAGAAGTCCGGCTCGATAATATCTACCTACCTGGCTCGTATCCCCATTACGCCACCTGTAATAATCCTCCAGCAAATCGTCAAGCAGACGTCTATTTCGTCGTCGGCACGAAGCCCGTTGGTCTGTGCTGTATACTTCGGGACGAACACCTGAGAAATGTCGACTTTCGGACGCGACGCCGATCATGGATATCCACTCAAAGGCCAGTTGGGGCTAAAGCTTGTCAATTACAATTAAATGGAGAAGATAGGGTCTAGTTGTGCGGCTGGCCTTAATTAAAAGACGCTATGGCTGGTCTGATTCCGGCCTATTAAAGCCCCTCTATCACCAGGATGCAACTTTCATTTCGAGATTCTGAAGATCGCCATCTCATTTTCTTCCTATCTGACTCCCATCTTGGACAAGCAGAGATGTCGCCTCTCACTTCTGAGCAAAGAGCTTCCTACCACGAAAATGGCTACCTCCTCCTCCGCGCAAGCGAACACCAACTTGTCGATCCTACAGCTCTGCTCCAGTGGACAAAAGAAGTTCAAGCTTGGCCCCGCATTAAGGGCAAGTGGATGCCCTATGATGAAATCAACATCAACGGCGAGCGCCAACTGATGCGCACGGAGAAATTTATCGACTATCACCCAGAATTCAAATCGCTCGTTTGCGGCGAGAGACTAGCCGAGATTTTGAAGGCTGTCTCAGGCGATGTAAGAATCTGATGCTAAATCAAATACAGGAAAAATCTAACGATTCATTGAAACTCAGGACATGCTTCTCTTCAAAGACAAAATCAACTACAAGCAGCCCCAAGGCAACGGTTTCCAAGCTCACCTTGATGCACCAGCCTACGACCACATTGGCCGCATTGAGCATGTCACAGCAAACATTGCCATTGATGCGGCAACACCCGAGAACGGGTGCTTGGAAGTCGTCCGCGGATCCCACAAGATGGAGGTCGAGTTTGCTGACGGTGGCCGGATCACGTCTGCATGGGAAGATGCGCACGAATGGACTTCTGTTCCTCTGGATATGGGCGACATGTTGGTATTTGGATCTCATTTGGCTCACCGTTCAGCTGAGAACAAGACTGAGAAGAGTCGCTCGAGTCTTTATGCTACTTTCCACTCCAGGAGTGACGGTGAAGATCTTAGGGAGAGATACTATAAGCATCGGATGGAGATGTTCCCACCTGAGCATGGTAAGTCTTTCCATTCAAGATTGAGTTGCTCGTGGGATATATTGCTAACGTGTACTTTAGAGCGTGTCGAGGGCAAGGACTATTCACAAGGTTACAAGACCTACGGTTTTGCGGCTCCATTCACCACAATGAAGGATAATGCAGTTGCGACTCCCGTCATTGCTACTTAGTTTGCAAATGAAACTAGTCTAATAAGTTGAATATTTGTGATTGGTTTGATTTCCATCTTGTTCCCGAGGTAGTAGAAGCAAGCCCCGAAAATCTCATAGCAGCGAATGATAACTTATCGCTAAAACATCCCCTCGCGCTTTTTCTCGGCGATATAATTATGATCTTTCGTCACAGTTCTCTCAGTGTTATTGATACTCAGCTCCTCATTTAGCGACGTACCAATTGGGGCACGTCGATTGGTCTTGCAATTCTCAGTGACCTGCTAAGATAAGACGGTGTAGGTATGACATGGTGGTTTTTGAATCTGAGCTTCCAGAGCCCCCCCCCCCCCCCCCCCCCTCTCAAGATGCGCACGAAGCAAATTTTCCTACATTTGAGGCGAAATATCCTACTCAGCTGGGCATTGGAGAATAGAGAACAAACCATAAATGTGCCTATAGGGCCACACCAAAATTAGCCAGAATTTTGTTCCAGAATTTGGAGCTCATACAGCGTGATATCTCATACTTACACCACTTTCGATCTTCCAATGTCAGCAACAGCGGTAAGTGCTATATTGCAGCTGCGAAAAGACATTAGTTAGCCCATCATACTTATGCGCTAAAATCCATTCCAGTTGACGTTTCCTGTGCTGAAGTACGGGCTTTCCAGCTGCTCCGAGTTCACATAGACTGTACTTGAGCAGTTGAGCAGTTGTCGCGTTCTTCGAGGTTGAATTTGTCTAGCGCTAGCTCATAGCGTTCAGTAGTGCATGTCTGGCCACACATCACGCAAAGAACAGGCCTGATATTGATAGGTCTAAATGGATACAATTCAGGTTTTGTTTTAAATAGTTGGAGGGTATATATGGAACACACGTATTCCCAATTTTTTTTTATTGAATCATGTTAATTTGCCTTTAGGTCCAAAGTTGTGTGGAGTTCCGGGTCTAAATTGAGCCTCATCTTTTGAAGCTTTTGGGTGGAAACTTAAAATCGCCTTACATAGCTCACCTTGAAAACGATATATAAGATATCGAAAATGGCATTTCAAAATTGATTGAAATTGCAGAGCTTTCGTCTCAAAGTCAATAGAACTTCCATTTTGTGCGTTTACTCACTAGGGTAAACAAGAAGAAGGTTATATGCAAAAAAGAAGTACAGCCCGGAGAAAAGCCACGAAAATAGAAAATTCCAACCGAAAATGTACAATAGACATCAAACATAAAGCCAGTTCTAGAGACATAGCTCAATACTCCTGGTATAGGGGCATAACGACATCCCCAACCATGATCGTCCTGCGATCCGGGGTCTCAGAGTCAAAGCCCTCCCCCTCTTCGGGAGAGAGAGTAGAATACCTACCAAAGGAAACCTTCCCATCAAAATTTCGAATTTTCGAAAGAGTAGAGAAAGGCTCATCTCTTCTGACGCCAGTAAACTGGTCAATGCAGACCATCTGGCAACGCTGGCACGCATCCAGTGCGTCAAAGCGAAGTTGACTAGGTCCGATTCGAAGGGATGACCATCGATCCTCTGCGTAGGGCTGTTCTATGTCACCACGTTGGGCGAGTCGTTCAGCGACGACAATGTTACCGCGGAAGACATCTGCGGCAACTGTCTTGCTACCCCCGTGCTTGGTGTTAGCTTTGATTGTCTCATTGAGACGGTTGACAGATGAGCGCGAGATAATGAGAATCGGTGATTCATTCGATAATGTAATTGAAGTTAGACCTTGCTCGCGGGGTGGTGGCGGAAGATCAAGTGGGAAAGAGCCGGGCATGATGAGTTTGCGGAAACGGCTTTTCCATGTGCTGGGTGTGCGTGTTGGCCTTGAATACCGGTTTCCAGTCTGTGATGGGAATCTCGCAAGGGTGCAAGGCACGCCTAGGAAATCCGAGAAAAAGGCTGAGACCACGGGCGACGTGTATGCATGAAGGGAAACGGTGTCACCGCAAACTTTCGCAGACTTTTTATTCGAACTTGCGCAAAATGAGGTCGATATCACGCTGGTGTCTTCCCAGCCAAGTGAGATCTCGAGACTGACTTGATCGGATGCGGCTATCGCGCCACAAGTGATACGAAGAACGCCTTTGTCGATGTCGATCGAGGGTCGTATAAGGCACATTCTGGGATACCTATTGGTCGTTAGCGCCTGTAGTCCCCTATTTCATGTTAGAAACGAACCTCTTCTGATTCAACGCCGCTCCAGTCCCTTGATGAACGAGGCACCACTCTCTATCCCAGGCCAATCCTTCTCTTTTTACATCCCAGCGCTTTCCCTCGGGTATCTTGAAAGCACCACAACTCTTGATTGGGAAAACTGAGAGGCTCTCGACATAGAAATGAGGAGCCACAAATTCAATTTCGCCCATAGGAGGGTCCAGAGCAACAATAGGGGGAATTTTTTCGACGTAGAATTCCTCGACAAAGTTGATCAAGTAATTGACGTCTTTCATGTTTGACATCGCACCAAGACTAACACGCAAAATACCTGTTGGTCGACCTCCAATAACATCATGACTGTCTCCACAGCGCAATCCAGTCGAGTAGTGCCGGCGAAGCTCAGGACCAGTCCAGCCAAGAGAAGAGGCAGTTCCGCCAGGATTGCACACCGACCCAGAACGCAATTGAAGGTTTTGAACAGTAGCCAATTTCTCGACTTCTGTCTTGGGCACAAAGTCACCCCGACTATTACGCAGATTGAACGCGATAATCGGGCCTTGGGTATCTGCACTTCCGAAGGTCGAGCTTCCTTGATATAATTGGCAGACAGGCGTATCATTGAAATGTGTCAATAAAGAAAGCCGATCATAGGCCTGCTTTGCGAGGAACCGAGTGTGTGCTGAAACATTGGACATTGAGCCATACAGACGTGTATGTGTATCCATAGCCGCATCAAGGGCAATAATGCTGTGGAAGGGAAGAGTACCATCTTCTAGCCTCTCATGGATTGAAGTCTCCTTCTTTGCATGCCATTGTGCCCCGGTTGCTAGGACCATGTCAACTGTGCCTCCGCCAAAATATCGCCGTCGTTCGAATGCCCTCGCGGCGCTTTTGCGAACGATCAAAGCGCCCAGATCAGGGAATCCAAAGATTTTGTAAAAGCTAAGCGCAGTAAAGTCAGGCGCAGATGATGCCGGACCCAGATGAAGTTGAGCAGTTGATACGAGCGAAGCAGCATCAAGCAGTGTGAATATATTGCCTCCACTTTCGTTGGCCGCGGATCTGATCTGCTCACACCAGCGAATCGGTAGACGTCGTCCGTTCATATTGGACTGTGCAGGATATGCGATAAGTCTAGGAGCTTTCGATTGCCTGGCAGCCAGCTCCGAGATACCAGTCTCCATCTCATCGTCACTTTGGAAGCACTGGTATCCCATCTCAGCTAGTTCTCGTACTCCAACGAGACTAGTATGGGCATCGATATGATAACCATACCAAAAGCCTCGATGGTCCGAGTCCCGTAGCGAATCTGCAACCAGCTTTATACCAGCGGTTGCATTTGCTACAAAGACAAGATCGAACTCGTCTGGGTCTGCATTGAAGAATCGCAATACTCGGAGTCGGATATCATCTGTCCTCTGTGTGGATATCTGGGATGATATAGACATCGAGTGAGGATTTCCAAAGAGATTTGATGAAAGATCACGAGAGAAGGCTTCGATCATAGATTTGGCATAAGGGGTTGTCCCCGCATGATCAAGATAGGTGGTTTCTGTACGATAAGAGAAATATGGTTAGTATGGGTTGTATCGTATAATAATGGAGGTGCTTGTACCATTGAGTAGAGAATACTCTTGCTCTCGGATGGTGTCCACATCCGCCGAGTAGCCCTGGCTATACTCAGGGGAGACAAGCCTTTCAGTATCTGACTCTGCCATGGTGGGGAGAGTCGATGGTCAGAGTTCGAATTCGGGCTGTAGGATTATTTCCCCACAGGCGTTCCACGGCCTTATACGACGAAATTGAATCAGAGATGAGCCGCAGCTTGACAAACAGCGGTCTGAGGACGACCACTCTCTTCAGATAATGATACCTAATAGTGACATTAGTCCAACGTTCGGTGCGAATATACAGAAGATCCACAAAGAGACTGCATGCATTCCTGTACAACCATGCAATATAAAAGGTCACGAAGAGGGGGGTCCTTACAGATAACGCGGCTATAACTATAGCATCGGTAAGCTCCGAAGCAAGGAGATCAATCAGCCAGTAGGCGTCTCGTGTCTGATTCCCTCTAAAGGAACACACTGGTAGTAAATGAGAAGCGAACCAATATGTATCGACTTCTCCATGGCCTTTATAGGTATCTTTTTGCGAGGGTAAGTTGGGAATGAAAAGGACATGACCGGGGGTCGCCCCAGTTGTGCAAACCCCTCCGCACGTGCATTGCATACAACTCGGCTGCGGTGGCAATAGCGTCAACCATAGCGCCACCACCTCGTGTTGGCTGTTTCCTACTGTTCCCACGCACTATTTGCCTATTCCCACGGCCTGCAGGGCCCGTCACTACATACCCACTATAGTATGTCCATGCATCAATAACACACTTTTTTAAAGTCTACTTAGAGGAGAGATCAGGATTGGGGCCACAGGTTCGCATGACCTATGATCGATATATGAGCAAATATGTTCTCCCCGATCTGTATGTGGAGAACACTTGTGTAGTTCTAGCCAAGTGATGCATACTGTTACCATTTATCATCACACCCTCTCAATATTCCCTGCAAAAGCAAACCTGCATGGACTCTCAGATTTCAGCTGGGGGCCTAAGCACTGCCACTGAGGTAGCATCAGAAGCCAGGCTTACCCATCCAATTGGTATCTATTGATCTACTCGAGAAGTGAGCCTCCGATTGGTAATCGTGTGGCTTGCCAACGTCCAGCAGCTGACAAGAATACGGACAATGAGAGACATGGATATTGAGTTGGATTTTCCACAGATACCAAATCAAGAACAGCGTAGCCTAGTAATCCTGCAGGATCACTTGGAACAACGGGGTTGTTGGATGATTTCAAATTTCTTGCATGATTTTATTAACTATATTTAACTATTGGTTGTTAACAAGGCTAGTTTTTATCAACTGAATGTTCAGCTCGGCTCAGCTCGGGGCTTCTACCAAATGCAGTTTCACTGTGCCATTGTTGATGCGTTGTCGTTGGCGGTTAATCCTTTGTTGGTTTTTGGGTAGTCGCTGTTGGTTTTTGATTGCCTGCATGTTGGGCTGGACAGACCCTTGTCCGTTCAACTCCTACTGTTCTGGGTCTAGCGAAGAGCCCGCATAATATGCAAAGTATTCTCTCAGATACCATTAGGCTATGAGATTGTAGGTCGTATTGTACAGATGGTGTGGATAGTATACTTCAAAAACAAAACTCCATCCCAAGCTCCTGCTATGGCTCGTACAAGTCTCTATGCTAACGCGTTGCAGGAAGAGATCTATGAGCATTGAGAAAGCCGATTTGAACCGACCAAGAAAGGAAAGAGAAAAGAACATGGGTAAAGGTGGCCGGGGCTGCAATTTACCGCTTGGGCCATTGCTTCCAGCCACGTCCGTGGCCTCTCTGTTTATTGATATTAGCATTATCCCAATAGAAGTATGGATGTAGATTGATACGAACCTGCTTCCACAAGCGAACCAATTCCGGCATTCCCTCCATCGCTTTGCGACGTTCTTCGAGACGAGACTCCATGGTACGCTCCCACTTGTGTCCCTTGACCTTCTGTCCAACACCAGTACCCTTGATAGCCAATCCACGCTCGGCCCGTCGTGTTTCCTTGTACTCGGTTGATTTCTGGCTAGGGGGAAGGAGGCCCTCAGCACCGTATTTGATGGCCAATTTCATCAGATCAGCCTGTTGACGAAGACCGTATCGTGGTGCTTCCCATTTACCATATCTCTTATTCGGCAAAAATGGGTTGCGGAGTTCTGTGGTGGTAATGAGCAGTGCTTTTGAGGGAGTCCAGGCTCCCTTTTCCAATCCAGCTGAGCCCTTCGCATCACGATCGGGTGTATATGGCGATGGGACTTCGCCGGATGCTTTTTCTTCTGATAGCTCTGCGCTCAATTTAGAGAAGTCAGGGCGACGGACGGCGGCCGAGTGGATTTCCGGAGGATAACGAGCGAGAAAATTCCGCAAGCGAAGAGGGAGATCGGTGACAGACTTCGCGTCCTTAGGGAGAACAGGTTTCATGGGAGGCATAATGGATGCAGAAAATGGGTTGGCCCCCGGCTGCGCGAATGCTCTTGCTGGTGAATGCTCCAGTCAAAAAGTCAAGGCCCGGAGCACACTAAGGTTCGGGAGGATGCCTTAGGCGGAAAGATGTGTTTCTGCCATAACAGACGAGCTGCTTCCCGTACCGCCGGATATACCACTTGCTAGGTCGTACACTGGTTCTAACAGAGGCTGGCTTAGGTAATACCGTGACGAGTCACGCTAAATTGAATAGAAACATGAATGGATTAAGCCCATTTAGCGAACGTCACATTGTCGGAACTCATCGATAACACCCTGAGAATTTGATGTTCTGTCAATTTACTGCCGGCAGAACGACTTTCGGCAGAATAGTGATGCTGCGTGTTTCTGTCATAATTTGCGGTGATAACGTCGATGCCATTCTGACCGCCTCTCCACCGCTCAACAGACCGCCCGTATGTCGCCTCGATTATGTCTCCTCCAGGTGCGCACGGGTACAGACCGTCCGGGATGTTTAGTCATTCTGCCGCTCCCGCCATTGGACTTCCGTCTTGAGTTTCATCTCTCTTCGGCTTTTCAGCTTTTGAATCCAGCAGCAATCTCCTTCCTTCGCAGAATACATTGTTATCGCTGCACCTTATCCATATCTGCTTTACCATCTAGCTCATCGAACTTTCAGTTTTCCTGTTCTGCGACGATGGCGGACTTCCAGTATGGCGGCTCCGAGGAAGAAAACGCGGAGTTGAGAAAGCTCGAGACTGAGCTGGTACGTGTCGCGCGCGCATATTCAATGAACCCCCCGTTGATAAACACTCTATACAGGTCGATGACCCGGACAACTTTGAAACCTGGGAGAAACTGGCCCGCGCAGCCGAGACCCTTGAAGGCGGGATTAATCGCAACTCCAACCCCCAGGCCATCACCACCGTGCGCGCCGTTTACGACCGCTTCCTCGCCAAGTTCCCTCTTCTCTTTGGCTACTGGAAGAAGTATGCGGACCTGGAGTTCTCGATTACCGGCACCGAAGCCGCAGAAATGGTATGGGCACAACGTATTTCCGTTACCGAGTGACGTCCTGCTTCTAACACTTTGAATCTAGGTCTACGAGCGAGGCATCGCCAGTATCTCGCCATCCGTTGACCTGTGGACCAACTTTTGCTCCTTCAAGGCTGAGACCTCTCACGATGCCGATGTGATTCGAGAGTAAGTATATAGCCACCTGGCTTCCTTCCCTTACACTATAACCACCGATATAGCACGCGAATAACCTCGTGATGCCGGTCATGCATGACAACTGGATACTTCCCTGTCCAGCGGTTTTGATGGGTGAGAGACGTTGTTTTCCCACCCGTATTGAAGTGGAGTTTACTTCTCACCCTAGCTCTCAGGCTGCTTTTCATTCCTACCTCAAAATATCTCCTCTTGTACTGAAACTCAGGAGCATTCTTCTGCGATTGCCTTCTACGAAGCACTGGATACATTCACTATCGCTTGATCGGTTCTCGCGGACGGACAGAGCTCAAGGCTCATGTTTGACCGCTCTATTTCTTTCCCCCTTCACCGCTCCTTTCTCTCCAATCGGCCAAATGGCTCAGCTCATGCGCATTGTGCTAACATTACCAATTGAATAGGTTGTTCGAACGAGGTGCTAGCAGTGTTGGTCTCGACTTCCTCGCGCACCCTTTCTGGGATAAGTACATCGAGTTCGAAGAACGCATCGAGGCTCATGATAAGATCTTCGGAATCCTTGCTCGGGTCATTCACATCCCTATGCATCAGTATGCACGCTACTTTGAGCGGTATCGTCAGCTGGCCCAGACACGTCCCCTGGCTGAGCTTGCGCCGACAGAGATTCTTGGCCGCTTCCGTGCCGAGCTAGAGTCCGCCTCTTCCGATGTTCCCCCAGGAGCCAAGGCCGAGGCTGAGATTGAACGAGATCTCCGATTGCGCGTCGATAGCTACCATCTTGAAGTATTCACCAACACGCAGACGGAAACCACCAAGCGCTGGACCTTCGAATCGGAAATTAAACGTCCATACTTCCATGTCACTGAACTTGATGAGGGCCAATTGACCAACTGGAAGAACTACCTCGACTTTGAGGAAATTGAAGGTGCCTATGATCGGATTCAGTTCCTCTATGAGCGAGCGCTGGTGACTTGTGCACATTATGATGAGTTCTGGCTTCGCTACGCTCGCTGGATGGCAGCCCAATCGGGCAAGGAAGAGGAGGTTCGCATCATCTACCAGCGTGCCGCATATCTGTATGCTCCCATTGCCAACCCCACCGTTCGTTTGCACTATGCCTACTTTGAGGAGATGTCCGGCCGTGTGGACGTTGCCAAGGATATCCACAGCGCCATTTTGATTTCGCTGCCCAACCATGTTGCGACCATTACTTCACTTGCAAACCTTTGCCGTCGTCACGGAGGTCTCGAGGCGGCAATTGAAGTCTACAAGACGCAGTTGGATTCGCCAGAGTGTGAGATGGCTACCAAGGCCGCTCTTGTTGCCGAATGGGCCCGTCTCTTGTGGAAGATCAAGGGCGTTCCGGACGATGCTCGCATGGTCTTCCACGAAAACCAGCAGTACTACCTTGACAGTCGGCCTTTCTGGGGCAGCTACCTCATGTTCGAAATTGAGCAGCCCACGAGCGCAGCCACTGAATCAATTCAGTACGAACGCATCAAGCAGGTCATTTCCGACGTTCGATCCAAGAGCACCCTCTCCGTTGAAGCTGTCAAGGATCTCGTACAGGTCTACATGTCTTACCTCCTCGAGCGGGGCACTAAGGACACAGCAAAAGAGTACATGACCCTGGACCGAGAAGTTCACGGGCCCGCATCGGTTGCCTTTGCACGCACTGGAGGCACTGCGGCTGCTCCTCTTGCTCCTGCGGAGGGTCACCCCGCCTCAATCCCCTTGATGCCCACTCCGAATGATCCAACTGCAGAGCAATATGCTTACTATCAGCAAGCTGCTGTGAACGGTACCGCAGGTGCCTGAACATTCAAGCTACGACTCCAATAGCCGATGGCTGCGACCTTGAATTTTTTCTTTTACGAATGGCTTCTTCTTTCGAAGCTTTGATCCCCCCCCCCCCCTCTCCCCTTGGTGATTTTCCCTTGGTCACTTACTCCTCACGCTTTGATACCAGGGTGGGTGGATTTTTTTTCATGTAGCATCACCCCCGTTTCCCCGCTGTGGACTGTTTGCCTTTTACGTTTTTGTCTAGCGCTTCTGATGCCGTCAACGGGGTCAGCTTCGACTTGTTTTGTCAGATGGTTAGCGACTCCCCCACTGTGTCCTGGCCATGACCCAAACAAGCCCGGATCTCTTGTGATCCATTGTAATCTACTGGTTTGCCCCTGAAATGAAATTAATCCATGATTGTGTCTTTTCTCGTAAACTGTATAGAATGAAGTAGTTCATCAAGTGGTGCAGTCACGTGATTACGCGTCTGGCGATGTCATCTGCCGTAGAAATTCGAGATTCCACCAGAGCTCCGAACTTCCATTAGCCGTCGTTTTTGCCTCAACCAAGCTCATGATGGATGGAATAGTGACCACAGGTTCCGAGAGATCACCTCCACACCCTCCACCTGAACCGATTCAACGCCCGCCCAGCCCACCTCCCCCTCCACCTGAAGATTCGGCCGCGCCTCCGCCGCCACCAGATACCGCAGCTCCTCCGCCTCCTCCAGATGATATACCACCCCCACCGCCCGCGGAGACTAAGAAGAAGCAGGGATGGGGCACCAAGCGGCCGGCAGCAACTCCATTGAGTGTGGAAGAGCTCATCCGCAAGAAGAAAGAAGCTGATGCGGCCACGGCGAAGGTGAGTCTGTCTTCCTTCGGAGAACATATCGCAGCGCAAATACATCAGGAGATTATGCTAACATTCACTTCTTTTATGCAGCCCAAGTTCTTATCAAAAGCCCAACGAGAAAAAATCGCATTGGAGAAGCGAGCCCAAGAGGTTGAAGCAGAACGGCAAGCAAAGGCCCGCGCCAACGGCGGGGATCGCAACGGGTTCGCCGCGGAGACATCTTCAGCAAGACCCCACGAGCCAAGGAACAATCGCGATGACCAAGAAGCTAGAAATTTTCCCACTGGACCACGATCGATGCGCGATGAAGCCCCGACTGGACCTGCTGCCATGCGGAAGGGAGGTAGACAGGGTCGCGATCACGACATGCCACCACCACCCAAAGCTGCTAAAGGCGAGAAGCGATTGACCGAGGAGGATTCCGCAGTGGCGCTTGCTGCGCTGACCAAGCAACGCTACATGGGAGCAGAGCAGACGTCGAACTTCTCGGCGAAAAAGAAGCGCAAGCGTACAACGGACCGAAAGTTCAACTTTGACTGGAATATCGAGGAGGACACAAGCGGCGATTATGATCCCCTTTATCAGCAGCGACATGAGGCCAACTTCTTCGGCCGGGGTCGTCTGGCAGGCTTTGGCGATGATGTCGCCGATGAAGTGACCCGTAAATACGTACAGGCCCTGGAGGCCCACGACAAAGAAGCAGGTGGAGCGCGCGCGAAGGAGATCATGGAGATGGAACGTCGTCGGCGTGAGGACAGCACTCGTAACCAGTTGGACAAGCACTGGAGTGAGAAACGGTTGGAGCACATGCGCGAGCGTGACTGGCGTATTTTCAAGGAAGACTTCAAGATCAGCACAAAGGGCGGTGGTATACCAAACCCTATGCGCTCATGGGAAGAAAGCTTGCTGCCAAAGCGTCTGTTGGAACTTGTTGATCGTGTGGGATATAAAGAACCATCCGCTATCCAGCGTGCAGCTATCCCCATCGCTATGCAGGCGCGTGATCTTATCGGTGTCGCCGTAACAGGTTCCGGTAAAACAGCGGCATTCCTACTCCCACTTCTGGTCTACATTTCCGAGCTACCACGACTCGACGAGAACGAATGGCGCAAAAACGATGGACCGTACGCTATTGTCCTGGCACCCACTCGTGAACTGGCACAGCAAATCGAAATCGAAGCCAAGAAATTCACCCAACCGCTCGGATTCAACGTCGTCAGTATTGTCGGTGGTCACTCAATTGAAGAACAAGCCTACAGTCTACGCGACGGAGCCGAAATCATCATCGCTACACCCGGTCGTCTAGTCGACTTCATCGAGCGTCGCATGCTAGTCCTAAGCCAATGTTGCTACGTGATTATGGACGAAGCAGATCGCATGATCGACCTCGGATTCGAAGAACCGGTCAACAAAATCCTCGACGCCCTCCCAGTAACCAACGAAAAACCAGACTCAGAAGAAGCCGAAGACTCCCTCGCCATGAGCCAACACCGCTACCGCCAAACAATGATGTACACAGCAACCATGCCTCCAGCCGTCGAGCGCATCGCACGCAAGTACCTCCGCCGTCCAGCAATCATCACAATCGGCGGCGTCGGCGAAGCAGTCGACACAGTGGAGCAGCGCGTGGAAATGATACCAGGAGAAGACAAGCGCAAGAAGCGCCTCAACGAAATCCTCTCGTCAGGCGAGTTCCGCGCACCAATCATCGTCTTCGTCAACATCAAACGAAACTGCGATGCCATCGGGCGCGATATCAAAAATATGGGCTTCTCATCTGTTACGCTGCATGGTGGCAAATCGCAAGAACAGCGTGAAGCCGCGCTTAACTCTGTTCGGAATGGTCAGACGGATGTTATGGTTGCGACGGATTTGGCGGGACGTGGTATTGATGTGCCTGACGTGTCGCTTGTCGTGAACTTCAACATGGCTGGTTCGATTGAGTCTTATACTCATCGTATTGGTCGTACTGGTCGTGCTGGAAAGAGTGGTACTGCTATTACTTTCCTTGGTAACGAGGATACGGAGGTTATGTATGATCTTAGGCAGATGCTTATGAAGTCGCCTCTTTCGCGGGTTCCTGAGGACCTGCGGAAGCATGAGGCTTCGCAGTCTAAGCCCAATAAGGGTCTTGGTGGGAAGAAGATTGAGGATAGTTCTGGGTTTGGAGGAAAGGGAGGATGGGCTTAAAGTCCTGGTTATGACTTCTCTTTGCGTATTATCTGCAATTTATACCACCTCTTTTTCGATGTGTGATTTATCGTTTGTGTTTAAGGTATGCGTAGCTACTGGCGATATGTAGTAAATCTAAGCCCTCATGCTTGTGAGGGTTTCATTTCGAGCATTGCAGTCCATAGCTAAGTGACTGTTTGAAATAGTGGAGAATTGAGTAGAGTGATTCATTCTCGTGAGCATATCCTGTATGCTATATATGAACAGCGCGATAATTTAATTCTTTTTACAGCTTGCTCTGGTTGCTGCTCAACCACTGCTTAACATCATCACGGTCACGCTGGAGCCAGTTAACCTTGGCACGGATAGCATCGAGACTCTGCTCAACGGCACGGTCGTAACCCTTAGTATCCTTGGACTCGAAGAAGAACTGGACATCCTTCAGCTGAGCCTCGGTACAGAAGCTAGCGGTAGTAAGCTGAACAACAGTGCCGAGCATACCAAGACCAGGAGGGAGACGCTTGTAGATGTCGTCCCAGTTGGCCTTGAGCCAGTTCCAGCGGCCCTCGATACCAGCAGGGTGGCTGCGGAGACCGCCGAGGGGCATGTAGATGTCCTGGTTCTTGACTTCGTCGTTGAGGGCGAGGCCGAGAGTGCGCTGGATGAGCTCGGCGTCTTCGGCGGCACCAAGGCAGCGCAGAGCGGTGGTCTTCTCGTCAGAAGTGGGGGCGTGGCGGAAGCGGTCGAGGACAACCTCGTACTCCTTGACACCACCGTGCTTGAGGACAATGGTGAAGACACTGCCGCGAATGTTGGGGTGGATGGCAGAGGCGTCACCGGCGGCGAAGCGGGCGAACATGTCCTGAGCAGCCTTGACGACAACAGGGTCCTCGGCCATACCGGCAGAGCCGAACATGAGGGCCTTGAACTGCTGCAGGATGTGGTCATCGTTCTCGGAGAACTCCCAGCCGAGCTCGTGGGCCTTGGGGGAAACCAACGAGCGCTGGAAAGCCTTGAGGGCGTCCTTCGTCTGGCTATCCTCGAAGAGCCAGGCAGCGCGCAGGGTGCCGATACGGGTCAAGATCTCGTTCCAGACGACGAACTCGGACTCGGTATCGAGACCCTGGAGCAGGGAAAGGAGACCAGAGGTGCGCTGGTATCCGGAGGCGGCCAGAGCACCAGAGTCGGCAATCATACCGGCACGGTCCTCGACGGTCAGGCGGCCATCACGAGCGGCCTCACCAAGCTTCTTCAGGCGCTCGGGGGAGTATGAGGTACGGAAGATACCAGAGTGATCGGCGTTGAGCTTGAAGAAGTCAAGATCGGGAACGGGGAATTCACCCTCACGTCCAGTGAGCATGGTGTTCTCATCAGTGCCCTTCTCGGTGCGCAAGCCAAGCATAACGGGGAACAGAGTTTGGTCCTCCTCGGGACGAACGTCACCAGTACGGAGGAAACGGTTCTGCTTAAGGGAAATCGAAGACTTCTCCTTGTTCTCAGTGACGCTGACGACGGGGAACCCGACATTCTTGGTCCAGATGTCCATGACAGACTTCACGGGCTTGCCACTGGCATCTCCCAGAGCAGCCCAGAGATCACCAGTCTCGGTGTTACCGTAGGCGTGCTTCCTGATGTAGTTGCGTACACCCTGGAGGAACACATCCTCGCCAAGGTACTTGGAAATCATGCGGAGGACGGAAGAACCCTTGGAGTAGGAAATAGCGTCGAAGATCTGGTTGATCTCATCGGCGCGCTTGACAGGAACCTCAATGGGGTGACTGCTGCGGAGCGAGTCAAGAGACAGAGCACCCTGCAGGTTATCAATGACGTAGGTCTGCCAAACCTTCCACTCAGGGTAGAAGACGTTGCAAGAGTACCACGACATCCAGGTAGCGAAACCCTCGTTGAGCCAGAGACCATCCCAGAAGTCCATGGTGACCAGGTTACCGAACCACTGGTGAGCCAATTCGTGCTGAACAGTCTCAGCAATGCGCTCCTTTCGGGACGCACCGCTGGTCTTCTCATCAAGCAGCACATCAACAATACGGTAAGTGATCAGACCCCAGTTCTCCATAGCTCCGGCGCTAAAGTCAGGCACGGCAACCATGTCCATCTTGGGCAGAGGGAAGTCACTGTCAAATGCCTTCTCATAGAAAGCCAGAGTCTTGGCAGCAAGCTCCAAGGAGAAACGACCATGCTCAATATCCTGATCAGGAGTGGCGTAAACACGGATGGGGACGCGGAAGTTCTTGGTCTCAATGTAGTTCAGGTGGCCGACAATGAAGGCAACGAGATAGGTCGACATGAGAGGCGAAGTGGTGAATTTCACAGCCTTCTTCGCACCACCCTGGATATCGGTCTCGGACTCAACGTCCATGTTGCTCAAGCAGGTCATGCTCTTATCCGCAACCAGGGTCACGGTGAACTTGGCCTTAAGAGCGGGCTCGTCGAAACAAGGGAAGGCCCGACGGGCGTCCGTGGGCTCCATCTGTGTCGACGCAATGTACTTGGTCTCGCCATTCTTGTCCTTGTAGGATGACCGGTAGAATCCAGCCATGTTATCGTTCAAGATACCGGTGAAGGTAAGCTTGATCTGAGCATCAGACCCCGCAGCGATGGCCTGACCGAATTTGATAGTCGCAACCTGTTGGTCCTTGTTAAAGGAGATCTCAGGCTTGGAGTCTACCACCGACCCCTTGGCTGAGACCACTGCGCTGTGAATGTCGATCTCGTTGGTGTTGAGGGAGACGAAATCGGTATCTTCGGTGACCTCTAGGCTATAGTTTGTTTGTCAGTAGCTAGTAAAGTAGCTGCCCGGCAGGTCACATACTCGATAGAAACCGTTCCCTCGTATGTGAACTTCTCAAAGTTGGGCTCAAGTGTCAGATCATAGTGCACTGGCTTAACGTTGGTGGGCAGGACCTCACGGCCCTGGACGTTGGTTGACCCGGAGGCCTCGCCGCGGCGTGAGTGGCACATTCTGCGGTAGGAACAGTATCGTTTGGAGGTTTGTGAGAGAGGAGTAGGAGCGCGACGAGGGATCGATCGAGCAACTGAAGCTTGAGGGGTAGATCGAGTGGAGAGAAAGAGCGGGAGGGGAGATCTGGCAGAGAGAAGCGGTGGCTTTGCTTGCAGCAATGCACGCGAAGAGAAACGGCGCATCGGCACCCACGAAACCCGGTCTCGGGAAACAAAGAAAAAGAGAGGGTATTAAAAGAATTAATATATATAATACACGTAATAAGCAGGAGAACAATTGAACCAGGGACTGGACAACAATGGGATGAGAGGAAAAAGATGAGATCACGGCAGTTCCCCGGGCGGTGAGGGCCCCGGGGGATTTGCATCTTTTGTTCCCTTTTTCCCTCTTCTTTTCTTTCTTCTTCAACTACGCAACTTCACCCGGTGTATGTCTTAATTCACTATGGCACACAACTTGGGACAGCATTTTTGCTGTTACGATTGCAAGACAGTATACCAGCAAGTTTGAGGGGCTCATGACGGCGTTCTGCGCTCTTGGGTGGGCTACCATAGAAGACTGGGACATCATTGACCATGGTTAGCATTTTGATGCCACTATATGACAAGGCACTTGGTCATCCTCGGCAAATCGATTCAGGCCAATCGACCTCTGACTAGCTCATAGGCTTGAAGCTTTCATTTATTATTAGATCCCTTCTTGGGAATCAATATCTCCAACATAGCAATGCATGTAATATTGCATCTCAGTCCTACCCTAGGAGCTTTTTGCTGCAGCTAATGGTAGTCGCGTAAAAACACTTTGAGACCATCCATCGGCATCGACAACAGATTCCTTGACAAGCACATAACCCCCATACCATGGCAACAACACAGCCCAAACAAGGTAGTAGATTGCACCCGCAGCAAACAGTCCCAGGGCCACAACACAGTGCAAATAATAGGGAAGCTTCTCGTACACATTTTGGCCTGCACTCGGGGGCACATATGGTGCAATTGCAAGATACAGGTTCGACAGCATGAAGAAGATTGTGACGGGCAGAGTCGCGCGAATTCCGGGTGCCCAGTTAGGGAACTTCTTCTCTTTGGTGATGTAGATGTAAACAAGGCCGGCGGAGACGAAAAAGTTGACAATAGAGAGAGGGTATGAGATCAGGCTGCAGATTCTGTTAGCCGTGGGTTGTGGTTGGAGAAGAGTAAGTTCTTACTTGACTAGGAAGTTGTAGGCATCACCTGGGGGAGGAGCAAGCATGATGATGACTGAAACGATGTAATGCTCAAGCAGGCCGGCTGCTGGAGAGTGGAAGGGCCAATTGCTAGCCCAGATCTTGGAGAAGGGCAGTATGCCTTCACGACCAAGCTCTTGGACAACTATAGCGAGGTCTTGTCAGTATAATAGACTCTTCAGAAAGCAGGAGTACATACTTCGACCTTGCGAGAAGATAACGGATAGCACATTTCCAAACGCAGAAAGAGCAACAAAGACTGACATGACCTTCTCAGCCTGTTTGCCAAACATATTCCCAAAGAACACAGCAGCAACAACACTGCCAGAGCTGAGCATCTCCTCTTTGGAAACAGCAGCGAAATAGGCAATGTTAACAAGCATGTACAAAATGCCAACAGATCCAACAGCAACAGGTGCCGCAATCTTCAACGTGCGGACTGGATTTTTCGTCTCACTCAGGGCCTATACAATCAATCAGTATTAACATCACCAGAGCCGACCAAGATACACTTACATAATTGGCATTGGAATACCCAATAAACGACCAAATAACATTATAAAGCGCCATAACAATACTATACCCACTCCCCTTTGTACCAGCAAAAGCATCAGAAAAATTATGCGGTGTAGGAGCTTTGGTATGACCGGCCAAAGCAACCCACCCAGCAACAATAATAAAGAGAATGATCATCAACTTGACAACACCAAGCAGATTCTGAAGACGAATACCCCATTTCAGAGCGACAGCATGGATAAGAAAGGCGGCAGAGAGACATGCCATTCCAATTCCACGCTGGTTCCATCTTCCGACCTCGATATCTGCTGCGTGGAGGATATACTCGCCGAAAACGACGCTGTTGCTTGCTGCCCAGCCTAGTAGGGCTGCGTAGGCGGCGAACATGGCTGTTGCGAGGAATTTGGGTTTGGTGTAGACATATTCGAGGTAGTTCTTTTCGCCGCCGTTTCTGTTGCAAGTGCGTGTCAGTTATCTCTATCAGAAAAAGTTGTCAGTTGGATACTGGACATACTTTGGAATCGCAGTTCCCCATTCCAGATAAACCGCCGTGCCAGCCATGGCAATTGCAGTACCGAATACCCACATGAACAGCGAGAGACCAACACTCCCAGATAGAGCAAGGATGGTACCAGGTGTAGCAAAGATACCCGTTCCAATAACCCGATTGAAGATCAAAAGCGATGCGCTAAATACACCGAGTTGGCGACGGTTTTCCGGTGATGCCTCGAAGACATTTCCCTCGTCTATATCTCCAGATTAAATCAGATCAGATATTCCAGTATTAGATGCATCAGCAGGTAGAACATACACAACCCGGTAATACCATCAGCACGCCTAGGCGTATCATCTCCAGCGAACTTAGTATCAGTGACGGGCGATTTATGCGAGCCAGTCTCGACGATGGCATCACTCGGCCCAGTCATCACGACGTGCTCAATTAATCCGGATGGAGAGAGATGGCCAGTGGGGCAGGTGACAGCTCAGTGGATGTAGATGTAAGTGGGAGTAAAGAAAACACCAATCCTCGTGGAAGACCTTTCCAGGACTTTGTATACTGCACGACCAGGCTCACTGGTAGTGTATATAAATATTGAATAATGTACGTCCATAAATCGGCTACCAGCGGCACGACGATGAGGTGCTGGCACTAAAACTGATGCAATAGTGCCTCGTGCGGCTGGGCAGGGTCTTGGATGTTACCCTGGAAATTGATTATGGATTTGTATAGCACCGCTACACTGTGGATCTGTGGATCTGTGGATCATGCGAGGGTTTTTCTGCCTTTTCTGGGTTTAGCTCTTCTTGGAAGGGTTCCAGAAGCCATGATCTTTGATGTTGGCTTGGGCACACCATCGTCTGGATGGGCCGATGGTGTTTATGGGATTACATGTTTTCGGAACTCCGTTGGTTTAGTATGTTATATATTGACGGATAGGGGTGTGGTCATTTCAGCTTCTTGTTGCTAGGACTTCAGCTCGCACGGCGCAAGAAAAAAAAGAAAATCACGGAGTGGAAGTTGCCGCATGCAGGGCCGAGAATATATAGCCAAGGCCGAAGTCTCACATTCCAAATTCCAACATCCTGTTAGGGTTAGAGGTCAACGTGGACAGGCAGTTCATTTGACATTTAGGCATTGGTAGCCTGTTCACAGGAGATATATTTGAAGAGATATAAATGCCAAGACAAGAAAGACCACAAGAAAAGTGCACGATCACGCCATAGTTAGGGTTTGATCATGCCAAGCACTTTCACCTTCCCCTTTGGGACTTACATATATATATAAATATATATATAAGTTGCTTGTAAACATCATAGTAAGTTTCCTCGATTTCTCTATGTACAATACATCTTAAGCAATATCTGCATTGCGACCAAATCTTCACCAAAAACGCCCTGACCTCCAAATTCCCAAACCAAAAATCAAGTGCCAATCTGTATACCGTGGGTGCCCAGGTCAAACGCCAATCCGTGAACAATACAGGAAAGAGAGAGGAAAGGAAAAAGAAGTGGTCAAAAGGGGAATGAGGAGAAGGAAAAGGATAAAATAGGGAACAAACTGAACTCCCGGGCCTAGTACTGTCGTGCTGTGGGATATATGGCAAAGTGTAAGCGAAAAACGTGAAAGGTGTGACAAAAATAGAAAAATATGAACGAAGAAATTAGCATCTTCGTAAAGACGTAGATAGCATCATAAATGAGGTGAAGTCAGCTTCAGGCTAGCTGATATATAGCCAGTCGAAGAAAGGCGAGGAAGAATTTCCTGGAAGGACACTTGTTCACGCGTAGCTCAGTATGTTCTAAGCTAAACAGGGCCAGGAGTATGAAACCACGCGTGAAGATTGGTTCAGGGGTAAAATTCTCAATGGATTTCAAGATCGATGACAGGTTCACCTAGGTGGTGTTACACCTGTTGTAGGCGCCACAGATACGATATTAGACGGAGGCATCTTCCCCGCACTACCCACTGGCGTTGAAGCTGATGACCGCTTTGACAAGGTGGCAACCTTCTTCCGAACAGATGCGAGGCGGCCACGCATACTGGAGACGACTGTGTGTACGAGTTAGATCAGAAAGGAGTGGTGAAATACATAGAGCAGACTACTTACGTTTGACGACGACTTGCCGATCCTCAACCATAAGATCATCCAAGATGACCTTATCACTTGGCTGGGAACTGCTCTGGCGGTCACTGGCACTGCCGGACCCAGATCGTGTTCCGTCATCCTCGAGGACAGCTTCAAGCATGCGGATGGCGGTGACGTATGTAATCTCGCAGTTGGCGAGATCCTCGCCGGTCAATTCATTGATTGCTGCAGCCCGACTCATTTCGAGTGCACGGTCGTACATGAGTCTCTCGGCTGTGACACCGGCACTCACTACGACGTCTGCTGATGAGCCTGAACCCGCGGTAGAACTAATGGAATGGTTGTTCGGGTGGTTGGGGTGGTCTGGGGGCAAGCGTCGTTGACCCTCGATGAGTTTCATTCGCACGAATTCTGCCTTCTCGATCACTTCGTTGAAACGTCCGCGTACCCATTGAACGACATAGTTGATCCGGGTACTGGCGACCGCACTCATGTTGTCTTTATTCGAAGGTGACTCGCCGTAAACTTCTTCACGGTTCTTGCGCGACCACCAAGCTCCGGCAATGTCCATCGATTTGGCGAGCAACGCCAACGCCTTGACATACAGTACCAAGGCCTCCTCGGAAAGCGTGACGATGGCATCGACTGTCAGTCCATCGTCGGACCCAGCCGAATCAACATCGTTACCCATGGGCCTTGCAGACGGATCAGTTGGCGCTGAAGGTGCTAGCGGAACGAGCTGCTTGTATTTGACTTCGGCAAATCCAAAAACCACATCACTCCGAGTGGCACATTCCTCGATAGCTTGGACAGTCTTGCAATCCTCGTCGGATGTGATATTTGTCTTTCCACCTTCGCCCATGATCATGAGACTTGCTTGTGCAGCAGGGTATGCGGGGAATGGGTTGTAAGCTAGAGGCGGAGACCGTCCACCTTTCGTAATAGCAAGCGGAGGAGAGAATCCCATGCCAAACAGACGGCCGCTGGCCATGTTGAGTGCTTTCGAGATCGCTGAGGTCGCGGACGTAGGGCTTTGTCCATAGCGTCTCTCATAAGAATGCTGGCGCTGGTGCGTTGAATCTGCACGAGCGCGATTTGAAACAACCTGCATGGCTTTGGCCGCGTTGGCATGTGGAGTGGATGGTGATACTGTAGGTAGACCCTGCGTTGTGGCGCGACGAGATCCGGCACCAGTCTGTCCTGGACGAGTGAACCCACCCTGGAGACGTGGGCTGTGAGCTAGTTCATCCGCAAAGGCATTGACTTCGACTGCGCGCTTCTCAACAACTACGTAATCTCTTTCAAAGGCCACTTCCTGCGCAGCCCGATCCCGCTCCTCCTGGGCACGAACTGTCGATTCGCTTGCCTTGGGTGAGCCGACATTTGTGTTCCGGTGCCTTTGACGTTCCATGGCTGAGGTTGTTGCATTGCGATCAGTCAGCTCCTGACGTCCCGGGGCAGTGGCAAGGCTGACAGGACCAGGCCGTTTAGGTGGCGTACTTCCTCGTTGCTGCTCCTTGGTAATTCCCGATGAAGGCCGGTCCGCACTTCCCGTGCGACGCATTTTTGTGGCAGTGGGTGGAGTCCCTGATTTCTGCTGGCCATAAGAAGCCCGATGTCCCATGGGATACGTGCCCTTCTCATCCACTGGATCATAGGGAGACTCCTCGGCCTTTGCTTCGAGCTGAGCCGGCCGTGGTGATTGAGATGGTCCAGAAGTATCAAGGGAAGGTCGCCGAGCTCCAGGAATATCATCAGCCACCAGTCCGGGAATGGGATCATTGATCACGTTGTTGTTAAAGAATTCAGGGAAGTTCAACCGCTCCACCGGGTTCCGCTTCAAAAGGCCCCGGATCAGCTTTTTGATGTCGTCCGAGGCTGGATTCTCTTCAGGGAAGCGAATACGGTCCTCGCCCTTTTCGATCTTCCGTAGCAATTCTACATGGTTAGTGGCCCGGAATGGGGGACGGCCAACCACCATCTCGTAGAGCACAGTGCCTACAGACCACAAATCGGCCTTGGCATCATACTTCTCATACCGAAGGATCTCAGGTGCCATGTACAGTGGGGAACCACAAAGTGTCTCAGCCAGCGAGGTAGCTGGTAGAGAACGAGCGAAGCCGAAATCCGCAATCTTGAGCATTGGTAGTGATTCGATTCCAGTTGTGGGTTCATAGGAGTCATCACTGCCCTTGTAAGGAATCACTTGGGCAGCTCCACTCCGATAGGACGATGGGGAGGGACAGAGGAGGAGGTTCTGAGGTTTGATGTCTCGATGGATAAGGTTTCGGTCTCGAAGAAATTTGAGCGCACTTGAGAGCTGCTTGAGGAAATGTCGGGTCACCACTTCGTTGAGGGATCCACCAGGTGAATTTGGATATTTGGCGATCATGTCTCGTGTGTATCGATGTGTTGCAAGGGTATCCCGGCGCTTAATGAACAACGACAAGTCCCCCAGCGCGCAGTATTCCATAACCAAGTGAATATGAGAGGTCGATTCATGGCAGTCGATAAGAGCCACGATATGAGGATGATGGAGGCCTTTGAGGATATCGATCTCGGATGAAAGGTTGTCCTTGAGCTTTTTGTTCAGCTTCGAGAGGTTCACGGACTTGATGGCTACGTAGGTTCGACTTTTCTAGCAGATAAGAATCCATTAGCATCTGCCATAAATATTCGTGATAAAGGATCAAGACTTACCGTATGCACGCCCTGGTAGACTGTCGCGAAGCTTCCTCTGCCGATCTCGTCCAGCCGTGTATAGCGACCGATGGACATTTCCGGGCGTGAGGGGTCGCGTGAGCGCCTCGAATGCTGAGACGCCATGATTGCGGGACGCGCCGCAGCCTCTTATGGCTGTAGAGACTCTCGCTGGGGATAACCAGGTGTGAAACACACCCCAGCAACCACAACTACCGCGGCAGCAATGAAGATGTACAATACTGGAGGCCCATCAGGCTTGGACGATGACGCTGCCAGTTGCCCGGGGGAGCCTGGAAAGATAAGGAACCGCCGGGACAACGGGTCTGGGTAGGTACTGGAAGAGTGCCGTGGAACTGGACAGGCGAGCTCGGGTTATAATGTGAAAGTATGTACTTCTAGCAAACGGAGCTAGATGGAAAGCAAGAAGAAAGGTATGTATAGAAGCGAGTTTGAATATAGGGGAGGCAAAAAGGAACTGGTCTAATGGAAGGGCAAGATGATGTGATGGGGGAAAGCTGGACCCAAGGATCTCCACGATTGGGGGGGGTGTGACCCAACGATAACGAGTGACAGGCGGTGATGATCTAAGGCGGTCAGGAGGGCGGAGTGGACTGATTCGGGACCACAACAGATGAAAGGTCAATATGGAGAGATAGAGATATGAAGAGGAGAGGAAGTATCAAGAGCAGAGAAAGATGAAAAAGATCAGAAATGAATTATCCCCCAAGGTGCCCGTCAAAGGAAAGGAGTTGATATCATGCACTGGTCATGTGCTTATCGATTAGATAAGGCCGAGATCGGCGGTACAGATCAGGGGCGATCTATGACATACAGTAGAAAATATGTTCAAACATAGTAACGAGTTAAGAGTAAAGATATCTTCCGGCTCCTTTTCGTCAACTCCCTTCCCCGGATTCCCAGGGCAGCCTTGGGCTGAAATTGACCTATCAAACTGAGACTCGACACTGTAGTACGGTGAAGCTTATCTGCAGCCTATACCAGGCCCTAGCGCCCTGAAGGCAGATACGCCATGCTAGGCACCCAATCTGTTGACTCATATGTACACGCTATGTCCTCTTTAATATCATACACAGAACTGATGCAGAAAAAATCCCCGAGCACAAAAAAGCAAACAAATCGCATCTATGCACATCAACGTGGCGTGTCAAACGCCAAGACCCCGCACTAACAGCCACAACACCACGGGGACCACGACGTTATCATTACAACCAGTGAGGATCGCTTCGGTGGCGCTAGTTCCAGCGGCCGCCAGAACCGCCTTGCACGAAGTCCAGAACCAGAAGTGAAGGGAAAACGGCCCCCGTGCCACAACGCCTTCGACGCCAGACACGGGCCATCCCCCTATTACCAGCCAGGCACGAACTATGATCAGCCCGATGGTTACCGCTGCCACAAAAGCAACACTGCCTTCGAGGGACTTGCCCCCTCCCCAGAACCATTTCAGTCGACCGTAACGTCGGCCGATGAGGGATGCCGCTGCGTCGCCCATGCCCACACAAATAACACCACTCGCCATGCTGACGTCTCGTGATGGGATTTCCCATCCAGCCCAGGGTCCCAGGCCGGTCCGTGGGAGGTCGGAGATAGAAAGCCAGAGCGGGATAGAGCAACCGATCAGCAGGAAGATGTGGGAGATGATAACCGGGCCTCGGTGATCCCGGCCGTCAACATACGGCGCCAGGAAATTGGTGAGTGGTCGCGAGATTGGGGGTAGCTGGGACGCGCGGTATAGGTCCAATAGAAGGAAGACCGAAAGGACCAGAACCAACGCCAGGGCGCAGAATGCGGGGTCGACAAAAATAGTAGGCAAGAACATCAGCACCATCATCCCGTGGAAGATCTTGCGGCGCGTGTCGACTTCGGCAACACTTTTGAGCTGAACGACCACAAGCAACCCCGTCAGCAGCACGACTGCGCAGTAGCCACTGAGCAGGAGGCGAGTGCTAGCTGCACCGAATGTAGTCTGGCGGATATGTTCGATCGACCCGAAGAAGCAAGATGCACTGAGAACATCTTCGTCAAGCCGAGGGGGCAGTTCAATCCAGTATTCCAGGTTCAACATGAGAATCCAGAAGCGGACGTTGGAGAAGTTGCCGAACAGATATCCTACAGCCCAACCAAACGGATCTCGGCCTTGTAGAGCGCGCTCTGCCACATAGTTCCGAATAGGTCCGATGATGATCAGCAAGGACGCAATGTAAACGAGCAAGGCGTACAGCCATTTGCGGACCTGTGCCTGGGCATGAGTGAGCGATAGGAAGGCAGTAAGACCAGGAGCCATCTGCTTCTTGCGTCGGCCACCAGCCGTGGTTCGAACGCGCTCCTCTCGAACAGCCTCATCAAACGTAGAAATGGTATGGCGTCGGCGTTGCATCTTGCGAGAATATTGCTCGAACATTTCCTCAGTGAGGGTCTTTTCAACCGCAGATGCAGGCTCTGCCGAAGGACCACGTTGAGAAGTCATCTGCATAGTCTTCGTCTTGCGCGGTCTCGCAAACGAATGTCCATTCGGAACATCGCTATCTGATGAAGCATCGTCCGAGGCACCAGTCCGACTTAGTTTCTCACAAAGTCGATGGTCAAGCATGTTCAAGAATTTTCGCGCAGAATGCGAGCTGTTCGGGGGACGGCGGAACTTCCAGCTAGGAATTCGAGCCAGAGCAACCTCCCAACGCAGGATGTGTCGACATGAAGCGAATAAACACATGCCACCAAGCCATAACAGGGCTTTTAAAATCTCCGCTTGGGGAGATTCAGCGAACAAGTACAGATTGATCAAAGCAGTCGTCAAAAGCTGCAGCTCTGCAGGAAGAACGCTGGTCGTCAACAAGAAGTCTAAAGTGGGTATCAACGCTTGATGCAAAGGGAAAAGAAGAATTAGGGACTCCGCATCGAACCCTCGAAGCGACAGTGGTTTTGGGATGGTAGAGTCCAGGGAAAAGTGTTCGGAGACGACAAGTGGAATCAATGTCACCATCCAATGCGAGATGCTAAGTCCATGCGTCCAGTTTTGTAGTGGGATAACAGGCGCGGGTAGAGAGGACAGACTGAGGATGATATTAGGCATAATAAGCACTGGGACGTGACCAGACAGAGATAGTGAAACAAAGATCGGGATCAGGATCGGATAGAGGAGGGGAGCCGGGTCGAAACTCGCGGGGAGAGAGAAGAGCGAGCGTTTCGTAGACAGGATGTGCCAGATGCGCCAGCTTCGGCCTTGGGATGCACGAACGAGAAGCGGATAGGCGGCATAGAGGCTCATCACCACGATACAATGGGTAATAATCTCTGTAAATCAATCAGCATCTCCCATGCCATTGTAATCGTAACATTTCCACGTACCTTTCTTCCAGGCCCACGCTACGGACCGCGCGCCGTTCTGGTACAGCACGACAACGCCAACAGATATCAAAAGCGCAGCTTCCAGTAACCGACGCAGCACCTCAATTCGTCTGGTTTGTCTAAACTTCGTTCTAGCCTCGAAGGCCTCTTCCTCCATCTCCTCATCGGAGCTCCGCCGTGAAGTGCGCGAGACAGGTCGCGCGAACGAAGGCCATGGCCGTAAGCTTGGCAACCAAGAATCCCCCTCCCCAGACCTCAGGCCCTTATGTAGGCGCAATGGCGGGGCGGGTAGGCCTCGAAGTATCCCGGTGCTCTCATCGTCTGCCTCGGTGCCGCTGTCGCTAGGCGTGCGCGAGGACCTTGAGTAGGAGAGGGGGTGGAGGAGGTCCCCGTATTCGGAGGGGGTGCTCGAGCCGATGCGTTGGCTTCTGTGGTATGGATGGGGTGAACGATTAAATTGGCGCAGGTTCTCGGCCACTTCGGGGCTGAGGGGTGTACTGCTGCGAGGTGTCACTTGTTCTTCGTGGAGCAAAGTCATGGCACCATTCTTATGTTGAGGGATGCGTCATGTCGCGTAAGAGAGTATGAGGATAGAGAAGGGTGCGCTTGAGTCCAAAGGGGGGGAGGAAATCGTAAATGTTAGGAACGTGGCAGGCTGTTATCTCTGAACGCGGAGAGGATTTTGCCTATCACATGAAAGCGGACTGTGCGTCGGATGACATCGTTGTTTGTTGACTTTGAGGGTTTTCTGCTCAATGCTTGATATTTTCAAGCTATTGCTGTTCTGTTACTGCGAATATGTCTAATGTGATTGTTGCAAGATAATGCCTGCACCCAATTTTCGTCCTCCTCGTCCCCAAATCGATCGGCATGGGACAACCTGTCCTGGCCAAGCTTCGGACAGCGAATAGGAAGTGTACAACACAGCCTGAGATAGGCTAGGGTTCTGAGAGTGGGTCTTTATGGCCAAATTCAAGCGGTCGTCCCATGCATCGTCAGACAATCCAGCCTCAACCTCAATACTAATGTAGGTGTATTGGCCGTCCATGGTGGTGGTGTAAGCTGGACCTTCTGCGGTACCAAGTTTGACTTGTTCGCATCGGCCACCCAGACCTTGCCATTCGATATCACTTCCTCGTGGGAGTTCGTCGACCTGAACAGCCAGGAAAGGGGGGATGGATGTGGCAGACTCGGAATTGAGGACAGTGAACTTGGGCAGAAAAAGTGCGGCGGCATCAGAAGTCACTTCTTCCGTGCGACGTCCGTACTTGAGATCCCACGCATCCAGTTGAGGACCTTCGTCGTCATCTTCATCTTCATTGTTGGGTAGAGCGTGCATGTTTTCCCAGAGGCGCCAGGCCACTTGAGCTTGAGCAGCAGCTTGTTCTCCGCGAGCCAAAAAGGCCACGACACCAAGCCACCAGTCAACCTGCGTGGCTTCACCAATCCTCCAAAGATGCTGGAGAGCTAGCACAGCTCGTAGACGGTAGTTTTCAAACGGTGACTGTTCTTTTTGTGCCATCTCCATAGAGGCAGGGTCCAGAGGAATCTGGCCAGCGATGTGTACCAACCTGCTGTTGTTCTGCAGTGGAACAGACATGGCTTGTGAATATGGTCCGATGTTTGCTGGTGCCCAGTATGATCGCGACTGAACGTGGAGGCCTTGACGCAGGTCTCTCGCACACAGATCAACCACAAAGGAGACCATCACTTTGACATTGGATGGTAGACGGTCTCCGCAGGCGACTGTAACTCGCGCAGGAGGATTGGGTTTGTTGAAGAGCGACACGTAGACATCGTTCATGGAACCAAAGTCGCCCATTGAGTTGAGCAGGACGGTAGCAAAGACGATGTCATCTGTTGATCGTGTACCCGACTCGGCCGGTGAGGCGGTCGTCAACGCTTGCACGACCTTGTCTGCAATACCCTTCATCTGCTCTCCTGTCCCAGGACCAGCCTCGGGGGCAACAATATTGGAGATAGTCCACGACGAACCAGTCTGTCGGTGCACAGGTTCACAAGCAGTCCACTCAGGAGACGAAGCACTTGTCCCAGTTACCACCGAAGCACCCTCAGAACCCTCCTCATAGTCCCTGTCCCTTTCCAAAGCCTTCTCAAAAACCCCATCCAACAACCCAGGCCTCCTAACATCCCCAGGAGCAACCCCATCACCACCATCCTTAACTTCCACTCTAGCCCCAACAACCCGAGCAAAAGCAACGCCCCCCTCTCCCACCCTAACATCCACCGCGTCAACCCCAATCCGTCCCTTCCACAAGAAATCCGGCCCATTAAGCGCAAGAGTCTCATACTCACCCCCCTCACCCAGAACAGCCCCTCTCACATCCTCACCCCCAGCAAACCGCCCCATAGCCTTCCCAATCCGTCCCCTCACCCTCCGTCCCGCATTCGCAGATCCAGAAACATCCTCCCAAAGAAACCCCTCATCCAACCCCCCCGAAGCAACCTTGATAATCCTCGCATCACATCCCACGGCAGCCATATCCTCCAATAACCCCGCCTGCGCCACAGCCAATGGATCGGCAATTCGTGCTTCCGGCGCTGGAAGGATTGGATATTGCCATAGCCAGGCTAAAGGCGTGAGACCTAGTCTTCCGGCGATATTCTCAATTCGGGTGCGTTGATATGTTGATAGGATTGCGCCTGCTGAGACGGCGTTTGCTTCTGGGTGGGCCCTTTTGATCCTTGTTAAGAGTGGAATGAGGGATTCTGTTTCATCTGCCTCCTCGGGTGTAGATGTAGATGTAGATGTGGTAGTGGTGGTGTTTTTGTAGATGCGCGATGTATCAACTGCATTGCCTTTGATAGCTTCTCTGTACAGTGGGATGCCGAGGGCTTCTTCGTAGAGAGGGATTATGCTGTGGCCGATTGTTTGGTACATGAAGCTGTCGATGTCTTCTTCTTCGTCATTGGCATTGTCGGCTTTGGTGGTTGAGGGGGACGGCTCTGGGTAGAGGTTTGCTAGGGCTACCACTTGGTGGCCGTTGCGGATGCAGTGGAGGATTGAGTAGAGGGAGTCTTTTCCTCCTGATATTAGGGCGATCACGTTTAGGCCTGGGCTTGGTTGGGCCATCGTGTTTTGGTTTGGTGTGTGTTGGAGTAAGAATTGGCAGTTGATGGGGGGTTATTTTTGCTGGGTCTGTTATCGATAAGGCGATAAGTGGACTTGTACATTTTCATACTTGAGTTTATTGTTTACTATGGCGTATACGGTAAATCGAAGGTAATCAACTTATGATTCAATTACTGAAGTGTACACTGCTACATTGGAAAAGATTGTGAGATTATGATGTAATTGATGCATGTAAATCAACATCTAGAGATGTGAACTGGTACCAACACAAATGGGGTATGTAGCAATGATGAAAAAGGGGGAGTGGTCAAATTAACTTATACACGAATGTGACCAGCACAAGGAAGTAGAAAAGGGGGACAAAACAAAAAAAAAACAAAGCACCAAAAATATTACATCGAATAAGGCAAAGCAAGATGAACGAAACGGTAAAAGAAGCGAAAAAAAAAAGTGAACAGGATGAAAGAAAGTCACAAGAAGAGAAAGAAACAGGGTGTACACGAAGAGAAGAGCCCAAAGGCAGGGTAGAGATCAAAGGTGAGGCACATTGCTCACGCCGAGTGTGGTCCAGAAGAGATATTGGGAGAGACAAAGGAAAAAAAGAAACAAAAACACAGGGAGGAAAAAGACAATAAAGAAAAAAACAGACAAAGGAAATATTCAACACCCCCAGCATCTATACGATGAGACAGATGCCAACATTCAGTGTTCCCTTTTTTTGTTATTTTTTGATTGCTCTCTCCATGGACCAAAAACACTGCGCCCATGTGTAAACTCGCCAGAAACCAAAACCCGCTTTGAGGGCATAATCACAACCCGTATGATCCCCGCTGAAGACAATCGCTGAAAAGATGGGGATAAACCCCTTGCCCCGTACACCAATACCAGGTGTAAATGCCCAGACGCCGAACCCAAGACCAAAGTCGAGCTTCCAGCCAGAAGACGACAGAATGTATAATTATATGCAGTAGGAAGCTCCTGGTCTCGTAATACAAAAAAGAAAAAGCAAACATGGACTTAGGCCAGGTCGCGCTTGCGCTTTTTGGCCGCCCGGCGGTCCGAAGATGAGCCACCGGCGTCGGCAGCCTGGTCATACATGACATCGGCTAGGGCCCCGGCGTCGTGTTGATCATCGTAGGAGATGGAGCCGGTGTCGCTGGTGTCCAAGACACCCATGACCAGCGAGCCAGCACCGTGGGTGCGGGCGTGCTGGGCGAGGTTGTCGCTGCGGGAGAACTTCTTGCCGCACTCGTTGCACTCAAAGGGCTTGTCCTGGGTGTGCAGGGAGCGGTAGTGACGCTTGAGGTGCTCCTGGCGACGGAAGCGACGAGAGCAGAGAGTGCAGACGAAGGTCTTTGATGGGTCGTCGGTCAGGGACTGCTTACGGCCACGGCGGTTGACTGAGACGGGGGCAGACTCGGAGCAGTCGGCGTCAATAGAGCCATCGTCCGAGCAGCAGTCGGAGTGGCTGCTCTCAGAGAGCTTGCGGGCCTGGGCCTCGTCCTGGGACGCCTTGCGAGACTTGCGGACGCTGCGCTTCTTGGTCTTGGGCTCTTCGAAGTCTTCTTCACTTTCAGCTTGGGGCTGGGCGGCGTGGTTCCACTCGAAGGAGGGGAGGCCGTTGGGCATGAAGGTCTCGGAGTCGTCTGAGTCCTCGAGGCTGTGCTCGCTGAGGAATCCATCATCCTCGACCGAGTAGGTGGTACGCTGGCGCTTGTCGCCGAGGTAGACGGCGTTGGCGGCAGGGTGGAACTCCACCAGACGGTTCAGCTCGTCATCCGAGTCGAGGTCGGAGAAGCTGTCAAAGGTGGGCAGCGAGCTCAGAGGGTCTTGGGTCGAAGCACTGAAAGAGGGAGATGGGTTCTCGTTGACAGGGAGCGTCACAGACGCACTGCCAACCACAGCACGGGGCTCCTCCTCCTCGCACGACAGAGTTGGCAGAGGGGGGAGGTCCTGAGCGGGCACATTGACGGAGGGCTCCACGGTCAGCTGGCGGGGGTCGCAGAAAGAAGCAGAGAGGCTCTGGGGAGCGAGCAGATCGTTCGGGACGGGGGAGGGGGAGGGGGAAAGCGAGGGGCAAGAAGTAGCAGACAACAAATCGGAATTCTGAGTGATAGAAGGGGGGTGAATGAAGACTACATCACGATTAGCTTTCTCCCTTGCATGAAATCTCCACAATTCTGCGGTATCATAGGCTGTGATCTATAAAACTCACCAGGCGTCATCGGTGGGGAGTCGGTACGGGCCCAGTCGGGGTTGGCCAGGATTTCCTGGTGCACATCGGTCTCACAGCCCTCCTTGACACCTTCCACCTTGTCAAAGGTGAAGAAAGTGTCGTGAATGGGGGTTGGGAGCGCGCCATGGGCTGAAGGTGGGCTGCTGATGGAGCTTCCCGAGGACGACAGTGGAGGAGTCGACGGGAAAGCGTACAGGTCGTGACCAATAAACCGAGTGTCGATGGGCATCAAGGCGGGAGAGCCCTGGACCATGATGGAAGGCTTCATTTGGGATGGCTGGGGCGAAGCAATGGGCGTCAAGCTCATGTTTGCTCCACGGAAGGCATTCGTGGTTGCCATCTGGTGCATGTTCATCATGGGCTGGGGCGAGTACAGCGGTTGCTCCTGACCATACTGCATCTGTCCATAGTACATCTCTTGCTGATAGTGGCCTTGTCTCTGTTGTGTGGAGTCGGGGTAGTATGCAAACGAAGGCTGTCCTTGCACCGAAGTAGGTGCCATGTGGTATGTTGAGTCCATTGTACTGATGAGAGTCAATTGATATTCCACTGTTTGCTTGATGTATTATACATACCTGGTGAAACGCGGTAACCAAACGAAAGGCTCACGTCAAATTAATATGATTATAATCGAAGTTGATTGAAGTGTGGTGTGGTGTGGTGTGGTGTGTTTGGTTGAATGAATGATACCAAAGCTATTAGGTATAGGAATGAGTGTGTGTCGAAGGAAAGACAGGTTGCTGGGAACCGGGAGACAATAGTTAAAGGAAGGGAAGAGTCGAGATCCAAATAAATCCACAGAGGAACCCCAAACCCAAAAAAGTACAAATAAAAAAAAGGACTTGATAGAGAGAGAAGACAGAAAAATAGGCGGGGAAATAAAAAAAAAAGAGAGATGAGAGAGATAGCAGGTCGCGGTGGGTAAAAGAGTGATCTGCTATTCTACTTGCCGGGTCACTAGTGTGGGCCAGGAACCGGGTACTTTGTCTCATTAAATATTATATTTATATTTATATATTTATGTATATATATATAAAATGAGAAAATAAAATCACTAATATTCAGTCTGGGGGGAAGGCCAATCGCATGTAAGTGGGGCAAACATTAAAATTAAATGAATTTACTCGGTCACTGCCCCAAAAAGAGTATCTCCACCATTGATGAGTGGTGTCCAATTGTATAATGGTAAGATGATAATTCGTAGTATTGGAAGAGGTAGCTTGTCACCTTCCCCCAACCCGTTAACACTGTCGACAGTATGTGCCTGAAACAGGCCACGAGGGTGCGTGCCAGCGGAAATCCTTCTCTTATCAGCAAAGTCGGAGTAGTATTTTCAGTACAGTACACGCCCCACGCTGTGTGCCGTCCTGCGATCGACATTTTCTCGTCATTTCAGCATTTCAGACGGCACAAATGATCCTCCACTGGAAACTTTAGCCAGTCCATCACTTACCCCTTTGGGATTGCCCATAGCTCACCGTGCATCACGCAAATCCAAGTCGCTGAGGACTTGCCTCGCCGATCAGCCATCAACGGTGGCGACCGTGCTACTTCTTAATCGTGAAACGGTCGGTATTGGCTACACCTTTTCCACGCTTACTCCGATTTCATATGATCCTTTCTCGACGCGGGGATCACCGAGGATGTATTCTATAGTCACATTCTAACTTCAGCTTTAGCTTCGGCTTCAATGTTTGACGTGAAAACAATAATTGAGGCCACTAGTTGCATCAGTTTGCCACATGGATCCTAATCAATCGCGTGTGTTTCTTTCCGACCGCTGCAAGGGTGCGCGCACTGATTATCTGTACTCTGTTGGATGTACATGCACACGTACACTATACTGTACATGACAAAAACAGAATTTACACGTCAATAGCATCAAACTTCAATATCCAATACAGTGTACAGGCAGGCAGCATGCAAGCCCAAAGGCGATATTCATCCAATTGCGCGGCCTACTGCAGGAACCAGCTGCGGGGGGCACAGCCGCGAGAACCACATAGGCAACTGAAAACGCTTATTGGATGCAACTTAGGGAAAAAGACTCAAATGCCTTGGAGTGTCGAATAAGCGCTTCGGGAAAGTTTCCGGGTGATTGGTTCCGGATGCCCTAAGATGCATGATTGGGGGTGTGAATGTCTCGAAGAGCTGAACACATGCTCCCTTGGAGATTACCTTACCACCCACCAGGCTTACATTGATGTTGGCCCAAATGTAGACGCTTGCAGTTGGTCTCACCAGTACATCATTGGGCATGGTCCGCCGTGGTCGCGAAGTGATGTGTTCCGATTGCATGGTGATGTGATAGCACGACTCGTCTCACTTGATGACCTGTAGATCCGGGGATAAAGGCCAATATGTACGTACCGTGATCTGTGATGGATCGCAACTTGGAGAGGCGCAGAATCCGACACATCTAGTATGCATGGTGCAAGGTGGTAAGTTGACGGTTGTGGCACAAACTCTACCAATCCCAGTTGACCTGAACTTCATAATCTTGTCCCTCTACGGCATTTCATCATGTCGGAAACCCGCGACACAACCTGATTCGTCTCTAAAGATAGTGTCTCCCCAAGTGTCCACTTGCAAGGCCCGCTATTCCTTCACGGGCCAAGTGTCGGCGCACGGCGGAAACTTCCACCTTCCCCTGCCAATGATGTGCGCCGCGGTGGACTTGGGAAATTGGGGTCTGATCAGTTTAGCCAAAATTACTCGGTGTTTATCCACTCTATACACCATGGCTTGCCCATAACTACCCAGGGCGACTGGAGTAATCACTCCGAGGGTTGCAAGGGAGTGTTCGTATTAAATTAGAGATGCATGGAAGGCTGTCATTCTCTCTTCGAGAACAAGTCCACTTAGTGCTAACCCACAATCATTGGTATTAGATAACTGTACATTAAGCTCGCAGCTTGGGATACCCTCATTCTCAATTTTGTGTCATATTGCCTTTGAAACTATTTGCTTGATTCTCCCAAATCCTGGCCGCCACCGTTGTCGCACAGACAGAGTGGATAGTGAAGCCCACGGGCTCGAAGCTAAAACGAAGAAACCAAAAAGAAGCAAAAAAAAAAAGTGGCACTATTTGGATTATCGCCTTATTTCGATCGTCGAGCCTGTGCTCAACGGACTCGCCATGAGAGCTTCAAGCTCACCGGGTCCAGAACAGAGACACACCAAAAAAAAACTGGGAATGGCCTTACACGGGCTACACGGGAGTACACGGGATAAAACTAAGCTATGGCAACTACCAACGGCCTAGGGGAATTGAAGACCTTCTAGCCTCGAAACCAACAGCTCTAGAAAGACGTGAGTGGAGCAGACTGGAGATTGACGCGGGCGGGCAGTTCCTAGTTCCATAACTAAAGGCCCGCGGAAGGTCCTCCAATGCAGCCGAGGGAACTAAGTGGTCCTCTATGGACCTTGATGGACCCCGAAAAACAAAGAGGCATTGCCAGTTGATCTGCCAAGTATACTGAAGTAAAGGGAGCAATGGAAAGACACCAATCGAGGAAACGGCCGTGCGATTTGGAAAAAATAAAATAAAAAGGTTGCTTGGCCGGGAACAGGTACACCTAGGTTCACTTCCCCGACGAATCATAGCGACCGCTGGAATATGGGAATTGTGGGAATATGGGGCAAAGAGAGAGCTCTCAAGAGATGCAAGAAACCGTTTGGAGATCCTCATGCTCGTATCCGACACACAGAAGAGGTGACTAGTCGAAGCTGTCACTTATGCATAGCATGGAGAAACTTACTGAGGTCCGAAGGCCTGCGCCCGTCAAGCAAGGGTTCGATTGGAATGCATGTCGCCTCTAGGACAACTTCCACTCCGTAGAGTACCCACATGATTAACAGTGCATTTACATGTCAGCCAAATCCACCCACAATTGACAAAGGCAACAAAATAAACGCAGGAAAAAGAAAAAGATACGCAAATTCAAACGCCACCCGGATTCGGGATTTGGACAGATCAGACCATATGATACACGCCTACTTGGACGCAAAAGGTCACAAAGAGAGTGGAGCAAAGACGGAGATCCGCCTTCAAGGTATTCACCTGCCGATTCTCAACGGCCCTTAGCGACCAAGATACAGAGATACACTTGCAGGGATCAGTATTTGCCTTGACACTAGCGCCCGTCACATGGAACGGCTTTCTTGGATCTAACACTGAGACTGAGTAGTTATTCGTCTCGTTGAATCATGCCATGGCGTAGTCGAGGCCCTGTCGTGTTGTCTGCGGAACGGACCCAGTCATTGAGAATTGAGACTATTACTTGCGTGGATAGTGGCTCCGAGGTTTGAGAGCACGGATGCCAGATACCAGACATTCCAGGAGAGTGGGCTTGACAGCGGGAATTGAGGGATATTCAGATCCGCGGATTGCCGTTCAAATCACTAGACTCTGTCCACTAACCTGCACTATACTGTACACTTATCTGTTCCCTTCAGGTCTGCAAGAACCTCCAACATAGGCAAGATAGTGATAGTGTGGCTTAAAAAGACAAACCATACTCTATACGGAGACAGTAGAAACCAAAGTGACATACGCAGATCCTCCATGTGGGGGAGCAGGTCAACGGTGGATTCGCTCTTGGTCGGCCCTTTCCGTTGAGCCTGAATCTGAAACAGCCAGTTCACCGTATCTCGGGACAGAACACGCGTTTTGAGGCCTATGGTTACACTAGCGTGCACCGGGGCCTTGGCGAGTTTTTTTTTTTCCTTTTTCTTTTTCCTTTCCTTTTTTTTTGACAGTAGAGGCGAGACCCTCTCGGCATGGGAGGCGTTGCATTATTGTTCATGGTCGCTTTTTTTTGCGGAGCCTATACTTTGCGGTGTGCTCTCGTGGAGTTGCTCCATCTTGGGAGAGCTTTGGCCTGATTCTGGTCATTGTTATACGACTTTGCTGGATACAGTAGGAGTTGAGAGAAGAACGTGGGTGGATTAAAGTAATTGACTAATGATTACCAATATGCCACTTATTGCTCTAAGTAACTGTCTATTCCAGATTGTTCGAGATAGGCAGATGGATTCGAATTTTCTTAGTGGCATCTCTAGGGCTGTTTTCGCCTCCTTATACAGTGGTCTCTAAACCGAATCAGACAGTAAGCCCGGTTTGACAGTTGTGGCTATTTAATCTATAGGATATAGATACACAGCACTGCCACCCTCTAACCTTGGAAGTGGCTCTACGCACGGGACGCCCTAAAAAGAGCTTCACACCGAAGCCACAAGGTCCTCGGAGCACGTGTCTCAGCGAGATGTCATGTTACATTCAAACTCAAGCGAATTGCGGGGGGAAACTCGGCTAACCAGTTTCACACCGTGGCGAATCCATGGGACGCATTCAACGCCGTCGAGGAGCATCTTTTACCTGTTTGGGAGGTATCTGCAATTCCGACACCGTAGACATAGGGGTACCTAGGTGTACACGTGCAGAGCTCAACTCCAGTGTACGGAGAGTACTTCGTAGGCGCACTTGATTGTGGGAATGTGTGGACTCACGGAGAATTT